CCCTCTGATTCTACTACACTTGAGAGGATGCTTATGCGGTGTGGACCAAGATGCCCGACCCCTTTCTCTGCCTATCATTCAGCTTGATTCCTACTATCTCTTTTCTTTGGTTTTCTTTTCCTTTCTTTTTTTTGCCCTCCCTTTATCCCTTGTGTCTCACTTTGAATCACTAGACGTGGGAATGTGCCGGTGTCTTACTCTCACGCCACCACCACGCCCATGTGTTTTTAGCGCCGCCGCACATGGTCTCCTTGAATTCAAGAATGCCCGTATACATGCCTACGTAGAGAGCTCACACCCCAGCTGCGTAGTTTATTCAAAAAAGAAACTCATTGCTACGCGAGCTGCAAGGGATATGCCAGCTGTGACAACACATTAGTACGCAGCTCGCTTCCTGGGGCGCGATGATGCGGTGGCATAATCACACGAAGAGCCAGCCCGCTTCGAAGGGCATGTGAGGAGACACCTATGTCGCCTTTGCAGATGAAAATAGCTCGGACGACGCGCCTTTAACGCAGTTAACACCGGCTGAACGCTCAAGGATCCATGATTGTGAAAACAAATGACATATATTGTCTTGGGTGAGCTCAGCAAGGTATCTCAGCAGTGCGTGCACTAGCAGTAGTGGGCATCGCGTGTGATGCGATTGATCTGATGGCATATTGTCTCAGATCCAATACATTTCAAACTATACCAGGCTCTCTAACTCCCTTATATACATGACGCTGGATTAGGGTTACAAGCGGAACAAGCGGACTTGATGATGCAAGACACAGGGGCCGAAATCCCGGGATGCCGACCGGAAACATAACCCTTACAGACGGCTTTCAATGCCGGCAAATTGATGGTCCTCAGCCCAGTGGGAATCGGGCCAGACCAGTCGAATCGCATCCCAAATGTGGCTATCCAGTACTCGAGTTAGTAACACTGCCTGGTTTTCTCTCTCTTTTACTTGATGACTAGGCAAGGTGCGTAGCCGTAGGGCGTTACTGCATCATGCCGCCAGCATCAAGATGGAGATAGAATGGATGGGAGAGAGGGGGCGGGGGCGGGGGAAGCAAGTAGAAGGAGTGCTTACCCAACATGCAAGATCTCTAAGCCATCCTTGACTTCCTGAGGGAGATCTTTGACATCTTTACGGTTTTGTGCTGGAAGTAGCACCGTCTTAACCCCCGCTCGGAGGGCACCGATGAGTTTTTCCTTGATACCTCCGACAGCAGTGACCCGGCCGCGGAGGGATATTTCGCCCTGTGTTACATGTCGCGTTAGCTATACCAGTCACTGTTGGAGTTTGGAAGAGGGGGGGAGGGGAAATTTTTATTTTGATGGTATGACATGGGAAACAAGCTGGTGTTGAAACATACAGTCATGGCCATTGTAGGAGGCACTGGCTTGCCAGAGAATAGTGAGATGAGAGCAATAGCCTGGCCGATGCCGCTGCTTGGTCCATCCTTGGGGATTGCTCCCGAGGGGCAGTGAACATGAATGCTGCGGTCCTTCATAATGTCGACGTGCGGTTCCGGTGTAAGGCCCAGCTCAAAGGCATGAGCCTTGACCCATGTGAGGGCAACCTCGACACTTTCTTTGAGAACATCGCCCAGTTTGCCCGTGAGCTGTACCCGTCCATTACCGGGCATGTCAGCAACCTCAATGAAGAGGATGCTGCCGTTGCCGCCAGTGCTGTAAGCTACGAGTCCCGTCACGATACCCGGACGGCTTGTCTTCTCGGCAATTTCCTCCTCAAACTTCTCGATGCCTAGGAAGCGCTCGATATCGTCGAGCGTGAGCTGCCGCCGATATGTCTCGAGGGCGCTGTTGTCTCTCGCCTCAGCGTACTCGACTGCCTTGGCACGACATACAGAGCCAATCTCTCGTTCCAGATTGCGAACCCCTGACTCACGGGTGTACGACTCAATAATTTTGGATACCACCTCCTGGCTGAACTCGACCTGGTCATCAGCCAATCCGTTGGCCCTGAGTTGCTTTGGAATCAGGTGCTGAATGGCAATGTGGCGCTTCTCAAGCGTGGTGTAGCCAGGAAGATAGATCATCTCCATGCGGTCTAACAGAGGGCCGGGGATGGTGTCGAGGCTGTTGGCGGTGGCGATGAAGAGAATCTTAGACAGGTCAACCGGCATGCCAACGTAGTGATCCTGGAAGTTATGATTCTGCTCCGGGTCTAGAACCTCGAGCATGGCAGCTGAGGGGTCACCGTGTACGCTTGCCGAGCCAATCTTGTCAATCTCGTCAAGGAGGAAGACGGGATTCGCCACACCGACCTTCCTAAGGCCCTGTACAATGAGCCCTGGCATGGCTGCCACGTATGTCCTCCTGTGGCCGCGGATTTCTGCCTCGTCTCGAACGCCGCCTAGGGAGATGCGGTGGAACTTGCGGCCCAAAGCAGTGGCAACCGACTTAGCCAGGCTTGTCTTTCCTACGCCGGGGGGTCCGATCAGCAGCATGATTGGCGACTTGTCGACTGTGCGCTTCGACTTGAGCGCCTGGAGCTTGGCAAGCTCAGACTCAGACGCATCACTCTTGGCAATTTCTTCTGATTTGGTGTTGCCATCGGTAATGGCTTTCTCAACAGCAGCAGCATCGGCTTCTGCTTTCCGGATTTGCTCCTCCATGTCGTCATTAATGGATTGCTTAAGCCTCAAAACAGCCAAGTACTCGATGAGCCTCTTTTTTACCTTGTCCAGGCCGTAGTGGTCGAGATCAAGTTGTTTTCGGGCTTTAGTTAAGGTGTCAGGCCCCAGCCGGTCATCTGTGGCTGCTGTCCACGGGATTTCGGATACCGTCTCCAACCAGTTCCTTGTTACTTGGTATTCCTGGTTCATGGGCGGCATCCTCTGCAGCCGCCGGAGCTCCCTATCCACAGCCTTGGCGGCGTCCTGCGGAAGTTTTGAAGCCTGCAGCTTCTTCTTTAGCTCATCAAGCTCAGAAGCCTCTTGGTCTTCGTTTTGGTCATTCCCCCCTGGAGGTGGTAAGAATCCCATGCCTGCCATCGGGGGCATTGTATTCGGTCTTTTGGAGGGATTCTCGTTCAGACGATCAATGATTTGAACCGGGACCGTTGTGAACGTGGTGATCTTGAAGTTATTCTTGATACCGCCAACCTGGCGTTCCAGAAGCTCAATGACCTTTGTGAGCCGGACTTTGGTATCGAGGGCCGCTAGAATACCCAGCTTTTCCTCGTGGGTGGCATCCAGGAGATTGGCCATGAAGTCAGCCAGCATACCGGCCTCCTTCAGTTCCCTTCTAATGATGAGCATCTCTAGCCGCTTTGTGACTGCGGGAGAGAGGGAGGGGCCGTTTGTGCGAGGAAGCAACGACGATATGCGAAGAATTGTGACGAGCTCTCTTGAGCGCAGCTTGAGCAGGCTGAATAAGTCTTGTAGCTGCTTATCGGTGACGTCAACTAGTAACAAAACAAACCAAAGGTTAGAAAATAAACCAAGGGAGGGTTTCTTCCGGCGAGAGGAGAGACATACTTTCGTCTTCATAATATGTGACTTTAGATTCGAAAAAAGGACGCTCGCGAGTGACAGCATCTACTCTAACTCTGCTCGAGCCCTCAACACGCAAGGCAAACTCGCCGGAGCCGCGGCCGTCAATGCCGACAATCTTGGCGGCGACTCCAAAGCCGAACAAGTCGTCCTTTTTCGCAGTGCCCGGATTGACGGAATCGATGCGAGTGTTGTCAATGTCTTCGCCATTGGTGATGAGCAGCTGGCCATCCGGGCCGACCAGCGGGGACGACACCGGGACACATGCTATCGGGATTGAGTCGATGCGGCCATCCGGGCCCTTTGATGCGGCAAGCTCGTAGACGTGGGCGAGGAGGGCCGGGATATCGGGCCGGCTGGAGTTGACGGTGATGCGGTATGCGAGGCCGGGTAGCAGGACAGTTCCGCGAGGGAGAGGAATCAGCGGAAGTGTCGCGGTCAGGGATCTTCCCATGGCGATGCGAAAGTTTGAAGATGGAAGATGGAAGATGCGCAGAAGAGAAAATAAAGGCAAAGGCAAAGGCAAAAGCAAAAGCGGCGGGTAGTAAGTAAGCAAAGAAAAGACAAGATTGCTATCAAGGAGATGAGGCCGCACGCAGCAAAACAGTGGCCCGGGTATTAATTGATGGTCGTGAGAGGCTTCGAAGATGTGTAGAACGCGGTGGAAGCACCCGTCGAATGTTGTTGATGCCAAACCCCGGCTTATGCCATAATGCTCCCGTGGGTTTAGTGGTAGCTTCGAGTCAGTCCCGTCTATGCGACCCCGGCTGAAATGTTGCCGAGGCTGAACATGCAGGGCGCCTATTGGCTGGAGATGATGGAGATGCCACGCAGTATCTCGTGACAGGATTGATTGAGAGATGCATCGAGGGTGAATCGGCTAAAAAAAATCTTGAAGAAAAGGGAGCAAAGTGTAGTAACGCGATATATACTCTGTGGTGTTTTATCGAATTCACCCCTTGAATGTGGCGGTTGAAGCGGCAAGCGCATGTTGTTTACACGAAATGTTTGGGTGGCTCTTAGACCACATGTACGGAGTACGAAGTACATGCATGCGCTATGGATGTACGGTAATATCTTGGAAGATGCCGAGGGAAATCCCCAAGAACGGACCCATCCCGTCTTGCGATATGTAATCCATGTCAATTTTCGCAAGCAATCTCATAGCCACCGTGCGCACCAGCAAACTTGTATCTTGTTTTTCTGCGCCCTGCATCAGAGATGGATGTGACATGACTTGAGAAGCACCTGCGCCTGATGTACGAAGTACCTTGCCATTAATAAGCTGCTGGTACCAGTACGAGTATGGCTGAGATGGTTGTCACTCAGCGGCTGCTGTATTACAGTGGCAGCTTCGCTAGACTCTCTTGCTGAGTCAGCCGTCAACTTGACTGCCTACAGCAGCCCACTTTCTTGCCCATTAGCTTGTCGCGGGGCAAAATCCATTAAACCCAGGTCGCGCTTCAAACGCGTCGTCCATTTTTTGAGAGAAGCCAACCATCACCACTTCACTCTCAGCATAATGTGTAAGGCACCCCCGTTACTGCGTCCGATTCTTTTCATGCCTAACTCCTCTCTGCAGCTGCATATTCCGGATACCAGAAGACGAGCTACGGCGCCCAGGGGGGCGATGACTCTGGCGGCTTCTTTGCCGGAGGGGGTTCACAGCAAGGCAGCCAAGGCGGTGGTGGCAAGGTCAGTTCAGTTGCAATTCCCATTGGCTTTTGCTGCATACGAATTGAAATAGCCATTCAAACTGGGGTTCGACACTAACGGGTGAGAGCGGGAGACAGTCATACCAAGATGAATCATTACGGCCCTTGACCATCAAGCAGATCCTCGACGCAGAGGAACCCTATTCCGGTGCAGACTTCAAAGTGGACGGCGCTCCCATCACTCAGATTACATTTGTCGGCCAGGTCCTCAGCATAAACCCACAACAGACAAACCTGACGATCAAGGTCGACGACGGCACAGGGCAGATTGACGTCAAGAAGTGGATTGACGCGGACAAGCAAAGCGACGCAGAGCCCGGCTTCGAGCTTGGTTCACACATTCGCGTCTGGGGTCGCCTCAAGTCATTTTCCAACAAGCGACATGTTGGAGCTCACGTCATCCGACCAGTAACGGATTTCAACGAGGTCAACTACCACCTGCTCGAGGCCACATACGTACACTTGTTCTACACCCGTGGCGCCGTCGGTGATTCCGGTGCGGGACCAAACAACAGCGACAGCATGTTTGTTGACGGCGGCGATGGCTATAACGCTGGCAACGGTGGAGCCCAGCTCCCAAGCAAGCTTTCTGGGTGCAGTGGCAACGCGAAGAGAGTGTACAACTACTTGAACGAAACCCCAGGAGGCAATGACGGAATGCATCTGAATAATATCACGGGGGCACTGGGGCTGGCAGTGCGAGATGTGCTCACAGCGGCGGATGAGCTACTGGGATTGGGCATTATATACACAACAGTTGACGACGAGACATGGGCGATTTTAGAATATTAAGGGCAGTTAACATGCGCACTTTTTTTGATATATAATAGTGTACGGTAGAGACAGGGTTTGGCCATGTGAGAAGAAGATCTCCCACACAGCTGACAAAAGCAAAAGCAAAAGCAACAGCAAAAAGCAAAGCAGCAACAGCAGCAACAAACTATAACGAGCGTACGATGAATACAAACATTTGGACGAAAATTCATCCAAGCGTCGAAGTGAGTAGCGCTCAGCAAGCAAAGGGAGCCATCGTTCCACTGCTCCATAATTCTCAAAAATAAAATAAAAGGCATTGAAAAGGAGAGACAGAAGAAGAAGAAGGTCAAACATATCAATCTCGCCTCGCTTCACAACTCCAGACCCGAAGAGTTGCTGAGGCGTTTACAACATCAACTTACACCTTGACAGTCTCAATTTGGTCCAAGATCGGCACATCTTCCTCAGCTCCCTTGACGACGGGCTTTCCCGCCGGCTCTCGCACCATGATGAAGAGCGGCACGGGCACCGGTCCTCTCTTGAAGGAGATTTCCTTGCGGTACTGGAAGCCAAAGCGCTCGTAGTAGCCGATATTGTCGCTGGAGCTGGACTCGAGGTACATGGCGCGGTCTTCGGCGTCGGCCTGGAGACTTGTTAGCTACATCTGCTCCGTCTCTCGCCAATTCGCTTCTCTCTGATACATGAAAGGTCAAGACAAGAAAGGTCATGCTCTTACCTTTGCGGCCATGTCCATGATGAGCTTCTTAGCATAGCCTTTGCCTCGGGCACTCGGCTTGGTGCCGATATAAGCAAGGTAATAATACTCGCGATCTCCCATGACCTCGTCCATGGTCTCATGCAGAAGAGGTAGGACGTCTTCGTAGTAGCGCTTGCGGCCCTCGGAACCAAGTTGGTAGTAGAGGCGCCACATTCCGCTTCGAAAGATGGTCCACCAGTCATCCATATGCATCCCGGGAGGCATCCTAAGGCGTACAAAGTCAGTCGCGGCACAGGTTTTTAAGACAAGAGGAATTCCATCAACTCACCACAAGGCCACAGCGTCGTAATCCGGACCAATGGTCGTGACAACGCCGCTATAGCAATGGGCCGAGACCAAGTAAGTCATGATGCGGACGTGAAGCTTCCACTTGGTCTCGTCCGAGTAGCGGTCCGCCTCGCCGCCGTCCAGAAGATACATGCTCAGGGCATCGGCGGCAAAGGCGTGGGCGAGAGAGACTCCCGCCTGCTCGCACTCTGCCAGCCCAATCTTTCGGACAGACTTCTCCCAGGCCTGAGGGACGAGGGAGCGGCGATGGTCCACGACGGCGGTAGAGGAAGTGGTGGTGGCGATGGTATTGATCGGCGTCTTGCTTATAACGTGCGCCATGCTGGGCTAGCTTGGTATCTAGAACTCTTTGCTTATTGTCTTTTATTCGAGTTCTTGTGGTCTCCTTTGGACTCCTTCACTCGATAATACTGCCTGTATAAGTGGAAAACGCAAGACAAGGCGCTCGGTTCAGTGATTGGTTCAATTGGACTCCATATGAGAACTCACGTATAATATTCTGAGCACTATCGCCTGTATGAACTCTTGAGAGCTGGGATCTCGAAACGGGCATAAACCTGGAGGGGTGCTGCAGGCAATTGAGGCAGTCGCGTAGGTCAACCGACATCAATATGGTGTTTAAGGCCACAGGACCGTCAAATTGGGAGATGGGAGTATAAGAAGTTTGGGGAAGAAAGAAGAGAGTAGAAAGGGTGTAGGCAAGGATGGGTTTTGTTTGTTGTTATTGTTGTGTTCGTTTTCTGGATGGGCGAGGACGGTGGATCGATATGAATCACCAGTCAAACAATCAATCACTTCACTGACGACGACCCGGAAGGATATCGTCTATGCAGAGGGTGAAGATAGAGACGGAGACCACAATGGGAGGGAGATGAGAGGATGTGAAGGCGGCGATGATGATGACGATGGTGGCCAATAAAGGTCAGAATACGGCAACAAGAGTCAAAAGTAATAGTTGAGATACCAAGCAACGGTTTAACAACATCCAAAGAGGGGGATACAAAAAGGATAGCCTCTTTCCCAAGCCCTCGGGGTGAATGACCTAGGCTCAGTAAATGAGTCTTTCTCTTTCCCTTTCCCCGTCCGTTTTTCTTTCGCTTCTTTTCCTTGTTGCCTTCTATGCGGCGATAGATGGACGGGACAATGAATAGAGTCGACGTGAGAACGTACTACTGTGGGAAATGGCACAGATGGGCTTCCCAGATCAGATCAGATGAAGGTGAAGTGGAGAAGAGGAAGAAAAGGGTTGTCAATCAAAGATGGGCAGAGATTGGGTTCATGTAGTGGCAAGGGAAGGAGATCTGACACGGATCTGCACCCCCGGCTATTTAATCCATGGGACGTCTTTTACCACAACAGATTACATACACAAACCACGTACGTACTACACTACGGCATGAACACGGATGGCAAAAGAAACACGCAACACGAAGAGCCCGGCGGGAATCTGACAAGCGGAAGCCGAACGCCACCGAGCCAGACGGGAGTTTGCCTAACAGAGATAACAGACGCAAACCACTGCAGCCAGATAGTGTGGACGGGCCCACGCTTGGCCGGCCGGAGTGTCCGCACAGGAGGAAGAGAGGTTGATTGAGGGGACCCGCGATTGGGCGGGTGGCCGAGGTCGTGGTCAGATGATGCGCCGCCTCGGGTGGACGGGGGGCATCGTGGGATGGGCTGGTGTGTAGCCTCAGGTTGTCTGTTTTGTTGGAGGAAGTTGGATGTTTTTTGATGGCTTGTGTGGTACAGTGAGCTAATGCGTGTTGTATGTTGGAAGATGGTGGTGATACACACACACATACATATTGACTTGTATATATATAAGCCGATACTTGTACATTACAGACAACAGCAACAACAACAACAAGGGCATCTACAATACAACAATCAATCAATAGTAAGACCTAGTTTCTCCTTTGTCAATGCACAGGTGGTATTCCGTTATCTAGATCCCTTCCCCAACGCCTAACCGCAACAGGCTGCTATCTTGCACTCCCAGCGATAGCCCAAGTGCGGAGTCGGCCGGCAAGCAAAGTCGACTTTCCGCTTCTGTTCTGCTCTGATTCCTCCAAAAGCTGGACGTGGAGCGGCCGGTGGGCCAATTTCCTGGGGGAGCTTCAGGCGGCTCCAACGCCAATGGCTAGCGCTAGGCCACCTGAAGCCCGCCGGTTCTTCCGCTGTGCTGTAACTGGTGGTGAGTGGCGCGCCGCCCCGATTTGTTGCCGTTTCAATAATTGTTAGTGGCGCGAAGGGCGGGCGATAAACTTGCCTGTCGGGATGTTGCCACAGGCTTTGCCCTTTATCTAGCTGATTACTGTATTGGAGATAATGGATAATGGTAAAACTCGGCTTCCATTCATTCAATTGAAGCGCCCCCGAAATCAGCAATTATGTAAAGCGGACGGGGTGAAGCGTGGGGGAAGAGGAGAGATGATACGAGCTGGTTGGCTGCCGGCCTGGGCGCCTCCAAAAAACGTGGCATGAGGAGATGGGTGCAACTGGCTGCTCTTATCTAGAGCTGTGAATCAGACTGTGCTCAGGTTACACAGAGTGGACAGACGGGTCATGTGAAAAATGACAGGAGATGCTGGGAGGGATGCGGAGTGGTGGTAGCTTCGGCATCTTTTCTGTTTGACACTTTTGCGGGGGACGAGATGAGGCTCTGGGACTCCTCATGTGGTTGCCGGAACCAAGGCCTGGCCGGCATCCACGAGGACCGGCGTACATACATTACACCTACACGATAGCCAGGCGGGCGGCTACATGCAATCGAGGGCGTTTCTGTTATTAATAGCGTTGCGGGAACGGCCAGTTGGGGAAGCTTGGTAGGGTGCGGTTCCACGGAGATCAGCATGTGAATGAGTTCACTTACATGCACTCCGCATTCTTCATATTCCGGGTGGAGGCTCGGATACAGGTGATATCAGCCGAACGGAAGGTCAAGTGCTTGTTTGGCGTTGCAATGACGGACAAGGAATGGTAATGGTAATGAATGTTGACGTATGGAAGGATATCAGCCGTCATTGCTGATAGACTGATTACACGTACAGTATAAAAAAGCTCCGTTATAGTATTTGCCTACCACTTCGAGGTAAAGTTATCGTCTAATACGGAGTGGGACAAGCCGAGCGAATAGCATTTGCGTATAAATATCCGTTCCCGAAATCGGCAGCTTATATCCCGTCCTCTGTTTATTTGTCTAGCCCGAGCAATCTGGGCATGGAGTTTTCTCGAAGCTCTGCCTATATTTTCCGAAGACCGCTCCAGGGTAGCTCAGCTTCTTTCAACCTCGCACGTCATCTCTTATACGAGTTCGTATACGAGTACGATGCCGGTTACTGCTACGACGTTACCACCTCATTCCAAGCTGACAGTTCCTCTTTTCATCCATTCATCGATGCTAAATGATTCATGATGCATGAGGGATCATGTACATAAGACTACGACTCCACTATATAGTTACCTATGAGGTACTCGTAGTATCAAAGCCTCGTACAGCCTTCGTATCTATCCTATACGTAGCATTGATGCGGACAATGTGAGGATTTTGAGCTCAGCGGTTTGGAGTTATCTCATTGAAGGTGCTAAGGCAGGATTGTTGTACTTTCTTTGTCAAGCAAGACGGTCCCTTTCTAGACTTAACTCGCAACACAGACTTGGCGCTAAAATCCCCTGTTATAAGCGGGATGCTGCTAGGTCTGAAGAATTCATAAGTTTATGTGAGATACGGGGGACTTATTCTTACACGCATTTTAGCGCACAAGCAATGTTCCCTGGATTTTCTTACATTTTGATTGGCTAGATGCCAGAAAGGTACATAAATCCTGCCATAGCACCTTCGAGATAGAAGGAAAATCGCGTAGCATCAGCTTCATATCAGGTTGACTAATACTCTTTTGCCAGTAGTTATCATGCATTGGTATCTGATTCTACTACACTCTCTAGATATTCCGAAGCTAACAAAGACCAAGGTCCAGCGGGAGGACCATTACATCAGCACATGTAACCCCAATATTCTTCTATTCTCATCTTCTATCGTCATATTATCCGAGATGACAAAAAGACGCACATTGTGTCGAATTCGCTCGCTTTTTCGTATTATAAAACCGCCCCCCATCGTATTCGTATCAACCCCATTATAGCATACGTCGGATCTCCTGCTCATTGGTGTACTTCTCCAGTCCAGAGTCCAGGCTCTCCCACCACTCGAAGAGCATCGAGTTGCAGATGAGCTTGAACCAGGGAGTGAACTTGAGGCTGGGGTCCTCAAACAGCTTCTTGAGGCCATCGGCGGTGACATATTGGGTGGCCTGAACCTCGTTCTCGTTGGGGTTGAGATCGACGTTGGCCTTGATGAAGAGGATGTAGTCAACTGTTTTAGAAATCATGTTAGTTCAAGGTCTAGTTTGTCGTGTATAGATGGGATAGCCAAGTTTCGTACTCTCGTGCTCGCCCCATTTGCCGTCGGAGGGAGCCTTGTAGTGGATTCGGGTCAAGAAGCGAAAGTCCTCAAACGGAACCTGCTCCGTCTTGATGCCGAGCTCGTGATCCAGCTTGCGCTGAGCCGCCCGCTTGGCTCCCGCAATGGAGTCGACCAGGTTGGCGCCCGTCTCGGTGGGGATGCTCAGAGGGTGAGAGCAGCAGGTGTTGGTCCACATGTCTGGGAAGGTAATCTTCTCGGAGGCGCGCTGTTGGAGGAGCAGCTCGTTCTTGTCGTTGAAGAGGAAGACGGAAAAGGCACGGTGCAAGAGTCCCTTGTCGATGTTGGTCATCAGGTGGCCTGGAGGGGCTTGTGTTAGTCTGCAGAGTGACCTAGCAGGAAGAGAGGAGGGGGGGGAGAAAGGGAAGGGAGGCTTCGTACAAATCTTCTTGCTTGCGGTGCCAATTGGCGCATCGTTCTCGTCAGTGACGATGCAGACTTCGTCCATCAGACGGATCTGCTCCTCATCGTGGCCCGACAGCGCCTCGCTGGTGGTGTCGATGTCAGGGAACAGACGAAGGATGGTCTCGGCCGTAATCGGCTGCGCCGTTGTGGTGGTTGTGGTCGACATGGCTGCTTCTTGTTGCGTAGAGCTGAATTGGCCTCGAGAGAGCTTGTTCAACTATCCAGCGATCCTCGCAATAGAAAAGAACGCTTTAGCCTTGAGTGGCGATGGGCATCAAGGTTAAATATGAAATTAATGCCCCGACTAGCAATTCCCCATCTGGAAGGAAAAGGAAAAGCCCCTCTTATCTGGACCCTTGGGTGGCTCGTGGGGCGAAAGCGGGCGAGTGTGATTGGCGGGCTGCCCGATTTTGCGGTCAGGCTCTAAATTCCAACAGGTACAGGTTCAGCATGCGCTGAAAGCTACAGAGGTATATATGAGCGCTGTATTCCGTAATGTTGTTAGGTACCTAGGTAGGTACTTGACGCTCAAACATGGGGCGGCTTCTCTTCTTTTCGTCCCATTTTCGTGTTGAATGTTTTAATCAGTACGTTTACATGTAAAATATTTACATCACCAGCCCTTTCTCGCCTTACTTACATCGGTACAAAGCACAAAGCGATCTGCAGTCAAAGCCATCATATGGTTATGCACATTCGCATAGTGGCCAAATGAGGCCCTAGACTCCGCCAATCCGGGCTCAGGCACATGCGCCCCGTTCATGTAGCGTCCAGGTACAAAGGCAAAGTACAGGCTCTCCGTACTTGGCATCACGAAGCTTCGTCACTCACTGCAACCGCTCCTTGTCCTGCACCCGTTCGCTCACTACCGTCTTGCGGCCGTCCTCGCGATTCGCGATTTGCTTGCGTGGTATTTGGTATCCTGCTATTCCGCATCCGCTTTTTCGGCGGCGACCAGCGATTGGAGTTCCGTACCGAACTCGTTGATTGAGCCAACCCCCCATATCCCTAATCCTCGGATCCGAGCTCCGAAACGATGCCTCCCAAGATCGAGCAGAAGGAAATTGAAACATACTGGAACATCTTCGTGGACAGGACAGGAGGCGGACAGTTCCTTACTGGTGAACAGGCTGCGCCCGTCCTCAAGAACAGTGGTCTTCGCGATGACCAGCTTGAAAAGGTCTGGGATCTGGCCGACGTGGACAACGATGGAAACCTAGACTTTGAGGAGTTTTGCGTCGCTATGCGACTCATCTTTGATATCCTCAACGGGGTAAGCTACATCTATAGCGTGGCCTGAGACGCGTTCCCAAGGGGCCGGATTGAAAGCTAACCAACCTGTTCGCGTGCGCCAGGAATTTGCCGATGTACCAAAGACGCTCCCTGACTGGATGATCCCCGAGTCAAAAGCCCATCTCGTGCAGGCAACTAAAGCCATCACGGGGAAACAGCCACAGTTTGAACAAGTCGAGGATGAGGACGATACCCCTGGCCTGAAAGACGGGTTTGAGTGGTATATGAAGCCGGAGGACAAGGCCAAGTACGAGCAGATATATCAGGAGAGCCGGGACATGCGAGGAGAAGTATCATGTTAGACACACCCTTTCCCTGCTCCTATTTAGCTTGAATGGGCGCGACAGAGATTGACAGGGTTTTGCAGTTACATCCCTCGAGGATCTCTACGAGTCTCTAGACGTCCCCGATACCGATATTCGATCTGCCTGGAACCTCATTAACCCATCTGCTTCGTCAAGCATCAACAAGGATGCATGTCTCGCATTCCTTCACATTCTCAACAACCGACACGAGGGTTTCCGAATCCCCCGCACAGTCCCTGCCTCACTGCGATCAAGCTTTGAGCGCAACCAGATCGATTACCAAGTCGACAACCAAAGGGGCGGAGTGTCATCACGGTGGGCTACCAAGGCGGATGACTCTACAACGACAGGGCGCAAGGCCAAATTCGGCGATCAGTACTTGACAAGGCTCGGACGCAGCGGTTTCAAGACGGCGGGCACCGACTTCTCGACGGAGAAGACGGAGGATTGGGAAGAGGTGAGGCTCAAGCGCCAACTGCAGGACCTAGAGGAGAAGATGAAAAAAGTCGAAGAAATTGCAGAGAGGCGGAAGGGCGGCAAACGCGATTCCAAGCCAGCGCTCGTCAAGCGAGAGTTGGATCAACTTCTTGACTACAAGCGAAGGGAGCTGAGAGATTTGGAAGAGGGCAAGGGCAAGAGTGCCGTTGGCGGAAGCTTGAAGAGCATATCGGATGACTTGGAGACGGTCCGCGAACAAGTGGATGGTCTAGAATCGCATCTGAGGTCTCGAGAGCAAATCTTGGAGCAGTTGCAGAGGGAGATTGAGGATGAGAAGAGGGGTTGAGTAGGGGGAGTTTGATGGCGGCATGGGAGGGTAGCTTGGATGGTTGTTTTGCGCGTGAACCAGACAGCGAGATTGGTCGAGAATGGTTTGCCAGTATATATATGTACATGTATAGATGAGGTTGTAATCAAGGTGAAGTTTAATTTCAACGCTGCTTACGAGGTGAGCACACGGAGAGGCTTGATGCGGCATGGGCATGGCCTCACCTCTCGGCGTGCAAGCACTTCTTCTTTTTCGATCTAGACTTCATGAGTACGTACTAGATTTTGTAACATTTGCTATTACATGCTCATCATGAAGTATTGCGTCCACGTGAGCAACTGTATAATTCCATTACCTACTATAGTACTAAGGTAGACACCGACATTAGCAGAATTGCTGCAGATGCTTCCAACATGTGATTCTGCCGTTCTGTACGTGACCCTCAACAAGCCAATCGCAAGCCCCAACAAAGCGTTCATGCTCGTCATTTGCCCCTCCTTTCCCCCCTTCCCCCCTTATGAGCTGCTACCTTATTAGTTCAACTCGGCTTTACCCCGCTGTCCAGGCCCCAAAGCTACTACCTACCTACCACGAAGCTTTCTTTTTCTTCAGTATCATTCCACTTTCTTCCTCTGTCATTACACCATCAAAGACAACCAACAAACAACCAAACGCCAAAAATTCACGTCATCATGTCTGCCCCAGAGTCCCCCGAGTTTGTCGCAGCCCAGGAGGCCGCCAATTCTTTCACCAAGAAGCCCACCAACGACGAGCTTCTGCGCCTCTACGGTACGCGACGACCCTTGGGAAGCCCTGGCGAGCTGGAGTTGGAGAGCTGAGAGCAGCTTTGAAAAGCAACAGGGCTGTGTGATGGCGTGCGATCTGCTGACCTATTTGTGTAGCTCTTTTCAAGATTGGCAAGGGCTTCAACGTCGACGAGGCTGAGCAGCCTGGAATGTTCAACCTCCAGGTACGTTGCGTTACAACACTCCACATTTCCTCTTCATCTTGGGATTCCCATCTCTTCGTTCATGACGCTGACGTATGATTCTGATATAGGGCAAGGCTAAGTTGAACGCCTGGAAGGCCGCTGTCGAGGAGGGCATCACCGACCCCGCCGATGCGCAGGAGAAGTACGTTGCGTTTGTTGAGTCACTCAAGCCCAACTACGCTTGATTCCAACAAGACTCTTGAGTAAATTAGAAGATGGCGCGCGCTGCGAGTGTAATACATGTTGCTAGAGACACATGACTTGCGTTAGAATGCCGTTTAGCATGAAGCATAAATAAAGAAATTGTTCAAGAAAAAAGATCTTGTCCGTATATGGCTTGAGCTGGAGGTGGTCTACTATGGCCCTTCTTATGATCGTCAATCAGAGCTTTGATACCTTGATTAGCTCGTTGCTTGTTGATGTCTTGCCTGGCTGCCACTAGCATATGCTGTTTTCCATTACGATGACTTGCAGGGGTTTATGACTTATAAAGAAAGTTGGCTATGGCCCTGCGCAATGTTGGCTGCGTCTACTTGTATTCTCTAGAGAGCCTCTCGCATTGCCCAGAGGGAGCCTTCTAGAAGTGTGCATTCCAATGTGGTAGATTATACAGCCATGTTGTCTGAGCTGCAGGGCAAGCGGGCATCTCGCTGGTTTGAATCCATACGCTACCAAAGTTTGCTGCGCTCTTGCAATAGCTCCACCAAGTTTCGTTTCCCAAGAACCAACATACATCACTATTGTATATACAGCTGTCTCTGAACATATTGTAGTAGTATGATATTATCATAACCGTTGCCCGAAATGGCAGGTTCGACAAAAGGACTGCTTCTACACCTAATGCGGAGTAGAGCTGGGCCAATGCCTTATGCAATATTACCCAGCAAATCCTTCGGCCCCCCCTTAGGGCCTAACCGCTCCTCGTACATATTTCATCCCCTTCTCCTCACTCATTCTCTCCCGTTCTCCTTCACCTTCACCAGTTTCATCCCCTTCGTCATCATATCTGATTGATTCTGCATATTATGAATATATCTACCCCCCTCTGCGCTCCCACCGCGGATGCTGCGTTCGGCCCTGTTGTCGACGCGGCATGTCGCGATGGGTTTGATTTCACGCTTGTTTTTGAGCAATCCATCTTTGTGCTTCTTCCCGCGTCGCTGCTTGTCCTCGTGGCACCGTTGCGACTCATGCAGCTGCGTAAATCGTCAATCAAAGTTGCCGATCACGTATCGCGTGTGATCAAACTGGTAAGCCGTCCATCTGTATTTGCCCTTTCAGTGGCCCTCAACAACCGGAGGCCGAGAACTTGAGAATTAACAAAACACGCGTCTTTCCCTCCTTTGCACTACAGTCCGTTACAGGTTGTCTCGCTGCTCTTCAGCTTGTCCTGATCGCCCTCTGGGCAACCCACGATGGACCTGCGCGTCTGAACAGCGTGTCTGTTGCTGCTGCCTGTGTCTCCTTTGCCTCATGCCTCATGTCCTGTGCCCTCTCGTATTTTGAACATGCCAGATCCCTCGGTCCCTCGTCGCTGCTGAATGTCTTCTTGCTCGTATCTCTGCTGCTCGACGCTGCTGTTTTACGAACCGTGTGGCTCTCCCTCTCCACAGTAGCTGCCAGTGCGTCCATCCGGGCTGTTCTTACGGCTTCGTTTGGTCTCAAGACGGCGCTGCTCGTGCTTGAGGCACGGGAAAAGTCGAGCCATGTTGTTGGCCGGCAGACCCTCGCCCCGGAAGAGACATCCGGTCTGTACAGCCGGGCTGTGTTCGCATGGGTTGCTCCGCTTCTCCGGACCGGATTCCAGCGCCTGCTTCGGCCGGCCGACTTGTTTCCGCTCGACGAGAAGATGGGTGCTTCGGGTCTGAACGAGAGGTTCTGGTGGCACTGGCGAAAAGGTTGGTGTTTCCCCCTTCAACCCCCATTAGATAGTCGTAAACAATACAATACAAACCTTAAAACCAATAAATTAAAAATCGTAGAAGCTCGTTGAGCAGTAACCTGTCGGGGTCCGTCGTTACTAACTTGGCGAAACCGGTTTCTATCCAGCATCTCCCTCGACTCAGGTGAACAAGCATCGCCTCATCCTTTGCTGCATCGTCACTCTCCGCTCTGCCATTATTTCCGTTATTGTCCCAAGAGTGGCTCTCCTTGGTTTCACTATCTTGCAGCCTCTGGTCTTGACTCGCTTTCTTGGCTTTCTCGACGACAATACGCAATCCGTGAACATTGGCTACGGGCTCATTGGAGCTTACGGACTAGTCTACCTGGGCATCGCAGCCACTCAGGCGCTGTACTGGCATCGGAATGGCCGCTGTGTGACGATGCTTCGAGGAGTCCTTGTTTCCGCTGTGTTTTCCAAGGTCACGGAAGTGAGCATCGTTGCGGTTGACGATTCTGCTGCATTGACTCTCATGTCTTCCGATGTAAGTCGAATCACCTGCCATCTGTTTATCATATTTCTCTGAGCCGTCTTATTGACATGTCCGCGTTTTACTGCTGTAAAAGGTTGATGTCATTGGCCGTGCTATGCGACAGATTCACGAATTCTGGGCCAATGTCTTTCAGATTGGTATTGCGACCTGGCTCTTGAGCAAGCAGATTGGATATGCGGCAGCTGGGCCCATTATCGTCTCTGTTCTTTCGCTGGTGGCGACCATGGTTGTCTCGCCGCTTGCGAAGAAGTACCAGGTTGGCTGGCTTGAAAAGACCCAGAAGCGAGTTGGTGAGTCAATACAAAGAAGTTCAATAATATCCTGAATTCATCCCTATTCCCCATTTTTGGCACAGAAGCTCACATCCCCAGGCATAACATCTGCCATGATTGGTCACATCAAGAGTATCAAAATGTCTGGTCTATCCAAGCACCTCTCCGACACCATTGCCGCTCTTCGTGTACAAGAAATCACCGCATCCAAGCCTTTTAGAGTTGTTGGAGCTGTGACATCTTCAGTGGCACAAGTGCCGCTGCTTCTCTCCCCAGTTTTGGCTTTTGCCATGTTCCAGGGCATTACGGCAGCTACGGGCGAGGTGCTCGATGCCACACGAATGTTTGCTGCGCTTTCACTCATTACGTTACTTGCACAGCCCCTGTTTTGGATCTTTGAGGTGGTTCTTGATATGAGCGCGGCGTTTGGTGCCTTTGATCGAATCCAAAAGTTTCTGGTTAGCTCTACTCGAGATGAGTATCGGACAGTGGAAGCGACCAGTGCACTTGATTCAGCTGCCGTGACTGGGGAAGAGACTGGTCTGATTGAGCTTCAGACTCTCCAGCCTCGTACTTCCCATGCGTCCTCGCAGAGTATCACAAACACTGCTATTGATGTTGAGGATGCTACGTTTTCTTGGTCGACAGATCGGCAGATCCTGAGCAACATCAGCTTCACTCTCAATCGTGGGCAATTTGCACTCCTAATTGGCCCTGTGGCATCTGGTAAGACGACTTTGCTCAAAGGACTCCTGGGAGAGGTGCCTTATTCCAAGGGGAAAATCTTCCTCGCTAGTAGCTGTCTTTCGTGGTGCGAACAAACTCCTTGGATCCTAGTAAGTGATGCTATCTTCCCAACCTTGAGGGATCCGCGAGCTGATTTATTTTAGAATCAATCTATCAGGGATAACATAATCGGGTACTCTCACTTTGACCAGGACCTGTACGACCAGACTATCAAAGCGTGTGAGCTTGAAGAAGACTTCAGGCAACTTCCTCAGGGTGATTTCACCGTTGTTGGCAGTAAAGGTCTCGCTCTCAGTGGTGGCCAGAAACAGCGTGTTGTGAGTCTCTTATTTATTGTCATATGCATTCATGAGAATGAGTAATTCTAAATACTCAAATAGGCGCTGGCCCGAGCTGTGTACTCCCGGCCCCGTATCGCTTTGTTTGACGACATCTTCAGTGGACTAGATAATGCCACCTCGCAGCGCATTTTCAGAAACTTGTTTTCCTCTACAGGATTATTTAAAAGATGGGGAACAACTATTGTACTCGCTACACAGACTGGTAAGCTTATTATCCTTGCCCTGAAGATATATTCTACTACATGCTAATGCCTCGATTAAGTCGAATTCCTTGCATCAGCAGACCTCATCATTGCCCTAGGTCGAGACGGTCAAATCACAGAACAAGGATCCTTCCCACAGCTTTTAGCTACAGATGGATATGTTCAGACTTTGACGGCCAACAAATCCATCACCGCCAATCCCGAAGTTCATCAAGACGAGGTCATCTCAGAATTCAGAGCCGACGCCACCCCACCGAAAGTTGAATACAAGGCCAAGCAAGTTGAAATCAAGGATGATAAACGCAGACAGCTTGGAGATTCAACGGTCTATAAGTACTACTTTGGTAGTATTGGGCCCATCTTCATCATCACCATGTTCTCTCTCGAGATCATCTGGGCTTTCCTCCAGAGCTTTCCAAGTAAGTCAAAAATCTGAACTGGAGCGCCTACAGAGTGCTTCTTCTCATCTGGCCTGTATCTAATGAACCGTCTAGCTGTTTGGCTTAAATTCTGGACAGACTCGAACAGTCGAGGAAATAACCAATCGGGCCTTTATCTCGGAGTCTACGCTGCTTTGCAAATAATCGGTGTCCTTTGGTTTGCCTTACTCATATGGTAAGCATAGCAAACATGGACTGACTGGGAGAACTCCTAATAACTAACACAAACAGGTTCGTTCTTGTCGTAGTGGCTGCCAAATCCGGGGTTTCTCTTCACCACAGACTCCTCTCCGCGGTTATTAGGTGAGCATAACTCCAGACTTCCACCGTAAGAAGAATGATCTTAAACTTATTATTTCTAGCGCACCGCTGTCACTTTTCACAACGACCGACCTAGGCGCAATTACCACGAGGCAAGCAATGAATCCTGTCCTTCCCACAAGCCGCAAGTTGCTCACATATACACCTTAGATTCTCTCAAGACATTGGCATCCTGGACAACAACCTTCCGCTTGCACTCGTGGTAACAATAGCAAGTTAGTAGAACCCGGTCCTTAATCCACAGGCTTCAAACGACTAATTAGAGTATAAACAATAGGCTTCTTTGGGGTTCTCGCCAGAGCAGGTCTTCTGGCAGCTTCATCCTACTATGTGGCCATCAGCTTTCCCTTTCTCGCTGCCCTTTATTACTTCCTTCAGCGTGGATACCTTCGCACCTCGCGACAGCTTCGTCTTCTCGACCTTGAGGAGAAGGCTCCGGTTTACACGCAGTTCATGGAAACTCTTTCTGGAATCTCCACCATCCGAGCTTTTGGATGGCAAAAGCAGGCCATTTTAAAGAATCACCAACTCGTCGACCAATCGCAGAAGCCATTCTATCTTCTCATCATGGTTCAGCGATGGCTCGTTCTCGTGCTCGATCTCACCACTACGGCGCTCGCCCTCCTCATTGTTGGATTTTCCGTAAAGCTCCGCGGGTCCGTTTCCGTTGGGCTCACAGGCGTGTCGCTAGTCCAACTCATCTCCATGAGCGAAACACTGAATATGCTCATCCAATTTTGGACCTCTATTGAAACTTCCATTGGGGCGGTTGCTCGCATCAAGCAGTTTTCCGAAGAGACGCCAGACGAAAGCCTTCCGGGAGAGGATCAAGAGGTACCTGCTAATTGGCCAGACAAAGGACATGTTGTCATACAAGGCCTTGAGGCGTCGTATGACGAGAATGATGGTATCAAGGCTCTTGATGGCGTTACCCTGGACTTGAAGCCCGGAGACAAGATTGGAATTGTCGGTCGTACGGGGAGGTATGTTTCGTTCTTTCTACTCCTTCGAGTTCTACAGGGGAGTGCTTTGCTTCTGCGACTGAATCTAACTCATCCGTTTTCACAGCGGTAAATCATCTCTCTTGCTGGCCCTCCTCCGTCTATTCAATCCATCTTCTGGCACTCTCAGCATCGATTCCGTCCTCCTGAGTACTATCCCCCGCGAAACGATCCGCTCCCGCATTATTACCGTGTCTCAGGATCAATTCGTTCTCCCCGGAACCATACGTCACAACATCGATCCATCTGCCTCATATTCCGACGGTGCCATTGCCGAAGCCCTGCGTGCGGTCGATCTCTGGACCGTGATCGACTCCCGCGGTGGTCTCGACGCGACTTTTGAAGAGGATATGCTGAGCCATGGCCAGAAGCAACTATTTTTCCTTGCAAGAGCTGTGCTGAAGAAAGATTGCGGTAAAGTTGTGCTCTTGGACGAAGCGAGTAGCAGGTAATACATACACAAGCCACCCAAATGCATCAAAAATTGGACTAACTAAGAAACCAAAAATACAGCCTGGACAAGGAAACGGAACAGATGGTCCGTACGACCATCAATACGCACTTTAAAAGCCATACCGTCATCTCCATCGCCCATCATTTGGAAACTATTCTCGACTTTGACCGTGTAGTGGTCATGGATAAGGGCCGGGTTGTCGAGGTTGGACCGCCCAGAGAGCTACTCCAAACTGCTGGCCACGGCAAGTTTAAGGCTCTTTGGGAGGCAAATAGCCGTGGAGCACTCAATTAAGGATGATTGGGACTGGCTATTCAAGAAAAAGAAGAAGACACAACAGAAATATTCTTGAAAAGTCTATACCAAGCTGCCCAACTTTTGAGGTTCATTCAATTGATCAACAACATAATGCAGCCTTACTAGCTCAACCTGGTAAGGATGGAACATTAAACATTTTGCAAATAATATGCCAAATATGCCAGATCTATGTCTAAAATATGCAATCCCCCAATGGTATTTATGGATCCAACCTATTTCTTTCCACCGTAATGATTCTGCCTTTTCCTCCCCGTGCAGCTCTGATGTGTCTCTCCACATTCGTGGCCACATCTATAGCCTCGCGGTAAGCAATCCGCTCTGAAGGAAGAGCATCCTCTCCAGGGGTCCACCCAGTGTATATTCGGAGCAGCGTCACTTTCCCCCACGACCCGACCCAGTCCACGAAATCATGGTCTGAATGCAGCATCAGGGCTTTGAACCATGGCGCGCATCCTGTGAGATCGAGAAACTCTAGTGCGTAGAGGTTTCTGCTGAGCATCCTCAGCACCAACAGAGCCTCGCTCCAGTCATGATCTATAGAGTGAGAATAGTAGTTCGTCCCTCCGTAAGCGATATTCTCGCCCTGCGGCGTAGCTACTGTGGAGAGGCGGGCTCGCGGAGTAAGAGTTGGGTCGGGCCAGTAGGCAAGGCTCAAATGGGTGATGGTAGTAAGCTTCGATGACAGAGACAGAAGCTGCCTCCACGATGCTTCTGAGGATAGTTGAGGGTCGAGAGAGAGCGACAGATGTGTGAGGTTTGGCAACAGCACTCGCGGAGGACTTGGAATAGTCTCATTTTCATCCCAAGACTCCTGCGGCTCATTCGAATCCTCCAGCTTCTTCAACGGATAGAGAAGATCGGAGACTTCTTTGAGAGTCAGGGAGCGACCCAAGGAGCCCGACAAATCCAGGTAATTGACCTCAGCATTAACGGAGGTATGGTATTCAGAAATGCCATCGTCTTCCGCGTCTTCCAGAGATTCCGGAGAGGGAAGGAGTATTAGTCTAAGGTCTTGGACCGATAGACCATCAGGGCTTGCAATGCCGACCCATCGAATCAGCGCGGATTTAAGATGTGCAGGGATATAATACAGGTAGTACTGGTTAAACACGCGGTGGAATTCCCAGTGAACAGCAATTTTCCTGAGGATGATATCGATGAGACTCCGTGGAGCCGGTAGGTAAGTGCCCGGCAAAGTCGAATCAGCAAGACCACACCGGTTCACAGTCGAGGAACCAGATCTTTGAAGATGCGTAGCACCGCTCCTGGCAGCAACCCAGCTTCGTGGGGGAGGAGGACCAGCTGGGAGGCGGCGGCCGTTGTTGTCAAGCCTCTGCCTGTGCTGCCGTCTGGGTGCGGGGGCTGGAGTGTCTGGGATCTGCAGTATCTCCCTAAGGGCTGGCGGCACAGATGGTGTGACGGTGGGCAATTGTCGCGGAGCTGCTGAGTCTAGAGAGGCGTGTCGCAAGCTGGCCAGCAGCTCGTTGACGCTCTTGGGAGTCTTGCCTGTGAGAACGACGGTCAGCTCCCGTCAACATCCGCCAGGCCTCGAATAAGGCGACAACACGGGAAGACCACATGAGGCACGAGGCAAGAGGCATGAGGCACGAGGCAAGAGGCATGAGGCATGAGGCATGAGGCATGAGGCATGAGGGCGGCCAACACTCACCAGCTGCGTTGGACGAAGACCCGGGCGTCGGAGAGGCCGTCGGGGCTGGCTTGAATGGCTTGAGATGCTGCCTTTTCTTAGGCATGCCAGAAAGTTAAACCGAACGTGTTTGTGCTACCGGAAGCTTGCAGGAACCAAGTCGCGAGTTGCGAACCGCTCATATACTTGGTACCAACGATGACTCGATTCCAGGCTCCCAGGATGACTCCAAGTCGATTCCATCCTGGAAAAGCCCCGCCGGCCGAAGCCTGAGGAGCCACAGCCCGGACACTAGGCCCGCTTTGATTACGCTTTGATTAGAGTCATTGGCTTCGATCCTTTGACCCCATGCATTCCGCCACCTCCAATCATGGCGAACAGCAACATCGCTTCGTCTTATACGGAGGTGGGAGAGCGCCTAGAGTCGCAGTCGTTCCCGCCTCCTCTGCGGGCAGAATTGACCGTTTGTTGTTTTTGCACGAGCAAAGCCCGGCTACCTGCATGCGCCACCGCCGGTCTAGAAGTCCAACAGAAATCCGTCGTGGGTGGTTGTGTCATCGTTGAGCTGTGCTTCATACCCCTGTAGCTGCCGTGCCAGTGTACAAGCGGGTGGCTTTACTGACTTGGCCATTACTTCCCACGACACCATGTGTTGATTTTTTTTGGTCGATTGAAACAAGGATAGCCCTTATGAACGCGTGGGAAACTTCAAGGATGAGTGGCCTTGCGCATCCAAAAGCCCTTTCCGAACAACAGTCGACGGAGCATAGCCACAGTTGCTCCCCGTCTCTGCTCTCTGCCCCCTACCCCTTTGTTTCCGCCTCTGCTCTTCTGAGATTGGCTCCAAAGCTGCGCATATTTTCTCCATACTCCCCAGGAGGACAGCATCTGGCTTTGTTACGTGGTGATTACACAAGTTGCCCTGATAACCAGGGAAGTGAGCATGCATCCTAGATACCGCTGCATCTTGGCTGCTCTCGTGGCTCCGCTGGCGTGTATCCAGTCTCTTACAGGTATCCGACGTATATTGTTGGCTGAATTTATCAGTAGCCGTCTCAGAGCCCCCGAATTGCCACTGATCCCGGTTCTGTAGTTTTCTCCTTTATAATTGCAGTCCTCTAGCGCATGCCGGTTGTAAGGTTCCGAGTTCCGCTCGAATTGCAAGATACGTGGCCGACGCTATACACGCACTCTATCGGCCCTTTAACTCCGGCAAAGCGTCAGAAGGAGTCTGAGCTTGTCCGATTCCGCAGTCGGTTCAGCTTCTTTGACTAATGAATTTGCTCAAAACAAATACGTCCCGAAGTTGTCCAACGTAGAGTTGCCGCACCTGCGCGTTATTTCGTATATTAGGATGTTTGATTGAGTGCCACAGAGTTGTCAAAGGCCCTGAAGGTCGCATACGCCTTCCATTAGAATGGTGTGAGCTGGCTAGACGCCTTGTTTGAGTCCTCTCCCGGTCGAACGAGCTCCCATCTACAAGTTTTTGGCACTTTCATGTTGATAGCCAGTTGATGTGTCCACTCTGAGAGTATTGATGACGATATTGTGAAAACATCAAGCTTGTAAGTCCACTCCCCCCTGGTGCTTTAGACTGCTCTCTTGCCTCATAGTCCGTCATCATTATTTTGAATTTCCTGGCTTCATACCTAGCAGATAAGGCTTGGCCAATTGTAAATGGATAAAGACGCAATCGAGCTTGTTCGTGTGTTACCATCCTACTCCTAACGCTCAAGTAGTCGCCTAATGCTGAGTATTATAGGGTGTAGTAGGGACAAAGCCAGGGAGGAGAGGCATTCGCTGATGAGCCTTAGTCGCGGTAGATGGCAGCTACCTCCATCAGCACGAGGCAAAATGGTGGCCATCGTAATACTTGCCTCATCGGCTACGTGGAACCATGAGGCTAAGAAGCCCGATGTGGTAACGCGAAGCGAGCAGACTTGGAAATCAGGAGATAACCAAATCGCTTGAGTGACGTGAAGGACTCCGGAATTGTCCCAGCTGTCAAGTGACGTTTCAGAATATGAAAATGGCCAAAATGCCCATGCTACAGCATCTCCTGAGAACCGGATCGGCATAGCCGACAGCAGTTGATTGAAACTTGGGTAGTATTTAGGTGGCTTTCGACATGCCCTCTTCTGTTAAGGCATCTATACACACTTGCCGCCGACATCTGCAGCAGCCCCTAGTGGAAGCCCCTAGTGGAAACCAAGCACCAATTCCCATGCGGCTGAGATGTTGGTCAAAGAAGTTGCCTTGGCGGACTTTCTGCCTGGGTGTATATGTAAGAAAGGGGCAAGTTTTCGGGTGGATGACAGTGATGTACGACATACCACCAAAGTATAGCGGACAGAAACCGCGCCAAGGATGAAACAAAGAAGAAGAAAAAGGAGAAGGAGAAGGAGAAAAATAAACAAAGTGAAGATAACGAACAAAGAAGAAGATAAAAAAAGAAACGATTACGCCATAGGCTGGGATTCTGATTTCTTTCATCCCACAATGAATGAATGTGAATGATTGATTGATTGAACGGCTGCTCTGAGACATGCGGTGAGAGGAGAGAGATGTAGGTAGTTACTGGGGCAGATTTATGATGCCATGATAGCTGACAAGAGAGCAAGGAGCCGTTTGTAATACATCAACTTCATGGGATGAAAGTTTGAAATTCCATGGCATGTCTGAGCACAGGGGATCATAGTGTTGTGCTAATTTCTTTGACGGGGTGAAAGAGCAACTGCAAACAAAAACAAATGTTACTGATATGCACTGCCAGGGGACCGGAAAGATGATTCTGAGGCCTCTTAGCTGCATTTGATGTTCTTTCTTTTCAAGAACTTGGTCTGACCTTCTCATTGTAGAGTTAAGTTGCAATACCGAATACGACCTCCATTCATGAGATCAGGCTACGTGATTACACATGGCTGGCAAACAATGAGTTCCTGGGTTTGGCATAGTACAGGAGACACATAGAACTTTTGGGGCAAAACCTTGCCCACAGTGAATTCTCTAGCATGAAGGAACCGCTCTCAAACTATAGCATCTTTCGCGAGCGGCTCAGGATTGCTTCCGAGGATGTGACCGCTTGGCCGTACGCTCGACTGTCAGCACGTCTGAGTAAGAGCATCCTTCGTCATCGGACCTCGCTTGGCAAATATGACGGTTGATTTTGTTCAAGATCAGTGAGCTGGAGATCACTACTAAGTTCTCTCTTGAGAAAATCCTGTCACTTGCCGCGAAATACGTAACTCGAAGTAGTCCGGTAAGCCCATTGGGGGAGGGGGGAACGAAAAAGGAGGTATGGTCAGTCGGAGTAGCCTATGCCCTCAAAACACGTTGCCGACCTTGGCCACATCATTATAGGAGGCTGCTTCATATCATGTGCGTAGCCGGGAGGGAGGGATAGCAGCGGGGACAGCACCACGGCCCATATTGGTGCTGACGTAGCAGCCAACACGAGAATCAAGCGTTGAGAGGAATTGCATCAGCTGCGAGAACAAGGCAGGCAAGCGTACGGGTTTTGGGATATGGCCGAACAGACGGCCTTGAAGCAGCAGCCCTCCTTACTGGCTGCGGGTCGTCGGAGAGGCACCTTTGGCTGCTAGCCTCGACTCGATTCGGCTTGAGGGCACCATATGGGGCTCGGCATTGGCCTGCAAGGAAGCCGAGGAACGGAGCAAAGAGGAGGCAGTGGCAGTAGTCAGAGACAGAGAGAGGCCGAGGTCGAATCAACGTAAGAGATGGGTGCGAGTGCGTGTGCATGCGTCAGCTTGTCTCTGCTGCACACGATTGTGCGTAGTCCGGAGTGCATCCGGGTGACTGGAGTGAAGGAAACTGGTTGGTGTCACAAATGGCATAGCCAAGGTGATACGACAAAGTGTCTCACTTGCAGTCATCAAAGGAGCACCGGCCATGGATCTGATCGGTGCCGTAGGTGGGTGAGGAGCGTTGATAGTGTCGGCCGACGAGTTTGTGTGCGACCACGGGAGTATGGAGTGTATGGAGTGTATGGAGTATGGGTGATGGCATCTCTAGCTCCCCTCCTCTGGTTCTGGTGAGGCCCATGTGAAGTGTGAGGATAGGGGCGTGAGGCTTTCCGCCTTCCAATGGCCAGCTTGCAGAGGCCTCGACCGACGCCCCCATTAGGTGTGCGAATTGGGCTGCAGCAGCAACTGCAATTATCGTATCAAGTCCGAGCGCAGAGTTCAATCAATGTCCATTCATGCGCGAGTCTTTCACGAGTGGTATCTCTCGGCTGGGCTTGGTGAAGCGCAGTTGCAGTTGCAGTTGGTGGTGAGATGAAGATTTCGGTCTCCCAGCTACAGATTTTGGTACATGTGCCTCTGTACCTCTGTATGTAATTCGTACCTCCTTAGCCCGTTCATTGGTGGAAAGGCCTGAGGCACAACCGCTCTGCTGTTAGTACCAGGTAGTACCCTGTGTATAATACATTCTCTATACATGATAGAGAGCACGGAGTGCGGACAAGGTACCTCAGGCTCCATCGCAATTCAATGGCGTCGTGGTGTAGCTGGCTGCACACATTGATGATCATCTGGTACCACCAGGTGCCTTGCCAATCTCGGTGAGCGCCTGGCAAAATCCACAACCTTGGCGCTTGCCGTGATCAACGAACCGCCCCTCTTCTCCAGATGCCTGCCCCCCGTCTTCCAACCCTATAGGCCCTGTAGGCCCTGTAAGGTGCTGCAAACAAGCCCGCACGGCGCTAGCTGCGCCCTAGCCAGGAGGATCCCGCCCCGTTGCGAGGAGCATTACAGGGCGACCTACAGGCGACAAGGGCCCATAGCGTGCGGCTCGGTAGAAACGGGATCTACCCAGACGAGCAATGAGGCAAACGCGCAGCAGCCAATGAGGTGGACAAGCCGCAACGACGCACTCTCCAGCCGCTCAGGCCAGAACTCTCCAAAGCTTCCCGTCTGCATAACAAAGCCGCTGTCCGGGTACTTGGGGCCACGCTTGCTCCTCCGGCCGCTGCTCCGAGTCCCTGCTGGCGGCTGCTGGCCTGCTGGCCTGCTGGGCCTCTGGGCGCTCTCGCATCTCCCCCCTGCTCACCGGTTGCAAGCAAGATACGGCGCTCTGGACGTGATGGAGACGACGTGAAGCAGTGGGCGAATCAGCGTGTCAGGGAGCTCGATGGACAGCCGATGAGCATGCAAGCAGTCGCCGCGGCAGCAGCAACCAGACGCCACAAGTCCGAGTGTGAGACAAACGTCCTCGATAGCTGGGGCCTAGCAGCCCTCACAAATCCTTTCGCGGACTGCGGTCTCTCCTGGTCCTGGTCCTGGTCTGGCCCTGACTGGGCCTCTTCGGAGGGCCGACAAAGACGAGGACGAAAATCGCAAAGACATGGGGACCTGGGATTGGAGCTGGGCCAAGGCCGACTCTGCCGTGTCGGCCTCTAGCCCGCGATACAGCAGCAACAAAGGCAACAGAAGCAGATGCAGGCATCACCTCACCCGACTGGCGACAATGCTGAAGCCCAGCGGCCCCCAATTTCCGTGTCACCCATTTGCTGCCTTTGACTTACACGGCCAGAAAGGGGTGGCACGAACAATGCATAACTTTCCCTGGCCCTACGTATTACCTTGTGCTTGAAACCGATAGCACACGAGTTGCCCAATGCATATTACATGCTCAGGGTTGGCTCATCTTGTTCGTATCGGGATGGGAGATGCGGAATCACAGTTGCGATTTGTCACCTCGTACAGAGATCTATCTGATCTCTTTCCTGTTACCAGCCTCGGCTTGGTTGTCCTTTCATAGCACCGTGGGTTGGAAAACCGTTCTGGGCACTACCAGCAAATGACACTCGGTCCAATTCTCACTTTCATTGCAATTATGCTTGGCCACTTGCTTCGCCAAACAGCTTGTTCTTGTAAGCGGGCGCGGCGTTCTCAGCAACGGGCCGGTCCGGCCGGGCTCAGGACGCCTCCTTCAGGCAGCTTCAACGTTTCGTTCGTTGTTTGCTATTACAGACCGACTTTGTGGCATCATGGGGCGTTCTGTTCCCAACCAAGCGCGGCGCCTGTGCTTTGAACAAACCCCTCCCCCGGGGAGTTGATCAAGTGTGCAAGACGCAGCGGCTTTGTTCCAAATGTCGTTGCTGCCCTGGTCGATTGGAAAGTTACACGGGCAAATAGTGCCAGCGTGGCTCCTTAAACACTCCCATTGGAGAGTCCATTGGACTGCAGCCCAGGCCTTGCTTGCCTCTCCATCTATTCCTCCGTTCTCGGATCGGCTGATCAGAGACGGCAAAGTCCACTCTGCTCGGGTAGATGGTCTCGCCATTGGCTGTTATTATCAATGCGTTGCCATCGAGTGTGCTAAAAACAGATGCTTCACGGCCAAGCTGTCCCCTTGTCAAGTTTGTAGCCGGTCGCCACTTACAGGCCGGGGATTGCGGTTCATCAGCCTCATAGGCATCATGGCTCATTCCCCCCCTTTGTCTCTAAAGCGTGTCCGACTATGAGCTGCCTACCGGTAACCAACTGCTTGCTTTGGAATCTGGGGGAGGGATGCAACCTGAGTGCTCAAACTCGCGTGCCTGCAACATTATCTTTGACAACCATGGCCATCCAAGCTGTGATACCTCTTCAGTGACAAACCAAGTACATCTTCTCAAGCCGAGACGCAAGCCCACACCCAAAGCCACGTCGTGTTGAGATGGCAGACTCTTTGTTTATCTACCGCCCTTTAGGCTGGTGGACCACTTAACTACGTGGCACAATGCGCATAGCAGGATACTGGCCTAATGATACAGTCTCAAATCATCCAAGAACTTGCCGTGCGCCACGATTGCTGCAGCTTTACTGAGAGAAGATGTGCACGCCAGGGACTATACTCATATCGTGGGGGCATTGTTGCATCTTGAGCTTGGCTTATGCCCTCGATCTGACTGGCTGGACAATGACCCAACTCTCCTCTTTCAACGTATTTCCAATCGCATGCACTTACCCGTCCCTTTCTTGGCGTCTGCCCCCGGTCAAGGATCTCATGCTCAACAAGAGGCCCACACAATAGCACATTGTAGGCGGAGACATGGCGTCTGGATGCTTGCATGTCTAGTTTCTTGGAAGGGGGGAGGGGTGTGCGCGAACAATTCAGCAGTCGACTATCTCAAGTGAATTGCGGCTGGGAAAACAAGCTTGGTGGCCCTTTGACGCAATGGTGGCCAGCTGGAGGGTACCTTATGGCCTTCTGATCAATGCCAGCCATCTATTCTCAGGCCATGGAAGCGAGCTGCTTGGGTTCCGGGATTGTGTAGCACGCACCCCATTTCTCAATGACCTGATCGCAAATGAAGTTGACGGCCAGCCTATGCTCACTGTAGTAGAAGCGGGTTGCTTCCCCGGTTCCGCGACGAATTTCCGAGTCTCTGTTTGGCTGAGGTCGCGAGGTGCTTGCAGCTTCTTGGGCATTGCCCTCCGACTCCCGCGGCTTCTTGCTTCTTCCTGTAACTAGGAAACCTTTTAGCTTCACTCTACCGGTGAGCTCCTCCAAGGGCATACTTCTCCATGAGAGCCAGTTATATGCATTACTGCGATCCACAGTCTGCACATACACGACTTACTTGGCCCAAACCAGGTCAGTATCTTGAGATATACAGACTAGGGGGAGAGGGAGGAGAAGAACGGACGTGCATCAAACTCCCTACACACCATTCCCGGTTGAGTCCTTAGACCCTGTCTCAGCGGCCACACGATAGACGCTGCTCTGAGCTCCACAGCCTACTCCAGGCTCCAAGTCGGACTCTCTTTTTGTGCCCTTCCGAGCTTTGTTTATAAACCTCGAGAACGCTCATCTTCAGCTGTTTCTCCTTCTCCTTCTTCACTTCATCTTGTGGCCTTTCTTCCACTGCTCACACCAGCTGTCTCTTTCACATATTGTGTTGGATTTCTCTGAAACACCCGTAACCAAGACCATCTCAACTGAGTTGGCTGTTGTGGTCTCTACAGTCACCATCATCACCATCTTTTAGCAAGCCTCCACCATTAACGTCACTGTCCACACTACGTCCTTGTCACGAGAAGAGTGCACCTGTCCTTCAATAAATAACGATAGCCACGAGCTCAATACACCCATTCAATACACAAGACTAGGAAAACCGGCCGGAGGTATGTCTTTTCCTTCTTCGCTTTGCCTCTTTTACCGGCTGCATAGACATCTCAACCTCTGCTCTTGAGATGCAACACGGCATACCATCAACCAGATGCGATTCGTTCTCATCTATAAACTGGCATTGTTTTGCTCTAAATGCATCTAGCTATGGTGCAGAAGCAAAAGCTAATCCGCGCAGCAGTTCCCTTTCGATCGTCGTTTACGCAGACTCTTTCCCTCCTGCTTGTCGACTTGTATGCAATTGCAACTGTGAGAAGCCCCAATAATTCCTAGGCTCAGAGTTTCTATGGAAACCTCTGGACCTTGATGTTACTAATCCCTCTTTTCTTTCTTGTGACGATATTAGAAAGCTGATGGATCATAATCGAGACAGATATAAGCCGAAGGATCAGACTTCTGAGGCCCCCCGACGACATACATGAAGGATCGAGAATAAAAGTACTCCATCGAGGACCCGATTCCATACCCACCATAATTGGCGGCGACGGCTCTCGAGAGATCAGGCTGCCGCTGATTCAGTTGCGCCTCGTCTACGGCTTTCAGATTCCTGCAGCCTTCCTGGCCTTATTTTTGATCTTGGTCGTGGTCATCCATCTCCACCAGAGATTTTAACGTATGCATTCTCAGCAGCATAAGGTATTCCGATCTCTCATCCCTCCTGCCCCCCCTTCTTTCTCAATCAGCGAGCAACAAACCATTCTGGCAAACTTGTGAAGCCGAAGTTTAGCAGTAGGCGACTTGCTATTCCTGAGATAGCAACAGAAATGGACGTGCTATCCTCAGCGTACGTGGGCCAAGGTGGCAGTTTGTTTCATAATGAGGTACGTTCCCATGGACAAGTGGTTCTTTTGTTATAGACTCCCCTGTCAAAACCGTCGTTATTTCACCCATTTGCCGCGCTGCATTTCGCGCACCCTTGTCAAGGCTCTTTGGGAATGCAAAGAGGAGGGGAGTACATGAGATTGCCAACATCCGCCCTCACTTGTGGCAAGATCTTGCCATGGGCGATTTTGGCACCAAATGCACAAGACACAGGCCAGATGCAGACCCCCCTTCCCTCCCAGGTCTGGTTTGTGTAACCAGCCCCATCCCACCCCCCAGCACTGCCTGGCGTCCTTCTTCCGACGTGCCTTTCGCAGCCATTGCATAGCTTCCGAGTACTGCACTGAGACTGAGAAGTATCTCAATGTACCTATGCTGTACCTTGTGCCGCAGAGATGTGTTACCAACGCACACCCCCTGTGGTCTAATCCAATCTTGTCTCCAGCGCCAAGAGCAGCCATACTAATGTATTGTTTCTAATCTCCTTAGGCCTCTACGCAATAGCCATTGTCGAGGATGCTTTGCTTGTGGCTGATTGGAATACGGCATAACCTCAGAAACAGCTTCAAAGCCTGACCTTTGATCCCCGCATCGTACCTCAACACACAAATATATATACTCATGCTAGAATCTGATGCTAATGCCTTCTGACACTCTAGGATTACGACTCTTCGCCACCACCTTGCGCGGAGCTGGACTATCTCGATATACACTCACAGCCTGGCGATATGAGGTGAGTTCCATCTACCACACCAACTTTGTTCATCCTTTTTCTTCTTGGTCCACCCAACTTGCCCGGTCAAAGATCCGCTGCCCATCCGGAAAATTTTCCCTCACTGTAATTACCTTGCAACAAGGCCATAGGCTTCTGCTCCGGGTGGAGGTTGCACCTAGGACTTGTGCTCACATAGGTCCTCTGCCGCCGGCCGCTACATGGACTCGTGCATTGGCCCTGTGCTACCATCCATGCTGGCAAGTAGTATAACCAGACCTTTTGGCTTGGTTGTACTCAGCCATCTGGCCTCTCAATGGGCCTTCTCTCTTGCATCACTCGATATTATTTATTTCTCTTTGCTGTCTTCCTGATTGTATACAAAAACGACATCCTCTTCGTCTTGTCCTTCACTTCCTTCATCTTTTTCTCCCAGCACTTTACGTTTTCTTTGGTTCTGACCAGAACTCTCAGGTACACCCAGGAAGCCAATACGTCGGCTCTAGCAATAGAGCCTTCGCAACCCCCTGCGTTTCTAAGTCTCTACCACCCTACAGGCGGTCTTACGACTACGACGCAGTACCCTCAAGACAGCACTGCTTTCTACCAGCCGGTATCTCAAGTGTTCCAAGGGTTGGATGTCAGGTCTCGCCTGAACTCCAAGTAAGTTATCCCAGAGCGGTTCTAAGTGATGGATCGTACCGGTATATGCATGTCAATTTTTTTTTTTTAACACTCAATGCAGCTATAACAGCACCGCGTCCTCAACTGGCATGGCGCAGGCTCACCATCAGCAGCACCGCACCGCTGGATTGCCGCATTTGACAGGGCAAGTAAGCGCCAGAGAACAATACTCTACTACCACGCCCTCATTTCGGAGGGCTTCGGAGCACCCTGTCAGGTCTCCGTCATTTCCGGGGGTGCCTCTGCGCCGCCTACCATTGTCGCCAACCCCAAGCCCACTCAACTCCTATGTCCCTCCGGCGGGGAGGATGGAAGCTGGCCAGTTTCAAAACAGACCCTCCGCAACCGCCGTGCCTCCGCTCATGTCCGTCCAGACATCTGGCTCCCTCCAGTATGAGAACGGGACGCAAATAAAGGTTGATATCACGGGCACAGTTGACAAGGGCTTCTTTCTTGCCGAGGGCGAATGGACTTGCTATCGGCGCAACTACATGACCTGCGCGTGCTCCTATTCCCTGCAGCCGCATTACCCCAATACTGCAGTTCATTTTATCCCCCCCGGATCATCCCAAGCCTACCAAGTCTATGGGCTATACATGTCAATATCTGCCGTCGTAGCGGATAATGACCAGCAGAGCATTGAGCTGGTCCAGCACACTCCAAAGAGAGACAAGGGGCCGACATCCAAGCCTGAAAAGGTTCTGCTGGCTCCCAAAAACTCGGTCCCGTCGCATCACGTTGGCATGTACAACGACGCCACGAGCGCGTCCGGCGCCAGGGCAGTGTATCAGGATGGCTACGGAGGCGGACAGGGAGCTATTCAGCCTGCAACTGAGCATACGTTTGAGCGCATCCAGTTCAAGCAGGCTACTCAGAACAATGGCAAACGGAGGGCTGCTCAGCAGTACTACCATCTCATGGTGGAGCTATGGGCGGATCTTGGCTCGCAGTTTGGCGCGCAGTCTGCCGACAAGTATTTCAAGATTGCGTTCAGAAAGTCTGAGAAGATGATTGTCCGTGGTCGCTCTCCCGGTCATTACCAGAACGAAAAGAGACGAAGCCACAGTGGCGGTCCCGGGGGTTCTTCTGGGACGATGGGAGGATACGGGTCATTGACAGGCATTGGGGAATTTTCGCCTCATTCCGGTATCCTTGGCGGAAGCAGCACATATGGGAATTCTTATGACTCAAGGGGACCAGTATATGGGACGCCCAGAAGCCATGATGTTCCATCCGAATCGACCATGTCTTCCGAAGATGACAAGGTAATTGGAAACACCAAGAGCTACTTGTACTATCCTGGATCCATCTACGACAATTCGCACTCACGACCCATAGAAATGTTTGGCACCCGCAGCGACCAGGAGACTTCGCCAACGCAATCGTCACCGGATACCAAAGTGAAGAGCGAGTATGAGATCACCCCTCGCGTCTTTCATCCACCGCTTGCAGAGACTCGTCGCCACCCTGGGCCGTTTGAAGGCAAATCTACTTCGGGCGGCTATTACCCTACCATCCTGTCATCACCAACCACAAGTTTGACTCTATGATGGGTGGTATTACATGCTTAGAGGCGTGCCAGCGATACAGTGGTTATGGATTCATTTTTGCACATGCACACACACAAAAAAGAAAAGAAAAAAAAAGAAGAAGGAAAAAGATTGCCCCCCAAAGAGAGAGATCACAGCAAGGAGCATACGGAATGAAATTACTATAATGGAAGGGCTGAAATTCAGGCACTAAAAAGTGATATTTGACTTGGGATATGGATTTGGAAACATGGGACAAATGGGAGTTCACCGGAACTATACGTGACTGGGCAGGCCGCAGGGCTCGTGTCGATAGCAGCAAGCTGCGGCATCCCAGGACACACATGAATGCTATGGCCAGCTGGGAAAAGAAATTGTTTTTACTTGGAAATAGAGCCGTCCTTTGATCCTCCCATGGCTGGATAGCCGATGAGGGGTTGACCTCGTGGGCTGGAAAAAACGCGGCAACGCTTTGGGACAGCAGGACTGGAAACGACAATGATGAGGGAGTTGGATTTCATAATGCGCTTTTTTGAGATTGGACTTTTCCATCTTCTTCTTCTTCTTCTTATTATTATTTACGGGTTTGCTCTTGTTATTGTAATTTTTTGATGATTGTCATTCTGTTTGTATCCGTCCCTTGTTTATTCCTCCTTCATCTTCGTGTTGGCCGGTATGCATGTTTTCCCCTTTCGAATAAGTGACGCAAAGAGTACCAGTGGATTTTCCGTTATGTCAGCAGTAGTGCTTCTTCGATAGTATTTTTTCTCCTTCTTTTTTCTTATTTTCTTGTTGCTTAGCTTCACCTGCTATTTCTTTCTCAGCTGTTGTTGTCGCCTTCTTAGCGTTGTTTACCCTCGCTTTTCATTCCGCATACTGCCCATTCCTTTATCAGAGAGACTTTTGTGTGGCAGCCAATGTTGCAGTTTGCTGTAAGATCCTGCACACTTTCGTCACACCGGGTACCGGGGTCTGATGCGTGGCGTTGGCATAAAACAAAACCAGCAAAGGAGGGGGGCATGCATGGGCAGGGTTTCGCATTGGCCGAGCAAGACTCCATACTTGTTGTGCTACCATCACCGGTCTGCGCTTCTCTTATTATCTCGCATGGATTTTCACAGGGTCTATTTTATTTTATGAAATGCAACACAATTACAATCACATTGTGCTTGGTGGCTGATCATTCAGGGGCCGGGAGACAATGCTGTGTTTCACCCCTCTTAAACGATATTACTGCAGCCGGTTTTTACCTCTCTGCGATATTTTTCCCTTCCTCGGTGAGATTTTGTTTGCTCTTTTCTCCATTTCCAGCAAATAACGTTTGCTCGCAGTACTCTAGCGGGCTCTCCTCCAGGCTACCGAAGGCAGAAAAGGGGAAGTATAACTACTGCACATGTATTAATGCCAGCATGCAGCCGCAGCCCTGATAAGCCAAGCGCGAGGCTCCTCCGTGGCTGGTTTCGTGATTTTCGTCAATTTTACACGCTATTGATGCGAGCCCAAAGCTTGGCGTTTGCTGCCCGTCCCATCAACCGAAGCCGCAAGCGAGCGAGTGATGCCACCACGGTCGAAGAGCCGCAACCTTTTTGATTTCTGGCAGATGCACGGTGACGATGCCGGCGCGGAGGCGACATATTGAGGGCCTCCCATAATGCTACTCTTCGCATCCATGAGTTGTCCAGGCGCGTGGTTTTGTTTTCGTGCTCTGTCGAAAGCGGATGCTCTCCGAAGCTGTGGCGTTTTCCCGGTCAGGCTGATGTTACGGTACCCGTGCCCGAGCCGTTCGATGCGCTATTCGTTCCAGGTCAAGTAATTCGAGCGTGGTTCGTCTATGGAGCTCATTACGGGGTGGGATTTTGGAAACGTATTTGCACCCTACTGGACAAAGGACAATGCCGGGCAACAAGCTGTTACTGGATAGGCAGAACTGCGAGGACTATAACGTGGCGTTGTGACTCCAGGCACATGCCCTTTATTTGCGTACATGGTTTAGTCCTATTCGGAGACTTTAGATAAGATGGATTGGCATTTCGGTAACATAATGTATTGCTGGATGCAGGGATCGAAAGATTGTAGGATTCGGCCAGCTAGAACCGATCATGCTGTACTCTTGGCATGCTACATGGGATAGCGAGTACTAACCACGCAGAGTGTAGGCTCTGCAGCTGAAAAGGAAAAAAAAGGCAAACAATTATCCCCACTTGTCATACTGCATACGATGGTCGAGATGCTGTTTCATCTGCGGAGATACTCGGTGGTACTTTACTTCACGAAAGCACCTCTCCCTTTACGCGCTGTGGAAGGCTGAACAACTCACTTCGCCTTGCCCTATTAAGTTAGTTGTACGCCTCTAGTCGAATTCTATAAACTTGCAATGGTTGAGGCATCTCTTGCACTCCTTGTTTTGGTTGGACGTTTTTGCGTGTGCGCTGTACGGCGTATGGCGCAGACTCGGACCACGGGTGAGCACGTTTCGAGAAACACTGCTTAAACGCCCGAATCTTTTACAGGTACGAGGTGTGACCAGGTCTTATCTGGCCGTCCACAGCATGAATCGAAACGGGTGGCTTTATTATTACCCGCTCAGCCAGAGTGGTGGCTTTTGTTCTCGTTATATGGGAAATTGGCTAATATGCTATTGGGGAGATTCCCCCATCCTGCGCATGAGAAGCCGTCATGTTTCGGAAAGACCCGTCGGCATTCGGTTCACCTTTCAACAGGAAGAAATAATAAATCAACAGCTTTTTCTGGTACTAGTATGAAAAAGCAGCATACAAAGAGGTAGAAACGTGACCCCTGATAGCAGAGTACTGCCAAGCGCGCCGTGTGAAGCACATAACGGGCTCATGATTCGGACGAACCCGAGTTAAGCAAGTTTTTAACGTTGGTGCACAGCATTTCCCGTCCCTGGACCCATAATCCGGCCGGCCCGTCCCATCTTGACATCCGGACAACCTAGTAAACACTAATAGCAGGTTATAGCAGCAAGCAGGAGAGAGCACAGACAACGCTACAGCGGGTGGCTGCCAAATACGGCCTCAGACAAGATTCGTCCGAAGGTGAGGAGATGGCTTACAGCGCGTATATGCTGTGCTCAGTTCAGTACTCTGTCGTGGTTGTGGAAATTACAGCATTTGAAAGCGACATCGGCTTAAACACCCCTCTCCCCCAATTGCCGATGCGCCCTCTTGCAGCTTTCCCGCGCGATCGGTGTTACCAGAGAGGTTCACGCGTGCTATACATGGAATGTATAAGCAGAATTCCCATCATTGTGATTTGCTCGTCGATGGAGGCATGGGGGCAAGAGAAGCTCCTTGCACGCAAAGTACCAAGTGGCATATGTTTGAACCAGAATGTATCTTTTGTACCTGTTGCCGCACACCCCCCCTTTTGCGAAATCCAGGTTCTTGGAGAGAGCCCCCACACCCATGGCGTCAAGGCGTGCCAGCATCCGTGTTGACATATTAGCCGCACACCCGGCTTAAGAGGCAACAATAAGAGAGAGACAGAAACGGCGGCTTCAAGCTGCGAGTGTTTGCTCATGACTCTCAGGGAGGAAACGAGGATACCGACACACGCCCGGACAACTCAAGCACACTCGCTCATTCACTCACACACACTCACACGCCGCGCGCATGTTCTAGGCCGGCCCATCGTGGAGCTTGTGCAAAATGGCCATCCATGGGTCCGTCGTCAAACCGGGCCGGACGGGGGCAGTCTGGAGGATTTTTTGAGCAGAGGATCCGGGAGGATCAGAGACTCGGAGCCGGGCTAACTTACAGCAGCAATGCCACGACTAAGCGTTGAAAAGCCTTGCGTGTTTTTTCAAAATTTTTAAACAAGCGTCAAACTGCTAGCCCGCCTTGTTCCTTCTTCTCCCCCATAGGGCGGGTGTGTCTCACATTTGATTACCCGCAAATAGCCATTCTCCGCGGTGTCGTCTCGTATGATGTAATTAGAACTCAGAAGGAGGGAAGAGAGAGGGAGGCTATGGTGAGTGTGTTTTGCGGCACTCAAGGCAAACTAGGCTCTCCTCGTCTGTCGGTCTTAAGCTGTGGGTGTTTCAATTCCGCACCGCCAAGCGCCGGTGAGCCGTAAGGTATGAAGCCGACAGTGCTTAAATCCTTCAATCTCATATTATTCTAGGCCGCGATTTTTCTCGGCGGCAGCTGCACGCAATGCCTCGATAGATCAGCCCTACGGGTGCCTCTGCTGTTACGCCCGCCCATGATTTTCAAGTTTCACAGCAGTTGGTTTACGGAGATATCAAACAAGGAGGGTGTGCGTGTGCGTGTGTGGTTACAACTGAGAATAGCACAGACGGGGGGGAAAGGGGGGAGAAGCAGCAGGGAGAGAGTGTGGGTTTGCGTCAAGTAAGCATATCTGCCTTGCGGCGCGCGGTAGGTCTCTCATGTGTCCAAAGACCGTCTATTCTGGAGAGACTTTTTGTCCAAATCCTCTCGCACTTGCATCTCCTATTCGGTACTCGGCCGGCTTCATCTCTCCCTTTCGCACAGAAACGCATCATGTAGCCTGACTCGCTTTTGTTGCAACCCTACCGTCGGGTAACCCGAATCCACGTGTTGCGATCCTGCATGGCAACCTTGCATGTTCCGGCTGCTAAGGATTGGGAGGAGATATCTTTGTATCTTTGTTGTAGCCTCGGTCGGTGGCCTTGTAGCTATCCACTCATCATCCAAGTGAACGCCATCTCGCCCCAAGGGCCGTATTGGAGTTTCGTTATTCAAACCAAATCTTGTACGCCGCAGCAGGTGTGGTTGGTGTTGTTAGATGGTGCCATGTGTAACACCGTTGGGTTTTGCACACACAAAGAAGAGGAAACTGGCACAGGCATCGCATGTAGGGGGGTTGAGCGTCACCGGTACAGAATTCCGGCCTAACACGAGGATCAAATCTAAGTGATACTTGCCACAGCGCGAAAACGCATCCGAACAGCTCATATCCAGCTAATCAGCTCCGTGTTTGGGGTGACACAAGCTGGGGTCATACACCGGTGATCGACGGTGCATCTAAAGGGCCTTCCAAGGGCCTTGTTATTGTCACACAGCCAGGGATCAAGAGACCCCGGAAGGACACGATTCGATTCGAAAAGTGTCCGAAAAGGAGGCGGAGCCAACATAGCGCTGGCCGGTGAAGAAAGCCAAGTAATTATTCTCATTTTCAACAAAGCTAAGCGGTTTGCGCTAATATCTCTGTGGAGGCATGCAAGATATTCCAGTTTTGGATGGCTTGAGTGCATGTATTTTGTCCGACCTGCTGCTGTCCAGTCGTCAAGGCGTGCTCCACTAGCTGTTCTGCCTTTCTTTTTGCGTCATATTCCATCTGATCAATCTAATTTCTCCTTCGTATCTGCAGTGAAGCGGGAGAGTGAATGTAGTGAAGAGGATAAAAGGGGGCGAAGCGTTAAGAGACAAGGAGGAGGCAGGAGGCTAAGAAACAGGTAGCTAGATAGATAGACACAGAGAGATATCAGGATGAGAAAGTAGTAGAGTAAGCAAGCACATGGGGATAATGGGAAATCTCCGTCTCGTGATCAGATGGATTGGTCTTTCAGTCTCGCGCCCTCCAGATGGCATCCGACATCGTTGTTACCAGGGCCATCTCCCGAACATCGTGGACACGTATCACATCCGCTCCCCCTTGAACTGCTGCTGCCACCGTTGCCGCCGTACCCCAAACCCTCTGCGATGCCTCTTCCACTCCCGTCACTTTGCCTATGAAACTCTTCCGACTTGTGCCAACAAGCCATGGCAGGCCCTGCAAGCCAGGCCACGCCCTCAGTTCCTCGAGGCTACGTAGCAATTCTAGGTTTTGATCACCCGTCTTGGCGAATCCAATGCCTGGATCCAGGATTATCCGCCACCTTCGGATGCCTGCTGCCTCGGCTGCGGCTACCCGCGATAAAAGTTCAGTTGCAACAGTTGGCACCAGCCCGTCAGGATAGGAAGTGAGCTTCGTCATGGTCTGCGGGTTTCCTCGCATGTGCATCAGGCATATCGTTTTGCCAAGCCTGCCCACCGTCGGAAGCATCTCAGCGTCAAGAGCACCGGCAGAGACATCGTTGATGATATCGGCTCCACTGGCAATGGCCTTTTCAGCGACGGATGCGCGATAGGTGTCGACGCTAATGGCGACATGGCGAGTCTCCGGTATAGAACGGATGAGCTCAATTGCAGGCACAACACGAGAGGCTTCTTCTTCTGCAGACACCTCAGGGCGGCCAGGGGCTGTCGACTGTCCACCTACGTCGATGATACAGGCTCCGTTGCGAACTAGGTCTTTGACAGTATTCGACAGGCTTTCCAAGTTATTACGGCCGCCATCAGAGAAGGAATCAGGCGTCATGTTCAAGATTCCCATGACTTTGGTCTTTCTGCTATGTACAAGGGGCGTTAAGGGTGCCAGCGTCGATGATAGCGGCGTAATAGAAGATAGAGGCTCGCCAGGGGTGATATCATTCAGATAATCCTGAACAAGTTTCCATGGCTGCGATGCATAGAGCGGCTTTGACGGAATTAGTCTATAAATAAGTCAGTGAATATCCTCCCAAAGACACTCAAGCAAGCATCTTACTCCGCTAGAGGCCTTAGGACAAACTCGCGCTCCGGTATACCGATGTGAGGCACGTTAAGTCTTTCATTCTGAACCTTTTCTTCGCCATAGAGCAAGATATCCAGGTCAATATTCCGTGGGCCTTTGTCAATCAGCTTCTTGCGGCCCATATCACGCTCAATGGCTTGTAGTTCATCCAGCAGTCCTAAAGGCTCCAGTTCGGTCTCCACCTGCGAGATGCATGTACTGTAAGTAAAGCTTGTATGAAATGCCGACAGAGTCACGTATTGCCCACCTCGCAGGCACCATTGATGAAGCGGTCTTGGTCCGTTACATACATGGGCTCCGTTTCCCATAGACTACTAGTCCGCTTAACCCGAATGCCCCGCTTGGTCATCTCATTGCATGCCTTTTCGATTTCAGATATGCGATCCCCGAGGTTGCTTCCTAGCGCAATGTACGCCGTCTTGGTTTTGCTGACAGCCGGATGGCAACCGCATCCTGAGTGGGACCGGCTCTGGGCAGCTGAGCTTTCCTTGGCCGATGCTCGAGATCTAGGTCGATGGATGGTGGTGAAGAGAGATTGTGTGGAAGGAAAGCATCGTGATGATGAGTGGAAATTGCGCGCCCCGGAGCTTTGCAGCCCCCGCGTTATAGGGACATGGTGTAAACGGATCATCTCTTTCGACTATCCTCCGCGAGACGAGGTGGCAAAGAAATGAGTCGTCGAGTTAGCTGGAGCTGAAGCTTGCGATCTGAGCAACGAGGTTTAGTTTTTCCGATATCAGAGCTCATCGCCTACCCTAGAAAGTGGGCCCTGCGGCCTCATTTTCCCCAATTTCTAGAATAAGGCACAGAACGCGCCAGCCAAGCGTCCGGACGACGGATGCCTCGGTTGATTTGCTAGCCGCCGATTGTTAGACGAGTTTCTCCGCAATCTGGGGGAGGATACAGATTGAATAATTCCGGTCTTCATCCCGCATTTCGGCTTCTTGTGACGACTAATCAGATCGAAACCGCGGAGTATCGATGTCTAGGTAATTGTGTACTCTGATCTGAGGCATGTCCATAGTTTTGTAACGGCAGATATACCACTTCGGTTGATATTGATATTACTACAAGTGTTCAAAACGCTCAATCCCTGTAAAGAGCTACCCGTGATCGCAATAAACCGAAAGAAGATAAAGCCAGAGCAAAGCTCATGCTCATGCTCAAGCTCATAGGTACTCATAATGATGTACCTCCCTACTCAGGAACTTCTCCAGGCTGCTGACTAACGCCCGCACCTCGGCATCTTTCCCCAGAGCTCCACCACGAGCAAACACGGCGCTAATCCGCCTCCGGCACTAGCGTCTTACCCAAGCCTCGGTTCGTCAGGGTCAACTGATGGGAATGTCTGGAAACGCATCTGCCTCCGACGGTCCCCTCTCGGCTGTAGAGAATCTAAATTCCATTATTAAACTTGATCGTCTGCTCCTCGTTTTCTCTTCCTTCTTCATTCTCCTCTTCTCCTCTTGTCTACCCCCCTACCGTGGTTTCTCTTCTCCTTTCATACCCTTCCAGTGTAGCAGACAGAATCATCAATCACAATGGCTCGTAAGTTTCTGTCGCGTCCAGATTTCCCTGCCCAATTCCCTGGATCTGACTCGGACTAACCATGTGATTGTTGCGCAAAATAACAGAGGCGATCCGCACTCCCATCACCGATCTTTTCAAGATCAAGCACCCCATCTTGCTGGCCGGCATGAACGTCGCTGCCGGTCCCAAGCTGGCGGCTGCTGTCACCAACGCCGGCGGCATGGGCGTCATCGGCGGTGTCGGCTACACCCCAGAGATGCTCAAGGAGCAGATTGCCGAGCTCAAGAGCTACCTCAACGACAAGAACGCTCCCTTTGGCGTTGACCTGCTTATTCCCCAGGTCGGTGGCAATGCCCGTAAGACCAAGTAAGCCGAACCCCCCCTCCAAAACGCCACCAGCCAAGCATCACATGCTCGCGACGAACGGTGTCGGCTGAAGAATAGAGAAAAATCACCGAGATGGACCGAGATTACAAAAGCAAAAAAGGCTAACGTGTTTGCGTTCTTAGCTACGACTACACCAAGGGCAAGCTTAACGAGCTGACCGACATCATCATCGAGTCCGGCGCCAAGCTGTTCGTCTCCGCTGTCGGTGTCCCCCCCAAGGCCATCGTCGACAAGCTGCACAAGCATGGCATCCTGTACATGAACATGATCGGCCACGTCAAGCACGTCCAGAAGTGCATTGACGTCGGCGTCGACATCATCTGCGCCCAGGGCGGTGAGGGCGGTGGCCACACCGGTGATATCCCCACCACGGTCCTGATCCCCGCCGTCGTCGAGATCTGCAACAAGCACAAGTCGCCCCTGACTGGCGGCCCTGTCCAGGTCATCGCCGCCGGTGGCATCCACAACGGCCAGCTGCTGGCCGCTGCCCTCATGATGGGCGCTGGCGCCGTCTGGGTCGGCACCCGCTTCATCCTGACCGACGAGGCTGGCGCCCCCAAGTCGCACAAGGAGGCCGTCCGCACCGCTGGCCACGACGACAACATCCGCACCATCATCTTCACCGGCCGCCCCATGCGTGTCCGCAACAACTCTTACATCAACGACTGGGAGACCAACCGCCAGCAGGAGATGAAGGAGCTCGCCTCCAAGGGTGTCATCCCCTACGAGGCCGACCTGGACAAGGTCCTCAACGGCGGCGAGAAGCCCAAGATTGAGGGCGTCCAGCCCGAGGTCGACGAGGACGATGACCCTCTCGAGCAGTTCCGCCCCTTCCTCATGGGCAAGGCTGCCGCCGTTGTCAATGAGCAGAAGCCCGCCAAGGCCGTCGTGGATGAGTTCATTACCGATGCCGTTGCTTGGCTGAAAAAGGGCAACTCAATGCTTGTTGGTCCTTCATCCAAGCTGTAAAAAACTCAAAAAACGAAATGCTCTTTTCCTTATTTTTCCTTCGGTCTTATTTCACGAAGCCCTGTCATATCTCCTTAATGTTTTCATGCCACGCCGCATCATGTAGACTATTCAGCATATAAATGTTCATAATTAGCCTATATGTACCAAACAAAGAAAATAAAACTTCTAAAAATATCATGACTGGCATCCACGTTACTGCATGCTCACGCCTCATCAAGGCAATCAAACATAGATTAGTCGCTCCTGTTCATAAGAATACGAAAGGGGACGAATCAAAGGCTCTTTTTAAAACTGTATTTTGTGCTTGCCATAAATTTAAAAACAAACTAGAAAAAGGCAGAACAAAGACTCCACGTCTATTCATGCCAGATATTTTTGACATTACAATTTACGCCATTCTCATATAGTTTCCGCCTACCAACACCATCTCTGATACTCCGTATCACCTTATGAATCCCTCTCATTAGCATTTCGCCCCCATCACTTTCATGATTTATATCCCTTTGGAATAAGACTTTTGTTTCATCCAAAATTGCAGGTTGTTGAATCTTTCATACCCACTACTTCCAAGTGGGGAATAATTGCCAGGAAGCACTCTTAACCATCGAGATAAGAACGGATAGCACTCTGTAATTTGGTAGCACCCTCGCCAATGACGGTGGACAAGTTTTCCAAATCATCAGCGGCCGTGATTCCAAACTTGCGCACAAAGTCCTTAGCAGCCGACTCAAGGTCGCCATAATCCTCAGTCTCCTCTTCTTCCTCTCGTCCAAAGTAGGCGTTTGAAGAGATGGCGGTGGCTCCCTCGAAACCTTGAAGTCGTGTCTTGGCTTCGGCTTGGGCATTGGGATCAAAGGCGCCCTTGCCAAAGTACTCGTCAGAGGAAATTGCCTTTTGGGCGCCAAACTTGCTACGAGCAAACGTTTCAGACTCGTCTACAGAAACAGCTGTTAGCTTATGGGAATTTGATGAGAGAAGAGATGAAAATTTACCTGCAGCAGATGCCTTTACAGGCCCAACAGAGCCGAAGCCACCGGCATTCTTCTTTGCTGAAGAAGCAGAAGCAGCGGCCTTGGCACCACCAATCTGGCCGAATCCAAGGCGTCCGATGCCCATTCCCAATCGCTCCATCTCAGCATTCGACTTCTGCCGTGTGTGAGAGCTGCTAGCTGGGCTGATGGGAGTTGGAGAGATAATGGCGGCGGCAGATGAAGTCGCGCTGCTCTTTGTTGCTTGTTCCTCTTCGGCCTCGGGGTCGTATCCGAGCTTGGCGATACGCTCTGCCTCCTCCTTGGCCTTCTTCTCTGCCTCGTCGAAATCAATGAAATCTCCAGTGACCTTCTTGACGCCCAGCTTTTGCACCTTCTTCGCACCGAGAATGTTTGTCTTCTTAGCGCCACCAGCTGTGGTTGTTTTGCGCAGGGCAGCAGATGTAGTGATTCGGCTGGCGGCAGGCTTCGTCTCTGTTGAATCTGTCTTTGATAGAGGTGATGCTGCACGTGGGACGTCCTTGTTGCCGGCGCTGAGGAAAGGAGACGGGGTACGGCCAACGACCGGAGGTGTCGCATTTCGAGATGTTGGGGGCGTGGGCTTCTTAATCGTGGGCTTGTCCCAAGACGAGAAGAAGTCGTCGTCTGGCTCTCCGGCAGGGGTGAAGCTGCCATCTCCTTCGGCGGCATCAATGATGACTTCTTCGGGGTATCTAGCATTTGAGGTCAGAGGTTTGTTCCATCATTTAATCGGAATCGTCGGGGTTTGCATACTCCAGAGCATCACGCGCGGCGCGTCGCTTCAGCTCTTCCTTATACTTGGTAGCCGCATTGGACTGGTACTTGGTCTTGGGATCCTTGCTGTTCAATGCCGCGGTGCCTCCGTTCTGCTGGAAGAACTTGGTCGCAGACTCGTTGCCACCGACCTTCATTACTCGAAGCTGATCCCATTGCCACTCTAAACAGCATCATGTGTCAGACCATGAATCACAGATAGAGCGAGTATTATCCCAGATACATACGGTCGAGGTTTGTGGATCGCACAAAGGAGATGTGAACACCCAGGTTACGGTGGTTGGAGGAGCAGTCCAGACACAGGTAGATGCCGAAAGGAACCGACGTCCATGTGGGATTCTTCTGTCCGCAGTCAAAGCATATCTAGGAGACAATGGCCCGCGTTAGTTTCTAGACCCCCAAGTCCCGTTGCGACCACGTTTGCGCACCTTGTTGGCAGGCTTCAGCTTCAGCTTCTCGAAGATCTTGAGCGATTGCTGCTTCGACGCGAGGGCGCTCATCTTGGGCGGCTGTGCTGGGGATTGGAAGCGAGTTCGATCAAAGCTTTCCGAATTCTGGGGAACCGCTGTATTGCCCGTTTATGCAGCGACCGTGTCAAGGGAGGACAGAGAAGACGCAGCACAATCCAATGTTGGGATAATTATTAAGTTATTAAGGAGACTCGCAAGACAGGGCGATGCGGTAAAGTGGCATATCGGCGCCACTAGGCTTGTTCTGGCTTGGCGTGCTCCCCACTTCCAACTTTCTGCCGAGGGCGGTGTCGCGCAAGATTCCGAGTATTGTCAAGGGAAGCTTCGCTTTGCTATACGAGTATAAGAGCTTCGTCGAGTTGCTGGGCTGTTACGCTTCCCTGCCCAGATTCATCCTGACGAGCCCTCTCGGTAAGATGGAAGCCGGAGAGCCGCCATGATGAAACCAACAACATCCGTCCCCGCGATTCGAATCGCCACGAATTCCGCAATTGCACAATCAGCTCGGCCTCTCTTTGTACGCCACTTTGCGTCTCCGACTGGCCTGGGAACTACCGCAACTCCAAAACCTAAGCGGAGGAGCGTCACGCCGTTTAACGATACCGGTTTTGTGCCATGGAACGAACTATCGGCCGCTGAGAAGGCGGCGAGGGCAACCCAGCAGTCTTACAACTTTGGCATGGTTATCGTCGGTCTCGTTTGCACTGTACGTTTCTTCGTCTTTCTAAGTGTAGTATGATATGGGACCAGCAAGACTAATTGTTAATGTTTAGGGAGGTGTTGGATACTTCCTTTGGACAGATGTCTTTTCCCCCGAGAGCAAGACAAATCAGTTCAACAGAGCTGTCAACATGATCAAAAAGGACCACAGATGCCTTGAGCTTCTAGGTGATGCGAACAAGATTTCGGCTCATGGAGATGAGACTTTTAATAAATGGAGGAGGGCACGCCCCATTACGTAGGTGTTTACGGGCATCTAGAAACGCGGGACAGTACGCTTACATGGTTTCAAAGATCAACTGAGAAGACGGACGCTCAGGGCAACCAGCATCTCATGATGCATTTCTACGTAGGTTCCACTCTTTTCAAAGTGTTTGTCGTTGTCATAGCAGTTACTAATGTTCCTCAGGTCGAGGGCCCTCTGGCGAACGGAGTAGTGCAATGCCACATGGTTATGCCTCGTGGCCACAGCGAATATGAATACAAATACCTATTTGTGGATATCAAGGGCCACGAAAGGATATATCTGGAGAATGCAGACACCGCTGCCGCACGGTCAGGAAAGAAGCCTCTGACGTTTTTCGGTGTCAAATGGGGATAACGAATGACAATCAAGGAGTCGTTTGTTCTTCCGTGTGATTGTCTCTAGGAAGTCCAGTCCCAGGACAACTTTATGAATCGTCGAAAGACGCTTATGTATACTATCATGTTCATAACTGGGTGCATTATCTGCACTTTCATAGCCGAATTTTGTATCATTGACTGATTTAGCCTATGCTTTTCAGAAGAAACATAGGGGCAATAAAACTGCCTGATCATGAAGAGCGCCCAGGACACACCTTGTTCCAACACGGGCATCTCCAGAGCAGCGAAAGTCCGCTTAAATTCTCTGGTGGCCTTTCAAGAACTGATTTTTTATTTTTCCCTCATTCTTTTTTCTTTCTTTCTTTCTGGAGCTCCGTGCTAGTTGTTGATAGAGTTCGTTGATTTGCGCATTAGCTGTTTGCAAATCTGCCTTGGAAGCCTTCACCTCACCCGTGTGGCCTGGGGGAGTAATTTATATATATGTAAAATCAGGCGTCATCCTGGCTCTCTCTTATACTCTCACCCTCGAGTTGATTAGACAAATACTTTCCAGGGTGGCATCCGCTGTCAATCTCGAGGTCATCACAAATACAGGATCTATCATTTAGACAGCGATGTCTGTGGTTTCAGCACACACTGGCTTATGGCTACAGCTAATGGGTGTTTCCTATTTCTCTGACGCATTTCTAACAATTTTACAGCTTGTTGTACCGATGATTAAGAGATTAAAGAAGTTCTTTCTGCCTTATTTCATTCGCTTCTTGTTTCAGTCGAGTTCATATAGTTCACAAGCTTTGGCTAACGCCTTCGTCACCACTCTTCGTTCTCCAATAATGGACTTTGAGAATCTTCCCTGTCCATCTTGGTTCAAAAAAGAAAAAAGAAAAAGAAAAAGAAAGTCAGAATGGCTTTTGCTGGTTCCAACTTGAGGAGGCATACTAACAATCGGCGCTGTTTTTATCCTTTGCTTTCTTGATCATAATCCTTTCTCCTATATTGCCTACAATCAAGAGGCATACTTGGGGTATATTCGATATCCTCTATCTCAAAATTTGCCAAAGTCTAAGCAATGATCTTGTAGGTCTTTGGGATGACCTTAGTGGGACTATTGCGGCTTGATATTGGGCAATGTTGGAAGATGCAAAGGAATCAGGGAGCAAAGTGGTAATCCAGCTACGGTAGATCGTAGCCTACATCGTTTCGTCGAGAAACATTCATTCACTAATGCTTGCTGCAACTGGTAGCAATTAACGGGCGGCACATTACGGGCATCTCATAACTGCCTCATCGACCATATACAGCTGCTCAAAGATGAATCAATTGCAACATTCTTTGGAGGAGGATGGAAGTCATGATGCTTTATTCCTTAGAGCATAATAATTTGAATCTCCCCAACAGATTAGAATACACTTTATGGTAATGCAGACGGGTTAATGGCAATGTTGACATTCGGCATAGTGTATACTACTCCATGAGCCCGAGTCAACCAACCAACAACTGGACGGACCAACAACATTACCCAGCAAATAGGAACAAATCGACAAGTTCCCATCAAGCACTTCCGCCGGCAAATCTCGCATCTAATCTTTCAAAAAGCCTCGCGAATGATTCTCGCTTCCTTCACCGTTGTATCAATCTATTTTGCCATCCAGAAAGCAAGCACTCCCCTCTCATCCAATCTCCTTGCATGGAATCTCTCTCTCTCTCTCGCGCTTCGCGCACCTCCGTTGAATAAAGCCGATATGCAAAGCAGAGACGCAAGGTACTATTCAGCCGGTCAAGAAACCTACCTACCCGTTCGGTCACCGCAAGTGTTGCCACGCCATCCTGTATATTAAATTGTAGCACCTCCAAAAGAGTCACGACCAAATCAACTCTCTTCCATCTTCCAAGGAAACATGTCGGCTTCTTTTCCCCATAGTACGTGCCACATCTCCATCCCCCCCCCCCCTTTTCCTCTCCCTCTTATTTTGCACTTCGCCACAGGTCCTTTTTGTCCCGCTGTCGGCCCTTTGCACACCAGTTTCGTTCCATTACTTCGTGCCCTTTTTCGGCCCCCAAATCCGGCGGCCCTGCATCTTGGCCTGCGTGATACCATATACACCTTCTCCTTTCCGACAAACTGGGCATCAATGCGGGAAGCACTGCCATCTGCAATTGCGCATAACCCGGGGCCCCGCGGACGGCAAACATCTGGCCCAACTTCCCCTGCAGGTGAAAACAAGCGAATCTCACTCGCTGTTTCGCCTTCTTGTCGTTCTGAGCCGGCGAGATGAGCCTGGGTCACAGCCAGTATGCGGCAAACAATTGAGCTAATGTGGGCCTTTTGTTTACAAATCGTTATGTAGGTTGGAAATGAGGGGGTCAACTCTGCAGAAGGGCGTGATATCGGAACGCATCCGTGTGAAGGCTAGCCATGCTTGTGTATGCTTATCTTGAATCCCCCCCATCCCCCCATATAATGCAGAGAAGAGCCGAGAGTGTGGCTCGCAATCGAGCACCAAGATGGGCGAGCCGTATAAAAGAAAAGCCGTACCTAAGGGTAACGTCGGCTGGATAATGCAAACAACACCGCATATAGTGCAACCAACCAAAGTTCCCTTCTCCAGAAGAGGCATGAAGGAAATGTAGACGTCGTTGGCTGTCATCACCGGCCCTCCGCGATCACGATCGGTCTCATCTCCTTCTGCTAGAAGCTGTCAGAACCCTTGTCCGTCTACTAACGCTTTCACACGAGAGTACGGGGAAGCCTCCGCACTGAATTCAAAGGTACAAGCGTTTGAGCAAATGCAAGTACACTACACTCACCCTCCCTAACCCTCATTCATGCGTAGTATTCGGCCAGCAACAAGGAGAGTCGTCGTCAAGGTACCCTTCAAGCCCCGCTGCATCGACGATACACGGTCCTTGGCAATGCGCAGACTAGCACAATTGGGACAGGTTTCATGTTTGAATGTATAATCCCAAGGGGGTTTTTTTTTTTGCAACAGAATAGCGCTCGTACGTGCTCGCATATCTTTCTTGGAGGGAATCTTGGCCTGGCTTTCGGTTGCTAGATCAGCGGCGCCAAAGTTATCTCACATGCTGCTGATGCTGAATAGTAAATAGCAGGCCAAACTGACGTGATTTGACTTGGAAAGCGCCCAAGAGGTCGGCGTAGCGGGCTTTTCACATGTTTGCCTAAAGGGATGTACCTATTGTTTGTCAATACAAGTTATGCAAGCCCCCCGATCGTCTTTTGTTATCAATCTCGAGCATCGGGAACTATCGGGTTGGGCTGTCAGCGGATACTGATGGCTCTTATCTACACAGCAGCTCTTATGTTTGTTGATATTGGGGAATGCTGAAACTACATTGGCGAATGCAGCCACTCTAAGGCATACTATTGACAATCTCCTAATGGTGTACTACATCTGCAATGTTCAAACAAACAGAGGTACCGTTACATCTACTCAGACGGATGCCAACGGCGGAACAAAACAACCACCATATAGATACCCAGGTGTATCATTCAATCTGGCCGATTGGATCGTTGGGGTCGGAAAGTTTCCCTGCCGAACCGGTTGGCATCAGGGTTTTGGTCGGTTAAGCACCCGAATTGCACGTTCTCGGTCCGATCGAATCCTGGGATCTCCCTGCCTCTCACCTCTCACTTGTACGGAGTATCGCTCTTAATTATCTCTGCGGGACAGAAGCCAGCCAAACTCAATTTACATGTCGGGCGTTCTTTCGCCAACCGGCCGGCTGAGCGGAAGGGGAGTGGCATTTCGGCAATACTATCTGTATGCCGAACACACCAAAGATCTCGGAGATGCCAAGTGTTATTTTCACATGCTTGAAATAACCTCTGGTTCGGTTAATTATCCGAGAGATGGTGATGTGATATTGTTAGCTTTTGAGCTAGAGGGCTTTTGAGTTAGCCGACGCTCTTTGATGAGATTGCATGTGCGTACCAGGCACTGAGCTGCCTGGACAAGTAAGATTCATACTGTAGCTCTTGCTTCTGATATGCAAAAGAACTTTGATGTTACTCCGTACTCCGTACTGTCGCATCGATCCCTGAGCAATTGAGACACTTAGACTGTGGGGAAAACATTTCGAGTTTCCTGCTGCATCATGATCCATTGTTCAAGCGAGCGGCATTTACGGAGTAATTGGCATTACCCCAGTCTGGAGCCGCTCCAGTCGGCTCTAGAGATGCAGGCATACGGTCGAGTGTAGGTAGGGAGTTACGGAGTAACTGCAACTCGACAATGGACCTATTGCGGGCGGTTGCAGCTTGCTCTGGTTTCTCTGGAGCCCCACGATGGCTCGATTTCGGCGCATTGAAGCATTGGCATCCCCCCTCCCCTGCGTATTATCTGGCGTTTCCACGGAGCAGTCCACTGTTTGCCCGAAGATTGGGATGGAAGGCAAATCAAGGAAGCGGTGGAGCGGCAAGGAGACGCACATACATACGTACGTACGGAGTACATATGCATCGGCTCTTGGCATTGGCCATCAGCGTAGTGACCTCGGCGCCAGCAGCCTGCGGATTTAATATATTGTGCATGAGGCGTGAGATGATCATATACTATGTGGATCGCTATCATCCGATCGTGCTGCCTGTGTGCCGATACACACGTAGCCGGGAGGCCGGCAAATCAAAGGGCAGCTTTAACGGGGTTGTATTCGGATCAATTGCGTCCTGCAGGTATTGTATGATAACAGCCATGATCTGATGTACGAGTAGTGGGCTCTCGCAGTCGCTTGCGGCTCTCGTTCTTGTTGGGGTTGCCGCTTCCTGCCTGTTTGCGGATCTCGTACGATGAGTTTCGCATTTCATATTATGCCGGGGCTGCATGTGTACGGAGTGAACAAGATGAAAGTTGCGGTGTCTGTCGCGGGGCCCCCTTCCGGTGCCTTGCATGGCATTGAGCAAGGCCAGACTGCAGCGACCCTCCCCCGAGTCATTCGGCATCCAGGCACGAGTAATCCAGTTGCAGATATACAAGCTGGCATCGAGCAGCTGCATGCGGTAGGAGAGTCAAGCAGATGCACAAATCGAGGCTACTGCCGACGGCTGTGTTGGCACGAACAACAGGGATGTGCATCAACGCCTTTTCCTGGCCCAAGTCAGTCCCACGACAAAGCCGCCAACGAGGCTGAGGAGCGTATCTCACAGCTGCGTAGAAATGATACCAAGTTGCCAAGTTCTCCGTACTCACAACCCCTGCCCGTAGTCTGAGTCGCCGTGTGCAGACAGGACCAGAACCAGCACGCCCATGCTATGTACGAGTACAGGTATCAGAACAAGGCACAGGGGCGTTTGATTGATGGGTTGACGCCCTGAGCAATTCAAGCAACTGATTGGCCGGCACATGGCTTGCTGGGAAATCCGCTTGCGCCAAATGCAACTCCGGATACGTACAGTACTTTTTCTTTCCCTGGATGACTTCCCCAGGCGAGGAAAAAAATTTTCTTATTTTTTTTCCGAGTTCCCTTTTTTGCCAGCCCGGCATTGCAACGTAGCGAGCCAGCCGTGTCCGAGAAAAAGCGACCCATGTTATGCGACTTGCAATAGAGATTCTTTTGTTGGATAATTGTGCATCGATGGCGAGGTGAGGTCCCTGGCGAGTGGGGTGCGGGAAATCTGGAGATGAGCCTCATTATCCGTAGGAAAAGCCCAAGTCCCTGGAAGCGAGGGAGCTTGATGTGGCTACCTCTGTAACAGGCACTTCGTATTTCTTTCTTGCGCACGAGTAAGAGCAGAAGTCGCAACAATCCACAAAAGGGCAGAACTGGGAAATTGTGTCTCACAATGCGAACTTGGCGCCGCAAGCGCTCTTTGGCTCTCTGGTCCACCCGCAACGACGACGATGGCTTGAAGAGTCGCCCGTAAAACTGCGGTCCGGTCGATTGTGTTCGTGCGCTCCATGTTCAGCTGACAAGATAGGCACTACTTCAGGGTCCCCAGCATCTTGTCCTTTTCCTATATGGGCGACTTATCGCCGGGAAGCGTGATGTCTTTTGCTAACCCCACAGGCGATCCCCAGCACAAGAGCCTGAGGGATCTCCAGCGGGTGCATGGCACGGTATTCGCAGCGATGGCCTCGTGGGGGCTGCAATTTCATCATCCATTCAATATCAAGCTCTGGCTAGCACCGAGCCCAAAGCCGGGGCCGTCTCTACCCTTCCACCTTGTTCCCGCATCGCCCGAGAGAATCGCCTTGTAATAGCCCATGGCAGCATCTAGCCTCGGTGCAGCTTTTGGCCACATGCTCGGATTAGGAAACCGAAGGCGAGGCCGCGGCCTGTTTCGAGGCACAGTCGCCTTGGACGCCATGCCAAATCCAAAATTCCCCGCGAGTATCGCCGGCAAATGCAAGATAACAAACAAAGGCGAGCTGCTGCGAGGGAGACCCCGGAAGATATCAAGCTTGCATGAATGGCTTTATCGGCAAGATAGGCAGAATTGCTGGATTGTATTTCCCCGCCTTCCCCAGGCCTAGCTCATCTCAGGTGCTAATCAGAGATTGCCTGTCCATATCCATGCACGTACTCCGTCCATGCAAGCCGTTATCGAGGATTCGCCTGGCCATTGTAGGGGTCTCTCTTGTCATCCTGTAGAGCTAGACGTGAACGAGTAGTTTAGCTGATTGCCCACTCAGACTCAGACTCCAGAGGGGTAAGATCAAGATGCTTAGCGCAGGAGCAGCAATTCTCGGCCTCCAGGGCCTGGTACGAGTAGATGACGACCGAAGATGCACCCAACGGCTGGGAAGAATGCCGTCTCGTCCCAGCCAAATAGCCTGTGAGCACACTATACTGTAAAACTCCAATGCGTCTTTTCGCGATCAAAGGCTTACATCACGACAATGAGTCTGCTGACGCTGTCGTGCCGGCTCCAAACCCCACCCCCACACTTGCGAGATGGCTAAATCTGAAATGATTGAGACAGCAGGTTGAGCTAGTGGCGACGAAGGATGTAGCATCTTTCATCCATCCTGCTGGGAATCCAGGAGCCATACAAGGCGTTTCTTTCTCAGAGCATTAGCATTTGCAATGAATCAGAAGAGTGCGGTGCCCAATTAGACGGCCTCCCCAAGAGTCCTGCAGCAGCAGCAGCTCTGCGTCCAAGTCTCTTGTCTCTTCGTAGTTTACATCCATGACATTGGAGCATGTGCCACAGCCATGGCCAGCCACCAGCCAGTTGTTAGATATCCTCCCCAGATAATTTCTCTTGGGGCTCACGTGGGGGGGGGAATCGGCCCTGCGTATAGACAACGGCGAAGGCCAAGCAAAACCCAATGCCAGTGCCAAAGCCAAGACCAAGGCCAAAGCCAAAGCCAAACAAAGCCACTGCGGAAAATTTTTCATCGGTATGGAGTACATACACAGGGAGACACAAGACGAATGCTTCACACGGAGGTCCAGGAGAAACCCCAAAACCCCCACCATCACATCACCATCGCTGCCCCGCCATTGCTCGAGAAACCCCCTTATTCTTTGACAGGCAACCAACCCGACCTCTGCGCGCTCTTTACGGCACACCATCTCGTGAGTGGTTGCGAGTTGGTTGCAAAGGGCGGCGCTGCGGGTAAAACAGGCACATTGCAAGGCTTCGCTGCTTGGTGCACACACACTCGCACACGCATTCCCGCTAACGCCTTGTGTATGTGTCAGTCCAAGTCTTCTAATTCGCCAGGCGGCTTGAAGCGGTGAAGAGAAGGTGTAAAAAGGGCGAAGAAAAAGAAAAGAAGAGAAACGTCCTTTTGCGTGTCTCAGTCCTAGTCTCAGCTGCAGCATCTGTAACAGACGAATCATGCAAGCCACCTCACCGTTCGCTTTACACAGCAGCAGCAGGCGCACTGCATTAGTTCCACTCACCGTCCTCGTACGTAAAACACAGTCACATTTCTCCTATTACTTGCTTGGACAGTGTCGTTGAGAGTCGAGGCGCAGCGATCGACTTCCCTGTGAGCTCTCATCTTTTTGTCTGGCCGGTCTCGGATGTCGACATATCACCACCACTCCGTATTACTCCGCGATGCCGTGTCTGTGATAATACAGTAGCTACATGTGGTAGAAGTACCAAAGAGATTTTGGTGTAAACGGGACACCAATGCCGCCATCGTCTGTTGATCAGATCACCCGCCATCATCTTAGCTACAAAGGGCAACGCGTGTGCCGTCCCGAGTGAAACACGTCATACTCAGGGCAACCTCTATCACTTCTCTAACAAACCTGGAGCAATTTTTTCCTTCTTTTTTACACGGCGGCACTGCAGTTGGCTCCAAGGACCGCTGACGTGATCTCGATCCCTCCCATCTAGACCCTTCTGCTGTTGCGTCACAGCCCAGAACACCCAACAAAATGCCCAGCCTTACCGGCCGACTTGAGCCGGCCCGGGGCACCTTCAAAGCCTAGGCCTCAGGCTGCCGCGTACTCATACCGTCCATGTATGTACTCCTTAAACCACGCATGAACAGGCTGTGCCGGGGACCCTGAAAAAAAAGAAACAGCAAATGACGGGCGTCCGCCGGGCGTCGTCGTCGTCTTCTGTGGGGGAGAGACTGCTGTGACGGGGGAGGAAATGACCATATGCCCGCTCAATGATAGGAGAGGAGGGTGTGAGATTCTACGGCATACAGAGCACAAGAACGCACAGCGCCACCATACATGTAGGCACGATCCCAACACAGAACGGAAGGAATACGTGTGCGCTGAGCCTGTAAGATGATAACAGCGCTCCAAGAAAAGCCAAGCAGTTTGCCATCCTCAGGTCTGCATGTTCTGCATGGCGCCGTCTCACTGCCTGTACGGAGTCGCACACACCGGGCCTGATAATACGGAGTCCCCAGACTTGGCGGAACCCAATCAATCAAGCCCGCCAGACAGGCTGCTATTCATAGCCTTTTCGTTCTTGCGCACAAACAATGGCCCGCCTCGCGCAAACGAAACGGATACTGTACAGCACACAAGGCAACCATGTGTATCACACGCAGGCCACTTTTCTCGTATCAAGCCATCATCTTTGTTTTTTTTCCTCAGCATCAGGTGCGGAAAATCAAGACACAAGAAAAGCCATGTGGCCTTGCGAAGAGTCACAGTCAGAGTTACAGCAGCACAACCACGCAAGGCACATGCTTGGCCCATCCACGATAACACTTGGCTAGCAGCAACTCGTATCATCGGGGATCCCCCCCAGCAAATCATTTCAAACCATCAGAATCTCTTCCCCCCCGTATCTCAGTGGTATTACCTCCCACCACACAAGGCATCCCCCTTCCATTGCATTCCATCCAAGCGAGCCAAACAAATCATCCCCCCCCTTCTATTCTGCCCAGACACCCCCCCCCCCCCGGGAAAAAAGCAAAACCACCCCCTCAATGCACCAGAAAAAGCAGTCAACATGTATCCCGCCTGATTGCCTCCCCCAGAGATAAACCTTCCTAGCGCTGAGACCCGCCCTACGACAATGTCGGATCAGCGTACATGCAATCTGCGCTAGATAGTGTAGATACGTGGGCTTCGGAGCAGCATCTATCTGCCCATTTGCTCCCCGGTGCCTTTGCTGAGAACATAGCGAGACAGAGAGAGACAGAGCTCGAATTAAGGCTTCTCCGGATAAACTAACCTCTACACCACCCCTCCCCCGCAATTTCGCTCTCTCTTTAGCCCAGGTGCTGCGTATTACGGGGGTACTATGTACTTCTGATCACTTATCTTATTCCCCTTCGTACGATAGCTGGTTGACCATCAGGAGATAAGGCGGGAAACACCGGAAGGGCAGCCTCAAAGCCCAAACACAAGGCGACAGACAATGAAACATCAACTCTTTAAACATTACACGGGGGAGCAGAGAGCTCGCCCACTTGCCATTACCGTATTCTACCTAGTACCTAGTATAACCAGAAAAAGGAAACCCATTCAGCTTTGTCTATGAAGTCATGCTTCGCAAGCACGGGTTCCACGGATGCACCGTTCGCCCGTGGCTTTTCCTCCCCTTCATCCCCCCTCCATTACCTTGTCCACCCCCTGAATAGCGCTGCCGCCTCCCCCATAGTGCATGAGGGTTCCCCATATTTTGTAACACCAAATGTGTTTTGGTATTCCCCAGCCAGAAGCCAGCCCATGTCGTTGCCGAAGCTCGCAAATGCCAAATGCCGGTGCCGGGTTTTCTAGCGGCATGTGGGATGCGAAAAGATCGGCAAACAAAGAGTACAAGAAAATTCTAAGGTGTACAGAAATGAAATCAAGGACTGGAACGCGGGAATTTGTAAAATAATCATGTCTTTTTTCCGATTTTTTTGGGCCAACCCTCATGTGGCTAATGCAACATGCTGCTGTTGAATCCAATAATAATCTTCCACTGTATAGAAACAAACCGAAACAAGAGAAGAGAAGAAAAATGAAACCAAAAATGAAAAACGGAGTAGTCAACTGTAATCCGTTGGGGAAGTGGTGATGTCTATATTTCCTTTGGCCATCCATCTTGTGTGGGATCCCATGCCTTGCAATAAAAAAAAAATGAAAAGAAAAGAAAAGAAAAAAAGGAAGAAAAAAATAGCCGGTCAAGTCCTGCGAGGGACGACTCTTTCCATTTCCATTTCCATGCCATAAACGCCGTCTCTTTCTATCCTTCTATAGCCCAAAGTCATCAAGTCATTCGAGGCGCCACAGTAAGGGATTTTCTACATCCGATCCATGAGGTCGCCGCCGGCAAGACTGCCTGCAGTTGAACTTCTGCCGCTGTTGGGGAAGACACCGTCGGAGAGAAGATCCTGCACCGCCACCTTGGGGACCTGAGGAACAGGCAGCTTCCTCTGGCTCCCGTCAGGACGGCTGATGATGTCGGTAAGCGACATACCGGGGCTGCGGTTGTTGTTTGCCTGCAGCTGAGGGGGGAACTGGGGAGCATCCAGGTGGGGCTCCATAGGGGCAAGCGCAGGAGTCGTGTTGTGCTGCAGAGACAGGTTTCTCAGACTCGGCAGCTCATAACCCGAAAAGGGACGGAGTCGGGGGGAGTGCGCGGGAGTTGCGATGGGAGTGTGATCCGGGGTGGGAGACAGAGAGTCGTGGGAGAAGGTGGGAGAAGAGGGAGCGGTAGAGTTGGGCGAGTTGGGCCTCGACCTCTTGGCGTGCCTCATGCTGCTGTAGTGATCATCATCGTCATTGGAGTGAGATCTCGCCATGTGGTACGAAGAGAGTGAGGGCGGGTGGCCTCGAGAATTCTGCATGCTCTGGCCAAAGTAAGGGTGGTGCCTTGAGTTGTGGTTAGACGGGCCGCCAGAGAGAGTTTCACGCTCGATCTGGTTTGCAGCCTTTGCCAGCATTGTGATATCATTGCCACGGTTGTAGTGAGGCATGGGGGCCTGGGGCATGACAAAGGAGGAGTAAGAGTGAGGGGGTGAGACGTTGGGCGAGACCAGAGTCGAGGTGGGAGCAGAGCGAATGGCCTTTGGCACCGGAGGGGGCATCATGCCATCGACGTGCATGTGGTGAGGGAGTCCCTGGTGGTGGAGGTGCTGTTGGTGCTGCTGCTGGCCCTTGTTGCCTCGCCTGGAGTTGGGGTTGCTGTGTATTCTCGAGTGTCTGGTCAACTCATCGGAACGAGAGAACTTCTTGCTGCAGCCAGGGAACTGGCAGGCATGGGGCTTCTCGCCCGTGTGAGTGCGAATGTGCCTGGTCTGGTGCTCAAGGCGGTGGAAGGCCTTTTCGCAGAGAGGGCACTTGTAGGGACGAGGAAGCTCGTTGGCAGTCTCTGTCGACTGCGCTCCCGGGAGTGGCCCATTGGGCTTGATGACGGTAACCGCAGCGGTAGACATGGCTCCGCTGCCTTTGTCGGCGTCGCTGTCCTGTCCTGCTGAAGAACTTGGGTTGAGTAGATTGGAAAAATCCACGGCAGACTGAGCTCGTTGCATGTGATCGAGCGGCAGTCAAAGCGAGTAAACGTTGACTTGAGGGCCAGAGAAAGCGAGCGTGTGGGCTGGCAAGTGATTATCCGATGGTGGTAGTGGTATATGCCGTTGTCCTGGTAGTGGGGAGAAGGACTGCTGTGCAATTATCTGATTGCGGTTGATGCTGTTGTTGATACTGCTTGTCTTCTAAGGTGAAGGAGGCTCTTGTCGTCGGTAGCTGTATGATCGAGATGCGATATTAGGTTGTGTGAGTGACTGTGGTTTGGTTTTTGTTTTTTTCTTGATCGAGGGAGACTTTTTTTTTTCCTTCGGGAGAAGGAGGGAACTGGGGGGAGGCAATCGCTTTAATAAGGGCGGGCTCGGCCGGGTCGGTACTTCGTACATGGGACTGGGAGGGAGTGCAGGTACTTGTGGGAATGTACCTCGACCGCATCAACTCGAAGCACATGCTGGACTCGCTACACGGGGCGGTAAATCAGGGGCGTCACGCAGGGCTTAGGCAGTGCCTTTGGGGGTGCAACAGCGCTGCATGGCACCGTCCAGTGGGTTGGATGGTGCGATGGGGCGCTGGAGGGGAGCAGATGGGACACGTAGCCAGGGCATGGAAAGGGGCACGGGGTACTTGTCTGCGCTCAAATGGTTGTACCTCCAGCCCCAGCATTCGAGCCCCAGCCCTCGCCCTCAGTGGGAGCCCCAGCTGGGGCGAAGGGCAGGGACCACAAGGAGGGGGGGTGCGATGGCGGGGTGTGTGCTGGACCAGATACCAGACAGGGCTCAGTGAGATGGCCGATGCCAGCTCGGCCCACGGGAGATTCTCGCTGTTGGCGGAGGTACCACCTCGACGTCGGTACATGTTACTAACGTGCTCAATGCAGTGTTTTCTCAGATGCAAGCGCTGCCACCCCCCCTCACTAAAAGAGCGTTTTGCCGCTATTGGGACCCCCCCTCGGCGCCATTCAGTGGAAACCACGGTGAAGGAGGTTCTTTCCATTTTTTCGTGTGTGGTTTTGTGTGCTTTTTCTGTTGAGATTTTTTTTTAGCTGTTTTTTTTTTCTGATTCCTGCTCCACTGAGCGAACCTCTTACTCGTACGCCTCAGCTTCAGATTACGTTTCTCCCAGTCCATCGCCATCACTAACCTCAACTGCCGTGGCCATCTCGACGTACCCCCCGGCTGCTGCTTTGGACGGTATCGGGCGGAATGAGGCGCAGCCTCTGTCGTGCTCGACTGATTGGCCGCCGTTCCCCGGAAAAGCTATTCCAGTGGCTTTTCTGAGGTATGGAGGACGAACAAGTGCTACCTGGAGACGAAACCAAGACGGGAGAGTCGCCTAGGACGGTTTTGAACAACATGACGCTGCGTGCGGCCGTCGAGTCCTGAAGGCTGCGTCTCCCACGGGATTTTTCCTTTTTGCCCGGCAGCACCTTGGGAGACTGGCTTCTTTTTGCGGATAGCCTACATGTACGGAATACGGTTTGGTCTGGTGTGGGTGGTTTTTTGGCTGGCGCACACAAAAGAACCGGCCAGTGCCAAAATCAACCTCTTGCGCATCAATGATCGCCCGTGGCTCGCTGCTACGACGAAGCCATTACTCTTTCTTTTCAACTGGCTTCTGGGCACGACTCATTTTCCCGTGTCGTGGGGCCGAACGCTAACCAGAAACCCAAGGTGCCCTGGTGCTAAAGTGTTCACTTACAGCATGCTAACTGTGCTTATAGCACTAAATTCCACTGCGTCGTGCATTCCTCCTGGCTAGTAGGGCAACCTGAGATGATGCGATGCCAGGGTGGAATTTCACTAACAAAAAAGGAAAGAAAAAAAGAAAAGAAAAAAAGAAGAGGGAAGAAATGAGAGGGGGAGAGGACGGAGAGAGAGGCCAAAAAAAAGAAAGGAAAAAACAGGCGGTGCTCACGAGAGAAAAGACATGATACAAGAAGATTTGGCTCAGTGCTGTTCGCAACCACCAGACACGTGCGCACATTCCCGCTGTCGTCTGCTTTCTGTGCGCTTCTTCAGTTTGCTGAGATTTGCTCATCGCTGCTAGTCAGCTGGCTTTGTCTCGCAGCTCTGACAGCGCCCGTACTTTCTTCTAGTCTCCAGCTTCGAGGGTCATCAGGACACTACATCCCGCTCTTTTGGGGGCCGAAGTGACAGCTCCCTCATGCCATTAATTGCAACGATAATGAATACTTTATTCATGGACCAAATGTGGGGGTCTCCAGTGTCACGCCCACCAACAATGGCCATGGCGGCTCTCCAGTTGGGTCAGGTTATCAAGCGCCTACTCTGCGCCGATATCAGGGGAGAGCCAAGTCCATCTTCGTTATCGCGGGATGGCAAACCCCATGGAGTATGTGGTCACGCCTCTGGGGAACCTGTCGATCACTCGATGGCAGCCGTCCACTGGCTCGCAATCCGGGCGCTTAGCCATCCTCGATGAGAGCCAAACGCATACAGAATAGTGTGCTGAACTTTTTACGTTTCACCCTGTTCAATCAACTCACTACTGCAACCAGTCAGTAACCAGGCCTCAACCTACCAGACAACAGCTACCTCCTACTAGTTTCAGTAGGATCAGGATACAAGTTTCTCGATATTTCCTCCGTGGGCAACCGTCGCCGTGTCTCGGCTATTTAGCACCCCCTTCTTCTCTTTTGTCTACCGTCTCCCTTTCTGTGGCCTGATTTCCGTTGGTCATGTCAAAGGTCTGGGGCTACCGTAGCGTCCGCAAAGGGTCTCCAGCGATCTCACAGAGTCAATCTTGCCTCACCTGAAGAATGTATGGCGTTAGCGGATAAATGCCACCTGCCTGGACAATGCTAGGCTGCGGTGATCAGTACACTCGTTAGCTTGCCGGGACCGTGTTTGCTTCTCCGCTCACTGGATGCCCCGAGGAGTGGGCAATGCTATTACCACTTCCATTTTCCGAAAGAGAGTCCATAATTAAGCTGGTTCATCTTGCTTCCTCACAGGCGATCGCGACGGTCCGTGAGACATGGGTGTGGATATGGAAATATGCAGCATTCCCCAGAGGATGCTTCCCCAGACTTTCCTCTTTCTCACTCTGTCGAGCGTCCCAAAGTGGCGTCCACCATTCCTAGCGCGCCCTTGGAGTTCAAAAGTACATGCTCTTTTAGTCCAGATACGAAGTACGCACTCCCGACCATCATTCTACATGACTCTTCACCTTCCTTATCCTCGGCGCAACATGTCTTGGAAGGGGCCTGCCAAATTATGCTACCACCATCACCCCAGCCGGGGTCCCCAGAAACACCCTGGTTCATCCCTACGGCAGAATGTGGGGGTTGTTATCTCGCACCAGATTTTCCCTGCCATTGGTGCAGCGTAAAATGATGGCTAGTTCTGGCACGGTCGCCACCTCCCCATTCATGTCCTCCAGATGATGGGCTCTTATCGCAAGGCGTGCTCTGGGCTTCAGCAGAATTGTTCCGCAATGGTTCCAAGTCCCCATTCTGCGGTCTAGGCACCCATCAAACGGATTCGCCATTTGACATTAGCGCGCCTCGCTCTACCAACTCTCTTTTCCCGAACCCAGCCTTTCACTGCTGCCTGTACTTGGGACTCGTAATTTGTGCCACCTTGTATCCGTGCCGTGTATGTATTCTTGTACACATGTACATCCGGACAGTCGACCCTTGCGCCGCCTAAGCTGTTTCAGGAAATCCGGGGGGTCAATGATCTTAGATCTCCTGAGTTGCTCCCCTTGTCACCGAACCAAACCGCCACGTAACTTTCTCGGAACGGGGAAGACCGGCCGACACCCTGGACAAGGAACGCTGCAGGCTGCCCCAGGCTCCTCAAGGCATTGAATGTGACCTGCTTGGTGTATGCAGTTATGAAACAGAGGTTACAGAGCCTGTGCTTTAGTTTCATGGCCCAAAAATAAAATGGAAAAATATCCGCCAATACGGAGCGTCAGTACCCGTACTGTATATGGAAGGGAGAGAGGGGGAGCAACGATGGCATGGTTGCGGACAATCCACCAAAAGCGACCGCATTAATTGAGCATCAAATAATCTTTTGGCATCATTTTCTGGGGACTAGTGTTCGTACATGTCGATTCATCAGAAAAGCCTCCTCGCAGTGGGGACCTCAAGGACAGGTATGGAATTACGGAGTACTCGTACTGGACCAACAGCGGTATAACTGATGAGGCCATACTGAGAGATGCCCCATTTCGCTCAGGCGTTATCCTGACGGCACCCTTGGCAACCTCCACCAAGTCAATCAATGCCCGCTAAAAATCCCACGCAGGGGAGATGAAAGGCGATAAGGATGGATGGGCGTGAAGCATGATTGATCCGATCGTTTCGTGCAATATTCGGTCCATCCATGGGATCCTTCGTATCAGAACATCGATGGTACCTCTGTTCCGGATTAATGCTCGGCGCAAACAGAGTGCTGCGTACATTTTGGTCCAACTAGGAAAAAGGTCATGCCTGTCAAAGTGGCTAGAGGGGAAACTATTGCATGGAAGCAACACTGCCAACTGCATAAAGGTACGACTTGACAGCTGAGTATGTGTAGTAACATTGACAAAAAGGGCAGCGCTAGCACCAAGGATGTATACAATAGTCAGTGCTACTACATGGACTACTGCTTCAAACCGAGATACCGGTTCAGAATGGATCTCCCCGACGGAAGATGGGGGACATGTCCAAATATGGAGAGATATTGGACGGCCTATTCGGCTGAATTACGGAGGCAGGATCCAACATACAGAGGGCTTGAGCTGGGGTCAGCCGGGCTCCAGAGCAGAGGCATCAACCAAAAAGGATGCCAGATGCTGACTGTGGAATGCTTCAGCTCGGGGAGCTCGCGGCAATACATCCTAGGCCTTGCCTCTCGAGACTGATACGTTGCTTGATGGCCCGAGCCCGGAATTCCTTGGGCCCCGATTTCCGTGTTGGACGCCTGTCATCTTGTCCTGTTCACATGTTACACGGGAAAAAAAGAAGAGAGAAAAAAGTCATCGTGCTTTGGTCAACCTTTGATAGCCTCGATTACCTTTTCCCGCTCAGCGGCTCACGAGGTGGACTGACCGAGCCAAATCAGACTTCGCAATCACCCACGTGCTTATCGTGTCTCTGCCCCCAATTTCCCAATTTCCCCAGCGGAGGCGGGGCTCCGCTCGGTATACGGGTCAGGGAGGCTTTCACCATTTTCGACTGCTCTGCGGGTGTTTGTGTCCGCCGTGCGATAGCCGAAGCATCGCCTCGGCACCAACTCATCATTGGTTGACGCTTGTGTTTGGTTGGAGATTGCGACACTCCGCGCCTCCGGTTCGCGATTGCGGTGCTCCTTGATAAGAAACGGTGCCGGCTAATGGGACGGAAGGGCCAAATCCACGCCTAAGGGGGGGTACAGAGAAGACGGCTAATAGCAATTACAGCTGACAGTCAGCGCCGGCCGAGCCACTCCTATCAGTTGTGATCTTACATGGGGTTGCACTTGTACGGAGTACAGAGTGCTCGTTTGTACAGTGGTACTACAGATACCACTCCATATCTCGCTCGGTACCATTTGAAGATCTAGACCTGGACAAGGAAAACGGTATGCGGGGTTCCGGGCTTTTTTCCTCTCTTTATTCAACGGAGAACAAATTTGCGGACAGGGCGCTTGGCGATTGGGGGCGGCCAGGAAGGAAGAAGAGGAAAAACCAATAGGATCCCGACATTGCATCATCAGTCTCTGGCCCAGGTTGGGACTTTTTCGCCCTCTCGTTTCTGACGATGCAACGTGTTACGCCTCCATGGGGGGTGCACTAAAACCTGGAGTATTTGTCGGACTCGCTCTCCACGGTTCTTCCGTTGTCAGACGCAAAAGTGCGGGCACTTATTACACATAGTTGCCCCTTGGCTCTTTCACAAGATTCATACAAGTACTTGTGTCTTGTAATCATGGCAATACATGTGCGCCATCCATGGCAAATATTGGCATTAATGCCGTAAGCTCTAATACTTCCGGAAACCTTCTTTGGGTGACGAGTCGTTTTCTTCAATGAGCATTGACAATCACCCTTTAGGCTGAAGCATATTTTTCTGGGTTCTTCTCCCTTTTTGCCTTGTCCGCTTGACGCAGGAACAGTACGAGTACCTTAATTAATGAAAAGCCCAAGGAGGGGCTGGTTGCCACACAAGCACACGCACGTACGCATACAAAAAAAGTCAAGGAAAAAGGATTCGCACCCCACGGGGAGAAGGCGGATGCGATAGGTGCCACGATGGGGGATCTAGAATGCTCAGCCATCAGATCCTGGCGTGGGAACGTTTCGCCGTGGTTGTTTCTGGTTTGATTTGGCCAGAGCTGCCTTGCGTGAAACAGGCACATAATTGGCCGCTGCGAACTGTTTGTTGTCATACACGCTGCAACGACTGGCACCACGTATGAGCACCAATGTATGTACTTGGTAACGGGGGTCCTCGAGCCAGCGATTCGCCAGCCCAAAGATGCCGCAGCACCAAAACGAAGCATCCGTAGCCTACCAATTGCTCAGGCTCGTCACTTGGGAACACGGCTTCGGCTTCCTTTCCCGCTACCGTCGTCGTCACGTCGCACTGCCCTTGCAGCCGTTTCGTTTCGTTTCCATTTTCTAGACTCCCCCAACGTTCTTTCAGGAGATTTTCGGCGACGCCGCGCGAATAAAGGCGCAAGAGCACAAGCCATTGAGCCGAAAGGACCCTGGTGGCGTTCTGGAGAAGCGCCCCACACAGACGTGCCCTGAATGAGGCACCGAGCCATTTATGTGTGTGTGTGCGAGAGTGTACGAGTACTGTGTGTGTGGTGTGTGTGAGAGAAGGCAACGCACAAATTGTGCTGCGTACGGCGTCCTCCGATCTCGAAAGAAAGCGCCGTTTTGGGCGATGAGGCGAATCTCCTGGGTCTCCTTGGCGGCGTACCGTAGAACACAAGTGCCAGGCTTGTATTTTCTTCGGTGCTCGGTCCAGCTTGTGAATTAGCTTGTGTGCAAAGTTCTCGAAGGAGCAAACACTTTACACTTGGCGGCACGACTCCATACATCTTGAGCCATGGCGTTTTCCCCAGATCTTCAGTGGAAGATTCTGGTCACCCGTCCCTTACCTTAATTCGACCATCTGTGGCTTGCACTCTCGTATGGGGAGAAAGGCGCCGACATGTGGCTTGACCAGATCTTTCACAGCCCCAAGCTGAGGGGTCTCTCGGGTATTGGCAACTATAACGGCATAGACAAACAGCGCCCTTTGACTGACGTCTTGGGATATTTATTAGCTAAAAGAGGCTTTTCTTTATAAACTCAGAGGAGGTGACGTCAAACAGCGCCCTCTTGATTGATCAAGAGGCAGTCTGCGGAGCTGGTCTTCAACTTTCCTCGGTTCGTATTGTTGTTCTTAGAATACGAAAAGTTGATTCTTGAAATTGTTCAGCAAGCGTAGGGAGCTTTGTAAACCTCTTTAGTTTCGTAGTTACGAGCAGAGCCGAATAAATAATCCTACAGCTGAGGACACATGGCAGCATTTTGAAGCTTATTAACTACAAGCTTGTTTTCGCTTTTACACGGCATATCGCAAGTATCAAAGTAGTCGCATTGCATACACCTTGGCTGGGCATTTTGAAGTTGCAGCAGACCTTTCCACCGCCACAATGCCTATTCAGACAGCCACCCTTCGAATTGCTCGTCCATCAGACAACATCGATGCATTGATACCATTCTATGTCGATGGCCTAGGCTTCGAGCTGCTCTTCCGCTTCAACCAACACGAGAACTTTGACGGCATCATGCTCGGCCACAAAGGTGCAGGGTACCATCTTGAGTTTACGGCCAAAAACGGCCACGCCGTCGGCCATGCGCCGACAGAGGATAACCTGCTCGTCTTCTATCTGCCCGAAGGAAACGACTTTAACGAGGCAGTGGCGAGGATGGAGAAGGCTGGGTTCAGTGCCGTGACGAGCTTTAATCCTTACTGGGATCGATGTGGCAAGACATTTGAGGATCCGGATGGATATCGTGTCGTCTTGGTGAGCACTGAGTCACCGTTTTGAAATAAGCATTGGGAGAAAATGGTAGAGAAAAGAGTCAAGGCATATGACTCTCGCCATGATTCCGCTACAGGGATGAGAGCAGCATTGAAACGGCTTGGAGAGGGGTATGGGAATGCTCTTCTGTGCGTGTAGTTGGACTACTCCGTACATGTGCTATCCTGAATTAATACGAGTACCCAGGCTGTTGTGTTGTGGCCGAAACAATAGTTTGGTACATAGGACAATGCAAGCAATTGTCATGGCAGCATGGCAGCATGGCAGCATGGCAGCATGGCAGCATGGCAGCATAAGTTACTTGCTCAGATGACGAATACCGCACTCAAAAGAAAACACGGAGCCATGCTCGGCTCTACTGTATCCTCCCACATCTTTCAGCTGTACCCGCTTTGTCTGAGATCCATGACTAACGACTGAGCTATTGGTGATTATGCCTGGCAAGCGACGCTCGTGCTGTGCATGGGGCTCACGCAAGCCCTGGTACCTGAGATTCCCCGACACGAGGCCGCAATTCTCCGTACCCCAGAGGGTTGAGACTTGATCATGCAGATTCATTCACAATAATCACTTTAATAAAAAAAAAGTGCTTAGCTTGCTGTAGAAAGTATTACAGTAGGTAGTAATTTTGGCGCAGTATGAAGTAGAGGAAAGAGAACTTGAGCTGGTGGAGGCCCCTGTAAATGGAATCAATCGCATCACGTGATTTCGCGACCTACCGTGCGCGCTGCGACTCGTCATTGCTTCACACGTTGGCTATATCGCACAGCTTCTCATGGTAGCGCGGCCAAGCTCAGGCAAGGCTATGGATCATGGACTATCATGCCATCCATGGCCATGACATAGCCAGTTTTGACACATCGAGCTCAACGCGTAAGCTTTCCCGGGTTGGCCGTCGCAGCATTGGGCTAACCTCTCAGATCGTCTGCCAACGGTGCCGGCGTCACAGGCTTGGGAAGACTTGAAGGCCGGCCCGGCTACTCACATCTCGACGGGATTGGGAGCCCTTGATCGTGCATTGCTGGGGCTTGATTCAACTGATTCGAAAGATGCTGTGCTGCAGGGGGGCGTCAAGCGCGGCCAGGTAACTGAGATATGGGGGCCCCCGGGTTGTGGTAAAACTGCATTAGGGTAAGAGAGCGCGATGATATAAATGGCATTCTACGCAAAAGAATGTGTTTTTATTTATATGTCTAGATGCTGATGAGACTTGGTAGAATTCAACTGGCCGCCAATGCCCTGAGTGATGGTAACGGTGTGGTCTGGGTAGGTCGGTTTGACGACTTGAAACAAGATATCCCCCGTTATCACCGCCATCCACTAATACAACCCGATTGTGTCCAGACTGCTTTCAAAAATTACAAACTCAGAGAATAGCAAATGTGCTGAAATGCGTCAAAGAGTCACGACATTTGGCGGGAACAGGGGATACGCAAGACGTAGACCCAAGCAAGTTGGTTCAATACTCTTGCATGACACTGCCTCATCTGCTTGCTTTTATATCTCGACCAACAACAACTACTATTGCTTCGGATGTGTCGCTTGTTATTCTTAGCTCTCCATCGGCCTTGATTAACTCATCTTTGCCAAGGTCATTGGAAGGGAGAGGAAACCCAAAGCAAGCAAAGGGTATGTATTCATCAGTTTAATCCGCCCCCTGTGAGTTTCCCTTCTAATATTATGTTTCTAGGTCCTACTCCATCTTCAAAACGCCTACAAGGGTTACAGTTTATCATCAACACGTTGCAAAAGCTCGCCGCAACTAAGAATTGCGCCGTTGTCTTACTATCGCAATGTGCAACAAAGATGAGAAGCGAGCAGAAACCCACACTAATTCCGGCCATCAACACCACGGTGTGGGAGCAAGGCGTGTCTACAAGGCTAGTTCTATTTCGGGACTGGGCGTGGACTGCAAACAAGTCCTCCAGCGTCTTTCTAGCAGGCCTGCAGAAGATTGACGGTAGGGCGGTTCAAGACGCCGTCGAGCATGTATCTGCATTCAAAGTTGAGCCTGTACGTTACATTGATCACACTCAAGCGCCGGCATTTGAAAATGCTAATCTCAACTTGGACAGACCGGCATATCAAGTGTCCACTACGAAGTCAGTGACCCGGGCATGGAGGTGGCGGCCGTGGCACCCCGTCCAAAGAGGAAACTGGGGCAGACGGAGCTGGAGGTGCCGGACAGCGACGACGACGAAGACTACGGCTGGGCAGACGAAGACGAGGATGCATTGCCACCGCCGCCGTCTCAATGGCAAGGAAGCGAGGACCTGATTCTAGGTAAAGAGGCCGGCTTAAGCGAAGAGGAGCCGGATGAAGGGCTCCAGGACTACTATTATGAAGACGACGAGGTCGGGGATGGCGACCGAAGTAACAACGAGACGGACTGACCTGAGCTTGGAAAAACCGGGGGTGGTTTAAGCGCCGGCAAAACGCCGAATGGCCTTGGCTGCGCCGTACGTGTAGGTATTCCCGAGATGGAGCGAGAGATGGAGCCGCATCTCCACCATGCGGTCTTGCTATCAGTTCGAGACAGGCCTAGCAGTGAATAGCATGACGAGGTGGCGGCGTCCCGGCCGGGAGAGCTATTTAGGGTTAGAACGACTGAGACCAATTGGATTGTATCTTATGAGCACACGATATCATATCTCAGCCGCATGTACGCAGTAATACGAGCTTTAATGAGCATGTGTTTTTTTTTTTCTTTGTGTATGATAACGTACTAAACATTGCTCCTTGGCCATTATTCTAAACCTTAACCTCGGCTAGATCAATCTCCAACCAACGCATCTACAGTAATATCACAGTATCCAGCGAGTCGACGGCGCCTGACTCTTGCTCACATGTGAAAATACTTTGACCCTGGAGGTTCTTCGGAGATGCTTTACCAATCGTCGTCGTCTTCGAAGTCTTCGAAGGCTTCGAACATGGTATGTAGTGGTCGCGATTGAGCTGTAGGTACATTGCGCCTCATCATCGTAGTTCTCGGCGTTGGTCGAAAGACTTGAGCTGGGTTTGCAGGCCTTGTCCAGTTGGAGCGACAGTAGCGATTGCAGTCATGGCTGCTGAAGAAAGAGCTGATTCCTTCGGGCCCCAAGTCGGTGACTCCATAGGCACGGCGTCGAGACAAGATGACGGGATCGGAAAGGACAACTTCACGTTGGTAGATGCCGCCTTGGAGGTCACACAGCACATACATGCCCCCAGATACGTGATAGCTGAAGTGGCTGACAGCCTGCATCACCTCGCCCCAGGCCGTGGACTCGTCATTCCAGCCGGTATTACTGTTGAATTTCTGATAGTTCTGGATAAAGGGCTCAACTAAAGTCTTTTGGCCTGCCCATTCAGCGTCGCAATTAGACGTAAAAGTCCATACGGTAGGCACGTTGATTTTGATCGGCTTGTTCACGATGCACAGCGGTTGAAGCGGTTGACAATTTCTAGAGCTTTATCGACGGCTAATATATCGTGCGTGAAGTATTCCTCCGAAAAGACGGCGCCGCTCTTGAACCATTTCGTAACGCAGGCCTGGTTCTTCCGGGGTCCTGATGTGTACTTTCCCTTGGCCACCCATCGGAACGTGCCCTGGGCCATGGGATAGTCCAGAGCATCATGTTCGAAATTGGCAAAGTTGGAGTGATTGTATCTTCCGCTATCTGCCTCCTCCTCCGCGGGCGTATCCGAAGGGTGTCCGTGAACACAGCCCATGCATCGTGAGAGACTGTCGCCCTTGGTCCACCGCGTGTTTGTGAAGGAAGACTGGCTCAGATAGCGGTTGCAGGCGGCACAGGCGCGACGATGCATTGCTGGACTAGCATCCAATTGGATTTTACCGTGGATGGGGCGGCTAATTCAAGAGCCGCAGGGTTGTTGATCGATTGCATTGGATTGCTGCTATTATTGCATGGAGAGCACAGGGAGATCCTCCGATCTTACCTACTAGGTACGTAGTAGATAGGTGGTAGATGCCACCGTGGTTGAGTTTCTGTTGGCCGTGCCTCAGGCAGCAAATCACTACTACGATTACGATTACCTCTGGCTTGGACGTGTTTCTTTGCTCTTCAAGCATCAATTGAATGCCGCTTCCGTCAGTAAGTAATTATCATCCCGCCCATTGAACGCCGCACACGGGCCTACGAGCACTCGTACTCGTACAAGGCTGATAGGTACTCCGCACTCCTCACAGAAGCCTGGCATGATATTGCTCGCCGCTCGGCTGACATCAACAACTTCGGCTCGGAGAGCGCTCGTACATACTCGTACATCCAAGGGTCCCCATCCCGTACCTTGATGGGTGCGCTGGGCCTTTTTCGGCGGCACATGGATTCCGCAATTTTTTCCTCTTGACGTTTGCCACTGGCCCGTTCAGGCTGTCACGGCCAAGCCACGATGCATTGGGGCCAGCTGTGTTCCTGACTTGCTGGCCATCAGCAAAATTTTCTGTGTGCCTAGCAACCTAGCAACCAAGGCACGGGGTGACTACTGCGTGCTACGAGTATGTACAGTACTGCGTGCCTTTCTCCATCTCCCATCGACCTGGATCCTTTCCCTTTATCTCTGGCCTGCATTATCAGCGTCAATAGTACGGAATCCTCCGTGCTAGCCTGGGGAGAGCAGGTAGCTAACAGCACGGAGTTCGGGTTCGTCTGCTCCCAAGGCTTCACTGGCTTCACTCTTCCTGGTCCATGCGTTTGCCCACATGCTTCTGGAAAGAAGCAAAAAAATTCTCCTAATTGCATCATGAGCCGCCAGCACGGCTAAGAGCCCCGCCGTTATCTTTCTCATCCCACGCCAGAGAATGCGCCGGTTGAGAAATTTTGACGATCCACCCGCCTCAAGCCTTTGTACCTGTGGGGAAAAGATACATGGCTCAAAATCCCCGATCTGACTCCACGTTTTCGTAGGGACACGCCTCTTTGTGCCGGCCCAGCACCTTCTTTTTTTTTTTTTTTTCTTTTTTTTTTTTTCTTGCCTACTTCTTCTGCGCCCACTCTTTTTGGCTGCCAAGCTGCTTCAGTACTCGTACAGGTACAGGTAGCAGGCAGCCTTATTTCTCTGTGCCTTATGCACAAATGTGGACTCGATTCGCCCAAGTCCAAGGGCAATGTCATCATCGAGCGTGTGGCAAATGCAGGCATGCAGCCGGAAGAAGCAGTCCGAATGGAAAGCTGCAGAAAGCGTCCAAAGACTGACAGACAACAGACCGTCTTGACTCAACTCCTGGCCGCATTGCGTGTGCGCCAGCCCTCGCCAAGAGCGCATTGAGCTGTTCCAAGGCCGCGGTGCCTTGGCTGCCCCCAAGCTCTGAGACATTCAGGCCTCCTGTGGAGTCTGCGAGCTTCTGGGGTCTGTATGGGGTGATGGTTCGAGTGAGAAAAAGCGCTCAAGGCCGACGACCGTGCGCTATCTGGCCGATACAACCCATATTGGCATGGGGGTTTCCAAGGCCCAGACAATACGGAGAGCACGGCGGCAATACGATTACGCCTGAAACTGTGTTGGCCTGATTTCTTAGTGCTGTTGTCGTAATATCAACATGCCCTCTTATTCATGGTACGATGAAGCCAATTGTTGACTATTTGCCGAGCATGACACATCTTGGCATGCCCGGTCACGCAAGAATCCAAGGAGCAGCAATGAGGGAATTGCGGAAAGACATACAGGATACTCGTCGTTTATCAAAGTTACCAAGTGCTGAGTGAGATATTGTATTGAAAAGTTGCGCCGAATTTCCCCATGCTGTTCAACACGCGGCGCATCCCGTCCACACAACCGTCAACGTGGTCCCCCATGCCGGATCGACGGCTAGCACACACAAGCGTGCTGCGGAGATAATAGCCTTTTGCGACCGAGCACGGGGAGAAAAGCAACAGAGTGGTATTGGATGATGATATCTCAAAGTCTCTGTGGCGCAAATTACAAGCATGTGGGTGAGCAAGGGCCGGAAAATCCGCAGTAACGTCCATTGTTCAGAAAGCAGACGATTCCTTCTCGCCCTTGCGTTTGCTTTGCCCTGCCGAGGCTCCATTGGCGTACCGACCATGGTATGGGCCTTGTCATGATTCAATTGGCCTCTTGTCACTGTCAAAAGCAACAACACATGCAAAAGACATGGATGAAAAACGCCACTATCGGAACGCCCCGACTGGAATCCGAGAATCCCGCCCAATACCGAGCGTCGACAGGTAGATCGGCGATTCACTGAGAGGGATGCTGCGACCTGCATTTATCGCTCACATCCACCAATAGTCGTTGAGCAGCCGACTACAATAGTCTTCAATAGCCTGAGGATGGGCCCTTGATAGTACCGTATACGGAACGCGCACACCACAGCCAATATATACGAGTACAGCTAAAGTTCCACATTCAGCCCAGGTGAAGGACCTTGTACATAATCACAAATGGCACAGCTGTCTCCTCTCCACCCATGCAATCCATAAACGGGAGCCCTGCATTGGATGTGCAGCGCTTCCGTGGGGTCGCAACATTGGCCTGGATGGAAGGGGAAAGTGGTGATCAAAGCATAGATAGCCGGGCAAGATGGTTAATGGTCTGCTATTAACCATATTGTAGCGGAGGCATAATGTATCGCGTTATGTTTCAAACGACACTCAACATGGGGAGGAGAGAGTCTGGGGCCGGTCACATGGCCATGTTTTGTGGTGTAGGTATGCCAACGTCTATTGGCAATTGTATACGATGATGCTGGAACTGCCTGGATCATGGATCATGCTTAGACAGGGGACAGTGGTATTGGCCCTGGGAGTTTGGCCCTGGCATACACGAAGTTGAGGGATGGTGGCATGGATTTATTGATGAGGCTCAAGTACAGGCTAAATAGGTATATTCCGGGGAAGTCTTGGTCTTCCTTTAGCCGCTGTGATTGTGATTGTGATTGCGTCCAAATGCTTCCTCTAGGATAATAGGCATCTCTGGCCGGATAATGCGCACTATCAACGGTGCGTGGGAGATAGTAAGTACTCGACTCAATACAAACAAATCCCTATCTTCTTTCTAGGATTTATTCCTGGCTTGGCTATCTGGATAAATGTACTTCATGGGAGAGCAAGATATAGTCTCTAGCCTATATTGCTCCGCACCGGGTTATTAATAACTGCTAAAGAATTTTGAGAAGCTGGTTTCCAGTTAACTACATCTTCAGTACTTCTGACCTATTCGACATGAACATCGTCAAGTGACCGTGTTCACATACATGTGCTAGTCTTTTACTTCTGACCTATTCGACACGAAAATCGTCAAGTGACCATGTTCACATACCTGTGCTAGTCTTGGTTTAACCTCCTTCTCAAGAACGTTTTTATTGCTCCTTCTCTCGATTCATGATCAACATGGGCGTGATGCATCACTTTGCCTACATGATCTTAAAATACAACATCAATATATCACACGCTACCGGAAGAGAAATGGCAAATCATTCTGGTCAACCCGGGTACCACCTGCCTTAGTATTTAACCGTAAATACAGGAGAAACAACCTAATGAGTAGCTAGGAGGGATTAACAATCTCTATCTCGACATCATTAATGCGAAACCAAAAGTTCAGGTAGCCTTTCATCGGGTAATAGTTTTCGTCACGCGTACCATCTTCAGCGACATGATCCGATTCGGAGTCAAACCTAACCTGAACGCTTTTATGCCTGATTGTATGATACGGAGTATTGGGATCGGTGAACTGGTAAGTAGCAGAACCGTAAAACATGCTTAGTGGTTTCCGCCAGTAGTGAACGTGATCCCAACCTAGGCGGCACTGTCCTACGGCTCGCTTCGACCCGTTCTCGTACTCGAACAATATGCCTTTGCACAGGCTTCGCCGCTTATCGCTGAAAACGCGTACGCTTGACACACCCTCGAGAGATGCAGACGAGAAGAATGCGTAAGCAAGTGGCCAGACATGATGGGGATCAACATCCACCTCGGTAGTCTCGGTCTGCTTATCGGCATCGGTTCCGATGAATTTCATTAAGCCAGAGCTTGGTATCTCATGGATGAGATTCAGAGGTCGTCGGGAATCTTCCTCCATCTCGTATAAAATCCCTCGGCCAGGTCGTCGTGGCGTGTTATTAGCTCGAGTTCTCGAAGAGTTTGTAGCTCTTTGAGGAGTGCCGACTATAATCTTCCCAGTCTTTGTCCATATCTGTAAAGCTGGGGGTTAGTTTGTCAAACTTAAAACACAACTATTTCGCGTACTCACTGTGAAATGATGTGGTCTATCTGTTGTTACGTTTTGCCTAATCTCCATTGCCGTGATCTTATCCTGGGCCGTGAGTGGCACATAAATCCAGGCGATTTCATGGTCAAACATGGCGCGCAGGTACTTGAATCTCTCTAGATGGTTTGAGCGCCGTCCTGAATGAGCATGGATCTCACGCACAACTCGTGTAGTCAAGAAGAAGGAGATTCCAGTGCAGTGCTCTGGATCTAAACTAATAGCAGCCAGACGGGGGTATGGATGAGGTATGAGACTCATGAGTTGAAGTGGATTTGGAGTGCTCCAAGTGCTGATATGTAGATCCGCCGGGATATGAAGACGACCCAACCCGAGCTAGATGGATTAGTTATTTGAGCCTTTGCACTTGAATTACAACAGATAGTTGCATACCTCAAACTCTATCTTGGCATCTGATAGCCTCTCTATCGGCTCTACCACAAACACGTAAGAGGAAGCCGGCATTTTACCAGTTGTGATTGGTTCAGTATCAGAAAACCGGTCAATGCTGCTAATGCCGCGATGGTCAATTGTAAATCGGATGAAAGAGCCGGCAAGGCTTTCATCTTGCACAAGTTGGGGAGTGCTGCCACGAGACCATGACAGCACTTTGGGAACTTTATAGGTGACTGCTGCTTCTTCCGCATTTGCTGAACCAAGTTCCTGTGCTAACTCAATGGCCGAGCAATATCGCCAGATAATATGCGACTGCAAGTAACTCTGGATTAATCGAATCACTTCTGGCAAGAAGGTCTCTTGAAAGCCGCAGATTTTGCTAATCATCTCCGCTGGACGAACCGCAAGGGTGCTGCTGTTGGAGAATTTGAGCGGCTCCATCTCGCGCCAGGCATATTGCCTTGTTCCCGCCAGCCAGAGGCGTCTATACTTCTCATCATTTTGCTCGGAGTTGTTGTTGTCATTTCCGACGGTGCAATGCCGCTCAAACAGCTCGAAGCAATCTGTGTGTATAGATACGCTCTCTTCGGCAGTTCGACAGGCGTGGCAAAGAGGACTCTTGCAGAATATATTGTGCACCTTCGGTGTCTCACGGAGATGCCAAACAAATTGCTCTGGCCTTGGTATGAGAAATGGCATCTGTCTCATACTCATGCACGATTCACAGTCTTGCCGCTGACAGAACATCAAATGCAGATCCTCTGCCGTTTTCTGTTCGCAGGGCTTCCCTATGCTGCTAAAGATAATGTTCTTGTGTATCTCGAGTACGGAATTCCTATAGACCACTTTATCATGATTAGCAAGACGGGACATCTTCTATCTGCTCGAGATGGATCTTCATACATGCGACTAGGGTTTCACCCGGCAAGAAAAGCTGGCTACAGGCTGCACATTGGTGGTGAATCGTGGTGTGCAACACTTGAGTATCCGTCTCTGATGATCCTTCTCCCTCTCCGAAGGGATGCATCAGACCAGGATGCATCACCATAGAGGGATGCATCACAGAGGGATGCATCAGATAGTGATACATTTTCGTAAACGACCCAGGAAGTGACGGTCGCGATGGGCAGCAATTGAAGCTGGAGAATTGGTGAAGTGGGAGCACAGCCTGCTGCCCAACAAGATGTTGATGCAAGGTGAAAAGACGGGAGTGTCAATTGGTGGAATTTGCTTGATGTACAGCCAGAAGGTCGAGGTATACGCGGACAGGCTTCAAATATTCACATATAGCTAAACTATATCGAGGCCAAAGACTGGTATTGGAGCAAAGGTCTCTAATCTGCATTCAGTTTGGATGTCCGTGGATGGTTGGAATATTTGTGTGGATATTTGGAAGTGATCATCGATCATCGATCCAGATTTGAGATACTGCCGAAAACACTTAGCAAGATTAGCTGAAAAGATAATCTCACCTTTCATTTTTATCGTCAATATGCTTCATACTGGCAATAAATAAGACTCTTATAATCCAAGGTATTGGAGATACCATCCTCAAGATGTCATCTTCTTCTACTACTTCAAGCCTTGTTTCCAGCCTTGTCCCTTCACAATTTTCCACCAACGATCATCGCCAATCTATCTAACAGCCAAGCCCGAAGCCCATGTACATTCTACATGAACAAATACAACGTCTGCCGCCCAAAAACCTCAACTGATTGGATGATTTACGCCTCAATCCGAAACCAAAAAAAGCAAGCAATTCCAGGGTAAGCCACCCTCTTTCAAGCATCTGAATCCTTACATAATCCCAAACGCGGGCAGCAAGCCACACGCGCCACAGCTCATGCTTCAGCTGCGGAAAGTCGCCTCACATTCTCAACCTTGCCAATTTCCCAGTCAACCGAATAGCAAAAAAAAAAGACTGGCCTGCTGGGAAAATTCCCTGACAAACGAGAAACGCCACCAAACGGAGACGCTTCTTCGACATGAAGTTTTGAAGACGCGTGTCGATAAGGATTTTGTATTGAGTGCTGTGGAAGTCGAACCGAAATCGATGGTGACAGGAAGAAGAATCTCTTAGTCGTCTGTGTGTTGCAGGTGAGTTGATTCGTCGCGGATGTCATCTTTCTCTCCACTTTGTCTTTATTCAAGAGGCTACAAACGCGCTCTTCGCTGCTCAAGGCTATGGAAGTCTCAAATCTTTATGCATTCAGAATGACTTTTGCCTGGTGGCATTGGCGGTGGCATGAGCAGTGCCCATCCTTTATGAGATTCCGCGTTACGCCCGTTTGCATCCATACACCAGCCTCCATGTTATATATGCACATCGAATCATCTGCTTTTGGGCTATTACGACCCCTTGATTTCTGTATACGCATTGGAAATGCTAACCATTTCTTCCATCAGGTAATTGATTTGCGATGTCTCCTGATCCGCCCTCCAAAGAAGTCGTCGCCTCAGATGGCGCTGCTGCTAATGGCACCACAAATGTCGCTGCGAACGGAACTACAGACGAGAACAAGACTAGGAAACCATTTTCGTGGACGTAAGTTGCCACACCGCATCAACCATTTCATTGCGCTGGTACTGATGCTTCTCATTTCAGCCAACCACATCCCATCTTCGTCATCGTTCTAGTTGGTCCCGATGAGCAGCCGTTTGGTCTTCAGAAAGACTTCCTTTGCGATCGCTCCGAGTTCTATCGCAAGCATTTCGAGGAGAATGTCACAGAGAAGGCTTTGGAGCACATAGTGAAGCTCCCAGATGCGACGCCCGAAGTATTTGGGCTCGTACAAAGTTTTCTCTACACTGGAAAGATTACTGACGAGAACACCAATGTCACTTCCTACGAGTCCCTGGTTGGCCTCTGGAATCTGGGTCACAAACTCGCCGTCAAGGGGCTATGTGAGCATACACTCGAGGCCATGGTAGATTGCCGACGAACCACGGGCCGAATTCCGGCAACACCTCTTCTCATCCAGGTCTGGCGAGATACCCCTGAAGGCTCATCCATTAGAGTTCTTCTGCTGTCTTGGGCAGCGGAATACATGAGATCTTCAGACGCTCGAGCTGAATTCGCCAAGTCACTACCCCAAGAGGTTCTCAGTGAGCTTGTAGTCACAATGAGCTCATTCGAGACGATTGTCCCGCCGGCTCCGGTTGCGGCACCAGTGGTGCCTGTAGTCTCTGTCCTCCCCCCCAGTTCCATTAAATTACCAAACGCCCCAGTTCCAACAGCGCCTAGGAAGAACGTTCATTACCTTGACGAGGAGCATGACGAGGAGACCCTTGGCGCAAAGAAGAAGAATCGACGATCTAGTGGAGCGTCAGTTGACGCGGGCGTATCCCGCAAGCCGCATCGCAAGTCTGGCTCTTCCCCACCTCCTAAACCACAAAAGAGACGGTCGAGCGCAGCCTTGTTAGAGGGCAAAACATTTTCGACTCAACAGAAGCTAGACTTCTGTGCTGACTTGTTAAATAGAATGCTCTCTGGGCCAGGTAAACATTACAGCATCACCGTTTACTACACTCATCTCAGTGCTTGCGTTTGGCTAACCTCATATTACAGGCTTTTGGACTCGGCTTGTTGGCCCCTTCCGGGAGCCGGTTGACCCAGTGGAAGACGGCGTGCCGGATTACTTTGACAAAGTCAAGAGGCCAATGGATCTCAGCACCGTCAAACAGAAGATGGACCAGAAACAGTACACAACCGAAGAGGAATTCCTTAACGACGTGCGACAGATCTTTGACAACTGTTTCACGTACTGGAAGAAGGGCGACCCAATGTGGGCGGCCGGCGAGAGGCTCCAACGAACATTTGAAGAGAAGTACTCTCACATGAACAAGTGGATCGCCAAGCTGGGGGGCGAAGAGGGAGAATAGGAAGACTCTACTAAGTCTAAGCCCGAGGTGGTTGCAGGACAGAGCGCCCTATCAGACCTTGAGCCTAAAAAAAGAACAAGAGGACTGCGGCGAAGTCATGACAAGAAAGGATGAAGAGCAGGTCTTGTGTGTATTTTGTAACGTCTGGAGGATTGTGTTTTGTTATTGTGTTGTGAGGATTCGGGGGCCCCCAACAAGGGCTGTGGCTATGGATCATGATTGTATTGTTAAGCTGTAGGTCTGTGATGAGATTTCAAGGTATGGCCAGCAAACTGGTTGCTGGTAGGGATGGGGGACGTAATGATGCTTTGGGCTTTACAACCGTAGGTTTCAAGTGAAAAACTGTAGTATTCAGGGACTGTATTAATATTACGAGAATCGATATCTAAACTTGACGTTTTAGTGTGGGTGGAGGAGGGTGCTATGGTGTGGCAATGTGATTCATATAGTCACGGAACTGATGGAAGGCAGATGAATACTAATTGGGTGCCTAGGTATGCAAGAATAATATCAACGCCAGTATCATGATAGGCCTACCATGTAAACACAACTGGCCGTGATGAAATGGCTCAAACTAACATTGTTTAAAGTTTGACGCTGCATCTCGTCAGCCATAGGGGAGGGATTGCTATGAATAGCGTGCCCGGCTTGGGAGCAAGGCTATTTTGGATGGCTCGTACGAAAGTGATACACATGACGAAAATGCAAAATCTTGCGTTTACCTGATTCCAATATCGCTTGGTCCGTGGCCACGTGTCGGTGAGATTGCATTGCATCTGCCGGGTAGCACTGTTTTGTTGTGTTGACACGAGAAGTGACGCAGAGTACTCGTACCTACTAAGTAATATGCAGCGCAATTCTCCCTTTTCTGCCTCAATTTCAAGGGAGAACGACAAGTGATGAATTGACATAGTCTGTCGGAGCGTTTCGCTCTATCTTTCTGGTTGACCTTCAAACAAGATCCTCCCTGATAGTCAGGTCTGAGCGTGCTTCATCAATGAGGCATAGAGCCGAGGGGAAGGTTTGGGCATGGTGAGACAACACGTGAATTGGATGGGGACACGCATAATGGAGCGAGATGTGCAATGTCGGATGCGTGCTGGTCTGAGATTGTCGCCCAATGTCGCTGGATCCATAGGTGCCTTATCATGTCCACCAGGTCTGCACCACCAGTATATGCTGGCAGTACATAGCAGACAGCTCTTGCGTTTGCAACCAGTCATGGTCCAACAAACAACCTTATTATATTCTCCTCGCCGTGTGTGTGGATGAGGCGTCAGACTAGTTGGCGCGCGCTGAGTTGGCGGTTGTGAAACCCTCAAGGATTGCCAACAATGCGCTGCGGATAAATGAGATGCCGCCATGGCAATCGAATAATACCGCCTCTTCCTCGGCTTGCTTCGTCCAGGCTCAGGCACAGGCACAGGCACAGGCACAGGCATGATGAGCAGAGCAACATGGCACTGGCCAGGACCAAGTAATAAGCCGTATGAGTACTCCGCAAAATGGCCGACGTCGCTTAATTCCCCCCCCCAGGGTAGTTCATCGCAGCGATCTCGACGAAGCGAAAGCACAGCAAGAAGCGACACTTTCGTCACCGCCAGCAGACGCACGCGCCATGTGCTCAATATCCTCAATATCCGCTCAGAGCTGGCGGCGCATCTGGAGTGGAGTGGTGGCCAGGCGGGAAATGAGCAGCCAAGCAGCCCATTTGCTGAGCGGCTATGAGTGGCTGCGTCCTGTGCCTGGTACCTTGCAGCTAGGCACGGATTAAGCCTCGTGTTGTTGCTTCAAGGTCTGAGGCTAGCATGTTCTGGGCCATTGGAGCCGGGGCCGGGGCGAGCTGAGTGGGCAAGGGCTGGTGTTAGTACAGTAGAAGAAGAGGCAGAAGAAGAAGAGAAGCCATCGTCGTTGGGTTGCGTCTCCTATCCTATCATGGAGGAAAATTGCCAAGATGAAGACAAGAGCATCAAATAAAATAAAATCAAAAAATAAAATGCCCTCAGGCGCAAACAAGGTCGCCTCGTCTCGCATCAGCTTCTCTCTCGCCTTGCCTCGTCTCGTCTCGTCTCGTCTCGTTTCGTCTGTCCTGCTCTTTTGCAGCGCTACGAGCACTGGGAAATGAGAGGTTGAGAAAAAGGAGTTGCAGGGGTGTCCATGCACAGACTCGCCCAAGTATCTCGCCCCGTGCCCCAGGCTTGTTTGGTACCTGGCCAGCTGCTTGGCGGCAAATGGCTTCTCCGCTCCAAGGCCCCCCCTGCTGTCTCTCGCTTCCCCATCCGCATCACGAAAAGCTTTTTCTTCTCTCTCTCCCGCCTTCGTTTCGCCTCCTACAGCTTTATTCACGCTCGTTGAAACAACCAGAGTATTATACTCGTTACGCTCTTTTTTCGTGTCGCCGTACTGTACGATCGCGCACCTGCACTCATTTCGCAACCCAACCCTCACGAGACAATCCCAACGTCCTACACGACAACGCGAAACCATCGCCACCACTGTCCTTCCAACGTCAAGATGCTCTTCCGAACTGCCACCTCTGTTGCCCTTCTGGCCTGCGCCGCCAGCGTCAGCGCCGAGCCCAAGCCTTACCGCCTGGCCATGATGCCCGTCCTTGGACAGAGCCTTGCGCGCCGCAGCACCTATGGATACCAGCCTGAGCTGTCTCAGTGCAGCGACGGCAACACCTGCGCCGAAGCCTGCGGTTCCGCGTACACCGAGTGCCCTTCCAGCGGCAAGGAGACTCACTGCTACAACCCCTCTGCCAAGCAGAACTGCTGCATGGACGGCTCTGGCAGTATGTGGAAATGCCAATGAATGATGCGTGTAATGTGATGTGATGGCTAACGAGCGCTATAGACTCTTGCGACGATGGCTACTACTGCACTCACGACCACGCTCTCAAGACCTGGTGCTGCCCGGATAACATGGATCTCGCTGCTTGCGCCGCTGCTTATAGTGTTGTCGGCGGCCTCGAGTCTGCTACTCCTACTTCGACCAGCACCTCCAGCACCAGCACCAGCACGAGCACCAGCACTTCAACCACCAGCACGACTCTTGTCACCACCTCTGCTGCTCCCACCACCAGCACTACCGAGGCTGCCACCAGCACCACCGCTGCTCCCACGACCACCAAGGCTCCCACCTCTACCAAGGCTCACCAGACTACTGTGACCAAGGTTGACGAGGAGACCACCACTGTTCCTTGCACCACCAGTGCGGGATTCACCAGCGCCTACACCGGTTTTAACAACACCGCCACCGCTGTGCCCACCTCCAAGACTCCTCTTCCCCCTGTCGCGTCTATCTCCACTGGCGCCCCTCAGCCTCCTCAGCCTTCCACCATCAGCGGTGCTGCCACCAGCAGCGTCAGCGCCCTGCTGCTCCTCGCCGCTGGTGTCATCGCCCTTTTGTAAATTTCGTGACGGAGTAGAGACGTGGTTTCTACGTCGGGTAGCCAAGGGACAAAAGAGTTCACTGCTCAGCGCAGCCACGAGGTTACGAGTCTACGAATAGCGATATATGGGGCGGTGTCTTTGGAGGGGAAGACTGTGATTTTTTTTTTTCAGGGGCATCTTCTCTGGGCTTTTGATTTAATGCATCTTGTGGTTTCTAATTTCTTTATTAAAAAATAGTGCGATGATTCCCCTTCGATAGTTGTTGCAATCTCCATTTTCACTTTTCTTGGAGTTGCAACAGAGATTTTGGTATTTAGGAGGTTAATATGTTCTGGCGGACAGAAGATCAATTGAAAGATTAAAAAAAAAGACATTTGACTGTGAAAGATGGTGACAGTTGCTTGAAATCATACCCATACAACATGTATCTACAACTACTCCGTACTACGGAGTAACATACCTTGGCCTTATATTTATTAGTACTTAGTATTAGTATTCATCTCTTGACGAGAAGATTCCTTTTGTTCTCTTCTACTTTTTCTCGGTGTTTCGAATCATCCTCAGAGTTCCATTCTAGCAAGTAATCGCATCAAGAACCTGCCTGCTTCGGTTCTCACGCATCACACAAATCTCAATGACTGAGACAGTGTCGGCACGGATGCTCTAGCTATGATATCATCATTTCCATCATCTACAGGTACATCCATGCGAATCGTACGCACAGATGCAGATGTGGCTGTGGCTGCAGATACGGGAGTGACTTTGAAGATCGTGGGGAAAAAAATAGGGGGCAAGCGAGACGGCAAGGGGGGCTAACGGCACGGGAGCTCTGCAGATTCGAATTGTGATGGGAGATGCGGTTCACTGCCACCTCCGCATTTTTCTTTTTAGGTTTTCGCCTATACGAGTACTGTTTGTGCTCAGCCATTCCTCCCTGCATTGTGCAAAATCTGATTTGTCAATTGTCGCGTAAAAGCACGGTTCTTTGTGCGAATTGGAGTGTGGAGTTTGGATTTGGAGTGATGCGGAGGGATGTGTCCTGCTTGGTGTCGTCGCGACTTTAAGGTGATGCTGCGTGATGGGGACGGCTGTTTGCTTAGGTTCGTACTGGGTACAAGGAGGGCTAGTCGATGGTCCTCATTTAAGGTGCGATTGAGGCTGTCCAGAAGTCTCTACTACCTCTAGGTACAAGCTCATGAGAGCGTGGAAAGTAGAAGGAGAGAAGGAGAGCAGGCGTCATCGTCATCGTCATCGGCTGGGTTGAATCGTTCTTTCCACTGGGCCACGAGAAGGGGGCACAGTATGCGCAAGTCGACGGGATAAAAGAGTCCAAGGTCCAAAGCCCCATGCAGAAGAGGGGCGGATGCCGTTGAAATCGCTCTATGAACACCACCGTCGGACTACTTACCCCCTCCTGAGGGAAATGTGGTGCAAGTCTTGGACATCATCACGGTGGGAGTCATTTGAAGAGTCATTCATATTAAGACGCTGGTATATAAAGATCGCAGCACCGCTGCAATTGGCCTCGTACACGGCGCTAGACTTTGTGTTTCCGGCCAATGAGTCACTGGCCGACGCAGCGCACTGTCTTGCATCTGCTTGCGCGATTCGCTTTTGGGGGCAGATTGTCTGTAGATTTTTCCGGCTGGGGCCACGGACCGGCCCTCACTATGAGAGCCAAGCCCGGATCTGGCGACATCATTTCCTGGGCCACTGCAGTGGCGGCCCCATGCTGCACTTGCCGCGGAATTCTTTTTGCCCTCCTCGGTTTCATCGTTTTGAATGGCTTTTCGCAAGAGAGATGATGCTTGGCCATAAAACTGCCGGACCCCTGTTCTTGAGCTTTATAAAGATTCGCTTCATCAATCGTATCGGCTTAGTCTAGTTGTGCTGCACTCGCGATACGTTGTTGCAGCAGGAACCCCCACGTCTTTACACGGAGCTCAAGCAAAACTTCATCATTCATTGCATTTCGGCAAAATGACATCCATGGCAGCCGAGTCGGTGGCCACGATCCTCTGCACGGCCAAGCAGACTCGCTTCAGCATCGACAGCACCAGTTACCGCGAAGTTCGTCATCTTGGCATCGTTGATCCTGGAATACCTGTTAATCGAAGACTATAGCTCGACATCGACGGCCTCACCATCGTCGTCACCTCTGGCGAGAAAGCAGACAAGCCCGAAAAAGGTGCCGGCAAGTCCAAAGGCAAAGGAAAGTCAGATGGCCTGGAGATCTTGTCCAATGCCAAGCTACGATTGAAAGAAGGCCAGCGCTATGCCTTGGTTGGCCGCAATGGCACGGGGAAGTCGAGTGAGGATTCACATGCTTTAGCACGAGATGTTGCGACGTGACTGACCAAGGGACAAACTCGAATCGCTTGTAGCGTTGCTCAAGGCTATTGCTCAGAAGCTCATTCCCGGGATCCCGGAGGGCTCCAGGATTGCCCTTTTGCAGCAGACGAAGCTCACAGACTCCGATGAGGACGATAAGACGAGAACGGAGAAGGGCGGCCAGGGAACTGTTCTGCAGGAGGTCATTGAGCGTGCTACTGCTCGAAGCGTGGTTGAGCAAGAAATAAAAGGTACACCATGTCTCGTTATGTGTAAGATATTGTTATTGACAACTACTAGTTCTCTCGGAGGGTGTTGATGCTTCGGATCCATACGCTCCCATTCGGGCCTTGCGAGGCCTGAAGCACGAGAAGCTTCAGAAGCGCTTATTTCTTGTAGACAAAGAAGCCAGACTCCGAAGTGGTGCTCGAGGACTGCAGGCGAGGAAAGCCCTCGTGGCCTTTGAGAAGGTCGTTGCGGACTCGCAAGCCTTGTAAGTTGACGGAGTGTTAAGTTCAAGCTATCTACTTTCTGTTACTGACAACACGCGGCATATAGGCTCGACCAGGCCGATGACGAAATCTCCGCCGAGGCTCTTCAAGCAGAAACTCAAGAGGCGGCCGACATGCTGGCGGATTTGCAGATTCAGATCGAGCCTTCAAGGCTAGCCCAGATCGAAGTCCAAGCACGAAACATTCTCACCGGTCTTGGCTTCACCGAGGCTTACATGGGGAAACCTCTGTCCAGTCTTTCTGGAGGCTGGCATATGCGAGCTTCCCTTGCATCGGCTCTGCTACAGGATGCCGATATCTTGATTCTGGACGAGCCCACCAACTTCTTGGATCTACTGGGAATCGTCTGGCTGCAGCGCTACTTGCAGGCGTTGGCAGACAAGGAGAAGCCTCCCACACTGATCCTCGTTTCCCACGATCGTGATTTCATCTCGCTCTGTACGGATCTTCTCATCTTGAAGGACAAGCAGCTCACCTATTTCCACGGCGACATTCAAACCTACGAACGTTCGCAATCCGAGCGAAGACAATGGCTTATTAAGATGAAGGAAGCCCAAGACAAGCAGAAAGCCCACATAGAGAAGACAATCGCCCAGAACCTCAAGGCCGGCAAGGCCAACGACGACCAGAACAAGATCCGCCAGGCAAAGTCTCGGCAGAAAAAGCTGGACGACCGCTGGGGAATGCAAGTCAGTGCCAAGGGCACAAGGTTTAAGCTGAACAGGGATCTCGTAGGGTTCTTTCTTACCAGTCGAGAGGGGATTGAGATCCCGCCTGAGCAGCGGCCTGTCATTATCTCATTGCCTGAGCCCCCGGAGCTGAGATTCCCTGGATCGCTCATTTCGTTGGACAAGGCATCGTACCGATACGCACCAAGATCACCAATGATTCTTCAGGACGTCACCCTCACAGTAGGTATGGGTGATCGTATTGGTATCCTGGGCCTCAACGGAGCGGGTAAATCCACCCTAATCAAGCTCCTTGTCGAGGAGTCTTCGCCAACATCCGGCACTCTCACCACACACCCCCGTCTTAGAATGGGTTACTACTCTCAGCATGCCGTCGAAGAGCTAAAGGCTATCGGTCGCGCTGAGCATGGACTAACTTCACTTGCTCTCTTGACCAAGGAGGTCGACGGTGCCCTCAACGAGGGCGAGATACGCGGCTTGCTGGGCACGCTCGGTCTCCCCGGCCGCCTGGCATCAGATGTTCCCATTTCCAAGCTGTCCGGTGGTCAGCTGGTGCGATGCCAACTGGCGCGGTTATTCTGGAAACACCCGCAGTGCCTCGTCCTCGACGAAGTCACCACTCATCTCGACTACGAAACGGTGACTGCGTTGCGAGAAGCCTTGAATGAATGGGAGGGCGCTGTTGTGCTGGTGAGCCACGACAGATGGTTCATGCGCGGGGCGATAGAGGGCCAGGTCGACGACGCGGGAGACGACGAAGACGAGGATGCCGATGAAGAAGAAGAGGAAGAAATGAAGCGGAGGAGAATCGTCTATCGACTTAAAGGAGGGGCCATAACAGAGCTGAAAGATGGCGTCGACGAGTTCTCACGCGTCATAGAGAAGAGGGCGAAGAAAATGATGGAAGGTCTATGATGGGTTCTTTGGTTGTCTGTCTCAAGGCTTGCGCTGCCGAATAAGTGAGAGGGTGGGATATATTGAAGAAATATCCAAGCTTAATACAACTGGCGCGCTTTTGAAATCTATCGTATCCAAGCTCTTTCCGCTCAGCTGCTCGGCAGCACTCGTGAATCAACCAAAACCTGAAACCCACTCTTCTCTTCTTTTCGTACAGACAACTCCCCTCCCTTGGGGATGTCAACAATGGTTCCGTCAATGCACACCTTCCGCCACCGCTCATCATCTTCCAAAACCGTGACCTTCACTTCATCCACCTCTTCATATCGCACCTCATGCCCATCATCCCACTTTGTGCCAATATGCTTTCCCTCATCGTACGCCTTCATCATCACATCCAACGTCCTCTCGCCCCCAATAGTTCCGAAATGCACTAAACGGAGCTTCCCATCCAGAGGCTTACTCGCGGGAGAGATTGTGAATGTGCGCTCGAGGTTGGAGAGCGGCGTCATGAGCACATAAGCGTGCTTGTCTCCGGGAATAGTCTCCCAGTGCGATGAAGAAGGATGGCGAACATCTACCCTGGCGCTGTAAGGATGTGATTCGCGGAGGAGCTCTTGGGCGACCATGCCGAAGCGCTTATCGCCGTGGACGCGGTACTCGGGCGTATCGCTCTCGTAGACTATGCTAGAATGAAAGCCGTAACTAGCCACCACGGCGCCATAAAGTTGTGACACTCGAGTTTCTTCCTTCGCCAGATGTAATTCATTACTGCCAGTGTCGCCTCCTGAGGCATCTTCAGTGGTAGTTGTAAATTTCACGATGCGAGATCCTGAGGAGAACGATGCTCGGAATAGTGGCAAGTTTGCGGAAACGCCGTTGAATAGTGTCCTCAGTCCCAGTACCAGAGGAGAGGCATCTTCAGTTTTGCCATCCTTGGATGCCCAAAGGGGCTTGTGTAGTGTGTGAAAGAGGGCGTTTCCTGTGCCCAGTGGGAGGAGAGCCAAGAGTAAATGTCGCTGTTCTAAAAATTCATCGTGAGAGCTGCCATTAATGAGGTCGACAATACCGCCATCTCCGCTTAAAAGGACAATAGTCCTTGATTGAGTGGGTTCGCCATCTGATTTGCCCTCAGAACCACCAACCTTTCGGGCGAATCGTCGGACACTTTGCGCATCTTGCGTGATAAGAACGTTTGGCAACTCCCATCCATCTGCCTCAGATGAGTGCTCCTCAACCACATTCCAAAGAGGCTGCAATACGCTCTGCCAGAACTGTAAAGAAAGGCCGACGCCCGATTTTGTAGATACGACGACATCAACTTCGTGCTTCCCTTTCACGGGCCGCAGATAAGAAGGCAGGCCGCTAATGCGATGGTCCCGGAGTTCATCGGGGATAGTGTCCGCCGACAGGAGGAGTAATCGGAAGCGTTCTTCTAGGCAATCCGGGTCCTCAACCAGAAGAAATGTTATATAGCCGGTCTTACGGCTGGGCGATTGCGCGAGATCGAGAACAAACAGCAGATTCTGATACTTTGCTTCACCCCTGCCATTATTGCTGTCATTCCAGGAGATGACGCCGTCAGAGACCGAGACGCCAGCAACGTTTGTCAGCCCCGCTTGGGGCTTCGTGGAGCCCATTAAAAATGTTGAAGCAGGACAGATGTGATAAATAAATGAGCGGCTTCGTTTATACAAATACCAACGCAGGTGAGATTTGACAGTAATACAAATATACAAACAATAATACGAGACGTGGCGTGGAAGATGCAAACCCAGAGGGCTCTAGTTGGACACAGTGGGCGCCAGTATATGTATGTAACATTCCTATGGCATGGAGCTTTGGCGCACCAATTTTGCGTCACCTCTTAGTCGCACGCGATCCGGCGTTGGTTCTGCGTGATTCGCCGCTCTTCCTTTGGTGGGGGTTTGTTAAAGGATGCCTCATAGGTAGGGAGTTTCACACACTCGACATACTTGTACATAAGCGCATCCTTCACGGCATGTAAGTGGGCTCAGTTCATCCAGACTGTTAACAGGTCGACACTCTCGAATATATCTTTTTTTTCTTCCCTTTTGTATTTTATGAAGTGGGCAAAGCCCTGAAATTACTTAATGGCCGATTGCAGGCGTCCCTCGTCAACTCGTTTTTCTCACTGAGCTTTGGCTTTGGACAATGGTCCCCAGTCTGGCCGAGGGTTCATCTGGTATCGCACGAGTTTCTGGGCATCCCGCAGGCGACCAAGTCGTGCAAGATCTTCGTTGAATACCAGGGTTTTCCTCAGCTCCAATTCGCTCGGACTTGAAACTTGCTCATCGGATTTCTCCGCCGCCTCTCCCTCTTGAGGCTTTTCCTCAGCCTGGACATCTTCCATTTTGCTGTCAGGCTCCTCGGGGGCTCCATCTTCTCGACCGACTAGCCCAGCAGAATGTAGAATCTTCCAGCCGGGCATCAACGGTGTAAATTTTGACGCTTTAATGGGAGATTTTTGACGGATCCATTCCGTGATAATCCACCAAATGGTAGACCAAGGGGCATCCGTCTTGACGCTGCCTGGTCGACAGTGGCTTCGCCCAACTTGATAGCCGAGATGTATCAAAGCGCCGCGGAACATGTCATCGCTCGGGGCAGCGCATGAGACTACAGTCGCCAGCTTGGAGGGAATGACAAAGAAGGGGCAATGGTCAATCTCCGCATGCTGAGCATCCTTGGGGTCCACCGTGGGATCGACTTCAGGTCCCGGAATGATCTCTTCCAAGGCCGTTCGTAGCATGCCTTCTAATCTCGGGAGAGTGCCATATACTTCTGGCGAGGCGTTGGGAATTTGATCAAGCAGCTTTTGGATGAAGTCTGCCGAGTGGATGTGACCTCCGTACATTGGGCCGTTGACATGCATCACATGGCCACAATGCTGGCAATGTCTATCCGCAGTCGGTCCTGCCGCCATGCCGTGTTTATAAAACGACCCGCTGCCCTTCTTATTGGGGGTTGGCTTGCTTCTCAGCAGGTATTGAGTCTCAAAGGCGGAACATCCGTGGTCGCAGCTGTATACCACCATAGTTTTGGATCCCAAGAACTTCACAGCCTGCGGTGATCTGGTAACCTTGATGAAAACCTTTGTGTAAAAATCAATGGAAAGAGAGAGCAAAGGTTCGATGGCCAGGCCATATCGGGCGCCAGAAGTCGCAACGGCATTCAGAATCAGCCGTAATCCCGCCTCGTGAGAATGCATCCCTTTGATAGGAGTACCACCGTACAGGGCAAATGTCTTTTCGCAGTAGCTATGGCCCGCCCACACAGCACTATCTGTGCAGGTGATGCAAAGCAGGCCTCCGTCATCTCTAACGGATTGTAATGCGGCATCGAAAAAGGGTGCTGCGGTACCGTACGGATCTAGGTCGATTACGTCGAATTTGTGAGACTTGGTTGGATTGCCGTGGCGATCTCTCTTGGAGAGGTCATCCGCGATTGCGCGGTACATGTGTGCAAGAGCATCCTCATTCGTTACTGAGATTATTTCATCGAGGCCGTTGTGATTCACATTGAGCTTGATAGACTCGGCCGCGGATTTGGAGAGGTCGTTTGCGTTTATGGAGGTGACAAAAGGAAGCTCGTGGCCATATCGCAGCGCTCGCAGCCCAGATGCTGACAAGGCGTCTAGTATTCTGAATGTCTGTTTGTGAGCCTTCTGCTCGTCTAAAGCCCCAGTAGTCTGGTCTGAAGCCAAGCTCGCCGTCGGTTCTGTCTCGACTGAAGGGTTGCCATCGTCTTTCTCGTCTCGCTTTCGCTTTTTGCTTTGCTTATTCGACTTTGCCAGAATCTTCTCTTTTCTTTTCGCCAGGATGTCCTCCCCGTACGTTTTGATGGCAAGAACAGACAGATCTCGGTTGTACTGCTGGATGGGATTGTAAAACACTTGCTGCACCTCTCCTCGGTCCTCTCCAATCTTGGCACCCTGAGGCACCAAGATGGTCGCCTTGCCTTCCTTTACCACGCGAAACTGCTTCCCATCCTTCTCCACGGTTTCAACTTCGACGGTGCCTGCCATTGGCGCAATTGAAGAAAAGTAAGATCTGCCAACGATGCGCCGGGTCGCGAGTGTGTTGATTTTGACTTTGGTGGCAATGCTACCGCAGGAACTGGCAGGCCGCAATGCTCCTGGAAGACGCAGCAGGTGCTTCAGCCTAGAAGCACAGTGAAACATGCAATATCCAACTGCACCTTTGGGCAACAAACTGTTTGCAATTCGGATGACTGAGAAAAGCTTCCAGTCGGCAAGCTCTGAAACCCACAATTTTTTTGATATTCTGCCGCTTGCTCCAAGGCGGTGAAACCTGCCAGCCCCACTGTGCATGTCAATGTCACTGGTATTTTGACAGTGCCATTTCAATAATGCTGTATAAATGCAATTCTACCAAGCTGCATGTGCCTTATTATTCCATCTATGTTATCATGCAATTCTTACCATTTCTATGTTTACTCTACCTCTAATAGATGGTGCATTTTCATTTTATGAACTTCTACAGCCTAAACGTTCGTTCGTCTGGCCGCACTGTTGGAGTTGGGGCTTAGCCGTTGGATGGATAGGTAGGTATCTACGCTTCGCATTAACAATGATGAGATTGACCTCACGAGATCTAGTTCATTTGCATGTGGCATTCGTATGAATTCTGTGCTATAATGGCACCGAATATCTCGTCCAATTGAATTGCCACTACTGTATGCTTCATTTGCTACCTACGCATATGATGCTCACTCTTGAAGTCGTCAGTCGAGACTGGAAGCGGTCCGTCTTTCCATCCATGTTGAGATATCCTCACCCACAGCTTCTCTTGTTGCGCGATCGCACCCGGTCGCCTCAAGGAAAAATTGCTGCCATGTCTTCGCGTATTCTCGTTTCGCCACGTGCCAACATATCCTCTCATGCAGGCACTGCTTGCTACCATTCAATGGCGAGTAAGAGCTGTTGCGAACGTCAAACAAGAAGACGCTCTCTGGCTCCTTCTTTCCGCTGATACAGACGAAGAATTAGCCGATGGCATCGAACTTACTTCCATCACTCTCTTTGGAGCCATGGCCCTTCATCTCCATCACCTTTCCACCCTTCATATCCTCATCAGATACGGAGACGCTGGTATTGCCCGTAGCCCAATATCCAACCCAGCAGTCAACAGCTCCGGAATCCTGCCCCTATTTCTTCTTGTCAGCAGCTCCAACCGCCCATCATGTCCAAGCCAGTGAAAGGAAATCCCAGCACCGAAGCTCCAACGCTTCCTCCTCTTTCAGTTGGGACCAATAATCCTTCTGTGCCTGCTGGCGGTTCCCACGCAGATCCTCCCAAGCCTCCAGCTCCGGCTCCCAGTGGTCCTACTACTATTCCTTCGGGCCCAAAGCCTCACAAGTCTCCTGAAGATCCGCATCACCACCAGACGCCTCGTCACAGGTTCCTTACGCCTACCGAATGGGGAATTATTGCTCACGGGATTGGTGGCATCCGGGATCGGGAACAGCAGGCGCCAATTCATCCAACCAGTTGGATCTGGCCTCCAAAGGGCATGCCTCGGGGCTTGTACAAGGACACTGTAACTCAGCGTACCAAGTTCTTCTATCTCTACCATGCGTCTAGTGGCATCAGGTGGATCTTGATGCTGTTGCAGCTCTTCATTGGGGCGACGCTGACTGCACTTGGCTCCATGTCCTTTGAACAAGGTACTCCAATCACGGTTTTGGGGGCTGCAAACACCGTCATCGCCGGGCTCCTCGCCTTCTTGCAGAACAGTGGTCTGCCTGATCGCTACCGATTCGACAAATCCGAGTTCGAAGCGCTGGAGGACCACATCAAGGAAATCCTCGACTCCGGCATTGCTCCAGCGGACCAAGCTACTGACCAGATCCTTGCGGAGTGCTTCGACTTATATCAAGATGCCAAAGCAACGGTGTCTGCAAATCTGCCGGCCAACTACACGTCTCGAATTGGTCAGCAAGCAAGCCAAAGATCTAGAGCTTTGAGCCAATCGGGCCCTCACCCAGCCTTGTCGAAGCAACTCACTCTTCCATTTCCTGGTGGAGATACCATGGGCACTTCGCCCAGTGGCAAGTAATGTCTAATGCTAATTAATTCGGTGCGGCACACCGTGCAGTCGCTGCATTCGATTTCCCTCTCGTCAAGATTGTCTTCGTCATTTACAGCTCCATCTTTCAAAGATGAATGACACGGTTTATATCATATACCAGCGGCTCTTATACGGTTCGAATCATCATCGCTACTATTTTGCTGAAATTATGCTGCGGCTATTGCTATAGGAAGAGAGGTTTGGAACAGCTCACGGGGCTGGCAAGGAGATGCACAAATGGCGACCACGAACTCTCTTTTGATTCGTTACTTGGCCGGCGTGGCGTGGAGGCTGGGCGCAACTTATGGTACCTAGATGGCGAGGATTTTGGCCTGTTTTCTCCGACGGACATCGGCGTAAGAAGTTTAATTGATCGTCATATCTCATTGTGTTCAAGATTCATAGATAAACATATTAATTAGACATCTTACCTCATCGATTCGTGTTCCACCGGCTCGTGACCGTTCCAAATAACATGACAGCTTCAGCGTGGCTAACATAAAGTGATGGAATGCAGCCTGTATCCCGTTTTCCAATGGGTCCCATCACTTGTATGGCGCCGGTTGACCCTGGCCTCTCCTATGTAGAGAAACTTGTCCTGCCCTACCTCCGTCTCGCGAAGCAAGAAAGTAGAGTCGCCAGTACAGTCATGCGGGAGATCTGCCCACGTCTTTGTAGTGACTTCTCTGGTGCAGACAAGGTCTCCAGGACGCGCGTGTGAAGGGCCTATTCCAATTGCAGGTAGAGCAAAAGTGCTGATGGTTACGGACTCATCGCCGCTTGATGCTGGTCGCCCAGGCTTAGGCGACAATAAGAAAAGTTGGCGGCCTTCCATGGTACGCTTAAGCAACGTAAACAGCCCCTCATCCTGAGAATACTCCAACTCTTCCAGTATCATTTTCGTGAATTCTGCATAGCCTTTGAAGTAGTACATTTGCCAGTCATAATTTGCAATTGCCTTGGACCACTCGTCTTTCATATGGTCTTGGAAGAAGATCATCCCGAGCTGGTGTATTAAGAGCTCCCGTCTTGCCATTGTAGCCCAGCTAATTACGAGGCCCCAAACTTCTTTAATCCAATCCATGATGGCATTCTGGGAGGCATTAAGGGGAAAAGCACTTGACGTTTTTTCGATGGATCCCAGTAGCATGTATCCCGAATCGTTTTGCTTCTGTCGGAAATGGATTTGCAAAGCGCTGGACTCGGCATCAAGAGAGACTTTGGGTGACCCTTCGAGATTCCACCCCCCTGAGAGCGTCTGTCTAACAACCGGCAACCTCCAGTCAGGAATCCAAGAGCACAATCCACCTAGGTGTGATCCATCTGATCTGAGGTCGGTGTGTTTGAGTAGATCTCGGTAGTCGAAACAGCGAAAGTTCATGGTGATGAGATCCACGTATAAATTTTCAGCTGGATGGTTATAGCTCACGACGATTTTAATTTCTCTCGGATCCCGACTGACCTCACCGGGCTGAGTGAGGAAAGTGTCGGAAGCAAGACCAGCGAGTGCGTATATACGATCGCGAGCGTCCACGCATCCCAACTCTGACAAAACGGAGAGGAGATCTAGCAATCGGAGAGGAGCCTGTGAACTGGCTTCAATTCCGAGGCAGTGGTAGATCCAAATCGACTCCATCGTCTTCACCACCGACAATAACCCGCTTATGTTTTGGCTATTTCGGACGACCTGGAGGAGACGAAGCCACGGGATCTGGGATTCGCCGCAGAAAAGAGTCACGTTTGGGTTGAGAACGACTTCCTGCACGATCCAGCGTCGACCAAACCAGGGCAAGCGAACGAGGGACTCTAGGTCATCTTGGATAACCCTCTCGTCATCTTGATGGTCGATTTGTCGAGAATATGCATTAACAGACTCCATCGATGATGGCCCGTGAGAGTCATTACCCAGCCAAACTAAGACTCCCGAGCAACGTTTATATATCTCAGTCATGAGGGGAATCTGTTTCGTTTTGTCGTCGTCATCTTGCTGGTTAATGCAGATGGCATCGACCCAAAGCCGCCGCACGCTGAGTTTAGAGCGAAACCGCAGCAGAGCATCGCGAAGATTTGGAGTGATGTGTATTACGAAGTCGCCATCGAGAATGAGTGGCTCTGTGAACTCTGGTTTGCCCCAGGTATATGACAGGGCCTCGTAGAATGGATCGGACTCTATATTGATCTCACGCAGGTTACACTGTAGCAGGCCCTCCTGCTCGTAAGACGGCTGAAGCTCCAAGATGCGAGTACTTGCCGCTGGAGATAATTTGCTGTATTGATATGGTAGAGGCATGTTGTTAATATGTCTGGTCGCCAATGCTGGCCAATTCCAGCGTAGGCTTCAATCCCTCTTGCAGACTCTCCGAACTACAGGGGCATACACAACAGGAATATGTATAGACAACTACATGTATTTAGACAGAAGATTTTGCGTCGAGGGTGTTTCAACCTCTTGAAATCGATAGATCGTCCACTAAACACCACTAAACACCACTACCGATGCATGATACAGCCGCTGTCGCGAATCAGGATTGAGCGCGCATGTGGCTAAATATCACTGGTCTTTGCATCAGCTGAACGAACTATTCCACCGCTACTGCATCGTGATAATGCCCCTCCCGTTCAGCCGCATCCCCGCCCCCATTCAATATTACAGTCCTCCAAAAGGGAAAATCTTGTAGGCAGAAATGAAAAGACTATAACAAATTTTACAATCATCACATATCCGACTCTGGTCTATCGTCAGCCCACGGGACGTCTGTCCTACCAGCATTCGTTGTGCAAGTCAGCATCATGTTCCATGCTGAAGCGCAACATCAATCAGGCTATGGCGCACTGCCGCAAGACGACGAAATCAATGCCGAGCTACCCATTGTTCGTAATATTCAAAGCCCAGAACATCGTATTCATAAAACTCCGCCAATTATGCTAGAGCAGCATGAAATATCCCCTGGGCAGTTCAATCATCGAACGGGAGCTCGATTCGGATCACAGTTGGCCAAGGTACCATTCTTCCTCAACAAAGGGAATTTTGTCATCGATTGTGCCATTCCACCTTCTCTCAGGAGTTCTGTCGAGAGTGATGATGATGAATTCACACACACGCGATACACGGCCATCACCTGTGGGCCTGATGAGTTTATCGATGAAGGGTTCACATTAAGACAGGCACTTTTCGCATCTCCGCGCCGTATTAAGATCATGATCAATGTCTACATGTATAACGAGGACGACATAATTTTTGCCAAGACAATGATGAGCGTCTTCAACAACATACAATACCTCTGCAAGCAGTGGGGACCCCAATCATGGAAGAACGTCGTCGTTTGCATTCTCAGCGCCGGAAGATACAACATCGACCCGCAAACAAAGGCCCTCTTGTCCTGTATGGGTATTTATCAAGAAGGCATAGCAAGGCGCCAAGTCAATGGTAGAAATGTAGTGGCTCACCTTTATGAGCACACAACCCAGGTTGGCCTCCATATTTCTGGCAACAGGGTACACATCACCCCGAAGCAATCCAAGTTTCCGATACAGATACTATTCTGCCTACAGGAAAGTAACATGACTATGATACGTTCGGAAAAATGGGTGTATCGAGGGTTTGCTCGCGTGCTGGACCCAGTCATGTGTGTGCCTATCCAGTCTGATACGAAACTTGGAAGCACTGCCATACATCAACTTTGGAAAGTTTTGGCCGCTGAACCCATGTGTGCAGCAGCCTTTGGCAGAGTCAAACCAGACACGAGCTACTGGGATATGTTTAGCATTATTCCATCAGCGTGCAAATTTGAGCAGCATCTTCAAAATTGTCTTACCCTGCCATTTGAAGCATCTTTTGGCTTCGTTTCAATGTCACCTGTCAAGCTCTGTGCCTTCAGATACGAAGCTCTCCAAGACGACGAGACAGGGAAGAGTCCTCTGGACAGCTATTTTGAAGCCAGCGAGCCCCCAGACACGATATTTGGCGGCACATTATCGGCAGCGCGCAAGAAGTTGGCCAGCTTGCGGTTGGTCTTCTTTGCACTGATCACCAAACCAAACTCTCGATGGCTCATTCGATATGCCCCCTCGGCAATGGCGAGGGAATATGGGACAGATTCCGTCGGTGAACTCCTTTTCATGCGTCGTAGACCAGTCAATGCCTACTTTCTAGATACATTCCACACGATTACACACTGTCACGAGATATTCGGCTCAAGTCATTCTATAGTCCGGAAGGTGGCCTTTATGATCCAACTCGCGTTGAAGTCTGCCGAGCTGTTGTTCGCATGGTTTGCTTTGGGCAACGCATTCATATATTTCAAGGTATTAACGACAAGCATAGGGTCCCCTGGATATTGGGAAACCGGTGGATATGTAACAGGATTGGTATTGGAATGGTTGTACGATGTGTCTCTGATTGCAGCATTCGTATCCTCAATCAATCGAGCATTCAAAATGCATCTACAAATTCCAAAAATCCTGTTATTAATATGGCTTGTCATTACAGCGTAAGTCTTCTTATAGATTCGATGGACATTAGAAAGTTGTACCACGTACTAACTACATGTTTTAGCTATACGTTTATCTGTTATTGCCTGATACTCAACAAAACGATATGGATGGAGCAGTCCGATTCCTCAAGCGCAAGTCAAATATTTGGAGATCCAGCAACCTCGCTTGGCATTGCGATTCTAATCACATACGTTCTCTGGGCTACCGCTTCGCTACTAGTCTCCGATTTCTGGCCTGTCATCACTTCGTCTATACACTATATAATCCTGATTCCGTTCTACATCAATGTTTCCGATGTGTTTGCATTTTGCTATACGTTCAACCTAAGGAACGTTGTAGCGGACGGCGAACCGGTTATCGAGCTGCCAAAGGTTGAGACCCAGAATGGGAAAGGCAGAATGGATGCATTAAGCGATGAGGGACTTGAAGCGCACTATGAACAGCAGCTAAATATCATGAGACAAAGAACTCTTCTATTTACTGGGAAGATGCCATCGCCGCTGCAGAAGGCAGAGAGGCCGCAGAACGCCTCTCGAATGTTTGAGGCTCTTCTTGTGATTGCCTGGTCGACTACTAATTCTATGCTGGTATTTCTTGTCTTGGGAATAGTTGATGTCAGAAATCTACACTCAGAGGAATTGCCAAAGGTTTTGAAGAGCAGGGGCATGCACTATATCGCTGGTGTTATGTGGGTGCTCGCTGGGTTAACTGGAGTTAAAGTGATTGGTTGTGTATTCAACAGGGTTATGACTGTATTAAGAGGTTATATGAGACGTCATACAGACGAGTGGGATATATATGAGTCTTAGTTAATGAGCGCTAGATATCTATCGTGGTGCTGGATTTCTCCATGGCTTCTGATTGCGATCATATTGGAAATTGATGTTTACAGGACTGATGCGTGATCTCTGGGGCTTTCACTACACCATGAATGAAAGCATTGCTATCAACGTCTGTAAGTCATGCCACGTCCTGCAATATGTTTGCCGGGCCCGGTGGGTGCTCACCCTTGAGGTGGTTCAAGGAATCAAGCTTTCTTTGTCATTTATACAGTGTATCTTTTTTGCAATCTATATCAGTTGCCGTTAATTCCTATCCAATCCTCTTTTGAGAGCTCGTAGTACATCTCGTTTTTGTCTGCGTCAAACTCTGCAGGTCTTGAAATCCCCTTCCCTTCCAGTCCAAACTTCTCATTTAAAAGCTTTAGCATCGCCTCATTATCTTCCAGCGTCGTGATGGTAACCAAATCAAGTTGAGGGCCTCCCTCATCAGCCGACATAAATGCCCAGCTTGTCGCCATCTTCATTGCTTCCACACCGTAGCCTTTGCGCTTGTATGCCGGATCCATCATCACTCCCACATCGCCAGCCCGAATCTTCTTGCCGCCCCGCTCCCAGTCTTTGATCGCTCCGAAGCCCCCCAGACCAATCACGGTCTCGGTAGGCTGTCCATTTCCATCTTCTGATTTGAGCACCAGCATCATGTTCACGCGGCTTGGTCCGCTAATGACATTTCCTTGTGCGTCGAGGATGGTAGGCTGGCTTGCTGATTCCCTCATACGGGAGATGCTTAGTTGTGCAGTTGGGATGTCGATATCCTTGCCATGAGGATCAGATTTATTTGACGGCGAAGAGAGAATGGATGAAAGGGCTGGGGCGTCAGAAGGCTGGATTGTGCGGAGGAAGAGGAGGGGGTTGGAGGGGGAGGAGATGATGGTGTTGAGATGAGAGATTTCGTGAGACATGGTGATTTGATTTGATCAAATAATACAAGTATGGTGTGGTGTGAATGTCTGTAAAATGCTGGAATAAAATTAAAGAGATGAGGTAGTATGCAGTTTATGGATACTTATTTACAGCATCTCATGCTGATAATCTTGGGTAACGAAGTGAGGTACATGTGGGCTAGTGTACGAAGCTAGCAGCTATACATAATCCTTCGGAAATTTCTCAGTTGTTACCAATGCAGCTAATCTTCATGAATCCACCTGTTCGAGAATCGATACCAAGAATCTCTGGAAATAGCCGTTTATTATCCTGCATAGTGAGTCAGAGTATAGAGCCTTGTCAAAAGTTCGTCTCCGTTTGGATGTGTACTTCCCGAAACGGTAACTCGTGGGCAAAAGATAGCGCTCTAGTGACTCATAAGAGACAGCAGATATCCAGAAAAAGCTGTCTACGGGGGAATTGTTCGACAGAGAACAAGCTGAATTCCATCGCTTATTTTATTGTGAGGGGTCTAATCCAAGAGAAAACAATTGCACCGTAATTACACAGACTGAGGAATTTCATGATCCGGAGTAAGTATATGCTTCCATCACGCTTAAAGAAAAGCCGTACACCATGTCCCATTTTCGGTAATGCCCTTCGTATAATCTTGACATCATCAATCAATCAATCACTCAATCAATCAGCCGACAAAGGCGCTGGGCTGGCTCTTTTGCTCGCGCTTCGTAGCGTCCGCCCGCTGCTGCCGTCCGTCTCCGTATCAATCGTCACACTGCTCTCTCTAGATAGCCGTGATGGGACGTCGGGTGTCACAGACCTAGAGTCGGTGCTAGGCCTCTTCACCTTTGAAACGGATGAAGGCTTTCGGCGTTTGTCTCCAGCAGGAGTCTGCTTGCGTGGTGTTGTTTGGCCGTCGCTGTCAAAGATCAACGGCGTTTGGCTTCTCGAGGAGCTCACCGATGAGCGGCGCACGCTACTGTTCCTACGCTTGCGTTCTGCGCTCGCTAGACGGTGATGGGGCATCTTCATAGGCTCGCGACGGATGCGAGGCTGCGGATTCTGGCGCCAGGGGAGCCACCACAGCCAACCGTATTGATCCTTTGCGACTTTCCTGTCATGCTCCTTGACTTTTTGCCGAAGCAACCGCCGACGCTCATTCTCTCTCTCCCAATACTCGGTGCGGTAAAGCTCCCAGTTCTCGCGAAAAGTAGGTGAAAATGGCTTCGGTAAAAGTAGTAGCTTGACGTAGTCTCCCCCAGGCGCCAAATCTTCTTCATGGCCGCCAAGCTCGTCATCATCGGGGGGTAGAACCAGCGTGGGATGGTTACCGCTTGTAAGCTGGAGCTCCTTCTCGACCTGGCGCAGCAGCTGCGGCTCGACAAGCCGATACGACGAACTGGCGGTATGCGAAAAGAGCCCATATGTCAAGAAAAAGCCAATGGTCGACAACGCCTCAGCCCACCACGTCTGTCTGATGATGACGAGCTTGCAGTTGAAGCCGCGCAGGCCTCGGTTGGAGATGGCGAACCAGCGGCGTGGCCACCGGATGCCGCGATCCCAGATGCCCGTTGCCCAGACAAGCGCGGCGGTGATGATGCCACCCATGAAGCACACCTTTTGTGCGCCTTCAACAGCCCAGTATATCGACCCTCCAACGCCACGACCATCCTCGCGCGGCGCAAAGTACAGCTTGTAGCCAAAGAAGGCGACCCAGAGCGTCAAGATGGCGAGGAAGAAGGTGTGGTGTCGTTTCCGGGCGCGCAGCTCGAGGAACTGGGCGCGCATCGAAGCCTCGAGGATCAACAGGTTGAGGTAGATCATGGACGGCGAGCTGGGCGTGTGATGCAGCGGATCGCCAGGCTTGCCTGCCACTGGCAAGAAGGGGCTTGCGTCGGCGCCGGGTTTGGCATCGCTGGCGGCAGTGGCAGCGGCAGCGGCGGCGGCAATTGGGGCGCCCTTGACGATGGAGTCGAGGTCGTCGGCCATGGTTTGCGGGCAGCCGCCGGCTCGGGCTCGGGCTCGGCTCAGGGGCTCGTGGAGGCGGGAGTCGCGGAGGCGGACTGGCGTATGAAGTAGATTAGATGGATGCAATGCAATGCGAGATGGAGGCTCAGCCTTGCTGGGAGAGTTGCGTGGGTGGGCCGACTGTCTTCACACTGTGGGTCTGTCTCGCCATCCCGGCGCTTTCATTGGCCGCCTCGCGGATTGCTGCATTAGGCAGTCGTCACAAGGCTGTTTGTGTCATTCACCGTTTGACAGCGGCTTGGTGATTGCCTCGGCAGTGTGCATGTACATGTATATAAGAGAGGCTACAGGTACATAATAGTAAAATTTGATTAGATATGTATGGAAGATGGGCGAGTTGCCAAAGAAACCCGTAGACATTGAACTCTGAATATGTACATTCACCAAGACATGGCTCTGCCAACATTGCAAACCTCTCGTCTTCAGCTCAACCCCCTTGCAGAGCACAACCGAGACAACATCATCGCCCTCGATTCGGACCCTCAAGTCGTCAAATATGTTCACAATGGCCGCCCGCTGACTCAAGAAGAAGCAATTCAAGACCATCAAGAGCGTCTCTCAGCCTGCAAACAAGTCCCTGGCCTAGGGTACTGGGCAGCTTACCTCGGCGATGTATTTATCGGATGGGGGGCCCTCTCACCCATACAATCCAACGATGGGACATTTCCTGCAACCAAAGCCGAGCTAGGATACCGCATATCACCTCGCTTCTGGCGCCAGGGATACGCCAAAGAAATTGGGCGCGAGCTATTGAGGTATGGGTTTGACGAGCTGGGGTTGATGGAGGCTGTTGGGCAGACGATGGCTGTGAACGAGGCATCGAGAGCAACCATGAAGGCCTGTGGGATGCGGCATGTGCGCACATTCTATACCGAGTTCGAAGACCCTATTCCTGGGACAGAGGAGGGTGAAGTTGAATACATCATTATAAGGGAAGAATGGTTGAAACTTCAATAGCCTCCAAGTAGCTAGGTAGCGAGGCCTCCGCTAGATAAGTCGCCTCTTGTAATTTTAATACTGCATCTAAGAGTTACACGCGCCCAAGATTAATCACAGCCATGGCATCATCCTACGAGGACCAGCATCTCGGGCTCACAGATGAGTGTGGAGTCTGCTCAGGTCGATTACGACATGAAAGAGTAGTAGCGTATGATCCCTCTATATTGTCATTAATACTTCCTCCCGCCCTTTACGCTTCGTCGTTGACATGAGTTTGTGTTACAGTCTTTACCAATAGCAGAGATGAACCAACCAACTACGAATGTACACAGCCGTTTCTATTCCCAGACACATACACACCCCTCATCAGAGAGGTCAGAGATAATAGATTCAAGTTGTGTCGCATTCCGAGCTGTAGCCAATGCTATTCATTGCCAGAGTTTGCCCTTGTACACCACGACTAGTATGTGATATTCAGAAGGGAAAGTGGTATTGAAGACTGGGAATGCTACCTAATGGAAGGAAAAGTAGGGTTCAAGTACTCAAGCAGCTACATAGCCATTAAATTCTAGCCCAAGGATGACGACGTGGATGGCAACTCGACTGAAGAGTCAACTGAGCTGGAAAACAATACCTGAGGAGGAAACATCTATTTTGTTGTCCATTCTGCCATTATTACGTATATATGGAGAGAGATTAATCATGATAATTATCATACTGAAGTTATATTCAGTTCAGTTCAATATATCAAGTCCATATACCTACATCTTGTCCATATACCTACATATATCCTATGCATCTCAATATGGTTTATCTACTACCTAATCAAGTTCGTCTAGCATTATAACTTGGTATTCTATTGGGCGCAGGTAATAATGCCCCGAGTGCCTTGGAGGCGGAACATGTCATATAAATACAGTGTATATACTCAAAATATACTGTGCGCACACCTTCACATTTGCTCACACTCAGTTCGACGCGACAGCCGCTCACACGGTGAGATTCACGTTGCTCCCGCCACATGCCATCACGGCTGGCTTAGCGTTTTTTCTATTACAATGGATGAAAATGCAGAGCTCGGCGTTGGATTGAAAAGGAGCAACGTCGAATTGACGAGAGACTTCGTGAGCTTAAAGAGCAACGGCGTCAGCTCGAAGAGAAGCAGCGTCGAAATAAAGAAGAGGAGCGCCAACGTCTCGCTGCGCGTCTGCAGCGTTATCAGCCCCAGATTTTATGGCAATATCTCGAAGACTTGTCACTCCCTTCATTTCTCCATGCAAGTGATGACTTCGCTCTCGACCAAAAGGGGGGATGCGACTAACCCAACTGGCCTCATTTTCCCTCGCCGAATCGTTCCTTGGGATGACTTCGCGGCAAGGCAAGAAGAGATCTGGAACGATCTTTCAGCCAGCGGTGTCTTTCACTCTCAGCCATGGTTTCCATCAAAACCTCAGATGGACCACACGAGATCTCGCATCAGGCCAATTAGTAACGAGCTTAGTCTGCAGAATTTCGAGAGGGTTGCTGTTGAGGATGCCGTCGAGATTTTGTGTGAACATGCACTCAATGATTCGCAGCTGCAGAACCGCTTCAACCTGCAAGGGCCCGTGTCATTTAAAAACCACACAAATCTCGAGGATGACGTGTTGGACACGCCCATGAGTGCCAAAGGACGGCGCAAGTCGAGGGGAAAGGGCAGCAGGGCCGATGAGTTCCTGGTTTACAAGACCTCAGATGGCGCCCAGACCCCTGTGGTGGCCATAGAGTATAAGCCACCACGCAAGTTGAGTGTCAACGAGCTTGTGACAGGCCTCTCCTCGGAAATCTGGCCAGAGCGTGATGTCATCAATAAGGGTGGTGACGATTTTGCTTCGACATCAAGGAGACTGGCTGCCGCCGTTGTCACGCAGCTTTTCTCCTATATGGTTGGCAAGGGCCTCCAGTATGGCTATGCGTGCACCGGACAGGCCTTCGTCTTTCTTCACATTCCCGACGATCCTTCTATCGTATACTTCTCTTTGTGCGTTCCTAGTATGGACGTAATGGACGGCGACGATACAAGGCTTCATCGTACGGCCGTCGCCCAAGTTTTTGCCCTTCTTCTGCAAGCGATACTTGCAGAACCGCCGCCGGAGGCATGGCACGATGAAGCTGAAAAGCTTGGTCTTTGGGAAGTCGAATATGATGACATTCTTGCAGAGATCCCAACCGCAGATCGCAAGCGCAAGGAGTCTCCGACTTTTCTCTACCGGCCTCAGCGTTGGAAGGACTTTAACCGGTCCCTCCTTGATACAAGACTCCTAGTAGATGGTCATCCTTTGCTCCTTCTAAGTACATCGGGCAAAAAGGACGGACAAGGTGGGAAAACCGGGGTAACAGAGCCACATATAAAGAGCCGACCCTTTTGCACTCAGCAGTGCCTTCTTGGATTGGCACTCGGAAAGCCCATAGATAAGAGTTGCCCCAACGCAGGTTGCCATGGGCAAAAGCACATCAGTCGTTTCGAGTTTCTGCACCTTATTCGGGAACAGCTCGCTGTGGACCGCGGTCGTGATGCTGATTGCATGCCATTATATCGGTCTGGATCGCGTAGCTCGCTCTTCAAGCTGCGGTTATCGTCACACGGCTATACGCTCGTCGCCAAGGGAATGGAGAGCCTGGACTTGGCCCATCTGCAGCATGAGAACGAAATATATGACTGCATGCTTGCAATCCAAGGCAGATATATTCCCGTATGTCTTGGTAACATCAACTTGATTCTTCCATACTACTATGACTGTGGTGTCTACAAGCATTTCATGTTTCTTGCATGGGCCGGGCGGCCTGTTTTCGAATGCACCAACCAAATCAGCCACCTTGACATGGTTAGTACAATCACAAGTGTTTTCAAAGCGATACACAAACTGCGGGTTCTTCATCGTGATGCGGAGCTGCGTAACATACTCTATGATGAACGTAGCGGCACCTTTATGGTTGTCGATTTCAAGCGTGCGGCATATTGTGGGGGTGGGGACGAGAATAGAGAAGTAGAGATGATGAGAAACCCAAAACGCAGGAAGCGGGAGATATCAGAGGACGATTTTGTATCTGAGCTCGAATGGGCTTTGTATGAGGTTTTGCGGCACGTCTCAAGCTTGAACAAAGCCTCATAACAGCATGGACGAGATAACATCGATAGATAGACTAGACATAGACAGATAGACTAGACGTATATATATATAGATTAGAAATAGGTGGATAGACTAGGCAATGGTATATAGGCCAGATATAGATACATGTACCTATATATTGGTAGATGAACCAGAAGGCATTACTATGTATTTTCGTCTCCTGAACGTTGGGCAAAGTTTCGGTCACGCCCGGTGGAACGCCATTACGAAGAGCAATTGATCCAAGTTTAGTTATGGTTTTATTTCTTCAGCAACATGTCTGGTTTCATAAACTGCTCGAGTTGGTTTGATGAACCAAGCTTGCCTGCAGTTATTTACCCATAGTGACATGGAGAAATCACTTTTGTGTCGTGACTACCTAGGTACTCCAGCTATATACTTTCGTTTGTTGCACGCAACATGGCTTTCGCTGATCATTTGCTCGAGTGTTTCCTCTCCTTTGCAATCTCTTCAAAGAGACTGCCGTCGTAAAGCTTCCGGATATCTTCCTTCATCATGCGCCCATCTTCGGGCCAGAGAAGAATGTAGGTTGTAAGCCCTAGTTAAAGTTGTCAGCTACCCCATATCCCTCACTCAAGGAGATTCTAAACCAACATTCAGTCATTGTGCCCATCCAGCCAAATGGATCTGCCAGTAGTCTCTGTCCCTTGAGCATGTTCAACACATCTCGTGCAGTGATATAATCCTTGTCGTCGGCGTATTTGGAGAATATATCCTCGAATTTCTGAGGCACGAAGCGCCCTTCATTATCATATGTTCCGCTATCACTTCCATGTTTATCCTTGTGGATGTTTTTCAGGTATATGCGGAAAAGGGGATCGGGGAGGTGGCCTGGGACCGTCGGGTAGGAAAAGGCGAAGTGAACGACGAATACGGAGAGAATGCAGAATAGAGAATTAAAGCCCAGGGCGTAGAGGCCTCTGAAGGTGTCTAGAGGCCAAATGATTCCATCTTTATCCTGCATCTTAATTAGAAACTGGGCGATTTAGAATGGCTGGTGTGAAATTCTCTCACCTGATCAAAGTAATCACAGTGTTGTTGCAGGACCTAATCAATTTCGCGGGTTAATCTGCGAGTCTCGCAATGCATTCACGATTAAGAAAGCAAACGCACAGTCTGGTTTTGATGTTCCTTCGCCCAGTTACCAGCTTGTGAGCCCTCTGGCTGGTCATATGTTGCGGCTATGTTGGCTCTCGGTGTCCCTGTATTCATCTCTCAGTTACAGCGCAAGTGATATGCCGCCTGTTCATTGTATGGGGCCATACCAGTATGAGAGAGCCTCACATCCCCCTCCGGCTGGAGAAAAGGTTTTCGTTGAAGTGTGACTGGCGCAGTATGGATATAGCTGGTCACCGCATCTGAATTGCCTTTGGAGTTTGAATCGATTCCGTTCACCAATGCCGCCTTGTAATCCATTGTGATTATTGTTTTGGATGTTGAATTTACGCAAAATGGCTAATAACGAGAGGGAAGAAAGAATAAATTAAAACATCGGCATCTGGATGTTGTAGGCGAACTAAGCAGCAGAATCATACCTATTCACAAAATAAAAAATAACATGTGCGGCGTGAATGGAATTGACTTGCATTCCGCAATGACGACATTGTGAGTTCATGTATGGAGATTGCGGGCATTCTTTGCAAAGCTTAAGCTGGGAAACGAGCAATCGTGAAGAAGCAGACGCGGAAGTGGTCATCTCGACGTCATACCCAGAATGCTCTACTTGTTGCGCCAGAAGTTCAGAATCAAAATAAGGAAGAAATTGCATGTGATAATGTGTTAAACTTTGACCACGCATAGAATTGAAGGTGCAAATTTGCGTACGCCCTGCAGAGTTCCAGGCCAGCTACTGATGAGGAGGATATGTACAGGTATTCACGCTCACTAGTCATCGAAAGTTGAAATTGGGATATAAATCATGTTCAATTTACATGTAGTAACGCAAACAAAGATGTGATTTGGACATTGTAAAAGATCTAAGCTACAGAGATGGCAACATTTAAACCGCCTGCTTTGTCAAGGCTTCACTAATGCGCCAGAGCTTTTCTGCCTCTGCAGAGTCGACAGCCCCAGGCAATAGGGCCTCTCGGGTCAAGACTCCGTCGGCCAAATAATAACCGTCCTCGTCTAGCAGAGTATGTCAGCATGCATTATCTTCTGGGGCCAGAGGAAAAACTGGTCAACATACTAGACAATCGAGAATCGAAAGCGGCAATGATTCCTGCCGAGGATCCCTCTGCCAAACTCTTGGCCTTGATAGCCGAATTAAGGTTGCCATTGTCGTCGATCCAGCCTGTCAGATATTAGCATTTCGCGAATAGAGAAAGGCATATAATGGAAAAGCGAGATAATACCTAGTGCCTTGAAATCTTCCATGGGAACACTTCTCGTCAGGCCTGTGGTAACAATAACACCAGGATCAACGCTGAAGGAGCGCAATCCTCGTTGACCAAAGTGCTGTACCAAGCCAACTGACAAGAGCACATCGCAGGCCTTGGAGTTGCTGTAAGCCGTCCACTTCTCATACTCCTTACCCTCATTGTACGACAGGTCGTCCAAGAAGGATAGATTAGCGCGTGATTGCGCTTCACTTGAATAGGTCACAACGGTGCGCAGCTCCGAGGCGAGCAGCTTCTCCATCAATAAGTTGATGAAGAGAAAGTGGCCGAGGTGGTTAACGGCGAATTGCATCTCGATACCGTCTTTGGACTTCTCGAAAGACGGCACGGCCATGACGCCAGCGGTGCATATCATGGCGTCGAGAACTGTAACAGAGTTGATCACCTCAGCGGCAGCCTTGCGGGTAGCCTCCAACGAGGAGAGATCGAGAACAATGGGCTGTACTATGGAGCCTTGAGGGATATCCAGGGACTTGATTACATCTTGCAGTTTGTCGGCTGCTCGACTGGCGATGAGGAGTTTGGCGGGCTTTTGAGCGAGGATGGCTCGAGCCGTGTCGGAGCCTAAAGAGTTGGGACTGACGCCAGTTACAAGGACTACAAGCTCGATATTAGTAGCGAAAACAAGTATTGAAGAAGAAGGGATGAAGACGACTTACTGGTCTTTCCAGCAATGGCATCCTTGAGAGCCGCGGCGGCCTCGTCGGAAGTTGTATGGAATCCAAATTCTGTCATCTTAATTGCTTTCAATAAAGATTTATTGATACTAATATTGTTGATATATTCAAACTGGCCAGCAGGAAGACTTTATTTTATATCTGGATTTGTGTCCATCCGAGATGCCTCGACGTGATGACGCTATCACCAATACCAGCGTAATCAACACCAACTCTCACGACGGCATCTTAAGCCCGATAATCCCGCATTGATAATTCAGAATTTTACAGCATATTCTATTTTCATAGAAAATATTCATTGTTTCTCAGTCTCGCATAGATATGTACTCCCCCCTCTGTGCCGCCCACCACCGCGAGCTATGCCACAGTTCACTCTCTTGTCCAAGAAGCCACTTCCATTTCCGCAGAAACCACTCTTTACCTTCCCAGCTGTGACTATCCCAAGGTGTTCCGTGATCCATGCCATTTTGGCTGGCGGAACCCCAGCACACCAACCCATCGCGCACCATCAGATCAATACAGAGGTCGTCTTCATCCAACAGAGGAGGATCCGCCGCCAGGGCAGCCAAAGCGCGCCGTCGAAAAGTAGGAAACGGCAAGGAGTCAAGATATGGATGATGCGGCACAGTATATTGTGAAGGAATTGGACGCAGGCTGGGCGGGATATTGGCATCCCATGTGTTTGTAGAAGACCTTGTATCTTCGGTGGGAGTGCGGGTGCAGAAGGGAGACAGGCTACGCTCATCAAGAACCAGCCCAAAGTCAAAGCCAAGGCAGCTAAAATTAGTAAAAAGGGCCGCGAAATAAGAGAACCTCGCAATGCGAAGCACATTGCGGTAGGGCGAATAAGAAGCTGTGGGCGACATGGCGAATCTCATCTCCAACAGCCGGGATTCTGTCTTTTCTGGGTCGCTGCCTTCGAAGGTCTGGCCATTACTATTGGTTGCGCGCATCTCGGCCAGTAATAGAGATGAGATCATGTCTACAAAACTGAAGTCGCCGTCCTTGGCCAGTTGAGCGAGAAGACGGCGCGTGGACTGGGAAAGAGATTGAAACCACTTGCGGATGAGCTGTGGCTTGATGAGAAGCGGCTTACTGCTTGGCCGATAAATGTGCATCTCTTTGTAGACACGCGGTCTTGGGGTCGAATACATAGATGCAGAGGTATCGATAGAATGTAGGCTAGATAATGAGGCTGCAACAGCGGTGGTATCGGATATTTCAGTTGTAGTTGGTATAGATGTCCCCTGTGTCTGAATGCTCGAAAACGCCCCTGTATTGGTATCATGGAGTAAAGCGGAGAAGCTTTCAGTAGAATGGGTCTCTGAAACCATTGGCAGGTCCGCATTTGAGCTTATCTGAGGCAAGGGCATCGTTTCAGTCTGGAGTGAAGTTGGTGGTAGATGATCTAGCCATATACTGGCGTCGTAGTTCCCAGAGCTGAAGTTGTAAGGTTGCGATGAATCAATGGCTATCGATGTGACATGTGCCGGGGAAGATGGCGAGCCTCCTATCCGCAGAGAATTCGAGGTGGGAATTGCTAGAGGCGTTGCTAGAGCCTGTCTAGGAACAGGCTCGACTTCATGGCCAGACTCCAAGGAGGCAACTTTGGCTTCAAGCGCTTTCAATCTTTCCTGCTTCCGCTGACGGTATGCCCTCTGGGATCTGCAATTTTGCATGCGCCGCTCGGCCGTCATTGGCTTATTTGGACGTCGTCTTGATGTCCTTTGTGTAACTGGGTTTCTAGCACTGGATTCACCGCCAGCCAGTTGCGGAACTGTGTTGCTTAGGCTCGTCATGCTGGCTCCAATGCTTTAGACTCGTATGCCACTCTTACACTGTACCTGCTAGTAGATACAGATAATATGCGCCTATGGTTGCTGAAACTCGGTATGATTGTAATTAATTGCCGATTAAAATTCATTCAGATACTGATGAATAGATTGCCGGCATGATAGTAAAGGTTGAAGGTTTGCATAGGAGATCCTCTCTTACATCCGAGCAATTGAAGTCAGGGATGCTTACGAGAGACGCCAAGGTGCTTACGATTCGGGAATTGCCAGTGTCTAATGTACCTACAGGTATCTTGGCGCTAACAATCGCGTGCAATTCTGACTGCAACATCAGGAGTTGACTTTGAGGTACTAATATGGATCCCGGAGTTAAGCATAAGAGCGTACCTTGCTCTGCCACAGTTTTACTACTTGACAAGCCTTAAAATATCGGCCTCTAAGTGATAAAGCATGAGAGCACGATTTGAGATATAAGTAGGATGAATATTGTTATACATACACGCATTTTATTTGTTTGCTCGTGCAGATGCAAAATCGCCTACATATTTGCAAGCTGAGGATACCCTGATGTGTCAAACCAATACTATCGTTAACGTCATTGGATACAGCTATCATTCGATAGTTAGAGTATGGCTGGTAAAAAGTCGCGAGTTTCATCAAGAAATGTGGTATATTCCATCTACAAGTATCATGGTGTATACTCTCCCCCATCCTTGCATGTAAGATGGTGGGCCACAGAGGACGCCATTGCCCATATCCCGTATAACGTGTATTCTCCGAACTCCCATGCTCATATAAATGCTCCCTTATATATTTCTTTAAACATTCGCCCATTTCATCCGTTCGATTTGGATCATGGCATTAAGCACTAACAAGATTGTGATAGGTATGGATTTACTAATAATCTGTGGCCTAATCATAACGCCTCGGAGCCTCTAGGCGACGTAATCCAAACTTCATGAAAGCAAGAGTTAGCAAAAAGTGTCTAAGTTTGTTTAGACCATCTGTCAAATTGGTACTCACGCCAAAACTAGCTTCGATGTTTGAAAACAGGTCTGAGAGCAGAATTACCGAGACTTCCCCATCAGAACTAAGAATGGACTGAGTGTTGACCCTTTCGAGCTTCTTGACACCGCGAGAGTCTACCGTGACTCGGACAAACGGTAGTTCGCTTCCCATGTCTTTCTGGACGGTATGGTATTGGCCGCGCGACCAGAAGCGCACCTCTGAGAGAGGGCAAAAACTAGGCACTGTAGGAGCAGAGTTCATCTCAGCGGCAAGCTGCAGAACGGAGCAGAACCTGGCCACTATATCAGAAGACTTAGGATCAAATTCCCAAATCTTTCTAGTCAGAGTGAGAGGCAGTCTCTGAAGCCCAAGAAGTTCGAAGACGATATTGAGCTGCTGAGATGCTACCGGGTCGTAGAGGAGCTTCAGGCACGCGTAGGTCTTCATGGGGGACATTGTCCTTGCGGCTAGCTAAAGCCGCGAGTATTTATCCTCAGCATGACAGTATTTGCCAAAAAGGTTGAAATAATTTGCGTGGTATGTCGCATTGCCAATAACGTTCATGGAACAGAGGGTGCAGTCCACCATTTTGCAAAATACTGCATTGCTCTCCCGTTTAACACGCTCACCCTTTCTAAACACAGGCACTTTGTATATATTGCCCGCGAATGTCGAGAAAAGTCGGAATTTAGCTAACAAATCGCCAGTCAGCGAGGCAGGCTTCTACATTGGGGGGGTTCTTTTTTTTTCGTACTTGCAACGAGAACGTCTTTTCTATTCACAGGCCTATTGCAAGCAACACATTGACTGTAAACCCGAAGGTGAGGCACCGGAACCGTACCCGTGGAAGGGAGGCTTGGTGCCTCGGACTCGGACTCGGATGATGAGTCAGACATGGCTGGTGATTAGGTGTGAGCTGGTGTTGAGGTGGTGGATAGAAGTCTTGGGCTATAGTAATGATGGAGAACTCGTCTTGGAGCGCAATCTTCAGAAAAGGGTGCCGAGTTATTAAGAACTCTAAGAATCGAGGATTAAACCGACCCATTGCAGGGAAACACCCACATATATATAGGTAAGCTACAATGCACACGTACTTTCTAAATTCTAATAGCCCTGAGACGGTATCTTCATCTATCGTTTCCACCTTGGCAGGTACTATCAGCCACAGTCGTACACATTGCCTTGGAATATTTTCAAGTATTATCTTGTATATGGGGCCAATGAGAAACTCTGCTGGGTTATCGTGTATGGCGTCGAACTGGGGAATCCTCCTTTTAAACATTTACATTGGCGCCTAGATATATGTAGGGTTCGAGATTGATAAAGAAAAAAGCTTGATTCGTGGTATATACACACATCAGGTAACCTAGGCTAGTCTTATAACTATTACGCGTATTACTTGAGGATACATAGCTAGGGTAGGTGGGTGCCGGAGCTTGAATCCAAAAAATCCAAGGCAAGATCCCTACTCTCCTAGGATCTTCTTCAGGTCCCGAGTCTATACACGTATCGATACGAATGGCTGACAGAAGATGTCCGTTTGTGGTGGTTCCTGACGGATAAGTGGAGAATGGGAATTCAGTGATGGCCACGCCAGGTTTGGCGGAGATTTGGCTCGAGATTTGGTGGAGATTTGTTTGCGGATTGGTGGAGCGATGTAAATCCTGCGTCACATGCAAAAGAATAGACCAAAGCCCAGTTTCTTATCTTCTACTACTGTAATAATGGTATGTATTTCACCTATCTGCCCTCAGCCATCTGCGGAGTTTCGCACAACAATATGCACACTGAATTAGGGTTTTGAACAAAAGATTAGTATTCTCGACTCGCACTATTGACGTGTGCCACGGTCAAGCTTGCCCTTGATTTCTCTGCTTATGGCTTTAGCGGAGCAGTGTGCGGCTTTGGCTGTCGGCCTTTGGCAGCCAATCAGTATCGAATGTGTAGATGCCCGGCCCGGACTCCGGAGCAAATATTCGATCGGCCATTCCGGGCAAAGCGGACAATACAGAGTAGGATGCAGGCGAATAGATGAGGTGATGCTATGGCAAGACCACACAGCCTCACACATCATAGACTGGAGGAATCAATCCATAGCAGCAACAACGGACAAGAACAGAACAGGCTATGTGTATGTAATCGTACACCGCAAAATGACCCATTCATCATGTAAATTATGTTCCTTAGGTAATAATATGGATCTGGAGGCTTATTCACTAGATTGTCCATTGATATCATGTGCTGCGAAACCGTGGCCTTTACAGGGCTCTTCTGCAGGTCACCCGCCCGCTGAGCTCAACAAAACTGCCCCCTAAATCGTGGACCCCTACGCCAGCGCCTAATAGGGACCTGCACATGTGCTCTCTCGCCGGATCCATGACCGCTTGACCTGGACCTTCTCTTTGTTCTTTGTTCTTTCTTCTTAAAGTTCTCTACTCTCTTATCTCAACCGCCAATTCCCCTCTTCATTTCGCATCGTCGTCATCGCCATCGTCACTTGTCAGCCTCTTGCATGCTTAGCATAGCTTAGCATAGCATAGCATCACATCGCACCGCATCGCATCGCATTCGCTCTTTTACAGCCTATCGCGTGCGCCTCTCGGAATCCGGGTCGCCCAAACCCCGAGCCAGGCGCCATCTAAACTCCGTCCGTCCCTCCGCCAGCCCAAATCCGGCCGCATTTGCGACACGAACGAATTGCGTGGCCAGAGTCGAGAACTCGAACGTTTGTTGGTAATACGGGTGCCTGGTGCCTTTTTTTTCCATTAAAAAGCTGCCCTCCGCCCAGACGCCCGCTCGTAGGCAATGCTCAAGACGCAGACCGTCACAGCGATTCTGCATCGATCGCGCCTCAGCTTCAACCTCACCTCTTCTACATCGTCTCTCCCCGCCACAGCTTCCAACATGTCCACCACCGAAAATGCGATCCGCCCGCCGCGGGACGCTCCCGAGGAGCTACGGCAGCAGCGGCCTCAGCAGCAGCCTTCAGGCGCATACTTTCCGCTGGGATACAAGGAGGCGGCCTATCAATGGGTATGTTTAATACATCTTGGCTTGGCTCTTGTATAAATTCAATGCTAACCTAGGGCTGATGTCTAGTGGTCGAGTGTCACGCCGTCCATGGCCGAGCGCAACGTGCTCAAGCACATCCCCTTCCTCAAAGAGGCCACCACCAGCATGGGCAACCTCTCCACCACCGACTCTACCGACTCTTTCGGCACCAGAATATGGAGGCGGTCCATGGTCCAACTCTCCGGCAAGAACCGCGCCCTCAACGAATTCTCCGTTGAGCGAGTCGGTGAGGAGCCCGAGGAGACTCTTGTCATGGTCCACGGCTACGGTGCTGGCCTGGGCTTCTTCTACAAGAACTTTGAGCCCATCTCTCGCATCCCTGGCCTGAAGCTGTATGCCCTCGACATGCTGGGTATGGGCAACTCGTCCAGGCCGCCGTTCAAGATCCACGCCAAGGACAAGGAGGGCAAGGTTATCGAGGCGGAGAACTTCTTCATCGACGCCCTGGAGGAGTGGCGCAAGGCGAGGAAGATTGAACGCTTTACCCTGCTGGGCCACTCCCTTGGCGGCTACTTGGCCGTCTCCTATGCCCTCAAGTATCCGGGCCACTTGAAGAAGCTCATTCTTGCTTCCCCCGTCGGCATTCCGGAAGACCCATATGCCGTCAGCGCCGCCCTCCCCGAACCCGGCGAGTCCACAATGCAGAACGAGTTTACTGTAGACCAACAAACTACGACGACCACTAAGAACAGTGCTGCCGTCCCACCCAAACGCCCCTATCCCAGCTGGCTCGTCTGGCTCTGGGACGCCAATGTGTCACCTTTCAGCATTGTCCGAATGGCTGGCCCTCTCGGTCCGCGGTTCGTCTCTGGCTGGACCTCACGACGATTTAACCACCTCCCCTCTGAGGAAGCCCAAACCCTGCACGATTACTCATTCTCCATCTTCAAGCAGAAGGGAAGCGGTGAATATGCCTTGGCATATATTCTGGCACCAGGAGCATTCGCCCGCCGGCCGGTGATTAACCGCATCCAGAATGTCGGTCGACAGCCTATCCAGGGACCGGATGGCCAGACCGTTAGCAAGGAGACTGGCATCCCCATCGTCTTCATGTACGGAGAGAACGACTGGATGGATGTTGCAGGCGGTCTTGCGGCAGAGGAGAAGCTGAAGCAGCTCAAGGCCAACATCATGCGCAACGGCACAGAGGAGGAGAAGCGCAACGAAGGCGGAAGCTGCAAGGTCGTCATCATCCCCAAGGCCGGCCACCACCTGTATCTTGACAATGCCGAATTTTTCAACAACATCATGAGGAAGGAAATGGAAGATGTTAAAGAGACGGAAAAGCGCAAACAAGCAGCAGCAGCAGCGTCATCATAGACATTTTTTGGTTTCGATTATTTCTTGATTTCTCTACATGGGCATTTAGATCATTTGCATAGAGCGAGGAGCTTGTTTTAACAGGGTACACGGCGTTGAAGATGATGGGAAAGGACTAATAAGGCAAAGATATTATGGCATGAGGTTGATGTATGTGGGTGTCTGTATGTATATTATTTTTTTGTGGTGTTGGGGAAAGGGGACAACCAAGCGACTTACACGCATATGCGCCGATAGAACTTAATAGATGGCTGGTAAGCCAGTTTACAAGACAATCAAGATCAAGGGCATATTAAGCCTCATTGTAAATCGATTTCGCATTGTATTCAGTATAGTTCAATCAGATATTCTTCTCATCGCTTCATAATACTTATCTCGTCCCAGAGACCCTTTACTCCACCGTAATCTCAACCTTGTTCTTGTCTATCCCAACGCATCAGCACTCGATTCATCTCACTCAATCATTAGATAGGTGCACTTACAAAACGCAACGTGATCCCTCAAATCAACAGCGCCCTCGAGCGGCTCCTTATAATACCACGCCGCATTCTCATACTTGGCACCTACAAAAACCCATCAGCACTCACTCACTCACTCACTCATCCTCACTTCTTAAGAAGACATGTATATACTCACCATCAACATCAATGCTATAGTAGCTCGCATCCCCCTTCCACGGACAATAAGTACTCTGCTCCGTGCCCCGGAAATACTCCTTCTTCACACTCTCAGGCGGGAAGTACACGTTCCCCTCCGTCTCGCGCCACGCCGTGGCCTCCGCAACAACAGTGCCGTTGATGCGCGCCGTGGCGTGGCCGGTTCGCGGGACGACGGGCTTGCCCATTTTGCCGAGCGTTTGGCGGAGGAATGGCCGGAGGAACGAAATGGTGAAAAAGTTGTTTGTTTTTGCTTATGGTACCTGCTTAATGGGTACCTTAGAGGTAGTAGTTGGTGATTATGATTAGAATTGGTGTTGTTCGAGGTTGTGGTTCAATGGTTGATTCTCTTGGGATGCCTTGCAAGATATATATAACAAAACAAAACTGCCGGCATGTGGCTGTGACGAAGAGCTAAAAAGAGCATCCAATTGATTTCTAATACCGCATCACACATTGATTTCAACTTGCATCTCATCTCGTCAGCTGCGGGGTCAAACTGCCGTTTCGTCATCGCGCCACAAGTGCTGAATAGATTCCAAATCAAATCACATACCCAAAGACCCCTGATTTCATCGTCGTGCTAGTCGCCTCTTAAGACTAATATCCTTACTGTATCTTCACACGGCAAGGCATACTCGCAAGAAATGCTGCATTTGGAATATCAATTCATATCAATTCATCTTCATATTTCTACATATTAAACAATGAAGAGCACTCTCTATGCAAAGAGTCTTTCGCTATGCAACCCCCGACAGAACCAGCCATGGGAATCCTTCGATTGATCAATCCACCTCTATGCTCATTGTAATCTTCCTGTCCGCGAGGGTATTCCGTCTCGTATTAAGTATCGTCAACGCCATGAAAAATGCAAAGCCTCTGCCCATCTTTTTTTTTTGTCCTTTTTTGTCCTTTTTCATTTTGCAAATAGCCAAAATTATCATGTCAAAGTTGCAAACGCCACGCTAGAGCCATTGTTGTAAACCACCATTTCCCCCATCACAAGTTAATCAGGTCAATCTCTGAGAAATCTGGCGGATATCTGCCGTACACCACTCGCACTTTGCTGTCAAGCGCCGTGCCCTCGTTGCTGATCCAAATGTGCTCGCTATACTTTTGGGTTCGGCGGACCTCGTCGTCACTTATGCCCATGTCGTCTCGAGGAATCCAAACGACAGGTCGGCGGGCTCGCAGAGCCGAGTGAAGGAAGGCGTGTCGAACCAGGACATCTCTCTCCTCTGGGGTAAGGTCTTCGATTTCGTCGTGGATCCCTCCGTACAGCGCGTCTCCTATGGCACGCTGCGCTTCGAGATCCTTGCTTCGTTGTTTTCGCCGATATTCAGCAGCCTGAGAGTTGTTGTCCATCATAGCCAACTTTCGGAGTTGATTGCCGCCGTCTTTTGCCCATGATCCCACCTGCTTTCCGCCTCCTTTGGCCCAGGATCCCACTTTCTTCACAGGGTTTGCAATTCGCACTTTTCCCTTTGCTGATGGGATGTTGCTCAGCTCGATATCTTCTCTGCCCTCCATCGAGGTAGAAGCCTTTTCTGCTGTAGCGCCCCTCTCCCTTTTGCCGCCTTCAGCATCATCGTTATCCTCATTGTCTGAGTCGCCCGATAGCCCAAAGCGACGGTCCTGAGCTCGCTGGAAGGCTTCATCACGGAGCACAGCCTCATCTTCAAATGTGATGGGCAAATATCGGAACAGGGGTGAAAATGAGTTGTTGAGAAGGATTTGGTAAAGAATGGTGAGGACCAAGACCACGATCATGACGATACCATGCGGCGTGCAAGTATGGGTGCCAGACTCATCTACTACAATGAAAAACAAGCCGGCCAAGCAGAGCTCCATAACGTAAATGCCCGTAAACGTTTGATTGAGTGCTCGAGGGTACAGCACACCACCAGTATCGACTTCAAATCGAGTAACGTAAAGCATGGAATACCGCTGAGCAACCCAGAGGAGCCCAAACGTGATGACGGCAAAGATAGAAATGAGCGGCGCGACGACGCTGTAGATGATGGCAATGCAGGCAAAGTTTGTGTAGACGGGAAAGAATGTTCCCCAGTTGACATCACTCAGCGTAGTGTTTCGAGACCACTTGCTGCGTGCGGTATTGTCCAGCAACCGAGACAAAATGAACCATACAAAGAGGGCACCGATCTGCAACAAAGTACCGGAACTGGTGGACATGGCCTGGAGAATCATGTAAGAAAAGAAATAGTTGGCGGCCTTGGGTAAATTCGTTGCGAGGAGATCTAAAACGGCCTTGACAGAGTCGAGCTCCGCAATGTTGTCGACCAGTTTGTCAATCGAAGCGGCAAAGAACGAGGCAATAGAGACGATCAGGAAAACCTGGACAAAGAGGAAGGCAAAATAAAAGATTTGAACAAACTCCGACTTTTGGGCTCCCGTCTTGGCGCCTTTGATCTCAGCAAGAATATTCAGAATCATCGGTACAAGGAAGAGGAGCAAAGCGAGCACAGCAGCTGGAAGAACACCTGCAATACCCTTGGCCGCATTCTCAAGAGCTTTGTTATCCCTCAGGAAGGCGAGCCAAGATGTCTGTTGGATAAGCTGATCCAGCTGACCCAAAGCGGCCGTCCATGCTACAGGAATCGCCCACAGGAAGATCATGGCCAACACAATGAGGGTGACGGCACCAGTGCGAACCCATTCCTGCCACCAAGAGAGGGCCATGTTGCTCCAAATGACATCTCGGGGCGAAATCTCATTCACTCGTGGCGCCATTTGTCTGGGGATATGATGGATGATGCTCTGGCAAGCCATGTGGGCAGCCACCTGGTGGTTGAACTGTATAAAGGCCGAATTCATCAAGGGGAACCGCTCGGGATGCTGCTGATCTTCCTCAATTTCCATATTCAACCGGGCCAGCTCGGTTCTGCACCAATAAATGGTATCGACCTTTGTGTTAAACAGCGGAAGGCCGGGCAGCCATGAGACTCCCCAGGGCGGTAGTCGATGGGTAGGACGATCCTTTTTCCTGAGATATTTCGCCCACTCGGCCTGAGTTTCTTCTTCCTCCACTTTATAGTCCTCGTTGAAGTAGACAGCGGGGTAGTCGCCCGTCTCGGTGGCCTTTTGGCTCGTAAAAGGAAGGACGCCCTTTATATTTTGCCACACCGTCCTCTTTTCAGATCCTTGCTTGCCTATATAGTCGTCTCCCTCATTCTGCTGAGGGACGGGAGAGGCGTATCCACCAGCAGGTGTTTTCCAAAACTCCCAGAACTTTGGTTCTTCCATGTTGTACATGTCTTCGATGTTTTCGAGCTTTCGAACCGTGTTTCCTTCCACCGTAACCGGTCCATTCTGTCGAATAGCTCTGGCGGAACTGGTCGAGGCATTTGATGGTCCTCGCGAATGTGTTTGCGTGCGATGGGCTTCAAAAGACTGATAACCTCGAGTTGGAGCGTCATCCTCTCCAGCGGATGTCGGTTTGCGTCCCAGAGTTATAAAGCCATTGTTTGTCCCAAATTCATCCATCTGATCGCCAGCCTTGTTAAAAGCTCCCTTGATATTCCTTAGCACTGCCACGCTGCTACCATCAGATGAATGCGACCTCCGGCCATCCTCAGAGTCCGAGGATGATTCATCGGATTCCTCTTGGACGTTGTGGAGTTTGTGTATCTTTCTATTGTGCTTATCCTCAATCCGTGACTCTCGAACGCCCTCAGCAACTGTGTGCGGGATGTGGTGCTTCTTTCCATCATTGGTTCCTTCGCCACTGTTGGCCATTCGTTTGGCCTCTGCATCTTCCTCAGCTTGGCGAGTGGCTTTTTCTTGCTTCGATAGCCCTTTGCGCTGCTTCTTTTCTTCAGCATTTCGCTTTTTAAGTTGGGCTCTCTTGGCTGCCCGAATCAACTCAGTCTCGGCGGTCTCGAGCTGGGCGTGAATATTTTTTCGAAGCTCAACTTTCTCCAGGAGACTTGTTAAATCACGATTGATCCAGATATTCCGAATGCCACCTGGGAAGACGTCGAACAAGCCAGACAGCGCATCCTCACTGAGCCACTTGGAGGGGATGGAGTTGACAAGCACTGTTGTGGCAGAGGCTCTGAGTCGGTGCTCCGCACTGGTCAGGTAGTCTTGACGAACTTTGATGTACGCGCGCATCTCGAAGAAGATGACTCCACAGACCCAGAGGATGACAAGAATCGCCATCACCAGATGAGCGGCGTAGCGACCAGTCTCCGTCGCCTTGACATTACCCCAGGCCAAAGTGTCCAGGCCTGTAGGTACAAAGGCAGGATCGGTGCTGTTGGTGCTCGAACTAGTGCTGTTGGTGCGGAAATCAATATTTTTGCCGCGACCGCCAACATAGTTGATAGGAACCAAGATGGGCACCACGATGGCGCAGATGGGGATAAAGATGATGAGGAGGGTTTTCAGATATCGAAGGAAAAAGTAAGCGTCCAGCCCGCACTTGTTAATGACTTGTCGGTCATTGTACATGATCAGGGCCCTAATCATGGTAAAGAAGTTGTTTGGCGGCGAGTCGGTTCGTTCGCGCTCGGGGACAAGATACGTCTTTGGCTTGCTGCGAGAGAGGTCATCGTCAGCCCGCAAACATTCATCACACACCACCACACGATGCAGGTACTTACAAAACCCTTGCTAGTTTGTTCCTTAGAAGCATAAAAAGTAAAAGCTGTACGAAGAAAATGATGACGGAGACCAAAATGGCCGTCAAGAAGCTGACAATGCCGATGCCTTCGCTCTTCTGGCCATCGCCCGCCTGCTGCGTATCTCGTCGTGCCAGAGTGGCTGCCGTCGAGATGATCGCATGGGCCCATGGCTGGTCGCCACCTAATGATGTTGTCTCCATGGCGGGAGGGGAGAAACGAGGCGCGCCGCCGTCGGAGAGGAGGTAAATTGGTCGCGCAACGCAAAAGATACAGATAGGAGGCTAGCTATGCTCGAAACGAAGAAATGCAGGTATCATTTGTCCAGAGGTAATGGATATATCGTGGCAAGTCGAGTTTTGTAGGGGCGGCGGTACGTCGATACTGATAATGCCCCTCTGGGGGCTTCGAGGGATGCGTTCAGGGTTGTCGAAGAGAGACAAAAGACAGCCGTGCTTTGCAGTCAACAGTCAAAGGAGAGAAGGGCTAAAAGAAAAAGGAGAAGGAGAGGTCGGCTACAATGACGGCGTTTGCTAGCTGTCTCATTGAAGCGGTGGAGAGAGCAACCGGACCTTGTTGGTGGAGAAGTTTTTTTTTGTCTCCTTTGCTGAACGAGCTTGGACGTGTCAATGAAGAACGGGAATCAATCAAATCAGATGCTTGTTCAATGCTAGTGCCTTGTTGCACGATAAGGTCATAGTGTGCCGTAGTGCAATCCCTTGCCCTTGAATCCTTGTTTCTGGGCATCTCGTCCAGAACGTCATGCGCGGCCGTGATTGGCAGCTGGTGGTTGGGAAGCGCGCATATCGTTCGCCATTGGAAACAGCGCCAGTGACATCAGAGGCGGCACAAAGGCCCTGTCTTTGCCTGTCTGAGCAGCGGGTGCGGCATGGATCAGCGCGGGTACAGGCGCCAGCCCCAAGCCTCAGTGAGCACCTTGATTCGCACAGGTGGCTGCGATACGCTGTTGGCGCTGCTTCAAGTGCTGCACCCCACTCCCCTTCCAGTGGCTCAGGGCCTCTCATATTGGCTCCCGCCAGGCTGGAATGGTGATGCAGGGCGGGCGAGACAAGCGCTTCGGCTCTCGTCTCTTGCATTCTGTATTACGAGTACTACTGCACACAGCCTTATTTTAGCAGCTGGCGGCAAACAATTTTACGCGTGTTGCCGAGGGAGTAGGGGTACATGTTCAATGTACCTAATACTCCGCTGTATCTTCAGTACCATCTGTACTGATAGTGATTCAACAAAAAGTCCCCGTCAGCACATGGACCCGACTTGAATGGAGGAGGTGGATGATAAAAAGGGGGCTAGTGGGCAAACGGCGGTATGAGTTTTGGCAAGGCCAGTGGCAAGTGGGTTCGCTGGAGCAGCCACTCCGGGGTAGCACAATCTGAACACAAAAACCTTGGAAGCGATCCATATCTCGCCTTCATTGACGTATGCGGCAGCTCATAACGCGCTACAGCCCCCGCAAACAGGACAATGAGGGTGCACAACGTTTGATGCGTAACCTTGGATACGGCACCACCAGAGGGTGGGCGAGAATGGACTTTTATCGTTGCGACTCATTCCAAACCACTTCCGGTGCTTCTTGAATGGCTGCTGGTCTTTTATCACTTCTCGAGAACCCCCAGACTCGTACCTTGTGGCTGCACGCACTTAGCAATGTACGGGCGTGCAGCGGGCAAGACCACAATGGGAAGCGCGTCTGCTGCTAGCACGGGTTGTTAATATAATAAACTTACATTAGTTCTTTATTCAAAAATTTGACTAAAAGAATTTGTGAAATCGTTTTTTCTTTTTTTGTTCGACAGCCTCCGGTTTCTGAGAAGGGTATCTGTATGGTGTTGCGCTTTTGCAGGTGTTGGATACATGTAGCAGGTACCTAGGAGAGCTACAGTGAAAACTTGGAACGTCATCACCAGGCCAGCAGCAGTGCATTTGCTTTCAAAGGGCCTATAATTTCATATCAATGAATAAAGTCATGAACTGAACTGTTTTGTGTGAGTAGCAAGGTTACGGATTTCTCGTCGGATGTAAGTGTGAATTGGCGTGATTTATGTCTACGGATTGTTTTCTCAAGAGAGAGAGACTTTCGTGTTATAGTCACGATGTCACGGGGGTAGACCATGAAAATGGGATACTGAACGGACGAACAAAATATTTGCCTTTCTTGGCAACATAGAGTTAGGCATTGGTAATAGCATCTGTAACTATTGCTACATTTCTCCAGTATCCACTACTATGATTGTGACTCCCAAGCACTATTGGGACACGATGGATACATGTAGCCACTCCCCAGAAATGTCACGATTAATATAAAATACCCAAAGAATTTACAGGCCGTTCCCTATAAGCAACTAATGGTCCCATCATATGCCTCTATGATGGGTCCGTACAATTGATCAGGGTCCCCTGCAGGCGTCCCATAATTCACGCCGCCCTCCATATCCATTGGGAAGAGAATCTTCCTGATTTTCATGCAGAGCGGCTTGACAATATCCATTGCCTCTGGGAATTCACGTACAATCCGATCCATGCCATTTTTGCTCATATGAAATGACTTGGCATCCGCGATTGTGGTAAAACTCCCAGTTTCCCATTGGTGAAGACTACTACCTTGTGGCGGTGACTCCCCGCGTGTAAAATCCTTGGTCCATGATTCACGTGCGCACATCCAGATTAATACATAGAAAAAGGACTCTAGGTCGTGGCGGTAGGTGTGATCAACTTTCGACAACACCTCTATTGCCATAAACCGCATCGTTCCAACCCGATGCTGTGCTCCACTTGTATCACTGTCTCTCACGCTGGCAAGATCAAGGTCGATCAGCATGCCCTTAAAGCCATCCTCCGTCTCAGGCTTCGTAATAATGATATTGTTTGATGAGATATCGCGATGGAGAATGTTGCCCCTCGTGTAGAGAGATTGATGTGCCTTGATTGCGTCTCGGAGCGACTCTAGCAGCTCCTTGATTGTATTGAAGCTGCTGATGACTCGACCAGCTGGTGAGACAACAAGACAGGAATATATCCTATTCTCCCACAAGTCTTCACAAGGAGTGTGTAGGCTCAGCTTAGTCTGATCGACCGACTGCTGATTGTCAACTGCCGTGACAAGTTTCGACCTCGCGCTACCGAATCGCAATCTCTTGGAGATGGGTGAATCGCCAGAAGTATGTTCAGACCCTAACTCGCGCTTCTGACGTGTCGTCTGTATACTTACAGGCGCCGGATCATTAAATTCGACGTCTTCCGTTTGAAACCGATGGTGTTCCGGAAACTGTAGTCCCTCTCGTAGCTCTGCAATGGTAGTGATTTGGCGATACGCAACCACTCTTGCCACCCCCCGAACACCCCGTCTCTCTGCAAGCTTTAGATTTTCCACCTCTGCATTCCGCTTATCCGGCACCCACGAGAACTTTGCGACATGCCCGTTTCGAGTCTGAAAGCATGTAGTCCCGCGAGACACAATGGCATTCCGCCTCACTATCGGCCGCACCAGTCTAACCCTCATTTCGGTGCTATCTCCGCCATCCAATGTGACATAGTGACGGTCGTCTTTTCGTTCAGTAAATGTGTCCAAGCCCATCGCATTGTCATCCATTGTGCTGTACCCGACAAGAGCGCGCGCAATCTTATCCGGCTCGTCGTGGATGTCGAATGGCCCTGAGCTGTAAGCCCCAGATCGATCAAATACCCAAAGCTCCATCGTAGAAGCGCAGAGGGTGAATCCATGGGCGAATCGACGAGTCGGATAGTCGATAAAGAGCCCTCGCACGTGGCGCGCAAGTTGGAGGAAATCTGCCTTGAATTCGCCCGAGTCATACAACTTCTTTTGCTGTCCAGCGACAAGGGCATCTTTGTACTCAAAGATGCTGTTTGCGGCGGCGGCTGGTGTTTGAAAGAAGAGATCCATCTGTCCTTTCTGCTCTTTAAACTGGTTGGCGGTCGTAGTGGTACGGAGCTTGTATGGAGCATCAGCTAGAAAGCGGTCTTCCAGAGAGCGAAGCCAATCCCAGACAGGTTCTTCGTCGGAGACAGACGGGAAACCCGTCCACTTCTTCCCATCGTGCTCCGCCATCACCGCTTGTAACATCGTTTGGTGTTCTTCGGACCAGCCATTGGAGTCAAAGAATTTGTCCCAGAACCCTCCCACATTGCGAAAAGTGCATTCTTTGATCTCCTCAAAGAGTTCTACATCGTCAATGTAGCCTGTTTCGCTACCCGTACGTCGGCTAGAGCTAGACTTGGCGTGCGTTGCCTTTAAGGCTTCCTGTAGTTTGATTATGGAAGAAGGCGGTGTAAGCTCGCTGAAAGTATCGATTAGGTCAAAGACCTCAATCCAGATGAGTTCGTCCCGAGAATTTTCACCGATATGGCGGATGAGAGGGCGAAATCGGTCCAGTCCTGTGCCACCTCGAACGAGATGCAGCATATTGAGCAATTCGATTGCAACAGAGCTGCCGTATGGAGTGGTCAAGTTGAATGCAGCTGCAGAGCCAATGAGGAAGCCCAAGATGCGCGCGACATCTTTGAGGGATGGGTTGTGGCCATCGGACTCTCGTAGATTGTCTGGGAGAAGTTTCAGCTCATCATTAAGTGGGTTTTCTGAGATAACCTTGATCTGCTGCTCTGACAGGGGCATCTAGACACCACGTACGGAGTAGAGATGACAGCCAATCGCATCAAAAGGTACCTAGGTAAATGGAGTAGATATAGAGGAGATAGCTAGAGGTCTTATAGTAGCAATAGGTAGGCAGAGGTATAGTAGATATGTATACCAAAGCACCCGGGCAATTAATGGAAATCGTGCAGTATCTGCCTGTACCTAGGCAGGTAGGAGAACTAGGAGGTACCTAGTAGGTATAGTAGGTAGGTAGTGAAGTTCTGCTGGAGACAACATAAAGCGCGTCTTCTCGTCCGTGGCTCACGTGGTGAGACGAGTATGGAGTACAGACGTGCATGTAGAACACGCGAAATCACGTGGCCGAAACCATGCCTGCCGGACGGTGCCAAGGGTATTACATGTACCCATACATCTGGATATGTACCAACCATTGAACTCGTCTATCGGGCTATAGAAGAAATCCAGAGACCTGCCGCAAAGTACATATATCCAGGGATGACAACAAACGCGTTTATACGACTTAATATGGCCGCATTTTATGGAAATATATCGGATTCAAGGCCTTAAAAGCCCTTCCTCCATCTGTCAATAGAATATCTAACCATGTATAATATCTAGAGTGAGAATAGCGATATCAACTCGTTGAGCTTGGTATGGGGGCGTGTAGGCTTGGCCTCTCTCTCACCCTCATCGTCAGGGGGTATGAGCACTATTATTCAGGAGAACTGGCAAGTGTCATGGCCTGCCTCATCTTTCTTCAAAGAACTCCCGGACCTTTTACAAAGGCACATATCTCCTTCATGCACTCGATGGAATGCAAATCTTGGCTCATGGTGTGCTTCGTCCCACCTCCAAAGATCATCTTGTCATCAATTAGTTCGAAGATATGCTTGGTCATGGTATACTTTGATGCATCGACGCTCGATGCATCACCGTCGAACATGGGGAAATAGCTCGTCTCAAGATCCTCACAGAAGTAGACTCCCCCGGGTTTGATCGTCCTCCAGAGGTGTTGAAGTGATATGACCTGCTGGTGCATGAAATGGCCGCCGTCGTCAACAATGACGTCGAATTCCCCGCCTGTAGCCTCGATGAAGTCCTCTAAGAAGTCCGGGTCGCCCTGATCGCCCAAGAACACGGTCGTTCCCGGTCTCCACTGGAGTTCGGCCCATCGGTGGGTACATTCGACGTCGTTGTCGATGAAGTAGAGGTCGACGTCTTCAAAGTACTCTTTCCAGGTCCAGTACGATGCGCCAGGTCCATAAGGCTGCGTGAATGTTCAGTCTATATATACATGTACGAAGCCATCAGACCGAGAACGTACCACATCGCAACCGAGACCAATCTCCAATACCTTTACCCTCTCAGAGCGCAAGGTCTGGAGGTACTTGCCGTACATAAAATGATATTGGTGCTTCGTAACCTTATCGGTTCCGTACTTGAGCGCAATGTCGAGAAAGGCCTTGGGACCGCTGAAACAATGTGAGAGAAGTCGAAGCAGAGGGGATACACGTCTTACGTTTGGAGCGAAGTCTCTCGACCCAACGCCGGCACATGCATGGGCATTTGGATAAGAAAAGCAGCCAGCGCCGACATGCCCATGGCGGCGAATCTGGCGAAGCATGCGCTTAACAAACGACGACTTGTCATCTTAGAGACTAGGAAAACAGAAGATTCTATCTATTGTAGCTTGGTGTTCGACACGCTCTAGCTGGCCTCTTCTCACCACGTAACCATTTAAAGAGGGGATGAAAAGTCCCACGCCGGTGACAAGGCTGCAGCGGTTTAATATTAACACATCGTGTACATGTATACATGTAGTTAAACACCCTTGGGTGGGCACCTCGCTTCCGTGAGGATTTCAACTCCCTGTTATCACTACAAGCCTCGGTTCCAATGTTGGACGTATGATAAAGTATTTTTAGGCTAGTTAGCCGATATGTTCTCAATTATCATTCTCGCGACATCTCATTCTGTCAACCCCACTAGAAGTTGATCGTCGAACTGCTCTGTTTTTCTATATGAATGGCATGAAGTTTTTTCCGAACTATTTCTCTCTTTGTACATACATGTATGGGATTAATTTTAATCTTCCCCTTTTGTTAGGTAGCAATACTTTGATTGGTAATTGTGATGTACGATATGCAGCTATTTCCCTGATCATTTGGCGAGGCTTTCTAAACGGGCTTCGCTCAGCAGCATGTAGATATCGGGGCCAATATCGCTTCCCTTCCAGCATCTTTCCTTTTCCTTCAAAGGTCATAGTCTGGGGTTATTCGCAATGGATCAATGCCAGCGTCATGTTGAACTTTACCTAGGATATGTACATTTGGTCTCGGAAGCTACTTGCCGTTGAACAAACTCATGTTCAATTGCGGTATATTTCTTCCAGTAAAAGGCGGGGTTTGCATGGCCAGTGTCTTCTAGGTACATTATGTGGCAGGGGGGCCTTGTCATTTCCTGAGTTCCGTCTTCTGTTGCGACGAACCTCTCTCCGGTCAACTATAAATCTCTTGCCGTCGTGCAATCAAGGTATGCGAAGTATACACAATACTTGTATACTTCAACAGCGAGAGGAGCCAACAAACAAGGCCCAATAGTGGTATTTACGCGAAGCAATGCGCCATTGCAGCTTGGTTGACGTGCTGGGCCATTGTACCTACATCCATGTAGCTACCTCTCTGCGCACAAAGTGAGGCGATCCGCTGTTGGTCAGACAATTCGTCTCTTGTGTACTTCATGTGTGCTGGAACACCCAGCCTTGGTTTGTCATTGGCTCACGTGTTGCCGGACAGCCATACAAATCCCATCGATAGTTGCATGCTACAGCCTGATGCTTGACTCTTTCGCCTGCATAGGTGCCCTCCATCAGCTCATCCCGTCATTCTCCTCAATTTAATCTTTGTTTTATCACTTGTAGCTTATATCGAACGTCACAACTAATAAAGCACTGCCCTTCGCAAAGCCTCGCGAAGAGGTACCGCACCCATGGATCCGCTCAGCATAACAGCCTCTGTCATTGCCATTGTGCAGTTGACAGCGGCGGTAGGATCGGGATTCCAGCGGCTAATGTCTCTGCGAGGTGCGTCCGACCAACTGCTGCAGGTCATGAACGAGGTTCGCCACACCTCCTGCTCGCTGCCTACAATTTGAGTGTGTGAATATGTTGACGGATTCTCTCTCCAGGTTACCGATCTTGAAGCCCTGGCCCGCGATATGCAGAGCATCTTACAGGAACGTGATGAGGCCTCCTCGTTAGATTCAGCGACACTCGCCACCCTACCAGGTCTATGTCAGCAGGTGACTGCCTTAATGCAAGAGCTGAAAGATATTGTGCAGGGCTGTCTCAAAGAAGAGATTACATCAACAGCAAGCTCTCTCAAGATCAAGAGGATCGCCTGGCTCCGTGCTGCGGATAAGATGAACACCATGCAGGCGAGGATACGCGCTATGCGGCTCCGATTGTCGTCAGCTCTGGCATCCATACAATCGTGCGGGCTCCTTCTCATCGTCCTCGGGGGAGCGAAGAGCAACAATATGCTGACTTTGCCACAGCCTAGACATGATTCGTGTACGTCTAGTCCTACAGAATCTCTCCCTTGCTCCAGGTCTCCAGGCAGGGGGTGGCAACAACTCCGATCACCTGTCTGATATTGCCAGGCGCTTTGAAAATATCGAGGGCATCCCTGAGCAGATACGACAGATTCTTGAAATCTTGAAGCCTACACCGCCGGCGAGCATGTCGGCAGGACTCACTCCTGTCGTCCCTAAAGGCCGTACCGCTGCCGAGGAGCTGGTAACACATCACATGTCCAAGGCTGTGAACCCGGGAACGCGCCTAGCTGTCAATGGGCAGACGATCCGCTTGACTTTTAACGCTTATTCTACACAGAGGCTCGCCCGCCCCTGTCCCTGCCGGTGTCACACTACGAAAGCGGCCCAAACTTCCAAATTGTTTCAGAAGGCAATTGGCCAGCTTTTTGTCGGTTACGCCGGCCAGGTCTCACATCTCAAAGAATGCAAGAAGTGTCCCTGCGTAAAGGCCAATGATGCCAAGGTCAACTTGACTTATTACTTTCCCTCATGGTTCGTCTCGAGGGCTGTAGAAGTCATCTTCCGGAGCTCCGAGCTTTATGGCCCATCCCTGAGCCTTCGGACTCACAGGGTCATCCCGGACGAATCGCCTCTATTCCATTTCGCGAAGTTGGGTATGATTCCCGAGATTCAGCTCCTCTTCCAAGATAAGATGGCGTCGCCGTTCGATATCAGCTCCAAGACGGGCAGATCAGCCTTGCATGTGCGTCCACCCCTTTAACACAGATGAAAATGGCGGGCATGACTGATTCTGTTCTCTAGTTTGCTGCTGATTGGGGTCAGGAAGAGATGTGCTCTTTTTTGATCAGGTTCGGCGCTGATGCCCACTATGAGGACAAGTACCTGATGTAAGTTCACACCACGCCAAGTCTACCTACATGTAGGTAGATTTGTGTATGTACGTTTCAATAACCAATTTCTTTACACTCATAGGTCTCCATTTGATATTGTATGGGAGAAACGAACGGAGCGTCGGCCCAAGACTGCTGCTGCCGCTTTTGGACTGGAGAATGACTCCTACGACATGGACCTACTGCTGAAGCGGGCACTTCGTCCTCTCCACCGCGCCGTCCTCGGCCTGTCGCCAGTTGATGTTGCCACTCAGCTCGAATCTTCGTGGCTGGAAGTCAATAAACAGGATTACTGGGGCCGTGTACCACTCTCCTGGGCTGCAGGTCGCGGAGATGTGGCTGCTGTCGAGCTTTTGATACAATGGGAGGCAAATGTCGCAATCCCAGACAAGGGCGGTTGGACATGCCTTCACCATGCTGCAAGAGCGGAAGATTCAAGTTGCATACAGGCGCTCATTGAAGCCGGCGCGCCAATAAACATAAAAAATAACAGAGGTAACACACCTCTGGCCGTGGCATGCAGCTACCGGGACAGTCCAGAGCATGTTCTACCTTTCATCCAAGGCGGAGCCGACCTGGCATCGCCCATGAAGGATGGCTTCACACCGTTGGCCATCTGTGCAAAGCACAACCACGTCTTTTGTGCGAAAGCGCTTGTGGATCACGGTGCAAGCGTCGACGGCATAGAAAACGGCATGGCGTTCCCAATTTCAGTAGCAGCAAGCTATAATTCCCATGAGACCCTCTTGTGGCTTCTGTCGCTGGGCAAGAATCACTCGCGTCTCGACCATAACCGCTGGTCCCTTTTACATCACGTCGCCCTCTTAGCTGACAAGGAGACGATGGAGATTCTCACAGAGGCACACCTCTTTGCCCTCGACCCGGAGCTCGAGTCCATTGATGGTATGAAACCGCGCGACATCTTTCTTAACCAGAGGAAACTGAGCCTCAACGAAAGCCCAGCGATGTACCTGGAATCGAAGGTGGCGTTTGAAGCTCTCCTGGATTCTATTGACCAACGCTATATTTCAACTAGCACAAGCCCGAGTTCTCTCAATGAGGACTGGTATGATGCGCTTGACAAGATGGAGCTTGGTGACACGGTCGCCTCAATCAAGGAGGCAACAGTCGAGATTTTGGAGGTTGCTAATTAATAAGTATATGGATGTACCAGCTCTCGCAGCTTACTGAACCGTTTGTAATGTTTAAGCTAAATTTGCATGAGTGCATGCATTAAATGTAGGTGAGACTGAATAGTTCAGTATCACCATATGTAGCGACCATAAGAAGAATACACACATGTATATAGTGAGGGATCGGCAGCATAAGGGATAGCCAGGATCAATCCGCCACTAGGTAAGGAAAATGTTAACAATCTCAAGGCGTTGAACAAGCTACGAGTGTCAAGAAAGATTAATATACAGGCACCGGCCAACTTCATTTTCACGGCCTAAATGAGGTCCTCTCTCAGGTAGTCACGAGTGTAAATAAGGGCCTTTGCTCTGTAGATGGCTTTAAAGCCCTCATGCAATCGGCAGATACCGTAACTATCCGCAAAGTCTTTACTATTTATCGATTACAGAATCGTCTCCGAGAAATCCGCCGCGGACGCGATGATGATGATTTCGATAATTTCGTAATCTGCACGGCAGATGAAGTTATAATGCGCAAGTCATTCTGAGGGGGTTGACTACGCCTTCTCAAATCTCACAACCTGTCCGATCCACCGATGAAAGTAATAAGAAAATAGCAAACTGAAGAACGGAGGACTGATTTAGGTTTTTTTAATGGCAGGGTAGCATGGGAAATATTAACGACATCAGGACAGGTCAACACTAATAATGAGCTCATCATATGCCTTCCTCATGTTAAATGCACTACTATATGGGTAGTGTGTTGCCTAATACAGTAATATAGTTCATGAGTACATTAACTTCACCACACAAGGCATTAACAGTATACGTAGCATACAACGTGAATGTAGAATTAATGTATTGCGGATCCTTGATACGCCTTGCCCTAATACTAGGGGTGTTGGTTATCGAACAAAAGGATATCGGGAACGGAATATTTAAGGATTTCCTTCCTTGACACCAAAACGCCCATGGAATAACTATTACCGGCTGTGATCAGCTGTGTCTCAATGTCATACGCGAATTCCCTCCAACTCCGAATGCGAACCGTGTACTCGTTTGTATTGTGGCTTTCTTCATCAAGCATTAGCACCTTACGGGATGACTAAAGAGTACACTGTCTCGGCGACTGATGCCAAGCCAGGAACTGAAGGAGGTGGTCATACATCGCTTGCTTTCCCGCTTGTTAACATAACAAACAGTCTAGACAACAACAACAAGCTGTACCAAGAGCTAGGCCTCCAAGAAGACCACTTGTTGTTCCCCCAGAAGGCCGGTTTCCGTAGTAGCCTTGAGGAGGTGGGTATTGGCCTTGAGGGTACTGGCCTTGAGGGTATTGGGGGTATTGAGAGTATTGAGGATATTGGCCTTGCAGATATTGGCCTGGTGGGTATTGTCCCTGACCAGGATAAGGGCCTTGTTGCTGGTTATAATAGCCCATTTGCGGGCCAGGCTGATAATATGCCTGTTGACCTTGCGGCCCCTGGATGCCTTCCTGATAGTTACTTGACTGGCCGCCTTGTTGGTAACCTCCATATCCTCCGTAGGTGGGTTTAGGTGTCTGGGGCTCTCCGTAAGCTGGGGGGCGATCACCTTGGTTGGTATTCTTGGCGGCCATGATTTATTCTTTCTAGATGCTACTGCGAATCGCCAGAACAACGAGAGAAACCAGGTCAAAAAAGAATGAACAAGGTATCAAGATACAACCACCGAACGGCGGCCAAGAGAAGATAAACAGAGAGGCAGTGAGGGGAATTGCAAGGGAAAGCTGGGCAGCGTGTGATCAAAAACCTTGGGCATTGGGGCGAACTTAACGCTCTCACTCATGGGCCGCTTTCTGGGCATTACGCACACCAACGACGGGCGCCACACTGGATTACGACAAACCTTCGGGCATTCGGCGTGAATGGAGGGACGATTCCGGGGCATGGCGCATCTTAGTCTTTGAGACGGGAGAACTCCATAGCGATTACGAAGTACTTTGGCAGCAGAGAGCAGCCACAGGCTTGGAAGTCTACTGCTTCTCTCGGCGCCATCAGCCACAATCTTTGTCTGGAGCCGGAGTATAAAAGATGGCGGAGGCTGCGCTGTAGGTGTGTTTGGGTGCGTTTAGGTGCGTCTAGGTGCGTTTAGGTGCGATAAGATACACATCACGTGAGGAAGCTCACAGCCACATGTGGCTGCTCCACCAGAAATTGCAAACCGCACCAAATGTTGAGAAATTCGCTGGATTGTTTCGACGGCACACCCCACGCTCACAATCAGCCCTTGTAGAATCGCGTCGCTGGACACACTGCAGGGCAGGTTGCTTTTTTGAATCGACGAATTTGGTGCTACACAGCAGGCAGGAATCATGGCTACCACCGCGCCGCCCAAGGCCAAGTGAGTGGCCTCGTCTCTATCTTGGGAACTTTTCTTTGCCACGGCTCGCTAACCCCACCACTGCAAAAACAGGCACGACTGGGCCGACGACGACGACATCGAGGAGACCTCCTCCGACCTGCCGCCTCCCCAGACCATCTCTAATAAAGATGGTACCAAGACCATCATCACATTCCGATACAACGATCAGGGCCAGAAAGTAAAGACGACTCGCCGGATCCGCTATGTCACCCAGACCGAGACAGTCAACCCCCGCGTCGCCAACCGGAAAACGTGGGCCAAGTTCGGTCTGAGCGCCAAAGATCCCGCGGGACCTGCCCCCGATACCACCTCCGTCGGCGAGAACATCATCTTCCGACCCAGCGTCTCCTGGCGCAAGGATGCCAAGGAGGAGGGCGCTGACGCGAACGCCCAGGCCATGAAGGACAAGCTCAAGGACAAGAAGGTCAAGTGCCGTATCTGCAATGGCGAGCACTTTACAGCCAGATGTCCCTACAAGGACACCATGGCGCCTGTTGGAGAAACGAGCGGCGCGGATGCGCCCGCCGGTATGGCAGAGGATCTCTCAGCTGCCACCGGTGCTGCCGGGTCTGGGAAGAAGGGCTCATACGTTCCGCCTGCTCTGCGTGGCGACCGTGGAGGAGCTGGAGAGCGCATGGGAGGATCAAAATACGGCGAGAGAGACGACTTTGCGACACTGCGTGTCACCAACGTATGCTTGCCACTTGAGCCCCCTAATCAGACATGTCATTTGCTAACCATCATGTTTCTTCCAAATAGGTCTCAGAGATGGCAGAGGAATCAGAACTGCGCGATATGTTCGAGCGTTTCGGCCGTGTCACCAGAGTCTTCCTTGCCAAGGACCGGGAAACTGGTATGGCCAAGGGTTTCGCCTTCATCAGCTTCGCAGATCACAGCGACGCCGTCACGGCATGCAACAAGATGGACGGATTTGGTTTCAAGCATCTTATTCTCAGGGTGGAGTTTGCCAAGAAGGCTCAGTAAAACAACAAAAGCCCTTGTTTTCTCTTGTTGCGGGATGGTTAGGAAGATATGGTAATGCATTTGCTATGACTATTTGCTGAATAGCTGAAATTGGCCTCTTCTTGTTGTATCTTCTTGGGCGTCTCGTGAGTGTCATACTTGCACCCATATGTCTGTGCTCTCTTGACTGTAGCACCATCGTGTACTCCGTAGACCACTGTGCAATCAAGACTTGTCCGTACAGTAGAGTTGCTATGAGGAACTGTCTGTAAACAAAACTCTCTGTATCTGTGGCGTTGGCAGACAGTTCATCAGTTGAACTCTCTTCTGACTGTAGCTAGCTGTAGGTCAAAGTTTCAGAGTGATACGCCGTAACTGACGAATTACAGCTTCGAATAAGGAAGTATCTGTAAACAAAGGCTGGCTGATATAATGTATAGCAATATGCTCTTGGACATCCATTCATCCATTCATAAAAATAGCAAACAGAGCTTATCCAAGGAGCATCTCTCCGCGCCTCTCTCCCAATAAGATGCAGTTCTAAATCTCGCTTGTGTGGTGAGAAGCCCTCCGTAGTGGGGCGTCCATCTGTTGGGCAAATGTGGGGTACTCACTCCAATCGAACAGCGTATCGCGGGCCAGGATTGCGACTTTCACATGTCTGACTTTTGGTTTCAAGACTTTTTTAGCTGCATTCGTCATTTTGCTGGAGAAGTGGACAGGGCTGGCCTGAACCTTGGCAGCTCATAGAAATCACGTCGTTGTTGTTGCGCTCTCACAGCATCCAGCGATTTTATGTATTGATGTATTTTTCCCCTGTTGATCACATTAACTGCTATTCCTGCCTCTCACCCTTTTATCATCAATGACGGCACAGCAATTCAATGTCATAGCACTGCCTCTCCCCCCCTTAGGCTCGTATTTGGAACTAATACCAATGCCTGCTTTAGCCGACAAACAGCGATTGCGTTAGGGGGCTACCAACGATTCCAGTGGGCGCTCCCCACTATTGACATCAACTGGGCAGCCGTTCTAGTGGTTAAGGTGTCTCTCCACACTGGCATGTTGCTCGGTAGCAACGGCGCCCCCTTCCCAGAGCTGGGCAGAGGTCACAAGACACCCAGAAGCTTCTTCGCCTCAGCCGCCGGCTTCTCGCTTTTCCACTCTCAACAACAGAAAAACAACCAAAAAACGGCCTTCAACAACGCCGTTTATATCGGTCTGCGTCGGCAAGCGTCAACCGCTTGTCGTATCAAAACACCACTGCTGGTCCGTGTGACACAAGGAATCTGCATACTCATCGGCCCTCGGATTGAACCTCTCTTGCGCTTCGATATTAGCCCGGAGATCAGCTCGCTTCTAGACTCCGGATTGGTGGCTCCGCCCTGCAATCAACGATCCCAGAAGGGGCCCTGCAGCCGTTTCTCAACAATCTGTCCTGTCGCCCGTGATTGGGCATTCCGAGTTCATGCAGAGGGCCAGCTAAATAGCCCACAAGCTCGCAATTACAGTCACCCTTCTGTTTCTTCACACTCTTGCTCCTCTCTGTCCTTCAACCTTTGTCAATTCCGGCCCACTCGGACGATCCTCAACTCCGTCCACCATGAGCACGGCCGCTGACGTCTCGGCAGGAGGTGCTGAGCTGCGGCACCGGCAGGTCTATGATGATTCGTCTGACGGAAGTGACAGCATCGACCCCGGTCGTACGGTGCCAATGAAACCTCTGGTCCCGGATGCCCAGGATGGTGACATTGGTAAGCCTAAGAAGACGTTTGGCCGTACACCAGATGGCACAGGTGAGTGAACCAGTCAAATCGCCCCGTCTTGGCTCACACAAGCCAGCCATGGAGCTGACCAGAGCCTCTCGATTTGGATAGTGTTCGTCGTGCCGACTACGCATGACATGGTTTCACAGCTGCTTGACCCGCGCCAGCCCAAGAACCTTTCAGACGCTGTCGTGTTGGCTATTCTGGCATTGCATATTCTAGCGGCTTATTTCCTCCCGGCCGGGTACAAGCGCCCCGTATTTGCAGCTGTTTTCCTGTTTTGGAGAGCTTCTTACAACGTTGGCATCGGCATCCTGCTCCACATCCAATCTCACCACCGGCGCCTCATCACCTGGGCCCAGCGATGGAAGCTATTCGAGCATCCGAGCACAGGCAACAATCCCCGTCCATGGCTCTACAATCTGCTGAAGCGAGAGCTTGAAGCCAAGATCCCTGAAGACTATGAGTTCGAGAAAGCTCCCGTTGAGTACAACACCTGGCTCGTCTTCCGAAGGGTCGTTGACTTGATATTGATGTGTGATTTCGTGTCATACTGTCTGTTTGCAATCGTTTGTGGCCATACTCCCAAGGATGAGAGTATGCTCATCGGAAGCTCGCGCTGGCTCCTCGGCATTACACTAGTCGGATTCAATCTCTGGGTCAAGCTCGATGCCCACCGCGTCGTCAAGGATTTTGCTTGGTACTGGGGAGACTTCTTCTACCTCATCGACCAGGATCTCACATTCGATGGTGTTTTTGAGATGGCACCCCATCCCATGTATTCGATTGGCTATGCTGGATACTATGGCATATCGATGATGGCAGCTAGCTACGAGGTGCTCTTCATCTCTATCCTCGCCCATCTTGCCCAGTTTGCGTTTCTTGTGTCGGTGGAGAACCCTCATATTGACAAGATTTACAACCCTCCTGCCCCAAGAGAAAAGACTCAGACTCGAAGCCCAGTCAGTGCCAACGCCACCGTCGCTTTTGATCTTCCTGCAGATAATACGTTCATGCGGTCTGCTTCTATATCACAGAAGGATATGCCAGCACCTGTGCACAATCTCGTTGGTCTAAACAACATGGATCTCTTCCGAGTCCCCGACTGCGTTGTCGTTATTTTGCCACTCTACGTTGCAGCCCTCACTTTCGCAACACCAGAAACGTATATGTGGAAAGCAATTTTCGTCGCCCACGCACTTTTGTGGCGGATATGGTATCACGCTGGCTTGGGCTTCGTGTTGGATCGACAATCCAAATCAAAGATGTGGACTCGCCACTTTCTTAAATATGGTGAGAGTGCTGGCGAAGCCTGGCGCCAATGGAAAGGCATGTATCACATCAGCATGATCATGTGCAATACATCTTTCATCGCAGCTTGTTGGAAGATGTACAATCTGCCTGAAGACTGGGGCTACGGTTTGGTTCTTTTCAAGCACGTGCTTGGTGCTGGGTTGATTGCTCTGCAGCTGTGGACGGCTTTCAGTGTATATGATTCCCTCGGCGAATTTGGCTGGTTCTGCGGCGACTTCTTCTTTGACCACGAAGCCAAACTGACGTATACCTCCATCTATCGGTTTCTCAACAATCCTGAAAGGGTCTTTGGAACTGCTGGCATTTGGGGTGCCGCTCTCATCACTTGGAGCCGAGCCATATTTATCACTGCTCTGGTTACACAAATCCTAAACGTCATGGTCATCGCGTTCGTTGAACGACCTCACATGCAGAAGATCTATGGAAGAAGCATGCGAGAGGAGGCAGGTCTCACCAAATTCATCAAGCGATCACTGCCACCTCCGGTCAAAGTATTGCAGGAAAGCGTTGACAAAGTCCTGGACGACACATCGCACTTTGTGGAAGAGTTCCTGGACAGCGCCCGCCCCAAGTTTGCTTCTGGTGTCAAGACTATCGTCCGCGACACATCTGCTCTCTTCAATGTAGCACCTGCCCGCCTGACGATTACGAGAATTGCCCCCGACCTAGCAGGGCTGGATCCTAAGCAGTATTCACTCACCATTGAGGGAACACAGACTCTTCAATCAGCCATTGATGAGAGAGCTACTGGCAAAGAGAGCTTTTCGGGACGCTTCCCTAAGCTAATCAAGACTAAGACTTTTGAATATGGTGCCCCTCTACGAGTCAGGTGGCGAGCCCCCGCAAACCACAGCAAAGAAGACTGGATTGGCCTCTATATGGTAACGGATAATCGCCTTCGAGACACGACCGAGGTTTCATCTCTGGGAAGATGGACACCCACATGTACTGGCGTCTACGATGCTTCGATGGCAAATTCTAGCATTACTGTTAAGGAGCATGTCGTGGACAAAGCCGATCCCTCAGACCCTGATATGATGGAAGGCGAAGTCGTTTTCCAAGGAGACAAGCTGTGGTGGACACAAGGCGTCTTTGAGTTCAGATACCACCACGATGGACGGCACACGGTCATGAGCATCTCGGAACCTTTCGAAATCCGCATTAGTAAATTTGACGAAGAAGATGTCGAGGTCGATGTTGGCACCAAGGCCTTGTACGCCAAAGCTGTCGAGTCGGCTCTTCTGCCCATTATCCAAAACTGCCTGGACCGCGATGATGATATTGCGCCAGGTGCCGTGGACGAGAGCTTCGGTTGTCATGTGGAGCGGGATGGCAAATACGCCAAGAGAATTGTCTACGCTATCCGGGAGATGTTTGGTGTAGAGTTTGCACCGGCCGTCGTCCTTGCGGACCGGAGCGTGAGGAAATTGGCATGGAGAATCTGCAATGCCAAGGAAGTTTTGGTAAGTCATTTTGCTCATTTCACTAACAGCTGTAACAAGCTGACAATTTATTTCTCTAGGCACCATACAGTATGTCTCACTCGAAGGGCACGACAACACCAGCAAACGAAGAAATGCCCACGAAAATTTGATGAATATTTCAAATGCACGGAATACTTGATGTAAGGATTTAGATGGTGGCGCAAAATGGACGAAAACTATGATACCAAGAAAGGCGTCAGGATATGAGGGAAAGGGGATAGACACAACTAAATAAAGAAAATCAAATCTATAAAGCAGCAGTGAAGACGTACAGGGAATGTGATGGCGAGTGCTACCAGGTTGCTGGCCGTGCTTTGGATACCTTGCATGTACGATGCTTGAAGGAGCCGAGGCAACTAATACCCAGTGAATATTGGTGGGAATTTTTTCGACAATGGATATCGATAGGATGCTCTCAGCTGTCACCGCTCCCCCACAGAGTTGTGCCTTGCATGAGGACGGCTATGCGGATGCCTCCCGCCGAGGCGACATCCAAAGATGAATCGCTTGGTGGGGGTCAGTGGAGGGATGAGTTGTCTTTGCCTGAAGAATGCTTGTGCCCGGGAGTGATGAGGACGCAGAGTAGAAGTTAGGAAGTGATTCGACCAATGTCTTGATGTAGGGTACATGTACACTTGGAAGCCAATAGACGCCATGATGGATAATTCACCCACCTATACGAGTACGGAGAGAGGGCTTTGACTCTCTACAAGAAGCGAGTTGTCTTGTCAAGATCAATGCCAAGCAGTCTCGACTATGGCTTACACGGGAGCCGGGACAGGCGGTGCATTGAAGCGCTAGGGATGAGGCGGCAGTAGCGCTGAGGACAGGCCCGAATGCGGGATGCGGGACCGGCGGTGACCGGGGAAGAGGATGTTTTGGCTTTATTTTAGGTGTTGATAGTCTATATCTTGCGTGGAGATGTTGATAGTGGAGGGGAGTTGTTTCGTCTTGGCCCTAGATCCTGTGATGAATAGAGAAGTACCACATGGATACTAAGTGTACATGTACCAAGTGATGTTTGTGTTTTTACTATTCGGGGATCCTGACGGTTAGACATTCGAGTGGACATTCGAGACCAGCTGTCAAATGCTGGCATGACACATCTAGCTCCAGAAGCCCGAGCTGACTGACGGCTCGATTCCCATCTGTCGCCATCTGGCCCTGGATCGATTTGTCTGGCCTTCGATCCACACTCTCCGCAGCGGCTGACAGATTTAAGCCTGTATTCTTGGCAATATATAGTACCTAGTAGGTAGGGTTCAAGGTGTTACGTGACATGCCAACACCAACACCAGCCAACTTGCCCCCAAAATACTATACCTGCATACATCAACATGTTATCTATACAGTATTAGACAACACAAGATGCTTGTTAAAGAATAGATAGATGCCCCCCGTCCTTCACAAAAAGGGCGTCCCAGCTCCAGCCCCCCAAATATGAAAGCTCCCTCTCCCCCCACCTTGTCAGCGGCCTCGAGCTGGTTGATCCTCCTTCCCAGTTAGGCAGCCGATGTCACTGTAACAATCCCCATTCGTCATCAGGGGATTGCAGCAACGCTTTTTGGCCCTCGCGGATATTCCGTCGATGCCCTGGATTCTGCATGCAGCTGTCCTTTCAGCAGGCCGAGATCTGCGGTGTGAATCTGACAGTGTTGGGGTAATCAATGCTGTGAAATAATTGGTGGACTGTGTTGTAACCTCTGTGATCGCCCTGTCGTACCTTGTGGGCGCGGGCAGAAGCTCAATGCCGATCTTATAAATAGTGGCCTGGGGCGTGTCTCAGATTCTTCCTCCCTCTTCTTTTCTTTTTTTTCCTTGTTGCAAGCTCGCTTCAGTTCTGATCTTGTCCCCAATCCGTCTCTTGCACTCCCGTCTTGCCAATTGACCCCATCGTCTTACACAATGCCTCGCCGCAACAACCTCCAGAAGAGCCTGGCCGCAACGCTGCTGTGCGCCGGCAATCTTGCCTCCGCTGGCCTGGTCTACGTCTCTTCGTACTCCCAAACCGTCACGACGCTCAACTACACGCATGGCCAGAACACGGGCATCCAGAAGCTGAGCCCCGTTGCCGTGTCTCAGAGCTGCTCTGACAACCCTTCGTGGCTGACTCTGGACTCCCCCGACTCGATTCTTTACTGCATCAACGAGGGTCTGAACACGCCCAATGGTGCTCTGACTGCCTTCAGGACATCTCCTGGTGGCACTCTGCAGAAGCTTGGCCAAGTCAGCACCGCCAATGGCCCTGTGAGCGGCGTTGTGTTTGGTAACAACCGCCACGGCTTGGCTCTGGCTCACTAGTAAGTGGAATCGGCTGAGTTGGGACTGTTTAAATCAAACACAGAAGCTAACCATGCTTTCTTTGTAGTGGTGGCTCTGCTTTCACCACCTGGGATGTCTCGAACCCCGCCAAGCTGAAGCTCCTTCAAACCAAGACATACAAGCTGACTGGCACTCCCGCCCGCCCCGATCGGCAAGATGCGCCTCACCCTCACGAGGCGGTCCTCGACCCTACGGGCAAGTTCCTGCTTGTCCCCGATCTGGGCATGGATCTCATCCACCTTTACTCCTTCGACCCCAACACCTTGGCTCTCAAGGACATCACGCCTATCAGTGTCAAGCCCGGCTCAGGCCCTCGACATCTTGCTTTTGTCGTCAAGGGCAGCAAGACCTTTGCCTACCTCGTCACTGAGCTGGGCAACACCATCATTGGATACAATGTGACTTACCCCAATGGTCAGATCAAGTTCACTGAGATCTTCAACATCCCCAGCCACGGCCAGGGTCCAGCTGAGCCCAGCAGCTATGCCGCTGCCGAGGTTGTTGTTTCTGTAAGCCCAACGATTCCACACCAGGCATCCAAGAATCCAAGCTAATACACACTCTCAGCCCGACTCCAACTACCTCATCGTCTCCTCCCGCGCGGAGAACAGCACCATCATCCCCGACTTCGACAACCCTTCAACCACCATCCCCTCCGACCCTCTCATCAACTTCAAGATCGACGCGACCACTGGTCAACTCAAGCTCCTTCAAGTCGTTCCCGCCGGCGGCCAGTTCCCCCGCCAGTTCTCCATCAACAAGGAGGGCAACCTGCTCGCCGTTGGTCTGCAGGATGATGGCCGCGTCGTCTTTGTCGACCGCTGCCCCCAGACGGGCCTACTAGGAGACTTTGTGGCGTACGCGGATATCGCTGGTCAGATTACCTCGGCTGTCTTTGCGTAAATGGTGGCTCTCTTGGAGGCTTTGGTCGATTTAGATTGTTCGATTTTCGATGTGATGTAATGATGGAATGAGCTTTGTGTATATGACGAGTATCATGACTCACTGTATATAGCTTATGATGGAGCAAAAGAAATCCTATTATCCTATTATTTATTGTGCTTGAACAAGATAAAATCCGCGACGCCAACGATTTCATACAATATTTTGCTCAGAAAGGGCTTTGCGCTGCCACAATGTCCTATATATCTATCGTCCAATTAGTGTAACTATACCCACCCATCTCTTCCCAGCGTCTTCCACGCGTCTCGCTACAAAACATCCAAGTGGGTATTAGTCACGATTCCATTAATATTCCTGTGGCACGTGAAATGATGTTGCACTGCGACGTCTCTTGAGGATGCACGAGTGTGTCTGCATCAGTCGTGAAACTGCCTCGCCTGGAGGTGTCGGAAGCACTACTGCATATTCATGTAGACAGGCACAAGCGCATGCACGTAGGGTATGGCGCTATATAAATATCGATATTGATATTGGACATTATGTACACAAACTCTTGCGTGCAATGCCATTCCGGCGGCTAAAGAGGCTGCGTGATTCGGTCCGACCCACCAGCTGTTACTCGATTCTCGAGGTAATTGGTGAAGTTGTTAATTGCAATACAGCAGTTGTTTGGATAAATCAATATCGTCGTGCCTAGATGCAACCTGAACCCTTCACCGTTAGTATGGACTAAAGAGGCTTAGGGTTTTTGCGTTCCATATCTTGAGTTGGCTTTAGGGTTGGGAAGAATGCATGCCTGGCGGCGGCTTGGAGATTTTACCGTTTCTGGCAATGTACCTTGGGAATACCGTCACTGCCACCTCTTACACATTGCAGCTTGCAGGCCACTAATGCCCTCTCGCCTCTGCAAAGCCAATGGCCAGGAGAAGATTCCCAACTATGCCAAAACCAAGAGTCGCTCCTGATGCTCCCCATCATGGCAGGCCCCAATTTCCAGCAGCCAACCTTGACCTAAAACCCCGCGCCGTGGCTTCGGCACCGGGTCCAGGACGAGGCCGCAAAGGTACATGCTTTGTAGACTCCGGTGGAGGCAACGGGCCGGGCGAGCGACGCCGCAAGGGGGCCGAGCCGCAGACTAGCTTCCAGCCCGATGATTCGACGGCCCAATCTCCACGTGAGGGCATTGAGGGTGTCTCATGAGGAGCTGCAGGGAGGAGTCAGAGGCAGCCTGAGGAGAGAACTTGGTGTGAGGCAGAGAAACTGACAGGGGCAGAGAGTCAGGTCATGCTGCCGCTTTGCGGACAGGGAGGCTGCCGGCGCAGCCTAGAGAGAGTCACGAGCCGCCTGTCTGGTGAATGATTCGAGGAGGACATGCAGTCGAAATGCAGTCGAGATGCAGACAAGACCTGAGGTGCCTGGCAAAGACAGCACAGTGTGTTCATGCATGCCGCTTCGCATTTCCCATTTCCCACTCGCTTCAGCCAGAGTGTCTAGCGGCTTATGCAAGGTGAAGTGTGCGCTTCATTGCATGCATCTTGGGATTGGTGATAATGCAGGAAAAAGAAGCAAGGCACCTCTAGCAGGGTCCTAAAAGATTAAGGCTCTATGTATCTCGGTACTTACACCTACCAGGTTCCTACACCAAAATATTACGAGCCTCCAAGGGCAAGCACGGAATACCTTAGACTGGCAGGCAGCACCTTCCCATCGCTCCCCCCTCCAACCCCACACGTGATGTTTGTTGCGCCAGCCAGTTTTACGACAAGAATGCCAACCACCGCCATTTGATCTTCTTGATCTCCCCAGAAGCACGACTTTTTCTCTTTTGCTTCTGCTTTTTCGAATTCCCAGTCTGCCTGCGGTGTGCGGCTTTCCTCCCTTGCATTAAACTACCTAAACTATACAAGCTGTCTAACCCCAAGGTCTTCTAGGCCCCCAATTCTGTCACTTTCATCCCACTACTTTTTTTTTCTCCCCTCTTTTTGCGCAGCAAGCGCCGGCTTAGCTCTGCTGCATCCTTTGTTTGGTGCGTGTTTCGCAGACGCAGGTTCCGTGTCTCCGTTTCCAAAGGGGACGAGAATTCACGCTTCAACCGCCACGTCCTTCAAGCCTCTGGAGCGCCGGCTTATCTGGGGGCCTTGACTCCTCTTCCCCAGGCGCATCCTCTAGGCCAAAGTCCCCTTGCACTCCAAAAGCTGTGAGGGCGAAGGCGGGCCAGTGAAACACAAGCCCAAAGTCCTAGCAGCCCAATCTGCTACTGCGCAAGGCAGCATTTCTTTCCCTTGCCGCGGCTTTTTCTTCTTCTTCCTCTTCTCCTTCTCCTCTTCCCTTTAACCTTCTCCGTTTTACTACTCCCAGTCCTCTCTTGTGCTTCCATCTCCAATTCAGCACCTCTCCCCCCCCTTCCGTGTGCCTCTCTGGCGTCTTGTCCAACGCCGTTCTCGCAAAGGTGGTCATGCACGTTGTGACCCCTCAACTCCAATCAACGTATTGTGGGATGCTATAGTTGGTGCAGCGTGGACGTTCCTGACTGGCCCACGAGGCTGCGATCGCTCCTGCATAACCCGACTGCACCATCCTTTTTTTTCTAATCCCCCTCTCGCATCCCGCCCCTTGATAGAGCTCAAAAAGACCAAAGGGGGGACTCGTTGGACTGAGCGCCTGTTTCCTGCTCTGTCTTCTGAGTGCGCGTGTGTGCCTTAGTTCACACCCGTTTTTTCTTTCCCCGCCGCTGTGTTCGCGCGGTAGCCGAGTCAAACTCCAACGCTGCTGTCTACGGTGGTGAGCTGGTAGAGAGACAGAATAAGAATCACAGCAGGAGAACCAGACGCTGAATCAACACGCAAAAGCCATAACAGGTGGGCTGCTGTGGCTCTTCCCTCCATTTCTGACCCAGCAAGACAATATGCGGTTGGAATCAATCCGAGATCCTGGTACTGCTACCGTCCGCTCTGGACGACGAAAGCTCAGACCGGGCGAACCAAGCGATTGGAATCAGAAGGCCGACGATGCAGCTCCGCAGCCTCATACCCGTGGTACAGTCCAGATACAACGACGGCTGGACCTGGCAACAGCACCCTCACCACCGCAGCTGACGATGCGCAGACGGGAGCCCGGCAATTCCAAAGCTATAGATGCCACTGCAGCCATTCCTACTGTGCCTGCAACTGCTGCTGCTGCTGTTGCTGCCGCCGCTGCGGGTGGTGGCCGCTCCCCATGGCAACCAGGCCTTGGTAAACCGGGGCTTGCTAGAGCCGCTTCAGATGCCTATCGTCGCCCAAACGGCACATTGATGGACTCTTATGATGGGGAGGATGAGTCTGCCAACGAGCAGCAACCTGCGCGCCGTACGAGGAGGAACTCTTCACCTCCAAACCACCCTCGTCGCAGATTGATGCCTGGAGCGTATTCCGAACCCTCGACGCACAGATCAGCGAGCGTTTCATCGTATGGCGGTGATGAAGATGACGATCATGGCCTCGAGGTGGAAGAAGTACCACCCGACGGTTCGTCTCGTCATAGCAGACAGCGCCTGTCCAGCCGTGATGAGTACCTCGATTCCTCAAGTGATAGAAACCGCTATCGAAAGAGATTTACACCGCGGCGATATTATTCCGACGATGAGCGGGATTCTGACCATCCGCTTTCGGCCAGTGATGCGGCTACTACTTCACATACGCGAGAGTCCTCCAGGGTCCGCGAGAGAAGCGAGTCACCCCACAAGGCTCAGCGCTACCAGTTGACACATGTCATTGGGGGTTCGCGGCCACCTGTAGCATCGAGAAAAAGGTTTGTCCTCTTCACAAATATCCATCAGCCTTGTTTTTACGAGTCCAAGTTAACAAAGTTAGCTCCAACAATAAGTTGACTAGACGAGCTACATCAGTTGGGCGAGACGCCGTAGGGTACAGATCGGCAGAATCAGCCTACGAGGATCGAGATCCTCGAAGATCATTTACCATGCGGTCTGTTCGTAGCCTCAACGGCTCGACCTCTGGGCCCGCTCGTATCTTGGGAAACATTTTTGGTAATGCTGCTTCTGGGCCTGCTTCTGGGCCTGTTTCTAGACCTGTTTCTAGGCCCGCCTCCAGGTCGAGACCTTCATCGCCAGACAAGTTTTTCAAACTTGAAAAACAAGCCAAGCCGGAGAAAAGAAAAGGGTAAGACATGAACAAACTGTCTTTTGAAAAATGAAGTCTAACTTGAATAAGGGTTGAGTGTGTCATTTGCATGGAGGATACTCCGTCTTCAAAGGGAGCGGACCTCAAGTGCGGCCACCGAATGTGCAATGCCTGCATGAAGCGCAATTTTGAAATGTCGATTCATGATCCGCAACATATGCCCCCACGATGCTGCACAAAGAGTCACATCCCGCTCAAGCATGTCGATAAGCTGTTCGACAATGCTTTCAAGAGGACTTGGAACCGCAAGTTTGCTGAATATTCGACTGGGAACCGAGTCTATTGCCCATCAAAGCGTTGTGGTGAGTGGATTAAGCCGACCAGCTTCTATCGAGGCGAGGATGGTAGGAGAGTTGCTCGCTGTGGTCGTTGCAAGACCAAGGTTTGCCCAAAGTGCAGTGGAAAATGGCACAACTCTATCGAGTGTCCCCGTGACGAAGAAACGAACAAGTTCCTCGATCAAGCAAAGGAAGAGGGCTGGAAGAGATGTTATAAGTGCAAATCTATGGTCGAACTCAAGGAAGGATGTAACCATATGACCTGGTAAGTTGGCTCACATTTCTCTACACTCTCCCATCACGCAGATCCTTCTTTTGTTGCTAACACGGGATGGAAGTCGATGCGGAGCCGAATTTTGTATGATTTGTGGCACCAAATGGAAGGGCTGCAGCTGCCCATGGTTTAACTACGAGAATGGAAGTAATCCATGGGAGAATAACCAAGTTCAGGATTTAAACATCCCCACCGAAGACCTAAGGAAGATTCTCCGAGCTAACAGGCCGAATTCCATGGAAGAATTGCGATCTTACTCAAGGCCCACTTCCTCGATGCCTGCAACAAGGCAAAGACCTCAGAATTACGATGAGGAAATGCTCCTTCGTCGGTTCCAGGAGCGGCGTGATGCAGACTTTGGAAGGGGACTGCAGGTCTCAGATGAGCATGACGTTGAGTATGAAGATGATCGAGACCACGACCATGATCGTGACCGTGACCGTGACCGAAAGCGTGATCGAGATCGTGGTCGAGATCGAGATCGCGAGCGGGAACGAGAACGCGAGCGCGAGAACCCCTTTGCTCCCATCACGCCCGACGTAGATGAGGATGAGATGGATTTTGGACTCGGTGGCAGCAAGCATCACCCGATTGAGGATTATAGACGAACAAGCCTGCCGACCTTACCTACCACAGCCCCAGCCACGCAGCCGCTGCCGCCGTACGCCAGCTACGTTTCTGGGGTTAATCGTGCAAGAGGTCCGCAGCGCAGTGGTTCAATGGAGCAGCGTCTGGCTGATAGGTTGTCAGAGAACCGCCCAGGGCGCCGGTCGAGAGGGCCATCGCCTCCTCCAGCGCCAGCCATGCGGCCCCATGTACTACATCCGAGAGATGCTACCCTTGGCGGGCACGCTCCAGACATGGGAATCGGTATGGCTCTGGGCGCGATGGGGAGGGGCGCTATGCCACCCCCACCAGCAGCAGCCTATGCCCACGTGCCGGCAATGCCCTCGCCTGGACTGATGAGGCCGAACCCCTTTGCAGGAGACACGTACTACGATAACGCCTACACGACCACTCCAAGATCAGTTCATGAACCGTATTACTACGGAATGGACACTGCTGAAACTGAGCTTCCCTCTCCGCGGCGCAGATCACGACGTAGTGTGGAAGAGCGCGAGAGACCTAAGTCATCGACTTTGGCGGGATTGACGGGATACGGGCGAGGTGCGCATCGGGTATCCGAGTGGAGGAGTTTTGTTGAACCAGGAGTTCCTGACGGAGAATGACTTGTAATGTGAATAGGCAACTCACTGCCAGGTGAATGTTCCAAGTATGTAAGACTGAAATTGACTGGTTACTGAATACTTGGGAAGCTATCAATGTTCAGACCATTTCATGTATTTAAATATCTGTATGAAGAGGTATATCAATTTGATGGAGGCAGTCTATAACTTGTCTTTCATGAGCTCATGTACTTTATCTGTTTAAAAGGAGAAGATGGTGTTGTTGACGACAAGAGTGATGGAGACAAAATTCTGGCCGTGATTTACACAACTTTTCCTTGTCATTATTTGCCCCTCAACACCACGACTGATGCTAGAAAAAGATGTACATTCCAAGTTTGCAACACAAATCACACAGGCAGGATATAATACCTTGTACTCCGTGCTGGAGCATAAATTTCTATGAGGAATAATCAAGCAGGTGGCCCACTATTTAAGCCAGATGTCCCCTTTCGAAGCATTCATTTTACTCTAGAACAAAGAAGCCAGTGTCCATTCACATGCCAATGCGAACAATGCCAGGTCGCGTGACGCCACACACCGCCCCAGATGGAATCCAAAACAAGCCTCGTGCCGTATGCCCTGCTTAGGCGTGAGTGGCTAATAAAAAACAAAGAGGCTTTTCTAGGGCGCTAAAATCCCAAAAGGAAACGAAACGATATGCCCGAAAGGGGGGCTCTTGGATTTGCGATGACGGCAGCGACGGTGTCACAGCGCAGCAGCTGCGGCCCTTTTTGGAGGCTCTACGGCGCCCGTCATGCAAGTAGCGTCATGCTATGGAGATGCTCGAATCCATTTATTCATGCAACGGGAAAACGAGCTCCCCGAGAGATCCGTTGCTTTGTTTGGGTGGTACAGGACGCCAAGTAGATACCTGATACCTGATACCTGACCTTAGTAGGTACCTACAGGTAGTAATCTGCAGATGATGACAACTGGTATGGATCACTTCGTATCTCAAGTAGCGCAAAGCCCGTACAGTAGCGAATTGCTTGCTGTCCCCTAAGGAGTGGTGTTACGTACTGGCGCAGGGCAGATCGATACGAGTGCAGCTCCAGATACTGACGTGTACCACGTACCCCGTACTCCGTCCGCCGGTACCGTCTCCCTGCACATGCCGCTGCCAGCCTAATCCCAAGCGGCCAATTTCTCTCTGTTCGCAACTTCAATGCAGAGTACGGAATACGCCACCCTCAATCTGCTTGCTGCCTCCTAATACTAACCTACCAACCCACCTACCTACAAGCCATTCCCTTTTTTCCCTTGCCTAGCCTTTCACCCATGCACGTCTTTAAATTACCCTTGAAATGAGCGTTCGGCCTGGCGACCTGTGCATTATCACATCGTTTCGCATCGGGTGCCGGGATAGAGGATAATGTAGACGTTTACCACGTCTAGATTTGGATTCCGACACTGCATCTCTGTTGTGTTGTAGGAGCTGCTGCATCCCGCCTCTCTTTCCTCCACTCCCTTTTCAGCTGAACATTGAACGTCGAACTGCGTTGCAATCGCCAGAGCTCCTTGGATATACATTTTACGAACGAGACCGACCGAACGACCGACCGACTGGGCGAAACAAGCGAAACACAATAATAGCCGTAGCCTAAAACAACTGCATAAGAGCGGCGGGGCCTTTGCGCCGCCCGGAAGCCAAGAAAGATGCTTCTCATCCACCAGACCGGCAGCGTCAAGATTGGCGAAGTTGTCCGCTATACCATCACCTACGCTCCCTCGCAGGACCGCATCCTGCCGTCGCCCGAGCGGCTGTATGTGCGCATTCGCAACACGTCCAACATTGCCCTGCGAGCGGCCTTTGTCCACGGCCCATACACGCTGAGCGTGGCGACGTATCCCGCCAAATTCAACCCCAACGAAAAGTTCCCCAGCCCGCGCCGCTATGGCGTTCCCGAGTTCGAGCCGATGCTCAAGGCCGGAGGGTCATGGGAGTGCCAGCTGATCGTGCCTGAAGACATACGGCAAGCGGCGGGGACGGGAGCCCATGGCACGTTTGGCAACGGTCCGGAGCACGATTCCGAGAGCGTGAGCTGGGTGATTGAGATTTCCTCGCAGGTCATCTTCTCTACATCAGCGGCGGTGGGATACGAGCTGTTGGTGGCAAGAGAACAAAAGTCGCTGAGCCTGAGCTCTTCCATTCCGGTGGTGGGCGGTCAGGCCCAGGTGCCGCAGCCGGGAAAGCTAGTGGACCATCAGCAGAGCATCGGGGCCAAGGACGGCCATCATCCGGCACAGCCTCACGGGGTCTTCTCAAGGGCGGTACACGTCAAGGTGGAAGATACGGCCACTTTGTGGAACACGCCGCGGCTGCCGGCATGGGATGATGCTGGCGATAAAAGGGTCGACGAACGGCCTGCCGCCGACAAGCCTGTCGAGAGCATGGCCAAGACCGGTGATGCGGAAACCGAGGAGGAGCCGCTTCCGGGGAAGCAAAAGAAGATTCACCTTGTCATTCTGACGCATGGGTTGCATAGCAATCTGGGCGCAGATATGCTGTTCATGAAAGAGAGCATTGATGCTGCTGCAAAACAGGCCAAGATTGATGCCAAGGCGAGAAGAGCAAAGAAGCGCGCAGAAGCTGAAGCTAGTGCCGGCGACGGCAACAAGACGAAAGACGAGGCTTCTTCGACGGGAAGCGAAGACGGCAGCGAGGATGAAGACGAAGAGGTCATTGTGCGAGGATACTCTGGAAACGCCACCAAGACAGAGAAGGGGATCAAGTACCTCGGCAAGAGGCTAGCGAGATATGTCCTATCCATGACATACCCGGACCAACCCTTCTTACCGATAGGAGGAAAAGGCACGTTTGAAGGCTTTTCACAAGGACTAGGCGAGCAGGGAGCGCACGACTTTATCCAAGCTCACAAGAACAGCACCATCGCCAAGGCATCCAACCCGGAGGGAGCTCAAGACCATGCCAAAATCCGAAAACCTTACAAGGTTACGAGCATCAGCTTCATTGCGCACTCGCTAGGCGGCCTGGTTCAGACTTACGCTATTGCATACATACAAAAGCATTCGCCTCGGTTTTTCGACATAATAAAACCTATCAACTTCATCGCCCTGGCCACGCCCTTTTTGGGCTTGAGCAACGAAAACCCTCTCTACGTCAAGTTTGCGCTCGATTTTGGCCTCGTGGGGAGGACGGGGCAGGACTTGGGTTTGACGTGGAGGGCGCCGACGATTGCACGGAGCGGTTGGGGTGCCATTGTGAGCAACCTAGGCGAATCTGCCCACAAGAAGGTCTACGGAGAATCACAGCCCGAGTCCAAGCCTTTGTTGCGAATCTTACCCTCAGGGCCCGCCCACAACGCCCTCAAGAAATTTCGGAACCGAACAGTCTACTCCAATGTGGTCAATGATGGCATTGTTCCGTTGCGCACGAGTTGCCTGTTATTCTTGGACTGGCAGGGTCTAGGGCGCGTCGGCAAAGCCAGGAGAGATGCCGGCCTCGTCGAGACGGTTGTGGGCTTTGGATGGGCAGAGCTCACAGGTGCCAACATGGGATCATCGCGGCTGAAGCTGCAGAATCTCCCGGATGACGTTGAGATAGACTCGGGAGCTACGACCCCTAATGGCGATGGCACCACCAACAATGGCGACAACAGCAATAGCCACCAAGTGCCACAGCCATCCAATGATGCTCTCGCCGAAGACGACCGGGCCAGTCTCCGCTCGGTTCCGGCGGTGTTTGCAGATGAGCCACTGGAAAGCCCGGGAGATAACGTGCTCCACACTCCACTCACTGGGTTCTTTAATCTATTTAGGAGTAACGACCCTCCAAAGGAGCAGCCCGTGACGGAGAAACAGAAGAAGATTCTACGTAGGAGCCAGACACTGAAGAACGATGCAGATGCTTCTAGCACTGCCGGCAGCTCCAATTCGTCAGATACGGGCAAGCGAACCGGAAAGGCAACAGCGGGACACGAGCTTGAGAATGACACTGAAGGTTTGAGGGCACCACCCAGGACCACGTTCTTCGAATCTGCCGGTGACCTGCTCAATCCCAAGATTCCAGATGTGGAATGGCTTGTTGATCCATCGAAGCGGCCGCGGACAATCTTCCACGATCGAGTGTACCATCCGACAGACATCCCCGCGCCGCCATTGAAGAAGCGGACTCCTTCAGCGCTAAGTAAGATGAAGCTCAAGTCCTCGTCTTCGTCGTTGCTCTCTCCCGGCGGCAGCGGATCGTCGACGCCACACTCTGGGATAAATCACGAGGATTCGATGGCCTCGGCAAAGGATTACGATGACACTGCAAACACGGGTCCTGAAAAGCAGCCCAACGAGGTTGTCGACGGCTCGAACATGCGTGTTGAGGAAAAAATTTCGCGCGGATACCACAAGGACTTGTCATGGCGGAAGGTGCTTGTCAAGTTGGAACCGGATGCCCACAACAACATATTCGTGCGCCGTATGTTTGCCAACGCTTATGGTTGGCCAGTCGTCAAGCACTTGGTCGATGCTCACTTTAGCGACTCGGCCGTCTCACGATTACGCACCGAGGACGAGTACATGGGCGAGCGGGCCTTGGACATTAGTCAACCCCCTGCTGCGGACGGTGGCGAGACTAAAACGGTGTCTATGCGGCAAGCCCGTGGCCTTGCTCCGGAGCCGACGAATGCGAGCGAAGCTCGGGAGGCGCTCGACGAGGTGCCTCCCCTGCCGAGGACGCAAGACACTGATCGGTCTTCCTTGGCAAACCACAGCCACCACAGTGATAGAGGGGATTCAATGTCGTGGAGTGAGCGTGATTGGGCGAGCAGTGAAAATGAAAGTGAGTTTGATTATATTAATGATGTGGTTGGCGACAAGAAACTGGATAAACCAAAAGAAAGTCAAGGCGGGAGACTAAGTCCGTCATCATGGAACTGGACAGAGAAGATTGTGGGCAAAGGGGCCATGAAGGCGAGAAGCAAGAGCCCGACGACGACGAAGACGGGAGGGTCTCTGTGAGGAGTTGTGCGATATTACACGCTTGAGTCAGCGAAACATTCCCTTCAGATACGATATACACATTGCATTGGCATAATATTGGTATTGCTAGTAGACGGTAGATGCGAACAGGTGGCAATTGGTGCTCTGGGGGTTGAAAAAAAAAATGGATTTCGGATTATTGAATATGAGCGAGTTTTGAGTGATGATTGATTGATGAACCGTGACACAAAGTAAAAATCAATCCATGCGTCTGCCAGTCAATAAAAAGGTAGTTCTCACAAAGGAGAGAGAGAGAGTTATCAATGCTAGAGGTAAAAAAAGAGCAAAAAAAGACAACTATGGACGAACGGGGAATCGAACCCCGGACCTTTCCCATGCGTTTAGGCAACTCGAAGGTCGCACTATGCTAAGGGAAAATTATACCACTAAACCATCCGCCCATTTGCTGATGTCTGCATATGTGCAAGTTTGATACATGAGGATTGGTGCAGCGTTTTCTTTGCGTGAGGTTCAAGTTGATGATAGGGTAGGTAGATGTGAAGGCGCTGGGTTGGGAGGCGTAGATGGACTTGGGGGTAAGTACGTATCTAAGATTTGCTTTTTCTTTTGTTTTGTTGTAAGTGGTTGTGAGAAATAGAAAAGGGTTCTGCTGTGTGTCTTGCTGTGTTGAATCCTGTCTTTGAAATTGATTTGATGGGTGTCGAGTTGTTGAGTTGTGATGTTAGATATTTACTGTAGATCCATGAACCACATGGCGAGGAGTACCTGACGATACCCGACAAGGTAAGCGACGATGACCTCATTTCTCGGAGCATACAACAAAATTCCATTTTTCTTTCTTGCCGATTTTCTTGACTCCGAGTTTTCTAGCCCAAAAAGAAGCCAAAAACCGGCAGCCCGCCATGATGCCCATGTGCGTCACTGTTTGGCCCGCCGGCATTTGCTCCCAAAAAGCAAGCGTCCAAATTGAGCCTAGCCCGTTTGCAACCTCTTTAGTGTTTGCAAATCACATACAGAATTCCTTCCGGCGACTATTTTTATTTTCTTATAATTTTCTTCTATCTTCTTCTTCTTCATTCCCACTTTTGGTCCCCCTCCACCCTTTTTTATTTCTTTTTTATTTCTGTTTTTGGATCTTTTATTTTTATTTTATTTTATTTGTCTAGCGGTTGCTGTGAGGGAATCAATGGGCTTGACGAGTTGCTTGCGGCGTAGTGTCTTGACCCGCTTGTGACGTCTTTAGCACCTAGTAGCTGCTAGCTGATCCAGATCTATCTCCAGAAAGGCACTCTTTTTCTTCTTCCAGCTATATACAGCTTTCTCACAGAGCCCATCCCCTCCCCTTCTCCTCCCTCCAATTCACACGACGAGAACCAGCACCGCCCGCAATGAGGCTCTACCTGCTCCCCGTCTCCACGCGGCGCACGCTCCTCTACGCCAACCGCCTCAACGCCGCCTCGCACGACGGCAGCCTCGTCGACCGCGGCGCCGCCTTCGCCGCGCGGAAATGGGCGCAGTGGGAGAAGATGGAGCGCGGCTGGCAGCGCAAGGTCGTCGACTACGGCAACCAGGCCTTCCGGCGCATTCCCTTTGAGGAGTGGGGGCTCAAGTCGGTGCCGCCGCTGTCGGCTCGGCGCCGCGACGACGAGCTGCGGGGCCGCGATCCCGTCCAGCTGGTGTTCCCGCCGGCTGCCATCCCGGGGCACAAGGCGGAGGGGGTGGTGCGGCGGTTGGCGACGGAGAGGCAGGCGCTGCACCGGCAGAGGCTGATATGGTGCTTTGTGGGCATGCCTATAACGGCGCCCTTGGGCTTGGTGCCTCTGTAAGTTTTTTTTATATATAATTCCAGAAGAGACAGGAGGAGGAGAGGAAAAGAACGAAGGGGGTAAAAGATATCGAAAGGTGATGAGAGAGGAGAGAAAAGAGGAGGCAATGGAAGAGAAGAGACAAGAGAAGCGAGGAACCAACAGAGAAGAGCAACCCCGACTGACAAGACATACACCATCATAGAGTCCCCAACCTCCCCTTCTTCTATCTCGTCTACCGCGCCTGGTCCCATTGGCGAGCCATCAACGGCGGCAAACACATCCAATGGCTCCTCCAACACAACCTCCTCCACCTCGCCCCCTCCAAAGAGCTCGACCAGCTATACACAAAGGACGGCCAGGCCCCCGCCGACGAGCCCGGCGGCAAGGAGCAGATGCTCATCACCCAGAAGCAGATCCAGGACTTTTCGGAAACCCTCGACCTGCCGGCCGTCGAGATTGAGCTGGAGAGGGCCATCTGGCAGGTTGAGCGCGCACTGGGCAATGAGCAAGAGCAGCAGCAGACAGAGAAGACGGAGAAGACGGAGAAGACGTCTGAGGAGAAAGACAAGCAGTCATGAGAGAGACGAAAGAAAGAAAGCGAACAGGAAATTTTGTAATGTTGATGAGTCAATGAGTCAAAAAAATCAATGGGCGGGCGGGCTTTTGATGAAAAAAAGAGAAAATGGGTTATTTTGGTTTCATACCTACCGGAGGGGTGGAGGGATTATATACACAGGATTTTGAATAGACTGGCGGCGGGGAAGGTGGCTTATACAAAATGTAACGAAATGTTTCTTTAGGGAGAGCTATTAGCTGTATATGAGACAGACACGGCGTCATCTTACACACCATACTTCATGTCAGATTTGCGAGAGGCCTCTCCAGGTCTTTGAACTTCATTCACCTTCTGCTTCCTTAGAAATTTGCGAAGTATTGTATTCAACCGGGCTCTCTCAAGATTCAGTAGCAAAGAAGGATGGACTAAATGTGAAATTGATAGCCACCCACCGCCTCCCAAGATACTCATTGCTTTCAGTACACATTATATAAGCTCTTTGTTTTTCCTGATATATCGAAACTAACATGCCGGGTGATTACGCGTAAGCAGATGTAAAAAAAACGAGCGATTAGTAGTATTAAAACCTCTCTCCAACGCCGGTTTCATATTAGGTTGTACCCAAACATGTCTCAATCAATCATTTTGTTCTTTACAAAAAGCCCTGTATTTGTATTTCTTTCCAAAAGAACAATATTATTATGCTTATTTAGAGGCAGCGAGGTCGGAGATGAAGGTGGCCTCTGTGAAGAGCTGACCATCCTCGGAAATCTCCTCGTCACCGACCTTGAGTTTCAAGGTGGTCTTGGGGGCGAACTAGAAGGAGGGAAAAAAGAGTTGAGTTAGCCGAGTGAAGAGAAAGAATGACATCGGTTTACAAACCTGGTAAATGTAGGGCTTCGTTCCAGCGGCGGCTGCTACGATCGTCTTGACGAATCCGGGCACCTCGGCCATGACGTCAACTCTGTCAACACGGTCTCCAAGGTTGGCATCAATGACAGCCGTGACAGGCTTGCCGTCCTTGCTAGATGTTGACCAGGAGAATTCGACCTGGGTGGGCTCAGGCCAGTCGCTGGTGGTGTCCTTCTTGGACGCCTTGTGCGTAGCCTTGTTGTTCTCGGTGCTAATGGCAATCAGCTCACCGTCCTTGACAAGGGCGCCAACATTGACGGTGGTGTTGCCATAGGAGGGAGGAGTGGTAAACTCCATCATGACGGCAGTGTGGTTGGGGCCCTGGAAGTTGGCAAAGTTCCATCGTGCGGCGGCGTGATGCGGCTTCATGCCCTGCAGAGCGTAGATGTAAATGGCCTGGCCCTTGAGGTCCACAGGGCCGTCCTTGGTGGTGATGGTGCCCTCAGCTGAGCAGCGCGGCCAGAATGCGTGACGCATCGAGCCCCAAGGGTTCTTGAGATCTGTACCATACAGCGTCGTACCCGTCTTGCCGGCATGGAAGCCGGGGGCAGTCCTGGTCACCTTGAGGTTGACTAGAGCCCTCTCATCATTCATGCTCTTGATTGTGTAAGAGTTGCCGTCCTCAGACAGCTCGACGGCGCAGTCATCGGCGTAGAAGGATGTCTTGTCCTCGTTGAAAGCGACGTTGCTGAGCGGGTTCGAGCACCACAGGTGCGGCTTGGCCGGATCACGGGAAAAGATCTTGGTGTTGAACTGGCAGGTAACTTTGAGGCCGCTGTAACAAGGGGGGAAAAAAAAGGAAAAAAGTCAGCCAAAGTGATGCTAATATCATGGCAAATGGGCCGCATCATACGCAACGTTACTGTAGATGACCTGGGCCATAGCAATGGTGCCATCCTCGGCGAAGAAGTAAAAGACTTGGTTCTCGACGCATGTCTGGTCCAGCGCCAGCCAGGTGTGGTCGGCCCTGGTCAGCTCGCTATATGGCGTACCGGTCTCCTTTGCCTCTTGGGCAACGGTCTTGATGGCAGACGGGCCGTAGATGGGCTCTTGGGTGCCGGCGACGTTGGCCAGCCTAAAGGAGAGCAGTTTTCCATTAGCAATCGTCATTCGATTTTTGGCAAACCGTTGGAGGGGTGGACAAGGGAGAATGGCGGGGCTGGAGCCTTGGGGCCAGACGGGTGATTCTTACTGCTGCTTTGCCCAGTTGAACATGTTGGCGGGAGATTCGGATGGCGACAAGACTGGAGGAGAAAAAGCGGCGGTGATGAAAAGGTAGAAGAAGAAGAGGCCAAGAGATTCAGAAAAAAGGGCCAGAAGATGGAGAACTTAACTGCGTTCCCGAGTGTTGCAAGGTTTAGCAGTGCGTAGTGCCACTAAATTAAGCTCCAGCAACAAGTGTCGGAGTTCTGCTAGCGGTACAACTGCTATGGAGTGCTGCGGTTGGGCACTTCCAGGGCGCACACCGCTGAAGACTGGAGGGGCAGCTATGCTAAAGTGGCGTCTATGAGGTTCCAATGACGCCGAGGATGCCTGTGGCTTGGGCGCTAAAGGAAAAATTGCCGGGCTGGTGGGTCGATGGCAAAGGGGTTGTGGCTTGATGGACAGCCGTTGGACAGCCGTTGGGTTTTTGGGAAGAAAGCGATGGAGCGAATCGGAGGGCATCGTTGGGAGAGCAGCAGTCGTGGTTACGAGATTCCAGAGCTTAATACTACCTACAAGGTTTGTGGTAGGCAGTAGTGGGCATGATGCCTACATGTACTAAGCTTACATGTGTACCTATGGACGTGTTGATATGATCAGGGCAGATCGGAGCCTTACTGGGTAGGTAGTTCTGCCTAATAGCAGCTGGCCAGCTATCATTGGCAGCATCTCAGCATCATCACGGAAAGGAATCCGTCGTGATACAGGTACTGTAGTCTATTGGTAGATGGATTTGCCTCGGACTCTATTTCCGTCGGCACCTCCAGCTCAGCAAACAACATGCACGCCGTGCTGGCTGAATTGCTGTTCCAGCACCAGCACCAGCATCGAGATCCAGGGTTGTGTTTCGTTGTGTTGCGACTAGCCGGGCAGATACAGTAGATACCTGCGATACGATACGATACGCGTTATCGACACTCGTCTTATCGCCTAGCCAGCACAAGCTCTGCTTAATGCCATTATAAAGCTTTGTTATACACAAAAACCAAAAACTAACCTCGTCGATGCCATCCCTCATCTCGGCCTCGGAGATGCCTCACGAAAACGCAACCGCACCGCAACAACTGCAACAACTGCAAACCCCTCACTCTCGCTTGCCGCCGTTGGAGGGGCTCTGTCAAATATGGAGCTGATCAAGTGCCAATGACATGCATCCACGACTGTCATCTGCATGCAGCGACACTCATCAGACGTACCTACATTGAGTTTGGCGATGCTACAGGCTCGACGGCGCTCTGTCTATCAGTTGCCCCCCCTCTCTTCTCCTCTCCTCTCCTCTCTGCCTCTCCCTGTCGCCGACATGCGCGCTCTATCGTGGCACGGCTAGATATCTGGCAAAGCAGAGCATCAATCCCGGACACACGCGGTCGTCGTGGCCGAGGCCGTGGGGTGGGACAGATCAAGATTGGGATGCTATACGCCTTCAGGCTGGAGGAATCATAAGGCTGCTGTTGAATCTGTTTAAATTAACCCTGCGGTTCTTCATGCCCGCCGCGGCCAATCAGCGCCCGCCATTGCCGCAGCCAGGCATCACCAGAGCCCGAACTCACGCTGAGGCCAGCGCAGCTTGGTCACTGTACAGCGCACACAGCCTCTGCTTGGCGGGCTTTGCGCGCTGTATAAGTACGGGTACATGCTATGTATGTTTGGTCCTAACGAGCCCCTCCCTCCCGCGCGTGCCTTCCTAGGATCCTCTACCTACCACTCGTATCCGGACTTCCTCGTTGTGTGTACCTACCACTTTACCTGTACTTTGTAAGGGGGAACAATAATTACATCGCGATACGCCTCCAGGCCTGTTTTCCCTCTTTCCTCTTTTCTCTCTTTTTTTCCCCACGCTTTTGTGCCGCGCCTTAGCCTCAATCTCCTGCAACTCCGCCACGCCCATCGCCTATTCCTTACATCATCATAGCGCGAGACGAATTCTGCGATCCCGCGATCCTGTGGCTGGTGCTCGTTTTCTCCTGAAAAAAAGCAACCACCCTTGGGCGAGAAGGGCAAAAAACACCCCGGCTTCGATCACCACTTTCACGCTGGCGACCGTTCGAATTCGCATCTTGCCTTGTCGGCCCTCGTCTGCGCTCCTGCACGCCCTGCCGAATCCCTAGCCACGATGGAAGAAGCTCAAGTCCTGCCGCCGCCACCGATCGAGCCCATCTCTCGACCAAGCTCGACGTCGACTTCTGCATCTGCCAATGTGCAGCAGCTGCCCGGCATTGCCTCCCTTGCAGCAAGCAACGCGACAGCTGAAGCTCCACAACAAAGGTATTGCACCTGCATCCGAGTTTGAAACCATACAATGCCTTGTCTTGTTGTGCCTGGCGCAGCATCGCCCGTGGCGAGACTGGCATCTCGAGCACTTGTATCACAATGTTCTAGGACGCTGACCCTTCGCGTCTATTAGGCCTCCTCCAATTCCTCAGAACCAGATGTATCATGGCGTTTCTCCCGCTGCTACTAGCGGCGGTACAAACGGCAACATGGTAAGTCTATGTTTTTCTTCCTCGACGTTTTTGTCCTGCTTCCCTTGTTTTTTTTTTGCCCATGTACGAAATGCCGCCGCCCTGTTGCGCCTCCAACACCAAAACTGCCGATCCAACAGCGGGCCAATTGGAGCCGGCATATTCCAACTTTTACATCTTATCTCATATCATAATCGCAATCACGTGCCTTATCGCAAGAATCTTCACCCCTAAGCCTAAACAGGCAATTCCCACCCACGTTGCGCTGGTGCGTGCCCGGTTTATCTTGGCCTTATCGGTCGACCGGGGGCCCAAAGTTTTTTTTCTCTGTTCCGTCATCCTTATCGATGATGATAATATCTATCGGCCTTTCTCCCTAATCGATTCCCTAATCGCATCCCCCATCACCCAGTGCTAGCCGACATCATGATGGCAACTAATGGTTCAACGCAGCCCGTCTGCCAAAACTGCGGAACGTCGACAACGCCGTTATGGCGTCGCGACGAGTTTGGATCTGTCCTGTGCAATGCCTGTGGACTTTTCCTGAAGCTGCATGGAAGGCCGCGGCCGATATCTCTCAAGACGGACGTTATCAAGAGCCGAAATCGCGTAAAGACGATGCGCCCGGATCTTGCCCCTAAACGAAAGGTGGGTGACACGTCAACACATGCTGCGCATGAACTTTTCTTTCGTTTCTTGCTAACCACGGTGACTAAAATGTAGCAGCAACACGGATTCCCCCTCGCGACGGACCCCAACAGCGCCGAGAGCACTGCTGCGCAGGCCATTCGCCGAGCGCAAAAGGCGAATGGCGAGGGCCCAGATTCGCCAATCTCCCGAACCGGAACTCCCTCCATGTACAACCATTCACTTCCCGCTTTCATGGTGGATGACCCATCCCAGTCAGGCGTTGCCGGCTTCAACGGTGGAGAGGGGCGCGCTGGCTCACCCATGAACGGAGATCGCGGACTTGAGTCTCCTCAAACGCAAGAGCAACTCATTGCAAACAATTCTAGCTTGAAGACAAGAGTTAGAGAGCTCGAGTTCATAAACGAGCTGTTCCGCGGTCGTCTGAGCCAGCTTGAGCAGCAGGAGGCGGCTGCCTCTGCAGCGCTCAGGGGTCAGGAAGTTGCCGGCGTCGAGCACACGCAACTGCGAGCCCAGTTGGATGCCAGCAAAGAGATGGAGAACCAACTCCGCGTCCAGCTAGAAGACAGCCACCGGAGAGAGAACAATCTCAAGCGCCGCCTCGACGAACTGGAGCTTGAGCTGAGAGCTGTCAAGGAAGCCCTGACTGAAGCAGACTCGCGGCCCTTCAAGAAGCCCCGTATCATAGACTCAGAAGAGGCCGTCAAGGCAGAAGCGGCCGATGCTCTGGCTGCAGTCGCCGTCGCCGTCGCCCCTGAGCTGATGGTAGATGCTCACATGACAGAGGTAGCTGCTGAAGAGCCTGTTACCGAAGCCATTGAAGCACCATCGGGCGCACCGGTTGATAGCGCTGTTGAGCCATCCGCAGAAGCCGCTGTTGAGCCGCCTACAGAATTGGCTGTGGAAGCAACCGCAGGAGAAGCAATCGAGCCAGCCTCAGAGCCAGCCGTCGCAGAGCCAACCGCAGAACCAACTGCTGAGCCAACTGCAGACACAACCGCCGAGGTCGCTATTGAGACCACTGCTGAGCCTTCTGCTGAAGCAGAAGCAGAGCCAGCTCAAGAGGCACCTGAGCCCGTTATGATGGACGCTAATGATGCCTCCCCGGAACTGGAGGGTGCCGCCGCCCCCGCAGAAGTCGTTGCGTGAATGCATTTTCGATAACCACCACATGATCGCTGGCGCATAATCTTTCTTCCCTTTGCCCTCGGACATGGCAATCCGGATGCGCTCTGAATGTTGACGAAACTTGCTCAGTTTAATACCCTTTGTACGAAACTTCGATTTGATGCCAGCTGCGACACGCGCAACAACCGCATCAAGCCTACCCATTCTTTTCGAGGTGCCGGAACGACGAAAACAAAAGTCTTGGCGTTTTACGGTAATTTTTATTTGTTTTTGCCTACTTTCATTGTGCTTTTATACTCCATTTCCCCAATACTTTTAATAGATGACCCGGGATGGCTTTAATGTGGACGAAAACAGTTGGTGAGAGTTGGAGATGGTTGAGCAATCGATACCCTCGTTTTGACTTCAACGAGGCTGCACTGGAATGTAGCCCGCAGGATGAAGTCGCAGATAGTCAGAGGAGGAGGAGCAAGGAGCCTCAGGGCGTCTAGAAAAGAAAAAAAAGAGGCGGGGGCCAGTGTCACAAACAAACAAAAAGTTGACTTTGCTGTTCCCAACGAATATATTTAGAGCCATTTTTGCGCTTCACTGCTCATCTTGTCTCGTGTTGTGTTTACTATCTATCTGTGTTTGTTTGCATAGAGTTGCGCTTGGTCCGAGAGACGCTCCACACAATGCGCTATCTTGGTAGCTTCTCTCAACTTAATATGATATTCTGGTTTTAACACCAGCAAATTTAATAAGCCCTGCGCACTGGGATATAGGTCCTTCAAATATTCAAAGAGGTTCCAAAGTTCCAAAGTTCGAGGCAATATTGAAGATGCAGTGAATTTGGCCAAGCTCGCAGTCACGTGCCCCACCTTGGGACTTTTCGAGCTCAACCAGCAACCACCCCCCAACTTTCAACAGGCGCCTAGGAACACGCTTCTTTTTCTTTCCAGAAAAGAGCAACTTTGCGACTGTTTTTTATCTTGTGATCTTCCGGGGTTGTTTTTCCCTGTTTGTTTGATAGTGTACTCCGCACTATGGCACCAACTGTGCCGAATCGTGGGGGTCCCGCTGGTTCGAGTCAAGCTGCGAGACTACAACTGAGTGGGAAGACGATTCTTGGTTTCGGCAGCAAACGGCATCGGTAAAATGAGCTTCTTTTCCCAGCTAACGATGTTTATGTGGTCTAATGGGACAAGATGAGTGCTGATGCGGCTTTGCTTTGTTTACAGCAAAATCTTGAAGGATAATATTCAAGGCATTAGTACGTTTCTCTCGCAAACCCCTGGCGCTCTTGAAGATGGGTCAGATTGCTAACTTGGGAATGTAGCCAAACCTGCTATCCGGTAAGTCAAGCCGTGCAACATGCCAAAAGATGAAATGGAGAGGAGTGTGAACTAAAGGTGGTGGATGGTGACACTTTTTGCTGACTACTGCTTCTGCGCAACGTTGTGTAGGCGATTGGCTCGTCGTGGTGGTGTGAAACGGATATCTGCGGCAGTCTATGATGAGACGAGAAAGGCATTGAAAGACTTTCTTACAGGAGTGAGACACCCGAATTTAAGTATCATGTTTCGCGTCTTTTTTTACTAATGTGAAATTTCTTTCTTTCTTTCTAGGTGCTTCAAGACGCTGTTACCTACGTCGACCACCGAAGAGCAAAGACGATCACCCTAGAAGACGTATGGCTTTGATACATTCTATTCTTCAATGAGATGATGAAATAGTGCTGAATTTTATGATTATGCAGATTCTTCATAGTCTGAAACGTAGAGGACGAACCCTCTACTACTTCAGCAAGGACGACCATTGGTCTGAGCCCAAGAGCCACCGCCAGAGGATGGAAAGGAGACTGCCACATAGGGCTGACCGGATCGAATTGTGATCTTCAACGCCTTGGTCTCTTCCTCTGTGTTGTTGTTTTCATTGTGATATTATTTGATTCTTTTGCAGTCAGCAAACTGGGGCATTTAGCAAGTTCGGAGGCAACGTGTTTATGAGTTTATGAGTGTTTATTTGAGACAATGGCGATGAGACGTTGGTCCTGACTTTATTCACAGGACCAAGAATTAATAAGAAGCAAGAGGGCATTTCATTATGCGCTATTAAAAAAAATCCCTAACATGGATGTGCATTATTAATGTGTATGAAAACAAAATGACAGCCAAGCATCGCAAAAGACAGAAAAGAGAAATCATATGGGGTATCTCAAATGAAGGAATCTTCGCAGAAAATCCAAAATCCTGGTCCAAGGCCAGGCATACACAGCTCCAGCTCCTCCAGGGATGGCTAATGTCCATTACCACTTCTTTCTCTTGCTCGACTCCCAGTCCTCCAGCGCCTTCTCCAGCGCCTTGGCCGCACGCACCTCATCTCGACGAAACGCACCGTTGAACATGGCCGGCAGTAGCATGGTGCTGTTAGCATGCTCTTGCGCAAATCCCACCTCGGCATCCTTCCCGCAGCGGTCCTTGACAATGCGGATGGCGCCATCGAGGAGGTCTCGGCCGATACCCTTGCCACGGTACCGGAGGCGTGTAGTCCACGCTCGGATGATACCTTTGCCTCCCCGGAAGCTCACGCTCCTGCTCCTGATCCTGCGCCTGCCGCTCCCAGATGATATGGAGGAAAAGCGAGGTTCCAGCCTAAGAACCAGTACTCCAATCAAGGCGCCGCCGTAGCGTGCGCCAATGAGAAGATCGCCTTCGATGCTACCGGGCCCCTCGTCCCATGACCAACGCAGGTCCTCAGCCAATTTTACGTAGCCGTCTGTGAAGTAGCGTATCGCAGTGAGATACGTCATGGTTACACCGCAGGAGAGCAGGAGAGCCATGCTGGGATCCTCGGTTGAGGGGACATAGGACCAGCGGTAGATGCCGACCCATGCAATGAACAGGAAGCTCATGCACAGAGGGTGAAAGACCACGGACTGAGCAGCCCGCTGTTTCATCTGCGCAATAGAATCAGCAATGAGATTCAGGCCAGCGACTTTGTCATCGTGGGTGAGCAGCGGCTCCAGGGACAGAGGAGGGACATCTTCGAGAGGGTCGAGAGGAGCTGAGGCATCGGCGCCAGTGTAGGAGTGCGAGTCTGAAAAGGAAGTCGAGGAGCTGAGAGGCGAGGGAGACGGTGGGATGGGAAACTGGTGATGAGAATAGGGCTCGAGGTATGGCGTTGGTGCGTGGGAGGATACGGGCGATGCTGGCGAGGTTGCACTGAGCGCAAGATTTGCTCGTAGGAATGTGAAGAAGGCTGTCAAAGTCAGTAAAGAGCTTGTTGATGAGAATTATTTGGTATTAATGGAGCTATAATTTGAGGATTGGAGCTTGGAGCTACACGATGGGAAGCTGACAAAGATGGTGGGGGAGATGGTTGAAAATTTTCGAGCAGTTTGAGCTCGTTGCCAAGATGTAGAAGCGCACGGAGTTGTGTCTGGGGTTTTGATATGCAAGGGTAAAAAAGAAGATGAAGAGGACATGGAATAAGGGCAAAAAAGAAAAAAAGAGTAGACTTACCCGCACTAGTTCTCAAGCCTTGCACAACATTGATTCTGTCCACCACAGAGACTGGCCCATAGTTGGCGAGATCCAGCTCGCGCACACCCACGAGGCGTTGAGCTTCCTCCATGGTGTCATGCAGTGGAATCTTCCCACCTCCCTAATCCAGGATAACGCCCTTCCTCTGGACTATTCAACTGAGATAAACAACGGGACGGTGTCCTCGGGGAAAATAATTTAGAATATTAACCGCGGTAAAGCGTCTTGCAGAAGCGCGGGTGCTTTCTGATTTAGCCGCAACCTGGCGACCCAAAGACTTGACGAGGGAGAAGACGAAGCTTTATACAAGCAAGGGAGCAATATGAGAAGAAGCGAAAAAAAGGCGAATAGATAAAGATATGTATGGAGATAAGCTGGAGAACTGGGGCTCCAGGCCTCAAGGGTTCCGGAGAGGTGTGGGCGAGTAATTCCTCAAGGTCTTGTGTAACGGGTATAAACGCTGGGTAGCAAACAGTCGGCGCACAAGGCGTGATGGGCGCCTATGCCGGGTGCCACATGCAATATGTACTCGTATGTGAGCAAACAAGGTGATACAAGGAGGTCAACAAGGTTAAAGACAAGCTGTGCGTTTCAGAAATCTCAAACGGTGTAAGAGACGGATGGTGAAGCCAGCAGAGGAGCAAGTATGGGAAAAAGTTGAGGAGCAAAAAGCACGAGCCGGAAGGGGGTCTGGGGGGATAGATAAAAGAAGAGCCCAATTCTTCTAATCTGCAAGATCTGCATCGTTTACTCCGTGCACTAGAAGGGACGGGTGTCAAGCCCATCTACCTAGCTAGCAGCAAGTGGTTGGCAGAGTTATCGACGAACCAACATCGAGCATTTTCGCTCATGTAAGAGGGCAAAACCTTGCACATACTGGACGTGGCCAGGCCCAAAACCAAGCGAGGCCAGGCGAGACAGACAAGGCCCCTGGCCCTCTTTGGTTCCATGTAACTGCTCCCCTTGCAAATACCAGCTCGCTAGTAGCGATTCGCACAGTAGCACCGAGTACCAATGACAAAAACTGCATCATCCAAAAGCATCAAGACGAAGCGGCTTTTCCCGTTGAAATTTCCGCGTGGTGATAGTGCGAGTGTAAAAGCGGGCGGTGGCTGACCATCGACCATCTTGGGCCTCTCTAGAGCTTCTCACCTCCACTTGGGAATTCGCAGGAAAGGAAAGCTGAAGAGCTGTAGCGTCTTAGGCTGGTTGGTTAGCATTACTCTCAGCTAAAAATGTTCACTTGACCAGCAGGCGAAGGCAAGGCGTGTGTGTGAGGTGGTGGAGATGGAGACGGAAGAGGAGAAGTGTGGAGGGTTTCGCTTCTATTTTTTTTGTGGACGATCAAACAGCGGCAAACGCAAAATGCAGCAGCGACGGCAGCACCTGCAGCGCCTGCAGCACCAGCAGCGACGCCCAACAGGCCCTTTTGTTTCCATTACCTACCAGTATCAGCCCAACTTACCTGCCTGTACATCCTCGTCTATACAGATTTTTCATCTCTTCCTCTTCCTCTTCCTCTTCCTCTTCATCGTTTGCTTGCTGCTTCGACAGTACGAGTATGTACTCATACAGACCGTCTCCTCAACAACAACACACACGAACAGGGCTCCGTCAAGCTAAAACAACCCTTGCTGCACGAAGCTCAAACAAACCTGGGGTTTCAAAACCGCCGGCCTCCTCCACCTTGAACCCAACCAGGCTAGCGATTCCCAAGCGCCACCACTCTCGACAACGGTCTGGGCCTCCCCCGGTTGGCCAGCCTAAGCTGGAGGGCACGCGATAAGACGGACAAGGGCAGCAAGTCATCCAATAGCCTGGACGAGGCGTCAACCCAACAGCGACGCCACCGTTATAAGGTGCTCCTCTCGATTGGCTTTTGACATTCCGCATGAGCAGCAGATGCACGCGGCCTAAAGGCTGCCAAGCAAACACGGCTGTCGGGGTCCAAATTGCGCAAATAAGGCTGCCGATTGAGCGATGGAGGTAAAGCAAACCGGATGGATTCGACGTCCCGTTGCGCGCATGATAATGCTCACTCACGCACGCTATACATGCATGCAGCCGTGGATGAGTGGCCGGCATCCTTTCCTTGTCGTTCCGTTTGCATTATCAGCAAACTGCCTTGCATCTGCCGTGGCGAGCAAATCACCGTTCATGGATTCATGCTTTATCCAGACCACGCACGGGCAACGGAGACAGCCGGTCGATATGCAGGTCTGAAGGATCATATCGGCTTCAACCCCTCCTTTCCTCACCTCTCCTCTTGTGCTGCCTTGATTCTACTGGTTATTACCTCGTTGCCTGGGCTCTATCAGTCATGGGCATATCCATCCCATCTCGGCCCACCCACATCACCACAAAGATAACCAGACTGAGCGAATCAGCAAACGAACTGGGAGCTCACCAAGGGCAATTCGATGTATCACATCTAATACCACATGCCCTGTCCCGAGAGCGTGGGTTTGCGTGGGTAATCACCACTAATACTACTTCGTTTCTATCACCGCTAGCACTCGTACTATGCTAGTTCTTCGGCCTGACAGACAGCTGCCATGTGATGCGATGTGTGCCAAGTAGCAGCAGTATCACCACCGATCAGGTTCAGCCATCACTCAATCTTTCGGTAACACGGCCACTTAAGCTATCAAGCTAGCATCGACCCTCTTCCCTTGGGGACGTTTCTTATGGAGGGGTTGCTGTCTCCCAAAGGAGGAACAAGGGTGATCGATCCACTGCTGACGTACAGAGCATACGCGTCCGAACGCTCAGTGCCGACCATTTACGTATTTGAGTGGTTGAGTTCGCTCCGTTTTCTCGCCAAGGCGGTTTGAACGGAATGTCGTGTTGATGTTTGAGCAAGATTTCGAGACAAGTCGGCCGTGAGAGCCGGCAGGGTGCACCAGAGATTACTAACTGAAGGCTTAGGGTTGGTTGAATAGTACGAGTTACTCGGATACATGTAGGATGTCGGCGCCCATCAACCCCCCCGCGAAAAGACCGGATTAACCGCGTGATTCCATGTCCGAGTGCCCTGTCGATACGTCAGAGATCTCCAGCATGCCGGCAGCGTTAATCGCAGAGCCCAGTGGGGGGTTTTTCGCTCATACATATCCGTACAGTTCAGGGTATCCGTCCATTCAACACGGCAGGATTCCACTCTTCCCCGCTCTCAGAAGTGGGCATTCGTCTCGTGTCTTCTCTTCTCGTCTCGTACACACTGTTGAAATCATGCATGTTTTCTCTGATGACAGATCATGACTTGATCTGTGGAGAGATAGTGCACCTTATAAACGAAGTAATTGCTGTTGTTAGTCGTCGAGCCGGTGGGATAGTCACTCGGCAATATCGCTAGACGACGCGAGAAGTCATTAGCGTCCTGTCAGTGAACCTGTTTAGTTAAGCTTTCCTCATTTTGGGCCCTAGATTTCCTTGTTGAGGAGGGCCATCTCCGCTTGGAAATACAATGCAAACAGAGACTTGCGGTTTGCACATTTGCAGTATCAGCTGCCTTATCGTGTCTGCAATACGCACATGTATGAGGAGAGGGCGAATAGAAACGCCGAAATTGGCTTTGGGCGAAATCTTTGACTATACTTCAGTTTGCTCATAGTCATTTCAGCTGAACAAGGCCTTGGGAATCTCATCCTGCTGCTCCTCACTCCTCTTTGACTAGACGGACCATGAGTCAGTTATATTTGTTTACGAGATGTTTCGAACGACGCTATGGCGTCTAGCTGCCCGCGGTGATTCTCGGCTAAACTGAGACCAAAAGCAAAATACCGTTGGGGTATTCCACATTCAGCTTAACATATAGGATACGAACACGACGAAATGATATCCGAAAGGTGAGCAGATCGAAAGGGAAGGAGTTGTCAAATGGCTTTCGTTTTCACCAATCTTGGGCATGCGACGGAATTATTAGCATGTCGATACCAGTAATCGCCGACTATCATTGCCCCCACGCATAGCGAAAAACTAAAGCCTATTAGCTAAAAGCCGACGAGTCTGGGGACCGCTTCAGCGGAGGGGAAGCGAATGACAGATGCTTACTCTGCAATCAATGTCAAACGACAAGGTACATGTTAGCAGATCAATTGCCGGGGAAGGGCGCGCCAGACCAGCGGCATGATGGCCGATCCAACAATGGGTATCGGGGCCTTTTCTTAAAATAGTATAATATGAGCCTAACATGATGGACAGCAGCTCGAGGTACCGAAAGAGCAGCAGCGATTTGGAATACAAGGAACATACTTTGTGTCGAATCGAATCACATCGCTTGGTGCCAGCCCTATTGAATTCATTCAATCGCGTCAGCCATGAAGATAACGGCGGTAAGCATCTTAGAGGGCAGCACACACATAGATTGGCTGGTGGTTTTTAAGGTTGCTGACGACTCTGTCTTACCCCAGATTTGGGTCTATCCTATCAAGGCCCTCCGCGGCATTCCGCTCCACAATGCCCATCTTGGCCCCCAGGGGGTCAAGTATGACCGACGATTCATGCTCTTCAGGGTCGGCGAGGACGGAGAGTTGGCCAAGATCCAGCTTGACAGGTATCCCGAGTGCAGCCGCTTCATCCAGGAGATTGTCGCCGATGAGATTCATGTACGATACCAGCCTCCGAGAGATCCGTTGGTGTCGCCATGTCCGGAGCAGAGCGTCGTCCTCCGCGTGCCTCTGGACCCTGACGTCTCAGGTCTCGACCGGCAAGTCATCAACCTTCACCAGGGTTTAGTTGACGCTTATCGAATGGGGGCATATTTCGACGAATGGTTCACAGCCTGCTTTGGCTTCCCAACCGTACTTCTCTACATCGGTGACGAGCGTCGCCCGGTCTTTGGAACCTTCTCGCCCAGAGCTCAGCCCGCTGCTCCTGCTGCGCCCCCCGCCAAACAGGGCTGGCTGCCTTATCTGGCCAGCTTCGTATGGGGAGATCAACACGAGCCCGAGCCAGAACCAGACTGGCTGACCTTTTCCGATATGGCCGCCTACCTCGTCGTGACCGAAAAGTCACTCAGTAACGTCAACGCGCGTCTCTCCAGTGGTCCCGTGGATATCGTGAAATTCCGGCCCAACATCGTGGTGGACGGCGAAGGCGAGTTTGACGAAGACTTCTGGGCCGAGCTGTCCATTGGCGGCCGCCCTACCCTAGCCATGACCAAGTTGTGTAACCGTTGTACTTCCCTCAACGTCGATTACGAGACGGGGCGGTTCGGCGAAGGCGAGAAGGGCATGCTCTTGAAGAAGCTCATGTCAGATCGACGGGTCGATACGGGCTCCAAGTGGACGCCCGTTTTTGGCAAGTATGGTTTTCTGGTCGATGGCCTAGACGGAGTTGACGTATCAGTTGGAGACGAGGTGGTTGTGACGAAGAGGACGAGTGAGCGGCCAGTGTGGGATTGGCCGTACAAGGATAAGAAAATTGCTCGCTTCTACCGATATACGTAGATCAGCCGGAGGTTGCCTCTTTTTGATTTGAGTAGCACAACTCTCTGACGCTCAGCCCAAGCGTTGCTCACCCCCTTTTGTCCATCTTGCCTCGAATGAAGGCAAGCAAGAGCAAACTACTGCATCCATCCACATACACCATATGACCTCTGACGCAAGGGACATTGTTGTTACATCACCCGCCAACACGGGGAGATCCCGTCTTTTGTGCCGCGCATGGCACAGAATAGATCACCTCGCACGGCAAATCTTGTATGACGATTCTTTTTTGCCTCTGTCTTCTCTTCCTGCCTGGAAGGGTATCACAACGTTGCGTTCCACAGAAGACGCAAATAAAATAGAATAGGAAAAACAAGCTTCGATCAAATCTCGGGTATTCCTTTAATCTTTCGATAAATCGTAACTTGCAAGCCTCTTCTTCTTCTTCTTCTTCTTCTTCTTCTTCTTTCTTTTTTCTTTTTCATTGATGGCGAACTTGCCAATGTCTTTTTGATCCTTTCTATGAATGGGTATGCATTCTTTCTCCCTTTCTCTCTTGTCTTCTTTAATTGATAGGCTGTAGGTAAACAGCGGACTTTGAGTCGACCAATGGTAATAGTTCCTATCCCTTGTTGATAGTACAGCAATAAAAGGGTATATAATAATCTCCATGTAAAAAAAAATGACATCTTTCTTTTCCAGGAAAAACAGGTAACATCACACATCCAAACCAGCATGTTGCACCGATTTCTAGAGCCCTGAGACTGACTCGCGCCCAGTCTTGCAAGCCCTACCGTTGAATTAGCCGTCAACCTGTACGAGTATGTACTCGTTCAACATGACCGAGAATTACAAAGAATCGTATGACAAGTGGTGTGAGAAATGTAATCATTGCGTCCCATATCTATTTGCTATCTATGAAGTCATGCTCACATCTCCATATTGGAGTTTCCCTTGCCTTACGACAACCAGTCTATCCCTGGATTACTCGCTCGTGAGTTGGCCCTATTATCCACCCATATAATCTCAAATTGCGCCCGTCAACGGTCATGAGAGAGAACGGCATTGTCCAAGTGACAAAAGCAACCCAATACCTAGCCCTTGAAAACAAAAGCAAAGATCGACCAATATCCCAAAAATCAAGACTCCAGCTTACCCAAACCATATGGGAAAAAAGGAAAAAGGAAAGAAAAAAACAAATCAATAACTCTGATGACAAATAGAATGGGGGAAGTAAAGGACTATTACCGCTGAACAAAGCCCCGATCATGAACAGAGGGCCAAAGCTCCGCCTAGCATCTTGTCCTTGTCCTTGTCCTTGTCCTTGTCCTTGTCCTTGTCCATTTCAAACCGGAATGGGTAAAAGGGAAAATACGAGTGCGAAATAAGTCACTGTTGAGCACGACGAGGATGAAGGCTGCCAGGATGTGGCTATAACACCTCCCCGCTTCTGATTCTAGAGGTCGCCGAATCCCGTCGTTGATGCCTTGAAAAGCATCTCATAGGCCCAAGTGTCCACATGCAGAGCGACATCCAGGCAGGGGGGGCCTTGTACAAGCTCATGCTGCGCGTTGCCAAAAAGGGAGTCTGGATGGAGCCGCCCACGTGGGACTTGCAGTCCAGCTGCAAAATCCAAACATGCGGAACAGAGGCTTAAAAATCAGCTTGCAAAAGACGAACATGACCAGGGGCAACCGCTGCCGCTTCTGCAGGCAATGCTGTAAGCAATACTGCAGGCAAATCCAATTCTGGCATTGTAGCCGTACGGCTACCTGCGGTTGTGCATCAATTTGCAAAAAATAGGGGGGAAGATTGGGGTAGATGAAGAACACCAAAGCAAAACTGCTGTTGAGTGAGACATGCAAAGCAAAACAAAAGAAAAAAGAGTTCAAAGAGAGTCGTGATTCGTAGAAGCCGTATCAGTCGAAATGTTACCAGGGAGCTGCTGGCTCGCCAAGGGTGAACAGGTCGTCATAAAAAGCGTTCTAGGCCGTTCTTAAGATAGAATGAAACTGTTGAATGACGTCGGCAGCATCAAAAATCAGGATTAGCCGAGCAGAAATAGAGTCCCCATAGGGCCTGCCATAGGGCTGGTCAATCCGGTGGTTGTTGTGTCAATACCAGTCATTGCTGATTGACCAGCTTAGGCTGCCTGGGTGCAAGGACGGCAAAGATGAAGCTTGCAGTAGGTGCATTCATAGATGGCCCAGTGAGGTCCCGAACGGCAGTGCTGGCAAACCCATTGAACAAGAGTGTTGTCAGACTTGATCATGACAAAGGAGTGAGCGCAAGAGACTGCCATTGTCATAAGGCTTGTTGTTGAGTCGTCGGCTTAGCAGAGCCTTGCGATTGAGTCAGGAGGAGTTACTTGACTATTCGTCAGAAGTGAAGTGCCTGAAAGAGATGGAAACTTTGGATGCTTCTATCAAAGAGCAATAAGAGCCCAAACAGTGTGAAGCCAAGTAACTTTGGCTCAAGAATAGGATGGCTGACACAAATAGACGATATAGAGCGCCTTGTTATAGTTGTCAGACTGTGGCGGCTTACAAGAGATGAAGGCGTCTCTTTAAGTTTTCAACAGTGGAGAGTTTCTTGAAGGATAAAAGCTTGGTGGAAGGTATAAAGCACCGATTTTGCGTGAACAGTCGAGGTGGTATATAAAGTAAATGGTTGAGTGTCGATGGTTGTGAATGATAGACTTGAGGATTGCGAATAGCCGGCTTATATGTAGTGAGCCCGGCAAGAGTTAAGCTATCCGCCTCTGTTTGCAAAAAGCTCCTAGTAGCTCTCCAAAACAGCTACTGCTGGAACGTCAAGGATAATAGACTGAGAGGCACGGGACGGAAAAGAAGGTAGATGCCGCCAAACAGACCGGTGGATTCGAGGCGGAGCGTATGGCCATGGGGTCAAGAGCAGGGGAGAGGGGTCTGTCGATTCGATAAGCCTTGTAAGGCGGGCGTAGGGTTTGGCCTGTCAAGAGTCTGGAGCAGTAGCCCAATGTGCAATAAATGTTATGCGGCAAATTGCGACCAAGTGACGAAACAGCTGCCGGGGTCGGTCTTCAAAAATAGAACAAACCAACGACGTTTGTTTGATCCTCGCAGGCCGGGAAGAAAACGGGGATGCGGATGCGGGTGCCGACAGAGATGCAACACCGGAGCCAGTTCCGGCCGTAAAAAACTACCGAGAGTGTTTCTGGAAGGCGGCGAAGCGGGAGTGCGTTTGACGACAATGAATGGAATCAATCAATGACAGTTGAAGTGAATTGCCGAGCTGCTTGCCACATTGGCCTCTGCAGAGGATGTTGGTAGCAATTCCCACTCACGTTGCTTCCCGCTGGCAGTTTGGTGGCAAAGGTGAAGAACAGATACAGGGATTGTCGAGGCGGAGGGGTAGATGGAGGGGAGGAGGTGGAAGAGGAGGTGGAGGAGGAGCAGGAGGAGGAGGTAGAAGTAGAGGGGTTGAGAACAAGGACGAGGATGATGGTGTAGCAAAGACAAAGGAATGGATAAGGCATGTACTCGTAGACGAGGACAAAGAAAAGAGTGGAAGGGGGCGTGTTTGGTTCAAAGACGTCAAGCAAGGGAGGAATTGGCTGCAGACAAAGCAAGGCCAAGGCAAGGATGCATCAATGCATATGTACCGGCCATATAAAAGGTACCTCCATGCAGTCCGAGGTACACGACTTGGCGCAAGTACTCTGCGTATCTCGAGGTACCTCCCGGATGAGAAGCGAGGCAGGTGCTCTGCAGCGCAGCCCAACTGGCAACTCAGAACCTGAGGCAGCCAAGATCAATGCCTGATAGGCAGAGCGCATCTACCTAAAAGGCTTTGAGGCCATGATGCATCATCGCCTTTGTTGGAATCCTTCTTCTGCACTGCAAGCACTACAAGTGACACGGACGAACGAGTACAGTACTTTGCGAGATCCCCCCCCTGGACCTGCAGTACGGCGACCCGGCGAGATGGAAGGGTAATCAGATCATCTGCATAGCCCTCCTTGCCCTGGCCCCCGGCCCTGGAGCCGTCAACTCCCAAAGCATATGATGCATTCAAACACGCGCGGACGGACCCAACTGTCCGTTTGAACCGGAAAGATCGCTGAGCTACTTGGATGTTGGTCACGCTCCTAGGGCAGCGGGCGATTCGACCGGGGCTAGCAGCCAACAGAGCCGCAGTACAGGGGTGGGAAACATCCAAAACGGTCGGGTCGGACCCCGGTTTGTCAACTTGCTATATCGTCATCACTAGTAGTACTGGGCTCCGTGCGTACGAGTATGCTAGAACAAAACGCACCCCCCTCTGCTCTGAGCTGACCCGCAAGCGCCGCTCAGTCTCCCAGAGGAAGGGTCTGACTTGCCCGGAGACACGGGAGCGGGTTTTCACCCCTGGACCTGTCTAGCACTAGGAGGAACGTGGAAAGACACCACGGGTCAGAGCTACTACAGGTAGTAGTAAGCTAAACTGCGCCCACCTGCGACTCTTGTGGCGGGCTGGCCTAAATCTCGGCAAGAATCCATATTGGTGCTTTTGCTGCCAGATGTTATGCATGGCTGGCGTGTGGTGGTGAGTGTAAACTAAGGGCTTGGGCTGAATTTCCATGGCAGCCACGTCTCGAGACATGCTGATTCATGCTGCAACAGGCTGTGAGGATGTGCGTTTGGGCCTCATGCATGGCGAACCACGTCAACATACGGGTGCCGCCTGTACATGCAAACACAAGACACACCTGGCAGGGAAGCATCTCGCCGGGGCGTTGCGGAACGCCCTGGCAGTCATACTTGATACCTACTACGCACGCATACGAGTATACAAGTCCCCGTGGTCGTATGCTCGTACAAGTCCAGACGTACGACTAATCCCGAATACTCGTACGCCGCATGTAGCCCTACCGGCTAACGGGATGGGGCCGCTCAAGGGAAAAGTTCCAAGCCAGGCCCGTGTTGACTGACACTTGTCCAAGATGGGATCAAGATGCGCCGAAAGCGAAAGTGAGGGTGAGACGAGTGGGCAACAGCCTGTTTGTATGACCATTTACTTGTTCCGGGTGAGCAGTTGCCGCACGTCTGTTGACCATGATGTGTCGTCGCTCTCTTTTCCCTTCCCTCAGCCAGCCCGCAGCCCGGCCCGGCGTGGACCTTGACAGCGCCTCATGTCGGATACTGTATTTAGGGTTGTTCGGGTGGGGTCCTCGCAGGCAGGGCATCGAGTGTGTCGGCGCCGTTTGGAGCCTGGCACTGGGCCGAAGCTGGAAGCAGATGGAGACTTGCGGCCAGCCCTTGGAACAAGACCGAAAACACGGAGGAGGGTGAGGCAGGCCAAGGTGTTGACTGAATCAGTCTTGCTGAATCAGTCCGCGGCGCCATGAGAGCGGTGTGTTTGGTTTTGTGAATGCGTTGTGCGAAAAAACAAGACAAGGTTAAGGCAGCAAGGCGTTCGGCAAAGACTGTCAGACTTACTGGCACCACCACATCTCTCATATGGCAAGGATGCGTCGAGGCTGATGATCTGCTGCTGCTATTTACATGCGGTATAGGCTGGACAAGGCTTCTCGTACATTAGCTGGCCTCATGCATGTGCAGACTTGTACCGTTTCTGCCTGTATGGGGGTAGCAGTTGGGTACTAAGGCGCCCTTTTCCCAGGCGCGTAGTATCTCGAGGTCTGCAGAAGCAGGATTGATGATTGATGAAATGAGTTAGTCCTCCGAGGATGGAAATATTGACCCACCAGCTCCAAGTGCGAAGCGAGAGGCAAGACGTGAAGCCAATGGATGAGGTGTGATTTCTTGGTCTCTTTTTCTCTTTTCCCACCACCCAGGCAGGCTGCTGCTAGTCCACCCCAATCTGGTGGCTTGAGTTGGCCCAGGTACATGTACCCAGCGCATTGGCTAGGTTCGAATGGCAGATGCTGAAGAGAGTAATTCAGCGCCCCAATTGACCAATGGGAGAGCATCGCGCAGTCGCCCAAGGTACATGTACGCCCTGCTGCACTCCATTACTAACCATGGACGAATGGCACGGTACAGAGCACTTGCACTAGCCGTGCGACGATCCCGCCTTGAGGTGCAGAAGCTCGATGCAGCCCTTCTCACCGATATGCAGCCCAGCAGCCAGCCAATGCGGTGCCCTGGAGCCGTTGTTTTCTCACTCAGCTGCTGCTGGAGAGGCGTCTCGCATGCTGTAAATGTAGGCACCGCCCGCATCTCTCCTCCCTGCACTGCTCCTTGACTGCCTGGAGCTTGCCTGGAGCTTGCCTGGAGCTTCCAAGCGAGGGAGCTAGCCATGCAAGGCAAATGCAAAAGAGGCCGCTTTGGGCCCAAAGCGCAGCATCCTGCATAGAAATACCCAATGGCGTTTCAAGACATATCTTTTATTTTCCTACGTGTAAGTTATCACTCTTTGCACGCTTTCTTGCATGCCAGAAGATGCATCGACTGGCCTTGGCATGGATTCAGCCTCGACCATTGTCGTTTAACCTGGCTAAACAAAAAGGGGGGGAAAGACATCCTCATCTCTTCCGAGCTGACTTTTGAAAGCGTCTAACCTACTAGTAGGTAATACCTAACCGCCTGCTTCGGAAGAGCACCTACCTATGTACCTGGTGCCGCGGTCTCTCAGGGTGCTGTCTCAGTCTGTTGCTTGTTTCTTTTTCTTTTTCCTTCTCTCTCTCTCTCTTCTCTTTCCCCCTCCTCGATATGTGCATCCAAGAGCTACAAGGCGTTCTACCTTTTAACCCACCCCCCGTGGCCCGCCATAAGCTGCCTGATGCTCCCTTACCATCCACACCACATGCAAAGCCTACTCAGTACGAGACGTGTGCATGTTTGCATGTGGGATGAATCGTTTGATGGTCAGGGTACATACATGCCATGCTCAAGCAAACAGACAAAACGAAGGACGCGGTTGTCCGGAACCTGGCATCAACTCCCGCGGCCACGGGCAGACATCGGGGAAACACTCCAAGATTGAGTCTAGCGCTCTTGTAATACTTGGTAGTGTGATTCAAACCGTGGACCTGGACGTGCAGTTGAAGCATTGCCCGACGGGCTTAAGTACCTAAGGAGGGCTTACGAAGATGATGAGACCTTGATGCCCTGCAAGCCTTTCATGCTTCATGACAGATTGGTACCTAGGTACTCAAATTAACCTCATCCAACAGGGAAGGAATCCGTACCGTAGCGAGCCTTTTGCCGTCTATCCCAAATGGAGGATGGTACTTCCAAGTACTGCAGGTTGATAACCTGCACGGCGTGCTGCGTGTATGCTGGCAAAAGTACCTACCACTACTTCGCACCTGTAAGGCAGGCACTTCAATTGTTCGTATCGCACATATACAAGTTCAAGGTTCCCAATGCGTGCCGCTGCGCATGGTATTCTCGGCAAGCACAAACAGCTCAACAGGGGGCCTGTTTCCCTACTAGGGATTTTGTTCCAAATATGTCAGCGAAGCCACGGCTAGGCCATTCTGTGACTCGTTCCTTCGTTGCTTCTGGGCAACTGCTGTTTTGGTTCGCCGACAAAGTTCCCTTTTGAAAAAAGGAAAGAGGAAAGGGAAAAGGAGGAGGAAGGAGACAACAAGAGTAGCCCGGAAAGGGAGCCAAAATGAATGATTCGTGGTAAAATGAAATATGATTTTTTTTTATAATTGAAAAGAGCTAACAAATAAACGCACAGGGAAAAGAACAATTGCCCGTTATGAATTAGGCCTCGCATTTTCTCGCAGCTCCTTGCATAGTCCAGCTGGCCATGGTTTCTCCTCATCTTTTCTGTCGCCACCACCACCTTGCTTCTTCTCTTCCTCCTCATCGCCTTGGTCGCATTTGATACGCGCACCCTTTCTCAGTTGAACCGCCATCTCGTCAAATATCATCTTCGCCGCAGCAGAATGGCCAATCATCTCCGCCACCAACCGCCGTCTGTCCTCTTTTTGAAACCCCGCATCGCAAGGGCCAACGCAAACAATCCGCAACCCCTGCCAAGTTGCTTTGCCCAGCTGTCCCGGGTACAAGAGGTGCTGGCCATGGTTGATGTGCAGCACCGCGGACGAGGACTCGTCCGTGTAGTATATGCTTGTGCCAGCAAACGCGGGCGAAAACCCCTCTCCCTCTCCCTCTCCCTCTCCCTCTCCCTCTCCCTCTCCCTCGGCCGCACAGCACGGGGTGCAGCCTTCGAAACCCTGCCCTGGTTCGCGCCCCATGTTACAATGAACTCATCTCACTGTACAACAGGATCGTGCTGATACATGTCCGTGTGGCACTCACACGCTGCCAAACCAGCCGATCTACGATGTGCGCCACAGTCTGCCTGCCGACGGTAGCCTAACGGCTAGTGAATCCTGGCGCCGATTCTGCTCCTGTCACACCAAACCACGTACTCCGACCTCGACGCTTTGTTTTATATACAATTTGTCCTTGTTCGACGCCAGGAATCCAACGCCAATGGCTACGGCATCTATGCTGAGATGCTGCCGTGGCTCCTCAAGTCCCCGGGATGAATCGAGTGCGTATTATCAACTTGGTACGAGCAGGTAATATCGTCGCACTAGCAGCACCACCTGGGATGGCATTGGTGCTTCTCCCACCCCACCTGCATCCTACTCATGGATGCAATCTAGGCCCCTCCATCCATACGACTCTATTTCTCAAAGCATTCAAACACGGCTTGTTGTCCTTGCATGCAGCATACCTGAGCTATTGCCGCGGTCGATATATGACTGCTCTATTGACCCGTATTTCCCATGGTGCCCTGGCTAACCCCTACATGAAGTGTGCAGTCGGCTTGTCTCGTGAGTGCCACATCCGAACTACGCAGCCCAGCCAATCTTTGATGCGAGTAGCATGGCATGCTGAAAAAAACGACTTGTCGTCCTTGCCCACGAATGATTTCCAAACATGACTTATCTTTACAAGGTTACAGGAGGGTAAGCCACTTGCATACGTAACAAGGCGCTCACACCATCACCATCAACCGGCTCGTATGGGCGGCATGACCGGAAGGCATTCCCGGCAGCACCAAGTGTTGCATCCCCGAGAGACAAGCTACTTGTACAAATCAATTGAAGCAATTCACTACTGTGCAATTAGCAGCGGCACATTGACCACCAACCACAAGCTGCAGGGCTAGGTTGATCAACCGTGCAATCATATCTCGAGCAGCCAGCTTATCATCACCAGCCACGGGTATACACTGATCAATAGAATGGATTTCGCAAATGAACGCTACACCATAACACATTGAAGTACGTAGTCCGATGTTCCGAATGCAGCAGCAACCCTGGCCGAGAGGGAGGAAGATGAAATCGGCAGAGAGCAACGGCACTACAATCATAGTCGCATGGGCCTCTTACACTGCTTCTACCATCTCATACCCGGCCCATTAGTCCATGCATTCGACCTAATGGTATGGAGTACGAGTACACACTCTGCTTTCCCGATATCTCCTAGCTAGACTAGCAGCCACGGGATGGATGCGTATAACAGAAGCCCCGATAGTAGTTCCAACGGGCTGTCATAGAGGAGTTTACTCACCGGCCACCGGCCGTCGCATATTTTCTTCGGCTCTCACTTGTTGAATCCTAACCTATGCAGATCTTCGTGCACACGGACGGTACCAGCGCTCAGAATCATAATGAGTCGACCAAGGTGGTTGACCACAGTCCGATGATGTAGCCATCAAAGCATTGGTTCTCAATTCCGGTTGGTTCAAATATTTTCGCACTTACAACCTTACGACGGACTTTCTATCAACCCAGTCCGGCTATCGGCTGACAGGGCCAGGGTCTGACCACCGTTTTACTTGTACGTTATTACCGGACGCATGAGGCCTCTGAATGCTGGATGAAATGATGAAACAGCTCCCATCTATTTATCCTTACCCGCACTAGTAGTCCATCATGTGACTACTGCTGCTGCTGCTGTGGGAGATGAGTTATTTACCCCCAACGCTTCGCATTCCCTGCTTGGTGATCGAGTCATTTGAAGATGATACACCACCGGCAGCTCTGGGTGTACTCGGCATTACTGTACCTGCTCCCTATGAGAGGACACACATCCGAGACCCGAGGATTGGCAAGATTCGCCGCTGATTAGCCCCACTGTGTTGGCTTGAAAAGATGAGAACGGCCATGTCCGTAACACGGCCTTCATCCGACGCCGACGCATAGTCAAGCTTGAAGGGAAACTTGCAAGCCAATGACGCTGGCCGATGGGATGATTTGTGGCCTGTACAAATTCTTATTGCGGGCATAGTGGTATAACCAGCGCCCGTGGACATCAACTTTTATCTGCGCCATGTGCGCCGTGTTGGTTATATTACGGGGTGACGGCTCTTACATCAAGCCCCGTTGCCGCTGAACATGGCCCCTTGCAATATACCATACAGCGCTGGCGTTTTAATAGCCTCGCTTGCTGTCTATGCTTGTACTATGTTTTGGACATCTCGAACTGCTAATTCCCGCTTTGTAAGCAGCCAGGCTCGGCATTTTTTCCGATTTCAATGATGTTTCGTTGCGCGGCACAAGCCTCCTGGAACATGATGAGCCGGAACATGTCAAATGCAGTCAGTTAAACTATTGAGATTTGAAGTCAGGAGCAGGTGCCCAAGTTGGCGAAGCTCTTTGCGTCATCTAAGATGCGTAGCCTGAGTTCTGACTTGTCCTACGTGTGCATGATGGGCAATCGCAAAAGCAAGCCGTTGTCCCATTTGATTTGGCAGATGGGCCATCTCCCATAACTGACAGTGGATAGCCATTGGTAACGCGGTAGAATAGTATTCTAGAAGACAACATCTGGGGTATTCTTAGACACGAACGGAATCCCGGCTAACCACTCTTGCTTTCATAGCACACGTCGCCGATTCCCCTATTCACCACGTCGCCGGCTCGGCGTTTATGAAAACAGGGCAGAAGCTATCCATCAAGGTACCTACTAGTCTGGTCGGCAACCCTACATGTATCTCAGCTCGTTCGCCAGCGGCCGGCGGATTTCTGCTTGAAAGCCGACATGACGTACGAAGGTGTATGTGTAGTACTACTGATTTTCTACCACATCGCAAAGCAAGGGGGGGCTTCTGTGACAAATGACAAAGCTCGACGACCCGATTACTCCTTTCAGATCCCATTTCTCAACGCGATTCTTCCAAATGCACCGATATGCCATCCAAGGCCGACGCAGTTGTAGTGCTTACCAATGCGGACAAAAAGAGCACCAGCCATGGGATTTTGCGCATTCAGATACAAGCAGGGCTTAGAAGATGCATATATTTGATGCAGCGCCAAGTCTAGTAGTCTGCTGACTTGACCTGTCAGCAATATGAAAGAAGTGCCGAAGACCACGTGCTGAACCATGGAAGCACCGCCAAACAGCATGTCGAAGATGGGATGGCATGCCACTGCTCCGTACGGAGTACATACTCATTAATTCCAAAACCTATCCGCCCTACCCGCAAACACAAGTACGAGTACTTTGATGTCACACCCCCCAGGCGGCCGCTCCGGATTCCTGGATGGGTATCATGGACTACTGCAAGTTTGGTCATGCTACCAGCACCGCTGCGCCGGCACGCTAGACATGGTCCTGAAAGCGCTAATGCGCCTCCTCCCGTGTCCAAGTTCCTGGGTCTGCTGTTGATTGGGAGCAGCTTTTGCCATCTCTGGACGGTGAGACAAAACATCCTCTAGGATGTTGTACCGAGCGCGTCTTCGAGGCCGCTGGTGGTGGGAAGCCCGCTCGAAAAGTGTCTGCCTAAATCACTCACAACTTGGACCCGTTTAAAGCGGTGATGTGAGTGAGGCTTGTGGTGGGCGGCAGGGATTTTTCCATGTGTTGATGGCTTCGTGCATGACTTCTGACTGTCAACGATTGCTATTAATGGTATTACTGCTCCGCTGCCATTACGTTTTGATGCCAGTTGTGGGGCCGCGCTCTCATGATTATGAGAGAAATGCTTACTGTAATGGTTAGAGACAAATCATCTTCATATACGCCCTCAGGAGGCATGACATAACATCATGTACATGTCTTCATGCTGGCCCACTCACGCCAAGACAATTGAGAGAGCATCATTACGAAATAATTTGTTGGTCTTTTGTATTACCAGCACAATTTGATTTAATCGAAACAAACACCATCTTGAAGAGAAACTGTCATCTATTGGTTCAAAAAGAAAGACCGAAAAAAAGAAAAACAGCCTAAACGTGCCGAGTTTCTACCTTCTATATGCAAACACCCCCTCCCCTTTCCCTGTAACTGTTCCATATCCCTGATCCCAGAGAGACATGAACAGAAGAAAAAAAAAAAGCCCCCTATCTACAAATGCTGTTATTCCCGATTGCGCATCAGGACATCTCACTTTGACACATGGCATGGCGTTCTCCCACTTCGATCCCGATTAACGCGCGCGCGCCATACCATGGACTACCGATCCTTCGTTCGTCAATCAAAGAACCCCGGGCCCTGACACGGCGACTTCTGACATGTCACAATGGAGGCTGAACCAGAACACATGACATTGAGCGTTCTTGCAGCATTGGGCGGCTGCGTCGGCAAGCTTCAACGTCATGCGCTGTCTGTTTCGACGCCTCTTAAACAAAGAAATCGTCGTCAAAAGTAGAGTCCGAGATGGAAAACCGCCCGACAGCCCTAGGAGGCTGTGTTATGTATGGGTACCCCGGTAAGGATAGAAAACATCCTCACATCCCTGGTGGAACAGGAGGAGAAAAAGAAAAGAGAATCAAGGTTATTCTGAAGCCAGGGAATCGCTGTCACACCCCCACCAAGGATGACCGTGTCGCGCCTTGTAGGGCTAAACTATCACGTATCAAGGCATCAAACGGGGTTGATAACGGGGCCCTCAGGATCGGGGATAGGAGCAGCTTCATCGTCGATAACTGCACAGCTGCTTTCGCCGTTGCCAGCATCAGCAGATGACATATCCCTTACATGGGTAGACTTCATTTCCAGGCCCCCTTCCTGATCGCTTCCCTGTCTTTCGAGCTCTTCAAAGGTGAAGGCATCCGACAGGTTGATGGCCAGGAAAGTCTTTGGCAATTTAACCCTGTGAATCATAAACATGTTAGCCGCCACAGTTTCTTGATAGGAACTCTTGACAATCCAAAATGGAGGGGGGGTGAAGGGGGAACAAAACATACTGATTGAATTTGGCACGTAGTGTCTTGATCACCTGCAGCCAATCTAGATGGGGCGTGAGACTGCGTCGCGGCGCACATCCGATGCAGTGCCGGCTATCAAGCTGAACGTGCAAGGGATCAAAGACATGGCACCCAGGACTGATGGTGATGCGAATGCTATAAGCAAAAGTGGGCTCGTCGCCCTCCTCAGGAGGCGGGTTCACTTCCGATTCATACAGCTCAAAGCAAATCTGCGAGAGATAATCCAGCTCAGGGATGGTGCTGCGGCTGATTTTTGTCTCGATGCCGCCCTCGATGATACAGTTGAGCAAGGTATAGATGTGCGACTCCTTGGTGAAGTAGAAGAAGGACTTGGCGTCGTTGGAGGCCTGCATCTCCTCCAGATCCTGGACAATCTCCTTGAGGAGCGGCAGGGATGTCAAGAGCCCGATTTCCAGCTTCTCGCTATCCGAAATGCCGTACTCCTGCGGGCAGATGAAATCGAAGAGAATCTTTGCCAGCCGGTACAGCTCCTGAAGCGGTTCGTTCCGCGGGTCCGTCTTATCCGCGCCGCTATTGCTCTTGTACAGCCTAAAATACTGCTCAGGGGGCGCCTCGTCACTCATGTGGCGAAGGCCATTGAGAAATGATCTTCGCCGGAAGAGCTTCCGGACTGTTGCCGACCGGTTGGAGCTGTCTGTCTTGTCTGAGTTGTCGGGATTTGCCCCAGCGGCCTTGCCCTCCTCCGCCGCCCCTTTGTTGGCGCCGGCATCCTCGCCGTCCTTTGTTTTACCATCTTTGACGCCATATTCTTCCTCAAGCATGCTCCTCGGCGGGGTAAACACCCACTCCAAGAACTGCCGGTTATGCAAGGCGTCGAACTTCATCGTGTCGTAGAGCTCAGAGATTTTGCTGGGATCCACCTTCTCTGCATCGCAAAACTCCGTAAACAGCTTCTCCCACCTCTCCCGGAAGAGATCCGCGTCCTCTCCGCAACACCATCTGGGCTGGATGTTGGTGACTGCGTTAGCCTGCGATAGTGCTGACGAAAGCGACGAACTGGATCCCTCCCCAGTGAGCTTCTCGCTACTAGGATTGGAGATGGCAGTAAGGGACGTGGCAGCGTTGCTGTTGTTGTACAGTTTACCGTAGTTGTACTGCATCACTCGTCGGTGGAAGTTCATCAGCTGAACGACTCGGTTCTGCACCTCTGACGGCTCGGGCATGTTTTCAGGCCACGCGAACTGGGCCGGACGTTCATTGCCCTCGCGCAACAGCCCCTTGAGCTTCTTCTTGACTTTGTCCGTTTCATCCTTGGCGGCATTAGAGTCATCCAAAAGGTCCTTGCGGATAGTGATGAAGTCTTCCGGCAGCTCTTTTTCGCCTAAAAAGGAGCACGCCCAGATCTGTGCGCTAGCAGTGACTCGCCTCTCGGAGCTGCTGTAGATGTGGACCTCGTCGAGGATGTCCCTGTTTAGCAACATCAAATCATTGCGCATGTTCTCTCCCAACTCTTGCGACTGGTACCTTGCCGAATGGGTCGGCTCGCCACCCCACTTGACAATGAGCTGAAGTTTGTCGAGGACTAGGCTCTCTTCCGCGGCGGTAAACTTCGACATGGTGACTTCTGAAACTGAATCATGACGTTTGGATGATCGCCCCTCAGCTTTATCTACATCGCCTCCAGGGGCCAGGGGCGTACTATCGCCGGTTTCGGCTGGCTGGGGAGCTTCCTCGTCTTCCGGCACTGGCTGCTTCTTCTTCTTGCGGAACATGGGCTTGATCTGGACCTTGGTTCCAGCCCAGCTCCCCTTTTTAACAAGGACATTTCTCAGAGATCTAAGCTTTTCTCGGTCCTCAACGCCTTGGATGTAGGCAACATCCACAGCCTGTATCACGCTCGCCAAGGCAGGCTCTCCAATAAGGAGCACTTCCTCCTGGTGGCCCTTGAGAAGGTCGATGAAAGGCTCGGTATGGAAAGTAAACTTGTACTTTTGCTTGGGAGTCCTGTCTGCATGCCTGATTACTGAAACCATGCCCTTCAGCTTCCACGAGTGCTTTGGAGGGGGAGGGGGAGGTGTAGGTTCAGCCACATCTTCTTCTTGTGGTGCTGGAGCAGCGGGAGACTGTGATGCATCCTTGCTAGACCTGGGAGTTGACAAGATGCTCGGCGACAAGACATCCGCGGACAGCGGGAGTAGTGGCTGTGGTAACAAGGGGCTCCCTGCCGAGCTCTGGCCAACAGACGTTTTCGCGCTCTCTATGGTTGGCGATGCCGTACCGCTAGGGGGGACTAGTGCCGACTCAGCTTGACTAGGTTGTTCAGCTTGCGCTGTGCTGTTATTCGGCTTCACCGCAGATGTCGGCTGGTTGGTCGCAACCCCGCTGGTTGTTGTAGCTCCTGTTTGTTCGTGTTCGGTAATTGTCTGTCCTGCCCTAGCGATGGGGTCGACATCCGAAGAAGGCGCAGGAGAAGCAACCGGCGGTGGTGTTATGCCGCCACGGCGAATCCTTTCTTTGATGAAGACATCCTTCAGAATGCTGGCGCAATGCTCATAATAGTCCTCATTGTCCTTGACAAAGCTCCAGCCGTTGACGTCAATGACATAGCTCTTCCCCGAAGCTCTGAGCAAATCAAACCCACAGACCCTCTGTCCAAAGGCGGTCGAAATCTTGCGGGCAATTTCTCGTTCCTCCGCGCCGAGACTCGTCACATAGCGCAGCTCCTTGCCGTGCGTGTTTCGTCGAACGATGCCATCGACAACGGGCGACTTGCGGGTTTCCGCATGGCAGTACTGAGGGCCAACAGTGTATGCTTTGACGTCTTCCGCATTGTCCACTTCCATAAAGCTTTCGTAGATGTAGCTGCCTTCGGGTTCGGAAATCGCCCTGGGGACGTTTAGTTCGGGGATGTATTCAGAGCTCTTGTTGCCAACTTTTCGGAAGAGTTTTCGTGCTCCTCCACCAGAGCTCTTTGGGAAGTAGATGATGATGTTGTGATCCTCGCCGCTAATTGGTTTCTCTACGAAAGGTTTCTTGAGAAGGGCTCCATCGACACTGAGAACGTCTCCCTCATCCAGAAGCTCAACCTTCGTTGGCGGCGGAGTGTTTTCGGGGTCCGCAGGCTCCAGTGTCACTCCGGACACTTCCTTGATATATTTTGACATTTCGGGAGTAAGAACCTTTGGGCCACCGTCTCGTGTCACTTCCACGCGTTGTGGCGTAGGAACTTGTATCTTATCCAGCAGACGCAAGCACGCACGCCTGTCCCAGAGAATCTTTTGCATCGGCACATCGTTGACACAGAAGGGCTTCCTCGTCTTTATATATGCAATGGCCTTTTCCAACGGAAACCCATCAGAGTAGAATGATATTAAATAGTCACTGAAAAACTGTTAGCCAACATTGCGTGTTCTGTGGTTCGTTGCCTTTGTCATCTGGTTGATACGCCAAGGGGATCATGCCACTATCCTCTTTACGCTGACCGAGAAGGGAATTGCTCACCACATTGGCCAATTCTCAACCTCTATACGAAAATTTTTCTGTCAGTACCACCATCCTTTTCAAGAAAAACTTATAGACGATCTATCTGGATTTTTTTTTCTCCTAGTCTCAGGCTGGGGAAATCTAAGAAATGTCATACCTTCGTCGAGAATGGTTTTGTCGCCAAAAACCACAACATCGAACTCGCGGTTCGCTATAAGGCGATTTAGAATATTCCGACTCGGCTTGCTTCTGGCTTTGATATCGAGAGCGCATATGCCAATGACACCTAGCGGCGCAGGTTTGGCTGAAACATAGTCGTCAGCTACTTTTTCAAGATCCAACACGGGAGATTTGCCGATCGACAATCGAGATCACACGAACCTTCTTCCTTCTCTCGATAGTGCGGTCCTCGTTCGCTACTTGGGCTCTGGCTGCTGTATGCAGTGCTTCCACTGAATCGTCTCTTTGCTCTACTCCGAGAGCGATCGGGCTGGCTGCTTCTCATAGTGGTGGTTTCGGATCGTTGATTTCGCCTAACGAGATCGAGATGCGGCGGTTGCGAATCTCTAGCTGCCAGGCTGTGATTATTGGGAGATCCATGTCCCGATTGGCTGCCTGAAGAGGTGGTCACGGTGACGCTGGACAAGGCGGGCTCTGGCTGGGCCGAGGCCGCAGATGGCCCTTTCCCGGACGACATCAGAGTCGGTACCGATCGGGGTGGCGGTCCTTGATCAGACGCTGGATTGGATTGGGATGGGCTGATGATGACGCCACGTGCTGAGGCCAATGAGTATAGCGATGTTCCCGACAGACGTTTCGATCGAATTGAATGAGAATCTGAAAACGACGACTTGGTAGTCAGGGCAGGTTCGGGGAGAGATGAGTGGTTGACCGGAACATCTGGGTTGGGGCGCATGCGAGGAGTATCGTTGTCGAGGAAGACCTGGTTCTGCTGAGATTCTCCCAGATAGAGTTCCTCGGTCAGGGCTTCAGAGGCGACCGATTGACGTCGACTGTAGGAACCCATCGATCGAGCACCCTTGAGAAAATTGGACGAGTGAGGGCTGCTAGAGAAGCTAGATCGTTCGGCGTGGACATCGGAGGTGCCCGGCTCGGCATAGCGGCTCTTGCTGCTGACTGAGCCCGTGAACGAAGAAACCGACACGCTGCGGGATTGCCTCGATGGCTGGGACGGCAAGGTGTACGGCGACGAATTGGCGGCGCTGGCGTCGAAGGAGGCTTCCGACGGCGGTGGCAGCGGAGCCTCTTCGCTGGCCATGGCGGAATCGCTGAAGCTGGCACTCAAAGGGTCCATGGCTTTGGACGGTGGCGGGCGGCTTGCCAGCAAAAAGAAGCCTTGGATGGGCTGGCGGAGGGGAGTAGTCTATCGACTAACGGTCTGGAGGTAAGCAGGAGGAAAAGAAAAGACTGGAGTCTGTCGCCGAACGGGATCCGGGAGGAACCCACTCTGCGTGGTCGATACTTGGTGCTTGGCTGCAATCGTCCGGTGCTAGACGCGGGCGGGCGGTGACATCATCCGAAAGCGGCGAGTTGAGATGATACGGCAAAACATGCAGTGTGCTGGGATTGATTGAGGAAATAGAAGAGGCTGGATATGAAGAAAAGAGCGCCGTGAGATTTCAGCAAGCGAAATAAAATAGCAATGCCTTGCTCAGCGTATATGCGCCTGCATCGAATCTTATCAGAAGTGTAACTGGTTGGCCTTGGTGGCGGCGTATTGGTTTTTTTTTTTTTTTTTTTTCTTCCTTCTTTCTCTAGGCTTCTGGATGGTCCCTGATGGCGAATGCTGAGGTTTCATTGGCCCAGGCCATCTGCAGAGTCAGCTAAACGAGGGGCAAATCGGGAGCTGAGCACCGTCCAGAGACAGGGATATGCTTGGCACGAGCAAGAGAAAAAGAGGGAACATGCTGCAATGGAGGGGCAAAAGTCGAATTGGCGAATGGAAACGGATGCCCTGGACTGCAAGGGGACAAGTTCTGGGAGAAACTAGCCAACAATATCGCAGTTCGACAAGCTCCGTCTGTCCAAATCCACTTAGCGGTGAGGCCGTCGTCAAGCTACTGTACCATGATAAAGGACAAAGTCTGGGAGCGCTGCTTTACATAGTATTTCGTCGATTTGCGCTGTGGTCTGGAGATGGGATGGTTCATATGATGAGATGAACTAGGGTTTTTGGTGTACAACGCCATTGTGGCAGCAGATGCCGTCTGTGTAACCGCACCGAGGCGTCGAATGCGGCGGAAAAGTGGTCACTGGACTTGTGTGGTTGGCTCTGTGGCGACCAAAGAGAGATCAATACGAAGAACATGCTCTGTTGTGCTAGTATTGACATTTGACAGAATCTGGGGTCTAGCCATCCATCCATTAGCATTTTGTGCTAACTTGTTAGTACGCACAGGTGATCATTCAACTGTACTCTGGCAATGTGTATGTACCTGCGTATGTATGTATGCATGTATGCCGCATCAAATAGCATCTGGGTGAATTTTCCAAGCAGTCAAGGGTATCTCGTCTTGATAAGGATGATGCCTCGTAGATGGATTTGCAACAAGACTAACAATTTGTGTTAGACTTGGGATGAATTCTTTACACAAAGTTTGGAGCACATGTGGCGGTGTCATGTGGCGGAGGCATAAGGTGCTGCCATTTGCCATGGCTAGTGGCTGGCTGTTCATTAGGTAAGCGGCAGAAAACGGCAGTATCCATCACCGCCAAAAATTTACAGATCCACGAACGAGTGAGTGCTGCTCTCGACGACGAATCGCGAAACGCTGCACAACACCAGCGCAAAGATGCCGCATTCCGATCCCGATGGGCCGCTGGCCAAGCGCCAGAAAGTCTCAACCTTGGCCAATGCGCCTCAGGCCTCGAGCAATTCCTCCCGAATCTTTGCTCCGTTCCGAGTACGTATATGCGATGCGCTCTTCCTATCAAAGACAGCTTTTGGCAACTATATTCTAGATTCTAACCGCTCACCGTGTAGACTGTTGGCCTCGTCTCCCCATCGAGTATCCCTTTTACTTCCTTCCCGTTAGGAAAGACTACTTTCCAAATTACAACATCGGTCGGGCGGTCTCTGCAAACCTACGATTTGCTTCGCGGTCTCAACCTAGTCTTTGTTACTCGGCCGCAGACGCTCGCAGACATCACTGCCACGTATGCCTGGGGGAAGAAGGTCTTTGCCGCATGGGGTGGATCGCAGGACGGTGAGCCTCAGGGCCTATGGGTCTTCCAAAGAGGTAGAAAGGTCGATGAGGTGGTCCTCCCAAGCGACCTGACGGAGCCAATCCAGCAAATAACCATCTTTGGAACCTGGTTCATCGCTTGCGCAAAGACGAGGATTGAGGTGTTCAAAACTGCGACGCTCGAGCATTACACTACTATTCATACCATGGCTGCTGCCAAGGGCGGCCATGAGATCACAAGCGGCGTCGTCACCATGCCAACATTTCTCAACAAGATCTTCGTTGGTCGCAAAGATGGATGGGTCGAGATATGGAACGTCAGCACTGGAAAGTTGATTTATACCATTTTGCCTCCTTCTCCCGACTGTGGCGCTGTAACCTGCCTCGAGCCCACTCCAGCTCTCTCCTTGCTGGCCATCGCCTACTCAAGCGGTACCCTCGTCATCACCAATGTGCTCACTGATAAGCGCGCTCTTCAAGTCGAAGCTGGAAGCCCAGAGGCACCTGTTACTTCGATATCATTCCGAACGGATGGTTTGGGAGCTGGGCATGATGGCAGAAAGGATGGTGTCATGGCCACGGCCACCCCATCCTCGGGCGACATTACCTTCTGGGACCTAAATCGCGGAGGTCGCGTAATGGGAGTCCTACGTAGTGCTCACAACCCGCCTTCAGGTGAAGGCGATGAGATCCGCGGTGGCATCAGTAAGGTTGAGTTTCTGGCTGGACAAGCAGTCATTGTATCCAGTGGCCGAGACAATTCGCTCAAGTCATGGATCTTTGACGAGACACCCTTCTCTCCTATTCCAAGAATCCTGCACTCTCGGAGCGGACATTCTGGTCCTGTCAATTGCTTGCAATTCTTGCCTTCCGACTTTGATGGCGCTGAAGCTGGAAATAAGTGGATCATCAGCGGCGGCAAGGATAGGAGTCTCTGGGGATGGAGCATGCGTCGCGATGGCCAGAGCACGGAGCTGAGCCAGGGCAACATACGAAAGAAGGCAAAGAAGATTGGTATCCTGGCCAGCAATGCCCTGGCACATGGCCCGACGACGACACTGGAGGACCTCAAAGCCCCCGAAATCACATGCATTGCCACTTCACTCAACCGCGATGGTGGCATTGGCGCCTTGCCTGGCAAGCAGGAGATTTGGCAGAAAGGACGGGACCCGAAGAAGAAGATGGACGCTGAGATTAGCGGAATGACGGGCTGGGAGAGTGTAGTCACCGCCCACAAGGGTGATCCTTTCGCCCGCACTTGGTTCTGGGGCCGAAAGAGAGCAGGTCGCTGGGCATTCCCAACTGGCGATGGAACCAACGTCACAACTGTTGCTATTAGTCCCTGCGGAACGTTTGCGCTGGTCGGCTCGGGGGCTGGTGGTATCGACATGTACAATCTCCAGTCTGGTGTCCACCGTCAACGCTTCCCCTCCAAGTTGACGCCAGCACAAGCTCGTCAGCTGAAAATGCAGCAGCTTCGGCAGGCAGATGATGTTGTTCAGCTGCAGAGCGAAGGCAACCGAAAGTATCCCGCCGGCATTGGCAAGCATACCCAAGCCATTACTGGGCTGGTTGTTGATTCTATGAACAAGACTGTGGTGTCTTGTGCGCTAGACGGCAAGATCAAGTTTTGGGATTTCTTGACAGGAACCCTCCTGGAGCAGTTGGACTGGGCGCCCATGACATTTCCGACTGGCTGCCGGTACCACCCTGCCAACAATCTCCTCGCCTTTTCCTGCGATGACCTGTCCATTCGAGTTGTCGACTTGGAGACGAAAAAGACTATCCGAGAATTCTGGGGTCCCAAAGATGTCATCAACGACTTTTGCTTTTCGAATGACGGCAGGTGGATCATTGCCGCCTCTCGCGATTCAGTCATCAGGATATGGGATCTGCCCACCAGCCATCTCATCGATGCCATTCGGCTGGAGAAGCCTTGCAAAGCTGTGGCCATGTCATACACAGGCGAGTACCTGGCTGCTGCTCTGGAGGACAGCCCCGGTGTTACGATCTGGACGAACAAGGCTCTATATAAGCATGTCCCAACTCGCCAGATCTCTGAAGCTGAAATCAGCTTGGTGGCTGCACCTACAACGTCCGGAGAAGGAAACCTCGGCTTACTAGAGGCAGCGTTTGAGGAGGACAAGACAGAAGACGACGCTGGGGTTGTCGCACCTTCTGTTGATCAAATCAGTGCTGACCTGATGACTCTCAGTCTGGTTCCTAAGAGCAGATGGCAGACGCTGCTCCACCTGGATCTGATCAAGGAGCGTAATAAGCCGACGGAGGCGCCTAAGCTCCCCGAAAAAGCGCCCTTCTTCTTGCCATCCACATCTGGAGCGCCAGCGACTGGGCCCAAGGCTGAATCAGATCAAGCAGAAAACGACAGCAAGTCTCGTATCAGTAGATATGACAAGGCTCGCTTTGAGGAAACGTTCACGGCCAAGCTGCGTGCTGGCGCTGAAGCCGGCAACTGTAAGTTCTTTTTCCCCCAAGTTATCACCAAGCTACAAGCACTGACATTCTGTCTTTCTCTTTTATCTAGACGATGATTTCATTGAGCACCTCAAATCTCTCTCTCCCTCGACTGCGGATCTTGAGCTTCGATCACTCTCCCTCGGTGAGGATGACGACTCCAACGAGCTCCTCCACTTTATCCGAGCTCTTACGATACGATTACAAGCACGAAAGGATTACGAGCTAACGCAGGCGTGGATGACGGTGTTCCTCCGACTTCACTTTGACATAGTGATGGAAAACAAGGCACTTCTAAAGGCTCTGGAGGAGTGGAAGGGACAGCAGGAGAAGGAATGCAACAGGCTGGATGATTTGGTTGGATACTGTAGTGGCGTGGTTAGCTTCTTGAGAAGCCCGAGGACGTGATGGATTGTGTGATTTTGCTGGGTATATACTAGATGGGTAGATGAGTGGACGAAAATAATGCATTGGAAAATTCAAAATCAGCAAACAGTACGAACATGATTGGACGCCATGTGACTTGATCAGTGGGCTGTACGATGATTCTGTGGATTACTCTAGGTTCATTGACAGCTTTACGGATCAGAAACCAGCTTGGCCAACATCCCAGGACCACAAATCCAACAGAGCTTCTCAATGATCACAGAACGTCGACGTCTTCTTCATGGCTCCCGCAAGCAGAAGCAACATAATGAAAACAAAAAAAAGAGCCAAAGCTTCAAAATCAAAAATTGCGCCTCCCATGGCCCCGAAGGACAATGGAGCAAGGAGTCGACTCCGCGATGTGCAATGCAGGCCCTCCACACTGCATCCCCAAATTCTTGATCTTGGGAATGCGAAACAAGGTAAGTATGAAGAAAGGAAAAAGAGAAAAAAGAAAATCGAAAGGAGAGGGAGGGAGGAGGGGAGATATATAGTTGGCAGAGGTGGTCTGTGCGCGGGAGGATTTGGGCGGTGAGGTTGGGCAGGTGATGCTGCTGCCTAGAGGGCTGAAGGGAAAGTGAGAGTGATGTACATGTAATCTTTGGGTGGAGGATGAGGTGAATGTACTTTGAAGTTGGCTAATAATAAGGTAGTCGTGTTTGTATAGGGACTTTTGTTTCTGTTAAAGGAAGTCGCCGGCGTGGTATTCCTGAGGTGAGGCTGAGATGGATGCCTGATGAGGGGAGGAGCTACGATGATATCTGCTGGGTATTATTGGGAGCATGGATCTTTCAAGAATTTGATTGTCTGACAAATTGCCAGCCCGAGTATTACTTGTTATCTAGTATAGCAATATATTCCTTATCTTGAAGGTCAAAATGACTCTTGTTATTCTTGAATGGTTGGATGTGTATGAGCTCATGGCGCTTCATGATCTCTAATTGCCTGTTCACGAGGCTTACGTCAAAGTTCTCCATGATTACTATTTACCTAGGTAGGTAGTATATACAATATCCTAAAGAAGTGGCCAGGAGCATTATGTCAGCCTAGCTAGCTACATGTCGAGGAGAAAATGGTAGAGATCATATTATCATTAGGGGCAGTCAATGGTTGTCTCTCAGCTGTATGCGTAGGCCGGCTGGGTGTCATGGTCAGAGATATATGGTCGGCGGATGACATAAAGTATACAAGTTACAGATGCAATCCAAATATATAAAGAAGATGAAATCTTGAACCAAATGGGCCAAAGTCTTGAGAAATCGCAATGGAAACATCTGATCGAAATCGTCTTCTAGTGAAGAGCGGCGAAGGCTCTGAAGTCTACACCCGACCCGAATATAGTTTCATCGAAGCAGAAATCGAAGTGATTGCAAAATGAGAGCCGAGAGTAAAAGGTCCCAGCTATTACCCTTTATCGTGTAAAGTTTGCAAAGTGCCAGGCCTTGATAATGGATCCATTGCATGTAGAGATTAAGCTCGCCTCCGCTTCAGCTAAAGATGGCATATATCTACCGATAACCCATAGGTATTTGGAAAAGATCTACAATAGATGACATGGGAGTAAACATGACTATTATGTTTCTGCGGAAGAGTGTGCATCTACCGTTATTGAAGGCGATCCCTTCCGAAATATTATTTGAATTGATACCTGCTGATTACATCCATCATCAATGTCACCATCCTGCATTCCTTAGCGCCCTTAGTCTTCTAGTTTCGAAGGTTTGGCGCCACCCACCCTCTGGCTTTAGCGCATTCTACCCGCGATATAGCGGGGCATCCAGATTTTCTATCCTGTAAAATTTCCAACCATCACAAGCTCCAAACGCCAGCAGGTCAAATCGCAACGATGGGCAAGAAGGGCTTCAGAGTGAGTGTCGCCGAGGACCCAGCAGATCCAATTGACGGCAATTGCCAAGTACTGATTCTTTCTTCTCCATATTCAGGGAAAAGGACGTCGCGGAGGCGGTGGTGGACGCGGAGGAGGTGGTGAGCGCACCCAAAGCTGGAGGGACTACCCTGCTCTCAAGAAAGAGAACCAGAAGCTCCAGGAGTTTTACGACTCGCTGCTGCAGCTCCCCGAGGAGGAAAAGACACAGTTCTGGGACGCATTGAAGCGCGAGCTGCCCAACAGCTTCCGTTTCTGCGGCTCCAAGGGGTACGTTGTGTGCTTTGCGCATCCATGCTGTTTATCCCTTCCGTTGCCTTTCTTTGTCCGATTCCTTGCGCTCAACGCTAAACTTTGTCGCATAGCCATGCGCTCGCCGTCGAGAGGCTTCTGCGATCCCGATACATTCCCGAAATCGTCAAGATTGAACACCAGGATGGCCGCCCCGTCGATCCTCCCCAGCCAGTGTCCTGGTACCCCGACGAACTTGCTTGGTGGATGACCACGCCCAAGAACGTCGTTCGCAAGTTCCCGCCCTTTGCGGCTTTCCAAAAGTTCCTCGTGTCCGAAACCAGCGTCGGCAACATCAGCAGACAGGAAGTCGTCAGCATGATCCCTCCTCTTCTGATGGATCTCCGACCCGGCATGACTGTGCTGGACATGTGCGCCGCCCCGGGAAGCAAGTCTGCTCAGCTCCTGGAGATGCTCCACGTGGGTGAAGAGTCTCGTGTGAGGAAGGTCCTGCGAGAATTTGCAAAGGAGGATGGTCTGGACCTCGGTGACGAGACCAAGGACGAAGCCGAAGCCGATCTCGAGGCTGATCCCTCTGATGCCGGTCGTGCTACAGGCCTGCTGATCGCCAACGATGCCGATTACAAGCGTGGCCATCTTCTTGTTCATCAGCTTAAGAGACTGTCGTCGCCTAACCTCCTTGTGATGAATCACGATGCCACCCAGTTCCCCTCTATCAAGCTGCCCTCGACCGAACCGAACAAGCCTGCCTACCTCAAGTTCGACAGAATTCTGGCCGATGTTCCCTGCTCCGGAGACGGAACAGCACGAAAGAATGCAAACCTGTGGAAGGACTGGCAGCCAGGTAGTGCCTTGGGACTGCATGTCACCCAGATCCGTATCCTGGTCCGAGCCCTGCAGCTCCTCAAAGTTGGTGGCCGCGTTGTGTACTCCACATGCAGCATGAACCCAGTTGAGAATGAGTCCATCATTGCCGCTGCGATTGAGAGATGCGGTGGCCTTGACAATGTTGAGATTGTTGACTCTAGTGACCAGCTCCCTGGCCTCGTGCGACGACCTGGTCTGAAGGAGTGGAAGATCATGGACAAGGGCGGCAGAATTTGGAGCTCGTGGGAAGAGGTCGAGAAGTTCGCCAAGGAGAGCAACGAAGGTGTGACTCCTGGACGACTCCAACCATCCATGTTCCCCAACCCCGCGGGGACGAATCTGCCTCTGGAGCGCTGCATGAGGGTCTACCCTCACCTGCAGGACACCGGCGGCTTTTTCATCACCGTTTTGGAGAAGAAGTCCGAGTTCAAGGCGAAGCCTGAGAACGAGGCAAAGGAGACCAGCCAGCCCAACGAAGCCTCCGAGAACCTTGATACCCCTGCTGATGAGGCAAAGCCAGAGGAGTCTTCTGCAGTGGAAGAAAAGAAGGAGGATGAAACAATGGATGATGCCTCCCCAGCCGCTAGCAAGCGACCCCTGGAGACCGACGAGGGTACAGAGGTGCCAGCTAAGAAGGCCAAAACTGGAGAAGAAAGCTCAGCAACCGCCACTCCAGTCTCTGCCCCTACCACACAACGGGAGGACCGCCCAGGCAAGCCAAAGAGGAATGGACCGATTGAGGAGCCTTTCAAGTACCTCGACCCCGATCACCCGACCATCCAGAACATCAAGGAATTCTATGGACTGTCCAGCCGCTTCCCTACTAACCGATACATGGTGAGAAACGAGATGGGAGAGCCTGCCAAGGCCATCTACTACACCACCGCCCTGATGCGGGACATCCTCACGGAGAACGAGGGCCGAGGCCTGAAATTCATCCACGGCGGTGTCCGCATGTTCATGAAGCAGGACGCACCCTCGGCCGAGGTCTGCCGCTGGCGAATCCAGGCCGAAGGCATGCCCATCCTGCAGGGCTACGTCGGCGAGACTCGCATCGTTCGGCTGCGCAAGAAGGAGACTCTGCACAAGCTCCTGATTGAGATGTTCCCCAAGATTACTGACGGCGGGTGGGAGAACTTTGAGGAGATTGGCGAGCGGGTGCGCGACATCGGCATGGGATGCTGCGTGCTGAGAGTTGAGCCCGAGGGTGACGACCAGGAGTGGCAGGAGAGAATGGCGCTTCCCCTTTGGAAGAGCATTCATTCGCTGAACCTGATGTTGCCCAAGGAGGATCGGTCGGCGATGCTGTTGAGGGTATTTAACGATACTTCGCCCTTGATTAATATCAGTCTGCAGAGGAAGGAGAAGAAGGCAGCTGAGGAGCAGCCACAAGAGGAGGAGCAGCAGGAGATTGATCTGGAGGATATTCCCACCCCAGAAGGGTCTGACTAACTGTCATGAGACGGAATCGTGATAATAGCTACCTTGTATAACCCTGAGACAAGGATGGAAAATGTGCAATTGGGGCTTATCTGGAAGAAATTGGTAGAACTATCTATTTAGGTACTTATATCTGCATGTTTATTTTTCGATTTATTCATACACGGCTTTGGTCAGGGTGCTTCTACCGCGTCGTATCTACTCGTACAAGTGCCACCATCTCATAACTATCGTACAAAACTCCATTTAAACACTCTATTTAGTGTGATGCCTCTACTCGTCCAATAGCCCAACAGTCCAGTGAACAATTCGGTCAACCCCCTTGCCCTGAATCGCACTGACTGGAATAGCAGCGCAGCCCTTGGTCCACGCTCCCTCGACGCCACTCGGATGCGGCTCTCGTCCCTCCGTCACGCCATCCAGATACGTCTTGAGTTCCCGGAAATTGTCCTGCGTGTCCGGCAAATCGGCCTTGGTAGCGACGACAAACCAGGGCTTGCCCGCAATGTGCAGCGTCGGCGCCCTGGTCTGGGCTTCCTGCATGGGCAACGGAGTGCCGTATGAGGCGCCCATCAGGTTGACGGGCCCGCGCGTGGCCTGGGAGACGAGGTCCCAGTCGACACGGGCCTCGATTTCGCGGGAACGCTCTTCTTCCTGGCGCATCTCAGCGTAGAGGCTGACTTCGCGCCAGAGGGCCTGGAGGGCCTTGACGGCGTTGCCGGCGCTGAGATCGATGACAAAGGCGAGGACTCCAGCGCGCTCGACGTGGCGGAGGAACGCTATGCCGAGGCCGCGGTCGAGATGTGCCCCCTCAATGAGGCCGGGAATGTCCGCCACGCTGAAGCGTGTGCGCGGCTCTCCGAGGGCGGAATCGTCGGTGTCGGCTTCCTGAGATGAAGACGGGTAACGCTGGCGGCGCGGTTTGACGCTGGGGCGGCCAGAGTATCTGTCCAAAACGACGGTGCCGATGTTGGGCTGCAGAGTTGTAAAGGCCCAATTGCCGACCCGCGTGCGGCTATTGGTGAGAGCTCGCAAGAGAGTGCTTTTGCCGGCATTGGGCAAGCCTACCAGACCTACATCGGCCAGGAGCTTGAGCTCGAGAGAGATCTTCATGGTCACGGCCTCGTCACCCTTGGTGGCGAAGACTGGTCGAGGGTGGTTTCTTGAGGTAAAGTGAGGGTTTCCGAGACCATTGATGCCGCCTGCGGCCAGCAGGATGGGCGTGGGCGTCGGTCTAGAAAGGTCAAGGTAGATTGGTGCAGCAGGCTGCTGGAAGAAGCGAGTTCGCTTGGGCAGCTTGGGAAACTCTGCAGACTTCATGTCGTTTTTGGACATGCCGGGATATAGAAGCCATTTCTCCCGCTCCGGATCATCGGCATCTGGATCATAATCGTCCTCGGGAGAATACTTCTTTGGGCGTCGCTCATCCACGGCATCTTCTTCTGCCTCTTCTTCCACTTCTGTCTCCAATTCCAATTGCTGCTGGGCCAAAAGCTCGCGACGCCTCTGTTTCTTCACCGCCTGGTACGCTCTCATAGCCATATCCTCCTCGGCAGCTGGGTCATAGCGCTCAATCTCCTGGACGATTGTGCCCACGGGAACGGTGATGACAACGTCTTCTCCTCGCATGCCGCCTTTTCCGCTTCCCTGCCCGTGCCTTCCGCGCCCGGCACGGATGAAACGCCTACGTGCAAGTTTGTGCAATGAGGTTTCACCGTGGGCTGCCTGGATATAGATGTTGCCCCCGATGCCGCCATCGCCACCATTGGGAGGGCCATCTGGGAGAAACGCCTCTCGCTGAAAGGAGACGCAGCCGTTGCCGCCGCGGCCAGCATATAGCGTCAATTCGGCTTTATCGGCAAAGCTCGGTGCCGCATAGTCGTCTGGTGCGGGATTCAGTCGTGACTCGGGGAGGCTGTTCAAGGGAGATGAAGAGGACGATGAGGATGAAGAGTGACGGGTGAGAACCGTTCGGAGCAGGGCAGAGTGGGCGGGCCGAGGGCGAAAGAGAGCCGGATACAGGAACGGCGCCAAAGGCAGCTGAGACGGGCCGGGACACCGAGGCGGCATGTTGAGATGAATTTGTGTCGCTATACTTGCTTGTCCATGTTTATATGCGGATATGTCTATAGATGCGACTTTGAGGCACCAGAAATTTTGACGATGTTGCGTCGCCGATAAGATAAGAAAGTGCTCAGCTTAATTAGCATGGAGGGGTTCTAATAGGCCTGTAGCAATAGCGGAAGATAGCCGGGGCCTGACCCCACCAGCGCCGAAAGAATAGCGGGCATGGCGGGGTTTCGAGGCCGATCAGAGGCTTGAATCATGGCAGAGCATCAGCCCAGCCTACTAATTGAAGCTTGATCAGCACCTACAGGTACTAAGAGAAGAAGCTGGAGTTGCTGCTACCGGCTGTGGCAGTTGTGTGTACTAATGCACCAGATGCATAACGACGTGTCTCTGTATGCTGGAGTTGTGCAACTGGAGGTACCCTGTACATGCACTGCAGGTGGTGATTACTCGTACTCGTACAGCGCAGTTGAGTGCATAACGGGAAGCTGCTGCCAGCTGGACTCGCTGAGCTGGCAACACTCAACTTTTTCAAGCTTGATTCCATTCGTCTCTCGCCCCCGCTTCGAGGCCAAACGCTGGACCCTGGCTATTCCTGTCTGTCCCCTGTCAAGTCTGTGACAGCGAAGAGAAGAGGAGAAGAGGAGAAGAGGAAAAGCACGCATGAGGTCGACAGCTTTGTGATTTGATTTGCTGCGGCTGCCAGATCGTCGGTGCCATGCCCGAGTCCAGCACAGCCAACAGCAGCCTTTGCTGTGGAGAGACAGGTCAACTATCATATCACAATGATCACAATGCAGCAAAGCAGATCTCTCTGCCAGCAAGCTTTCGCATCGCATCGCATCACCAGTTTGCCAGCATCGTCAGCGGCATCGTGACCTCTGCTAGGGTTCCTCTAGCTCCTCGCAGCCTTGTCCACAGGGTGCAAGCCGGCCAACGGCGGGCCTCGTCCATGCATGTCCCGCCCCTCGTGATTCGACAGTGCATGCTCGAGCCCGCTTCCTAACGTTGCAAAGTGCGGTGAAATTGCTCGGGCTGCTGGCTAGATGCCGCTGGTCGGTCTGGCTGTGTCTTGTTACTCGCAGGTTTGCGGCTTCGACGTCTCCATCCGCAGGTGACTTTCCCACCTGTTTGCCCGCATTCCCGCAGCAAGCACGCACATAATACATACAGTCTACGGCACAGCACGCCCGCAGGCAACACAAAGGCAGAAGCAAAGAAAAGGCACCCGGCACGGAGACGACGGGGCCGCTGCAGGCAGGATATCAGTGCCAGCCCAAGCATCGTCTCGCTAGGCCAGACCCGATTGGTGAGACGGCCGTCAATCGGTTTGGCCCTCTGCCGGCCCCATCCGCCTGCTGAGTTTTCGCTGCATGAGACCAGCCCATCTCTCTCCTCACCACGGTCAACAAGTCAGCGGTCGGTCCACCAGCCTCCCTTGTGTGTGTGTGTGTGTGTCGTGTCGTGTCTTGCTTGTGTGACACCAGCGGCTCCATTGCTGCACGGACAACGAGACGCCAGCGGCCACATATCCAGACACCTTTTAGATTACAAGTACGAAGCCAAGGGCTGTTGCTACCGGTAGACGAGCTGCGACTCTCGGTCTCGGCTACGACAGACACGGCGTAGGGATACTACATGTACGTACAAATCCAGCTGGCATTGTTCTGTGTCTGTGGTTTTTGCAGCCAGCGGAATTAATTACTCAGCCCTCTCTGCGTCTCGAATTTTCTTCTCCTCTTCTCCCGTCCTAAGCCCTCTTGCCACACAAAAGACGTCGCCTGCTCGACAGCTCTTCTCTCCTCTTTGGGCACCTTCGTCTTCGTTGGGCCAGTTCGCTGCTCGTTAGGCTAGCCTGCATAGGCTCCTCGATCCCGCATTCGAGCCACGACAGCTGGTCACCCACCTGCCGTCTCCTCATTCGACCCCCAGGACACGCTCGTCGTGCTGCAGCTGCCCTTTGGCTTTCCCCACGCTTCGGTCCCGGACCTTGAGATCTTGTCCCTCCCAAAGGCCCTCTTCTGGTCCCCTCCGGAAAGCTTCATCCTGGGCCTGACGCCGCCAGAGCTGCTTCGTGCTTGTGCTGTGCTTGTGCTTGTGCTTGCAGGATACATCCCAACTCACCGGCGAGACAGCGTCAGCCTTCTGATCTAGCACAGCCGCTGCTTCTGCTGGCATTTCCTCTATTCCCTTTACCGCTTGGCGTGAGTCTATCGTTGCTTCTGCTTGTCTTATCCTTTCCTCAACCAGGTCAGTCTCTCTCTCTCTCCCTCTCTCGTTCTCTTGCTCTCTCGCTCTTCCATTCTCCTTCTCTTTCCCTCTCCTCCCTTCCCCCCCTCTCCCCTTTCGCTCCTCTTCTCTGCCCATATACCCAATCTTCCATCCGATATCTGCCACAATCTCCCGACTTTCCCACTTGCATCCCCCATGAGGCCCGTCTCTGGGCATGCCAAGGGGGGAGTGAGGCCTTGCTACTGCGGTTGACTGCCTGCCAACCAGCCCATTGTGCCCTTCCTCTCGCGTGCCTGAATGCCTTTTGCCTTGTGTAATACTAGCCCGTACTCTGTTTCCTATCCGTCTCTCCCTGGATATTCTCTCAATTACACTTTCAACCTAAACAGCGCCTCGCCGCCTTACCCAAAGATACCCCATTGCTAAGATGCATACCAGAGATACCAAGGTGCGCAAGTCCTTCATCAGGATGGATCCGGACTGCGCCATATGCCATGCTCCGGCCTCGATGGCCTGTGACTGCGAGGCAAAGGGCCTCGAAGTGGCCGTTAAGCAGGCCGAGGAACGCATGATGCGATCCATATATAGCGACATACGGTTGGTCTTGCTTTCTAACCTTGTTTTATACTGTCCTCCCTTGACCGCCCTTGATGCCGTGGCCTAGCGTCAACTAATTCGTCGACATGATAGTTCGTGGGTAAGGGGCCATGCTCAGGATTATATTCTTGAGTATTTCCGTCAACTTGCCGAGCGACGAAAGACGGCCCACTCGGCTCATCTCGACCACATCACCGCCCACGCATTCTACCATTACAATGCGCCGCCACATCCAAACCAGATTGCTGAGGCTCAGGCCACTCTGAAGCGAGGCATCGATGAGGATTGGCAGGCCAGCGTACAACGTTATCCCGAGGTCCTCGAATACTTCTACAGCCTCATCGAACTTACCCTTCCCGCCGACGACGAGGCTGCCGTAAAGAACCCTCCCTTGACTGCTCCTCCTCCTCGAAAGCCGAGCCGTCGAGCCGGCTCAATCAGCGCCAGCGCTGGTTCCGCTCCTCCTCCAGCCATTGCTCCTCCATCATCTTTCCATGATCGTGATGCCCTCATGGAGCGTCGTACCCCTGCGCCGCCTGCGACGCCACGAGACCGAAGGACATTCAGGCCACCACCTCCCCAGCACCACCCATCTTCATCATATTACGCACCATTTGGATAAGCCAAATACAAAGATACCAAAACAAATAAGCAACAAAAAATATGATTGAACTTTTTTTTATAATCATGACATGAGCGCCAGAGGCACCAACAGTCAAGATATCAAATATTTTTCTCCTTTACCCTTTCTGCGACAAAAGCATTACGACATGTACGATCACCATTAGGTTTCATTTGTCTGGAATGGGAATGGCATGATTGCATGGTAGTTGGAGTAGCCTTGCTTTGGAAAGCACGGATGTTGGAGCTTTTTTGTTTTCTCTCTTCTTTTTGGCTACATTTACAAGATTTTGGATCCTTGTGTTTAGACGAGTTTGGAAACACGCACACATACATACCATTCAGCCTGGCGTATAAAGTATGCATCAAAAGAAGCGAATGATTTTGTCTGGAGCACAGCATGATGACGGTCAAGGAGTGAGTGGCTGAGCGATGAGGGGAGCATACACTGGATTCTTTGTGTCTCACGATGAAACCATCCGTAGTGAAGGGCAAAGCGGTTCGTATGTGTCAATATGCGCACCGCCTTTCAAGGTGGATCTTTGCGAGTTGAGATACTCGAGATAGTTGAAAATTAGTTGAGCAAGGTTAAAAATGCCATCTGAACATCCAACACCTCAAGTTTCCCCCTATAAGAAGCACCAATCTCACTCCGACTAGAGTGTGCCCAACGCGGTGAAGAATGCTCCATACCTCCATTCATGCGTCGAATAGTTGTGGCGGCGCCTAGTTTAGCTTCAATTGGTGCCAATTCACATGTGATGAGTTTTGTGTTTCCCTAGACGCACACACATGCAGCCCCTTTTGATGCCTCGTATGCAGGCCGCTGAGAGGCAGCCACTCAACGCCGTCACATACACCGAGAATTGAGCAAGAATTCGGTATGTGCAAAGGTTGCCTACAGTCATCTGTGATATGCAGGGAGGCCATGTGTTTTCTGTTCAAGTATCTTTTGTTTTGTTACATCAAATCATGAGGTGTATATTTCGTGCTTGGGCCTAAACTCCTTTTCCCATGAGAGGAATAAAGATAGATATACCTAGGTACAAAATAATGCGATGACAAAAAAAGCTAAAAGACTAGATATAAAAAAAGAAAAACACTTTGGAAAAAAAAAAAATAAACAACCCAATACACGGGGCAGACACTTTGTAAAGATATAGGGGCGTGGGGAGATGAAGAAAGGGCGTTTTCGACATGACTCCTGCTCCCCTTCTCTTTTTTTTTTCGTTCTTCTCTTCTTTTCCCTTGCATAGACATATTTTAAAAAACAGAATCCTTCTTTTTTTGATTCCCGAGGAAAAAAACTCCAGGGATTCTACATTCTTGGAGCTGACGTTGTATGAGGCGTATAATAATAATGCGATGTGAGAAGAGGCGAGAGCAGAGCTGGGAACGAGAGATGAGGCGCGTCAGCTTGGTAAGATGAATGTAACTTTTGAAAAGTTAAGGAAAAAAAAAGGATGCCATCGGCTGTCGATTGTTGTCGATGGCTGTTTTAGCCTGCAAGGGGGGACGAGAGACTCGGAAGCCATTTATGACTCCTCCTGCTTCTCCTTGTCCTCCAGGGAGGCGTCCTTGAGGTCGGCGGCTACCTCCTCGACCTTGTCGCCGTTGGCCTCGGCCTTCTCGAGCTCCTCGAGCTTCTTCTTGGCCTTCTCGATGTTCTGTTAAAGGGAGTTAGTCAATGTTTTTCCAAATGTTACTCTTTTAAAGGCACTTACACGCTGGGTCTGGGCAGCCTGGTCCTCCTTCCAGTGCTCAAGCTTAGCCTTGACCTTCTCAATCAACTCAGGCACGTCCTCCTTGCGCATAGGGGGGTCAAGGGAGAGGAAAGTGCAGTCCTCGACAACTGAGGGGGGGCAGTTGAAGCCCTTCTGGGCGGCACCAGCGTTGTTGCCCTTCTTGCCCTTCTTGCCCTTGGACTGGGCGGGGAGGTACTCGTCGTCGCGGTCCTCCTTGCGGACGAGCTTGGTACCCTTAAGACCAGCCTCGTCAACAGTGCGCTGAGCCTGAGCAGTCAGGCCAGAGTTGGCCAGCAGGGGGGTCTTCTCGGCCTTGAAAGTAGGGTCAAGGAAGACCAGCAGGCTGTTGGCACGGCGGATCTCGTCGAGGTAGGCGGGCTCGCTGGCCTCGGCAAGGACACGCTCGGCGTCGGCCTTCTTGCGCTCCTGGACGTAGCGCTCGCGCTCCAGGCGCTGACGCTCGCGGATCTTCTCGCGGGCCTCGCGCTCGTAAGCCTGGAAGGCCTTCTTGGCACCGTAGTAATCATCCTTGAGCTTGCGGATGGCGGTGAACTTCTCCTGCTGCTCGGCCTGCAGCTTGGTGCGCTCGTCGCGGAGGCTGGACAGGCTCTTGTAGGCCTCATCCTGCTCGGCCTTGATGGCGTCGAGCTCAGCCTGGATCGTGTTGTACTGCTCGGACAGGGCCTTTTGCTCAGGGTCCTCCATGGAGTCCTTGATCTCCTTGATCTTGGCGCGGAGGTCGTCAATCTGCTTCTGGGACTCGTCAAACTGGCCAAAGTTCTTGCGGAGCTTGCGCAGGTTGGAGATGTCAGTCAGGGCCTTCTTCTCGTCGACGAGCTTCATGGTTCCCGAGTTGACCTGCTTGTCGAGGGACTCAATCTGGCGGTCGACATCCTCGACGCTCTTGAAGGGGACCTTGGCCTTGGCAGTCTTCTGCTCGTTGATGCGGCTGCGGAGCTGCTCGTCAAGGCGCTTGATCTGGTCGAGCTTGGAGGTACGGGCATTCTTGCCGCCGGCCTGCTTCTGGCGGATCTCGTTGGCCTGAGCAATGAGCTCCTGGCGGCGCTTCTGGGTAGGGCTGGGCTGGTCCTTGTTCTTGTTGGGCAGAGCAACATCAATCTTGGCCTTGATGGCGTTCTAATGATGGATGGTAAATTAGCAAAAGTCCGGCATCAATCGACAGTCTGACTGTTATCATCTTCCTCTTCCTCTTCTCATCTCTTCTTTCATCCTTATCCCCCTTTTCCTTCTTCTTTGTGCGGGTTGCCAGCCATTGCTGTTGTTGGGGAGAGCATGTTGAGATGGTGTCACTGCAGAATCGGACAAAGTCTCTTATACATCGAAGCATGGAAGCATGAAAAACACGGAGAAAAGAAAAAACAGCCACGCCATGTCAGAACATACAAACTTATCCATGGAAGCCTTATGCTCCTTCTCGGCCTTGGCGAGCTCCTGCTTAAAGACATTCTCGTCGGGTCGGGTCGGGCGAGTGGTGGGCGCAGCATCGGCCGCGGGGGCGGGAGCAGCAGCGGGAGCGGCCATTGTGCTAATCAGAGCAGATGGACGGAGTAGATTCTCTGAAAAGAAACGAAGGCGTTCACGAACTCCCTGCGGAGAATGGGATGGGAACCGGGGGGAAGGGCGGGAAAAAGCGAGAAGCTGACGATGGTTGGTGCGACGTAGCAAGAGGAGGAAAAAAAAGCCGAAGTCGACACACTACAATAATTTGGTGGTGAAAAAAAATTACCCTGGACGCACCACGTTTTTATACAATGGTCTGGGGGCCCACACCCAAGGCGCAAAAAAAAAAAAAAAAAAAAAAAAAGGCAATATAAGTTTGGCTTTGATATCCAACAGACCCTTTAAGCCACGCAGCAACGCAATTGGGATTTTTACAGGTATATTTCTAGCGATTGAGATGTTACAGCGTCCACTGAGGACCAGTGCTGTAGAGGACACTGTGGTGCCAAGTCACGGCGAGTTTTAGTGAGAAACTTTAAGTGCGGGAGTTGGAGCTGTTTAGAGCAGAGCACCCAGCAATATATTCGTTTTGTGTTGTGCTAAAGGACTTTTGGGCTGCGGAGGTTTCCGAAGTGGGATTGGGTGGGGAGGGAGATGCGGGCCAATGAGAACCTTGGAACCTTGGAGACGCCGCAACAGCCAGCCGTTTTCTTTGTTGTCTTGAATACGAGGAGGTTCAGAATTGCAATTGTTGTGTTGAATCGGTTCGGAATATTCAAATTACCAAACCAACTAAACTATCCACGGGGAAGCTTCAATTCGGCCCGAAACCCGCTTCTCATCTGATCACAACCTAGGTAGGTATCTACATCTTTCTTTTGCAAGTACTGGGGTTGCCACGTTATCGCTTACTAACTTATCAGCCGAGTCACATGACATTTTCTTATCAGCTCCAAGCCGCAGCAAATCGCCCAGCAAAGCCCAGCCAATGCAAGGCTGCGCAAACAATTTTTGAACGACCGCCCATCTCCCCTGCGCAGCGGAACTTGGAAGCAGAAAAAAAAACCAAACCATCGCGACAACGCGCAGCCGCCCCTTTCCTCCGACCTCTGGCCTTTCTCGATCTCTCCTCGAGTCCCTCTTCCGAAAAGCGATACATCAAGCCCTGCCAAGATGATTGACGATTTGCCCAACGATGCCAAGTCCAAGGAGGTGGTGAGACTCTGGCGCGCGTGGAGGACTGTTCACGAGATGGTGGCAGACCGAGTATGCTCTCTCTCTCTCATATTTACTGCCTCTTTTTATTTGGGCGTATCCTCGAAATTGCTTGACTGACCGCGTTGCCTCGATCTAGGAGTACGAGCTCGCCGAAGACGAAGTCACCATCTCTCTCGACCGGTTCCGCGACGAATACTGCCATCCCGACGGCACCGTAAAGTACGACGCCCTTTCCGTCTCCCCCCTCAATCTATAAATATCATTTTTTTTTCTACGTAACCCAATCACCAAAAAAATACTAACAAATGCAACCACAGCCGCGCCAAACTCCAATTCTCCGCCCGTCCCAGCGACTCCATGCTCCGCAAAAACACCCCTCCCGCCACAGCCTCCAACCCGGACCCCGTGCCCGACTGCGGCCCCATCTGGGTCGAGTTCCTGACGGACAAGCAGTTCGGCGTCGGCCAGATCCGCCAGTTTGCAAAGTACACAATCTCCAACAACTACAAGACGGGCATCATGGTCACCCACGTGCCGCTGTCCCCCGCCGCCCGCAAGTCGCTCGCCAGCGTCGAGAACCTCGCCAAGATTGAGTGCTTCCTCGAGGACGACCTGCTCGTCAACATCACCCACCACGAGCTCGTGCCCCGCCACGTGCTGCTCTCTCGCGAGGAGAAGATTGCGTTGCTTAAGCGGTACCGCCTCAAGGAGACGCAGCTGCCGCGTATTCTGCAAAAGGACCCCGTGGCGCGGTATCTGGGGCTCAAGAGAGGGCAGGTTGTCAAGATTATCCGAGTCAGCGAGACGGCGGGTCGATATGCCAGTTACCGACTGTGCGTTTAATGGAATGTTGTTCAGCCCGAATCTTCCAATTTTTTGAGTAGGGAGACGTCGGGGATGGGGATTGAAGAGGACGACGACATGGGGAAGGGGGCATGTGCTCGCGAAGAAGTAACCAAAAAAACGAAAAACTTCAAGTTGGATTATCTCAGCTGGAGGGGGTGCAGCGACAACGCTGTTCGATATATTATTTTGCATTTGCAGTGTCAAAGCTGGCGTTTTGGGGGGGGGTTTATTACTAGAATTACGAAAGAAACCAATTCAATAAATTACCAAGCATTTTCAAATCTTCAAAAGCCACACGAATACCATGTATCATTCACCGATAGGTTTGCATACCAAGGTATTTGAATACACATGACTAGCACATCAAGATTCTTCGGAATGTACGTTTAATTCGTGTCAATTCTCAACTCATCTATCGACCACGTCTTCTTCATCCCATCATCAACCGTGCCTTAGACATACAGGGCACTTCTCTTCAAAAACGGTGGCATCCACCGGGGTATATGCTAGCCAGAGTATCAGGCCAATAAAACAAAACACAGTCACCTCCCGCTCCGTTCATTCTTCTCATCGCTTGCGACCCCTCTCCATCCTCCGCCAAAAAAAAAAAAACCTGGATATGCTAAAGCCATCAAAACACCATCATATCCGCCTAGGTATTCTTCTTGATGCCAGGAAAAGAGAAAAAAAAGAAAGAAAAAAAAAGAAAAGAAGTGTACCATATGTATATATGTGTATATATGTATACAGGGAAAAGTACTTTCGTGAACGCCATGCCTGACGGGCCATATCTAAAGATATAAGTGTGAAGATGGATAAAAAAAAAGTTCAAAAAGGGGTATTTCCCAAAAAGGAGTTAAAAGATTCGTGATATCAAGTCGTAGATTAGTTCGTTATTTTTCAATTAGGTAAACGGCAGGTGGGTGCGGCTGCCGTGGAGTGCGTCTCGGGTTCATGATCGTAACAGGCCACCAGGGTCCATGAGTACGAGATCTGACGCTTCGCTTCGGGATGCATGATGCTCCTGATGAGACTGCGGGATGGGTTGCAGTTCGGTGCCAGTTCTGTGTTTGGAACGCACCGACGACTTTGAGTTCAAGGGGCCTAGAAGACCGCCCAGATCCTGCAACAGAGCTGTTGAGCCACGGCGAACGCCGTTCGTGCTAGCTTTTCGGGATGCTGGAGGGGCTTGAGAGGAGCTTGCTTCTTGGGAGGACGAGGTAAAGCTGCTCCCTCTTCGGAAACTCCCGCTGCTTGTGCCGGCTCCGTCTTCGAGAAGACCGCCGACATCAAACAGTGACATTTTTCTGGACTCGTGCTGAGATTCAGTCTTGTAGATTAACAAGTCCTGGCTCGCCTGTGCACTCTCCTGGGCGCTATCTTGAGCACCCTCTTCTCGTTGCTGCTGCTCCCACTGCCGTTGGGGGTCACGGCCGATAGAACTCATCGGCTGGATAGGCGCGTAAAGATCGGACGACGGGCTGTCTGGTTGCTCTCGGAGCTCAGGCTCAACGGCCAGGCCAACATCCCTTACCAAGTCTTCATCGCTACCCCACTGCCTGTGCATGGTTGGCCGTCGGATGGTGTTGGAGCGTTCGAATGACTCGGCAGCGGTTGACGATCGCCTGGGCTTCTGCTTCTTGACACCTCTGTCTCGGACGAATGAGCCCAGAACAAGCGCATTTGCCGACGCCGTGGCAAAAATCAACTCGACTGACGCCAAGAGCGATCGGTACTGCTGTCGGCCGTTGACATCGATGATACGGGGAACCCTGTAGAGGGTTACCGCCACGACAGACAAGTTGAGGGAGAAGAGAATGAGGAGCTGGATCTTTCTGCGAAGCGGCATGTGGCTCTGGACGATGATGGGAATGGGGAAGATGACGAGCATCAGGTCGGTTAGGATATTGCAGGTGGCCATGGTGATAAGCTGGACATAGCCCTGGCGACACTGACCGCCGGGGTCGGGCAAGACTTGCCAGTAATGCCTGAAGGGATTGCACTCGACGAGATCGCTAATGACAACGGCAATGAAGGTGAGGCCCAGGGCCCATCGAATGGCGATTAGCGTGTACTTTTGTGATTGTTGCCATGACAGGTCGGTGATTCGCCTGAGAAACTCGAGAACAGTGCCCTTGAGGATCCATAGTCTGTAGTCCAAAGATCAGTCAGTCAATATGCCCTTTTTTTCTTTTCTTTTCTTTTTTTCTTTCCAAATTATACGGTCCCATCGTTAGATCCATCCATCCCATTCCAGTCCACCACAAAACAGCAAGTACTATCGTAAGCATGCGAATTACTTACGTTGCGGCATAGAGTATGCGGCTGAGGAGAACGAGGCCGCTAGCTACGGATTTTTTGTGCAGCTCTTCGGGGGTAAGAGTGACTCCGGTGAAGTCGGCGTTGTTAGTGCCGTTGACGAGGATAAAGTGGATGCATCCCATACGCAGAAACAAGGGAATGAGGGCGACGGCGGCGAACTTGTCTTCGGCGAAGAGCCTTTCGGTTCGGATAAAACGGCCGGCGATGCGAAACAGGATCATAATGGCGCAGAAGATTGTGGCCCACCAGCAGACAAGCAGCGTGGGCTTGTCCTCGGAAAAGTCTCGCAGCGCCGGGGGCTCAGAGTAGATGGACATGGCGGGCTTTGCTGCTCTGGCCCGCGCCCGTCGACCTCCGCAGAGGGCTCGACGAGCGAGGAGGGGCGGGTTTCGGGGCTGGTGTTAGGAGAGTCGTGATGGTATTGATCTTGGTGTTGATGCCGGGTCGCTGGCAATGTCCCGCTGGAGAAACGCGCGCGCTAGGGACCTGGAGTCTCTGTCCAGCAAGGCTTCCAGGGCATTCGGCCGCTGGTGCTGGTGCTGGCGGGTGCGCTGCGCTGGCGGGAGCGTCGAGTCGGATAGCGGGATTCGGAGGGGTTGCTGCATGAACGCTGCAAGTATAGTGGCCGCAGCAGGCGGTTACATCGGGGGGTGGATGATCAGGTCGGGGGCAGCAGCAGGAAAATATAGAGGAGCAGAAGAAGGAGAAGAATAAGAATAAGAAAAGAAAGTGAGGGAATGGCAAGGGGGATGAAATTGTCCCTGTCTAGGTGTATGTAAGGTGTATGTAATGTAAGGCAAGTGAGTGGTTGTGGAAAGTAGTAGATATGGATGGATGGACGGCCGAGAGAAGAGACGGAGTGCGTGCAGGTGCAGGTACATGTAAACCTGTACAAGTATGCACAAAAGCGAGGAGTCAGAAGGCAACGCCAAGACACAGCGAGGGCAAGGATTTCCGTCGTTGATAAGACTGGAGCAGCGGGAGATGGGACCTGAGAGGCAGCGCAGCCCCGGATGCGGTGGCGTGCGAGGCAATCCCTAGCACCGGCTAGTGAGTTAATTTAGCAGCAAAGTACCTGGCGATACATTCCTGGCCGTAGGCGATGGAGGGCTGCACACGAGCACAGGTGCTAACCACTTGCAGTCGCACCAGTTCTGTGGCTGGGCTGGGCCATGCTGGGCTTTGCTGGGCCTTGCTGGGCGAGGTTTTTGCTGCCGCGCATCAGAGTCGACTTCGCCAATTAGCCGCGACTGGCCATTCAGCACTACTGTCGGTCGAGCCCTGCAGGTTCCATGCAAGTACAGTGCAGCGCCGTATCTCTCGCCCAGGTCGGGGCTAGAACTCTTAGGGCCGGGCTGTCGATTGAGGGATTGATTTCACCACTACCTGCTGTACGCGTGATAGGTTACAGAGGCAATAGTAGCGGTGTCTGTCTGTCCTCCTGGCTGGCTGGCTGTCCTTTGAGCTGTCTTACGAGAGACCGGCGTGCCGTGCTAGAGGCCCAGGCCAGTCGGCGATATTGATGAAATTATCCCACATACGCTGACAAAGCTGCCAAGCTTTTGTACACGGGCTCGTAAAAACCAACCAGGCGGTATCTTCCGTACAACATCCAAAAGGTACTTCACAAGTAGAGCAGTATCTGCTCGTACAGCACAGTACAGCATCTGTTAGCGCAGTAGCACACAAAGTCTCCTGGGCTGGCCCCATAACACGGACCCGAGTCCTCGTTCCCTGGTGCTATTCAGGGTGCCCGTCAACCCCGTCTCTTTTTCTGGGCTTGTCGCTAGCAGTGCCATTAGCTTGTGCCTCAGTAGAATTACTCGATTCAGTAAACTGGGCAGGGGTTGTGGAGTGCAGTGGCGCAGCGCCATTGGTGCGCGACACGATGCACGATTTGCAGCCCCGTCCAATCCAGCCCTCCTGATCCCAAATGCTGCAAGCCTTCGGGCCCAGACGCCAGACAAGAGAGGGGGGGCCTTGTGTCACTACGAGTGCAGGTGGTTATCTATTGACTGCCCGTCGATGATCTGATATGGATTGGCCACCGCCTCTGCCCAATGCGATGCTCGTCTCGTCAGCCACCGGCAATCTTCATTGGAGCCTTTGGAGCCTTTGCACCAAGCAGGTAAGCCAGGCAGACTAACCGACTGACTAACTCACCAGCAGCTTACTTTTGCCCCGTGCTGAAGACGAGGCTCAGTAGTCCAGCTCCCAGAGAGTGCCTCGCAGCAGAAGGAAGAGGCCGCATGCCAGCGCCAGGGCTGCAATGGAACAGCCCGGCACCAGATGGAACACGGTCGGAGCTCGGTAAAGCAAAAGGCAAAATTTTCCTTTCAAGGGGGGGGAGGGGGGGGAGAAGACGTTTATTGTGGGAGACAGCCACGAAGCCACAGCGCAGCCAAGGACGGCGACCACCCGAAAAAAAAAAATGGAGGCTATCAAGCATGTACTTTGTACAGTACAGTATGATGGCCCCACGAAGAAGAGACGGGAGTGAGCGCGAAAGGGCGAGACACGATGGGGCTGCTAAATTGCGTGTCGCTGCTGCGTTGATGTTGCAAGGAGCTAGGCGCATGGCTCCGCCGATATCCAAATTAACCTTCTGATGCCTGTCTGAAGGATGCGATACCGTCTGTCGTCTCATCTCTCTGCCTGCCTGTGTACAAGTGCGGTAAGATATCTGTCTCGCGTCGTTATCTCAGCCCGCCACTCGTCATAACAGGTAGGTACCGCATAAGGTACTTTTGCTTGATTCCGGCAGTAATAAGGAGGGATTGCTCTTGGATGCTCTTGGATGCTCTCAGATGCTGCATCCAACTGCAGCCTGGCTCTCCATCCTTTTCAGCAGGTCGCTGTTCATCTTACGTGAAAGGTGGTTCAGCAGGCGATCGGTATGATGTGGTGGCTTTTGGCCGGTGCCATGAGAGCCTCACGTGTGTCTCTCTGGCTCCGCATGCCCTCTGAGACATTGATCTAAAGCTAGCAACGCTCACAAAGTATGGAGTACGAAGATCCTGTCCTGCAGGAACCTAGCGCGCTAGGTGCAGCCCGCGGGTCTGACAAGTACCTGCGTCGGTCGGCCAAAGTTGCAGTACATGGCCCCCGGCCTCTGAGAGTTCAAGCGGCGGCGGGTGGCCACGAGGCGAGCGTTGGGAGGGTGGCCTGAGCGGTGCATTTTCTTGTTCAAGCCAGTTTCTGGCTCCTACATACTCCGTATACATCAATAGTATGACAGCCTGGCGCGCCGCCCAAACGCCCCAACAGGTGATTTTTGCCCTGGACAGCAAAAGCGCGGTGCCTCGGCCCGGCGGTTGTCCAGGCGCAGTCCAAGTACGTGTAAGAGGGGGATACACGTACTGTACTATGTATCTCCAAGCACCGCCTAACTGGAGTGGCACAGCGCATCACATGTGTGGCAGTTGCATTCCCAATGGCGATGTGCCCAGATGGTCCTCTCGGCGATACTACTCCATCCTCAGGGCAAAGGCATGCAACTTCGCAGGGCACAACGCATCCGGAGCACATGTGTGCGTGCCTGTGCATGCAAACACTCAGCTCAAACGAGCACTCGTACCCATTCGTACCTACAAGGAGAGAGGCATGATACAACCCACCCACCAGAGTCATCTCGACCGCTGAGGATTGGCTGCTGGCAAGGCGACCCAGCACGCCTTCTGGGGCTGAAGACCCAGTCCATCCATTGGCAACCAAGCAAAAACTTGCGACGCATCCAAGCATCCAAGGCCGTTCCGCAACGCTGGGAGCAGCCGAGGCCATGGAGCCCCTCTTCTCGCAGCGCGCACGGAGCAGTATGAGGCGTTGGCCACTAGGTGGGCTCCTGAAGCTCTCCCCGCTGGCCCATCAACGAGCCCAAGAGCCGGTGCTGGGAGGGACAAAGCAAAAGCTTTACGTGCGATGCGATGCGATGCGATGCGATGAGATCGCGATATTGACTCCCGCGCGGGCCCCTCAGTGGTTTCTACGCATATGCAACCAAAAGGTCGACTGAAACAGGCAGCCCTAAAGAGAAGCAAATTGCATTAGTGCCAGTGAGCAAAGAACGAGCCAACTTCCATATCGGATATTTTTTGGGGGGGGACCACACCTCTTTCGAGCCTTGCAGGCGCTGCACTTGATACCATCCCCTTGTCCCTTTTTCTCGCGCTTTGCTCTATAGCACGACGGAAAATTGAGTCTTGACTGGAGGGGAATGGAATGCGGTGAGCGCAAAAGCTAGCCGGCTCGATGCATGCGGGCGCCGGGTAGCTAGTGGTATACCCTAATTGCCCACGAACTAGAGATCCGTGCTGGGAGTTGAAATCAGCCAGAGCCCCTGATTGGCGTTTTCTACGAGGTACGAGTACGCGTGTCTGCATTGTCGTTACTGTATTGTCGGCGTTGTATGTGCTTAGGGTTATTGTTATCTTGCAATCTCACAATACCTTGCTGACCATCAAGCAGCTCCTTTGGCAGTGGAGGCGCTGAAAAAAAAGACAATGCGTCTTGACTAAGCCACCTACGGAGTAAGGGTTCCAAGTACGTCATGACTTTGATTGAAATTCAATTGATGGGCGGGGTCCCTGTCACTGTGCCAAAATGCTTGGCCAGCATCACCAAATTCCTCCAAGGCATTGATATGCACAGTCAACAGCCATATCACAATCCAATGCCTAGGCACCAGTATTCTCTGCCTGCATATTTGCTCTTGGCAATCTCCATAAAGGTGGAATCCGATCAGGTTGGGGGCGGTAGTAGATGTCACTAGGCCATCGGTACTTGCTGCTTGTACTTCCAAGTTCGTATACGAGGGTACCGTTCCGCACGAGTACACCTGTCAGTCCCATCTGGGTACATTGCGCTCCCGCTGTCTCCCACGCGGAAATGTTAGCGCCTCCCGCGCTGTGACAGCACAGTCTCTATCCCATCACGTGGTCGTGGCTTGTCACCCGGCGCCTGTCCGACGGCGTTGCACAGGTACCTCTCCGGACTTGTGCGAGGTTGTCTCTTCTCGCTCGTCTCTCCCTTGTGCGCCATCCGCCACAGCGGCGCAGGGAAAAGAAGAAAAAAGTGTAAAATCACGCCATCTCTTGTAAATTCTGGCTTTTCGCCTATCGTATTGTAACCATCACCACTCGATCCACCGTTGCGATAAGCACTGGTTGATTCACTTTGTATCATCCATCCCGTCTCATTTCTGATTATACGGAGAAGCGGATACCGGTATGAGGCACTGCATGTACGGAGCATGGAGCGGTCCGACGTGTGGAAACCAAAGTATTACAGACACTGGAGCCGCTGCTTTTTATGGAGTCCTCCTTGCTCCATATCAGGATGTGAGTGACGAGCATCAATGGGGGCCATCGCCGATATCACAGGGGAAACGGGCCCCAGGGAGCTGTCAAAATGTTTTGATTTGCTCTCCTCTCTCCTCTCGGAATCTGGTTCCGCGTGGGCACCTCGACCAGACGCCATGCATGAATGGACTGACCCCTTTCGCCAACCCTGCCTGGACGAGTACGGACCTGTCAGTATTGTACATAGTACCAGTACTCTGGCTTCTTCAGCTTGCTTTGCTGCACCGCTACAAGAAAATGCGAGCTGACAGGCTTGACAGTGTTGTACTGTCCTCAGCGCTGAAGCGTTCAAAATCCAAAGTGCACGTGACGTCCTCTGTCAGCTTTCCAGATTACTAATGGCCAAGCGGCAATTGTGTCGGCAATGCTGCGACTCTGATTGCTACAACTTCCTACTTTGTCCAGAGCAAACGGTAATCTCAGCAAACCCTTGGCGCCACCAACCGCTGAAATTTCTATCCGCCGGACCGATGCGCTTCTCGTGCGAGTTGAGCTGCCTACTCCGTTCCGGGGGTGCTCTCTGCCGTTGGCCCTTTTCTGTCTAAATATCTCTCTCATTGATACGGCACAGTACGTTGGCGTTGGCGTTGACATTGTTGACATTGACATTGACATTGACATTGACATTGTTGTTGCTGTTGTTGGTCGATTGATGGCGAGACTTGACGCGTTACATGTGCTGCCAACGAGTGCCAAGAGCAATCAGGATGCATTCATCCCAACCTGAAACTATTCATAGCCTTTACGGGGCATCAAGACGTTTTTTCCATTCATCCAAGAAATCGGGAATAATGACCTACCACGTCCGAATGCCAATCCACCTCTTTCGCTGTTAAGATGGCCCTAAGAGGCGCCACGCCGTTCTGGCTGAAGCTTGTCCATCAGATTTTTCTTTGCTCTCGCTCTTCTCACTCAAGACAGTACCATGCAGGCACAATATGATGGAGCGATTTCTTGCAACGCTATATGAAAAGAAAAGGTACATGCTCGTACACACGTCATAGCGTGGTGGCCGCTGCCGGGTTTCCCATCCTGACGCTCCATAAAACCTTTTCGCTCGGTGAATGATACGGAATAGACGCCATCAACAATCGCTGGATGGATGCAGCACATACATCATATTGAGTCTTGTTGCATCCATGTCTGTGCGCAAGGCCCTGTGACCGCCATAGTGCGACACGGCTTGCTCAATGGCGAGCGTCAAATGTTTCCCCTGCGCTTCTTGCCCTGGACCCTGAAGGTTACAGGAAAGTTCCGATTCGCGCCATGTGTTGATAAAACTCCCATCATCACTAGTTCACATGGAAAACGTGCGAGACGGCCATCAGCATCAGCACCTAATATTGCCCTTGTTCGCTGGCTGGACTAGCTCTCAACTGCGTGGGCAGAATGCAGATTGGGGCTGTTTGTGACCAGCCACGTGAGAGAATGCAATGCATGTTTGAGAGAAGCAGCAGGGAACGGTTACAATGCTTCAGATTCTGCCTCAAGGGTCCAGTGGCTGCAGCTTTCGCTTCCATTCCATGGATGCCTGGGACATAAGCTTATCACCACCATCCTGCAGGCATGGTTCGTGCACGCGATAACACTGTATGCCGGATCTGGTGAATTGCATGTCCTCGCTTCAATCTCCAGCCTAAACGAATCTCGGTGGCGGTCGCACCAGTTAGTGTCGACAGCTCCCCACGCGATATCCCAACAATCCAGGCCCGAAATGTGGTCATGTAGCGCAAGATACGAGTAGTACAGTATATGGCTTCAGATAACGCCGTTTCAGCGTCTTATCGGTGCTGACGGATGCGTGCTGCCGAACGATGGCAGCAAAAATCCCCAAGATCCAATCCCTGCAAGACGAGCCATCCCAGCAACACTGCCAACAAAATCCTGGGGTCAAGGCACGTTGCCGCCAATCGCCCAACCGTTGTCCCTCCCACGTGTTGTTGCTTGCTGCAAAACGGCCGCCCTGCATCGTTTCATGAATGGAGTGACAAACTATTGGATCGCTAAATCCCAGACTACGGGGTACGAGTCCTGTGCTACTCTGCGCTTTCATCGCGCCCCTTAAGCGGGACATGCATCCCCCAAGAACATACTTCACAACTTGATACGAAGGCTTGATGCCAGTATCTAATTTCATCACGACGTACATGCTTGTACTCCCTCCTACACTACCTGGCACTTGTTCAAGGAGTTCAAGGAGAAATGTCGCCATTTCAAGCCTTGGCGAAATCAGAAGCAATTTTACCTTTGCTAGAAGCTAGCTAGACATCTTCCACAAGAAGTGGCGTCAAATTAGGAGAAGCTGAATGACACATTGCCACTGCGTCGAACCAGGGCTGCATGAGTCGTTTATCTGAACAATACGCGGTTTTGGTTTTTTGACTTTTGATGAACTTGGTGGTGGCGAGAAACTTTATTTGAGCAGCGCTCTCAAGGCTCTCTGTGGCGATGTGAAGTCTTCCAGGCTAGAAGCGTGGCTTACCTTCTAGCCACGAGCTGAATATCTGGGGTATAGGGATGGCTGCTTCTAGTCTGCGAGGCTGCCCAACAAGCGCTGTTGATCATGATTCATTCGGTCAGCTCATACGATCTTGTTATGTCAAGAATACTTCAGCTCGTTTACACGACCAACCGCGTTTGGAAATTGGAAGGTCTAGAATAGTTAATTACGGGCATCGGCACTCAAGTAGGGGGCGCCACAGCTTTGGATCGTCGTCAAGAAAGTTCCATGTCTACCAGGCGTTGCTGTCAAACGACAAGCGTCGTTCTAGTTATGGCTCGGGATCGTAGGGCAAGGAAAAGGGGCAGTTGCTATCATGTTACGAGTCATGTGGCCTTTGTAGAGAGAGTTCATCATGTGTCTGGGACATTACCAAAAATTAAGACGAGAGAAATCCCATGAGTGTTGATGATTGGGGGAGCCTTTCGTTATTGAGTTTTGCTCGCTGCAATCGATCGTACTACAGATAGATGGGCGCTTACTGCTAGCTATACACCGACAATCATTCATGGAATACGATAGAAGAGCCGTAGTTTAAGATTCGAGCGCGACTGCGTAATCTATATCATAGTTCATGATGCTGAGGCACGTCAGCGGTCGAGGTCGCTTCCTGACGTCGATAATTCACGGCTGAGGTTGCGACGGTAATGTAGATCGTTGAAGAGATCGTTGAAGAGATCGTTGAATAGATTGTTGAATAATCGAGTCGGAGATTCGCTGCAATTGCTACCATATCATCAGTTATATAATCTCTCGTTGCTGGTCCGCTGACGCCCGGTTCTTTACACATTTGCGTGATTGAGGTTACGTCCTGCTTCCAGACATGTCATGCCTTCAGATCTGGTGCAGTGATGAGCAAGGTCTCTATGCCGTCTTCTGACGTCCTCATTTGTTATCGAAACTGTGCAACCTGGTCAACACTGCGCAAGTTCAGAAATAGGACAATCCAGGGTAATCACAGATCGGTAGAAACGACTGTTCATTACTTGAAAAATTGAACAAACACAAGGAAGATGAACGATACCGCCCGTCGTTTCGTTCGTTCCTATCGTTGAACTGCTTCAATACGACACTCTTGTTCATTTCCATATTCAAGTCATCATCAACTCGTTCAGAGTTTGCTTGAGAGACCGCGTTCATTGGGAGGCAAGCTGTTGTCCGAGAAAGTGGCGCTGGCACCCTTTGACCTCTGTTTGATGTTGTAGATGGTGGATCAGGGGAGATTTTCTCTGTCTCTGCATAATGGCATCCTCTGTACTTGCATTTTCGGAAGGAATTCACCGCTGGCCTTAGCAGCGTGCTGGTGCTCACGGATAGCTTCGTTTTATTCTTGGCCTGCGTTGTCAGTGCCGCAGTCTTCTGCTCGCTGGTGTTGTCTTCCTTGATGGGTGCTGTTTCTCGAATCCCGTCTCGTGCAAGACGCGCGATACAAGCGCTCAGTAGGTCAAAGACGCCCATCTGTCGAATGTTCCAGCATAATATGGCGCGGATCGCTATATTCGAGCGGTACGTGCTTGGGCCTGGAGCTGCACCTGTTGTTGCCCAGGTAAACATCGAAAGCCTGAGGTGATTTGCAGACCTAGATTCCCAGACTCTAGTCACCATGGCAACAATATGCCACTGAGCTCTGCAGCAAACTATGCATCGGCAGCACGGGGAACTTTCGTTTCTTGAACGAATGATTGGGTCGTTCGATGGCGCGCGTCAGGACTCAAGAGAAGCCGTTCTCCTCCAGAATTCTGGATGCATTATGTAGCTTGAAAGGCACCCAATTGCCCCACGGTGCAATGCAACTATCGTCTCGGAGAAGTCGCAATAGTAAAGCTGCTCTGGTGGGGCTTGGAAACAGCAGGGGCATAGAAGTTCGAGACTAGGGACACCTCGTCGTGTCTTGGTGAGGGACTCTGTAGTTATTAGATGAAAGATAGCCTGCGCTGAGATATATCAGCGGGGGGTAAGTATATTTAGTGGTACACAGGTGCCTATAGACTTATGCAAGTATAGCTTTGCCGTTGAGTATTAGTTTGGGTAGCATTAAGAGACAGCACCTAGCGAGCTTTTATAAGTGAAGACATAACAGCATACATACTAAGTAACTATAGCCTGTGCAAATACTATGTTTCAAACGGAATTTACTCTCTATGTTTTTTTATTTTCCTGGGTGCTCTTGAGTGGATTGCACCTTGGTTTGAAGACATAAAGACTTTGTCAAGCTAAACTCATAACTACGTTTTGAGACTACTAAGCAATTCGAAAGGTATTGAGTTCTTTTTACAGCGAGAGAGTGTCTGCACTGTACTGCTATAGCCTAAGCTGCCCGTTTAAAAACTGTCAGGAGCTTAAATACTAAACAGCTGAAAAAAAATATCCAAGTTCAAGATTGTCTTTGTAGTGTAGTTTGAACAAAAGTACTTACAGAAATAGCTGCCTCCCTTTGTTAAACGGATTCAGAGATAAATACAATACACTTACCTTTGGTATAATAGCTAGTTCACTGTATACTTATTTCTTTGATCTAGTGACATTGTTTTGTGTTTTATATACTCCAGCACAGACGTCTATAAAAAATAAACAACGTAGGATTATATATATAACTTTATTACCTATAACTGAGGAAATGAGTATTGGATGTAGCTATTACTCAATATCCAAATGTATATATATATATAGTATACCTAAATATAAAATACCAATACTATTGCCTTGCTGCCCAACAATTGTAACCGGCCAAGACGTCTGCTTACTATTGGTAAAATTAGTTAACGCCTTAATTTATATACGTTGGACATCCTGCTTTAGCTAGCTGCAATTAGTACAGTTCACTGTAGACCCAAAAGTCTACGCTACGGACGACTGGGCTGGGGTTACGTTAACGAACCTTTTTGGGAAACAACCAGTCAGACAAGGGAGAGGATCAGAGGTATTGAGGACCGGTATCTATTTTACGTTATACTGCATAACGCAGCCAACGTTAAGTTAAAAAACGCAGATATCTCAGATATGTAAAATCCAGATTAATGCCAACGTAGGCAGAGGATATATCAACAAACATTTTCCCTATGTCCCCTATGTAGTTAAACATAGCTACTTATTAATTATTCCTCTCCTATGTTACTTATACAGTATTAGGTAACAGGGTACATTAAGTAAGTCAGTATATAAAGAACACAGATACAGTTATATTATAAATACAATATTACAGTTGGTAGCCTTGGTGTATATTTGTTAAAGTATATTTTACCTTGCAGATAGTAAAGACACAGGCATCTTAGTTTTGGTTACAGCTGTAGAGGTCTAACATCAGCGACTTTGTCTTTTGCTAAACAATGCCTAAGGTAAAGTAATATAACAAATGCAATATTGTAGTTAATGGTGCAGACGTATGTCTGTTGGAAACTGTTTACTCCGTAAGATAATACCTGTCAAAAGTTACAGCACAAAGAGAAGAGTACTAATCGAAGAGATAAACCACAGCAAGCCAGCACAGACTAAGCAGCTAAGTAAGTAAACTATAAAAACTGTATTTATCTCTAGCCTCTTTTTAAACACAAAGGAAAACACTTCCTTTTTATACCTGCGTTCACGCCACTGTAAGTAGTTTAACCTTAGTTACGTTTTCGCTGTTAGTTAGTTCCTTTGTCTCTGACAATACCTTTGGTAGATGTTGCAAATCTCACTATGTACTTACTTACTTAGCAGCAGTTTACCAGAAAAAATACCACTGTAATAGTAGTAGTGATAATTGGGATAGCAGCAGAAAGCAGCGAAAAAAAATAAATCAGAGAAATATATAACTGTAAGTAGCATCAAACTAAATATTGATACAAACACCAGAAGTATCAAGCACTACCTGCTCCCGTAGTCAAGTAGTCAAATCAAAGTTAAAGCTAGGGAGACGTCCATACGTCTCAGTCTGCGAGCCCCTAGATAGTTTGGAGTATATCAATCAAGTATATACACACAGCTACTTTGTTTATTATTGCATAACATCAGTGTGTATTTGTTTTAGCTTTGATACAAAAGGATACAGAGAGTAAGAGCTCCATAGGATGCTGGATAACTAACTTGGGGTGCTATTACAGCTCACGAAGTACATAGACATTGTAGCAAACAGCAACGAGAACGTAATAGTGTAAGATGATATATTGTCTTTGTTTACCTGTTTGGTTAAACTAATATATATAGGGACGTCAGACGTCCCTCCCTCTGACTTTCCGTCTGAGGCAGCAGGAGGTCCTCTGAAAGGTGCTGACTATGTATATTATTACTCTCTTAAAGCTTACTTTGCAAAAATATATTTCAGTCTTAGACAACAAGTATAACAGGCTAATATCAGCTACGTTGTCTTTTGCTGGAGAATAAACAAAGTGATACTGCAAAGACGATTTTGCACTTGGAGTTGTAATGAAAGTGTATTGTGACTGGTTGAAATACCAAATTGATACTTAGTATTCCCTATTTGAAAGACAACAAGATTGACTTTTATTAGTTAGCTATTGTAAATATTATTCAAGGGAATGACTATTCAGCAGCCCAAGTTCACTATTTAGTATCCCGTTCTTGAATTCAAAGCGGCATAGGTAGTAATAATGATAGAGAGTAGCAGTAGTAGCAGAAAGTAGCAATAGTAGTAGAGAGTAGCGGTAGTAGCAGAAAGTAGCGGTAGTAGCAGAGAGTAGCAGTAGTAGCAGAGAGTAGTGGTAGTAGCAGATACTCCAGGAACTGTATATATACTTAAGTAATACTGAAAAGAAAGATCTTTATTCTGCGTTATTACGGTATTCGTTAAGTACTCATTTTTAATCGATGGGGTGCTGGATAGTCAGCTTGGGGTACTGATTAAAGTCTGCAGAAAAACTTTGGCCAGTGGCAGCTTAGCGCGAGACAATCAATATGCTGCAAGACTTCTTGCAGAAGATTTCAGCGCGTGAGATTAACCCTGATGACCTGGAGCGCCAGCTTCAAAAAGAGCATAAAGAGTTCATGAAAAAGGCTAAGGCACCGGAGTCTGTTTTGAGTATTTTTTCCCAACTGCGTATTATATATACGCGCGCAAAATAAGCAAACTACAGAATACTATTATCGTCTGGATTAAAATTGTTTCTGATCAATTGAATTTTTTTTTGTTTATATACAGACGGTGTGGTTTTTTTTTACTAATAATAACTAATGTTTTGGGAAAATTGGTGCTGTGAATTTTAAGTTGGGACAATTCCTCACTTCTTTGGTAATTTTTAATGTACATTCCTCAATTCGCGACGTGTATTCTTTCCTTCTCCCACTAACTTAGTGTTCGTCCTATTCTCCATCCTAAAGCATTCTTATTTAAAGTATGGGCTTTTGGTAGGGTCTCCTTGCTGCTCCGCCACTGCTTCTTGCGCCTTAGGGGCCTCTTCTCTTCTTCCGCCTCTCTCCTCGCCATCGCCATCGCCATCGCCATCGCCGTTGCCTCTCTCTCCAGAACCCTCCGCTATAGCCTCTTGCACCTCCTCACGCATCTGCAAACCAGTATAAGGGCTCGATTCCTAACGTCCTTCATTGAACAGTTGCTTAAAGATAGTCGTGACAGGCACAGACATACCGACGCGTTGTTGAAGCTTGTTGCCGAATTCCTTAACTTTCTCGCTGCCCCCAATATACTCCAGCATCTTCTTAGCTTCCTCGCGATCAGCCTCGGAGGCCTTGTTGTCGACAATAGTCTCAAGCATAAGGACGGCTGCATACGCAATAGAAGTCATGCCAGCGACATTTCCGTTAATGTCGTTATCGTCCCACAGTATATTTCCTGGGGCATAGTGTAGGGAAATAGGTCGGAGATGCTCAACCTGGGCAGCGCGCTGAGTCTGGGTAGTGGTCTGGGTAGCGGTATCGGCCTTGCTCTGGGCGCGAGCCTTCTGGGCTGCCTTGCGTGTTTGAGGCATCTTCGAGTTGCTTGGTATAGTACTATTGTTATATCAGTCAGTAATAGTTTAAGCACACCTACGCTGGGGCAAGATAGGTACATACAATAACAAAGTCTTGGTGGAGGATAAAGAAGAAGGATAAGGAAGAGAAGGAAGAAGAAATTTCAGCGGGAGGTGAAGAAAGGATGCTTCTTATATTGATGACTGACAGGTGGTGGGCAGCTGTCGACTCAATCAATCGGAGCGTTGCCAACTGGCTGTCAGTCTGACAGACTAGTTTACAAAAAGATGCCATGTCTTTGGACATGATGGTGCACCCTTAGACGATTTCGTCACGCCTTAGACGACGATGTCACACCCTTAGACGACGATATCACACCCTTAACCGGTAATTAATTTATCTTTGGATAAAATTTCGCAGGTACCATATTGACTTTATTATGACTGGATAAAAAATTTCGTTGAATTGGGCAATATGTTTGCATAGGTGTCCCTTACGCGAGCAAGAGAATTGAGGCGCTTTTCTAAAAAATAATACAGTATTACATCGTTGGGAAACTCTTTGAGATAGAGGATCTTTTGCCTTGACTTAATAAATACAGAAGACTGTATTGCTACTCTTCTTCACCTCCCGATAGTAACTATAAGTCTCAGGCTCTGGTGAGGTCGTATAGAGTCAGAACATCATGGTCACAGTACGTACGGACCAGATGATGTTGGGAGATAACTTGCTAACTACTATCCCTCAGGAGAGGCAACTACCTAATGTATACACTTATATTAAGTAGGAGGAGGCAATGTAACCTTACAGTAATAGTAGCTTTAAATATTTTTACTTGGTATACGTAGTATATATATATTTTCTTCCTTGCCCCATTACAAGTCTCCCAGCGTTACTGCTAGCAATACTTTTTTATTGCGTAGCCTAGTATACTACAATGACTTAATGTTTTGCAGCAGTTTTAGCCATTCAATTCAGGAGGAGGAAGCTAAGCTTGTCTTAATGTCAGGCAAAAACACTAGGAGATCTCCAAGTGCATTGTGTCCATGTCTTTTGGGCAAACGTTCAACGAAAAGCCGAGTCTCTTTAAAAATTCAGGATACTATAGGAAAGTCTTCAACTTCTCTGCAGTATTTAGCTCCTGTCAAAAGACTAAAAGCAGGATAGCAAAAGAGAAACACTTAAATTTCACCTAATTATTTGTGGCTGACACGGGAATTATAAAAGAATGGAATATTCCCCTTTACTTACCAAAAATCAGAGGCACTAGGTAAATACAGTAAAGAAACTTTGGTTCTGTCTACTCTCATATCTATGCCAATAGTGGCTGAAACAAAGACTCTATACTATATTATATCCATGACAACTTCCTCCGAGGCAAACAACTTGTAGAACGAACAAAGTAAAGGTATTACGGCTATGGCGGTTACCAAGGTACGAAAGATGCTAGTCCTACAAACATGCTGTTATCAACCAGTTGCAGAGAGTGATGGATGTGGCTACAGCGGATACAAATCCAAATGCTCCCATTTTATTGAGCTCCCTAAAAATTATTCCCTAATAACGTCTCTTCCTATTCAAGACCCAAAAAATAAACCGCCATGCTGTTGGAATAACCTGAAAAACGCCGTTTCGTATCGACCCAAGGCCTAGGATTTCTTGCTGCTTTGCGTCTCACTGAGATGGCTCTTGCATATATCCTCGCCCTTCTTCTGTTCCCTCGAATTAGACCGCTCAAGATTGCTCAGACCCGGCACCGGGCAAAACGGTTGAGAGATGCCTTCGCGGTTCGGATGCTCACTGCCAGTCGTGACGCTGCCCATACTGGAAGATCTGCGGGCCTTTGACAGCGCAAAATCGCCAGAGTCGAAAAAGGTTCTTTTCTATCGACAATTTCCAAACATTAGCTTGGTCGCGGACATTAAGTGGCGCAAACTGGGAACTGGATGGATAGTTATACCTCGAGTTGATGGTCGAGGAGTTGGCCTCGATTTGGCAGTGTTCCGTATATTTTTCGGAGATGCGCCTCCCTATCGCTGTCACGCCTCTTGGTCTCTTCGCGTTTGGGTTCCATCACGTAAAGATGAGGGTTCAGTGCCTGTGAGAAGTAGAACTGAGTATGGAATGAATGGAATACCAAGGCAGCGACTCAATTTATTTGGTTTCTTTCGCCGTCGATCGCCTTGGGTGGACAAAATAGTGGAGGCACGACAATAGTATATACCTGAATATTTACTTGGTAGTGCATTCCATCATTCCAGACAACTCTATGTACAGCGGGCATCATATTGTGTCTACAGATTTGATGGGTGCTGCCTCAAAGAATGATATCACATTATGACGCATACTTCCTATTGCAGTTACCCGTGGTCACGATGGCGCATCACACTCTATTGCTAGGCGCATAACTGCCGGGCCTAGTGTTCAAGGCGGGGATACATGTCACCACCTCAGGTATACGGCCTTGCCCGTCAATTTTCCTCAATGCTCTATCACACATGCTTGTGCTTCATATTTGGGCTATAGACTACATAGTTCTAGTTTTTGTAATATCTTTGTTTAGCTTCCCCAAAAATCTGTCTATGCCAACGGTGGCTGAAACAAAGACGCTACGCCACAACTAATATCCCATAACAACAAGTTCTACTCCAACTTCAACTCCGTCACCAAGGCCTTGATTTGGCCCTTATCCGCACTCGCCCAATCCACACCCGTCAGCCCATGACCATCATCCTCTCGCTCTCCATCTTCTCCCTCTGCAATGCCAACTACCTCCTCGCCGCCCATAAGCCCCCAAATCTCATCAACCACAGCGCTGCGAACCCGCGGCCACGGATGCGACATGAGCGCACCGAGCCTCTTCCGCGCATCTTTGGCTCCAGCCTCCACATTATCTCCACCGCTCGCGGTTCCAGCTGATGCCGCAATACCGCCGTAAACCTTGATGCAGGCTATGACCTTGCGCACGTTGCCCGTCTTATATCCCGCCTTTTGCGTCTGCAGGCAGAGCCCGCGGTAGCTGATGCCCTGGCAGCGCTGGAAAAGCCCCGTGTGGAAGAGGAACGCAATAATCTCCAGTGTTGGCACAATGATCCGGTCTTCGCCCTGGCATGTCTTCAGATTGTGTAATAGTGCGGAGCACACTCGCTGCAGGTTTTCAGGCGATTCCTCGCAATACTCTGTGAGTGCAGCTCGACTCGCAATGACCAGGTCCTCGTTTCCAGTGTCCGCCGAAGAAACGAAGCCGGCCATGAGACCAGCCATCCAGTTTTCGTCCCTGCTTACTATGGCCATGATGTGCGGGTGGAGAGCGTCTTTGGGGATGAGGTTGAGCAGTAGAGCAAAGTAGGCCTTTGATGAAAAACTCAGAAACTTGGTAAAGTAAGTCCTTCTTGATGGTTGATTCAAGTTCTTCGATTCATCAACGGAACTGAAAGAAAACACGAATTAGTATGTGATACTTCACTGGGAACAGGGGCCTGTAGTTGCAAGAAAGAAACCTACCTCTCACTCATAAGCAGCGCAATAACATCCTTTGCTACGCGACGGACACGATCCAGTTTCTCTGCAGAGAGCCGCAGAATGTTGTAAATCAGTTTCCGAACAGACGCCTCTACCCAGTCTGCCTGAGTCGTAGGATGACCAATGTCCCCCCAGAGAACTGCGATGGCTTTGAGAGTCTGGAACCGCACCAAGGAACCCTCATCGCCTCGAGCCGTTGTCGTATAATCATTGAGACCTTCCGCAAGAAGATCCAAGAAAACTGTCGGCCTGTCCTTCAGAATGCGGCTGCTCAAAAGACTATGCAGAATGGCGACCCTAGTCTCAACCTCGCTATCGACGCTCCATCGCTCAAGAAACGCAGCACATACGACGTCACTCCCTGAATCATCTTGCAAGCTGTGCGAGAGAGGCTGCGCCATTGCCATGACATGAAAGTAGCCGTTTCCAGTGACGACCGATCGGCTTCCAGGTTTGGCTGCGATCAGCTTGGCCCACTGCTCCAAAATCTTGCTACGCTCTTCCAGTGAAGAGAGCAACAGAAGCATCAAGCCAGCTGCGGAGGCTGATTCGGCAGTTTCTTGCTCATTTTTACTGAGCCATTGTGGCATCACATCTTGCAATCTTGAGATCAACGTCTCCATCTCGGGGATTTGCTGTGCCGAGCCAAAGGCTGAGGCGATATCTGGTAACCTAATTGTGTTTTCCATAGATAATACATCGCTTCCTTTTTCTAATTTGTCGTAAGAAAAGTCGCTCAACGTTGCAGCCTGGATGATGGGCAAAGAGGATACAACCAAGCGACTTGCCGCCTCCACAATAAGCTCAGGCCTGCGATACTCGGTTTTCTTGCAGTCTTCAAGAATTCCAGATATGTAGCCCAGTATCTTGCGGACAGTAGCTTGGTCTAGCAATTTTCCCTGAGCCTTTTGAACAAGTTCAGGGAAGCCGTCCACGACCCCAGCAAAGCATGCCAGCAAACCGTGTCGTTCCTCCACCTGTCTTTTTTGCAAACTGCCCAAGCGATCCATCACCGAGTCGATCGATTCTTCAAAGCGGGAAAATGGCGTTGCCGAGCCCGTATCAGACAGTTGTACTATAAGCGTGCCAAAGGCAGAGCCAGCAGCTCTCCTCGAGCCCGTATCCAAGTCGCCGATTCCCCGCCAGCTCAAGATGCCATCGACAACAGCCTCTCCGTACTGCGCTGACAGCTTTGTCGCACCAGTAGCAACCTCCTGGACGGCACGCGATCTTCGAGCCACAGCATGGTAATCGACACTCTGGACGACTCCAATGCCATGCTCCACGGTATCTGGGTGTCGGCCAATGAGTTCCTGCAGCGCGGCTGAAGCTCCGCGCCTGATATTTCCTTCCGGGTCTAGGGACGCCGTCGTCACCAGCTCTGTGCCCAGAACTTGCAGAATGGAGCTCGTCACAGGGTGAGATTTGGCCGCGTAGACTGACTTGGTGGACACCGCAAGGAGCTCGTCAGTCGTGTATCGGCGAGCCAATGCCCAGATACCAAAGCAGGCCGCGTCGCGAACGTTGGATCCCACGCTGGCTCCCGACACACCGCGCTGTTCAAAAGTCAATCCTAGAAGAAGGGAGTGAAAGATATCGGAGAGCTGGCTGGCTGGTGGAGATCGTCGATAGAGCAAGTGCGACAAGGTCATCATCAAGCCATGCCATTCCAAGGGATTCACAGCAGACAAGTCGCGAACCGGCTTGGCCCCTGACTTGGTTGATGTCTTGTTCCAAAGCACATTGCGGTTCAAGGACTCCAGGACAGCCTCGACAACCTGGGATGCCATATCTGGGTCCAGTTTCAATGTAATGATGCTAAGTGACTTGCTAGCGGACAAGCGAACCGGAGTGTCGTTGTCAGAGAGGCTCTCAAGGAAGTAACCGATTGCATTCTCTACCAAGATCGTTGTTTTCATATCTCGCCGGGAAGAACGCAATAGCGAAACGATGAGCGAGCGGATGACTTTCAGCATCATCTTCCGTGCTGATGCCTGAGACATGATGATTTTTGAGATTGCATCCTCGCCAGTGGATAGCTCGAGCACGGATTCAAATATGGTAGGCAAATACTTGTCCATATATGACGTCTCGGATGCAGAACGCAGTATTCCAGCCAGGAAAGAGAGCACGCCGATGTAGAAATATGGGTTATCAATCTCAGTCTCCTTTTGAGGCCGTAGAGATTTCAAAGACCACTGCACGAGACTCTCCAAAATACCAATCTGCTGCATGTCGCGTCGCATCGCGAGTCTCACAAGGAGAGCCTTGGCAGCATCTCGTTCTTTACCTGCAGAGGCGATGTACTTGGTAGCCAGAGGGATAACTCTCATCGTAAGACCCGGCACATTCGCAGGCCAGTTGAACCCTGGAATAGACGGCACGCCACCCTCATCCAGATCGGCAGAGGAAATGGTCGACAGGTCAAACGGCGCGAACAAAAGGTGGGAAAGCCAGAGCAGCGCAATGTAACGCTGCTCCCACGACCATCCGTCATTTGAAGCTCGTTCGGCAAGGAAGTCCTTTTTCTCCTTGCCGGCGTCGACTTCAGCCTCTTCAACAGCTGAAAGAATGAGCTCTAGATACTTGGTCTCAACATTGAGGAAGCGCACGATGACCTTTTCCCCGCGAACCTTGCAGAACGAATAGAGAATCCTTGATATGGCATAGTCGAGGGGAGCAAGCAGATTGGTCTGCTCTGGAGCGCGGTTGTGTCGATGCCGCGTCTGCAGATACTCCAGATATGACTCTGCCAGGAAGGGAATCCACTTGGGCAGATGCGGATCCAGCAGTTGAGGCAGTTCCTGGAACTGATCCAAGATCTAGAGAGCAACCGAGCCTCTCGTCAGCAACAGACACATACACTCTCCCTCCCTCTCTTTCTCTTTCAAAAACTCACAACACAAGTGGCCTTCATAGTCTCCCTGATCCGCACCCATCGTCGTATGCGGGTTCCCCCTCGGCCGTCCGGCTTCCGCAGACAAGTCACAAGGCTCTGATCCAACTCACCGAGCAGGATTTTGGAATGCTTGTGCAGATACACATCAATATCATTCTCCGAGGCATCCATTGTTAAAAGAAAAGCAGCGCTTGCTATGGTCTAATTGTTCAGAATCGAGTCCGGCTGAGCATCCCTTTTACATCAGAAAGGATGAGAAAAAAGAGGGACGTTAGGCACCACTTTATGACCGCAGGCGGTGACGGTGTTTTGTCGTTGCAGCTAGGCAGCTGAATAAAAGCACGCCGGCATGCGGATGAATATCCTCGGATGTGATTTTGTTTTGCAATCGCCAGTGGGCTTTTGACGGCTGCCTGACCATCAGGCTCACATTAGCATCGTGTGTGCATCTTGTGAAGTTGCAATCTAATCTAAATCTGGTACTCTACAGTGTGCATACGGTGCGAGTCACTGTTTGGTCGTTATAGGGTAGGCGCTGATTGATTTGTGCCGTAATAGGTACTACTAGTAAACTTGTACTGCATGCTGCCTGACATCATGCATACTATGTACAAGTATGGATGCCTCGGGAACATCAATCTGCCTACGGATTTAAAACGGAGCTTTTGTTCCTGATTTGTAGCTTCTAGATCGCCATCTCACAACGCGCATATCCTAAAGCTTTTAAGGTTTTGGCAGACATCTAGATGGAGTGTTTGATGTAAAGTATGATTAACACTAGATCGAATCTATCTATATCTATCACCGAGTCGGTAGCTTTTTCGGTTTCCTGCGCCTTTTATCCATCTATGGCGCTCACTCTGCGATTACTTGGGTTGTTATAACCTCACACACTACATTTCAATGCTTGTGCAAGCTCGTATTCAAAGGTTTAGGAGCTAGAGACATTTCGGCTCACATATTTTTTTCTCAGTCGCATAAAGCTTGGCAAAATGATAAAATTGCTTAGCTATCGCTGGCGAATCATGACCTTGCCACCGTCCATGATGAAACACGGTTATGTGACAGGGGCATTTGCTATGTGCCCCATATTAAGGCACCGTCTCAAGCGAAAGGGGAAAGAAAATCCAAAAGGAATGTTTCACAACATTATGATTTATCATTATGGATGCCCAAAATGGTTGCGTTCCCGTCGCGCAGAATAAAAAAAACTCCAAGCCCACACAGCAAACGCCTGGCTCGGCTGTGACTTGAGTAAGGAGTAGTACTCCTGAAATGTTGTCACCACCAGACGGCCCAGTTCAAAAGCAGCAAACGATGGGGGAGAAAGTGGGAATAAAAAAAAAGATTATCAAATTGCCAAGACGGGGGAATCAAGGTGAAACTATGAAACAGCAATGGCAGCCACTAGGGCATCCAGAGCACTGCTGTGGGCCGAACCCGTAGCCGCCACATAGGGCCCAGTCCAAGCGACGCCAAGCAAGTTATCGCTGTTGCGGTCGTTGTTCCAAATGGACTGAGCGTTGCGGAGGATAAAGTTTTTGAAATTGGCGCTTGGTGCCATGTCATTGAGGTATCGCAGGTTGCGGATGAAGGCACCCTTGAACTGCTGACCATCTGTGCCGCAGTTGCCTGGGTTGAGCTCGCACTTGTCTGCCTCAACGAGGATGCCGTTTGAGTTGGAGAGGGCGTTGATGGCGGCGTTGGCAATGGCGGAAGCGGTAGTGAGAAGAGACCCGTCACCGGTAGCCCTAGCGAGCTCGCTGAGACCGCCGAGGATAACACCTTGGTTATAAGACCAGGTGGTCAGGCCGTTATTCTTGCAGTTGGAGTCGAGACCGTCATTGATGAGGTGGTTGGCGTTGATCATGCCACTCTGCTTGAACCACTGCCACTGAGCTTTGGCAATCTTAAGGTATGTACCGTTGGAGGGTACCCGGTTAGCAAGAGAAGCGGCAACAGAGAGGTACAACTCGTTGGCGATGGCATTGACATAAGTGCGGTCCTTGCTCCAGTAAATGCCCCCACCACATGGAGTTCCTTGTCCGGTCTGCATATCGTTGAAGATTTCAATAGCCGAATCAAGATAGTCCTGATCGCCGGTGGCGTCGTGAGCGTGAATTAAAGCGAGGGCCCACCATCCTTCGTCGTCGTAAAAGTCATCGAGGAAGTCAGCAAAGCCTCGTCTTTGGAGAGTGGTGGGCAAAGAGGCGGCAAAGGAAGCAGAGCATCCCCTCCCATTGATGCAGTGGAGAGTTTGGGGAAGGCCTGCGGAATTCACGAACTTGGCGACTGAAACGCTCGCGATTTGAGCCTGGGTATAAGTGTTCCGGAGAAAGCCACCAAGGTTGAGCTGGTTTGCCTCATTGAGACGGAGCTGTGCAAAGTCGGCCAATGTGGTGAAAGCATTGGCGCTGTTCCACCAGGCACTGCCCCAGAGGCCGGTCTCGACATCGTAAAAGGCATTGTTCAGCTGTCGAATGGCTGTGACGGAGTTGGCGACATAGTTTGTAGCAGATAGGGAAGTAGAAGGAGCGGCGTGGGTAGGGTTAAGGAGAGACGAAAGTACGGCCGAGTAGGCAAGAGCGTGCTTCCAGATCCAGCTTGGAAGTGCCATGATGTAAAGAATGTTATGGTAGGAATGAAAGGCAAACCGTTCCAGCTGAGAAGCCGGGAGCTGCGTCTATAAAGAAAAATGAGCGGAAGGGGGTAAATGGGGAAGAAAAGAAAGAAGATACCGAAACATCAGAAAGAGCTGCATCGAAATCGGGGCCACGAGTAGTTAATAAAGTTAATAAACCGGAGCCGAACAAGGCAATGGATAGCAACACGAAGACCAAGCAAAGCTTGTGAATCAGGGACGCAAGGGAGCTCCGTGGCGGGTCCGGATGAAGCTTGGGGCTGGCATATGAAGGGCTAGGAGACAGGGGTCCGGATTTGGATCCATGGTGGTGATAGCTCGGCGGCTCGGCAGGGCTGCCGCCATTCTTTTCGGACTGGTAGCCAGCGGCTTGACTAGAGCATGAAACTGGTTAGCAGTAGCAATGGGTTCGGGCTTCACCATGTGCCCCTTCATCAATCGTTGCCATACAAGCAGGCTTGGCCGCCTGTACCTGCGCCAGCGGCAGTTATTTGCTGGGTCGGCGTCAGGGGTACACAGGATTCAGGGCCCGGCGAGCCAGGCACAGTGGCCTCCAGCCCGATGGCGGCTTCACAGCGGCCGAGCCACGCTGCAGTATCGGGAGTGGCGCCTTGGGTGGTGGACATTGTGAATGATGCGACGGTGACGACTGCTTTGTCCTTTGTCCGCTTGTCTTTTGTTCGTGTTGTTGCTCTAGTATGAGACAACGCGGGGCCTGTTGCCAAGAGTCTTGGATGACTAGCAACAAAGCGCTTGCAGCCTCTCACAGCGTGAGGCCTCAAGTGGCACAATTAGACTGGATTGCTCTCTTCTATTTTCGGCGTGTTTCTCTCTCCCTGGTTCCGAGTGTTAGACAACGTTGGTTAGCTCCGGCCGGCGCGTAGGTTTAGATCAGGGCGATATGCTGTGGGTTATTTCGTATCTTTAAGTTGAGACGAAGAAGCGGAGTTTGGATCTGACGGTAGGACTTGGTGCAAAGCATGAGCGAAGCGAGGGGCAGATGATCGACGGCGATGCTGCTTTGGGAATCCATCACGAGGATCAGTGTCTCGCACGGTGCACCACCTTTGAGGGTGAGGGTAACTAGAGGTATGAAAGAAGGATTCACGAGATTTGTTATGGCGACAAATAAAAAAGAAGAAAAAGAAGAAGTAGAAGAATAATAGAAGAAGAAAGGCCGGGGTGGCATGTGGCATGCCTCGATGAGGAAGCTACAAAGGATGTTGGCTTGCCTCGTATTAACGCCTCAATTGTATACGGAATAGAGGCAGTCGCACTTGAGGCAGTCACCACCACCGTGCTTGCTTTTCCACAAGCAAGTACAATGATGTCACACAAAGAATATCATTGTCATTGAGTTTGAGCTTTTTTCCCTTTCTCTCTCTCCCCTACATACAACGATTCCTAGATCTTCCTCTTTTGGTATAACTACCAAGGTAACGCAATAAACAAGGTTGTATCGACATCCACCCCCCGTCACATCTCGAGATTCTGCGTGACCGGCTCTGCATCAACTCAGATCACTTCCTCTTCTCCCACTCACGCACGCGACCTCACAGCATCATTGATTGTGCCGGCCCCTCGCATCTCGCCGGCAGTGATACAACCTCACAAGAGCCACGAGACACGGCTCCCACCTCCGCATGCCCCTCACTCGGTGCTGTTTCTCCCTTGTTATGCCCGGGACTGAATGTCTGACTTTCATCTCCGAGGCGCACAATCCAGAGCGGTGTGCGGCGCAAAGCAGATGTGTCTTAGCATGGGAGCTGTGATGGCTGAGGTATGTACAAACGTTGAATGAGGAAAGACAATGAATGTTGTCATTTTATTCGCCCGCTTTGTCTTGAACGCTGCCGCCGAAGCTTTCATCTCCAAACTCTACCACGCTTACATGGTGGCATCCGTATTGCGATCCGGGCATTCATCTCAAAGACACACGGGCACATGGCATCCACCACAACGCCCTCTGCCGGGCAAAAACAAGGAAACGCAACTCTGTTGCCCCTCACGCGCCGGTGACGCATTTGTAAGAGAGGACAATGCAAAAGCAAAAACAAAACAGGGCCGTTGAATGAAACGTGTGATAAGGCATGCGTTTTTGTGTGCCTGTTTCCTGTGCGCAACTTAACCCCCCCCTCTGTGGAATCAGTAAAACTCAAAGAAAAGCATGGCTAAGACGACACAAGAGAAAAGAGCAACACCAAAGCAGCAGCGCACGGGCTTTGCCTTCTCTTGTTCAACGACTGGACAAACGACCCGGCGTGACCATGTGAAACCAAATGACTGCTTTGTTCTGCGGTGGCACGTTGGAGTTCCAACGCTCAGATGTGACATACGTCTATCCATCTCATCATTGTCTACACGAAAGCGCTACCTACTGTATGTTTCTGAAGAAGCTGAAAACAACACTCCTCAAGCTTTGACCACTTCACGATATGAACTCATCTTCCATCCGCAACCGATTTATTAACTCCGTAGCTGACGCACTACCCCAGCAAGCTAATACCAAAAGCTCAGATCCCCCCCAAATCCAGTGGACCAAACCACCTGAAAAATCCCCTTGGGTCTCATTGAGCGCTTAAAGCAGAATAAATTCCCCGGCGCTCCCTACCTAAATTTAGGGTAGCGCCCCCATGTTCCTTTTCTCGTACCCGGAAACAGACAAGAAACAAGGGCCTGCTTAGCCGTTCAGGGCATTGACGCTTGGATCCTTTCATTTCAGGAACAGCTCCCCTGCCTTTACCAATCAACCTCACCTGGCTTGATCTTTGTCGTCGTCGTTATCTCGTCACAGCGTGGGATTGTGCGATAACGCCACAACGAAACGCTATTCGTGCAGCTTTGCTAAATTAAACCTCTCGGACGTGGACATTGCCAATTCGCCAATAGAAGTAGAAGGACGCTGTGTAAGTAAACTCCCGGGATATCCGTGGCCTCTCGTAAACGAAATATCGCTTTTATGATGCTGGCTGCGATGGAAAGCAAAACACCACAGACGCCGTGTCTTCGGACACGGGCTCCTCATTCAGTTTAGCATCACGATACAAGCTGCTGGTTGCCGAGCAATGACGAGACTATGACCCTTTGTACTATCACCTTTTCCCTCTTATCATTGAGCTCTCGCTCTTCAGACGCAGGGTACGAGTAAGATTGGCCATATTTAATATATATAATTTTTAGTGCGACCATCTTATCTTGTGTACATTTCCGATATCTCATAACATATCCCATGATCCTCAGCAGCCAAAAGAAAAAGCCGTCTCCGGCATTGTCCTCCAATAGTGTCTGTAGATGACGTCTCCCTTCCCTCTCTATAATGCAGAGCGAAGAAAGACAGAAAGGAAAAAGAAAAAGCAAAAAATATTATCTGCCCTGCTCGCCCCAAAAGTTCCCAAGATTTCCCAAATGTGAAGTTTTACAAAAATAGATATATGCCACAATACGAGACATTCTCAGGTTTGGTTTTGCAAGCCAGGGCTCCGTCAACGCCCGCTATGATGTCGCAAATTCCCATGGGTGCCCAAATTCAACACGCACACTTATATATCCTATGTTCCAGTTCAGTAATCCTCCCGCGATCGTCGTAGGCTCCTTGAGGTTCCAAATACCGATCGTGATTCTCCACTGCTTGTCGATCCGGCGACACTGGGCGGCCGTCCATTCTTACTCCGCGTGGAAAACTTTGGCAGCATAGTGCTTGACTTGTTCTTCTCGTTGCTGAGAATGCTAGCCCGGTCAGAGCCGATGGTTGATGTGATTTCCTGCAGCGAGTTGGAGTCGAGGAACGCCTGAGGGAAAACTCCCCATTTACCCTTTGAGTTTGTACCAGCCCAGCACCAATACTCGGGATATGACCCTAGTTGCATGTTAGCCCTTCTATTCTTCGTTCCACCAACACTTGATTCTAGAAGAGAGCGTGTGACTTACAAGTAATGTTGGTGATAATCTCGTCCTTCTCAAACTTTAGCCAATCTTCATTCTTTTCCTTTGGTGCAAACCTCCACTTAGCCTTGGCACGGATGCGGCTTGTGTTGTTTCTCTTAATCAGATTGAAGGGAGGTCGGTCCAGCTTGATGACTTCCATCGGAACCGACGCGTGTACACCGTCGTGCCAACCGAAAGCCCACTCTCCGGCATATCGAGCCGGCCACGTCAAACCTGTAATCTTGGCTCCTGTTATCAACTCCAGGGCTGGTGTTCGGTCAGGCAGGAGTCTCTGGCCAAAAAGTCTTCGGGCATCAGTCTTGGCATGAGCCGTGGGAAGATGAGCAATCTCAGCAGCTTTGTCCTGTACAGGGTGAGGTTCAGGTGGATTCACAAAGAGTAGATCGTAGTCATTAGCCAGGTGAGGTGGAACCTCCTCCTGGTCCACGACAGCGATACCGGGGACGTCTGGAAGAGGTCGAGGATGTCGGGCCAAGTGGGTAAACAATGCAGCTGTCGATGTAAAGACCGTTGCGTCGCTCTGGTCCAGAGTTCGGCTGGTGTGGATGCAAAAGACGCATGCATACATGATATCATCAACGCGCTTGGCGTGCAAGTGGCTCTTTTGCAAGAAACGGAGGCGGTATCCAACGCCATTCTTGGTGTAGTTACCCTCAGGTTTCCCACCGACATCAAGCTCAAGCAGCTTAAAGTCAATCTCGTACAGACAGTGCGTGCATTTAGCAACGACGGCTGTGGTGAGGCCGGGTTTCTTTTGTCTCTTGACACCAATTCCTCCGTTAATAACATCGGTAGCTCCGGCGCAGAATTGCTTCTGCACGTAAAATGAACTAAAGTTGTCGATGGACAGATCTTGTGGTGGTAGATTCGCCAGATGAGCTCCAGGCATCGAGGAGTCTACGGGAATCAAACCGCTATCTACACCACCATCGGACATAGTGCGACCTGTGTTGCGGCGAACAAGCTCGAGTCCTGGCTGCTGCTGCTGCTGCTGCTCTCTTGTTGGTAGCGGTGGCTCTGGATTAGGAGTAGGCGGTGGTCTGCTTTCGGCAACGGATCCTCTTGTGCTGACGGGGAGAGGGTTCGGGTCAATCAAGCTCTCAGCGTCAGACCCTCTCCGTTCAGTGGATTGATGTCCGGACTCGGTCAACGAATCGTTTCTACGAATAGTCTTGGCATCATCCATTCGCTCATCGGATGAGGCTGGATACGATGGCTGGCGTGGACGCTGCGATCTGTAGGGCATCGGCGAGTACATGACAGGTGAAGGACGTTGCCGTGAGGTGCTCCTTGACCTGATATTTTTCCCCCGCGTCATTTCCTCCGGTATGGTCGGAGTGCTGCTGTTGTAGATGGTGGCGCTGTGATTGCTTGGTGCCCGGGGGCGTGAAGTTTGAGTAGGACTCATGCTGTAGGTTGACAATTGGCTACTGATGGTGGTGCCGAGAGACGAATGCTTCTCGTCTGACTCGCTCGTGTACTCCTGTAGCAACCCAGAACTGCGAGCACTGTCTGGATGATTGGGGCGTGGGATTGAAAAGTTTCTAGAAGTGGTGTATGGGCTAATCGGTGACGTTCCTTCAATCGGCGTGTGAAGAGAGGGATCAACAGGTGGCCTTCGGCGAGCTGAGGGCGCATTGTGCGGTCTCTCATCATCAGAAGCTACCGTCTTAACCCTGATGTCCCACGGGTTCGTTGACGGCGGCCTTGGAGGCAATTGCTCCATTGTTACCGGTGGTGGCGGTGGAGGTGGAGGTAAAGCCCTGTCTGGTGGTGGCATTGGAGGTGGCTGAGCGATAAGATCAAGGTTGCTGTTGTCACTATTAAACGCCTTGTCAAGTATCACGCTCAACTGCTCATTGGCGTTCTCGACCAGACCAGTATCCATGACAGATCTGCTATCCGTCTTGGAGCTCGACACGGAGTCTCTGCCGACGGAGCTTGCACCAGTTGTAGAAGGCGGCGCCGTGGGCATCATATTGGGCATCATCGGCGGTAGAAGCATCGTCGGGGTGGGATGGGGCGATGATGGAGGTGACAGCTGGGACATGAAGTGCTCTTGGTTAAATGGGGCAGCCGGCGCTTGGGCAGGCGCTTCGAGCTTCATTTTCAAGAGGATGTCGTAGATCTTGGGTGCGGCCGTCCGCGACATCATCTGAAGCTCAGTGAATTTGTCGGCATCGAAGTCGTCTACCTCGATATAATCGTCAAATTCCCACAGCATGTCTGTAAGTTGGACTCGGAACTGGGCAATGACCTCTGTTTGGGGCAGTTTCAGCTTCTATTACTCTGAGAGCATATAATTGTATCTTTTTTTTTTTTTTTTCAGAACAGCTTACCATTGTCCTTGACTGCCTCAATGAAGGCTGGCCCAAAGTCGTCAAAGTGCTTCTTGCATAGCGGCTCTATCTTCTTGAGAGCACGCTCGCCCTCCTTGAGCAGGGCCTGAGAGGCCTTGAGCATGGGCTGCGTGTCACCCGCATTCTGAACAGCCGTCCTTCCCTTATCGACAATGTCCCTAAACGGGGTAAGGATCAAGTCGACGATGTTTTCCATCTTTACTGTCCCGGGCAAGATTGCTCAGGCGAGCAGTATCGATTCGCCGGCGGGGCGAGGGACTGGGGGGGTTTTTGTACGATGACAACCACGCGCAACCGACTCGGGGTGAGTCGGTGCGTACGACACGTGCGATGTTAAGCGCAGGTGGACGCAATGCGATGGGAAGCGGAGATTAAAAGAGGATAAAGATGTTATGGCAAGCTGATAGTCCACGACGGTGGTTGCTAGGCGTGGCGCTGTATAAAAAGGGTATCAACACCGAGAGTCTCCCCGCGTGGGGCAAGGCAAGCCTACGTACAGTAGGAGGATCTTGAGCAGAAAGCCACTTGTTTGGTGGAATGGGTAGATGCAATTCGGCAGCAGGTACTAGTGAAAAAGAGTGTAGAGATGTAGAGATGTGAAAACGAGGGAGGAGAGAGGGATGGAGAGGGAGGAGAGGATATGAAACGTAGAAGAGAAGAGAATGTCTGGAGAGTGCGAGGAAGAGAGGCGTACGAGTATGTATCTAGTCCAGAAGGTGAGAAAGAGCTGAGCAACACCCTGACCAAAGCAGTACCGCTCGTGAGCACTGCTAGTTTCGAGGCTGAGGGATGAATGCCTAGGGCAGATCTTGGCCATGGCTGCAGCCACCCAGGCGTCGATATAGCATCGCCTGGCTATCACGTACCATCACAGGCAGAAAACGCCAACACCTGGTCCGGCTGCAGCAATCAGTGGACAGGTACCCGCCTAGGGCAATTTGATGCATGGATGGATGCATGCACGATTATGGATTATGGATTATGGATTATGGGACGGAAAAGACATGCCAACCACGACTAGCAACGGTTGGCCAAGCGAACATCGGGTCCCTCCCCTGAAAGCTTCCCCATCCGGGGAGCGAGCAGGTTGACCAAACATGAATGAATCGACCGAAGGCGAGCCAGGGGACGCCGTGCGGACTCTTGGGCTCTCGAGTATTTGAGGCTTGTGAGCACGAGGGCACCGTCGATTGGACAGGCCCGTGTGGATGGGCTGATTCGGAAGAGGGCTGGCTAGTGTCGCGATCCTGCCAGGACCCCTGTTCGATCAGAGCCCGGGACTCGAGGTGTCCTGTCCACGTTGCGCAACGGCGATCTTGCATTGGTGGGAGCTGTCAAAGAGGCGCTTTATCGGGATTAGTGTGCTGGCGCCGGTAGCTCGTGTGCGCGCGCGGTCGTGAAGTCGGACTGCGGCAGCCTCATTATTTTTTCTCATCGAACCTCGCTAGTTGGGACCATGGACTCGTAGACAAGGATAGTTGTGCGGATATGCTTCCCCTCTTTGGAGCTTCGTCTTGAGTACAGTGCAGTAATAGTATCCTGCTATCCAGTAAGAATCCCTATACAGCCCTCATACGAGCCTGCGTATAGCACCTCGCGTGGAGATGGATCCCGTACCTGGATGCGAAATGTGGGCATCCGCATGGGATGCAATGCAATCAATCAATAAAGCGCTGCCCCCAACCTCGTTTTTCGAGCCACGCTGTGCCAAGAGGCAGAACAAGAGAATCGGTGAATGGCGTCTTCTAGCGTGCCGTATCCGGTGGCGTTTTGGTGGTTTTGTTGCCTTGGCTTTGATGCGTCACATTCGCCTCTGCTTCTAGCCAAAGATCTAGTACGACAGTGCGGTGTCGCAAACGGCAAAGGCTGCAATGGCTCTGAAAGGGGCACCTCGCTCAATCAAACCAAAGCAGAGCCGCTGCTGAGCGAATATTCTTTGTGGATGCCCGTCGTCTCTTTAGCACCGTCCATGGAGCCTGTTGCTGGCTTGTGGTTGGGCTGAAGATGGAGAAGTTTGGGAGCCGTGCGTGTGGTGAAGAGTGGAGAAGGCAAGATGCTCGCTCGCATGGGAAGTGAGACATGCCATGTACTCGTACTAATTCTTTCTACCAAGGTGCTGTGCAAGTCATGCACGTACCAGGGATGGCGGACCAACGGGTAATTGTTCTGTTGCCCGAGCGTCAGTGCTGTGGTTACATGACATGAACCCTAACACGAGCTGCGGTGGCCATAGTCGCTCTCAATTGAGGCCCTGGAACATGGCTATCGGCATGCTCGAGGCCAATTGAGTCCCGGCGAGTTATCTCAGCCAAGTCCCAGAGAACTTTTGAGCCGTCGAGCTTCCCATTCGAGTGTGGCGGAAAAAGGGGAACCGCAAGATTCAGCAGATTAGCATCTCACTGGGGGACGCAAGTGTATCAGCCATCCCTCCACCTCTCCATCCCTCACTCCATCCATCCATCCATCACAGTGACGTTCCCGGGTAATGTTGCAATGCACACGCCCCCTTTGGTAGGCCGAGTGTGCTTATTGCCATGAGCCTCTAAAGACTGGAGGCACGTTTTGTCACATTCCAGTGAGCACTTGTGCGGTAGCTCAAAACAGGCACTGCTGCTTAGTAGTCGGGTGGTTGATGTCTGTCTATACGAACGCTGGAGCTCTCTCAAAGGAATATTCAACATGACCTCCATAGTATTTACTTTGTATGCAGTACCTAAGACGTGATAGAGAGAGTATGCATATACAGCACCTAACATGAGCTCAGCTCAGCTCACGGTCTCCTCCATTGGCCCTCAGCATGTCATCCTTCCACGTCATGAGCCCATGCAGTCGTATATTACCTGCACTGTACCTTACATGTACGGTACATGTAGGTGAATGCAGTCCAACCCCCATGTCTCATTAGTCCGCATGCCATCCGCATGAACAGATCCTACTGGCAATCTACTAACACCACCTAGTCGGATCAGTGGCCTCCATATGGGCTAGCCACCATCAAGGGTTCTCGACCGTCAAGGGTCTCATGGGAAACCCTGTGGAATCTGGACCAGTAGGGCCATTTAGCAGCGGTTTAGCACTCGCATCTCTCCGGAAGTTGAAGCCGCGTAATGGGTTAGTGCTCGCAGCTCCTTCACGTTCTTCATGCAGCCTTACCACTATGGTAGCGATTCTCCGCCAGACGCGAGAAATTGTAACATGAAAATGAGCCGAGATGTGGCCAGCCGAGTACGTATTTGCGTGAAGCTCGTTTATTACATGCAAGATAGGTAGCGAGGTTGGTGCTACAGAAATCTACATGTACTTTAGTACCTGGTAGTAGGCACAGACTTGGAAGAAGTCTATCAAATTGATTCCTCTTTGAGCGAGGAGGTGCTTCGAACCAACACACTTAGTACTTGAGCTATACTCCCTAGTAGGTAGTAGCACGTACAGTATATGAGTTTAAAGCACGCAGCCCTAAAAAGGCCGAACCCTGTACCTGGGCCCATGTCCCTACTAAGTGGTTAGTGGTTCGGATATGATCAAGCTCGTAGGACTTGAGGTTTGTAGATGTGGTGGATGCTGAACGGCAGGATCTCTCTGCTGATCCCGAGCCTCGTGTCTCTCTAGGCTGAACAATCTGATGCATATTATCTTGGACGCTACGCTTGAAAGGTTATAAGGCTGCTGAATATTAGCAAAAACAGGAAAGCCATCTTGAAAGAAACAACAAGTCCTACTGCAGCCTCTTGGAAGGCAATCGGGCATCGTCCGGAGCGAACTCGCTATTCTACTCTGACTACTCTGACCTACTGCAATCATGCTTCGTACTGCTTACTACATTTAGATTAATAGGCCGCCAGTAGGCATCTTTTTATCCTGTGTGATGACTGCATCTCGATTTTATCCGGGCGGATTGTTTTTCGGCGATATCGTTGGGCGTAAGATTGTGTCGAGTTTACCATTCTCCCATATCAAGTCCTGGTGAGTACGGCACCAGTAAGCCGGAAATATCCACCAATATTACGATTGAGCATCTTATTAATGAATCGGCTGTCTAAAGCTGCCCAGCGAGGACATGGGTTGATATTGGGCTCAAAGTTCTCCGAGAGGCATGTCGGTGGGCTTCAAACAAGAGTGTCGTCATGACACTCTTCTTGAAAACGATCACAGCCTGTTAACAATAGACTGTTTCAAATGGTGAATCGATTTATCTTTACCAAGAGTCCACCATTCATGAGGACGCAATAGGAAATCTCAAATCCTTCTCGGTAGGCCCTCGATTTGTAAGAGCTGAATGGCCCTGCAGAGCGCCGGAGATTGGAATGTTTGAGGTTCTTCCAGCTGAGTAGCAGGGGCCCTTGCTTCAGTTCTTCAGCAGCAAAGGGTGATATCGGCGGTGGAGCAGAGGCCATGGTGATGCTCGAGCCTTTTGGGGACACGGCTTGGGACACGGCTGGGCGGATCAGCCACGGGGACATGCTTATGGGGCCGAATGCTGAGACGAATTGGACTGGGTAATCGCTTTTCGGCATTCCTTTTCGGGTCTTCTACTTCTGGGTCCTCCATAGGAATAAGTTCCTGCTGATTCGGCGCTCTTCCTTCTGCTAGAGATGGCGTTCACGAGAATCACCCGCATTGTGAATAAGCGTCCACGGCCAGATCCGGCGTGGTGGATCCGGCAGCCGCATCCGTAGATCCAGTACTCCATGGAAAGAACTTGGGCTCCTTGCACCGGTAGAATGTTGATGTTGTCTCCAGTTCCGACATGGCATAAATCGGATTCTTTGTGATTACAGTACAGGTTAAAGGAAGAGAGATGAGATACGGGGCACAAAGGGTGAAGTTGGTCAAAGGATGGATGGTAATCACGTGGCTTAGCCTGTTTCAGCGTGTGATGCTGCCAGGTATTAAACTCATCCGTTGCTAAGGATGTACGACTTGTTTCTTATGTGAAACCGCAAGAGAATTCGCCAGTGCCAGCATCGCAATCTTCAAAACTGATCATCATTGCCACTGCAGGTTCGAATCCTTGCTGTACTACCTGCAAGGCATCAAAGAGTCACAATGAAGATACCAACTCGTTAGCTGTACTCCATTGTCCTATAAACTAACGTCTCCTTAGCACCAGAGACTTCAACAAACCAACACCGACCATTCTACGGCGTTGCTCAATCATCCAACTCGTTTTAAGCCACGTTCTTTGAATACGCCAGCCTAATCCAACTGCTGACTAGCATGGCATTCAGTTGTCACATTTGACCTGCGCGTAAACGTTATCCTGAGTATGGGGTAAGATCGATAAAAAGATGACACGAACCAGGTGGATCGTGGGACCCCTTGTTTAAAATTCCATCAAAAGTTGCAGAAGCGCATCTTGAAATTCAACCTTTCGGGACATGATCGTCTCCCATGCCCGGTACCTGTGGATGGGGCTTGGGCTTGCTTGGTTGAACCAGTCAACCAGTATTGATGCATGTTGAATCCCATCTCAAATCTATTGTTGGGCTGGTCTTTCATCTCATCAACCTCCAACATCCCGTCTCGAGCTTCCCGCGTTCAAACCAAAAAGTCGGTGACGGCATCAAGTCCCATTATTCTTGAATTTTTCCCATCGTCAAAGCGGTAGCAGATCACTCCCGCGTCTGTGCGCTCTCAAAGCAGAGTATATATATAGAACATCCCATCCTATAAATATTCTAGCTGCATCATGCGTGAGTATTGCGGATTCCTATTGTCCACCGCGCCAATCGATCTGCCTTTGTTTGCTCGTGACCAATCGCCATGTTGGGCAAGATATGCTAGCCGCACGGGCTTCCTATTGTTTGAGAGGACGCAAGCGCGACTTTTCTTGTCTGATGATGCTCGAGGGGGGGCGTGGGATTAACCCTGGCAGAGGGGTGTCTTCATGGACTGTGGCTCAAGCCAAGGGTCAAAGCCGTCAACATGCTTGGATCCAGCCACTCTATAGGCGAGAGCATCCTTGCATGGCATCTGGTTCTGTTCTACAGCACAAAACACAAGACAGACTCATCGCTTGCAAAAAGGATTCCAGACAAAACGCTACTACTGTACAGCTAGCGAGAGAGCTGCTTTCCAAAACCAGCGTCCATCCCCCACTCCATAACGGAAACTACATATAAGCAATCAACCTCTGACCCCCGGGCTTCCGTCTTCCGGCTTCCGTCTTCCGTATCGGTCGCAAGCTCCGAGCACGTGCTGTGTCCATGTCTTCAACATCGCCAGCCCCACCTCAACCGCCTCCACACCGTCCCATGTCCAGAGTTGTCGGTATCGCAATGGGGCATATCCCCATTCCAGAGCCCAAGGCAAAGGTTAGTCGACGGGGCACGCAGCGTCTTAATCCGTATGGAGTCTGTTGTACAGAACGACGGCTGCAGGGTGTGGGCTTTGCCCATGCTTTGCAGTAATTGTACGAGTACCAGAATCTCCGCACCCGTGGGATTAGTGCAGATGCCCCTTACTATATGCCCTTACGCAGGCTCAACCTCAGGACTTGCCACTAGACTGCTCTTCGATCAATTTCCGCCCGACCAAGATTGTGTCCTGCATGCCTCGCTGGCGTTGCCAAAACCTATGAATCGTGTCAGCCACAACTGAGTCTGCCCGACTTGGCATGCGAGGCTGTCCAAAAGCCAAGCAGCAAGTTTTGATACCAAGTCTCTTACAATTCTTCGGGGGATCCATGCCCATGGATCGAGGCCTGCCTGGCTTCCTCCTCTAACGATTGTCTAGTGATTTGCTCCGTCGTTTCGACCCCTGGAGCGGCGAGTGTGGCCTTCTCATCCGCCACGTGGCCGACCGTCTCCTCCAGAAGCTTCTTCCTCATTTGGAAGCGCTCCTTTCGCTCGTTCTGGAGGCCAGGGCTCTCCACCTTGCTCATGACATACCTGACGGCGAGCTGAGCTGCAAAGTAGAGATGTTCGGCTAGGAGGATGCTGAGGAGAACACCGCCCGCAGTAATGTACGATACGGAGCCGTCTTGCTTGTCACCGCTGCAGAGATAGACAATTGCAGCGCTGGTGACGCTGCCGAGCCATGAAAGGAAGCCCAGAGCCGTCAACCACGGTCCGATGGAGTCCGCTCGCCACGGGATGGGTCTGCGACAGCCAATGACAATCTTCAAAGCGTCGGATCGCAGCTCGACCCAGTTGTTGAGAAGGAAGAAGCAGGCCGTAAGAGGCCATGAAACGGAAAAGAGGGAGAGATAGCCTGATCAAAGTTATTAAGGGTGTTTCTTCATGGCAAAACGCAGTGCATAGTCTCAACTCACCATACTGCATTACCATCTCACGATAATCTGCAGTAACATCGTAGACTTCCAGCCCGGTTTGGTTTCGTACACGTTTCAAGAACTCGGCTTCTTCGGGCTGATCGTTGGATTTTACCGCGTCTTTGGACGACAGCTCCTTTGCTTTGACAGAAGCTTTGTGCTTGATGTAGGGTACAACGACCTCAGTAAGAGTATTGATGATTTGCGCCGTGACTGTGGTGTAGTACATTTGGTTGGCAATTCGCTGGGGATTAGCCTCAAACTCGCGCATGGTCAAGGGAACCTCGCTCATCGTAAGAGTCTGCGCCGTCTTGCCCCAGAAGTGAAGGAACGGTTGTAGAATGTTGCCAAAGGGAATATAGACAAAAGCAGTAAAAGTCAACGCCATATACGAAGTCATGAAGTTGAGTACAAACTGTTTTTGAACCAGAGCGGCGTGGTGTGCTTGAAAGGGTGTTTTCATTAGTTTCAGCTCGAAAGGTCTTGTTTAAATGCCTTTGATTTGTACACGTACCATCCATGGTATCATAGTTTTCCTTTTCTGTCAATTTCTTGGCAGCAGACATGAGGATGGTCGAAAAGGTTGGTGTCAAGGTCGCCAGCAAGATGGATGGAAGGAAGCCCTATGTGACAAAGGTAAGCATTAAACATATGATGGATAATAAAGATGAGATTGGGTTTTCGGAGTCAGAATGGCATGCTCACCAGATACTTCTTTCCTGGGCCGGCATATACTTCATTGATAAAAATCTCCAGGGAGTTAACTGTAGCCACAAGCCCGCCAAGTACAACGACACAAGCTATCGCAAAGGGTATCTGAAGAAGCTGAGTCTGCAGCCGCTTGGCAGGATTGTAGACTTTGACGGGCTCTCCCGTAACCGAGTCCTCCATTTCAAAGTCCCACTGAAACTCAGGTCGTGGATGCTGTATCTTTGAGACGCCACGGACACCCCAAGTAATGGCCAAATCGGTTTCCTTACGCTTCCAATATTCGAAAAAGACGACGGACCAGAGACAGCTGCAGATGGCATAAAAGGTAGAGAATTGTCCCATCAGCAACCAGGCAGAGAAGCCTACTACCGCCGGGAATATTTGGAAGCGGAAGTAATCCTTAAGAAAGGCAAAGTAAAAGGCAACGCCCTCGCCAAACTTGTCCCGAATTTCGTCCAAATCGGATTGTTCCAGGACATACTTCTTGCCCCATTTGTGCAGCCACTCCTTGTTGAATGCATTGTTGTGAAGCGGGAAGATGGCTTCAACGTACTTCCACTGACCATGCCCTTGCGTGATGCCCGCACCGCCATCATTTCGGGACTCGGTGATCAAGAGATACACTAGCCGCAGCCTCTCGGCCTCAGTGACGGGCTCATCTCGGATTGCCTGCGTGACATCGTTGCCGGGGCCGGAGATGCGCACACCCTGCAGCCAGTCCTGGAGGCGAGAGCTGTAGACCTGCCGGGCCAACAAGTCATTTGAGGCAAGCCTGGTGAAGACAAGAAGGGAGTCCTTGTCACCGCAGCGAACGGCAGTGGTGAGGCCGATATTTGTGAGAGCTTCAATGAGCTGAACAAAGGCGGCCTCTGCCTTGGCTTTCTCTAGAGTGGTGTAAGCCAGTGCAGGGCAAGACTGGTTCGAGTATCAGGATGGACATACCATTAGGCGGCACTCGGTAGTGAATCACATAATCAACCCTTTATTGTTTCAACGCGAGCCGTTGGTTAGAGCATGAGATGAAGAGCTGGAGATGACTGTCACATGCTCACCCAAAATTGCCCTCCAATCCATGATCCTCCCCCTTACCGTACAAGCCCCGCAGGCTTGACATGGCGATGACGTCGGGCACGAGACAAGGACAGGAGCTCGAAGAAGTCGGTTAAATGGATAGAAATGAATTGATCTTGACAATTGACCGTATGCAGCACTGGGACGCGTGCGTGCGTACAAGCTGTATGCAGTTATACTCGTAGGGGGCTGCAAGTGAGAGAGAGAAAGCTGAGCTGCGTATGTGGTCAATCGATAGCAAGATTGCACAGGAGCTGTTGTGGGGATGGCGGGCAAAGACGTCACTGGCCGTATGGCTACCCTGTAGGGATTAGCTCTGTCGAGAGTCAAGGTGGTGAAATGCTCTGGGAGACAAAGAAAAGAAAAAGTTGATGAAAGAGATGCGATAAAAAAAATTGAGAAGAGCGGCAAAATAACAAAGATAAGAAGACGTGTATGGCCCTGTTCAGCTGAAAACCCTCGTCATGTGAAGCCATTTCCAAGCCATTGACGATCAGCTAGAATGGTACCCAGTAGATCCTAGATCAAATCTCCAGACGAGCCGGGCTAAGCCTCTCCCGGGAAGGGCTAGCGTTTAGCCAATCACGGAGCAGCATTGACACCATGAGCTCATCCCTCTTCAGCTCTTCAGTGCGTCATGCCCTCAGCCTTTTCATTTCATACAGCATCTGATACTATACTTGATAAATAGAAACACCACAATGCTGGCCAATTTCCACTGATTCTAGAATCAGCATCTCCAGCGCTGCTTTTGCCTTCGTCATGGGCCTACTCACTTTCCTCGGCCTCCGCCGGGAGAACCAGTGGGAGCGCCTCACACTCCTCGACCAGCTGCTCCTCTCACCACTGACTTTCATCACCATCAAGCTCTATCACATCTTACTCTTCCTCCGAGGCAAGCCGTTTGTTCCCCCTCGCGGCAAGCCAGCTATTCGAGTCGTCTGTATATCCGACACCCACGACCAAGTGGTCAATATCCCAGCCGGCGACATTCTCATTCACGCAGGCGACCTGACCAACTCTGGGACCGCTTCCGACATCCAAAAGCAGCTCGACTGGCTGAAGAGCCAACCCCATCAAGTGAAGATTGTTGTCTGTGGAAATCATGACAGCTGGTTTGACTCGCGGAGCCGCCTTGACCCAGACATCAAGGCTGGTGCTGTGGTGAACCTGGACGGACTGCATTATCTCGAAAGCGGCTTGACTGTGCAAGAGATTCACGGGCGTAAGCTCACCATCTTTGGCGTGCCTGACATTCCAGAATGTGGACCGGAGAGTTTTGCGTGAGTTTGCTAACGAGAGACACTTCGTTTTGGGTTGGGGCTTTTGGAATGCTGACTCGAATATAGGTTTCAGTATCCGCCTACCAACTCCCCGTGGTTTAGCAGAATCCCTCCACAGACCGACATTCTAGTGACTCATTGTCCTCCGGTACGATGCCTGTCATTTTGTGTCTTCTACAAGATCGGCTTGCTAATGTGTCTCATCTTAGAAACATCACCTGGATCTCGGTCTCGGCGACCCTCATCTTCTTCAAGAGCTCTGGCGTGTCAAGCCACGACTCCACGTTTTTGGCCACGTTCACTGGGGTTACGGCAAGGAATCTGTCTTCTTTGACGAAATGCAACTTGCCTACGAGCGGCTGCTCTCTCGGCCTCCCCGCGGCTTCTTCTGGGACTTTATTCCAAACGCCGCTTGGTGGGATCACTTCTACGTACTGCTGCATGGAGTCCATGCCGTGTTATGGAAATGGATCATGGGAGGCCCAGGAAGCAACACTGGTGGCCTTCTCGTGAACGCTGCACAGATGTATGGAAGCACTGGCAAGGTGAAGAATAGGGCTGTGGTCGTAGATATTTAGCCTTTTTTTGTGATATGAAGCCTGAAAACAGATATATGAAAAAATGATGACAATATGATGAAGATGGGTAGGGGGATATGATGCAAATACTACTATTAAAAATCTGTCAATTAATCCTAAAAAGCTACATACTATACTAAACAAGAGGGATTCCTGGAATTAATGCTGATACAATGCGCACTTTATGCTGGGGGTATTCTGTATACAAAAGATATAGGCCCGTCTCGAATGTCAATGCTATGTTAGTTATCCTCCTTTTTTTTTTTTTTTGTTTTTTTTTGTCTTGAATTTGAGTCTTAAAATACTCTCATGAAAAGAACCAGTATACTCAGCCCCAAAATTGCCAGGTATTTCTCCATTCCCCCATACACTGTTGATGCTGCCGCAACAAGTACCACCGGAGGAGGTAGTGGATGAGTGTTGTTATGGTTATCATCGTGTGATGGGGGAGGGTGGGGAGGGTCATGAGGATGGTAATCACCGCCATCGTGTGGAGGGGGTGGAGGAGGATGAGAATGATCATCGCCATCGCCATGTCTAAGAAGGGGAGTAGGAGGAGGAGGAACAGGATCAGAAGGAGTCCAAGGCTTCGGTTCGACGGGCGGCAACCAAGTCGGTATCACAATGGCTTCCTTTGTCGTGATACTCTCAGGGCATTCAACAACCGTCTTCGTCACCGGAACCACAATCTCCGAGATTGCAGGTTCCGCTGGTTTGCCTTTTTCCTCCCCTGCAGAGGGAATCCAAAAGGCGTCTTTCATGCCGCCTTCATTATGATCAGCTCCGTGCCCATCTGCTCCATGGTTGAACCAATCATGCCAATCTCCGTGATTGTGCCAATCGTGTCCATCATCCTTGTCTTGGTCATGTTTCTCATCCTTTTGGTCACCCCCTTTCCAATCACCTTCGGACTTGTCATCATCATGCCTGTCACCATCATTCTCACCCTTTCCGCGATACTCCTCCTCAGATATCGGGAAAACAGTAACCTCCACCACCTCAGCGACCGTCTTGGAAAACTCCTTCTCCGGCTTCACCCCCGTCCAGTTCGACCCCGGCGCCATCGCTGGCGGTGCCTCGACCTTCTCCTCTTCAACACGACCATACACAGTAAGCGCATGCAGCGGCAAAGTCTCCGAGACAAACTTCCCGCTCGGCCAGTCAATGTCCTGGGGCGTAATAATGCCGCCGCAGAACTCGAGCTTGTTTCCCGGACACTCTTTGTTGCACAGGCCCTCCTTTTCGGTCGCCCTGGTTTCATCATCAAGATTATCCGCGCAGAAACAGTGAGAGTCGAAGACGCCGACGTAAGTCTTGTTGTTGCAAAGCTCGACGCAGCGCTCGAGAGTCAATTCCTTGTTATCAGCAACCTCATGGAATGTTTGGAAGCCGGTGTTTGAGTAGAAGCAGCCCAGATACGAATAGTGATCGATCTTGACGGGATTGACAGGTGCTTTGGTTGCTACCGGTTCAATGGCATAAGTTGTTGCAGCAGGGACATCCCCAAAATGCGGAACGTAAGACGCATGCCCAGTAGCGTGTACTGTCACATACTCGGTCCAGTGAGTTGTCTGTGTTATTGTCGTTGTACGCCCACTATCGTCGAAGCCTGGACGGCTTGGGTTACTTGGCCGCGGTTTGCGGATATGGGGACGGAATTCGTAGGCATCGATGTATTGCACGTCCCAGTATGCGTTGGCAAAGGCCTCTGGATTCTTTGCCACGTATTCATCGCATGTCGGTGCAAAGTCGTTGCATTGATCCGTTTTGCCCCAGACTGCGTCACCGTAATCTCCGCAGAAGTTCTGGTGTATTCTGGTCAGTGTCCAGTTCTCTCGCTTCTCAACTCCCAGGGGCTGATGTATATGGGCATGGGTGTGTTTATGTGTATATGTATGGATATACTCACAATATTGAGGACCAGTCTCATATGCTTAAAATACTTGTCCACACCACATTCTGAACCTCCGAAAATAGCTATCGGCTGCCCCCATGTGTCAGGATCGGGCTCCTTCTTCTCGATATCCCTCGGAATCAACCCGCGAGGGAAGTGCCAGATGCGGATATGCACAGGATCCCACTCCATGGCATAAACACCTCCATGAGCGGCATTGAATCCGTCGCCATAAGACGATACGTCTTCAGACGAGGGGTTAAAGCCGCAGCCAATGTTGTCGGTGCCCACAGCACATTGTCTGCTTAACTGCTCGCCACTGAAAAGCCCGTTTATGTCATTGCCTTGAGTGCATCCGTCTGATGTGTGTGCCGATATGATGTTGGTATGGGCTGTGTTGACTCCTTCGATAATGTCAATTTCGCCATCAAATGGCCAGTTATCACCATACGTCCAGACTGTTTATAAGCTAGAGTCAGTATCATGAATACCTTGACCGTGGGCATGACAAGGAACTCGTGCAGAAACATAAACTTACATGCTGGCCACAATCCACACTCTGAAGGGGGCATGTGTAAAAAGTCGGCAATGAAAAGGCCATGATCATACGTCTCCTTGCTCTCGATTCTGATACTCGGCCGACCCCTATCTGTAACGGAATAACTGTTCGTGCTGTCAACTCCTAGTCTGACAACTCCTGTCCTCTCATCTATATGGTATAAGCCCATAGACTCGGCATCTTGCCTGCTTTGATAGCTGCATAGAACAGATAAGTGTCAGCTCAAGAAGCAAACTCGATAATTAGAATGGTGTCGATAAGTACATACGAAACAAATCCGTGAGAGGGATCTACCCCATCAAACCAGTTGAAGCTGGAGAGGAGCGACTCTCCAGAATACGATGTGGATAGAACGTACGCCATCCTCAATCGGCAGCCGCACGGAATTTGATACTGCAGCTTTGTTGAAGACAGCTTGTCGTGAACAAATAAAAGGGGAAAGGATAGAAGCCATTTTTAAGAAGAGAAAAAGGCATTCACACATTATATACACGAATATCTCCCAAAGAAGCCGCACTCACGCCCTGGAATGTCGCCTCTCGTCCATCACCGCATGGCTCCCAACTCCATAAATAAGTGAGACACACTATAGCCATGCTCAATCCGGACACCCGACAGGCATCGTGGCAGTGAATTGCATTGTTTCCCCGGGAGACTATCTTGTCTCTGCATTGTCTAGAGCGGAATTGGACAGTGGCCAATTCCTGGATGCCTCGTTGCCGAGCAGTCCAAGACACAGAAGAATGGTGCTGCGGGCAACGCACACGAGAATCATTCCACAAGGTGAGACTTTCAATTCACGGAGACACGACAATGGTCATCTGTCGCGTAATGCCCAGACTTTTGACGCGTGCCAATGAAAAGGTTTAATTGAAACAAACACGTATTTAGTAAACCTATTCAAGTCGGGTATTTCGCCCAAGTAACGCCCCATGATATGCATCGAATTTTTGCCCATATCCATCTACATTTGCTTCCCGCTTGCTTAGATCTTTGATGTACATGTTCCTTATCGTACATGCCGAATTAAACTCTGCTTGCCATGTTATAATATCCATCTCTTGTACATATAAGATACCCCCAGGTATCATCCCTGACCTTGCCTCTATTATTAATGTGCTCCTTTATACAATGATCCTTCTCAGGCCTTCTGTGCCGCCGAGCACGCGTTTCCCAGTAACAGCGCATCGCCCCTGGCCGCTCTCCCACTTGCCGTCGCGGTCTTCCATGAATTCCTCCTGCTTGGGGTGCATGCCCTCGATCCATCGGTGTATGCACGTATAGCAGTAGACAACACCCGTCTGGCAAACCGTCGGGGTGACAATTTCACCCTCGCAAATGGGACATAGGGACGAGTCCTCGGGAAAACGAACGACGAAGATGGGGAGCATGGACGGTGTTGCAATCGGCGCCTCCTTCTCCGTAATGGCCAGGTCTTTTGATTCCTCTTCCTCAGACTTATCATCCTTCTTTTTCTGGCCAAAAGAACCCTTGCCAGACACAATGGGGGGAGGCAACTCGATGCTCTCAGCTGCCTTTCGCGACAGCTGCTTCGCAAAGTCTGACTGGTACCACCACTCGAGGAACTTGAGTGCGAAAATACTCATGGGCAGCAACAGAGAGAGGCTGGACATGGCCCTAGACGCCAGCTCCTTGGGCGTCGACAGCAGAGACCGCGGGCCGGGCTTGGCACCGTTGCTCGCCGACTCGGAGAGCTTGTCAATGGCCTGGTAGTCGGCCATAGTCATCCTCCGTATCCTTGTGCCGATGAGCCACATCAGCGGGTTATGGTATTTGGTACGATCGAACAGGTAGGCAAGGTTAAATGCAAGCATGGCAAAGCAGTAGGCCGCGTTGACATGCGGATAAATGTTGCGCAGAAACCACCTGTAGTAGTGCATGAATCGATCGCGCATAGTCGGATTCTCGGGCATCCGCGTGTATGCCGCGCCCAGCAGCGCTCGGGGAGCGTTGATCTCGTACGACTCGTCCAGCTTCCGCTTGAGATACGGCACGCCGACCAGCACGGCCAAGTTCTGCCACACATCCCTGGTGGTGAGCTTGAGCGTCTCGCGGACCAAGTGCGGCGCGGCAAGGCTCGCCCTCGGGATCTCGCCGTGAAGCGCCTTTTCGCGTTTCAGGCCGTAAAAGTTCTCTGTAAAGGAGCCGCCTCGGGTGCGCAGGTAGTGGCGCTCGACGGCCAGCATCAGCAGCGCGTAGAGCTCGTCGAAGGAGTTGAGGATTCGGAGCAGGTATCGCGGATGGCGGTGCGTGGCGACGGTCAGGAGGTATCGCAGCGTCGGCGGTAGCAGGCTGTTGAGCTGCTGCTCGGAGAGAACCTCGAAAAGCGAGGGCTTCTGGCCGTCGAAGGTGCCCCTGAGGGCCGTGATGAACTCCATGGCGGCGGCTTGCTAAGCTGCTGATGCTGCTGCTGCTGCTTTGCCGCTGCCAGTTGCAGTGTCAATCTGATGCCGCCGCCGTCGATGGATGCCGTCTTCGGTGTATGAACTCGCAAGAATAAAGAAAAAGCGAAAACGTTGCGGAGATTGGGGGAGAAGCAAGTGTCGATACAGTACAGTGGATTGGCGATGATGAGGTGAAGATGCTAGGAGGAATACCCAAGAGGTACATCTGCATTTCGGCATGGCGCGGTCCACGCACTAAGCCTATGACGCTCAAGCCATGTGAAGAGCCTCGGTAAATGCCGCCATCTGCCCCAGATTCCCCGGAAACGATGATTTGGTGCGAGCGATGGAAGTAGATGGACTTTATGGAATAGAATATTGATTGATGTAATTTGAAGTACCGTGGTATGTTAAGGATGGTTCTTTGCTTGAATACATGAGGAGACATTGCCAGAGCATACCAATTCCATCGTCTCTTCACATGATGCGGTACATCCACACTCATGAATATCTACTTACCTATGCACTACCGGTTTATCCAAGACTCTGGAGGTCTGTTAAATGATGGATACTCTAGTTGTTACCTCCATCTAATATCAGAGCTTTATCCAAGATTGATTTCTTCGTCTCATCGGCACAAATGCTACGGTACCATTCGCTGTTCAAGTCTTACACGCGGCTAAGAGATCATGAGAGGCCAAATTCGGCGCTAATAAATACAAGCTCCTGCGCTAGTGAGATCCAAACCGAGGTTCATTCATTCCCCTGCCCAATCCGACACTTTCCCTTCTCGCTCTCACTAAATCACGTCCACTTCACCAGACATCAACCACCACCGACTCAGTCGCATTTGCGCAATTGGCAATCAAATTGGCACCAAATAAACATTGTGACACTCCTAGGCATCCGGTACTATCTGCATGCTAGTTAGATCGAGTCAAATTTAGAATCTCTGCACGCATCTAAGCCAGCGCCGCGTCCCATCTCATCTCATCTCATCAGATACTCTTACATCTCAAACCACCTATCATTCAATATGAGCAACAACGAAATTCCTCACGAAGATACCGACATTGGTAAAATTGAGGCTTGGTTGAACCACTTTTCTCGGAAAGATGGCGAAGAGGGTGAGCGGTGGATGAGCAGCCTCATGCCCAACCTCAAGGTGGTAGATGCGAGCTCCTCTCTACCTCACCCCAAGGTGACCTTTTCCTTCACCGTCGACAACAAACATACCAACGGCTTCGGCAACTTACATGGGGGATGCTCAGCCTCGCTACTTGATTTCTGCACCTCCATGGCCCTCGTGCTCGTCAGCAAGCCCGGCTTCTGGCAGACCATGGGCGTCAGCCGTACCCTCAACACCACGTACATGCGCCCCGTTCCCGCCGGCATGGAGGTGCTTATGGAGTGCGAGATCCTGCAAGTTGGAAAGAGGTTGTGTGCTTTACGAGGGACAATGAGGAGGAAAAGTGACGGCGAGCTCCTTTGTATTTGTGAGCACAACAAGGCGAATGTTGACCCGGAGCCTTCCAAATTGTGAAAGAGCAGGACTACTACGGTATTATAATATAATATAGACTCACTCAAGATCTTCCCGTTAATAAAGTATCAATTGTATACCGCCATAAAATTTTTTTCTTTTTCTTTCTTGTCTTTTCTTGCCTTTTCTTGTCTTTTTTTTTTCTTCTGTAAGGAGGGAGTGCGTTTGTAGAATCCAAGCAGTAGCTTAGTGATGGACCCGTCAAGACCCCATTCACAGCTGCGTACCTATGTGAATAACTGTCAATACATGCCTATTGTTATGCAGTTGCAGATTTGATGCCTGAGGCTGCTGTAGAAAGAATTCACCATAAAGCTTCTCTCTCTTTCCACCTTTTCTTTTCTCTTCCTTTCTCTTCACCATCAATCAACATCTAGAGATTCAACCACATTCTATCAACAATCTCTCATCTCTTTCTCAACATTTCATCCCCAAAGGTAATAATAGCCACCCGAAACCACATCTTTCATTCATTGACACCATTCTGACTTTCCCCCCCTCCCCCCTTTCCAGGACCATCTACCGACGCCATGGCTAACGAGTATCCACACCCGAGACCTGTGAGGGATCACGGTGGGATCGCAAGAATACGACGAGGGCAAGGAGAGAAAACAAACTAGAGAGCCAAAGGCACTGAGCTGGGTTTTATCTTGATCATCACACTCTTCATATACACAGTCACATTGCCTGCTTTTGCAGTTGAGCTAGGCAAGGCGCAGAGGGAGGAAGAGATAACTGGCAGTGGAAGAGTTGGTTACGTGATCCCCAACAAGACCATTGGAGTTGAATGTCGACGACATCCAAATCAACGAGGCGCACGACCAGTATGCGACCGCCGTTATGGCTGTCGATTACTATCATCGACAAGCCGTATTAATGACGCCAGAAGAACAAGCAATCTATCTTCGGATGATTGACAAATCGGATTTTCTCACAAGTCCAAGCAATCAAAACACCCCCAGCAACAACAAGTTGTGGAAGTATCTGGTGACACAAAGAAACCCGTATTGTCGAGCGCATTTCGTTATGCTGGCCAGTATTTATGGCACCAATCGCCTCATTCGCCTTCGAAGTATTGTTGAAGGTGCTGGCGATGAATTCGAACCTGTGGATTACTTAATACTGTGAGGGATTACGGTGGGATCACAAACGAAAGACGCAGGCAAGGGAGAAAACAGACTATATTACCGAAGGCACCGAGCTTAACTGCAAGAAGTAAGCAAGCAATGTGACTGAAATCTGGTATGCGATAGTGATGAAAAAGGACTGACTGGAGCAACAGAGCAGGGAGGAGCAATAACTACATTCTCCCATCTGCTGAACACCCTCCGCGAAGCAAATATGACGGACCCCAATGCTGTGGCCACCATGAAGGTGCATGTCCTGTCCCGGCCGGACAAGCTGGAGGAGTATCTACGTTCCGAGCTGGTGGTCGCCTAGTTGCAATAGAAACATTTCAACGGGTGATAGCTATAGAATATCTCCAAGATGTCAGTTGGCACAAAATAACCCAAGTGGTGGCCCTGTATATAGAGGCAAGGGCTACCTATTCAGCACCCCAGGTTGGCTACCTCATCCCCCTGAAACTGTGGGTAAACGGTGACGGCACTTTATCGACGCTGTTCAAGGATGGGAACTATACCCTGGACCAGATTCGGCAATGGTCCGTCGACACGCTGAAAGCCCTCTGGCGAGGATCTCATATACACCCAATAATCAAGTACGCACCCCTATCTGACGACCAGTTCGAGTTCGCGAGACAGCATTTGGATGAAATCGAATATCCCTACAACTACGCAAAGTTAAAGCGTCGTAATCAGACGTAGAGGAAAGATATTCTATTTACTACCTATCTATTTCACTGGGGTGCTCCCAGACCTTAGCCAACATGAGTAGCGATCCCTCTCGAATCTCATTCAATACGACCACCGACCCTCGGGCCCCCACAGTGGCCTGGAGAGGAGTAACCATAATAACACAAGAAGGTACCTATTAATGAAGTAGATACAGTCCATTCCTTAAGTACCTACCTACCTGCTACTATCGCTACTTTCTGCTACTATCGCTACTTTCTGCTACTATCGCTACTTACTGCTACTCTCTGCTACTATTGCTGCTTTCTGCTACTATCGATACATTCTGCTACTATTAATTTATTCTTCTGGCATCTACTGTCATCACTACTTACTACACGGATAGCTTTAAATTTGAGACACAGGATGCTGCATAGGTAGCCAACTTGGGGTGCTGAATAGCCACTCCCTACATTTAATTTGCTTCAGCCTCTGGATCATAGTCATCGCATCCAAACAAAACAGCTAACGCGACTTTGCGATCATTTTCAAAAGCACCTCGTGCAAATTGCCCTAAGAATCTAAGAATAGGAATTGATAGCCATGTATTTGGTTCCCAAATTATCCGGTATCAAGGCTCGGCGCTGCTCCTGATTTGCTTGAGCAGAGCTGCGCCCAAACTTTTCTGAAGGCTATCCACTCCTCGGATGCCCAGAAGCAAGGTAGGCCATGCTCCTGTCTTGAGAAACTTTTCTCTTCGACGTCTCTCTGATCAAAGGCCACCTCTGCTTCTTTGGGTCCTCGGTTGCGTAGCACATGCCAGCCTAGGCGAAGCGAAGCTGGTGACTAGGCTCTTGTCCTCTCGCGAGTCTTAGATATTCATCTTCTCCTTGTTATTTCGATTTTGAAATAATGGAAGATGGAAAGCCTATGATATCCCATATATTGGATGCTCGACGATTGGCCCCTTTGAGAACTTTGACAAATCTCCAGCATGACACGGCCAGGGAGCGCACCATTGCAGTCATCACAAAAGTCGACCTTTTCCCTGGTTCAAACCTAGTTTGGTGGGGAATTTGAAGCTTTTCAAAGATGCTTTTTGGAACTGAAAAATATAGACATCGTTCAATGCCTGATTCGTCATGGTATGTCATCCTGCGTATTCCATGGCAGCCGCTTGAACTCTAACAATGAATAAAGACAGCGGAACAATAAATTGTCATAAACCGTTGACTTGGTCTGTGATTAACCCGGAAGGAACGAATTGTCGCCACTCGTCTTTTGGAAAGTATGGGAGATTCGACATTACACCTCATAAGGTCGATTCTAGGATAGTTCGAAATCTTTCTTGTCTCTAGAGCAATTTCTGCCATAAATGCATGAGTGTGATGGTTGATGGACCAAGTTGCTGAGCTATCTCCGTTGCCTCCATATAGGATGATGGCATAAGAATTAAACAGCGAGACCATTGTCTGTTCAGCCATACCTAGGATAGTGAGGGGTATGTTGATTGCCTCTTTGGGGGCCATACGATGAGTGGAACCATTGCGCGAATTCGGGCAGCATAACTTGACGGAGCATCAAATTCATCTGTTCTTCCCCTTCATCTCCATGAAGAACGGGCTGATGAGGCTCCATCAGTCTTTCTCTCGTCATGGGAGAGGCTCCAGCCACCATAATAAACCCTTCGGCATCTAAAGTCAAGTTGAATCCTCAGGCATTTGTCATTGCTCCCACGTCTCAGGCGTATTGCATGTGCTGGGATTGATGACACAGGTACGCGCTGTGTGCGGATGGACTGAGGTGGTCTAGCACACTCCAGTTTGGGTTCAACAAATCGGAATAGGATCCCCTGCCATTAGGATCCTCAAACAAGTGAGACGCCAAAGCGGCGTTTCTCTCTCACACTGGACCTGCCCTCAGGAATGAGGCAGCCAGCAAACTGATCTCTTTTGTAGGTCGTTTCGCTGTATTGTAATGCCACTTTGTTGAAAGGAATGTTTCTGTCCCATGCTCGGCTTGTCTTACCCAAACATGGAGTCGACTCTGGCCAATATATATTGCCGTTGAAGCTTGGGTCATCGTTTTGATGTGTATATAGCCAAAGATATATACATTTTGATCCCGGCTTAGGCCATTCCAGTGTTGCTTGAGGTAATTGACATAGTTGGTGAGTGAGTGAGTGAGTGAGTCTACGTCTCTTTTGAAGTCCTCCAACACTCTTCTTGCAGAGAGGGTAATTGCAGAAATGGTCGATGATAGATAGCTCTCCATTGAAGGGCTGCAAAGAAGTTGAAGTCGCTCTTCTGGCATTCCTAATCTTGAAAAACTTCGGCCTTTTGTTGCACATTTCTCCAAAAGACATATATATGATAATCGACAATTGTATCATCGTTGGGCTCAACAGACAGCAGAGAACATCTTGGTTGAGCATCGGATAACTTTTCAATGAAAGATCGGTAGGGGGCTCCAATGATTAGAATATTGGACGGCACAATCACTATAGTAGGACTGAACTCCGACATGTATAGAAACCAATCAGGGATGATTCGCTCACCATCAATAAATCCCCGTTTTCGAGGAAAGCCAACATAAGACCAGTGTCTGTTTTGCTGAAGGAGCCATCCTTCTTCCTTGGCGTTGATGGGAATAGTTCCATCTGCTTGTCGTAGGTGGTGAACCCGGGTCGAACGGCCTCTGGTGCAGATATTGGTCGTAGTGTCAAACATCTTCGTGAGAACTTGAAGGACCGAAGCGGTTGGGAATGTTGCCGCGAAACGCTTTTGGAATATGACTTGTTGTGTCATCGTAACAAAATGGCCGAGTAATTAACATTGCCCGTAAATCTTTTCCCTCAATTGCCTCCAGTATATGGAGGGATTGATAGTTATTGCTCCATGATTGCTGTTGCCGAGTGATTAGGCGATAGAAGTGAAGACAACAATGACGGAAGGGAAAACATCAATGCGTGAAGAAGAAATAAACGCGCAGAGATACATAAGCCTAGCAGCTGCCTCCCAACTGTAAACACTGTATGTACTTGCCTAATGATCAAGTGAACTGAAAATCGGTACCTGATTCCCAAGGCATCATATTCAACAGAATAATGAGGCAGGAACGGATGAAGTGCTGCGTTTTTTTCTTCAACCACAATAATTCCTCCATTATCGGTTGAAGGCAGTTATTCTTCCATGTTCAACGAGCGCAGATTTCCTTCAATCAACATGTCTGCTAAATTAATCGATCCATGCTCGACGATTACGGACTTCACGTTTTTTTACGTCGATATGAGCATATGCGACACAGTGATTCCACCACCGGCTGCTCCCAAGCCCCCACCACTTCCTGTATATGTTGAGCGCCGCATCACTTCACCTTCATGTTTGTCTCACCCTCGTCTTCTAATGATTGATCAATCGTATGCCAATTAATGATAATCAAAGTGGCTGAACTCCAAGAGTATGAAGAATTGAAATTGGGAGTACTTGAAGAGCGGGTAAGGAAGAGCCGCTATCAACAACTCGTCGCACACCTTGTTTATTCGGAGATTGATTGGTCGATACCCATCTCAACATTGGAAACCACGAAATCATGCCTTGTAGTAGGCAGTGAATGCCCGGGATTTATTGGAATCAATGCCCAAGCCTTTGAAGATCACTATAAAAATCGTCACCATATGTAATGGGAAGAGAAGCAGAAAAATGATGCGATGTCGAAGGAGCCGGAGGCTGAAAGTTTGGGTCCCAAGTTCCATTTGCGGCCGACGATTGTCGCTTCTTTCCACGCTGTTTAATAGATTGATTGAGAATGATGAGATAGCACCAATGTCTGTTTACATCGCGTGTTGATGATTGAGTAGTATGATTGGTAGTATGATTGCTCTTCTTCTATCATCCACCAATTGTGCAAAATACTAAACACGCCTCCCCAATACAACAATCGCCCAACCATCCCTCCCTTACAACCTCAATTGTCTAACATACATCTTAATGAAAGATTTGTCAGTATTACCATTCTATGTCGATTGTAGAAGAATATTAGAATCACAAGGCGACGATGACGTTATAAGAACAAGATGAGCATATCTCACTTATACAAGCGCCTATTTTTCTTACACCAATAAAGGAAATTAATCACCAAATAATTATAAGCGATATTAAAGATGTATAAGCGGCTGCGGAAGCTGGCCAATATACGACATGTTGACGAGCATCAATATTTGGCGAATTTAAGTCTAGAGCCCCCAGCGACAGAACAATTACCAACCTCACCCACGAATACCGCCAACATCATCGAAAATCTAGATTGATCGAGGAATCTCTCATCCACAACTCCACAGAATAAGGGATATGATGATGCTTTGTCGAATCAATAAAAAGCATCATCAACTATGGAATCTGTGACACCTCTTCCTACTACAGACTACATTGCTTCTGTTGACGAAATCGACGATAGACAAAAAGCGATGACAAACATTCCAAGTTGAGGCCACTATCGACTTGATCGACGATGTGTAAGATATCACGGCTATTGATGGAGCCTGGGGACCAGAAATCCCAATGCCCAAGGCAGTTGTAGCATGTAACTCGTAGCTGTATTGTATCTTTCTTATATTGTAAAATATATATTTAAATCATAGCTACCTTCTGTAACCGTATCCGATAACCATATCTTGCAACTCGTATAAGCCAGCAGGAAAAACATTCCAAGCCCCCTAGTTCTGTTCTGTCTCTTCGCCAGTCTCTTCGATGTGATGAGAAATCTGAATAATCTCTATTTCCGCATCCATGAGCAACGCTGGCAGCTCATTCATTACCGGCTCAGACCCAGAGTCGTCATCATCCTCTTCCTCTTCATTCTCCACAGTGTACTCCATATCACCCTCAGGGTCATCAGAGTCTTCCATCTGGATCAGTGCACTCCACAGAAGGAAATTTCTGGGAAGAACGGCGTGCGTACCGTGTGCCGTCTCTGAGTCACTGGCCTTCCAGAAAGCCGATGGCCCACAGGGGCCGTGAGGGTCGTAGTCCCTACAGAAACGTTAGTTACAAGAGTAAATTGGGTTGTCTAGGAAGAGGAGTGATATGTAGAACAGGAAATGCATACCTATCGAACCAGTTTCCCAGTACTCCTTTTCCAGAGCGAACGCCGCCTATTTGAACGCCTTCGCTCTTCCATCTCTCATGTCCCTGGAAGATGGATACAGACGTCCACCGCACCTCGCCCTCCTTGGTCAAGCCAACGGTGCCTTTCGAAGAAAAGTCTTTAGCTTCAGCAACGCTTATCAACAAAACAATCTCGACGATCAAGATACATACCTCGGAGATCGGAGGACGCATTATCATCCCATGAATCGTCAAGCGGGCGAGAGACGCCCTCATAGTGCACGATTGGCAGATCTGGGGAGAACTCCGAGTCAGGTCCGGCTTGTTCGATTTTGGTAACGTGGATTCTCATGATGATTAAACGAGTCGCTTCCCCAACATCGAGTGTGTGAAGAGGGGATTGGTCTCGTTCGGGGTTGGTGAAGTTGTAGCTAAAGAAGTCGTTGTAGTCAAGGAAGCATACAATCTGCGAACAAAGTTAGCTACTGGCCTCAGGTCACATCACAATCGAATCTAGGATGACATACCCTATACCAAGTGCCGGTCACACCATATGGATCCATGGCATCCAGGGATGATATATCGGGATTGGGGGCGGATATGAAACTGCCCTTCCACGACCCAGAGAAAGGGCTGTCCCAAACATCGCTAAAGAGCCGCGTGAGCTTCTTGGTGTAAATATTGCTTCCCAGTACAATAAGAATCGCCTCCACCTTTTCCCAATCCACTTTGTCGTCCCCGTTTGACGTGAAGGGTCCCCATCGACTCCTGGTGGTGTACTGCCGAATATCGTAGACTTTGGAGCAGGCATAAGGGTACGTCCTTGCTGACCGCAATCTTCCAGTCTTGAGAATTGGCTTGCCGTATAAGCAGTGTAGCTTGGCGCTCTGTTGCCTTTGCTCGTTATCCATGCGCACAGACGGTAACTGGTGGTGCTGAGATCTATAGACCCTCTCAAATAGAGATGACTTCTGAAGAAAGGCTTCACGGGTGGTCTCATCCTCAAATACAGCCTTGAGAAAGTCTGCATTCCGGGACGCATACTGGGTGTCGGATGTCTCCAAGGCATGGCCTGCGGAGGAGGCATGCTTCAGTAGCCTGTTCACGACCTTGTATACAAACCTCAGCTCATTCTCCTGTATTGTGTATGATTGATCAGCGCATGGTCGTTTTCACAGGTTGGTGAATCAAGAACATCAATAGTCACCTTATCTTCAACCTTGTCACGGTGACATATAATCTCCAACCTGACGACGTCATGCAGCTCCGTCTCCCAGTCAAGTCTTTCATCATCCGGAGGCGCATCCTGGATCCCATGGTCAGCTCGAGCTTCCAATACATCAAACTGAGATATCAGATTCGTGAATACACTCACAAAATGGTGCATATAAATATCCTCACACAACTTCTGGTTCCCTTTCACGAAGCTGTGAAGTGCCTTACAGACGCGGGGTAGTGACCCGAGGTCTCTCGGCGCCAGCCATTGAAGAATGTTGTGAAGGATCTCGTTTGGAAGCGTTGTCAGATGAGCCATTTTTTTCCTGTGTTCCGTATGTTGAACAGCAAACTTTGTGCAGTGCCGAAGCTGAAAGCAAAGGTGACAGGTTCCCAATCAGGCGGGCTAGGTGATGATGCCATATCTCTCCCCAACCGGCCGTGGCTTGTAATCCCTATCTCCGTTCACACACACTGTGTCGTGAGCACTATGCGGGGCGTTTCGGCGTGGGGGATCGGACCTAGTTCTTGTCCGTGCTGCCAAAACTCCGCCGGGCCGCGCACAGTACGGGGAATATCTGCCTTTTGTACTCCGTATTTATTACTCGTAGGTACTTGGAGCATGCTGGTTTCGTTTGTGGTCAAAGCTTGCATATATCCAAAGAGGCAAGTCTCCTGGCCGCTCTCATCTAATCAGAATCGGACGAATGGAGGAACTCTAAGAGGAAGCCGGGATGAATTCCAGCGTTATGGGACCAAGCAGTGAAGAAACATCGGTTGATGTCAGGCGGCTCCTGCGAGTTGTTTTTCATCCAACATGTTGATAATCTAGCATAGTGTCATTGCCGCTCCGGCGATGGAGAGAGGGTCATACTCTGGGAGAACATATCGAATACACACAATAATATACCATAGTTCGTCTCGCTGGCTGGATTGGGGGCTGATGGGATTCGTCGTCACAGTGTACAGCTTCCTCATCGTCAGTGTTTGGGACAGCAAAATTCATCGTCTTCAGGGTCAGGCGAGTGCATTGGGCAATCTTCGGTCCCGGAGCATAGTTCAGCTGCAGTTCTGTGGCGTAGGCAGGGGTAAGGCTGGCACCATAGCTGCAGAGCTGAGCACTTTGGATGCCGGGGAGGGTTACTTAGCCGGCCTGTCAGGTTACCAGAAAGGCGGGAGTTGGTATTTCGTAGTCGGAGAGAATGACCACCCACCCTCACTCGGACGCCGTCTCGATAGGATGCAGTTCAGTCTCAGTAACTACCGTCCCGGAGTCCTCCGTATGCTGACGATGTGCAGGAAGGGGCGTAGTTCTTGGAGGGGGCCAGCTGATAGGATATGATGATCATTCGGTCTACTTTGTAGGAGACCAGCACGGTGATGACAGTTGTCGTAACGTTCCCGAAGAATTCGTTGGTCCTGTAAAGGATTTGGTGGCGGTTCTCGAGGTTCACAGCAGCAAATCCGACGGCTGAGATCCGTGCCGGTGGCGTACGATGTTTCATTATGGCTCCGGGAGCTGAGCCACCTGATAATATAGTCATAGTGTAGAAGGCGTCATCCTTAGGAAGTGTAGTAGATCCTCTCCCTTGCAAGTTGGACGGCACGGCTTGGGTATTTGTCACCAAGGTTAGCCATGCGCGACCGCCAGTGGTTCAGATGCCGATTATTGAACATCCGCAGAGTTGGTGATCAAGTTCAAGGAGTGTTAGATTTAGGACGGCAATTCAACGAGACGCACAACAAGCCCCCGCTGTCAAATATCGACGATTATGTATATCTGTCGCCCCCAATCTCACATGTCGGAGAATGACCATCTCTATGGCTGACCAAGAGAGGATCCCACGGCATGTCTAATTAAACTCGCAAGCCAAGTATTAGATATGCGAAGCTTATTGGGAAAATACCACCCTTCCCCCTTGGCAAGACTTGAAAGGGGGTCGTAGTGGGATCAACATGCAGCGGGGGCCTGAAGAGAGGGGAAAAGATCATCATCGAGGTCAGGTACAGACAGGCAGAATCCGGCTCTCTTCTTGTAGCCTCTTGTCCGGCCACTGGTTTGTGTGAACTTGAGCAGAGATTGTGAGCTGGCAAGGTGCCGCAATCTGCGATGTGATTCTCCTTGGGGAGAAACAGAGGGCCCCAAAGCACGCATTCACCACTGTACTATGCCTGTTGCGGTGTTATTATCTATTTGTGAGTATTCCGTACTCCATCTTCATGTTACCGGAATATTCAAAAGGCAATATCGAGGTCGAGTACATGATTAGGCAAAATGGCGAGCCTCTTGGGGTGGTAACAATGGAGGTAGGCCAATAAAAAGACCACCTCATCATGTACCCTTGCTCCATGGTCACATCTTTTGTGGATTAAAAAGGTCTTGGCCCCTATTAGAAAGCGGCATTCGATTTTGTGGTAACAGTGGAGGCCGGATGTCTCTGCCTGCTGCCTGGATATCAAGACCTGTGGCTGGCGTCGGGTGAATCACCCAGAACGTCTGTCTAGACTGCATGTACAGCACAAATGCGGAATGTTTGCTTATCTTTATACGAGAGTACCAATCAACGGAAGATTGAAACATGAGATGCAAGTTGTGGTGAAATTTGTCAAATGCCAATGCCACCAGCGAGTGGAGGTGCAGCTTCCCCATTGTGCCCCCGTTCTATGGATCGGGAGCATTCGGCCCGACAAAGCGAGATCCGATCTCTGTGTCTTGCAGGACTTGAGAAAAGCATGACATTCACAGTCCCTCTTATTACTGCCGCTGGTAGAAAAGAGGCAAATTAATTACATGTACAGAGTCCTGTAAGTCAAGTATCCTCTGCGCGAGCTCGATTGAATTAATCTCACACTAGCCTAGAACACGGCCTGTCTGGACACGGCATGTGAGGAGTCACTAATGCTGACCGAGAACCTGCAGACCTGCAGACACACGCTCAAGGTGCTTCGATTGATGCATCTGCCATTCAGCTGGCGTGGGCTCAGCAGATCCCTGCCCTGCTCCATGGCTGCGGCACGGGTATTGCTCCAACAACAATCAAGCTGCTACCACTTGGTGCCGTCTTCTGGCCTATGGGAGGCGTGTGGCTTCATGATTCTCGACCGCTAACCCCCGCACTTGCTAACGCCCCCAACGGCTTTGTGCCGGGTCGTTAGACAGAGCTAACGTCTGTCCACGCGGCATCCTTCCTTGACTTAGACCTCCCTGATCAAGGCGACGATCCATGCGAAACGGAGGTTTGTCCTCGGAAAACGTTGATCTCGGCGTCTTCCGCCTTGGACCGGTACCGACGGCCTGTTTGGACCTTGGATGCTTGGGACGTGCTCGTGTGGCGACCCGCTGCGTACATGTGCTTGTATTCGGCCTTTATTTGGCCGGTGGGATGCTGCTCCGCACTCTGGCCGTTTTACTGGCCCAAGCACCGGAGCATCGCGAGATCGATCAAGGTGCCACCAACACTGCACTTGTACCTCGACTACCCCCATGGCCTTAGCATTTTCGCATTTGGGGGTTTGTGTGTCTTACTTGTGGCTATTGCCCGATAAGCTTTCAGTCGGGCCCGCTGCAACACAGACTACACCGGGCTGCAGCCACTCAATTTTTCTCTCTACTTTCTTTTTTTTCCTCCCTTGAATCTGCGGCTTGCAAGGGAAGTCTAAACTCCACAGCGGGCGGGTTAGGCCGCGCCAGCCGATGAGGGTGACATAGCAAGGCTGAGGACAATGCACTACAAGTACGCAGAGTTGTACTGAGGATGGCGTGCGAAGGGGTGCAATGGGCTTGGCATGTGAGTCCGGCATCAACCTTCTTTTTGACATGCTCGCATTGGATACCTGACTTATCTTCAACAGGCCCTTCAGCGAGCCGGCAGACCTATGAGACGACGGCATGGCTTGAGGCGGGCGTTTCTGGGGCTGGCATAACGGCTCGTACCTACGTGGGAGTATGCTGTGCAACATGACGGGCTGGGCAAGGGTCGTGAATGGTAGGTCCATGCTAGGGTATCCCTCCCTCCCATGGCAGATGGGCATGGGTCACGAACATGGGACTCGAACCGACTGTCCCGTAATACATACTTGCACAAGCAAGAACCGATGCCTCTGTTGGCGAGACGCCGCTGCAATGCGAGGCGAGGCAGACTGCAGACTGCGTGCGTGCATCGAATAGCACTAGCACACGGAGCACGACAACATTACTTGTATGAATTATTAATGCCCTCGACGGCTGGCGTGCAATCCTGCGGAAGCTTCCCCCCAAGTCGACGGCCAAGGGTCATCAGCCGTTCGTTATTGTACGCGCATCGGCTCCCTTTGCTTCCGTCAGTTAGGCTTTTACGGCTCCCGCGTCTGGACAAAACCGTACCCGCTCTGCAAGGTGCATTCCGCCGAGAGAGCGTCGAGCTGGGAGCGACATCCAGCCCAGCCTCCACAAGACGGTTGCGCGGTTAATGCCCGGTACAGCAGACGGGAAATAAAACTCCGCGAGGTCAGGGCACGAGTACGATGCTCCGTATGGTGGATGAGATATTATGCGAGTAATGGTTTTCCTCTGCAGTATTGCAAGTAAGTGAACCAAGTGAGGCATCTCCAACAGAAGCGGCATCCATGTCCTCCGTACACGAAGCACTCAAACTTCAGCCCTCTTTTCGCCTGTCTGTCTCCAGCTTCCATCAATTCCTCGTTCCCCCCCCCCCCGTCCAGCCTTTCTCGTGCACCCAATCAGGGGTCCAGCCGCCGCATCGCTTGCAAAGGCCCGCCCGCCTCGCGCTCACTGGCTCAGGCTCCCAAATAGCGCTTGTAGGTGCATTTAGCAATTACAGTGCAGCGCTGGAGTGCATGTGCTAGGCCTGCCCAGCATGCTAGTGCCAGTAAATCCATGACCCCATGGTTCCATGGCGTGGGCTTGGGGCATGGGGCAAATGTTCCATGGGGGTCCTCCACTGTCAATCCTTCTTCTGCAACGCCCAATCTCCATCTGATCGCCCACTGTGCCCGCGCCATCTTGTCGTCCCATCACCATCCAGAAAAAAAAGGGACAGAAAAAAAAAAGAGAAAAAAAGTACGGTCGACTGCTGCATTCACCAGCGCCCAGCCCGGCCCGACAAACGGCTACGGTCGAAGCCTCGAAAAACCTGCCTTGCCCTGCTCTGTTCTGCTTTGCTCACGCAGGGCGTCTGTGCTTTGGGCAAGCTCCAGCTTTTCAGCTTCGAGGCCATCGTCGAGTCGACTCATTCAGCTTTTTCCCCCCCAGTCCCGCACTCTTCGCGCCCCTCTCCAGACGCCAGACTCCATCGTGAGCCTCAGTCTCGCCAGAGTTTCTTCTGCTACGCGCTCTGCACAGCACTGCACAGCACTGCTCTGCCCTGCCATCGCTGGCGTCGGTGCTGAGCTGAGCTGAGCCTTGCCCTGCCAGCCACACGACGCTGCGCTATCGGCTATCCATCATCTTACCCAGTCCTCGCCGAGCCTCTTCGTTCCTTCGCATGATCGGGCCCGGATCTTAACCGTTGGCCGGGTCGTTCCGTTGGGCTGGTTCTGGCAGCCATGTTGTATTGAGCGCATCCTTATAATCGCTTTCCTAGGCAGGCTGGCATAGAGGGACGTCGCCTCGCCCAGTCCCAAACACCTGTCCTGTCCTGTGCTGTTCTTTTGCGTCCCGCTTCCGCTGCCGGTCCCATCACGGAGGTCCCCGCAAGAATAGAGATCGAGGACAAGAGAGAGAAAGGAAAAAAAGGGGAGCCACTCCGAGGAGGAGTATCTTCGAGCGGCTGTTGATCGGAGACGAGGCCGTTGTGCCATTTTTTCTCTGCTTATTTTGTTTCCCGTATACCGACGCGGCGAACCGGATTCCTCCCTTGACGCTTTCCACACCTTGTTGGTGGGCCCTCGATCTCTGCCCTTCTGACTTCTCTACCCAGAAGAGAAACCGTCTCACATCAAGCAATGACTATTAGTGTTCAGTCTGCAACGGCAAAGCCAACTTTACCCATCTCTCCGGCCAGCTCCACCGCCATGGGCTCCGCCCGCGATGGAAGCGGCGCGTCGCCAGAGGACTCTGGACAGGGCCGAGCTATCAAGACAGAAAATGGAACCTCCAGCCGTGACGACAGCCAGAAGAGAACTGGCGATGATCAGAATGAGGTCTCGTCAAATTCCGAAGAGCCAACACGCAAGCGGAGGCGGAGCCGGAAGGGCCTCGAGAAGAGATTTGAATGCAACGCCGAGGGCTGCGGGAAGAGCTACTCAAGAGCAGAGCATTTGTGAGTTGACCATTTCATATGCACGCATCTACTCCCTTGGACGGTAACTGGAGTCAATGCCGCTTCTAGTTGTAGCGCCCTTGTGCCTCTGCAGAGTGCGGGATATACAGCATCCGCAAACTTCGACACCCGTGTCAGATATGCCCGGCTAACATGATCCCAGATATCGACATCAGCTTAACCACAACTCCAAACAGATTTTCCGCTGCGAGTTCCCAGACTGCCCTCGCACCTTTGTTCGAGGCGATTTGTTGAAACGTCACATGGACCGCCATACGGCTAAGGGCTCACAGCTCAACAGAAGAGACTCCATGGTTAGCCATGCGGCATCTGTTGCTTCTCCCAAACTCGCTCCTGCTGATGCCAGTCGGCCAGTGCCTGTGCCAGTGCCTATTCCTGCGCCTGCGCCCATGCCTGCATATAATGATCCCAGGCCACCCCCGCCAATACATCATCATCACCCCTCTCCTCAAGAGCCACCTGGGGACCCCTACCCGCTGATAAACAATGCCGGTCCTCCTCTATTCCCCGGCAGCGTTTCGTCTGTTGGGCATGATGCGTTCGGACATGGCGCGACTGCACCTCGCAGGCTAGCAAGCGGCCAGTCTCATGGACCGACCCGGCCGTCGATTCAGACTAATGTCGGGCCCTACGGCGTGATATCACCAGCCTCCAGTGGACAAGGCTATCATAGCCAGTCCAGCAGTACACCACAAACCGCCGGCTTTGTTCCTCAGCATAATGTTCTTCCGTTTAGCTTGCCGCCAGCGCAATATTCTCACTTACAAACGGCCCCAGCACCCCCGAGAGACGGGGCGCCGCCTCATGGAACCACGACAGCATCGGCACAGTACTCCGACGCCCACCACCATCATCCAAACGAGATGATGATGATGGATCACATGGAAATGTCAAACAGTGGGCCAGTATTTGCTGACGATGGTGTCAACAAGTCTCCGTATGTAGGGATGCCCGAGGATTTCATGGCATATCTGTTCAACTCGATGCCGGCAAATGGTTCTCCTCATCCGCAGGCGCTACCCCCCCCTCTTCTAAAGTAAGCAAAACCAAAGGCATCCACAGCTGGGATAGCGGTATGATAAGCTAATGCCCCCCCTTTCAGTTATGGCAATTCGCCGAATGGCAGTCACGGCGACCACTTTTTGGGCGAGCATTCAACTGTGGGATTCTTTCCTTCTGACCCACAAGATGTTATGGCTGTTAATAACATCTTGGAGCAGCATGCCCCTGAGGCCAATATCACAGAGGAGCGTAGCCAGGAGATTTTCGACCTGATTAGCGAACGCTTCCAAGAAGACAATGATGACATCTCCGCAAAACAACGACGCAACAGCATTCTGGGTGGCGACCGCTCTTCCGGCGAGCACATGTTAAGCAGGCGAATGATGCAAGCTTACGTCGGCTCATACTGGTATCACTTTAGCGATCAAATGCCAATCTTGCACAAGCCCACCTTTGCCACGGAGAAGACACCCAACCTTTTGCTCATCGCCATCATGGCCATTGGCGCCGCTTGTCTGGACAGAACACACGGGACGAAGGTGACAATGGCAGGCGCCGAGGTCTCCAATTTCCTTGCGGAGCACTTGCGATGGGAAGTATTCATGGAGCGCAGTTTTCGGCCTCCCGCCAAATTGTGGGTTTTCCAAACGCTGATCCTGCTTGAGCTGTATGAGAAGATGTATTCGACCAGGGAACTCCACGAGCGAGCTCACATTCACCACGCCACTACAGTAACCTTGATGAGGAGAGGACGATCCCTCATTGGAAAATCGACATTGGATTCGCCACCTCAACACAGTTCCGACGGATCGCGAAAATCCTCGGCCTCTGGTATAGCTCACACAGCGGACGAATGGTGGAACCACTGGATTACGAACGAGGCTACTCGGAGAGCCGCCTTTGCGGCCTTTATCATCGATTCGACTCATGCCACCATGTTTGGCCATTCGGCAGTCATGGTAGCTCATGAGATGAGGCTAACACTACCCTGTGACGAGTCTCTATGGAGGGCTGTTAGCAGCGCTGAGGTCGGCCGAGTCGAAGCCAACTTAATGTCCCGTGGCATCAAGCCCGTAACGTTCCTCGAGGGCCTGAAACGCACATTGAGTCACCAGGACGTACGAACAACACCGTTCGGCCGATCAGTTCTCATGGCCGGGCTTCTTAGTGTCACATATCATATGCACCAACGCGATCTTCAAGTCAACGTACTAGGAGGGGGGGTTATTCAGGCCCTTGGTGGGCGAGACAAGTGGCGGGCAACTCTCACTAGGGCATACGACTCGTGGAAGTCAAACTTTGACAAGGCGATTGAGCAAAACGAATCCGATCCGTATAGATTGGATTTGCAGCAACAAGATTTCAACGTTGTGTTTGAGAGCCGTACGGTGTTGCACCACTTGGCACACATGGCTATGCACGCTGATATTGTGGACTGCCAAATGTTTGCTCGTGCAAAGCGACTGCTTGGCCGGTCCATCGGCCATCAAGAATTCCTCAGCGCTCAGCGAAGAATCAAGGAATTTTGGGCTCCGTCTGCAAGGGCTCGTGATGCGGTGTATTACGCGCTCAAGTTTCTCTTATCCGTTCTCGTGCCCGACCAAGCTGGGCCTCCGTATTCAACGAGCCCTGACCATGACAAGCCATACGAGACTCGCGATGACGTGCTCTTAAATCGACCTTGGGTCCTCTACTTCGCGGCACTTGTCGTCTGGTGCTATGGTTTTGCCGTCGAGGGGCCTTGCCTGGCCGGATCGACGCCGGTGGGCCACCATGAACAGTGGCAGCAGATGAGAGCCTATCTCAGCAAGTATGGCGGAGTTACAGACCCAAATGAGCTGAGAAATATGCGAGGCATAAACGGCAACACGGCGTTACTCATGGTCCTAAAGGACACCTTTGACAATTCTCGATGGGAGCTGCTACATGAGGGAGCAAACCTACTACACAACTGCATCGTGCTAAACTCTGGAGGCAATGTCTTGTAAAGCTTGGCAAGCGACTGGAACATTTTTCTTCATTTATGAATTCATGGTATATCTTTTTGTTTTGATCTTTTTTCTTTTTCCTATTGGATTTTCTGTTCGTCTATGCATCACGATGTCAAGGGATACATCAGCTGGCGGTAGGAGGGGCAGCGGAAAGATTTCATGTGTGCGGATAGCTGGCGGATTTGCCTCCAACATATGGGACGGCGCATACTTTTGCTTGGTTTCAAAATACCCCTTTTTCTTGTGATGGCAATGGCGGGTTGTGTAGGGTCTTTATTTTTACGGAGGATATGAGGGAAAATAGCCTGGCTTGTTAAAAAATTGGAAAGTTTTATATGCTCCTTGTCTTCTACTCTATTCTGTGGAAAATATGTCCCTGACCAAATACGCCACCCGTCTGAAATGCAAAGTACCATCTCGTACAAACATGTATATATTAATCTCCAACTATGATGCTTCTGATGGACCCTTTGTTCAACATGCCTTGATCCGAGCGCGCGGTTTTTTCTGCGGCGCTTTTTTGGCAGCAATCTTGTTTCCGGGGGTTTTCTTTGCAACGGCCTTGCCTTTCTTTGTCTTTTCCTCTGCCTGGGCCGGTTTGGTTCGTTGTCTTTTAAGAGGGGGTGTTTCATTGTCTGCCTTTTTGATGAATATGATTCTGCGCTTTGGCCGTATGGTTTCCTTGTTTTGCTGTTTAGCCTCATCTTCATCCTCCTCTTTCTTCCCTTTTTTGATCGTTTTAGCAGCTGGCTTGGCCTTTTTCACTCTCAATCTGAGTTTCCTTGTAGGAAGTTCGTCTTCTTTATCTTCTTTGACATTTTTTGCGACAAGTTCGTCCTGTGCCCCAGAGAGTTTTGCGTTCACCTCCTGTTCCTTTTCTTGCTGCTGCTGTATGTTGCTATTGCCATTCTCCATCAAATCCCAGTCAAAGACTCCATCATATTCATATCCCAGTCGCGTCATCAGCCTCCGATACATGGCCCTCAGCTTTGCATAGTCGGGCTTGTCGTTGTACGTGAGCGAGCGGACATACATGAGGTGTCGAGAAAAGGCAGAGGGCAGGCCTTTGCAGATGAGGTCGATGGGCAGGGTGAGCTTGAGGCGGGTGATGCGCTCTCTCATGTGGTTTGTGGGCTCGTTTGCGTCGGCGCAGCCTTGCCAGGGGAGGGAGCCGCGGGCGAAGTAGATGAGCATGTAGGCGAGGGATTCGAGGTCGTCTTTGGGAGATTGGGACTTTTGATATGCCAATCTTGTTAGTGTTTTATTGGAAAAGAAGATGATAAAGGGATGGCAGAAGGAGGGGAGGATATGTACTCACGCGGTCCAGGTGAGCTGCTATAGCTGCCCAATAATACGTCCCGCAAAAGGCATAGCTGGGCGCAGAAACCAATTTCTCGTCGTGCATATAATCGCCAACCAGGCCGAAATCCAGGATATACACCGTCTTCCCTTTATCCTTGCCAAACCCCATGGCGAAATTGTCCGGCTTGACGTCCCTATGCAAGATGTTATGCGAATGAAACGCCTCGAGGCGCTGAATCAGCTGGTCGGCCAGCATGAGCGTCGTCTTGAGCGAGAACTTTCTCCCGCAGCGGTAGAAGAGGCTCTGGAGGGAGGCGCCGAGGAGCTCGCAGACCATGAACTCGTAGGGCTCGTGGCGGCCGTTGTCGTGGAGGGTTGCGATGCCCGGGTGCTTGCGGAGGAGGGTGTAGTAGAAGGATTCGGACTCGAGGTTGTCCATTTGGGAGGCGGATGAGGTTAGGGGGAGGTCTTGGAGTTTGACGGCGACGATTTGGTTTGTTTCGAGGTCGGTTGCTGAGGAGGTGTTAGTGGTGGATGAGAATGAGGGGAAGAGAAGAGAAAGAGAAGGAGGAGTGATGCGATACCGATGTAGACGCTGCCGAAACCTCCTTGGCCGATGATGCCGTCGAGTCGCCATCTCTCCTTGACGACATGTTTCTAGGGATATGAATGTGATTAGTTATTTTGTGCTTGGAGATGGGTGAACTTGAAGGGTGTGAGATGTACCTGTGGTTGTTGAGCCATGGAGAGCTATAGTGGAGGCTATTGTAGGACAAGATGTAAGTAAGTGAAGGAACACAGAGGTTGTATTCTTTTTTGGCGATTCTATGAGACAGATATATACAAGTACACGGATCATTTCTTCATCCAAGCTTTAGTCTTTTTTGTCATCAGCATGAGCTATAAGAGGAGGATGGAGACACTCTTTCATTTCAAAGCAGGGGAGGATAAAGAGAGCATCAGGAAATACATGCAACAAAGATGATGGTCTAAAAAGGGACGGTAGGTGTATCAATGCATCTGGTTGTCTTTATATTGAGCTACAAATATACAAATATAGCTGGATTCATTGTGTAAGCTCTGAATATGAGATGCTGTTCATCTCTAAGGTCTACATGCACGGTGTTGGAAATGGCCGAGGCCGAATTGGCTGTTCCCAAGCTACGAGTGTACAAGCAATCCAGAGTGGCTTGGTGCTAGGCCCAATACGGCGATGCATTGTCGGGGGCCAGTGACATCACCGATATCTTATCGCAATTCCGGATCACTTTTTTTTTTCTTTTCCTAGCAGCAACAGCAGCAGCTTTCTTAAATAATCTCTACTTGGCACAGTAAACGACCGTTGGACTCTATCTTAGCAAGAAGAATAGCGGCGGCTAAGGCAGATCCTTGACTCAGCGCATGTCTCAATTTGAGCTGATCTTCTTTTTTTACCCCGATAAGACGCTGCACAACTTGCACCGCGCTTATCCAGGCGCTAGCACCTTGCACCAGGAACAAAAAAAAATACCCACGAATAATGAAAAACGACCAGGAAGAAAGAAAATTCGCATGGCGGCGAAGCTACCTTGCAGAGTCAAAATAAAGAGGCGAGCCACTAGAAAGCAAGAAGAAGCATTGCCGAAGAAAGAGGAACAAGAAGAAAAAAAGTCAAAAGCCTGCCCTAAACAAAGCCATTGATGCAAATGCAAAGGCTAGCTGTTCAATGCACCACTGTAGGTACAAAGCGCCGCATACTGTCTGCCCGCCGGCCTGGTGTACCTACCGCACTGGGCCTAACGCCCAACTCTCCGTCCCATGTTTCTAGCGCCGCCAACCGGATTGCTAATCCATCAATGGCTAGAGAAAAAGGCACCGGAACACGCATCCACGCATCCTCTTAGACGCCAATTCGGTGCACGCGACGCATTAAATTGACCCCACCAGAAGCACCAGAAGCACCTCTCCCCCACTTGCTGATGGCGGCAGGTACTCAAGTACTCTCGCAGCGAAAGTCGCCGGCAGCGGTACTTTGCTCGGCGCTGTCAATGGGCCGGTAGCGCGTCATGCCGCCACAGTGCCGGCTCATGTTCCTGTACTCGCCGCCGCAGCGTACATACCTAGTAGTAGCGGAAAAAAAGGCGGCCATAGCAGAGTCAGGTGCTGCAAAGCCTCTCCCTCCAGGTTCCTTGTCCAGACCCTCGCTTCTCCGAACCTCGCAGCCCACACGCAAAGCACCGGCTGAGCACTTTTTACTCTGCCCATGAGATGTGACGATCGACTCTCTTTCTCCTCACTTCTTTGCACAAGCTCCGTCTCCGACTCCAGCTCCAGATCCCGCATTCTCGATTCCCGCTTCTTCGTCTAGCAAGCTTCGTTTCGTTTCGCTTCGCCTTCTCGGTCCACTTCTTCCTTTCTTCTCTCCGCCTGCCAGCCATGGCCCCGACCAAGACGTCTCGGAAAGACCACGACGAGCACAAGGCCGACGCTCCTCTCAAAGAAAAGAACGGCGGCCACGGCTCTACAAAGATGCGCCGCGGCGCAAGCCAGCAGACTCACGCTGCCAGCCGCGAGCCGATTCCCGCTCCCACATCTGTGCCCGTCCAGGTGCCGACCGAGGCCCTGCTCCCAAGCGTGCGTCTTCCCTCTCCAATCCTCACCCAGCACGTCAACAGCATCCAGCAGCGATTCTAACACAACCTCACAGCTTCCCTGGGCCTCCTTCGAGCGACGATCCCTCCACGCCTACCTCCGCGAGCACGAACTGACCACGCCGTCGTCCTACTCGAGTTCCTTCCACAATTGGGTGCTCTCGCGACCGGGCAGCTTGGGCCTATACTCTCCCACAATGGTCCGCAAGCAGCAAATCAAGCGACAGTCCAAAGACCAGCTCGCCCTGGCCGTGCGCAAGCACTTCAATGGGCTGGGCATCCAGGAGAACGATGTCATTGTCGACTTCATCTACAAAGTACGCAATCACCAGGTCGTAAAAGACCAAGGGGTGGTCAAGCAAGTCATTGTCGTGGCTGATTGACCCGATGCCTGACACATGGAGAGCTCTGGCGAGCGGCTGCATCATTTACTGGCATGGATTGGTGTTTTGGCGTTACAAGGTTCCTGAGCACGACACACCGAGATGTGTGCGTGGTGGGTAGATACCCGTGGGAGTCGGTTGGCACTCTGACGTCCTTTTTTTTGGTATTCCTTTTTTATTTCCTTCCTTCTCTCTCTCACTTGTTTTCCCGCGATGCACATCGTGGTGTGCTTTGTCGCGCCACTTGTTACGATAGTAGTACGAACGGGCCAAAGAGCCCCGTCGGCTTAGGATTGGTTGTTTTCAGCAGCATATCGGCAGGTACTGGTCTGGGAATTTACAGCGCCGCTCAAATAGAAGGGGACGAATTGGTGTTTTTGTCTATACAAGTAAATAGGTATCTTGCAGCGAATTGACAAGTACAACCTTGAGCTTAATGCATCTCCAGCTGCTTCTTGGCATGGGACCTTTTTTGCTGTTGTTTCCTAAAAAAAAGGTGGCGTGAAACATTGCATGCGAGACAAAGGAGGGACGCGAAACATGCGCAAGGATGAGAGACACTGAAGAAATTCCTTCATAGGGCACGGGCCTGGCTGAGGTGGTTCGACAATCCACTTGCTGCATGTCATCGGGCCAACCGTCTGACCTCTTATCCTCTTATCGTCGCAACAATTGGGCTTGCAGGGTAGGCGGCTCGGGATAAATGTCGGACCGTATGGCCAATCAGGACAGGATCTAGAAATGATCTCTAGGTCCAGGATACACGACTGGATATACAAGTTCACTTCATGACACTCATTTACATAGCTTAGATAGCAAGTTGTTAACATCCATTAGCAATCAGATTGGATTTAGTATACCACTCTACCACCTACTTGACACACAGAGAACGCCTGTAACCGGCCTGACCGATCCGCTAACATAAACCGGCCGTAGTATGAAAGGGTTGTCATGGGTCGGGGCGAGCGCAGGATCATGTAGTAGATATGGCATAGCTAGCAAGGCAACAATAAATTGAAGGACCCCTTTGTACTGGCTAGTGTATAAGAAGGTGGCATCCTCTTTGACGCAAGCGGCATCGTTGACCTTACCTCTGTGGTAACATGACGAGCTTTTCTCTACCATTTCCGCCGGACAGTTTGACTTCAGGAACTCTATCTAATGCTACGTCAAAATTCAGGGATAATATTCAAGCGCCTTCGATATACTCGTCGCTGCTGCAATTTCGGAATCAGAAGGCATTAGTCCTATTGTCGACTCCCATGGATCAAGTTCCCATCCTCAGTCTAACCACTACCATATAAAGGCTACGGGGACGACAAAAAAATTGAGGTATGTAGTGAATCCAAAAAAGTGCCATCTTCAACGGCATTTCGTGGGACCGCTGGGCTACAATTCATATTTTCTGGAGCTTATCGGGAGGCATCTTCCAGGAGCCCGACTTCACCAGTTTAAGCCTTCGATCCAAGATTGCAGCTTCTGCAATACATGATATTTGACGGTCATTATGATACGCTTCCATGCCACGACAAAGAAAGGCCGGTCAACATGCTAAAACAAAGAAAATATTACACCCAGCAACTAGACATCTTTAGCCCACGAAGGATCCCCTGCCACTATCTCTTATACGCTAAGAATTCAACTTGTTTCTCCAACAAATCCGTATACAAATATAGTTCGCAAAGGGATTTTTAACCTAAAACCGTTGTAGCAGAACCTCGGGCCAGCAAGAAGATATTGAACTGCTAGTTTATGACTTGGAATCAATCCCGTTTTTGTAGTCGTCACACCTGAATAGTCGACAATACCGTAACGATCTGCGCAGGACTAGGCCTGAACGTATGCACAGAATCAAGCGGCGTCCGCAGCATGGAAATCAGAACGCAGGAGAATAATATCAAAGCCGTCACGACAGAGGACATGAGTGGTAAGGATGGTGTTTATGTGTCCCCGCTACGTCGGCATTCCTCTTAATAAACCTTTGGGCATGCCTACGAGAAGGACATATATTATCATCTGTAAACACTATTACACTCTTCCTTCAAGTCATCAATATAGCTAAGACTACTACCCTACGGAAAAACAAGGCTGGGGATAAGCCAGTAGAGCAGCTCTTGATGGGAGACAATGTCCCTTTGTACGCGGTTTCAGCACACTCCAGTCTCCCAATGACTCCATTCGGTTGAGGAATGAGTGTTCAGGTGGATGTTTGAGACTCTTGTGTAGGTTTCTTGGGGTTAAATGGATAGTTGAGAGCTGCATCAGATATTTATGATTGAATTTCTAGTTGGGTGTATGATGGTGAAAGGGCGAGAGGTCATTACGGCAATACTGTGGACACGGGGAACTGGCAACATATGCACTGACATGTGAACTCAATTAGAGCATGAATTGAAGCTCTAGGATGTTACCTCTCACGTTTTATATGTCGTGCTGCTGAGCGCACTCACTTATCTTATGACCCTCAGACTTTCGGAACCCTGGCTCCCGAGAAGAACGGGTGGGATAGTATCTCATCGAACGAGAGACGGGCCTGGGCGTCGTAGGTGATGATGCCCCCAAGAAGATCATGTAGATCCCGAAGATGCGGAGGAAGTGGTGCTTCATCGCCTGCTCCATAGCCACGTTCGGACAAGGGCTTATCCAAGTTCCTCACACGCTGCTCGAGTGACAGCGGCTTGACCTTCAAGCGCCTACCTTGTGCCTCTTTCGGAGTTCCGTCAGGATGGAAGTACTTGTCTCTTGCTTCCCAATTCCTCCAGAGAGCATCGGGCGGCTTTCCCAACATGGATACCTGATCCTTCATTGCGTCGTTGTTCCATCCAAACAGCAGCTTGACAAGAGTATGGTCGGCACACAGTTCATACAGGAGACACCCGAAAGCCCATTTGTCTACTTGGAACGTTAGGTCACCGCCGAAGACGATTTCCGGCGCTGAATGGGGAGCTGGCGTCCAAATGTGGTCGAGATGCTCTCCATGATAGAAAGCAGCCCCAAGGTCGATGAGAAGGATTCTGTCGGTTGGTAGTCGTTTCTCTAAAGCGACTGTATTTCCAGGGTCGACTGTGTATTCTGGAGCGTTGTCCGTCCTTGGTTGCCCGTCCAAGCGGCGGACTGGATGTTTGTTGGGTTGACCCATGCAAGCATAGACCTCTTCTTCGGACCATTCATCAAAATTCTGCAGCTGGGAGAGGATGTTGGATGTATAGCAATCTGCCTTGAGGTTAGAACTCGCATCGGCATCAGAATCCAAGTATGGCGAACTCACCTCCGTGTGCAATGCCCAACGTGTGAAGGAACGCCAAGGCTTCTGCAACCTGGAGACTGGTAACACGAGGCCATTCCAATGAATTGTAAGGTAACCCAGGCTTCCTTGCCAAGCGATCTCCAGCGACTTTGGTCACCAGGCACAAATGCCTGCCGTTTGGCCCGTCGATGACAAAATGATGGAGAAGTTGAACAACAAACTCGCGCCCTCTATGGTCTACAGTGGCCGTGGTGATGGCCTCCAACATGTGAAGTTCTTTGTAATCGAGGGATGATTCGGCAGACAATACCTTGAGAGCTACGTATCTATTCTCAGCGGTGTCCCTGCCTAGCCAAATCGTGGCAAAGCTTCCAGATCCTAGCTTATGGATAATCCGGTATCTCCCGTCGCTCAGAGTATCGCCAATGACGAGAGGGTGGAGGCCATCCTTGCGGTATCGATCTGGATCCTCGGCAAACGTGGAAGGAGACGGAGCGTAAGTACGTTCAGACATGACGGACAATTGCAGAGCAGACGACTCGAGGATTAGAGCAGGGAGAAGAGAGAAGAGAGAAGAGAGAAGAGGATGAGCGCGGCCTTTTTGCACTCGCGGAACACGACTGTTGGTCGGGGCTGGCCTTAGCGGTTGGCTTGGGCTTCGATGCAAGTGAGAAAAGTTGGTGGTTGGACGATGAGGAGAATGGGCGGTCATCTGACTCAACAAAAAGAGAGAACATGCCAGCAGCTGGTGGGTGTATCAGCGGCGAAGCATGGGCTTTTCGCGGCCCGGCTATATTACTCGACCTTTTCGATCTGCTGTGTGCCTCGTACATCCGCTCCCTAACCTTTTGACTCAGGCATCCTCGACCTCGCCTTGCACTCTTCCCCCAGACCCATTCTCATAACAGTACATACACCTAGGAAACTACCTAAAGCATGACAGAAGCAGTCCAAGTCGAATACGTTGGGTGGGAGGATGACTTTCGCTACGCCGAAGAAAAGTCTCGCATCACGCAGCACATTCAAAACATCGCCCATGACAAGAATTTCGCCCATGCTTGCGTGCAGTAAGCCTTCTGTCGCCCCCTTTGGCTTGCACACACAGCGAGGTACTAACATGCACCAAGGGACATGATCATGCGATATCGGTACAGATCTCAGGGGCCATTCATCGATGTGCACTTTAAGCGTGAGGAGTGGGTTACAGCCGGGCTTGAGAGATATGTGCCCATCAGGCTGTGGTTCAACGAGGATGGAGATCTTGAGAAAGACGCGGAAGTTTACGACGAAGTGGATAAAAGCAAGTGACTTGTACCACAGACGTCGTCGTTGAGCGAACACGCCACTGCAAGTTTCTAGAATCACCTGCTGGCCGGCCATTTTACAGGGCATTTGATCTTAATACTCTGTATCCGTATCAACAAGGTCAAGTGCAATTTAGGCCGACACTGAGCCGTGGTTAAATAAACTAGTTGTGATCGGAGGATAGTTGATCGTTCCATCTGTCAGCCAGATCCAGATCCACCCAATTATCCAGTCAGGATAGCCCATCCATGCCCTATAGGGTATAAAGTAGCCCCCGTAGCTCCGTTAACCGCCCCTAGTCAGCTTCCCATCTAGCCATCTAGCGGAAGCTTACATTGTACAGGCACTAATACTACATATGCAATACCTCAACTAGTAGACTATACGGAGTAGTATGGACGACCTGGAGTATTATTCTCTGACATCCCTGCTACCCTAGCCCGCATATTTGGTCGCCAGCCCCCAGCCATGGCTAGCTCTGCCTCTGTTTTGCCTGGCTTCCGTAGTCATACTTGTACGACTGTTTCAGCAAACCACATCAAGCTTTTACTTTACTAACAGAGGTATCTTTCTGTAGAGGCAGGGTTGATTACAATGTAGTCATGCGTAAAATTTCTGACTGTTAATACAAGTCGGCTAATTCGAATGCACTGTTAAACAAAAGATTAGGCAATTAATCTAGCAAGACGGTGTACAATAGCCGTGAGAGGCACAATCTCTTCCCGCTAATAAAATATACAGTATCTACTCTATTTTCTTAGTATCAGATATTACTGCAGATCTCTTCTCCTTTTCAATCCCAAGTCGCTGCTGAGCAACATCACACAAGGCGACATTTCCACATTCGCAGTCCCCCTCCCGGATCCAGCGATACGTGATGCTCCACCTATTCTCACGAGGCCTGACTGTCCCGTCTGCCAGAGTGTCTGTCTTTCTCTTTTTAATGCCATGAGTCCAGTGCAGCCTCGCATCTCCAGTCATCTTCATCATCCCCCGCGGCATTAGGTCTATATCAACGCGCTCATCTCCGTTTCGAAACTGCATCAAGACTGGCGACCCGAGAGACAGCGCGTACAGTTGGTCCCATGCCTGATGAGCATCAACGTGCGGCGGAATCCCTGCGCCTGGTGGATAATATTGTAGACAGACCTGGTCAGGCGGTCGAGCCTCGGATGTGGGGATCAATGGTATGAGCCAGTCGGGAAACTCTTTGTATGGGATATCTGGATCTACCCCAAACGTCTTGTAGTCAAATGTGTAGCCGTAGTGTAATGATTGGCGACTGCCGGCCTTTTGGGGCCATTCCAGTTCGTTGAGGAAGATTTGAACCAGCTGCTCCTCGCGCTCCGAGGTGATAAAGTCGTCTTGCAGGAAAAGACCCCTGGGCAATCCAAGCCGCTCTTCAAACCCACTCTTCCCTGCCATGGCCAATTATGAATGGTGGTTTTGTGATGGGTAATAGCACATACTTGTAGTATTGCAATCTGCGTGAAAATTTCAACTGCGTACTATGTACCCCACTAGGTAATAGTGCCCTACCCTACCAAAAAATTAGGGCGTTGGAATATGAATTTGGGGGGCGCTGGATAACGTCTGGTGTCCCCAAATTTAACCTTAACAAAGAAGCGGGGAGAGGCCATACCCTACTCGTAATTAGTCCTCACATCCTTTCCTTTCAAATACCACCATGTCTCCATCTGAGAGCTCCCACACTCCGCCTCTTGGCGCTACAATCCACCAGCTCAAGATCAAGACCGTCTTCGACTCTCTCAACAAGCGCGAGAAGCTCTACGCCCACTACCTTGCACGCGCAGCATGGCACGGCAGCAGGATCATCATGCGGCAGGTGTCGCCCGAAAGCCCCGACATCTTCGACTTCATCATGGACCTCTTCCATGCTTGTAATGGGGAATGGGACACCTTGGTCGCGCAATGCAATATCACTCCTGAAGAGTTGGCTTCTTTTCTCGAGTATGCCGCCATGTTTCTTTGCAACTTGGGCAACTTTTATGTACGTAGTAAACCAGGCGAGCCATCTGCCGTTTACGGTACTAACCGTGACCAGGGTGAGGGCGACCAGAAATTCGTCCCTGATGTGACGGCAGAAGCTCTCAGGAAGATTGCAGCCATTTCCCCAAAGACGAAAACCGGTTTGGACAAGATCATCGGCCCGATGTTGGCGGTTCCACCATTCAGCCTTGGATACCCTAGCAAAAATGCGCAGTCGGGCTACTACCCCACCGATGAACCCATCACCAAGGATGAAATCGCCAAGGTCTCGGAGGTTATGAACGACAAGTCAATAGGCCCGGAGAATACCCGAGTTCGAAAAGTGATCAAGGACGGCAAGCCTGTGTTGGAGCTGTTGCAAGCTTCTGTGGACACTGGTCCGCTCAGCAATGGCGACAACGAGCTCGCAGAGGGTGTCGTCCTTGTCCGAGGAGATCATTCAAAGGAATTGGCCAAGGTCTGCTCCGCTTTGGAAATGGCAAAACAGTATGCAGCCAACGACAAACAAACCGACTTCTTGACCCATTACGTTGAGTGCTTCCGCACTGGCAGCTTAGAAGCTTTCCAGGAGTCGCAAAAGATTTGGGTGACGGATGTATCAGCCAGAGTCGAGAACATCCTTGGGTTCATCGAGCCTTACCGGGACCCGGCTGGAATTCGTTCTGAGTGGGGGGGTATGATAGGCATTGCCGATGTTGATGAAATCAAGACTCTAAAAAACTTTGTCGACAGTTCCGCTACATTCATTCGACAACTCCCATGGGCAGTCAACGGCGTGAATGATGGGAAAGGACCGTTTGAGAAGAGTTTGTTTGAGGCCCCTGACTTTACCAGTGTCCACGGTTAGCCTCTGTCCACCTGCAAAAATGGAGACACACTAATAATTCTCCTAGCGCTCGCTGTGTGCGGCAGCGTCGTCTTTGAAGCCTCCAATCTCCCGAATGTGGGTGTATACCGTCTCGTTTTCCATCAATAAACTAATGGCCATAGTACGATTACATCCGAGAGACCTGCGGCTTCAAGAACATTGTCCTCGCGAACCGTTTTAGCGTCAACAACAACCCCAAACTTCCCTGTTACTACGTTGAATCCTCTGAGCTCAAGTTTTTCAAAAACACCACGCACATAGTCAGATTTCTCACCACAGCCATTCACGAACTGATTGGCCACGGAACCGGCAAGCTCCTCAGCGAGACTTCACCGGGAATCTACAATTTCGACAAGCAGAATCCTCCAATCAGTCCCCTCAGCGGGGAAGCCGTTACTTCACACTACCTACACGGTCAGACTTGGGGAAGCGTGTTCGGAAAGCTGGCAGCAACAGTGGAGGAATGTCGTGCATTCTTGATGTCGGAATATTTCATGGACAACAAGGATCTATTGAGGATATTTGGCTATACTGATAGAAGCAGCATCACCGCTGAAGACCGTACGTTGCAATAGTCCGAACTACTCCTATACCGCGACACTAATTCTCATTGATTGCAGTTCTCTACGCCACATATCTCAACATTGGTGTCGACGGTCTGCAAGCTCTCGAGCACTACAACTTCCAAGATCAAGCTTGGGGCCAAGTCCACCACCAGGTAATGCATACCCTCCTCTCACCTAACCCCATCTAACCCTTGCGTAGGCCCACTTCTCCATTCTCAAACATCTCCTTCAAGACGGTGACGGAGTCATCTCCATAGCGCAGGATCTCACGCAGCAATCTCTCACGGTACATGTTGATCGGGCCAAAATCCTTTCTCACGGTAAATCATCCCTGGGTCGGTATCTCTGCAAGCTACACATCTGGCGCTGCACCGCCGATGTGTCCGCGTGCAGGAAGTTCTACGAGCCCTTGTGTGCAGTTGATGGCGTGTATGAGGAGTGGCGCAAGATTGTCGTGTCGAAACCGAATATGAGGTGGAAGTTTGTGCAGCCGAATACTTTCCTCACGGGTGGGGATGTCGAAGTCAAGGTCTATAGCGAGACTAATGAGGGTATTATCCAGTCGTGGGCTGAGAGGGACATCTGAAATCGGAGAGTCGTCCAACGTAGTCTGCCTTGCTGTCATTGCACGGCTTATCAATCCAGCATGCGTGTGGTTTCTCTTATTACTCAACTTGGCCAGTTAGGTAGCTTACTGATACTAGCATTCAGTTGGGAGTTTTCAAGCACAACTCTGCACAGATAACCACAACGTATGCAATACCCCGGGGAGACATATTCGTATTTCATTTCTTCCTTGTCTTCTGACGTAGGCTTCTTCATTAATGCTCTAGCGCCAAAAGATGGGCACCCATCTATCATAGACGTCCTCGTTCCCAAAATCCGTCGCACCTTTATCCCTCCTAAGCAAATATACTTCCGCCTCATCCCTCAAATCCTGTGCCTCGTTCTCACTAACGTCATTCTCATTCTCATTTGAAGACGACTTCTGGATTAAAGCCTTGGAGAGTTTGAACAGACTACGCGCGTGCTCGACGGGCATGGTGTCGGCGTGGAATTTCGTGATCTCGATGCTATCGCGGAGATGTTTACTAACGAATGAAGATGGGTAAATTATTAGCTCAAAGAACTGGAAAAAGATAGAGGGAAGAATGGGAGATGCAAGGACAGATTAGATGATCGAGGAAGAACATACATAGCAGCCTCCACCTTCCCCTGATCCAGACAAACCACGCCCGTCTTATAAATGCATCCTGCGTTGAACGGGTGAAAGCGCCCCTGATCGCCTTTAGACCACATATTCTGTGCTTCCATGAAGCTTGCCTCGGCGGCTTCAGGTCTGTTTCCACGTCGTTCAAGGATGCCTTGGACAAAGTATGCGCTGTGAGCGGACGTCAGTTAACGTTGTATAAAAGGACGAGAGATTTGTACGCACTAAGCCAGCATAGCCCAGTTAAGCGGTTTCTCCTGCTTGAACTCCCTGATCGAAGTATCGAGCAATGCCTGCGCCTCGTTGTACCTCTCCAGATACACAAGACACCTCGCGGCGTTCTTCTTTGTGACCGTAGGCCAGTCTTCTTCTCTGCCCTCCTCGACATTCCACGCAGTCCAGGTAATGCGTGACTTTTCAAACCATATTAGCGCCTCTTCGTGCTTGTTAGCAGTGTTGTAGTTATACCCGAGGTTCTGCTCGAAGCCGCCGAGGAGGCCACCCTTGAGAGGCTTTTCCTTTAGGCGCATATTGTAGCCTTTGATGTTCAGTTCGATGGCTTCTTCGACCTTGCCGATACTTTCGTACATATTAGCTTGGTGGGATAGCGTCGAGGCCTTGATGTCGATGGCATGTTCCTGGTCATTGAGTGTTTCCACGGCTTGGAGGTTTACTTCGCAAACATCCTCAAGCTCTCTCAGTGCATTGATCTCGCAGAGATACCTAGCTTCGAGTTAGGGCATTGTCATAAAATCGTAGCAGGGCAATATCTCACCTCTGACAGTCTTCCAGAAGCTTGCAGAACAACAACGACGCTGTAAATTTCTCCGAGCGACGGCGCTCTTCTTTGAAATTGTCCTTTAAGCAGAGAACGTGCTGCAGGCAAAGATTGCACTGAGTCCACTTCTGATACAATTGGTTCTTGTTCGTCGCGTCCGACTGTTTGGGGAAAGCATTGTACACTAGCACCACTGCATTGTTGAATGCTTGCTGTCGCTCCTCCGGGGATAGGAAAGACCGGAAATGCGTCTGCACCATTCGATGGCACGAGAAGATACTGGTCCATTGATCCTGTTTCATCAACGCTAGGGTCAAGAGGGGCCCCATCGCCTCTAAAAACCTGTAGTCGGGGTCAGACAAGCTTCTTCAAAGGGTTCATTAGACATACTCTAAACCATCAAGGCAAAACTTGAGATCGTCTGGGGGATCAAGGCCATTCCTGTTATCAAACAGCTCGTGTGCCATGTTATCCGGGGCCAAGAATGATGCAACTCCCAGGAGTACCCGGCTGTCTTTTTCCAAAGTACCAAACGAAATATCCCACACTGCCTGTAACTCAGTTTTGTGAAGCCTTCTTAGATCTTTCAAATAGGTGCGCATGAATTCGGTGATGGACATGGGCCAAGAGTTTTGTTGAATCAAACCAGCCATATGTGAGATACCCAACGCATGGCCATTGAGCTTCTCGGCAAGTTCGACTGCCGAGATTCCCTCTGCTTGAATATCGCGAGCTATGTTGTCTTTCAGCAAGAATAGGAGAAACTCAGAACCGGTCTTTGCATCCCATGAAGTGATTTCCAAGCCGGAGGTAGCAAATTTGTACACAAGGTTGTGATTGCGGGTGGTAATAATGGCTTTTCCATGACTTGCTTCCGGCCAGTATGGCATCAATAGTTTATCATCCTCGACATTGTCGTAAACAACCAACCATTTGGAGTCTGTTATGCAGAAAATCAGCCAAGATCAACAGGAGCAAAGGACGATGGCTTACCCGTCGTTTGAAACCAGTCCTGAACCATTCGCAAGTTCTCGTTGTGTGAGTTGGGTTGTGCGCCTGGCAATTTGAGCCGCAGTGCTATGTCTGTGAAGCTCTGTCGCAGCGATGCCGTCGTCTCACCATAGACCCAAAACACTACATCGTACTTCTTCTCTTCCATCTTTTTCTCAATGTATCGTACCGCAATGGAGCTCTTGCCGACACCACCAAGGCCAAACAACGCTATGGATCGGAACGCGGCGGTTGATCCATCCCGGCCGAGGATCTGGTCTATTTTCTCAAATGTGTCCTCCCTGTCAAAGAAGCTTGGGTACATATTGGTTGGCAGCCGCATCAAAGATACTTGCTGTGTGATTGTAGCCATGTCTGGGGAACTAGCTTGACCTAGCACTGGAGAACGTGCAGCAACTAGATTCTCAATCCGCTCTAGAGTTTCCGAGAGCGCCCGATATGTGTTGGTACACTTGCGTTGAAGCCACGACCATCGGTCCTCCTGTCCATGGGGATGATCTTGTCCGGCTCGTTTGTCTGGGCTATCGCGTCAGCTGGAAAAAAGTGGTGATTCTTCGTCCACCGATACGTACAGTGATGTGTCTCGTCCTCCTTGCCACGCAAAGACTTGACGGCTGTTGTGAAAAATTGAACTAGCTGAACCTGGATGTCAAAGCATGCTTCTTTTACTTGATTCGCATTCTCACTAGTTGACGCAGAGTAGTGCTGCTCGAAAGCCTCTATCTTGTAGCCGAGTGACTCGAGCATTTGCGGGATCTTGGAGAGGGCTTGTAGATCCCGTGCCGTAAGCTATCACGCCGTGAGTAGTTTCAGTAGTTGTTAAACAAGGGGGTTGTCAAATCTCGCACTCACCTGCAGCAGTATGCCAACGATGCCCCAGAAGAAGTGGGCATGGAGGCCGGGGGCCAATTGCGACTCAAATATGTGGGTGAAACGGTGGAAGTGACCAAGTGTTGGTTCCAACACGGAAATCTCATATGGAGTCCTTTTGCTGGTCTCCGTGTCCACTGGGTCGAACAACTCTTTCTGCAGCACATTCCAGGAAGTTATGAGTCGCACTTGGTCAATGTCGTCTGGCTCTAAGGATTTCTCGCACTGCTCGATGACTTGTGCCCAATTGCTGAGAAAGTAACGCTCTCTACCGGAGATGTGTCAATTCCGGTATACCATAGTAACAGAAGAGCGACTTACAATTCTGAAGAATCCATGGCGCACGCGTAACCTTATTGATGAGCACGGGGTCGAAGCTGATGCTTGTTTCTTGATGTTGATGAAGGTTGAGCAGCCTCGAGGCCAATTCAACGAGAGGGAACGCCCTTGAATGCCTCGAGATTGTAGAGATGGTACAGTTGGTGCACTGACTGGCGAGTATCAAGCCAGGGCAATAACGACAAAGTACACGTAGATCGATGGATGTTGGTGAGAAGCTCCCTGCGAGGGATTCGATGTCGACAAGATGGATACTGGCTCATGTATGTCGAGCAAGGCACACTTGTGATTGACAGACGAGGACTCGAGTTAAGTAGCAAACTCTCGAAGTGTTAGAAGTTACCCCGCCAGCCTTTGAGTTGGATCAAGACTGATGTTGGTCGCCTTACATACCTGTATGCCTGCGGCTCTGCCTGGACAGTGCCGTTTTGCAGTCCGTGCTGCGTCACAATTAGATTGAACCGTTACATATTGTACCCAGTCTTTGAGATTCATGGTGAATCAAGCTTAGGGGAGAAGGAGACTCTGCAAAACCCGTGTATAAATGTCTGGAAGGTGGTTAGGGATCATAAACTGTTCGCGTCATGCATGCCTTGCGGAACGAAACGTCTTATACGGCCCTACAGTACTTGTAGTTGAGTAGCTCCACGCTGCCCGACAAGGACTAGCTATAGTCGATGTAGTCGATGCGGAAGCTAACTTGGACGAGGCAGAGGACGAAGGGGTATCTTCTTTCTTCGAAGCTTTTGAATCTATTTTATTGTTTTTCTAATTTCAATTATGTTTGTTTTGATATAACAAGTACATAAATAATTACTGCAGTTATTAAATTTATATATTATCATGCTTAATATTATTTATTTATTTTGTCACATGATTAGTATGTACGAGTACGAGTGTATGAGAGAAGCCATTTGCAAGCATTGCCTTTCAGTTGTTAGTGTGCTAGTCTGCCCGTCATCCAGGCTTCTACGAGTGTTCGCGTCGCTCACTGCTGCAGGTACAGAGCCTCTCCAAGCCGCAGCAATTGTCCGTCTCCTCACCCACGCCGTTCTCGCAAGCAAAACGGCACAGGGCGGGATCGGCCGGGTTATGACGGCATACGAACTATCGGATACACTCAAAAGGCGTTGAAGACACTCGGCTTAAAATCGGCAAAAACCCGGCAATTTCGATGGCGAGCCAAAAGATTCAAACAGCCCCCACCTTTTTCTCGGTGCATGTTCGTCTAAATTATTTCTCGTCGCAAACATCGACGTCCGTGGAAGCTTTTGGTGGAGAGCTGCTTAATAACTTTTTGGAGGGGGACAAATCTCCAGCCGGTCGCCGTAGAGCCGCTTCCCTTTTCTTCTTTTCTTAGCCTCTCTCGACCACTTTGTCTTGTCTTGTCGTGTCTCTGCTCGGGGTTTACTCGGTTTTGGTGACGGATTGACAACTACCTTACCTGGGCGGAGAAGAGTAATCGAAAAAGAAGGAACAAGAGAGAACATATCGCCATTCTGACTGTCTCAGCAATGTCTAACCTGCTCTTCAAGGCCGCGGCTCCGGCGCGCGCACTTGCAAAGAGCCATAATCTCTCCGGGGGCCCGAAACTCCAGCAATGCCTCCGTAAAGGCGCTCGGCTTCATACGGCTTCTTTCCGCTCTCGAGCTGAGCGACCCAATGCCCGGAAAGAGCACAATGCTCGTGCGTCTCAGAGGGTAGGTTCTCGACTCAAGATATGGATAATTAAGACGTCAGATGCTGACAGCATGTTGATGATGTAGACTTTCCACGCGACCAATAACTTGTTGCAGAAGGATCCCTACAAGGCCCTCGGCGTAAACAAGTCCGCAACCGCTGCCGAGATCAAAAAGGCATACTACGGCTTGGCGAAGAAGTTCCACCCCGATACCAACAAGGACCCCACGGCCAAGGACAAGTTTGGCGAGATCCAAACCGCCTACGAGATCCTCTCCGACCCCAAGAAGAGGGAGCAGTACGATCAGTTCGGCGATGCCAGCTTTGATCCCAATGCGGCGGGGGCCAATCCGTTTGCCGGTGCAGCTGGCGGCAACCCTTTCGCTGGGTTTGGTGCGCAGGGCGGCTTCGGAGGAGGTTTTGGCGGCGGCTTCAACTTTGAGGACTTGTTTTCGGCTTTTGGCGGCGGTCGTCGATCGAATCCTTTCCAGCAGGAGATTCTGGTGGGCGACAACATCGAGTCTCATGTGAGCATCAGCTTCATGGAGGCTGCCAAGGGAACAAGCAAAACAATCACCATCACGCCCGTCGAATCCTGCAATACATGCTCGGGTAGTGGCTTAAAGTCTGGTGCGCAGAGGTCGCAGTGTCACAGCTGTGAAGGAACGGGAACGCGGGTACACTATGCGCAGGGTGGCTTCCAGATGGCCTCGACATGCGGATCTTGTGGAGGAACCGGCTCGACCATCCCCAAGAGCTCCGAATGCCGGACGTGCTCTGGCCAGGGTGTTGTGCGCAACAAGAAGACCATTACCGTCGACATCCCCGCAGGTATCGAGGACGGCATGCGGCTGCGGATAGACGGGGCTGGTGATGCTCCCATAACCGGAAGGTCTACCAGCCCCGATGCTCGGGCCCAGCGCGGAGACCTCTATGTCTTTGTCCGGGTGGCTGCAGACCCCAAGTTCAGCCGCGAGGGCTCCAACATTCTCTACACGGCTCACATTCCCCTTACCACGGCCATTCTCGGTGGACAGGTCACGATTCCCACGTTGGACGGAACAGTTAACCTCAAGGTGGCCACTGGCACCAACACTGGCGACAAGGTCACTCTGCCCGGGATGGGTATGCAGCGACTCGGCTCGCGGAGAGCGGGTTCTGGTGATCTCAAGGTCGAGTTCCGGGTCAAGATGCCCAAGTCGCTCAGCGCCAGCCAGCGCACCATTCTCGAGATGCTCGCCGATGAGATGGACGACAAGTCAGCTCGCCGCGTCATGAACGTTTCAAGGTCAGAGGGAGATTCCAAAACTTGAGCTGCTGCGATCGTTTACTAACCCGCAGATTTTTACTTTCCGGCGTGCAGCTCCGACCCCAATGACGCTGATTCTCACAAGGACGAGGGATTCCTCAAATCCATGTGGCATAATCTGACTCACCATCCCGCACATGAAAAGGGCGCCCCTGGAGCCTCTGGAGCCTCTGGAGCTCCTGGATCAACCGGCGAATCTACAAGCGACGACAAGGGAAAGAAGGAGAACAAGTCTGCATCTGACTGAGTACCCATCTCCTTAAGAACGGACAATATCTATAACCGATCTACTTCGCTTTCACCTGTACGACATTTGAACCAAGGAGACCAAAAAATTACAAACTGAAAACCCTAACGCGATCATGCATGAACGTTGGTAGTTCCGAAAGGAGAATGGAGGATCATTTTTGCATAGAGCTGGGAACTGAACACACACTCACACTCACCACAGAAAAAAAAAAGAGAGGGATTGCATTCGACGGTGTTGTCTTTTTTTAAAGATGAAAAAAAGAAGGCCTTGAATTATGTATGATATTATTGACGGCGGCGTTTTTTTGCTCAAAACGGTTTGGGGGCCCTGGCTTGCTGCCTTTTGGGTTTACGGGCTATGCTCGGGGTGTAGATGCTTTGGGCATTGTGTATATTAATAGCTGTGGGATGATTTGAAATAAAAAGAAAGGGGGAGAGGGGGACGAAGAGACGCGATTTCGCGGAGGCCAATCTCCCCTCTTTGATATATATGGCGCTGCTTGCTACCTATGTAGTTTCTATGTGCTCGTGTTCTAAGACTTGACTTGAATATGGTTGTAGTAGTAGTTTACAACCATATTCATCAGTCCTGTAGAAAATTGCATATTCTGTGATCCCATCTTTCTATATCTGTGCCAGAACCATGCTCACCATGATCCAAATCATTGTCGAGGCAGCGAGATTCTGCTGAGACCTGTTTGTGCCGATGGTGTATGCTTGGCTACCATTGTCAGACGTAAAACCTTCATTAAACTCAAGCGACTCACAAGGAAAGATGATATCCTCCAACCAAAACCCTTTAACTCCATGTCCCCTCTCTCTCCCTCCCTCTCTCCATAAGAGCGAAAGGGCGGGAAAAGGGAAAAGCTCTGAACATTCCTTTCATTTAGTATATTTCCTCACCCATCTTCCCTCAACCAATCGGCTTAAGCTTCTTCTTCTTCTTCTTGTCTGAGTCGCCGCCCGACTTGCCCTTTTGAAACTGTCGCCAGCTATTAATCCTGACGTCCCGCGTCGCCTCCCAGTCCTGCTCGTGCTGCCTCTTGCGCTTGCGATCCTCAACCTCCTCGTCCTGCCGGCGCTGTTCCCTGCCCTCCTCCTGCAGCTGGGCCTTCATCTGGCGCCTCCTGCGGTGCTCGTTGTCGATGAGGACCTCGCGCGCCTTGTCGCGCCACTTCTTGGCGAACTCGTCCGTCTTGAGCTCGGGGCTGTCGACGGTCCACTTGTTCTCCCTGATGAGCAGCATGCGGGCGTCGGCGATGGCTTCGTCGAGGCGCTCGCGGTGTTTCTCGTCCATGAGCTCTGTCTGGGCCTTCTTCAGGCGGTCGAAGGCGTCGGGCGCGCGCGGGTTCTTGGTTTTGTCGGGGTGGATGAGGAGAGATTTCTTGCGGTATGTCATTTTGATGTCTGATTCCGGGACGCCGGGCTGCAGGTCTAGGACGGCATATCTGTAGATACGAGTGTCAGAGAGGGGAGGTCTTCTGGTCTTGGGGAGGCGAGCTCACGCATCGAGGCGAAATGCCTTGAGGATCCGGTCAATTTCGGCATCCTGAGATTCGAGTTGGTTAGTATGCAACTTCTTTGATTCTACATGCTGGGGAGGAAGAGGGTAGCCGCAGCGAACCTTGTCAAATTCCTTGGCCTCGAGCTCGAGGGCATCGAGGGCATCTTTATCATCCTTAGTATTCGCATCCGCCATTATGACGATGATACCAGCCTTGATTCTTGAATACACAATAAATCAATCTTTTGCGATGACAAAAAAGAGCGCAGAAGAACGAGCGTGAGGTGAGCGGCTGGGAAATCGGCAAGGCAGCTTCTCGTGTGCCTTTTGTCAATTGGAGAGATGATTCGCGCAAGGCTCAGATGCAACAGCAAAAAGAGTGGATGCGATGCCGCATTAAGACTCGATTCCGGGGGCCCATATTTCCGCACCCCCACTGAGCCGATAAGATAAGGCCCGAACTTTTAGATGGAGAAAAAAAAAGTTGGCGGCGAGTTTCAAGTTCCAGCACGCTGAGGCCGGGGCAGTGAGACGAACCAAAAAAATATCATCATAGATTAGAGAAGGGCATCGCAGTTCGCCATCATGCCCAGTCGTCGCGCAGCTTCACCGGCGGCTTCAGAGCCGGAGCTGGACATCCTCGACTCTCTATACCCAGGCGACGAGGAGAATGGAGAGCAGGGAATGGGCAAAGATGGCCAGGATGGACTCGACTTTGATGGCTTTTTCAATGCGGGCGCGGCTGGAGGAGGCGAAGACGACGATGAAGCATTCATTGCGCTGCAGCAGGCAGCTTCATATCGCAAGGCTTCAAACTTGAAGGGCAGAACGGTCAAGAAGGGCGGTGGCTTTCAAGCAATGGGTAAGTTGGAGACAACTGAGCTTGGCGATGCATTGGCAGTTTGATCAAGGCATTCTCTAATTCTCAATATGCACAGGTATCAATGCGAACCTTCTGAAGGCCATCGCTCGCAAAGGATTCTCGGTCCCGACGCCGATTCAGAGAAAGACGATACCACTGGTTCTCGAGCGGAAAGACGTCGTTGGCATGGCCAGGACAGGTTCGGGAAAGACTGCGGCCTTTGTCATCCCCATGATTGAGAAACTGCGCGCCCACAGCTCCAAGTTCGGTAGCCGAGCACTGATTCTTTCGCCCTCCCGAGAACTGGCCATCCAGACCCTCAAGGTTGTCAAGGAACTCGGCCGAGGAACAGATCTCAAGTCGGTCCTTCTGGTCGGTGGTGACAGTTTGGAGGAGCAGTTTGGCTTCATGTCGGCCAATCCCGATATTGTCATTGCCACACCGGGTCGATTCCTGCATCTCAAGGTTGAGATGGGTCTGGATCTCTCATCAATCAAATATGTCGTATTCGACGAAGCTGATCGACTTTTCGAAATGGGTTTCGCAACTCAGTTAACCGAGATTCTACACGCACTCCCCCCTTCAAGACAGACACTTCTCTTCTCCGCGACACTTCCAGCTTCATTAGTCGAGTTTGCCCGGGCCGGTCTGCAGGATCCTAGTCTTGTGCGACTTGATGCGGATACCAAGGTTTCCCCCGATTTGGAGACGGCATTCTTCTCCGTCAAGGGAGCTGAAAAGGAAGGCTCCCTGCTACATATCCTCCATGATGTTATCAAGGTTCCTCTGGGACCACCCGCTGGCGCAGAAGACGAGACGGAAAAGAATTCAAGGAAACGGAAGCGCCAGCCTGACAATGGTGCTGGAAAACCAACACAGCACTCGACCATCATCTTTACAGCTACAAAACACCATGTCGAATACCTGTACAACTTGTTGAAGCAGGCTGGATTTGCAACATCCCACGTGTATGGTTCTCTTGACCAAACCGCTCGACGAATACAAGTCGAGGATTTTCGGATGGGCAAGACAAATTTGCTTGTCGTCACAGATGTCGCTGCCAGAGGTATCGATATTCCCGTGCTGGCCAACGTCATCAACTACGACTTTCCCCCACAGCCAAAGGTTTTTATCCACAGAGTTGGTCGTACGGCTCGTGCGGGCCAGAGAGGCTGGGCTTACAGTCTGGTTCGAGATGTGGATGCGCCGTATCTGCTAGATCTACAGCTTTTCTTGGGCAAGAAGTTGGTTGTCGGACAAGTGGAGAAGGAACCATCATACACTGACGATGTTGTTGTTGGAGCCTTGCCACGAGATGCTGTTGGAACCCACGTGGAATGGCTCAACAAATTCCTCGATGAAAACGAAGACGTCGAAGCCCTGCGAGGGGTTGCCATCAAAGCAGAAAAGCTCTATATGAAGACGCGAAATTCGGCCTCGAGCCAGAGCGCGAAGCGTTCAAGAGAAGAGGTGGCTTCCAGGGGCTGGTCGCAGCTACATCCGCTCTTTGGCAAGGACGTTGACGGCGCAGAAGAGGCTCGGGCTGCCATGTTGGCCAAGATTAGCAACTTTAGGCCCCAGGAGACCATTTTTGAGGTTGGACAGGGAGACAAGGCGACGAGCGAGGCGGCAGAAGTGATGAAGCAGCTTCGCAAGAGAGTCAGGCCACGCAAGAAGGAAGAAACCAATGACGAAGAAATGGAGGTTGACGACGACTACGGTGGCGTCCAAGCCCCAGACAGCGATGAGGATGCGAACATGGATGACGATGACGAGTATGGCGACGATCTCGAGGTCACAATCACCAACACCGGCAAGACTAAGAAGGAAAAGGGCCGGACTGACTGGCGCGACAACGAAGTCTTCATGTCATACACGCCGCGCACCATCAACGCCGCCGAAGAGCGCGGCTATGGCGTCCACTCGGGCGGCCAGGGCTCCAGCTTCGTCGAGCTCGCCCGCGACGCGACCATGGACCTGACCAACGACGACACGGCAAAGGCCTTTGGCGCGCCGACGCGGCCGCGCATGCGCTGGGACGCAAAGTCCAAGAAGTACGTCAACAGCGCAAACGACGAGGACGGCTCCCGCGGCGCAAAGATGATTGTCGGCGAGAGCGGCGTCAAGATTGCCGCCAGCTTCAGCAGCGGCCGCTTCGACAAGTGGAAGAAGGCACATCGCGTCCACAAGCTGCCTCAGGTCGGCGAGCTGGTCAAGCCTGGCAGCGGTGCTGCGCAGCTGCCGTCGGGCGTGCGGTACAAGCACAAGAAGGAGCTTGCGCCTAAGGAGGCTGATAAGTACAGGGATGACTTCCATGTGCGCAAGAAGAGGGTTAATGAGGCTCGTGAGAAGCGTGTTGGACGTTTCAAGGATGGTATGGGCAGCAAGAAGGAGGTTAAGGGATTGACTGATATCCGCAAGGCAAGAGAGGAGAAGGAGCGCAAGAGGGCCAAGACGGGTAGACATCAGGTAGGAAATGGCCGAGGAAATGGCCGCAGGAGATGACGAGCGTGATAGAACTTGATTAAATTTTTATCTGTATTAATTCTTTGAAAGCAATACTAAATGGGTAGACTGCTCACACACACAAAAACAAACACAAAAGTGAAGATTTACATGATCAAAAATACGGACACATTTTTTACAACATCGTCACATCACACTTGCCGAGATCCTAAAAGTGAACATAGTTTGCATCTCTCAAATTAATAAAAAAGCGTACTCTATCCAAATCTCAGCAAAGAGAGCTCTTGTGTGGCTAAAGTTCAACGTAGCATTCATAGCCCGTATTCCTGTCATGTCCATCCAACGCCTCGCTCAAAAGTAAACGCGAAAAAAAAAGTAATCAGAGCCAAATAAAACGCTAGGCCAAAACAAAGAGAGAGTGTGAGAGAGATGGAGAAAGAGAGAGAAGCTGCAGCAGCGAGATGAAGCGTAGCTGCATAGCAACGGAAGTCAAGCATCGTATATTGGCTTCCAAACCAATCTGTATAAATCAAAGATAAGGCGCGTTATATTTCTTTGCGCCGTTGGGGGTATCATAAGGTATGTTGTGAGTAGGAACTGGAGTATTAGGGAGTAGGTGGTGGTACAAGCTTCGTTTGGTTGATCGTCCCGTATCGTAGAAACCAAAAGTTCATAACGTCATTAATAAAAGAAACGTCAGAGGAAGTGTTGTAGAAGACAAGAAAAGAAAGAGTAAAAAAAGATGATACAAGAGGGAACGTGTGGCCCTCGGGGCTTATTCGCTAGAGTCAAGAGTGCTTGCCCACTGCCTGACTGCGTCACGTAGAACGCTCTCGCTAGCTTGGCCCTGTTGCTTGCGTCCAAAACCGTTGCCATCGTCGTTGTCGATAACGTCTCGGATGGTGTCTTCCAAGGCAGACAGCACCACCGTCTTGCACTGTCTCCGTGGTATCTGGAGAGGAGGCTCTGGTATCTGTGTCATCTCCGAGAGCGTATCCGGCATGGTGCTGCCGCCACTGTCGATAGGGCCGAGGATATCAACGTGGACCTGGGAAGAGGCAGAAGAATGCTCCTTACTGGAGTCTGCAATGAGGTGAATGACCTTTTCCAAGGCATCCGCCAAATTCTCATCGGGTACGGATACTGTTTCCTCAATCCACTCCTCATCCAGCGTCGTTTCATGAGGCAAAACTGATGGAGTGATGGCAACACCTCCAACCACGGGCTTTTCTACAGCCAGCCTTGGCTTGACCAACCGGCGGTAAGTAATGCGGAGAATCGAGTCTGTAGTGGTGTTGGCGACGAGAGCCGAGCTAACATCAACCCAACGCTCAGAAACGTCGTTGCTGTCAGATTGGACGACTACCGGGGTAGGCTCAGCCTGAAGCGCAGCCTTGACCTTGTCGAGAAGGTCTTCTTGAGGAGGAAGACCCTGCAAGACGAAATCAGGATGGAAACGGTTTAACCAGCCGGCTGCATTGAGAGGCAGGTCACCGTCGATCGAGATGCGTCCACTCTGTTCAAAAGAGTCAAGGCCGGGCAATCCGGGCGTCGAAAGGTATCCGCTGCTAGAGGGCGAGCTTATGGCTGATTCAAACGAGGCAATGTAGTCTGGGAATGGAACATCGACATCAATGACGCCATCGTCCGCGTTGATCGAAGTCTTGACGGGAGACTCAAAGGCACCGGTAGGATCGGGTGTCCTATCACTCTGGGTGAAGGACTTGCGGCCGCGCTCGGCAGTTTCCCGCGTGACGTCGACATCCCTAGCATTACTTGCCCGGCGTAGGTTTCCCAGTCGTCTATCAGGCCCTTCCTCGGCAAGGGACAGCTGAGCCATGTCGGGAAGCTTGTTTGATTGAGAGAAGCCCGTCTTGATTGGTGACCGTAGATCGCTGGCTTGGCTATACGTGCTGCCGCTGTCCATTGACTCACGGCGACGTGCGCTCCACAGCCCGCTCATCAGGTTGCCCCATCGCAGTCCTTGGCTTGGGGGCCGCGCATTTGCGGCTGTGCTGCTTTTAAGGGATCGCTTGAGGTCATCTGCAGCTGCGCTGCCGCTGCTTCCCGGTCGTCGCCACCTAAGGCTATCGGCCCGTTGAATAGTCGAAAAATGCGGAATCGTCGAGTCTTGCATAACGGTGGAAGTGGCAACACTGCTCTTCCGGCTCACCAGGTCGTGGCCTGGGATAGGGAGCCCGGTGCGAATGGAAGCAGCGTCGGAAGCGCGCCTGTGGTGGCTCGCTTGGTCCGCAGCACTCAAGTGTCCTGTTTGAGACGAGACCGTGCCGCTCCTGGTGCTCTGGCTTGCTGTCCTGGAGTGAGACACACGTCCAAACCCGGTTCGACGGTTGATCTTTCGGCGAAGAGACTCCTCGCGGACGACAGGCACAACATAAGAGGGAGGGGAGTTTGAAAAGGCACCAACCGAAGCCGAGGTGCTTGGCCGATGCACCCGGGGCCCGGGAACGTGTTGGTTCGCCGGCAGAAAAGCAGAAAGCAAGAATATGATGCGCCGTGCGGCCATCTTGTCCTCTGACACAATGATGGTCCGCGCCGGCAGCGACAGGTCATCTTCATTCTGGTTCTGTCTTCGGAGCATTGCTCGCCTCCTATACACGGGAGAGCTGAGCGCTTGAAGCCAGTCGATGTGTGTGGCCAAGAATCCGGTAAGCAAAGTGTGGAGGAAGACGCCTTGGTGAAGCGAGACGGCCCATTTGCATGTCCAGATAGCTTCGTCGCGCCATATTCCCCAGCGCCCTTGTCCAGTGACAACACGGGAGGCGCTCAGACCCATGACAATTCTAGACCTAGCGAGACCGACCTCGGATGCAATATGCACGTCATCCGAGAGACAGTTTGGCATCAGAGAGACGAGTTTGGTAGTGCCCTTGGACGGCTTGACCCCGTCCAGGCGCCTCTCAGTGGAAAGAGATGGCCTCCTAGAGCCCATGGTTGCCCAAGAGGTTGAATATGGTCCAGGGGAGGCCATGTCGGTCTGCTTGAGCATGGTGTGCAACCTAAAGGAGGCAACGGACTGAAGATGAGTCAGGGTGCGCATGATGATGTCCCAGTGCTTCGTAAGCGAATCGATGCGGTCCTCGACGTCGATGGAAAAGGACGAGTCGGTAGTCTCACCGTAAAGGCCCGACCCGGACATGTTCCAGCCAGACATACGAGTTGAACTGTAGGACGACGAGAAGAGATCTTGGTCATTGTACGATCCTGGCTCGCGAAAGACAGGCTTAGGAGGCACAGCCGAAGATATGCGTGACGGTGACGGTGGCAGCTGTACGACAAGGACCACGGCGTACATTGGCGTGCGCCGCTGCTTTGGCTGCGGTTTCTTCTTCTTCAGCGCGGACTCATCGCCGGTGGGCGGAAATGGAAAGCTGCCATTGTCATCTGAGTACCGGCTGGGAGGCGTGGCGCTGTCATCTAAGTCGTCGGCAGTGAGGGTCACTGGGAAGAGTCGAGTGATGAGAACCTTCTTTCGCTCACTCTGGCGCGGAGTAGATGCGCCAGTCGCAAGCGGCGGGTGCGTTGGAGAGACTGTCTGGGACGAGTAGGATTGGGACAGCTTGCTGGAGCGGCCGGTGGCACGTCCAATGGAGCTGCGGCCGTCTCCGAACATGGAGCTCGCATGGTCTGGGATGCGAGGCTCGGATGGCACGACGTGGACCTTTGTAGAGGTGCCCTTGTAAGCCATGAGCTCTGAGTTGCCAAAAATGCAGCTAGAGAAGGTAGCCAGCTCCTCTCGATACTCACGCGCAGCTCGCTGCCCATCCGTTTCCCCGAAGCTATGGCTACGACTATGTACCGAGGCCCGACGGTCAAACGCCCCCTGGCGAAATTGAGAGCTATCGGTATGAACAACAGTTGGGCGGGAGGTCTGGCTGTGGCTCCCCTTGCGCGGTGAAAGAGGGTTTGTCGTCGTCCTTTTCATGTCCTGGGTAGCAGTGGAATGCCTCTCAGCAGAGGCAGCAGCCTCGGGAAGGGGGTGGCTGTCAAAGAGGAGAGATGCATTAGTGGGACCAAGAGCATCTTGCATGATGATGACGCGAACGTCCTTGACATCGAGCTCGAGGTCCTCATTGTAGTCGAAAGCATTGGCCGGAGAGGCGGAAGATGTTGCCGGAGCAGTGAAGAATGGAAAGACTTGGTCATTGCGATGTTGGTAGAGATCCTGGGCGTCAGGGAAAAGTAGATTGCGGGTGTGCGAGTCTTCTTGGACAGATTCTAGGGAAAGGATAGGTCGAGAGCCATTGTTGGACTGAGTAGGACCCGTAGACTGGCCACCGGAGCCAAGATGCAGAAGCCGTCCTAGCATATCGTGTAGCGAGATCGATTGGAAAAGGAAAAGAAAAGACGGAAAAAAGAGGCGGAATATCCAAACGACTGGAAATGAAGCTCAACGAGCGCACGGAAGATGCGGGATATCAGCTTCGGCACAGTTAACCCAAGCGATGCGCCATCACCAGTAATAAAGTCGGGACATGGCGGCGGCACATGGACATGTTCGTTTCTTTTTCTTTGTTGGTCTTTCCTTTTTGTTGCCCTTGATTTAGGCCCTTCTCAAGTCTCGTCAGGCGCCAGTGCGTTTAGCCTCTTGGAAATGGGTTGTGAGTCGCAAGCCGTGTCACCAAGCCGAGATGGTCGCCGTCCAAGGTTTCGCTTATTCCCAGATACTAGACAGCTGAGGCACAACCAAGCTGGCCCCGATGCTAGGGGGAGATTAGCCTGGCCGAAAAGGAAACAAAAAGAAAGGAAAAAGTGATTTGTCTATCGACGCAAGACAAGACACGCAGCGCGCCGTGATAGATGGTGTGGCGGCAGCGCAGCTCCAGCTCCGATGCAAGGCACGTGCGTAAAGGGAGATGCTGGGGGGCGACGGCAGTGGCAGCGCTGCGACGGTTCGTATAAGTACTCGGGATATGGATATGGATTGGCTGCGAGCGAGGAGCAGCAGGAATCGCCCCTCCAGAGGCTGGTTGTGCGAGGCCTATTCGCGAGGCAGCTCGAGCCCTTTTGTTGGTGATGGGCGAATGAATGGTGAGGGAGAGGTTGGAACCCAAGAGGTCGGGACCACTGAGGGCAGCAGACGAGCGCCTTAGGGCGGTGGGGGCGATGGCGAGGGCGAGGGCGAGCACTGAAAGTGAAAATCACAGCAGCCCACAGCAGCCCCCAGCACGGCCAACTCCCGCTAGCGCTCAGCAGCAGCGGGTTGGATAGTGGGCTGGCAGTGGGTTGGCAGTGGGCTAACAGTGGGTTCGCTGCACCGTTAGGGCTCTTGGGGCGCCCCAGAACGCTGGAGCCCACTGGGGGCGTTGCCAGTTGAGGTGGCGCGAGCCCAGCGCTAGAGCCACAGCGCAGTAGCCGCGGCGGAGAGCGCGGGGCGGCGTGTGCGTTGTGGGCTCGGTACAAGGGCGGGCAGCGGAGGTCCAAGTATGGGGTACCTGGAGGTTCCGCAACGATTCGTGCAACGGCCAGGTACTCCATACATGTCTGCTGTTGTACATCCAGGACCGCCGAACCTCAGTATCGACGGGTTGGATGGCAATTCAATCCAGGATACTCTCGCAGCTGTGGGCTCAATGCTGCTGGTGACCAACTTGGAGTGCCGTCGTTGTGCATCACTTTCCTCCTTGCGTTATTAAAGCGCGGCCGCTGATTGGCTGCAAAAGCTCAGATCCCCAAGGACAGGAACGAAGCTCCAGCTGCCATTTGCTGCAGGTATGACGGCGCACTGATACTCATACAGTAGGTATTGACAGTCCTACACGAGAGAAAGCCCACCGCCTACCTAGCAAAAAGAAAAACCACAAGCAAGGGCATCTTGATTATTTGCATTGCTGTAAATACTGGGGTATGGAAGCAGGACAGCAACAATATACAAGTAGTGCTTTATGCTAGCCCGGGACTTTTGCCTCGGCCCTCAGCCCGCCAGGTATCAGCCCGAAATTGCCAGGCACTGCCGTCTGTTGCTTGCTTTTCCTTGCTTTGGTAGGTTGGTTTTGCCCTTGTTTTGCATCACATCGCAGCTTGAGGCTCGTCGCCCACTCGTCCAAAATGCTCCGAAACCACAAAAGTCACTCGCCAGTCTGGTAGCAGCCGGTGCGCTGTCTTCTCTCGCGTCCAATCAATCTACACATGGCACTCGTTTACGTCCACACAAGCTCCCCCCATGGCATCTGCCGCTCAGTGATGCCATCGACCTCTTCTCAGTCAACGACGATGCGGCAGAGCTCCAGCCCATCATTCCTCAGCCCACCCACACTGTTTGACAGTCGAGTCACTGAGGTAGCGTCAGCGCGAGGGATGAGATGCTCACATGCCACATTCAAGCACAGGTGGCAAGGAAGGGCCTTGCTCTCTGAAACACAGCTACGAAAATGCGGTGAATGCAATGCAGGCGGCAGACTCTGGATGTCCCAAGTCCTGACAAGCCTGGCATGCGCAGGAATCGGCGGCGCCTTTCGGCCGCCCACTCTATTTCTCCCTTTGTTGCTATGCCTGTATGCCTATCCACCCCCGCCTGGCTCGATGCGCTACTACATAGTATGTCTTTGCAAGGTCCGAATGACCACTGGCCAGTGACCAGGGACGGCGCATCGGTCTTGTTCGGGCCATGTCCACAGCAACGCTGATCTTGCGAGGGGCCAGAGCTCTCGATGATGAAAATCCAGGGTCCTGGATGGGTCCCCAGCTTCGCGGCGGCAAGGGAACCACAAGCTGAATTGCCACTGGAGCGCTGCTCTTCTCTTGATTCTGTGCTGTACTCGTGCGGTTGGTGCGCGCATATTTGACGAATGCATCATCTCCAACAGATGTGCAGAGCATCGTTGCTGAGAATCCGCCCTGAGTTGGTGCAGAGCTGCGAGATCGCCTTGGCCTTGACATCATCGTCCCGTCGGCCTCAAGCTCTGCAGCCTCTCCAACACGTCAGTCGAGACCAACGGGACAGGGGCCAGGCAGCAAAACGCCAGACATCCACTTAGACTGCCGTACAGACAACGAATTAGAGGAGCCGGGAAGCAACGGGGCAAACACCTCGCGATGCCCAATGAGCTGGTGGGCGCGCTGCTCCTCCAGACTGACGAAATATGCTTTTCACGCGCCTCATCCGCGCGAACCATCCGTCAGTCAGTCAGTCAGTCAGTCAGTCGGCCGCGCCGAGCGACAGACCGTCTTTTTGATATTCACTTACAAGTCCAATTACTCAACCATCTGTGTCGTACCAATCGCTAGTGCTAGTACAACTACAACTAGTACGATCGCTGGACCGAAGATCATCTGAGCGCCGCGTTGGTCTAAGCTATCCGAAATATCATTTGTTCAAATCCGAGATTATGCTGGGAGCGACTCTCCTCTGTACCGGCCCGACACGACATTGCAGACGGGGCATGTCGTACAGCATGCTGCGGGTAACTAGCAGGTAAAAATCTGACCGTCGCCTGCCTTAGCGAGAAGGAAGCCCCGGTTTTTACCATTCAGATATCGAGCACTAACTCGGCTGCTTTGTACGAGTCCAAGTGCCTACAGGTGGTAATTTGAATACGGAGCGCGGGACGGCATGGTTCGTGCATAGAGAAGCATGCAGCTACTGGTACGCCCGCACTTGACGGGCCAAATCCATCTATACAGGTACAGTGCTGGTAGGGAGAATTACCCTCCAGGGCTCCCTTATTATTTTTGGAAGCAACAAGCGGTCTCGCTGCGCATTTCTTCAATCCCGTGGAGCCAGTGATGCCCGGCAGTTCACCAGCGGATATTTTTGCCTCTAGTTATGTGGGTTTGGCCCCGAGGGCTGTGAGACGGCAAAGTTGGAGCGGAGTCGTTTCGGTCCCTTGAGGAGTGCTCCGTACCGACGGCTAGCAGACTATACCCTGGCATGCAATAAACGCTGTGAAGGAGAGGGAACACATGGCCCTACGGTTGCTAGATCTCCGGGAAAGCGAATGGTCAGCTCGTACTTCGTACGCGTGGGCTGAAGTCAGATGGCGCCGAAATTCCCAACGTCTCCCACCAGAACGACTGCGAAGCTCGCTCTTCGCTTCGAGTGAAGCATTTGAACTCGCCAGCTCCGACAAGTTCCCAAGCCACGTACGGCAGTATCAGCGAGGATGGGTCCACCAGCCTACCTCCAAATGGGCACCAGCATGGCCAAGCTTTCTTCTCTTACTTTCCATGCCGCCAAGAGAGAAAGCATGATTACTGGCGCCGGTACGAGTAATCGTGCCTCCTATCCTGGAAGTATGCAGGCATTACCCTGCCTTCGGAATGAGGGAATAGGCATTATGTAAAAAAACGATTCGTTTGTATGTTGGTAGCCTGGCTTCCAGGATATGCAACTAACATCTGACTGATCCAACAACATGGGAGTCTCAAAAAGGAATCATCACTCTTCAGGTTTGTCATTTCCGGAGCTTTCCGGACAGGAGGCCAGCCAACCTGTCAAAGCGGGCTGTTGGCTCTCTGTTCTATTATCAGCAAGGCAAAAAAAGCCCACAGCAACAGCCGGTCCCACCAAACGCCACGACTCATTGAGATCGAGCGTGTCCAATGAAAAGTGCAAACTCTATTGCCATTTGCTAATAAAGCATTCTTCTAGAACAATTCGCCGCTGTGCCGAGTGAAGGAATCCCGGTACAAAGCGAGGCCCAGGGTGAAAACTTTCACAAGCCAACGGAGTACGAGTATTGCACGGGCTGGCTTCAGTTCAGTGGCCAAGAGCTTCGGTCCATGTAGGGTGATGTTGGTGTGCGCAGTTCTGCATGTACAGAAGCAGCTCTGTTATCTGTGCGTCCCGCCCACTGCTTGCTGCTTGCGCATGTGACATTTCGAGGAATGATGCAGCCACATGAGGCCAGCTTACAGGAATCTTGGAAATCTTGACGGAACCAACGGTTGATAGGCTAACCGCTATCAAGATGTCGGACGTATGAGTGTGTACGAGTACTAAGCATCTGCGCGGAGCCTTGACCTCACTGACACAGACCGGAGCTGCTTCCTTCACATCTCCTTCACCGAATGCCAACATCCCGAGCCTCGGTATAATGGGAACTGGCTCCAAAGTACGGAGCACTAGGAATTGCCAACTTGATCCCAGGGAGGCTCAGCTACAGCAATGTCCGAAGAGGCCGGTACCCTGTTACAACTATAACAGGAACTCGCCGAGATCAACCCGGCGAGTAGGCAGTGAATCGATTCATGCCCACTTCACCAACGAGTCGTATAGTGCAGTCTGCCATCAACTGCTGATGCCGCATAGGTACGGATCGGGATATACTAACGTTATATGGCCGACATTTTCTGCGGCTAGAAAATCAAGGTTAAGAGCTCGGGGAAACAGCTCCGTTCCTGTGTATACATAATACATCCAGGCGTGCCCCCGGCCATGGAGGTTTGGTTGCAAGCAGTCCATTTGGATTTTTCCAACATGCCACCTTGAAAATAGTAACTTTCCCATGTTTTAAAGTAAAATGAATGGCGTCGTAACTGGCTGAAGGCAAAATGTAATATTGTGATTTTTTTGGGATTTTTTTTCCCTTCACTATAACCGGCTTCAGTGCCGGACTTGGGCGGGGGGGATAATGAGAACCTTGATGGCCACCTCTTAGAAATCCAGCAATGTGGCCTCCCCAGTTTTTCAACCTCATTTTCTTTCCTCCCAAAATGCGTGAGCAAGGCTCACCTGCGGGAGACACGTAGGTGAATGCAAATTTCCTTCTCAAAACCATGATTAAAGATTTTCTACCTTTTCTAATTCCACGCACCATGTTTGCTGCCACGGAACTGTGTTCCCCCTATTGTCAAAGCTGCCAATAGCTACGAGTACATGTCTCCCCATGCGCTTATTATTAGCCGAAACCCCTAGAACGAAGAGCTTACCAGGCTCTGCTCACGTTTCTTAAGCTGCCGTCTTCAAGTGAGAACGGGGCTTCTATTCTTGCCTTGCAGCCAGAGCGCCCTTCTCCCAAGCCGGCAGTGTCGGCTCTTCAAGAGATGTGTACCGGCGTGCAGCATCTCATTTCACCGCAATGACTCCCGCATACGATCTGGCAATGTGCGCCGTTGTCCAGTCGCCTTCGAGTCGCTGCACCGGCATCCGAGCCCGGAGACACGGATGAGCTCTGGGCTTGCTGCAGCTCGTGGGCAGGCAGCACCTCAGGCTGCAGTGTTGCCGAGTGGATGCCGTACGCGTGCAGGCATTCCATGATCGTCTTGGCCGTGTCTGCAAAGCTTCTGACGGTCCTACCGTCGACGACAACATGTGCAGACGCGATGGACTTGCGCTGGTCTAGTCGCCAGATGTGAAGTTCATGCACAGACTCGACACCGGGAATCTTGGGGGGCAATCAGCATCAGCCGATGTCTTGTTGTTGTTACAGCAACTGGGAGAAAAGAAAATGCGTTGCTCACCTTCTTGATATCATGCTTTACGTCGTCGGGATTTATCTCATTGGGAGCAATCTGCAGCAGAATACGGCCGCTGCTCTTTGTCAATGGCCATGCGGTCAAGAAAATCATCAAAGATATAAACACGCCAATAGCAGGGTCAGCATAATATCTCGCTTCCCCGTGGGCCTTCCAGATGATGAGGGCTGATACTATGACGCCAACGTTGTTGATGGCATCGCCGACTACGTGGATCAGGACGCCAAGCATCCCCAAATCTCTACCTGGGCGAGAAGGTGTGACCGATACGTGCCTGTGCTCGTGGTGGCCGCTCGAAGGCTTTCGGGTTTCTTTTGTTAGGCCAGCTTGTTCATGATTCGAGGGATCGGAGTACTCACAGACGTGGGCCGAGCTTCCGCCTCAGGGGCTGTTCCATCATTTATCCTTGTGGCTGCGTCTTCCTCGTGCAGGGTTTCATGTCCATGACTGTGGCTATGGTCGTGCTCGTCTGCATGTGCGTGTTCATGGCTGTGGCCGTGGCCATCACCATGATCGTGGTCGTGATCTAAATGATCATCATGTGTCAGCCATAAGCTGGAGGCGTTTTGCAAAAAAATGACTCAATATGGAGCTTACCGTGAAGAAACGACATGACAAGCAGATTCAGCCCTAAGCCAACACATCCCACAATCAGGACAATCTTGGGTTGATCGACGACTTCCCCATGGAATCCATTGTCAGCTCGTTTCAATTCAGCCGTTCTGTTACAACTCACCGGTCACGTTGACAAAGCGTTCGATGGCTTGAACAAGGATGCTGACACCGAGCGCCAAAAGGAATACGCCATTGAAAAACGCGCCTAAAAGCGTTGCACGCGCCCAACCGAAAGTGAATTTTTGTGGTGGCGGATTTGGTTGTTCAGATACCTAAAGGGGCATCAGATCATACTGCTCAATTTCGCATCAGGGGCAGGAGAACGGACTACGACAGCGACCAAGGCCACTATAAATCCAATCAAATCGCTCAACTGCAACGGATCAGCAACGCTCTCAACCCGCCTTGGGGTCTGTCATACATAGTGGAACGCATCGGCGATCAGAGCAAGAGAGTGGGTGTAAAATCCGGCTTTGCATTCACGTCAGGGCGGCTGGTACTCGGAATCATCGCAGGCAACATACCGATGAGTTCAGCCACGAAGAACGAAAAGGAAATGAGTATCGTCGCGAGCAATCGCTGTTTGCGACTCAATCGGATCGCCATTGTGCTTTGGAAAGAACAGGTACAAAGTGTATCATGCAGTATCGAGGGGGCCGTTGAGTCTTGTCAACTAGACAGATGCAATGTTGGCTATTGTCAAGGCTATATGGGGAAGAAAAAAAAGGAGAGGAGACGTCTCGCAATTGACAGCAACATACCACACGGATATCGATTAACCGGGCAAACTAACGGCGTCCGCTTAGAAGCGCTGATAGATGTGCCTGAAGCGGGGCTATCTATTACCACCTTTCTGCTACGTGGTTTGATGAGATGCAATCAGCTTTGGTATCTACACGGACCCAGTACCAACATGTGAACGGAACGCTTGACAGCTCTGACTGCCGAGCTTTATGCTTAGTTTGCCGGCGCGCACTCCGTACTACGTACGGGAGACCAAATGCAAACAATTATCCGATCAAAATACAACAGCAAACTAACTCCGATGTTACGGCGATTCAACTCAAACCCTTGCACGGAGGACGCGCGCTAGAACGCGGATTATAGGACCTCCCGAATGGACAGCTTGGCTCTTCACAGCATTGCCACCGTCTAAAGGAGCCAATGGAGTATACGAGAAAGGCCGGGCTCATGGGGGTATCCTCTGAGGAGGGGCCGAAAAATGCTATTTGTTAGCATAATGACGAGCCGAGGGAAAAAAAAAAAAATTACGACTCCATGGGATGGGCTACTTACAGGGGCTGATTCCACTGTCTTGGGTTTTAAAACAAACGAGCTTGTGAGCTGATTGAACTCCTCTACAATCCCAGCTTATTAGGAGTTTGTCTGTGATCAGACCTGGTTCAAGCATCTGCCATGACCCGGGCTGAACAAACTTGCACTGCGTCATCGTGAGGGGGACGATAAAAGGTGCGGGAGCTAGGCAACGAGGACACAACGGGATTGGGGTACGAAGTACCTATCTCGTAACGCCGACATTGACTCGGCTGCCGGCTTTTTGATACCCAATATTGATTGTTCAAGTGATGGTCGTGTTTCGCGAGTTTCCCATATGTCGTAGCCGACTCGTAACAGGTATAGAGCGTAGTAGCAAACTTCAATTGTAAAGGGAAACACGTCATCTCAGTAGTTTGTTTGTCAGCTTCTCCTTGATGACAACCTAGCCTTGAGTGCGGTTCGACTTTTAAACGGTCTGAAACGAGATTTCCACCAGTGCAGCAACGCAAACTTTGAATTATGCAATTTCCCTACTTAATGTCCTACTTAATGTTTTACGCTTAAAGCATTATGCTTTAAAGAAAGACGAATGGGATAACACGAAAAAAGTAAAACCTCTTTTAAGGCGCATCTCGGGTGCCACTGTAGCGCTCTTGTTTCATCCCATCTGGAAACAAATACAGTATGAGACACAGTAAGGCAAAGTATGGAGACCTCTGTTTCGGTGCTTCCTCGTGGCATGCGGCAGGTAGCGAATACCCAAAAGTCTTCAGCCCCACAGTTTCCATGACCCCACTGAGACAGTGCGGATGAATCCAGCAGGCGGTGAGACGTCCTGTGCTGCTGTCAAGCTCCATTTCTGCCGCCACTGCTCAGCTTGCTGAACCGTCTTCATCCCCCCAAATTGTCGCGCGACACGCATCAACGGCTGAACTGGCAAACATCTCCGCCGCTGCTCGCGGGCTATGATCCCATAAACCATTCGCCCTATGATTTTCACACCGTGAAAACCCCCCGAGCCGATTCCATGTCCCGAAATGTCGGCGCAGTGCCATCGGCTCCGCGGAGGGGACCGCATTGGTCCCATCATCTTCGACAGTCGAGCTCAACCATCTCGGACCGCGCATCCGAGATATCTCCCGCTTCGCCAAGGAGTATTTCCACGCATTCGACTGTCAAGGATATCAAGGATGAGAAGCCGCGCAAGACCGAGCGCTATTGCGCTGTCACGGTCAATGACGGATATTCGCGAGACGAGGTGTTGCTGAACCTGGACCAGATTGGCGGTGATATCAAGCCAGGCACCTTGATGTCCATCGCCGTCCTAAAGTCCGAGTCTGCGAAATCTGCGGCGGGATTCGGAAGCCTCAAGAAACAACCACATGAGGACAATGGCAGCCTGCGATACCAACATATTGGCCCCTGCGACCCAAACTCCCTCGGCGACCAATACATCTTTGTCGCAAAGGATATGCCCAAGGAGACCAAAGCCCGGAATCCCGATATTGAAGTACAAGTTGTTAAGCACATTGCGGACATCTTTGGGATGAAGAAGGGATCCATTGTCCTACTGGCACCGGTTCGTTTCTACTCACTATATGAAGTAAAGCAATATGGCTGACGTAACTTTTTTTTATCATCAGGTTGACAAGGACCACCCGGTTACCGAAGCCACGCACGTTGAGATGATATTCAAGGATCAGTATCTTTCACGAGCAGATATGTGGAGGGTAGCTGTTGGGGAGCTGACGCAGCGGACCGTGTATAAAGGACAGTCTCTCCTGTTCATGGGAACGATAAAGGCACAAATCACGACGGTCTTTGTTAATGGGAACAGCGTCCAATCGGCCTTCTTTGGCCGCGAGACAAGGCCAATATTTCGCAGCGAGTCCGCTAGATATGTGCTCTTTATCCAAATGTCCAAAGAGATGTGGGACTTTGACTCGGACAGCTCTGGCGAAATCATGTTCAGCAAAGTTGTCAACGGTTTTCTACCAGCCCTCTTTAAGAGGTGGGCTATGCTAAAGGTAAAACACTTAGTTAGCATTGTGCTCTTTGCTCGTGTCGAATATGATACAGGCTTGACGAATGAGCTGGACGTGAGCGCGCTCCAATCGGATTACTACACGGGGATCCAGCCCTATGGGAACCGGCGGCCATACAAAGACTTCTATCGAGTGGTAGTGAGTGAAATGGCTAGCGGAGAATGGACCAAAATCCTGTACCAACTGAAGAAGGAACTAAACTACTTTCGAAGAGACATCACTCTGCATCACCTAACAGCATATCCGTTGGATGGCCTCAAAGGAGGCACATCCAGTAGCGAAGCAGCCAATCGGATCAGAGCCGAGTCTTCCTTTGCCATTCACGGCAATATTTTGGAAGCCATCAATCTCGCCTGCGCACAGTTCTCCCACGATTATATCGATCGGGACTTGACCAGGACTGGCATCTCCATCGCCGTCATTAGCGCCGGCGCTGGCATCTTTGAAGTGGATTATGAGACACTGCGAAGAACTACAGAAGCCCTAGTAGGAAATGGCATCGGAATTGATTTGATCTGCATGGCTCAAATGCCCCTACACTCTGTTCCTCTCTTCAGATATCGCAATCCGCGATTTTCACTAGCGGGAGAATCCTCGCAAGACCGTCACCATTCGTTGTCGAGGTCCTTTCACAGTCGTGATAGCACACCAGGCCAACCAACTCCCATCATCGGAAGCTTTCAGTCCAACTCTGGCTCTTTCTCCCCCACAAAAAGCAGAGACATGATGCGACGTGTTGAACACTTGGATTCTCAAGGTAGGCGTGATGAATGGTGTTATGTACTGCCCCAATGGCTGCACGTTTCGTTCTGGACGGGCACCTCAAACGAAGCACTTTCATACGCGGGCGTGGCCTTGTCTGTATCAAACAAGTTGGGGCAAGATGACGACGATGATTTCAAAATAAGATGCCGGATGTACGACCTTCAGATGCGGAGTGCACTTGATACGAATGAGATCGAAATCACCCCTCTGCACTCTGACTCTCAGTATCCAAGCGATATTTTTGAGAAGAGTAGCTTCTTGAAGAGACGCCAAGAGGCGATTGGTGGTATCTGGTACAACCCCCCGACTCGTCTTCCGGATCACCTGTACGATACCATCCAGGGATTTCAGAGATTCTCGCCCGAGAGGCATGGGCGGCCCGCCGAAAGGCCATCTTGGAAACAGCTACAAGAGTTTGATGATTCTAGAGCCATTTTGACTCACCACAAACGACACCACCACCATCATGCCTCAGAAGCAGGCCTCAGATCAGACGAAACTCGGAGGCACCATATGGAGGACTTGAATGTTCTGGGCTCATCTCTTCCGGAAAAGAAATTGTTCAACAACGCTCCATCGGCTAGAAAGCTTTCGATGAACCAGGCAGAGATAGAGAAACCGAACATGTTCTCAAAGCGGAGAGTGCCGGACCCGCTACCTCTGAAAGAATCGTCTTCTCCTCTTCCTACACAGCCGCTACAACCACCGGCCGTTAACAAGGTCTCTTCATCTTCGTCTTCATCTTCAAAGCAGCCCAAATTCATGAAGCAAATTAGTCTTGGTCACCGAGGATTCGGCATAGCAGCTCCAAAGATTGCAGCAGCCGAGGTGAAGGCCGAAACTGTCAATGCGGCCGTTACCAAGTCGAACGTCGCGCCATCAACTCCTCGATCACGTCCGGACCTGAGACCTTCTACGCCTCAGACAATCAGGAGCCAATCGCCATTTTCAATAAACAGGCTCAAACCAGAAACGGTTGATCCTACTATTGAGAGAATATCTTCGACGCCAAGCATTCCCATCTTGAAGAAAAATGGGTCAAATCGTCACGATATGCACTTGTACAATCTAAAAGCGGGAACGCCTGCTCATAATTCAACAATGCGTACTCACGGCGGCAGTCTCGAGGACGACAGCGAATTATATCAAAACATGTTCCGGGCGGAAGATCATAAAGTTGTCGTGAGCAAACTTCGGGCCGGTGTTGGCGTGACACCAGAGCCTCCCCAGACAATTTCGCCGGCGTCAGCAATCAGTCCCTGGCTGGTAATATTGAATCCATCTGATCCGGAGAAGAATCAGATAGACGCGGCCAATCTATACACGCGCTGGCAGCACATCTTCCCTCGCATATCCGAGATGAAGATACAGAAATGGAAAGCTCTATGCTGCCCCGCTGCAGTTCCGTTGACGACTGAATACTTTCCTACTAGAGCACAGTTTGATACCGAGTATCAGAGGCACCCTTACAATGTGGATCAAAATGTAGATGACGACTCGTCCGAAGAGCCGAAAACTCGACAAGAGTTTATTAGCGAGCTGATTAGTCTGCGATTTTCGCAAGGGTTTCAGGTAGTAGTTGGGCCAGCCGTGGCGAGAGCATTTGGCCAAAAGGTCATCAAGCTTGGAGACATCTTTTCTCGTGACCAAGTTCTTGAAGATGGCACAAGTATATTCATGTCCGTTGGCAACACCATCCATCAGCTCTCGTGCGTAAATGGGACTGAAGTAGAGGTCAACATCTACGTGAGAAAACCCACAGCAGATATGTCGGGCCTGCCGCAAGGATTCTCTCCCATGTACAGGCCGGCCATCCGAACGCTCCTTGATGCAGACTATGAAGCTCGACATATAGAGCTGCTGTCACTTCCAAGGCCCGATCGCAACTGGAACATGATTGATTCGTACGCTGCGGGTCATCACGATGAGATGATGGAGAGCTTGCGCTTCTGGAGAGCCCGGTTCGTCCTCATCCCGCTGGTCGCCCACAATCCTTCAGTGCCTAGAACGCAAAACGGCCTATACCCTGAAGAAATCAGAATCGAGGGAATCAAGCGCTTGGCGCAGCTGTGGCAGAAGAACCGCTACATACCGCCGGCGGAACGCCGATTCCAAACTGCCAGAGGGCGTGGGCAGCTAGATCGCAGCCCTCTGGATATTGTCTACAAGACGGAAGATCCATCCGTCGTCATTGCAGCTGAGCTGGAAACACTACCCCTGATTGAGGGCCTCGAGGGCGGCATGAGTAAGAAGCATCAACTCGTATCGAGGAAAGACCGGTTTGAAAAATCCAACTTGAATTTTTCTGTCCTGGCCGAAGCCATGCAGCAGCCTGTGGAACAGGGAGGTGTTCCATTGCGGAACCGCCGCTGGCATCTTCGGCTGCATTATCATTCTTTCCTGGGGTCTGATATGACGACCTGGTTATTAGAGAACTTTGATGATCTCGAGACGCGTGAAGACGCGGAAGATTTAGGCAACGCGCTGATGGTGCCGGAAGAGTTCAGAGGCAAAGAGAAGGACAAGGATAAGGATGTAAGTGAAAAAGAGAAGGAAAAAGAAAAGTCTAAGGGGCTTTTTGTGCACGTCGAGAGACGACACCGTTTCAGGGATGGCAATTACTTTTATCAGTTTGCCCCCGAGTTTGCAAAACACCAGTCGGGCTGGTTCGGCAGCAAGAAGAAGGAGGTCCCCCTGCCATTGACGCCGATGACGGAGTCGTCTATGGGCTCGGGTAGAAGATCGGTACATGAAGATCACTCGCCGTCGTCACTGACCAGCACTCCCACGCTGTCGGCGATAAATGTAGCCAAGAGTCGGCCCAAGGTTATCCTCAGCAAGGTCATCAAATACGATGTAGATCCTAGGAAGAGGTCATATCGCCCTGAACGGATTGACCTGCACTACGACCGTCTTCACAACCCAGATAACTGCTACCATGTGAGGATCGACTGGATGAACGCAACGGCGAAGCTCGTGGAAGATGCTGTCGATATTTGGGAGCGCGAGGCCAGCCAGTACGGTCTTCGCCTCGTTGAGGTCCCCATTAGGGAGGCCAGCGGCATCACCGATGTCAATCCCTTTCGCAGGGCATATCCCATCAAGCTTGCGGTCCAGCCACCTGACCAAAAGCCTGAGACATTTTACGATCCAAACTCTCTAGGGCCGCAGACGGTCCCGACAAAGCACTTTTATCAAAAGTCCATACTGCGGCACTTTGACTTTGTGCTCGATACTGAGGCGGCGTCAAACTATCCCAGCAACGTAGACATTATCTACTCCTGGGGGCGCCCGGACTACAAGTACACACAGTACATTCACCGCACGGGAGTCCTGCTCGCCCAAGTGACGGACGACGGCGATTTCCTCGTATTGGCAAACAGGCTGTACGGCAGAAGGGCTACGAAAGAGAGGGAGACCGCGGCTAGGAACATGGCCCCGATGGATCAGCCTCGTCGCCTAACGGAGGGAATCGGCGCACGAGTACCGTCGTACGACTCTTTCAACTTTAACCTCTCGGAATCAGTCATGGCAGGCTCTTCGGGGCACCATGCTCATCACCATCACCATCCAGGACACCACCAGCATCACCACCACTATCAACACCCATACCACCACTACTCGCCTAGTCTCAAAGCCACAAACGACAGCCCCATAGGCAAGGCCCAAAACCAGCATCAGCAGCTCTATTCCTCCGTCTACGCCGGCGCACAGCTCAACGAGCCCGAGGCCCTCAAAGACGAGCTCGAGGCATTCTGCTCCGACGCCGCGGCACTCGAGGCTTTTTACAAGGAGACGCTGGAAAAGGGCCAGTACATTGAGGGCACGCCCGCAACGGCCCCGGCGGCGATTCCGCAGGGCTTGGAGGCCGTGCCCGAGACGAGCATCCCGTCGCTGGGGTTGCCGCCGGGCGTGTTGGCGTCGTTGGATGGGGGCGGGCCGGCGGGTGCGGCGGCGGCGCTGAGGATTGGGAGTCCGATGATATTCTTGAGGAGGGGAAGTGTGCAGTTTGATGGCCTAGGGTTGGGGTCTAAGAAGTGAGTTGCAATGGTTTAATAAGTTTGATGGATTTCACTATTTGGGAGGATTATATGTGAGTTGATATATAAGGAGTTGGGAGTAACGTGATGAATGTTAATGTATAACTATATCTGTATATATTATACAGTTGTGATTAATTCCCGTTTCTTATATGGCCTGTTTAGGGTACTATTAAGTTGTTGTTCTAGTCTTCTATGCCGCTGAACATTTACAGGTATCTGTGAATAGGGATTTGCATCAACCTTTAGTTTTGTCTACATATGAACTCCAACGCCTGCATGATTGTGTTGCATTCTATCCAATCCAACTCCATTGACCATCTTTTGGCTGCAGTTATGAGCCCCAGTAGAACCCCAAGAATAAGCACGGCAGAAGTAAAATAGATAACACAGGCAGACAGTCGCTCCATTCTTAGACTATACTCTCTCGCGGCTTTCTGCTTTCGCAGTGCGACTCGGATCTTGGAGATGCAGCCCAGGTGATTTCGCTCCTCCGCCAGCCTCATGGCGCTTATCCCAACATTGTCGACCCTTGTCAGCGGTAGGTCTGATCGTTCCAGCAGTGCTGCCACGACATCTCCTTTCCCGGCAGCAGCAGCGACATGCAGGGCCCGCCGGCCATCCCTATCGGAGACGTACGGGAGGATGCGGCGAATGAAGGGACTATAGCACAGCACTTGAGATGGGGGTGTAGTTGTAGCTGTAGCGTTGACCTCATGCGATTTCTCCAGAAGAGAGCAAGTTTTGGTAACCATTCGTTCAAGAAAAGCAGGTCTCCTCGTTAAACCAGCGCTGGGCCTGGAAATCATGGCTCTCACTACGTTTGCGGCCCCGTGTTCCGCCGCCCAATGCAATGGCGTCTTTCCTGAGTTGTCGACGAGAACGTAGCGGCCAAAGGGGGCTTGCAAGATGAGAAGCACGAGCTGGAGATCGTCTGTTATGCTGGCAAAATGCATTGCCGTCGCGCCGTCGTTGTCCTGAGCTGTTGGTGATGCACCCGCCTCTAGCAATCTCCGAACAAATTCTAGTTGATGCAAACACCTTCTCAGTCGATCAGCAGTTGTTTCGACAAACATCCGATAAGTATTCTTCTCGCGTTCGTTCATGCTTGCGAGATCGACTGGATTGCCCATGAAGAGTCCTGCTTGGGTTTGCAGGTCATATTCGTCGGGGACTAGATTTTTGTACATGTCGCATGCCACGTGCAAAGCTGTCCTACCTCTGTCGTCAGGCTGGTCAATAACTGCTCCAGAGCCTAAGAGGGGCGCAATGGCTGATACGACACCATTGCAAGCAGCAGCATGGAGAGGACTACGGCCATTCGTGCCTGTGAGTGTGGGATCGGCTCGTTGGCGGATAAGGAAGTCGATGTGTTCAGGGGGGATATCTTCCGTTTCGCAAGCGAGAATAAGAGGTCTGGTATATTCGGACTCTATATTTTCACCTAATGGGGAGTTCGCATTTGCGCCTCTGTTTAGGAAGAGCGCAAAGATATCGTGGACATAATGATGCGAGCAACGCGAGAAGGCATCGTTCACTACGTTTTGTGCAAGTGGCGTGCCTCTTCGATCCGCAGCGTCAAGCAATTGAAACACCACATTAATCTGACTTGGTTTGCGCTCTGAGCAAGCAAGGTATGCGGCTTTAGCTAGAGGAGTCTCCCTACCATAGCCTGCAAAGGCAGGATCTGCTCCATAGGCAAGGAGGAGAGTTACTGCTTCGACCAGGCGGGATTGGCTGTCTATAGCCTGAACAAGTGGTGTAATGGTGGCTTCAGGAGTTGAGATGTTCGGGTTTGCTCCTGCATCCAGCAAGAGAAACATAACATTTGTCAGACAATAATGCGATGCGGCCTGGAGAGGAGTGTATCGGACGGAGGGCACATCAATGGCCGCCCCGTGATCCAGCAGCCACGATACGGTTTCGCTCGATTCGCCTTCATATACAGCGCGAAATAGAGGTGTTCTGAGCCGACTATCCAACTCATCGATAGGGGTTCCGGCATCCAAGAGGACTTGGGCGGATTCTAGAACCGGGTTTCTTTTGGCAGCAATCAGATGTAAGGCGTTCGCACCGTCGACGTCTTTTACTGTAATATCGGCACCAGCTTCAATGAGCCGTCGCAAGACGTCCGGAGAATCCAGATGCTGCAGTATGTTATCCATTATGGTGGAGGCATGAAAGGAGGTAGAAACGCCGTCAATAGGCAAGTTGCAGCCGTGTCAGTCTCTGGGTCTGGGATAGACCCAAGTTCTTTCTGATATAAACCATTACCATCGCTATAAAGTGCTTCAGTCTAGATTGCCTTCTATGAAAATAGAATTCAACCCCGCATCTCAGTAGATGGTTGTTCTACTTACTGGTTGACAGTGGCTGTGGCTTGATTTCAGCTGAACTTCATATCGATGGAAACTCCTCCAATGAGCAACTATCCGCCTACATTCCATGTACATATCCGAGATATTTGTTTGCCTTATGATAGCCTCTAGTCCAGCTGCATCTAAATTCGGCTCTTTGCTGTCTAGTGTCCTGTCTTGCTACCATCCTCGTATGTTGCGGGTTTTGTTCACAAGTTATATCGCTTGGATCCATCATCATGAAGGATAGCCATGAAACTCTCTCCAAAATACAACGCCAAACTACCTGCCCAAAACTCCAAGAATATCATCTCATAATCAAGCAAAGCTCACTTATCCATTATTCAAAACACCAGATAGCTGCACATGTTTTACAGCTGAACCAGTCCTGACGTCACAAGGCCGTTGCGAGCTGAACAGCTTCATTCCTCATGCCGGCGAATTAAACTCTTCCAAGGTTGGCATATCTTTTGACTTTTGGACGGCCCCTCCTCAATTCTGATCTTTTCTTGTTTTCTTCCAATCTTGTCCTATTAATGCTCCAGATTCAGCAAACATTTATCAGCAGGTCACTTGACGTTGTTTGATCTGTCAATACAAGCCTGCTTTTCTCTCCTCTTGAATGTATGACCACAAGGCCAAAGGCATAAATCACCCGTCTCTCCTAAAGAACAATGTCAAGTCTCTGGTCAATAATAGGAGTCTCATTTGCCTGCTTTTTTGGCACAATTGGCTTCATCTGGGTCATCTGTGGCAGCTGGAAAGTGAAATGGTTCCGCGACCTTGTGTCGAGTCTCTGCCCGCGAAAATGCAAGTCCTTGACTTGGAGAGATATTCGAAGTGGCCGGCTGGTTCACAGCCACAAATGCGGCAACTGCAAAAAAGCCCTTGAACATGGAGCAAACATGTTGCCTGTCCTCCAGCACCATCCCTTGCCAAAATGCTGGGAAGCAACGGTCGGCGAAGTTTTCAGCTCCACGACCTACACACGCGGCTCCATAACCTTCAATGAGACATCATTCCCTAGGAGTCTCGATGCTCCTAAGCGTTACCTTTGCGTTGACGTCGAAGTGCTCCTTGCTTTCATCTTCATGGTCATTCCTGATGCTACCGAAGAGATTGTCATTAAGAGACTTCCGGGAAAGGTATTCGACGGCTCGATTGTGAAATTAGAGGAGGAAGAGGGCAATCTTATAGCACATGTCAAGGGCACACACAGGCGGTATCTCACTTTTGAAGACTGCGATGGCCTTGTTCGCAGTTACCCGCCCTGGTATAGACGCACCGTCAAGCTCAATTTTCCTGGTGCGAACCAGGAGATGAACCATCCATGCTTCAACGACTCCAGCAATGTGACCCGGGCCGGCTGGGTTATTGCCGTTGCTGTGACTGATGTTGAACCCGTACCGGCTTACCTCGACCGCCCGACGTTTGTGGAAGAGATTGAACGTGGGAAAGTGCTGCTTATGGGTTGCAGAAGGACTCTTATTGTTCTAAATCGACTCAAGGAAATGCAAATACAAGCTTCAAATCTGATGGCTGCCATTGCCCAGGTTGAGTTACTGTTGGATAAGGGCCCTAGCATAGGCAGCTGTGTGCCAGAGCCCGCAGGTCAAGCATTATCAGCTAATGAATTTTGTCGTCTGGCGCGTGTCGCAACGGAGATATTCGATACCAAACCTGTGGACCGTCTGAGCACCGACGCAGTGAAGGCCCTGGAAACAAACGCCGACTTGATCGTATATTGGGCCAACCACGGCGTGCACAAGGTTCTCACTTACAGAAAGCAACCGGGAAGGGAAATCGTTTGGGATGAACGGCTCAGACCAGGCCGGAAGATTTACTTGCAAGATTGTCGACTTCCAATGAACTGAAGCAAGGTTGGCATACGACAGCCTTACATACCCTGTCAAAAAAGAAGTATTGATGCTCTCCAAAGTATAAATCTTAGATGAACCAGCTTTTACCGCTTCATAACACCTATGAAAAAGCAAATTATAGAAACTTCTTATTCTTGACGAGACTTTTGTCGTGTCTAGAAACCAAGTCAAAAATGAGTCTACAAGCTCCCCTCGATGTTCGGAAATATGTATTCTAGACAAGACAAAGTCAGTCAAAACGAATATATCCAAAGTACCACATAAACCACAAAACATGCCATATGCATTTCAAAGAATTAAAGAGAATAATTTTCTAGTCGTTATTCTTACTCATGGTATCAAAAACTACCACCCTGGTCTACTTCTACTCAAACAAACTTTAAAGAATTTCCATGCCATTCATGAATAATAAAAAACTTCAGACTACTCAAACAACAAAGCCCCCAACCGCTTTCATTTCCATCGCGAATAAAGCCATAATAATAGTAAAAGAAAAAAAGGCTTAAAAAGCACAATACATGTCTTGTCTTATGTGCAAAGTTCTCGTGTGTACGTCCAAAAATAAGTACATCGAAGAAAGAAGAAACAACAATCGTTTTTATTCGCCGCGGGAAAAGCAGAATTTTTATATCACCGCGCATGTCCGTTCTAGATAGGCAAGAGTCTTTTGAAAATTTTGTTAAATGTTATTGTTTTTTTCGCTTTTCTTTCTTTTTCGTGCGTAAAAAAGTTGTGTTTCTTCATAAAATCTCCAACAGGCATTAAAAACCGAGGCAAATAATTTGTATGCAAAAGATGAAAAAAAAAATCGAATAAATGCGATTGGTATCAACGAAATAGAGATAGAAAGCAAAAACGAAGGCGACAGATTTTTTCAATCTTTTCTTAAAACGACGAAGCTCCGGTGTCTTGGTCAGGATAAACTAAAAAGAAACATATTAGTGACCAATTTCTCTTCAACTCGTGCCTTGGAATGGGACGAGACCTACAGAATGCGCAGATTGCAATGATTGCATACAAACAAATCAATAGCCAGCCCTCCAGCCAATGGCTCTTGCCATCGCCAATGAGGTAGTTGACCAGTAGTACAGCGACAAACATGACGGCAACCTGGAAGGTGTCGAAACTCAGGTTCATCTCGTCGTTGCCCATGATCCAGCCAATAACAACCAGCAGAGGGATGAGGAGCAGGGCGACTTGCATACTGGAGCCGACAGCAACACCAATTGCCAAGTCCATCTTGTCCTTTACGGCGACGGTGACAGCAGTGACGTGCTCGGCGGCATTGCCGACAATGGGAAGCAGAATAAGACCAACAAACTCCTCGGATAGAGCGCCGTTCTGGGTGATGGAGTCGATAGAATCAACCATAAACTCGGCGCAAAGGGCAATAATGGCGGTAGAGGCGGCAAGAGTGAAAAGAGCCACCCAAAAGTGCAGCTGCGGTTCCTCTTCCTCCTCTTCCTCCTCCCCCTCCAGCTTGTTCTCGGAAATGTTGGCCATTTGCCGCCCGTTGTCGGTGTCAATCATGATACTGCCAAGCTGAGCACTGGCAGCCAAGCCCTGCTTGATACTCGCCTTGGAGGTGCTGCGGAATGGCTTGCGTGCCACCTTTTCGCTGGGTGTCGCAAATACCTCCTGGTGAGTCTTGAGCTGGAAGAAGAGATAGGCGCCATAGACGACGAGCAGGACGACGGCAGTGCCGCGAGAGAGCTTTGCGACCTTGTCGGTGGGCGTGTTGGCGGCGGCGTCGAAGACGGTAGGGACAATGACGGAGGCTGCGGCCAGGGCCAGCATGGAGGCGGCCGTCTGAGCCACCGTCTTGTTGAAGTTCTGCTCCGGGCGACCCAGGCCGCCAAAGAAGAAGCAGAATCCCATGACAAGCAGCAAGTTGGAGAGGATGGAGCCAATGAGCGAGGTCTGGACGATGGCGACTTTGCCGTCGACGAGGGCAAGAATGGCGACGATGAGCTCGACGGCATTACCAAAGGTGGCGTTGAGCAGACCTCCAAAAGTCTCGTTGGTTCGGAGGGCGATTTCTTCGGTCGCGAAACCTAGCATAGCGGCGAGCGGGACGATGGCGAGGAAGTTGACGACGAAGACGGCTTTGCGGTCGACGGCAGGGATATAGTTGATGGCGATGCCGACCGGGGCGGCAACGATTAGCAGGTTGATCCACGAGCTGAGCAGCGTTCGCTGGATCTGGTTGGCTACTGTAAAGGGCTCCTTGGGTTGGACATGACGGATGAAGCCACCCTCCTTTTGATGCTTTGTGGTTTTGCTGTTGTCAGCCTCGTCGACGGGTGTCTGGTTGACCGTGTCTTCCTGGTCGCCCTTGCGATTTCGCAGCTGTGTATTCCGCTCAATGAGCGGAATGTCGTGGCTGTCCTCGCTTTGATGCTTGCCGGCGGCGTCCTCGGTGCCTTGGCCTGTTCCAGAGGTCGAGATGTCTCTGACGTTGCCGCTGTTCGGGTATGGCGAGGTGTTTGCATGTGTTAGATCTTCACCTTCATCATTGCCCCCGGCCTGAGCTTCGAGACGACCGCCATTCCAGGTCTCGGCGCGCTGGGGCTTCCAAGAGAGGTGTCGGAAAACGTTCCATGTCTCGCTGCTCTGGCGGCTGATGTTGTGCGCTCTGCGCTTGATGCGATAATGATTGACTGAGAGCAGTTGGGTTAGTTTGCGACTCCCATTTTCGTCATCAGTTGCCTCGTGTGACGGCATTCGCGATGTGTGGGGAGGAAGTGGAAGCGTGCAGCTTCAATGGCATGGGGCAAGAAGCATGAGATGGCGGGCCAAAGATGATAAATAACAGCACAAGGAGCGACGGGTAATACAGTAAATGAAGGACAGGACAAGGCTAGGCCAAAGAGAAACAAGTGTCTATTGATGCTGTGCTGGAGTGAGAGAAATGCCAACAAACCACGCCAACTGCAGGGCCATTGAAGGTCTCCAATTGTGTGTAGGTAGAGGGTAGAGGAAGGAATAGGTATAGGTATAGGTATGGGTTTGGGTATGGGTTTGGGTTTGGCTAGGGATGGACGGGTGCTCGGCGCCTCCGGGGATTAGGATGGGATCTCTTGGACGGGGGAAAAGAGGGCAATTAACAGGAAATGACGGGCGCATAGAAACACTGCACAAGACTCACAATTGTCCATGATTGGGTTTGTCGACCCAGCACTGCCCGGTCCACAAGACAAACTCCACTGAGCGATTAGTGCCTGGTCAGGTACTCGTACACCTCAAGGGATTGGGATTGGGTTTCGTTGGCGCGCGCGTTCGGAGTCGGAGTTGAATGGATGCCGTTTGGGTGTCTTCGTGCGGCCGGATGGACGAGTGACTTTGTACTCTGGATAATTGGCGGCCTCGAATGTGTACCGCCTCACGCCGCTCCTTTTGTTTGCCTTGGGACGCGTATTTGATTTGGAACTTGGGATCTAGCTGTTGTAATTCCACTTCTCCTGGGGCTGTGGCTGGTGATGGTTTCTGCAGCGGGGACTGCTAGTACCGAAGGGTAAATAATGTCCTGGGACCCCGGCAAGGCCTAAACGCGTACTTGGGCGGAATGGATTCGTGTGAGAGTATCGCAATAAAAAGGGAAATTTGCCCCTGCTCGGGAAATACCTGCGCAGACAGGTATGTGGCTGATGGGATCGAGTGCCGCGAAAAGAAGCACTGGATTGTTTGGAGATGAGGTTGTTGGATGATATCGATATGCTATGATATGCAAGCCAAGCTGCAAGCCAAGCTTCTTGGAAGCTTCGTTCTTTCAACGTCGCACAACAGCCGTTCGTTCGGATAGATGACCCGAGCGGTCTTGGCTTCTTGGCTTCTGGCGATCCGTGAGGCAGACCGAAGCTGCTCGATTCCACGGGCTCTGATCAGGCAGCCAAGACAAGACAAAGCCGGCGTAGGGCGGCGGGGTTTGCTTCTGTCGGAATTCGAGAGGCGAAAGGAGGCTGTGCGTGATGCCTGGCGCAAAAAAAGGAAGGGCTATGCAGAGGAGAGTTTGTATAGTGAATGAAGTGCTGCTGTTTTCCGTTAGAGTGAATGGCGAGAAGCAGTCAGCGGCGACGAATCTTTTTCTACTGCAATCGAGAGAGGGAGAGAGAGAGGGAAGATGAAGAGAAAGAGGAGGAGGGAAAAGGGAAAAGACAACCCTAACAAAGGACAAAGAACCAGACCAAACGAAAGAGAAAAGTCGGGTTCAATGACGGTAGGTAGGCTGGCTGATCCCCTAAAATTCAAGGTTGTTTGTGCTACAAGCTTAAAACCACTACCAGCACGTTTGTTGGTGCTTTGACTTTAGGGGGGTTACAGAGGGCTGCCTGTACTGCCAAGTGCCGAGCAGGTACCTTGCAAGTACCTCGCAGTGTACGGTAAAGGGAGAAGGGGGGGCAGCATGACGCTATCATTCGACACTCGAGATTGCATTAACATGTTGCACTGCTTAAGGTTGATTTCATCACGAGGATACTGTGTCTTTGTCGTTTAGAGCCCTGCAGGTCATGCTCTAGTTGACTTTACACCACTAACTGGTACTAGTCGGCGCTCACAAAAGCACTCAAAAGCCAGCGCAACATTGAGAAACACAGCCAATGAATCATACCTAGTACCTACAACAGAGACCGACTCTTTGACAGCTTGCCAGGCAGCTTGACTCGGAGGCCTCCTTGATGATGTCTTTGACAACTTCAGTCTGTTTGTGGTACTGTGCTTGCGCACCTGGAACAGAGAAAACGTCAATGCCACAGCGTCTGTGCTGTCTGCTGCTATAAACCGATCAAATACGATACGAAATGCTTCAGCCACTGCTAGGTGGCAGCATTCCAGACAACAATCAATCCATATCAAAGCTAAAGGCTCTGTTTACTCGTACAGCCTAGACTATCATTTTACCCTTGCCACCGCCTGATTCAAAACTCCCTTTCAGCTTCCGGTCCGTGCCAATTCCCATCTCCCATCCGTCCCCCAGACAAACAAACACCGCTCGATAGTAGTAATAGTACCATCCATGTACCACCAAGGTAACCCCCTTGCCTCCACCAAACAAACACACCGGCGCGTCGCCCATCATCGAAATCGTTGCCCAATCCACACAAGCGTCTCAACCCCTGTCCCGCTCCCACCCCTGATTGATGAACGAAGACCGAGCTAAACTCTCTTGCTTTGGGCCTTGGGATGATTCTTTTGTTTGAAATTTAAACCTTCTTCTCGTTAGTAGACCGACGATATATTCGGCTCCGTGGAAACAAGAATAGACGCCCAACACAATGGGTATCAATACGTGGACGGGCTCTCCCAATCCAGGCCCAACAGCCCATTCACAAACGGCAGCATCAGCCAATCACTCACCCTCTGCATGCCCAACTCAGTAACTACATGTACCCAAGACGCCACCTCATAATTACGACTGCCTTACACTTCGACTACGACTACTTCGCGTACTGGAGCTCCGTAAGTGATCAACATGGCCCGCCCCAAAGCAAGATGTCGTCGCCACAGACAGTCCAGAAAATATTCCCTGTTCTTCTTTTCTCCTGCTGCAGCTCTGTTCCAAGGCAGTCCCTCTCTAGTCTCATGCACTCCTGCGTCCAAACAACTGCACCGTCCCCCCCTGACGTCACGTCAGATGCTGCAACTCCCTGCAACGTGCTTTTTTTTTTTTTTTTCCTTGCAGGCGTTTTACGAATCCCATTCGACGAATCCGGGGCGCAAAACTCTTTCTTCACCGTATTCCGTTCCTCGTCATCTCCATCGGCCGATGGAACCCCCGATCGCTGATAAAAGTAGTTGCAGCAAATACTACGGCTACTAACTATACGACTATACGACTACGAATATAGGCCGTCTCGACACCGCCCTCAGCTAGGACTCGTAATACGCTCGGGCTCAGCCTTGGATTACTACCTAGTATAACAACCAGCCACCCTATCTCGTCAAGCTCGTGCATTCTACCAAATCAGGCAAATCCCTTTATTGTCATCCTCACCGTAAGCAATCCTCACCACATCCTCCTCTCTTCACAGCAAAAAAAGAACAAATAGTCCATCCTCTCGTAAGCCCATAAAAAAAAACAGGCATGGTCTCCTCCAGCTTCCCCAAGGATTCCACATCGCCCGCAGAAAAAACAAAGACTCCCCATCCTCACCCAATCCAGTCCTGCCACACTTTGAATCTCTCCCACTGGCATCATCCCAGCCAATGCAGCTACTTGTGCTGGACACCAATTCATGCAAAAGCTATACTCGTAACCACCGTCTCATGTAGATATAATCGAGCAGCAAATCAAAAAAGCCACCTTCGGCCTAAATACTAGCTCTGCCACTAAATGTGATAAAAAATCACCCAACTCCAACCAATCCATCACAGCATTAAAATGCCAACTCATCTTGGGCTGCAATGAGAATCCTTCTAGTATGAATCACCTCGCCAAGCTCCCACCGGTGTGATGGAAGAAAACCCCAAGCATGACGCTCGCAGTAGCACAACAGCCAACTGTCACGTCCCAATGTCTGCCCATAGTTACACATACACCAGCTAGTTATGAGCATTCGGCAGTAAAAAAACGTCTCAATTACAGTACTACCGAGGATTCTAGTCCTTTTTCCCATCTGACGCCTTGTATCTCTTTCTGGCGCAGAAACCTGTTTCTATCATACAAATTGAATGCCGGTATCATTGAAAATGCCTTGAATCGTGTCCTCCCATTAAACGCCATTCCTTCGTCCATTACGTCTCGTCCGAGATTCTTTGTATGCTGAGCAAAATGCACACCCCAGATTGCTTTCCATGCCATGAATATGATGTTGATCCAGACGCGGCCCAACCATGTTAGCCACCGTCGTAGATCAACCAATGCCCATTGCCCACCGCTACTCTCGCCATTCTGGTGTGAAGAATAAAGAGAGGGGGCTGGTTGTAAAAAAAAAAAAAAAAAAAAAAAGAAAGAAAAAAAAAGTTTGGCGCCTTGATGCCGCTAGGATAGAATGAAAAGAAACCAATGGAAAGCGACAAAAAGAAAAAAAGAAAGAAAACACAAAGTGCAGTAGCATCCGACGCCAGTTCGGCCCAAGTCAATAATCCCATCTAGGCGCTCTAGATCCATTCCATATCGTCGTCTTCATCGCGTGACTCCGCTCCTCTACGTGGCCGACCCCGTTTGCGTGGCTGAGATCCTGAGCGAGCTCGCTTTTTGCGGCCTCCGGGAGTGCCTGCGCCTTTCCTCTTGCGACCTCGATCAGGCGTTGTGCCCTCCCCATCGCCTTCGCTGGGCGTACTCGGTCCGTCCATTGCCATCTCCTCGTCGTCGTCTTGCACCTTGAGCTCCTTGTCGACGTTCATCAGCTCCACAAACGCCTTACACTTCTGCGCCATTTTATGAATCGTCTCCAGGCTGCTCACATGCGCCGTCACCTCGTCCCAGAACCGCTCTCCGTGAACTCCCTGCACTTTCATCGGCATCTTGTTGAGGTCTTTGGCCAGAGCCTTGGCCTTGCCGTCGTGTCGGCTCGTTCCCATTCCATACAGGCGCCGCAGGTGCGTACGGGCTTCCCACAGGCAGGAGAGAATAATGGCCCCGGTCGTCAACTGGCGAAGTCGATTCGGATCTACTTTGAGGCCGACGAGGGGGTCTCCCTCCGCGCTTGCTTGCGCCTCGACCGTCTCGCCCATTAGCTGATCCGTCACTTCGTCTTGTTCTGTGTGGTCCAGATCGAGGCGCACGTCGAACACTTCCGACTCGATTAGGTGAGCAACTGCTGCGCCTGTTGTGCTCACAATCTTCTCCATCATGTTCACAATTGTCTGAAGCTCCCCAACCGTTTGATACTCGAAAAAGGCCATGTTTTCGATGATGAACCGCGAAAAGTCAAGGTGTGGCGGCATCTCTTCGTTCGTGTCCAGCTGCGCAATGTCAAAGTTGACCTGTCCACACAGCTTCTCCAAGAAGCGCTGCCTGTTTTTCATTTTGCTAATCTTCAGCACTTCCATCATGAGGTGTAGCTTGGGTTGGAACACTTCGGGGATCGCCCCGTGAGAGTCTTTGACAATGTCTCGCTGGTAGTTGTAAGCGGACTGGATCGCCTTGACGTATTCTCTTTCGAGCACTGTCTCGTGCTTCTCGTGAAGTGACCGATGCTCCAAAAAGGCCAGTTCCGCAATCTTTCGGTTTGAGGATGTCTCAAGCGTCATCAGTGTCACTCCTGTCTCCTTGGGATGCGTCAGACCTTGCCGGTTAATGCTGCCCAAGACTTCCATAGCTAGAAAGGCGAGTTCGTCTAGGCTTCCCAAGGCGATTCGTGTAATGTCTTTAAGAAACCTTTGAGTCGTAGCGCTGGCGACGTCGTCAAAGTTAGTGCCGCCCATGACCGTCAGCTCTCTCTTCTTCTCCGTCGCCCCGGACTCAGCCGCAGCTTCGGATCGCCTTTCCTCCGTGAGGAGAAACTCTTTGAATGACTTGAGAATCATTGTTTCTAGAATGGGGATCTTTTCTTGGAAAACCTGTTGGAAGGCTGTGTAGACCTTGGCCAGGACGTAATTTCTTGGCCAGGACTGGCAAACCAGGCCTATCGCCTCAAGAGATGCCTTCCGCGCCTCCAATGGCTGGGAAGGCGAGGAGAATGGCGATAGCACGTCCACAATAAGTCGAGGGACCGAGTCACCCTGCCATTTGGGGAAGCGGGCCTTGAATACTTGCATCTGCGGATCCAGGTCGCAATGCTTGCCAACGCTGCCAACGATGATAGAGTAGGCACACAGATGGTTGATCCTCTTGCTATCCAGGACTGCACCCCCGGCTCCCAGTTTCTGGATGCCCAATAAACCTGATGCGACTAGGTTGCCCAATGGTCCAAAGTCCTTTAGTAAATCACAGACTACTTTGGTGCATGCGATCAAGTCATCCAAGGCTCCACGGGAGGAAATCTTTCCGATGCCCTTCAAGAGCTGAAGGCGAATTTCGGTCAGAAACTCAGAGTGAACCGTGGGCAGCCGGGGAAGCACGCGTTTGTATACCACCGTCACCGCACGAAACGCTGCCAGTTCGTCGGTGCCGCTGAAGCTTGCGAGATGGGGCTTTAGAAGCCTGATCTGTTCAAGGCTAAAGAGCTTAGGGTCGGCCTTCGCAAAGATTGTGAGCACCTGCAGGGCATCACGGCCGGTCGGACCTCCATCTTCCGAATCTCCGCTGTCGATGAGGCTAAACATACTGCTCACCAGCTGTGAGCAAACCGAGAATGGACCATCCAGCGATTTATCTTTTGGCCGAAGAATGGACTGAAACACCTTGTCGAGAATCTCAGTCACGTTTCCTGTCTTGACAGTCTGGATGATCAGGGCCACATGCTCAGTCAAAGAGGTTTGGAATTCGGCTGAGTTATCGCGACCGTAGAATGGAGCAAACCAGACTTCCTCAATCATCTGGCGGGCAAGGTCGCGAACACCGTCGTCAGGATCCTGCACACGTCGGAGAAGGCCATTAGCTATAGAACTGCGAAGTGCGCTATCATGATTGCGGAGATAGATGTCGCGGGCAAGCTTCATGGCTCGCTTCCTGACACCAACACCAGCGTCTTGGAAGCGGTCAATAATCTTGGGTGTCAACGGCGATTCCAGAGCTGGCCTCAGCGTAATGCAGCTTCCCAAAAGGCCAAGAGCAGAGTCTCTCACTTGCGTAGATGAGTCGCTCGAACAATCTAGGATGAGTTGGATCACCATAGAATCCCCGTCCAGGATTGATGGATCCGTCTCGAGAACCTGGTTGATACTTTTCAAGCTCTTGCTGCGGACTGTTGCTTGATCACCAGCCATCGAACCAAGGAGAATGTTGAGAATCTTGCTAAAGGACTCAAAGAGCGGGGAACGTAGCAGAATAATAGAGTAAGAAAGTTTGGCTTGAGCAGGGCTCACGGCCTTGAAGGTGTACTCGTTGGAGAGCCATCGGCGATCTTGTATCATCATCCGCAGTCTGTAAGCAAGGCGTCCAAGTTCCCAGTCTCTCTCATCTTCATTGTCCTGGATTGCATCGTAGCCCGTATGTACCCGAGTAGCCCAGTCAGTTATGAGGAATGATACAGCGCTGAATAGATATGGGTCATCAGACAGACGAGCCTGGAGGAACTCTAACGAGGCTCGGTAAGGTCCATCCCAGGCAACAATTTGCTCGATCGAGCTCTTTTGCTCAAGAACGTGGCAAGCCAGCGCCGCCAGATATCGCGACAGCTCGTCGACATCAGTGGTTTCGAACGAGTTGGCGGTTCGCTTGACGTGCGATCGCAGTCGAGAAATGGCCGCACTCATAGTGCCCAGCAGCTCAAGAGCCATGTTCTTTGCAGGAGCGGGTGTCTTGGGAGCCTCAAACAGCTGCACCATCATGAGCATGAGGAGGCGCAACAGTAGCTCGGCTGACGGCCAGTCTGGGGAATCGAGACATGTTGTAAAGTCCTCAACAAAAAGATCCAGAAGGTTACGGTACGGTGTGTCACCCGACTTCGTCGACCCGATGGCGCGCTTCACAATAAAGTTGATAATGTACGAAGCATTCCGTGCAGCACCTTCACTAAGAGGGGCAGCAGCTGCCTCCAGCTCTTGAATGGCGACGGCGTGTTGCTGTGCGCCTTGGTCATCGGTGTTGATGGTGGATGTGATTTGCGTCTTTTTAGTCCTCTTATCGGGTAATTCATCCTCGCTCTCGTTGTCGTCGTCCATCTTACTGTCGTCGCCACCGAGGGCCCGGAGAACTGCAGCACGACTCTCATTCTCTTCAACCCTCCCAGAGCTGGCCTGGACCAGTCGCATGAGAAGCGCCGACACCGGTTGGATATTCCCACCTTCGGAAAGCTTGAAATGCCGTGCGCTCTGTTTTCCGACGGGAAGCTTCTCCAGAGATGTGAGAATCTCGTCAATGATGCCCTGCCGCTGCTCAGGTTTGATGAGAAATATTTGGCAGAGCATGTCCATAGCAACACTGCGAATTCCATCAAACCTCTGCACTCCCACAGCCGAGTCCTTTTCGAAATAGGCGTTTTCGACAAATATAAGTTTGCATGCGGTAAACTCTAGAGTGGTGAAGACGCTTTCTGAGAGCTCTACTTTCGTTACCAACTCTGCGAGTGTGGCAAACAGCTTCTGGCAGCAGAGAAAAGTAGATGTCACGGCCTTTTTGTGCTTTAGTGCCATTCGGAATAAGTTGGCGGATGATGCCGAGTTGCGAAGCTCAACGAGAGGGATTATTATGTCTTCCGTGACAGTCTTGAAGATGTTGACGCATCGGTTGATGATGCTTTCAGAGTAGAGCTGCTTATCATCTCGGCCTCCAGACAAGATTCGCAAACAAGTACGTGCAGCTTTCATTCCTACTTCAACCTCTGCCAGTTGTTGAATCCATGATTCAAATGCAGCCTCATCCCAGCTTTCATCAACACGAATGTCCAAGCCGTCGACAAGCTTGAGGCTAATGTCGCTCAGCTTCATGATTTGGAGGAGGCCTTCGACCGGGACTCTATCGAAACACTTGAGTGCAATGGCCTTCTGCATGGCGCTCTGCATCTTCTGCTGCGTTGCGCCATTCATAACTACCTCGTTGTCAGCTGTCAGCGTCACGACGTGGTCATATCCAGAGTCCATTCCCAAAGCACGACCGACTGCCGAGAAGACACTGCGCATGAGCGAATCAAGAGACTCGAAAGCAGCTTCAGCTCGCTGCTGTTGGTCAAGGCCGCCGCTGCTAACGAGGCCTTGGTCCCCTTGCACCGTATACCGCTCCTTCTTGCGGGAAGAAAGGTTCTCAGGAGCGGATGGTATATGGGCAATTTCCAAGTACTCGTCCCTCTTGATATGGGCCGAAGGAAGTTCAACTCGAAACGAGGCAGGATTGTAGTTCATGTAGTTCGCTTCGGAGGATACAGAGCCAGCAGTCACATTATCATCTGGACTGATGGGTACTGCTGAAGGCGTTTGGCGCACCGGGGTTTCGGGCTCGGCCTGAAACTGAGAAGGGGCAGTGGGATCAACGTAGGCTGAGGGGTCGAAGCCGCCTCGTCTAGATGGGATTAACACTTCTATCCTTGACTGATGTGGCTTAGGTGCCTCGTGGTTGTCGATGCGAGCTGACTGATTAGCTTGTACCGTCATATCTTTTGAGGATGTTCTGCTCTTGTCGCCGTTAACGCCAACAGCTTGAGGGTTCACCACATTGGGCTTGGTTGCTTTGAAATAGCCCCCGACTTTTTCGTATACAGCTCGCGCAATAGGAGATAGTCCCTGTGAAAGACTTCCGGACCGGGAGGTTGCTTGGCCTGTCAAAACAGACTTGAAGTTGCTACAGGCAACGTGAGCAAAGGCTTGAGACGCACATGGTCTGAAACTTACTAATGCGTTCTTTGGGATGGCTTGATTTCATGCAACACAAAATCAACAGCCTGCCTTGTGTTCCTTGGCAGGTGAGGCTGCCCGAGAGCTTCCTTATTGAGTCGCTCGTAGTCGTTGTGGGGGAAGAGATCGGAGACGGATGGAGCTGGCGAGCCAAAGCCCAAGTTGGGATCGGGGATGATTTCTAGAAAAGAAGCATCAGTAGCCATAAATATAGAACAAAGGGAAAGAAGAAAAAAAGAAGAAATATCAAGCCGAGACTGAGCGGTGACTGACCAGGAACAAAGGGTACCGTGGATGTTTGAGGTGAGTACGGCAAAGATTCTTGCAGCGTGAAAGGTCGTGAAATCGCGTTTTGTGAGGCGGCCGCGCTGTTATTTGCGCTGAGCCCATCCTCAGGGTAGTCCATGCTGCGTGGATGCATGTTTGCAAGAATCTCGATGTTGACCAGCCTCACCAGAGACGCATTGTCGACACAGGAGCTACTGGTGCATCAGCTGCTCCCCCAGCGTGTCATGGAAAAAACTGCGAGATTTCAACTCGGCGGACGACGGGCACTTATGCTGAAAATCGGATTCGTGGCGGCAAGGGAAAGGCTGGGGCAAATTCGCACTGCATGAATCAAAACGAGCGTGGCCTCAATGCGTGCCCAAATGCTGCCAGTTGGGTATTGCTTCGTCGAATCTTCGAATCACGCGCAGCGCAGCCTGGAGTAATCGACAGCCTCGCTGGACCAATCTCGAAAGTCAAAAAGGATCCAATGGCCCGTGCGCCCCACTTTGCGCCAATCAGCGGCGCTTCCGGAGCCGGTACCTTGCTTTATCAGTTATTCCGGATTATCAACCCCCTGCAAGCCTGCAAGATCTTTTGCCAGTTGTCTTGCATGACAATTTTTGTACAGCTGGTTCCACGCGATCCCTCCCATTGCACAAGTAGAATTCGTCATAGGCTCTGCGCTGGCAAATTGGCAAAAATGGCGGCCATTGGATCCATGGTGTTCTGCACCGACTGCGGAAATTTGCTTCCGGCGACCAAGGGAACCGAGCAGAATGTGCTGAGCTGCGAGTGCTGTAGCGCCGAAAATAAAGGTTTGGATCCGGATTGGGCAGCACTGGAGTAGAGAAATTTTTTTTAACAAATGGGCTTCTCAGATACTGGCGCAAAGATCATCGTCACAAAGTCGAAGCCCTCGGATTTCCCTTCTTTCCTGCGGCAAAAGCTGCAGTCCAGCGTCCAGGCCGTCGAGAAGCACACGCTCAACACCGAGAGCACGGTTCGCGAGCGATGTCCAAACTGCGGTCGAGAAGAAGTCAAATACACCACGGTACAGCTGCGAAGTGCCGACGAAGGCTCAACCGTCATCTATAACTGCGAGTGTGGATTCAGCTGGAACGAAAACAATTAAAATCTACCTTTTTTATGACTGGGAAGTTCTACAATATGTAATACGGAATCTTTCTTTTTATCGTCCTTTTCTTTATGCAGAGGCGCCGGCCACTTCTGGAATCAAAGCATATTCCGTCTCGCCACCCCTCTCATACTCGGCCATATCTAATGCTACAATGACACTCTCACGAACAACTTGCTCCTTGTCTTGAAGGAAGCGCTTCAGGATGTCCTCGACGCCCTCTTCGTCGCCAAGACTGCCAAGAGCCTCGGCAGCTTCGTGGCGCACCATGCTCGCCTCCTCGAGGTTGCTCAGGGCCTCTGTAAGGGCAGGGATGGATGCAGGATGTGAGAGCTGGCCAAAGACGAACGCAATCTCGTGGCGGAAAAGTGCTGAGGAATCGGCAAATCCCTTGGCAAGGGCGTTGACGGCGGGGACGGCAGTCGGGCAGTCTGGAGGAGAAGCGAGATCGCGGAGGGCAAACATGGCACGGTATCGCATAAAGAGCGGCTGGTTGACGTCCATCAGCACTCTGCCCAGTTCATCAACCGACTTTTCGGACTCGGGCATAGGAGGTGCCGGGTCGACTGAAGCAAAGTCGCTAGGATAATGAATTAGCGAATTATAGACCAATGAGAATACAGACATGTTTGGCATAGATTTACCTTTGACGCAGCTTCTCCTGCTTCCTTGATTCGGAGTTTTCCCATTCAATGCGATCAATAGCAATCTCGCAAGTCTCCTTGACGACGACCTCCTCGCCAGCACGATCTCTGAACTCTCGGAGCAGATCCAAGCTGGAAGCATTGCCCAGAGCTCCCAGAGCCTCAGCGGCCTCGTGTCTGCACATGGGGTCTTCCTTCAGATCTGACAAGACATCACGCAGCGGTTGGATAGCTGCATCGTTGCCGGTCTGGCCAAGACAATATGCAAGCTCGTGCTTCAGCAGAGCAGACGGTGAGGCAAAGGCAGCGGCGATGGCCTCGATGGCCGCAAGGGCAGATTCGGCGTCGGTTTTGGCGACATGTTTAAGAGAGAACAAGGCACGGAAGCGCACAGGAAGGGGAGTGTCTTCAGAGCAGAGGCTCTGCCTGAGACTTGCAACAGTAGCGGTAGACATGACGAATTCCAATTTCTATAAGGTGAGGGTATCTCGAACAAACGACAAAAGGCAAGTTTGCACGCTCGTAAACCGAGATGCACGCATCTATCGAACGAAAATTTAGGTGGGGTGGTGGGGTGACACCTCGAATTTCTCTTATCAGATGCCGAACGGCGATTTGCGAAAAAGCGAAAGCAAAAGAAAAATTTTCATAGCGGCTGTCTTTATAGTACACAAAACGAACATCGTTGGCAAGCCATGAGAAGTGGATAACCACTTCAGCGGTTCCATGGTCTAACGGTTATGACTGCGGATTCTGATTCCGCCAGCGAGGGTTCGACTCCCTCTGGAACCTAGATCCTTTCTTTTTCTTTTTTTCTTTTTTCTTATTTACCATAATCAGCAGGCTTGGTTGTTTCATGATAGAGGATTGCGGATGTTGGATTAAGGCAATTTTATTTTTCCTTCTGCTTTTGCTCTCTTCCTTCCCGCCGGAGACGTCTTACTTCCATATCCGTTCAGTGAGTTCCCTCAGCGTTGAAAAGACAACTGGAGAGGTGGCGAATAATGTCTAGTAGCGTCATCAGCATCTTGGCTACCTACTTACTTACCCTGTATCATTTTTCATGAAAACACAATGCTTGATACTCTACAACCCCCGTGGCATTAGAGCTATTTAACGTCAAGTAACATGACTCTCTAAAGTCTGGTGTTTCGTATTTTCCTTTTTGAGTCGTAATAGTGCTGTTGTGTTGTGATCTGAACCCTGTGAAAATGTCCCGATCTCGGCCATTGGATTACCAACTCCAACTTTCCACTGAAGGAGCTCACATTATTAAGCTTCAATCCACCTCCAATTCCGGGCCGAAGAACCAACAATTCTCCCACTCCATACTACACCATAAGACCCTCGATACCTAGTACGAATCCTTGTATTCTACTACGCAAGAAGAAAGGAAGAGAATCTCGCGACCGTTGATACCACAAGGAGCCATCACTACTACTCAGGACCTATAATCGACCAGCCGCCGCAATGGCGCCATCATTAGAGGAGCCCGAGGCCATCGCCGACGTCCTCGCCAATCCCCTCAAGCAGAAACCGCAGCTCGTTGCTCCCGAGCCAGAACACTGTCCAGGCCCAGAATCCGAGCGTGCCGGTACAGCGTCATCATGCGATGGCTGCCCTAACCAGGCCATCTGCGCCTCTGCCCCCAAGGGCCCTGATCCAGACATCCCGATCATCACAGCGCGGCTGGAGAACGTCAAGCACAAGATCCTGGTGCTGAGCGGAAAGGGCGGCGTCGGAAAGAGCACCTTCACCAATCTTCTCGCCCACGCCTTTTCAACAAACCCAGACAGCACGGTGGGCGTCATGGATGCGGACATTACGGGGCCCAGCACGGCCAAGATGCTGGGCGTGGAGGACGAGACGATTCACGTCAGCGCTACGGGGATGTCTCCCGTGTGGGTGACGGAGAACCTGGCAGTCATGTCGATACAGTTTATGTTGCCGGATAGAGACGCTGCGATCATCTGGAGGGGCCCGAAGAAGAACGGGCTGATTAAGCAGTTTCTGAAGGACGTGGAGTGGGGAGAGCTGGATTTCCTGCTGGTCGACACACCGCCGGGCACGAGCGACGAGCATCTGAGCGTGAACTCTTTCCTCAAGGAGAGCGGAATCGACGGCGCCGTGGTGGTGACAACGCCGCAGGAGGTTGCGCTGCTGGACGTGCGCAAGGAAATCGACTTTTGCCGCAAGGCTGGCATCCGGATCCTGGGGCTGGCGGAGAACATGAGCGCGTTCGTGTGCCCCAACTGCAAGGGCGAGAGCCAGATCTTCAAGGCCAGCACGGGTGGCGGCCGGGCACTGGCGGAGGAGATGGACATTCCGTTCTTGGGATCGGTGCCTCTGGACCCGAGGATACGCATGGCATGTGATTATGGGGAGAGCTTCTTTGACTCGTTCCCCGATAGCCCGGCCTGCATTGCGTTTAAGCAGGTAGTGAGGAATGTAGGGCGGCAGCTGGGTTTGGATGAGAAGAGCGTGCTGCCGGAGTAGAACTTATTCTAACTCCAGAACAAAAGAAGAAAAAAAAATTGTAAATAATTCGATAAATAGTGAAATCAGGCATAGCAAAAGCGAGAGTCCCCGTTCTCTTTTATTGGTATTTCTATGAGGCTAGCTGCCCAGGGATGTCCTCCAGGTCCTCCGTTGACTCTATATCAATGACCTTGTTCACCTCGGCCGTGTTGCGTATCAGCTCCTTGGCGCCGGCGTAGAGCATTCTTGTCTCGGCGTTGCATGTGATGGGGAGGTAGTACAGCAGAACGTAGGGCACGGATAGCCGTCCGTCAGGCTGCAGATTTGTTAGCCACTTGTATAGAGAATATTGTAGAGGGAAGACGTGGGCTCACCATGGTCAAGGGATAGCTGAGGAGGATGAATCGAGGGGCATGGTCGGGGAGGTCGTCGGCGATCTCGTCGAGGGACGTGTATATAACCTTGTCTGCATCCTGGTGGATTTCGTGCGTCGTCTTATCAATCAGGTCTATTCCAAGGAACTGCCAGTCAGCATCGTACGATCGTAAGTCCAACTCTCCCCTCACAGATATGAACCCTCACTCCAACCGCCACAACCACAGAGGAGAGACGCCCACGACGTACATACATATCACTGCTTGAGGCTTGCTCGCCCGGGATGTCGTCAGGCGAAACTTGCGCAAGTGCTCCTTGGTCTCGCCGGAGATGTTGTAGAGCCTGGATTCGGACGCCTGGTTGCCAATGAGTTAGGAGGGGTATCTTGAGGTTTTGGCGGGGGTTGTGCTGGGAGGGCTTGCCATGGCTTGGAGTTTGTGAGGGGGAAAAGGAGCAGCTGCTGGCAATACTCAGACTCAACGGGGAATTGAAGCAATATCGTCACAGAGCAGACCAACGTTGCAAGAGATTGACGGGACGTGATGCCTCTAGTAGCCCAACTTACTGTAGCAGTTCATCTCCATCTCTTTAGCTCCGGCCCTGATAAAAAGCTCCCCCCAAAAGTTCACCCCCGCTAAGCCCATTGATAATCCCCCACATATCCAATCCATCGCAGCGGCTTTCCGGCCTCGCCCGCAAAAAATGGCGTCACGGGCCGTCTTCACGCGCCCTCTTTGTCCCAGTCTCTTGCCGGTTCCGGATTTTGCTAAGCTCGGACTTGAGAATTTCTTCTTTTCTTTTTAATTCAAAAGACAGAATTGAACAATTTTCTTCTTCTTATTTCTGGCTGTTTATGTTGAATTGAGGCAAACAATTAAACAAGAGAAGAGAGAGGGAAGAAAAAAAAAAGACTTTCATTCACGCTTGGTTTCCTTCTTCTTTCAACGTCCATCTCCACCACCTCTTTATCCATGTTTCCGCGGCTATCACAGGCTGCAACGCATCGCTTACTCACAGCCACATCTCCCTCCTTCATCACCCAATCCCTCGCTCGTCCGGCCGCCTTTTCGTTGAAAATGTCAGCCGCCGGAAGCCGCACCATCCAGACAGCCGCATGCCTAATCATTGGCGACGAAGTGCTGGGTGGAAAGGTATGGATCATGAACTGCTGCGTTATTTGACTCGAGTGAAGGAAACAAAAGCTAATGACTTTTAAATTAGACTGTTGATGTCAGTATGCCGAACTGCGTTGCAGGGCAGATGGAATGAGTCAAAGGGGAGAGCGTGAGTTGACGGTTTTTCACAGACGAATTCGGCGTATCTGGCAAAATGGTGCTTTTCTCTGGGCATCGTAAGTTTCAAGTCTCGAAATCCGAATCTCGGATGATGCTCGGTATCTGGAGGATCTGACGCCCTATCTGTCGGCTTAGAACTTGAAGCGTATCGAGGTCATTGAAGATGACGAGAGTGAAATCATGGAGGCCGTGAGCCGAATGAGCAACCGTTATGACTTTATCGTAACCAGGTAAGAGATTCACTCACTATCCAGAACCCTCTGATGAAACAAAAGCCTTGTTCTTTGCTAATAATTATAATCTCATTCCCTAGCGGAGGCATTGGCCCAACGTAAGAACATGTCTCCCATCTTCCATATGATCCCCTCATCTCACAGCAGTCATCAAACCCCACAGGCACGACGACATCACTTACCAATCCATCGCCAAGGCCTTCGGGCTCCCCCTCAAGCTCCACCAGGAGGCCTACGAGAAGATGAAGAAGCTCTCAAGACCGCACCCAAAGCAGCCCAACTTTGACTGGAACGTCGATTCGCCCGCCCTCAAGGCCCGCCTGCGCATGGTCGAGCTCCCGACGGACGAGTCCCGCGACCTGAGCGAGCAGTTCATCTTCCCGCAGCAAGACCTGTGGGTTCCCGTCGCGGTTGTCAACCGGAACGTCCATATTCTGCCTGGAGTGCCGCTGCTCTGTGAGACATCCCCTTACGGTTTCTCTGGAGGATACAATGCTGACAAGGGGTTTCTTTTCTTTTGTTTCCTCGTCTTATAGTCCAAAAGCTGCTCGACGGACTGAAGCCCCATGTCCTCCCTAGACTAGTCGATCCCGAGGGCAAAGGAACCCACCGCATCATGATATCCACGCCTCTGCCGGAGAGCTCCGTCGCAGAGTACCTCACCCAGCTAGCCGCCAAGGTCGAGCCGCACGGCGTTAAAGTAGGAAGCTACCCACGATGGGGCCGGAAACGAAACACGGTTACCTTGGTTGGAAGGTATTTCTATATCCTACACCTTCATCCCGTTTCTAGAAACCCCAATTAACGTTTCGTTTCACAGGGACAAGGACTATCTAGAAAGCCTTGTGGCGGAGGCAGAGGAGGCTGTTCAGGGTAAGCGAGTCTCAAAAGAAGACGAGCTCGACGAGCCATCCGACAAGACGGAGAAGAAGAAGCTCTAGAGAAAGAAAGCCTCTGGCATTGTAGCATTACTTCCTACTCTATACAGGTATAACAAAAACACAAATCTTTTGTCCCGCCCCAACGGAGGGACACGAATTCTCTACCACCGTTCCCGCCATTGTCTCGGACCGCGCCTCTCGTCTGTCCAGGCTGGGCCTTTGCCGAAGCGAGCTTTCTAGTCACAACGCCCGGGCCCTATCGCGAAATGCACTGCTTTGGTGCCAGTTCGGACTAGTAGCCGTCAAATGTCTCAGCCAGAACCCGTGGCAACCCGTGGCAAAACAAGGATGTAGTTGATGCCTGCTGGACCCCTTGTAGACCCCAGAGATGGCGCACAACGACGCGAGACAGGCGTAGCAAAGGAGAGATGCTATGGTGATACTAAGTGGGTGCATATACTGTGGCTCGGCCCAAGTGTTGATGGCCTGGCGCTGTTTTACGCTCGTGCCATCTTCTCCACGATTCAGCCTACAGCTAAGACAGTAATCTAATACGGCAGCATGGCTGAGCAACTGAGCTATTGGAAACGCATTGGTCGGGCAATGGCTCTTGGTTTCAGCCTCGGGAACTACGTCAATGGTGTACACGAGCTGTAAGCTGCAGAGGGAGAGAGCTACCTATTGTCCCCCAACTCTGCCTTTTGTTTCTCCATCTTCTTCACCTCCCAACAAAGGTCGAAGAGCCCAAGGGGAGGCTCCCGGCAATACGCCTGTGTCTTTTCCTTTTAAGAGTAAGCAGTGACTCGGCATTTATACGAGTAAGCAGTGACTCTCTCCACGGTCAAAGCTCAGCTCAGAGCCATCACCGCTGATCAAACCCCACTTGGTTCGTTTCTCGACCACAAACCATAGACACGACGAACTGATACTAGTTTAGTCATTTGCGTACTCGTACAGTAGCATCATGGATCCCCAGAGTTACATCTTTGTCAGCGTCCTTCCAGAAGAGCAGCTGCCCGGTTTGGATCTGACTGGTTCCCCCTTCGGGCTCTCTCTGCCGATGGATCGAGCAAAATAAAAACATCCGGCGAGGGGGAAGCGGACGAACGTATCGTATTACGTGCATGCTTATATCGAAATCCCCGTAGCCTGTCCGCCGTTGCTTGACTTTGATGAGCCAACCGTTAGATGGAAGCCATCTGTTTTATGTTGTTGGGGCCGTCTCAGCTGAGCTACTATCAATGGCATTACCTGACCTTGTTCTTGATGGTAGCATCGGCACCGAACTTAGCCTTTGCAGTACTGAGACTGCAGGTACGAAGTACGGAATAGGGTGTTGGTTCTCTGTCAATCTGTATCGGGTAGGTAAACCATGGTAGGGGAGTAATCCAATGCTACGTGTAATACTCTGCAAAATTCGTGATGGCTGAGCGAAATTCGCCAATTTTGCAAGTTGACGATGAAGGCAAAGAAAAATCAATTAATATTTGGTGCAGGGAAGAGAGGGGGGCGCCAAGACCAAGATTCAGGTGCATCATCGGAAACGCACTATTGCGATGGAAAATCTCCCATCAAGCCAGTCCGTCGTGCCCCGTATTACGGGTACAGGTACAACTGATGACGTTTTTAGGTTGCAAAGAAGCTTGCACATGTACTGTCAAGCAAAAAGAGCTTTCGTCAAGGGCCAAAAGGGGGACAAGGGGGCAAGTGGTTGACCGGGAGGGGAGATGAAGAGGCCAGTGGAGACGGTGCCGTGTGGAGGTGTCGAATGTGGAGAGCAATCATTCTAGAAGGTCGATAAGTGGCCCGAGATGGAGCTCTTGGGCTCGAGCTTCATTTCAATTGATTGCGGAAGAGAATCCATGTCCGATACCTGATGCTGCTTGAGATGAGAGGTGAAGGACGCGATAGGGCAATTCCAGCGGCAACTTCGCCGAGGACGCGGTCCATGCTAGCTTCGGGTATGGAGTATGTTGATTCTGCCTGCATAGGTAGAGGGACGAGATGTATTAAGCGCATATTCCCTTTCTACGCATTGAATGACCATTTGTACATAATACTCTGTACTCAGTAGCGTCAGGACAATAACCTTGACTTTGTTAGTACGAGTGTAGAGCTGGGAAGGACAGGGGTGGAGAAAAGAAAAGAGAGAAAAGTTGAGAGCTTTTTCGCCTGAGAGGCATAACCGACATCGAAAAAAGAGACAGAATAAGAAAAAAAAAATCGAGAGAGAAAACCTTTACCCCAGATGCCGGGTCTGCGCAAATTGCTGATGACGTCCACGCCTCCAGTGTGTCCAGGGTCGTGCCGTATCAAAATTGGCATCACAAAGTCGCGATCCACCTGCGACGGATCGTCTAAACAGGCTGGGACCCAAGAAATCGGCACCGGACCGAAAAGAGGACCGCGACGCCACGACTCGCTCACGATTCGACGGGCAAAACGGGTTCCGAGACAGAAGCTGGTGTCGCAGAGCTGCAGAGCTGGAAAACGAAGTCTGACTCGCTCGTGTACGCGCGCGTTGGGATGCACCAAGGCCCAATCATGTCTTCATTTTCGAACAGTAGTCGGGATACTAGTAGGCGTAGCATCGTCGCAACGGGCGGCATCTGCCATCGTCGAGGCTCTAGACTGGCTCGAGTCGAGCGGCTGTGGTGTTGGCCGTTGGCGACTATATCCAACCACGGGACACACAGCCCTCTTTTTTTTTTTTTTGGCGCTTCATTTGCGGCGTACGTGTATCAACTACAGGTAGATCAGGCGCTTGATCCGTTGCCTCAGCAAGGCCTCAGTCGTGAGGCCAACAGTCGGTTGCATGTATGGTATCGGGCTGGCCTGCAGGTCGCCTTGCCGCCCGTCTCAACACTTGCATGACAATGACATCAAGCCCAACTGATTGATCCGTGTGCGTGTTTGTATGCATGTCCAAACAAATCGCTTGCAAAAGCCCGCGGGAGGCTGCCTGATACCAGACATGGCGATGCAGCTCCAGTCGTGTGTTGTGTTGCCCCAGCTGCAGCCTGCTCCCGGTCGGCGGCAATAGTAGAGCCGGTCTGAATAGATGTAGGTGGGATTCATTCACTGGATGGGGTTGATGCCTCCACGAGACCCCCAAGATATCATTGCATGGTGGTTGAGGAAGGAGTAATACTCCGTACACACACACCCAATACTGTCTGTACAGTACGAGTACACCATCAGGCGTCCGCCCATCCACGGATCGAATCGGCCTTTGCACTCTGAGGCGAATGAATTTCGAAATGGTCCCATCGTTGAAGTAAACTGGAGACCAGTTTGATTGGCGCAGGGGTAGTTAAGGTAATTGGACCTCCACCGCGTCGTCGTGCTAGTACTCGTACGGCGTAGCAATCGAGCTGTAATTGATGCTAGCAGTGGTAGCACAAGTGCGAGTAGCGAGCTGCGATTGATGCGTCAGGGGCGGCAACGAAGAGAGACAAGCATCAAGACTCTGTTGATTATGAATGGCGCCATCCGAGGAGCAGAGGCCACTCTCGGGCAGCAATTGACGACCAGGGGTGCCGCTTTCAACAAGCACCCATGAATCACCAAGCATTTTACCTACCCCGGCAATACTTGTCCAGGAACGAAGTAGCAGTAGCACCAGTATGGCTGCCATGAAATTTGCAACGTGAGCGGCGGAAGAACCGGCTCCAGTTGCCGCGACAGAGACGATACCCTTTTTCTTCTTGTCTCGTACAAGTACAGGCAGATGTTGTACGGACGAGTATCGTAGCATCGTGTAATACTGCCACTACCGCTTAAGGCCAGAACCTGTGGCGATACGGAGCACAAGGGCTTTGGATTGCCGAGCCAAATCCAGGGGGTGGGTAGCGAGAGGCGACGCGATGACAGACGAGACAATACAATGCGACGATGCAGTGTTGATGTTTGGTAGAAGTACGGATGAACGGTGTAGAGAAGCAGAGTATCGGAGTACTTGCAGTACAGGCAGGTGCTTTAATTGGTAGCCACGTGAAATTCGGATATTGCAAGTACCTACCCAGTTGTATTTTCCTTTCCTTTTCTTTTTGCTCGCTTCTGCTTCTTAGCGAGAGCGACTACGCTTGGGCACTCTCGAGTCCAATGCCAACGATGCCCATCTGTGCTCAAGATGGCCTGTCAGCCTCGAGCCTACATGGTTGAAGTAGTATCAGCAATTGACGCTACCCGTCTGTATTGGCACTTTGGCCACAACGTCGCGGTTGGCCTGCCTGTTTGGTCTTGTCATTAGAGATAGCGTGGGCCTGTCACTGACGGAAATAAGACGAGGTGGCATTGATATCAAGGAGGTTGTCCATCAAAGACGGCACCCAAATCTAAGGCACGGATAATACATCATGAGCCTTGCCACTACGGATATCGCCTGACCGAGTGCACGTGCTTGGTCAAAGAGACGCAGGACATGTCGATTTCTTTGTCTCTACAGCCAGGAGCTCTGCAAGGAGAGGATGAAAGGAAAGGCGCAGATTCGGAAGAAGTTTACGGCCGAAGCTTGATGCTTCATCTCCATCTTGGTCACAGTCGCGTTCATCTGGATTTAGGTGGACGCAGGGCGTGTGCGAGTATCCAATGCTTTTGTCTTCAGCGTGCAAGAATTAGTTAGACACCCGATGCCACGCTGTCGATACAATTAAAGAAAGAGAAGAAGCTTGGACCTCGTGTAGGTCGGCAAAGAAGACTGAAATTATAAAGAAAACGAGAATCCCACGGAGAAAAAAAAATAGCCTGTGATGGTGGAAGCGAGGAGCTAATATCAATGGATTAATGGCAGACGCAAAATGGAGCTCACGCCCCCCCCACGAACTGCGATGAGCACTTGGACCGATTCGCAGACCGAGGCACAACGGCCGCTTTTCTAGAGACGGGTCTTTTGTGGACGGATGCGGATCGTGGCGACCGAACGACAGCTGTAAGAGGCCAGTATCTACCATGATTGAAGAAACGTGCAAAGCAGCATCACGAAGCAAAGCGAACGCAGAAGAAAAGACTGCAGGCTGGGGAGAGGCAGAGTTGAGGGAAGACAAAGCAAGGGGGTTGCGCTAATAACATTGATCCTCCACTTTGGGCTGCTAACTCTGTACGAGCAGCCCGTAATTCCGCCTGATGCTACCGTTATCGTACATTACTGTATATCTGCCTGTGTGTTCTGGTAGGCTATTTTTTTTTTTTTCTTTCTTTCTTCGCCTCCATCGCCGGCGCGTGCCCTTGCATGTCAAGCTGCGATGCCGACTGGCTGCGGTCTGGGGTACATGCTACATGCACCTCAACACATGCACGGCCTAAGGAGTTAGTTGCAGCGGCAGACGCGCATGTATGGAGTACATACTCGTAGTACTTGGACGGTGGCTGCATAGTGATGTGATGGCAAACATGAATCAAAAAGGGACGGCAGGAGGATGAGATGCCATGACAAAGCGGCCGGAAGGGGTCCGGGCGTGGACAAGGGGGGAGCAAGGGAGAGCCAAAAAGGGTGATTTGTGAGTGAAATATTGTGCTTGACTGGATTGGAAGAGGAAGTGAAATCAGGCAGATGGACGGTGCTCGTACTTGGAGGCGCTAGCACCTGGAGGTATTACTCGTGCTCTGCCTTTGGCGAGTTGAAGCCAGACGGTTGAAGCCATCCCATGCAAACCGTGTTGGACAAACATGTGAGAAATTCGCATGCCGCGGCCCGTACCTCATTACTAAAGTCGGCACAGAACATTGCACGTAGGTACCTGTCCATACATGCCCGTCTACCTACCTTGGTATTACCAATGCACAAACAAAAAAACAACAGCAACAACAGCAATTCCTTCTCCTTTACTCGGCGCATGTGCCTGCTCCATATCGAGCATTGGCAAAAAAAGCACTGACTGGCACTTTTACGCGCGCTCTTGAAAGGAAAGCAGTGATAGGGAAATCAAGGTGCGCTAGTCAAAAACCCCATGCTTGCTTGAAATGCACTTTGCAGCTCCCTGCGGCAAGGCGCCACTCCGACCTCCTGTCCGGCTGCAAGTACCACGGAGCGGAGTACCAGGTACTGCGGATTGTGTGGAGTACAGGTACCTTATCAACCGCCGGCCCTTTTTTTTCTGGTGCTTCAATCAATCCATCCATTCTTTCAATTTCTCGCCATCATATCCTACATTACAGTACAATGCACTCTGGGTACATACTACTAGGTACTAGGTAATAGTAGGTGCATACAGGTATCGATTGGCCTAGATGTCTCGCGCTGCAAAATCCTTCCTCTCTTCCCATCGTAAATGTACGACTACCTATCGTCTCGTCTCATCCTCTTGCACGAACAACCACCAGTTTCACTGCTGTCAACTTCATACTTCCCCCGTATTCCCTCTCGCCATTGCTCCGCACCCCTTTGGTTAGCTGCTAAACAAGGGACCAGCAAGGGGGATCCAGCAAGCCACCTTGGGCCGCTGAAGCACCCGATCCGCCGCTACTTGGACAAGCCTGGACCAGTCTGGCGTCTCTTTTAGAGTGAAAGAAGCAGCAGCACCAAAGGCAGCACCAAAGCAGCAACAAGCTCATGTACCCTCTACCGGCCCGCATGTACCTTGGTCGCACAACTGGTGCCTGCTAGCTCCCAGCACTCCCCCAAAAAGGGCCCTGAACCGCTCACCACCCCCCTCGATCGCCCAATCCGGGCCCGCCATTCGCCCCCACCGTGCCAGCCTCCACCCCCCTTCTGCTGCTAACGCCTAGGCACTGCTAGGGGACCATTGCTAGGGACACCGACCAGGTGCTAGGGGCCCTGGCCTGGCCTCCCCAGCAGCGCAACCAGCCAATCTCTCAGGGCCGTCCAGCCTGCCGTTCAACCAAGGTACCTACTGCAATCCGCGTTCCTCCTCAGAACCTAAACCTCTCCTTCACCCTTTGCTTTTTCCCGTATTCCACCCCTCTTCCATCTTCCATCCTCCATCTTCCATCTTCCTCATTCATTCCTCTCCAATCGCCCTCTGCGGCTCTTCTTCTCTGCTTTGCATTGTCTTCTGGCCAGCTCTGTTTTAATTTTCTTTTCCTCTACAATCTCCAACTACGAAGCTCTCAACCGTCTTCCCTACTCTCCCTACCAGAGCCGCCTTTTCCTCGTCCTTCATTGGCTGAGGCACCATCTCCTGACGCCAGGAAGAAAAAAAAATTATTAAAGAGCTGCGGAAGCAATCCTTTCCCCCCGCTAGCATCAACAATCAGTGCCTTTTACAATGGCTTCAGCAACCAAGGTACGTCGCCCAGCCTGTCACTTTGCGCGCGCGTTTTTCTCTCTCCTTCTCCTCCCCCTTCCTTTGCCCTTCGCTTTAGCCTGTTCTGTATAGCTAACATTAGCTGCTTCGCCTGCTAGTTCCTGCGAGAGTATAAGCTCGTAGTTGTCGGCGGTGGTGGTGTCGGTAAATCTTGCTTGACCATCCAATTGATCCAGAGCCACTTCGTCGACGAATATGATCCCACCATTGAAGGTTCGTCGCTCTCCCGCAGCAGCAGCTGCATGCTACCCCCTATTCCGGGCCTCGCGGCTCGCGGATGCCATCTCTCATCCGCCATCTGTCTTACCTTGTCCTCACCTGGCTTGAATATCCGAGGTCTTTGGCTAATTCGTCGACAACGCAAACAGACTCATACCGAAAGCAATGCGTCATCGATGACGAGGTCGCCCTGCTCGATGTTCTAGACACTGCCGGTCAGGAGGAGTACAGTGCCATGCGAGAGCAGTACATGCGAACAGGAGAGGGTTTCTTGCTGGTTTACTCAATCACATCACGACAGAGCTTCGAGGAAATCACAACTTTCCAGCAGCAGATCCTGAGAGTCAAGGACAAGGACTACTTCCCCATGGTGGTTGTTGGTAACAAGTGTGATTTGGAAGGCGAGCGAGAAGTGACCAGGCAAGGTAAGCAACCGTCGTGCTACGTCATGGGGCAACCCTCCCCTATTTTTGCCCGTCTTTTCTAACGTGAGATTTTCTACTTGAACAGAGGGAGAGGCGTTGGCGCGATCATTCAACTGCAAATTCATCGAGACCTCTGCCAAGTCCCGAATCAATGTTGACAAGGCTTTCTACGACATTGTTCGCGAGATCCGAAGATACAACCGTGAGATGCAGGGCTACTCAACCGGCAGCGGCACCAACTCTGGTGCAAACCCCCCCAAGCCCATGGACATTGAGGGTGAGGAGCAGGAGGGTGGCTGCTGCAAGTGCGTCATCATGTAAGCGCCTTTGCTTTGCAAACCAGAGTAGGGAGGCTGCATTGTCTTTTATTCATGATGATAGAGGCGACATTCATGGTGGAAACGGGAGGCTTTTGGACGCTCAATGGCATGGCATGGAGTGCATGCAACACCACGCGCGGCAGGACGGCCTTGGACGATCGACGAGCACAATACCTCTCTATGCATCGGACGGGGAGTCGGGTTCTGACTTGGGTCGCGCATTCGGATTTTCTTTTTTGTTCCCTTTTATTTTTTTCATGTCTTGTTCCATTTCGACGAAAATATTCTCCGCGCGTTGGTGGGAGATGAAACCGACGGGGTAGCTGTGTCAAATGGTACACACAGCCTGGCGCCCCTGTCAAGAGCGCGTGCCGACGAAAGAGGGCTGTTTCGTTGCACTACCAGAGGGGGTCAAAAGAAAAATGAAGGCTTGGAAGCGATTTGAACGATCAGGGGAGAGGTGAGGGAGGCGAGGATGATGAGGGTGTTCCCACACTGCGCCATGCGTGTGTGCGTGCAGGTGAACAGAGGCCTCGGGGAGGCCATGGCCATTAATTCCCCTCTTGGGCTTTGCGAGGATGGTTTTCTCAAGACTCTGAAACTACGGGTCATACGTTCTTCTCTTATATCCCATTATTTCACACGTGTAATTTCATTTTTTTTCTACTTATTGACTGTTAACTTGCATGGTAATGAGGATTCGCTTCAAGATTCTACCGTCCTTTTTGTATCTAGGACCAATCAATTCTACTGGGGTGCCTTTTGGGCCTTCCAACTCTTTTTTTGCCCATCTCTGATGGTGTTTTCGATTTTTGTTTGATATCTTTTCTTTTCCTTTTCTTCTTCCTTATTACATCTTGTCATTTTTCATTTTTCACTTTCTTTTTTCTCAGTTATTATTTTTCCTTTTCCTTTTTCCTTTACCCCTCCTCTCTGTCTCTCTCTATCCCTCACCCTCGATAAAGAACCAATAAAAAGCAACTTGTAATTTTTCTGTCACAACTCCAAGTGGCGCACTTTAATTTAATCTTGGGGGGTGACGTGACCCGGCTGGCTTCAAGACACACATGTCTAGTGCAAAGTGAAATGGACTTGCGCCGATGGTGAGACGGCAAAACACGGCCGGGTACAAGATACCGGAGGATGCATATGCTGAAACTTGTTCGTTTAGGTATGTACCTACCCGGACCCTTGTTATTTTGGCATCAAATCGGATTGTGTTAGGCGTCTTGTGAAGTTTAATTGTGTTGAGTTGATGTCACTATTCCGTACTGGGCACTGGCCTAACTTGGCTTTTTGATGGTCAATGCAAAAGTTTACCTCGTTCTGGTTCATCTTTGACATGTGTTTTCAATGGCGGGTAGATTAGTAGTAGTTACACGCCTCCGTTTAGCGTACGATGCTTGGCTAGGTATGGATCTTTTGTTCATTGTTAATGACAGTATTCAATGCTATAATGAATAAACAATTCAAGCCACACCAGCCCCCAGTCCTTGACGCCATCATGTTAAACGCACCACAACCAACGACAAATGAAAGAATGCCGAGACCTAAATGCCGTGTTCGATAATATCCCAAATTTCATGCCAGGATGCTTCTTTCCATTCGTCTTGGTCTCCGTCCTGGTCTCCGTCCTGGTCTCTGCCCTCATCTTCTTTAACCTGCTCCTCGACCTGTTCTCCAACCTGCTCCTCATCCTGTTGCGCATCTTGTCCTTCACCTTGGCCTCCGTCATTTATCGCAGTCTGTTGCCTGGCTTGTTGTCTGGACAATGACCTGACTTGTTCTGCGTGTCGTCTTCTGTCCTCTAAAGACAGCGCTGAGCGAAATACTTCGTCTTGGTTTGCGTACGGCCCAGCACTTGGCTCGAGATTGTAAAGTCCCACACTTTCTTCTCCCTCATATTGCCTTGCCTTTGACTCTCTCTCGCGCAGCAGGATACTTAGGTCTCTTGCGAATTGCCCTTGACTTGAGCCTCTGCTGTATGAATCTTCCCTTGGTGATAGCGTCGGTTGATGCTCAGGCATTGTCTGTACTTTGGCATCCCTCCTCTCCTTTTGCTGCTGCTGATACTCAGGTATTGCCTGTAATTTGTTATCCACCTCCCGCTCCTCCCCTTTCACCCGCTGTTGCTAATGCTTAGGTGTTGTCTGTACTTCAGCATCCCTCCCCTCCTCCTCCTGCTGCTGATACTCAGGTATTGTCTGTAATTTGTCATCCTCCTCCAGCTCCTCCTCTTTCACCTGCTGCTCTTCAACCTGGCTTGTACGCGTGGAGCTAGTGCTTGGCTGAAGTGCTGGGTCTATGAGTTGATCGGGGCCGCCCATATACCACATCCCTGGCTGATTTACAGTCAAGCCACCGCAAACAAGGCATTGCCAAGCCGTGGATTCGGATGCATTCTTGACAGGCTGGTCTGCCTCGAGGCATCCAAAACAGACTTTGCGGCCGTATGTCTGCTGTTGCCACTCGTGCATCTTTTGGACTTGGCTCATGAGCTTGTCGGCATATTCGAAACGGTGATAGCGGCAGAGGCGTTGGACTGTGAGCTTTGTTGCGCATGGGCATCCGGTGCTAAGGTAGGCATCGCCCTTGTAGGTGATGCCGCCGCCGATGGTAGAAGCCCAAGGAGGGATATTGCTGGGATCGGGAAACCGTTTGCACCAGCCCCAGACGTTGAGGTTGCCGGTGATTCTGTGTTTCAGCACTTTGTGCACGTCGCGGCCGACCTCTGCAGCGCAGTCGTCGCACAGGTATGCTCGCATGTTCTCCATTGTGTCCACGGTCAAGGCGAGGTTGTCGTCACGCATCAGCTCGTGGACGCTCCACTGGTTACAGCTGCTGCAGACATGAAAGGCGGCCCATGCCCCGTGAGAGGGAGATTGGCAGACTGAGCCTCCCGTGAGCTCAAGGCAGAACTCTCCTCCTACTGTCTCGCAGCATAATCCATTAGGGCCCTCCTCGTAAGACTTCACTTCTGACGGTATGCCGCCCAGGACGTTATCAAAGACGGGGAGGGGGAGGATGCCGAACAGCTCGTAAAAGTCATTTTCGCGTGTCTTATTCATTTGATCGAGTATACAGGTATGTAGTGTCCTCTACCGGCGCTGAATCACCAGCATGCACAACGTTTTCGTAGATCTGCTCAGGTAGTTTAGGAGTTTGGTAACCAAGCAAGAACATGCGGAGCCGATTTAGGGCGTTGGATAATCTGGGATTTACACTGTCGTTTAAACCATGCTCATTTATAATATCCTGACCTGTGATGAGCTCCCAATCTGACTCGATGGAGGGGAGTATTGTATCGGGATCACTATTGGGAATGTGAGACGCGTCGGTCCTGGCAAATGCCGAGTTCATGTTGCAATCTGCATGTATACAGGAAGCTCTACCGACTTCATCATCAGGGTCGAACCCAGCATCTTCCGTGGGGAAGTTGGGACCGAAATCTGTCTGTCTCATGACATCAGGGCTGAGCCTGGCGCCTGCCATGTTAGGGCTGGAATTGGAAATGAGATTTGAATTTGAATTTGAATTTGAATTGGGGCCCATATTGACGGCGGTGTTAGGATTGAGTTCTCTAACGCTCGCTCTCTCGTTCTGGGGAGGAAGATCTGCGGCGTCACGGCCAGACTGCTGATCGAACCTCCCGGGCTTTTCGGCTGGGGGCGCTCCTAATTCCTGGCTTACGACACCAGGAGCAGGATTCACGGCGTTGGCGGGAAAGTTGTCGTCAAGATCCATGGGCATTGGGTTTGGAGCCACGACATCATGAGCCGCGGAGAGAAGAACCGGCGTTTGAGCTTGAGGCGACAGAGAGTTTCTGATACTAGCAAGAGGACCACGGGCAGAACCCACAGGATCAAGGCCAGCACTCCTCTCTGGGTCAACGGGAATACCCACAAACAGCTGTACGGTTTTAAGAAATGCTGCATATTCCGCATGCTGGTTCATTGGATAAGCATCTGGCCAAGACGCTTCGATCCACATGACGATATCCTTCTTGGTTACATGGCTCATTGGTCCAAATATGACACCGCCCTTGTCACTAACTCCGTGAGGAGGTATCCCACTTGGATGCGCTCCCTTTCTCATCAAGAGTCCTTGTAATGTGGAGGTCATCATTCTTTCTCCAGGAGACACGGTATATATGTTTGTCGCTGGGCCGACCCAGTGGTCGATGGCAGATCCGTCTTTGATATCGTCGACACCTCCGGCGCCGTACCCCAACGCGAGGTAATAGAGAGGCCCGATGTTCTTGATTCGACCATTTATGCAAGTCTTGGCCGTCGTGCCCCCCCATCTATCGCACTTGTCTTTATGTTTGCGGCACGAATCGCACGGGCGCTGTAAGTCGCAGTTTCTGCCATTCCGTCTACAGCAGGAGCATTTTGGAAAGGCCATGTATTTGCCGAAGCCAACTCTGGCAAGGTCAAAGAGGCCATAATAAACGCCGTTAAAGCTGTCGAAACAGTCAAGGCCGAGCTGAGCACAGCGATTGCACGCATAGCGGTAGCAGCGAGCATCGGCTATGCAGCGATGCCCGTCGACCGCACATCTCTTGCACTCTCGACGGCCTGTGGTCATGGTTCCCCCGCACTCAATGTCTCTAGAGCCGTGTGAGGAGGTGGCGATAGACCAAGTTTCAGGGAGGATTAGGTTTGCAGGCAAGGCATCAAGACGCCAGACCTTGCCTTCGTCTACAGACCCCGGTCCAGGAGGCCCGCACTTGGGATGGGAGCGTTGGGGATACTCCGAGCGGTAGTCGGCACAGTTTCGACACTCGATGAAGTCTCCATTCTCGAGTTTTGTGTAGACGCATTTGTTGAGTTCGCTCATTTGCCTACCAATTCGGTCGTGTGTGCAGAAATGGCATCCTTGGCCTCCATCTTTTCTTTCGGTATTAACATGAGCTTGCTCAGGGTTGTTGAATTTTCTGTTTGGGGTTCTCGACGATGACTCACCTGTATATTCAAGGCCTTCCATGATATTGAACTGTTGTTTCTGGTTTCTTGAACACAATGTTGCGTTGGCTATTATCAAACTGAGATTGGTCGTTTGCGAAGATAGTCTCACAAGTCAAGGGCATGCACGTTGTCAATTATATAGTGTCCCGGTGATATATATTCTCAAACTCGTAGCCATAACCGCTTGTACACGTCTCGTATAAGAGGCTGTGATCTTGCAGGGGAATTACTGGCGAGGTGATACTGCGGTCACAAAATTGCTTTGTCTGCGCCATGAAAGCTTGTGAGGGAGAGAGTCTTTGGCCAGGAACAGTTGCATCTCGTTACAGTGAAACTCCATGGACGGGAGCAATTGGAGGGGAGAAACACAAAGGGCAAGCAAGAAAGAGAGAGCGAGAAGAAAAACTAAAGAGGAAACAAAGAAAAAACAAAGAAAAAACAAAGGAGGAATAGCGGCCAAGTTTGTGGCTTATCTAGAAAACAAAGAAAGACAAGGGGATGCCGAGTGATGAGAAAGCTGCCAGGACAAAGATGACGCTACAATTAGAACATAAGAACGGCTGCCTGCTAATAGCTGTGTTACTCTCACGGTAAGTTTGGTGCGGGCTTGTCCAAGAAAGAGAAGCAAGTGGCTATGAGTTGACGAGAGAACAGAGTACATATAATTGCACAAATTTCGAATCCCAAAAGGCGGCAGTTGAAAGAAGTCTTTTCTACGCACAGCAAGCCCAACCAAGGCATTTTACACCGTCTAAAAACGCTTCCTTTGAAACAAAAGAAAAACTTCCCATCAGGCGCTTAAACGAGATCCTTCTTCAAAAACACCGACGGGATGGGGATCTCCGCGCCTGTCTCCTCGTCCACCCACGTGTACATGCCGTCGACGCGGGCGATGACGCTGTACCCCTGGCGCGTGTACCACTCCTCGTTGGAGCGGAAGCTGGCTGCGTCGACGTCGGAGCCGCGGATCTTGTTGAGGATGGCGATGCTCTCGGGGCTGGTCTGGAACTCCTTTCTTACGGTGTCGAGGGCCATTGTGGTTGCGTTGAGGGGCGGGAGGGTGGCGAGGTGCTCGATTTGGTGCATTGCGGAGCGGCCGAAGCCACCGGCTTGGATGGCCCTGATGGATGGTGAGGATAATGATGAGATGAGGAGATGATTGGTGAAGGTGAGATTGAGAGGAGAGATGATGAGAGTGAGAAGGGCATAGGTAAGAGTTTACGAGCTGACTTACCATGAGATGTAAAGAGACTTGATCCAGACCGTCGACTGCGGCAGAGAAAACTGCTCGTTGCGGTCTGGGTACAAGTCGAGGGCAATGTGGCCGATGGGGATGAAGGAGGCCAGCGTTGGTGTTCTGGTTGACTTTCCCAGGATTTCTGCCGTGTCTACGATGGCTTCTTTTTCCTAGAGACAAGTTGAGTGACGATTTCTAGGGACTTTTCAAGACCTTTTGTCTCCATCGACGTACATTGGGATATCTCTCAACGTGCTTGGCTAGATGTTCATCTTTTGTGGGCAAGCTGTCGTTGATTGTCTGTTATCGCTCATTGTCAGCTCTCAAGTTCCCTTCACCGTCACACAAACTTCACCCTCATTCTCATTCAATCTCATAAACTCACAATCCAGTACAGATATTTTTTCCCCTCGAGCACTTTGCCCTTCCACTCCTCAATCAAGTCCTGGTCCCACGAACATGCCACGCGCTGCTGGAACAACCGCGTGCACTGCGTCTCGCTGTTGGGATCAAACGGGATGAGGTCGACCGAGGCGTATTTCTGTGACTTGATGATTTCCGGGGGCGACATGTTTGTCTCTTGTCTCTCTCTTCTCTTTTCTTTGCTTTTTTTTTTTTCTTTTTGTGTCGGTGTGTATATTAATTGGTGGTATCAGTGAATAATTGTCTTCTCTTTCTCTCTTCTGTGTCTTCGATAAAACCTGAGTTGTTGAGTCATCAAGAAAAGACTTGGTTGAAAAACAGAAGAAAGAAAAGAAGAGCTTACATGTACTTATACAGCGGGTTTATGACCAAGCATCATCTCTTGAAAACGACGAAGCCGAGGAGCCGCCACTACTGCCCCATTTTCGGAACTCCGATCCAGTCTCCCATATTTCGTATCCTCCTGTAGTTAAAAAAAATATAATCAATTCTACCTAAAAGAAAAAGAAAAAATAGAACTGGACACTAGTAAACCCACTCATCTCCCCAAAATACGGGCGCGCCCTCTCTCACATCGCTATATTGACTTCTGACTCATGCACGCCGTCTTGCAGCCGCTCAAGAGGCTAAACTTCATTCAGGAAACCCCCGTCTTATTACCTAGAATTGAGTTTGTTATGGTAACAATTCAAGGCAACTCCCACTTATTTATGGTCTAGGTCTTACGCTGGGAAATACTCCGACTTGCAGATGCAAATGCACGTCGACTTGAATGCTGTATGTACCTGTAAGAAATAGAATCACTCATCCTGTTTGTTGCTTCCTTTGTGGCATCTCGTGGTCGGTCGATTGTACACGAGAGGGCGCGCGCCTTGCAGGATCTCACATGTTAATATGTCGATATGTCGATATTCTAGCTCAAGACAGCAGCCAGACCGACATCAGCGGTGCTACTACTTTATCTCTTCAGTATTATTCCTACTCTCTTCGTCTACATCTTTCTGGTAAAAATATATGTCTCTATCTACTGTAATATTCGGATATTTGCATAGTCAGCCTCCCCATAGAACAACCCAGATTTCCCCCCTCCCGATAATTCCCCAGCTCCAATGCCCGTTCATCAACATAACGTTAAATTGTCGATTCCTTGCTTCAATGACGCTCTCTTCTCTTTTCTCGGCCCTTCCCCTTGGCTCCGCGCCCAAATTCCATCCTCGGGCCCTCTCTTACACTCGCGTCCCCCATTAACTTTGTGCCTTCTGAAAACATACACGCCTTCGTTGTCTCGCCCTACATTCAGTTATTCCCCGATTGCATTCGTATTGGCGGACCATTCCCATGCCCATCGCCTCTTCATTTGCTTCACCTCGCCCAACCCTCATTGGTCTTGCTGTCAAATGATAAAGTTTATTTCATATTAATTTCTCTCTCTTTCTTCACATTTGTGGTTTGTTTTTGAATCCATTTCAACCGGCAAACTGGAATCTGGCTGCCTCAAGCTGTCCGAGGCCATCCCGAGGCGCAACGTTACGGCGCCGATATGTGTTGGTAAAGTCTTGCAGCAGCACCCTCACATGTCGGATGCCCCCCGCCTCGTTCATCGCAAGTCGTTCCTTAATCTTGGCCATCAGCCTGTTGGCCTCTTCCGGGGATACAGTGCCCTGAGGCAGCAACTGAATGGTGCGCGAGACCCATTCCGTCGTCTCCACGGGCAAAAGCTCGAAGAGACTTAGCAAAACGCCACTACCGTCCGCGAAGCAATCTCTTGGGAAGGTAATCATCATGCCCGCCATGGATTGCTTGACCAGATTTTCACCGTGGCTGACGAGGAGGTTTTTAACAATGGTCCTGATTTCAGCCGCAGTTGCTTCTGGCAATCCTTCACTGCTGGCCGGGTTGTCGCCACCATATGACAGCAGATCCCTCAGGAAGTGAAGTGTGGAAGAAAGAGGATCCCGCTGCTCCAGCGTCAAGGCGTAGATGGAGGCCTCGAAGATGGGCACCAAGAGTGGAGATGGCACGAGCTTCTGAGGATAGTACAGCAGCGCATCAATGAGCAGCCTGAAGAAATCGTCAATCACGTCTGGCAGCTCCTTGGGCTGTAGTTCGGTCATGACTCTCAGGAACGTCGTCATCTGCGCTTCGAAGAACGAGTAGATGTTTTCAGTTATCGACGGGTCCACATGCTCCCGGGCCTCGGAGAACTCTCGCAGAATGGCAGATGTGACCCATAGGAAGCAACCCTCCCTGGAGGCATTGAAGCCGCTAGCCAATTTGTTTGCCATAGCCGCCAGCATGGGCGAGATGGCAGTGCGGTAGGAAATGACCATGTTTCTCCAGCACCTGCATACTCTCTCGCAAATAGGAGAAAAGGTGAGGAAGTTGTCCAGGACAGTAGACAGAATAGGGAAAATCTCTTGCCAGTACTTGACGGCGGGATTCTCCTCTCCAGGGTTAACCAGTGGCATCACATTCTGCACGAAAATGGTAATGAGCTGTAGGTGATCTGTTGTTTCAAAGAAAAAAAGAAAGTCAGCAAACGATCTAGAGCCGCACGACAAGTGGAAGAAAGAAAAAAGGGGAAATGTTGGGGGGCTAAGTCATTACCTGCTACGGCCAGTTTACCCTCGTCTGTGGTCGCATGGTTCGCCTTTGTCATCAGCCTTTGGACGAGTGGATCGCAGTACGTCTTGAGCAAGTGATACGTCTCGGAAACGGGCTGAACGGCGAGGACATTGGAAACGCCCTCGGTAACTTCCTCTTTGCTGAGATCCGGGAGCTTGTCCAGGACCTGGTCATAAAACGTCTGAAGCTGCAGCACTTGGCCGCTGAGAAGATGCTTGCAGTCGGTGCAGAAGAACTTGAGCGACAGCGCCGCCGCGCGGTTAATTTCTCGCGAGTCAGACTGGAACGAGTTGACAATGTAGTTGAACTGAGGCTCCAAGTACTCGGGGTGTGCCGCCGTCCACTCTGTGTAGCGTCCGAGCACCATGATGGTAGCAAAGCGAAGCTTCTCGTGGCTGGGCATCTGCACCAGAAGGGGCATCAGCTGAGGGAGAACGATATCCTCCTCTTTGTCCACCATGCGGCCGAGGGCGCGCATCGCGAACAGCGGAGCCTCGAGCTCCTGCCAATGCGGCACTGATGCTCCGTTGGCCTGGCCAGCGTACTTTTGTGTCCACAGCTGGATGGCATGAAGCACCTTGGTGAGGCACTCGGTAACGCCCATGACTTCACAGCAATCCTTGAGCGTGTCGCCCATCTGGTGTCGGAACTCACGAAATTTCTCCTCTTGCTCGCGGTCTCCGTCAAACAAGTCCGTCTCGCTTCCAGACTCCGGGTGCGGGTATTGCAAATGCAAGAGAAGAATATCCACAAGCTTGGAGAAGACATCGACCAGCTCCAGCCTGCCTTGGATATACCTTTCCAGCACCAGATACTGCTTCAGCTCATACCAAAAGTTGAAAGTGTGCTCGATAACCTCTCGATCCTTGTCTCGGGCGGCGCATTCGAGGACAGCGTCAACGAGGGGTCGGAATTGAGTCGGCTGTCGTGCAATGGCGACTACCCAGCTCTCGGCAGCTGTTGCTAGAACCTTGGTCAGAGATTTCAGCGCTTCAGTATCCTCTTCTTCGACGAGGGTGGCGATGCGCGGTGTCAGGCTAATGATTCGGGGGAACAAGGTCTGGATGATATCCTGGGATTCGTCGACATCGCCCGTCTCTCTGAGCATCGTGCTTAGACACTCTGCAGCCTCCTGACTGCACCCGTCAGACGTTATTCCATGGAAAATTGCGTCCAGAAGCGGCGAGTTAGCAATGGTAGCCACGGGGACTTCGCGAAGCCAGGATGTGATGCATTCCATTAGGAGTGGGTTTTGGGATGCGGCAGCTAGAGAAATCGCATGTCAGTACTTTTTCTCCTCCTCTCAAATTTATTGGCAGACCATGAGGATTGAAAACAGGAGACAGAATAACTTACGTGAGGACTGTGAGTAATTAATGAGAAGCTGCACGACTTGGTCCGCATTATCTCCCAGCAATGCCTGCGTCCGCAGTGCAAGGTCTTCTTCCTATTTCCAAACAATTAGATTTGTTCTTCGAGGGTGACTACCGACCGGCCGGAAGTGCAATCGATGAGGGCCAAGTGCCGCGTCGTTCTTTAGAGTTTCGCAATCCACGTACAGACAAAGTAATTTTTCGACCTTCGGTCACCTCCTCGGGAAGGACTCGCAAAAAGTCGAGGATGCAAGCATGGCTCTCGGGGCTGTCGCTCAGGGACTGGACAACTGAGGGGAGCACGTCGTTCCAATCCTTCATTTGGATCGCCAAAATGGCCAGACACACACATAGCTGGACTCGGATGGGTTTCGGTCCGGAAGCATAGTGCTTCAGAAGGAGCAGGATTTGATTTCGAAGGGCAGGCAGCTCGTTCGGAGGCACCTGAGTGATGAGATCATAAGTGATCTAGTATTGTCAGTAGTCTGCGGACAGAAGGCCAAAAAAAGAAGAAATTATAATAACCTTGCCACGAAGTGTGATGGCGGCGAAGAGTGTCGCCTCGGGCTCGGCCTTGGATTGGAGAATCCCAATTACTGTTCCCCACGAGTCCTTCTACAGACCAGACGGGTGGTGATGATTAGCAAGCTGTAGCAACTGTAGCAACTGTAGCAACTGTAGCAACTGTAGCAACTGTAGCAACTGTAGCAGCCGTAGCAGCCGTAGCAAGCTGAGAGCTGTTATTATAACGTAGAGAGGCGGATTGCGACGTACCGATTTCTGGAACCGCTCCAAGTATTCGTGCGCCTTCTTCTTTGCTTCCTGCTCCCCGCTTCGCATCGTCATGACGGCACCTAAGACATCCGTAGGCGCAAAGGCCTCCTGCGTGCCATTTGTGGCCATCTCGGGCGCAAATGAGAGAGGCAGCTGGGGGCTCAGGGAAGAGGCGATGTCGACAGGGTCTTTTCAGCGCGAATTTGGGCAGTCGAGGAGCGGGCAGCGCTCATGGGCCAGCGTTGACGTGCTGGAGGACAAGACAATCGTGAGCTGAATCCCGGGTCAAGATACGGGGCCAGGCCGAGGCAGATGGCGAGATGAGGAGAGGGGGAGGGAGCGATGAAGGAAGCGACAGTGGCCTGGAGCGCGAGGAGGCTTACAAGAATCGCAGACTGCTGGCTTTGGGTCTGGATGACTGGCTCCAGGCAAAATCATGGAAGTCGGCCTTGTCTTTATCGAAGTGGCATGGGCTCCTCAGAGGCTTGAATTGGCGGGGCAAATCTGCTGGAGGAGCTCTGGGAGCCGCGGTTTATCCGCTTCCGGGCTTGTGGGTGTACCTGGTCGCTCGCACAGCAGAATGAGGGGAGCTTTGTACTACTACATGTGCCAGGTAGCACTCTGTTGAAGAGCATCCATCATATAAAACAATAAATGTATCGTTGATCAAACTCTATCTCGTCTCTTTGATTTGGCTCAAAAGTCAAAGATGATTGTTCAGTAACTCAAAGGAATTTTATCGCCTTGCCGGGATATTCCAGCTGCCACCGTCAAAGCATGTGCAGCATAGGTATGCTTTGTGCTTGCGGGTAGGCAAGGCAGCATCTGGAAGCCTCAAAAGAGGCGTATCGATCAAAGTTTTAGAGATATTGTACTACTCCGACCTAAGGTAATTATAGATGCCTAGAATTTTACAGGAATTTTCTCTTGATAGTAGCAATAGTAGCGATAGTAGCGGTACTAATGCTACTATCACAAGCTTTATTGATACACGTAGAAACTAAACGCAGCAGTGTGCAGTCACCTTGATGTGTGATTATATCAGCAGCCTTTGGTCCCTTCCTCTGCTAGGATCAAACCTCATCCTCCATTCATCTCCATTCCCTGCGATTCATGACTTGTGTACTGAGTCTAGACACGAAGGAGCGAATAGCGAAATGAAATGGTGCTGCATCATGGCCATTTCATTGATTTCCCCCAGCAGCCGTCGTTGACAACGGAGCAACGTGCTCACGCCAAACGCAGGTTTTATCAAATTGTCAATCACTTCGATAGCAGCAATAGTGGTGAAGTTAAATACAATCGTTCATTGCTTATTCGCTACACCTACGAATACGCGCTCTCCGAAGAGTCTCGAGACATCTTTCTGCAAGCCTTCTTCCAGTCCATGGCACTATCAATAGATGAGGCAGAGGATGTACCTATAGATTTCAGCGATAAGGAGATGGCAGAGGGACTCGGTTCAGCCTTTTCTAGCTTCTCCGATTATCTCTTAGATGGCTTTTTCTTGCCATGTAAGGAGGCTACACCATATTTCTTCACTTATGTCAATTTACGCTTTTCAATACAGAGCTAATTCATACCTCGAGCTACTAAGTGAAAGCATGTGCTAAAAAGACTCTTCAGCCTTCACCGACCTTCTTGTCTGCTACTCTGGATGCTCAGGGTGGCGAGCCGCTCTTCCTTGGCACAATAGACCGTGTTGCATCTCTTCGAGGACAATGTCTGATACGAGACCGCCATCGCTGCATAGTATCACGCAAGTTTGATTCGAATGAAGCCGTCTTGAGAGGTAGAAGGGATGGCGATGACGCTCGAGACGATGATGGAAACGCGTTTCCACCTGGTCTTGATCAATATGAACAGCTAGAGGTGGCTCATATTCTTCCCCGTTCTCTAACTGAGACTGACCAGAGTTCCTCTGAATTGGTATGCCTCTCCTTATCCAACAGTAAAACCCAGTGTATGTTAACTATAACCTGCAGAGCTTAATGAAAAAGGTGGCATTGGCAATTATTAATATGTTTGACTATGGCGTCTTGGATTTGATAAATAGGCATGAGATCGATCGGCCGCGAAACGCCATCAGCCTCACCTCCACCCTTCATGGCTTTTTTGGGAATTTCGAGCTCTACTTTACACCGATGGGGGGGCCCCGATGTTGAGCCGCATACCTATCAGATCGACTCCTTTCTTCCGCGTTTCATGACACAGCACGGCTTTCCTGTTACTCGCACACTATACAGCACGGAAAGCCGCACAATCGAGCCGCCCTCTCCCCGACTATTTGCGGTTCATCGTGCTATTGCTCATGTACTTCACCTCTCTGCGGCTGGGGAATATATTGACAAATTGCTCAGAGAATTTGAAGAAAAGGGCGTTCAACAGGATGGATCTACAGAGCTCGACCGTTTTGTAAAGCTCCGGTTAGGAGGATGGTATGATGGCACTGTAGATATCTGCTAGTATCTGCTAGTATCTGCTAGTATCTCTAGTATCTCTAGTATCTCTAGCTATATCTAGTATATCTAGTATACATAATATGTCTGTTATCTCTTACATGTCTGGGTAGTAACATCGAAAATCTACACCATTTCTACACAGCAAGCTTCTACTCTCATGCCAATGAAGCCTTCTTCCACCTTGACCACACAAACGAAGCCCTGTCTTCAAGATTCTCAACCGAACGTGGAATTATTTGGTACGCTATTTCTGCGCTCTTCAGCATACGACAAAATTCTTCATCATATTCTGACCAATCCTGTACATCTCGTGGCATGAGTCTGACTCCGTCACTTATAAGCCAAGCCTCCACCGTTTCGCAGACAAAAACCAACGACTGTGACATTCGATCCCTCAACTCTTGCCAATAATTAGAAGAGGTCATGAGGTCTACTGCCTCTCTTCCGATATGGCGGGATGCGTATATGATGGGGTCTATTCCAGAACGATCCGATATAATCCAAGAATTCCTTGCCAGAGCTTCGCGCTCGCTATTGAACTGCGCTTCCAGTATGAGCTCCTGTAACTGCAAGCAACGGTCAGGATCCGAAGTGATGTCGCTGGCTGTGAATCCATGTTTTTTCAGCACTGAGCGGGCGACCTCTCTCACAATGATGGGAGGTGTGGTGTTGAATAAACTGGCAAAGGACCTTTCTAATGCGTTGACAAGTGAAGTTTTGCCCGTACATTGTGCGCCAATAATGTAGATGTTCTTCGGCTTGAAGTTTTGTGACACGCTGACAGTTCCCATTTTGTGCACAAATTCAGTACCTGAGAGATAAATGGGTGAGGAGTATGGAAATGTCTGTAACGAGGTGTTATTGGTGAACACGGCATTTTATAGAGAATTCGGTAAGGACTAATGCGGGAGGCCTTCAATACGTATCACCGCAGCCTCGCGCAAGTGCGGAGAAAATGTCGTGTAACCAACCAGGTTCCCCTCCTTCTCGAATACTGACGTGAAAGGCGACATTGTGTTGCCTAAATTGAATTGACAGTATCAGACCGCCCAAGTGAATGCGAGTGAAGTATTTACACTTGCCTTTGAAAAAATATCCCCCTCCTCGAAACTACATCTACTAGACCGTTCACACCACTTGCAGCATTAAAACGAAGACACCAGATGCAAACTTCAATTTTTTAAAGATGCCTCGAGCCTCGTCCAACCCCAAATCTTTTGAGCAAGTCTTGCTCGATAAGATATCCCTAGACGATGAAAAATGGGAATTCCAGGTTGAACGGCTACCTACTGCCGAAGCAGCAAACAAATTGAAACTCATCAAAATGGTCACCCTTTCGACAAAGAACTCTCAGCATCGGCTCGATCTCCGCTACGGGCCTGTGGACATGAATCGTGCTATCCAAGATGTGCCTCTGGATCGATATCTTGTGGTATCGCTCGCTGAATTTCGCCCCCTCAAAGGCGCCGGCCCTTCAGCTTCATCAGAGGGAGCTGTAGATAAGGTGATACAGCCGACAACTTTTAGAGAATGCTCAGACTATGCCGTCAGATTACTTCGCGCTGGAATTACTATACAAGGAGTCCACTACAACTTTTACGGCCACAGCAATAGCCAACTCAAGTCTCGAACCTGCTATCTCTGCGCAGCCTCCAAAGAGCAGATCGCGCAGAAAGTGGAAGCGTTAGGCGACTTTACAAAGATGAAGACGGTAGCCAAAAAGGCAAAGCGAATTGGCTTACTGTTTTCAGTTGCTCGTGCAGCGATGCAAGTCGATCCGAAAAAGGTCGAAGACATCCCAGATATCGAAGTGGGAGACTTTATCTTTACGGATGGCTGTGGGCTGATTGCACCGGGACTTGCTAGCCAGCTGTCGAGGCGTATCAAGATCGCATTTCGCAACATGAGATACACGCCTTCTGTCTTTCAGATACGATATCGTGGATATAAAGGGGTTGTGACGCTGGACCCGACTATGGCAAAGGGGGGACCGTGGCTCAAAATGAGAAAATCAATGAAAAAGTTCAGCGGAGGCGATGACCTGTCCTTTTCGGTGGTGGAATACTCGAAGGTAAGTCTATTTCATTTAATTACGCACCAATATAAGTATAATCATAATTCAGGATACTAACGGCCACATGCCACGATAGCCGTATGTGTTTGGCAATCTCAACGACGAGGTGATTGTACTCCTCGATGCTTTAGGTATCAGCCGACAAACTCTCCTTCGCAAACAGCAAGAGCACTTCGACTTTCTTGCTAAAGCATACAAAGACCCGCGAGTTGCTTTTAGAATTCTCTGCCATTTGAACATGCCAGAGGTTGCCGAGCGGGTGATTATTGATTCGTTGGACGCCGTACGGCCAAAAATCAACAAACTAATCAACGCTGAATACGACAAGATGCTGAACAAGCGCGACGAACAAAAGTGTCGTATTCTAATCCCAAAATCAAGGCTCTTGTTTGGCGTTTGCGATGCCTGGGGAGTCTTGAAACCGGGCCAATGTGCCGTCAAAGTCACCATGGATGGGGATGGGCAGCCTTATGCGTTGAAAGGCATGAAAGTATTGGTAACGAGGAACCCTTGCTTACACCCAGGCGATCTTCAAAAGCTCGATGTTGTAGAGCGGCCTGAACTTGCACACTTGGTTGACTGCATTGTCTTCCCTACAACAGGACGACGGCCAACGGCGGACATGATGTCGGGAGGCGATCTAGACGGCGACACCTTTTTCGTGACATGGGATCCAGATATTATCCCATCGACTATATCCCAAGCGGCGCACTACCCAGGAGTCCGCGAACCTCTGAGATTTTCGCCAATAACAGATGATGACCGCTTACTCTACTTTGCGAAATATACAAATGCGTCGCTAGGTCGTGTCAAGAATCTCTATCTAAAGTGGGCGAGGGCCTCAAATGCTATGAGTTCCGAGTGCCAGGAACTCAATCGGCTATTCTCCCAGTGCGTGGACGGCAATCGTATCAAAGACGATCAACTCAAGAAATTCGAAAAGCCTCCAGAACCAGGCGCAGAAGCGCCCCCTTTCGTTCTTGACGAGCTTCACGAAGCAGCCAAGGACATCATCGTAAAGCAAAAGAACATGGCCCGGAGTCACATGGATAACATGGAAGGGTATACATTTGACGGCATTCAGCTGTTGCTGTGTAGAGATAATGTTGCCATTTCTGAGGCTGAATTAATCAGGATGGCTGTGAGATGGTGTAGGAGAACAAACACCTCTTTCTACCATTTGATGCACATGTTTGACCTTAATTCTCTAAATTCAGAAGACAAGGCATGGGTATTGGCTCAAGTGCCCACCTACAGTGATGCTCCGAGCCTAGTTCTCAATGCACTCAGCTCCTCAAGCTTGGTCACCGAGGCAGAGCTGAAGCATTTCCATCTCGACTATCCAGGCCTTCATTGGAAACGAGTCTACACATCCGAGCAAGATCGGCTAGCCACCTTTCTAGAAGCAGCAAGCAGAAATCTCGAGCTGTTTCACAAAAAACTCATCGTCTTCCGTCCCGATGAGCGACTGACGTTGGCAATGTACGTGCCGCAAAAGATCACGCCGGCAGATGACTTTGTGGTGGGCAACAGGGTTAGGCTGTTTGCTTTTCCGCATTCTCAGGGGAGAGAGAAGCAAAGCCGGCTTTCTCTGCCGACGAAGAAGGAGTACCGCCTCTTTTGCGATGAGAACAGATTCCAGCTTTTTGATGGAAGTGTGAGGAATACGTGGGTGTATATTGGTCGTGGAGGATCGAATGACAGTAGTTATCGCAATGCGGCTCGAGAACAAGACCGCCGGAGGGCAAGACAGGAGACGCTTGAGAATGGAACCAATTTTGACTACAGAGCAAGTGTTGCGCTGGACAAGTTTAGTAGGAATCTGCAGAGCCATATTGGGAGGTTACAGAGACAGGGCATCTTGGCCGCGGTAAGTTCTTTCTTATTTTATGCAATATCTTACTGTTTAGATATGCTGATCATTCATTCGGTTTGAAGGAGATCTACATTATTAGCAACAGGGACGTCAGTTCAATGCGCAATCTGGATCTATGGGAGGATTATATTGGCACAGAGCAAATCTTGCCCCTATTCCCACGCGAACCCAAAGAATACGACATCCCAAAGCTCCAGGAGATAGATTGGTCCCTTGGCGCACAGCCCCCTCTTGTGGTCGAAGTTGTAAAGAAAAGGAATCTGTCTGCCCTCCAAGACGTGTTGGATCCGGCGACTTTGCAGCAACTATTCATCTGGCTGGTGGAACATGAGCAGAGAGGACTGCTTACACGCTGCTTCGAACACTTGATTGCGAGCATCAAGAGCGACAAAGTGATGGCCCCAGAGGATACTCTGCGTACCATGACCAACTCCTTGCAGATAATACCCTACGTCTCAGTTACGTTCGCGAATTTGGGCCCATGGAGAGAATTGCCAGAAGAACTAAATGTTGTGTTGCAGAATAGCAGCCACATTCTACTCCGCAGCATTATCTTGTCCGAGGCCGAATTTGGGGATCTTGTGTTGACTCCTTTTCACACTATCTTGGACAATGTAGACTGGCTTTCGCTGGATTGGTTTTCCGACCTCGTCGAGTTGATTGCGCTTACAGTTCATTCGTCGAGCACAGCGCTGGATCTTCTCCTCGAAGGCCTTGATAGAAATAGTTCAAGGCTGTTGACTGGTCGACCGGCCATTATTCAAAATTTCGTTCATAACATAATTGGCATTGCGGTAGAGCACATTGGGACGGTGCAAGAGGAAGCGAAAACGAGAGACGAGCTTCTGAATATCCGAATTGCCAGCGACAAGAAAGAAACAGACACGAACACAGATCAACCAGGAACTCTAGTCGAAGTGTCTTTCAGAATCGATGCCATTGGCGGCACGCCGATATCCAATACCCATGTGCGACTTATAACAGCCAGTCCACCTTTAAGCTCGATATCAGACAGGGTTTACTCAATGGACGGACTGGTTGTCGAGAGCAGGTCAGGGTTTGCCAAAATACGCTGCTTTCATCCGCCGCCGTCTTACGTTGAAAAGTCCTCTTGGGTGTTGGAAGAATGCGGCTTGTTCGTGACTGCAAAGACGATGCTCGATGCCGTGCGTGATCTTGCGAGATTTGAATACGCTTGCTGTGGAGTGCTTGATCAAATCATTGGGATTCAGCCTCAAGCCAATGCCAGCACACCAGCCATTACTGAGAATGCAACCCATGAGGCAATACCAGTTTCAACTCTATCTGCAGCAGAGGCATCGTTAAACCCAAGCCAAAAGGCCGCAGTAGAAGCAGCACAAAGTAACAAGCTCGTTTGTCTTTGGGGCCCGCCCGGCACTGGCAAGACGCAAACCATTGTTGCAATCATCAGAAGGTTGCAGAGAGATCCCAATATCGGCAAGATACTAGTCACTGCCCCAACTCACAATGCTGTGGACAATGTCATGAGGCGATATCTCGGTCGAATTAGCCAGGAAGGTCTCTTGCAAAGCCCAAAGATGGCTCCCCTGCGCGTGGCCACGGAAGTCAGAAAGGTCGGCGAGGATCTACGAAAGTACACATGCGATGCATTGGCCGGTCAGGAAGTATACTCTAGCCATGCTGCCATGCGTCAGGCAAAGCAGCGTGTCAAGGCTGCTGAGATCATCTTCACCACCTGCATCGGTGCTGGATTAGGCCTGCTGAGAGATCAGGTATTCGACACAGTGATTGTCGATGAAGCGTCACAGCAGACAGAACCTGCATCACTTGTGCCGCTGGCCAAGGGGTGCCAAAAGGCAATTCTCGTGGGTGACCATGTTCAACTGCGGCCAACCGTGCAGAATATCGCGTTGGCGCTCGATTTCGACGTCTCGCTATTTGAAAGGCTATATACCCGAGATGGAACTACACCTAACATGGTCAGGGTGATGTTGGACACACAGTATCGAATGCATCCATCCATATGCAGCTTCATCTCGAAGGAGTTTTATGAGTCAAAGCTGTTGTCTGGGCTTAGGGATCAAGACAGGCCGATGCCGCTTTCATCATTTCCCTGGCCCGCCTCACCGGCTACAAGTGACGTAACTCACGTTCCTCGGATGATCTTTGTCGAGTGCTCTGGAAGAGAGGATTTAGGTCACAAGTCCAAATCAAATAAAGAGCAGGTAGACCTGTGCCTCTCGATTTGCAAACTCCTACGCACGGCTAGAGTTGCATCATCGACTGAAACAGGTGCCAACGGTGTGCAGACTACCAATAACACATCCATCGCCGTGTTGACGCCATATTCACGACAATCTGAACTGCTCCAACGAGCGCTGTCGGGAATTCAAAACATCGAAATTTCTAGCATTGACGGCTTCCAGGGACGCGAAGCTGACATTGTTATCTTCGTCACTGTTCGCTGCAACGAGAGCCGAGAGATTGGGTTTCTCAAAGACCTGCGTAGGATGAACGTGGCTCTCACCAGGGCCAAGTATGGAATGATTGTTGTGGGAAACAAGGCGACGCTGACGGGTGGGAGGGAGGAGGAAGAGAGTACGGGGATGTGGAGGAGGTTTATGGACCAGCTCTCCAGTGTTGTTCTTTCTTAAACCAGATTGTATGTAGAAGCACCACTCATAAGGAATGATGACCAAGATTTTGTGAACGATGGGACTGTGTCACTTGGATATCGTAGGGAAGTGGATTCACAGGGGGGTTTGTTGATCAATTAGTAAAGGGAACGGTAACGGTGATGACATGACATATCAGGATGCGCTCATTAATTGAGCATCAGGTGAGAGCTTAATCTCGCCATTGCCCAGTATCAAGCCGTGCAGCTTCCGGTCATACTGACCCATGGGCACTGGCTCATCCGTTTCTGGGTTGAGGAGCTGCTCCGTGAGAGCCAAGCCGTAGAACCGCAGTCCATGACCATTTCCAACTTCATCATGAGGTTTCGTAGCCAAGTACCTGTTCAGAAAGAAGTCGTAGAAGCCTTTGCCGTGACCGAGCCTCCTGACATGTCCTGCATCGTCGGTATCAAAAGCAACACCGGGCATGAGGATTAAATCCAATGTAGACTGATCTGATTTGTGCACGTCTGGCCCGCCGAGGATGCGCTGCCTCAGATGGACGGTGGCCGGATCTATGCTAGGAATGCCCCAGGAATCTCTTTGAAGGCGGTCGTAATCCTGGACGTCCTGGAGCTGAACCATGTCCATTACACGCGCTGGAGTTCCCGGTTCGTCTAGAGGTGACTTGTGCAGATATGGGACGAAGACTTGCTTTCCAGAGTTTAGAGCATGGCGAACAATTGCGTCTGTCTGGATCTCTCCGGAGGGCATTGAGAGATATACACTGATGCGGTTGGCGTCTTGGTAGGGCTTGAAGGTTTTGAGTGTCTCAAATATTGTGCTGCCTGGTAAGATTAAGCGTTAATTTTCTCAGATGAGGTGAATTTTGATGAAGAGTAGATGGGTGTTGATGCTGGTTGGGTTTTGTTCGTCATACTTTGAGCGAGTACGGAATCCTGCGAGACTTTTGAGAGTCTCTGCTTGAGGAGACGCCTGAGCTGCTGCTTGGCAGTAGCCAATGGAGAGGCCATAGTGAAGCCAGCCGCAAATGCCCTGAAATTATCAAGAAATTGCAGAGCTGCGAATACAGTGCGAAGCTGATGACGAGTGAGATTGAAAAGCTCGTAGAATCTGGTGAGAGGCCGATGGCGGGGAGAATCGTCGGATCGGAGGTCCGTGATCCGGTCGGGATTCCGCTTTGCATTGAGACTGGACAAGACCCCCGGAATCAGGCCAGTGTGACAAGACACTAAAATGCGCGGCTCGGGCCATGGCAGTGAAATTATGCGCATCTGCATGCATGATGACGGCGATTACACAGCATTTTTTTGCAGAGCTGAGCTGAGCTGAGCTGAAGTGTTTCTGTGTAAGCCAAGCGCAGGGCGTACAGGCACACGAGGAGATGTATATAGTACATTTGATGTGATGTGTGATTTCACGAGTCAATCAGAGCGAGTCTATTCTCTACTGGATGGATTATTTGATCCTCTCTCCGCCATCTCTCCCTGCTTTTCAAGTCCAAGCTAACTACCTCTAAGCGTTGTCTCACATTGTGTTACCGATCCTTTGGTACCGCATTCGTCCAAGCTCAATCACGAAAGTGAGACATATTAGTAGATTATTAGTATTAGTCGATTCAATATTAGTGGTAGATTGGAAAGACAGTGATTCATCTTCCGCTCTGCTGCATGTGCAGAGAGACAATTGGCAGCGCTCGAGGCATAACGGTTGGAAATCAAGACGCGCCGATTGGGCTACAGGGCAAAAGGATTTAATTTGTGATATATTGCCGGTATGACTAACTCCTGTAAACGGAACTTTTGACTGCATCACTAGCTGCTAGATTGCGGGTGACACGCTGCATGCGTGCAGACATTCATGCAAAGAGACGCCCAAACGGGACAAGGCAGCCGAAGCACAAGAGCACGGCTAATGGCTATGATGTATTACTTGTAGGCTGCCATAAAGCAGAGCTGGTGATGTTTCAGCCTCGGTGACATCAGATCAATTGACAGATCCTTGTCCTCCTGAACTTGTGCCAGTTACAGCGCCCGCATTAGTGCATCCTCCCGCTAAACAACCCCCCAAAGCCTCGTTAAATTTTCGGCCCCCTCTCCCCCACCATCACCATCTTCGATCCGCCTTTTTGCAACCGCCCCGCCATGGGTCGAGCCAGTGAATCCAGCAATTCAAGGACTTCAACCTCACCGGCCGGCGATTCGTTTCCGCAGCAGCATGGCGTTGCGCTGCAGAACCTGGCGCCAGCAAAGGAATCATCCGCAGTAGCTCCAGAACCAACAACGTCAGCCGCTGTCTCAGCCTCGGGCTCTGTCTCAGTCTCGGTCCCAGTCCCAGTCCCAGTCTCGGGCTCGTCAACCCCAGGCATCCCCGTCCCACAACCGCTGTCCCGTCCCCATTCCCGGGCTTCGACTACTTCGACTACTTCTACTACTTCGTCTCTTTCTCTCCCCCCTCCTCTCCCTCTCTCTACCCAGCATGATCGCTCTCCTGGGCTTGACGAGGCTGTAGCCCAGCCTGCTGCGTCTGCTGCCATGGCCTCCTCCAGCAAAGCCTCCAGCAGGGCGACGAGAACAACAACTTCAGCCTCGGCAGCAGCAACTGCAACGCCGCCGCTGCTCTACGCCGATGGCCGTCGATCCGACTCGTCGCCCTACGGCTCCACGGCCATGACCCCGAACCGCAGTGCATCCCCTTCCGGCTCCGGCTCCGGCTCCGAATCCAGCAGCCGCGGACTTCGTCTCGCCCGCTCGACCAGTCGGAGTGGCATCTCCAGACGATCTTTTGCTTCCCGCCGCTCGTCTCGCAGGTCAGGGAGCTTCGATGGCGCAGCGCTTGTCTCCGGTGTCGAGGGTCGATTTGGCATGCCCGAGGCTCTTCTGTCAAGCGTTGTGCTCGACGACGACATCTCCGAGGACGGGCCGCTGCTTGACGACTCCGGGGCATCTTCCTCGACTGAGATCCCGGACCAAGACGCCGAAGAGAACTCGCCCAACGAAGCCGTGCGAGCTTCCGTGTCACCAATTGACGATACGACTCTATCTATAAACACGCCGCGCATGTGGTGCTTGTCCATCCTCTTCTCCATCCTTGGCTCCTCCACCAATCTGTTTTTTTCTTTGAGATACCCCAGCGTTGCCATTACTCCCGTCATTGCGCTGTTACTCGTCCACCCTCTGGGCCATCTGTGGGATTATTTGTTGAAGCGGTCTTATGACCCCGAAGAAGAGTTCACCGACGGCGTGCGGACCGCCGTCTCTTCGCATAGTCACGACGGCCATGGCCAAAAGAAGCCGCTCGACTCTCTTCGTCTGTGGCTCGCCCAGGGCAGGTGGAACGAAAAGGAGCACACTTGCGTCTACGTGAGCAGCAATGTTGCCTTTGGCTTCGCTTTTGCCACGGATGTCATTGTCGAGCAGACGCAGTTCTACAACCAAGAGGCGCCCATCGCCTACCAGCTGCTCCTGACGATATCGACGCAGATCCTCGGCTATGGCTTCGCGGGAATGGCTCGCCGCTTCTTGGTTCGCCCCAGCGGCATGGTGTGGCCCGGCACTCTCATGTCCGCCGCCATGTTTTCCACTCTCCATAAGCAGGAGAACAAGCCGGCCAATGGCTGGACTATAAGTCGTTGGAAGTTCTTCTACATCATCTGGACCTGTGCCTCGGTCTTTTACTTCCTGCCAGGCCTCTTGATGCCCGCTCTCAGCTACTTCAACGTCATTACTTGGTTTGCGCCCAAGAGCGTCGTCCTCGCAAACCTGTTCGGCGTATCCTCTGGCCTCGGTCTCTTCCCCATGACCTTTGATTGGGCCCAAATCACATATGTCGGCTCACCTCTCTTGGTGCCTTTTTGGGCTGCCATGAATGTCATTGGCGGCCTCGCCATCGTGATGTGGATCATAGCACCCTTGTTCTATTACAGCAACGTGCTCTACTCCTCTTACATGCCCATCCTTTCGGCGGCCGTCTTTGACAACACGGGCAAAGTCTACGACGTCAGCAAAATTCTCACTTCAGACTTCCTCTTTGATAGGGAAGCATACTCAAATTACAGTCGCGTTTTCCTGCCCGTCACATATATGCTCAGCTACGGTGTTCAATTCGCCGGCCTCGCTGCTCTCTTAACGCACACCGCATGCTGGCACGGCCAAGATATCTGGCACACATGGAAGAAATCTCTCGTCGAGGCGAGAGGACAAGGCAAAGAAGGTTATCAACAAGTCTCTGACTCTCCCGACCCTTCATCAGCCACGGCCGCACAACCAGAAGGAACCCCTCGCGTATCATTGTCGGGATCCCATATTGAAGGCCTCATGAGCCACGAGGACATCCACAGCCGCCTTATGAAGCGCTACAAAGATGCTCCTCTTAGCTGGTACTTTGCTACCTTTGTCTCCATGGCCGCCATCGGCATCTTTGTCGTTGAATAGTAAGCTCACCCCTTTACCATTCTCCCTTAGCACCAAAGTGTTGTTACTCACCCCCCTATTTCACCAGCTATCCCGTCCACCTTCCCTGGTACGGCCTTCTCCTCGCCCTAGCAATCGGCGCCATCTTCTTCATCCCCAACGGCATCATCATGGCCATCACCAACCAGCACAGCAGCATCTACCTCATCTGCCAGCTCATCTGCGGCGTCGCCTTCCCCGGCCGCCCCATCGCCAACATGGTCTTCGTCACCTACGGCTACATCTCCTCGGCCCAGGGCATCAAGTTCGCCTCAGACCTCAAGCTCGGCCACTACATGAAGATCCCCCCACGCATCATGTTCTCCGTCCAGATCGTCGCCACGCTCGTCTCCTCCGTCACCCAGATCGGCGTCCTCAACTGGATGTTTGCAAACGTAAAGGGCATCTGCACCCCCGAGGCCGTCAACGGCTTCACGTGCCCCATCGCCCGCGTCCACTTCAACGGCTCCATCCTCTGGGGCGTCGTCGGGCCCGGCGAGTTCTTCGGCTCCAGCGCAATCTACCGCTCCCTCGTCTGGTGCTTCCCGCTCGGCGCCCTCCTGCCCATCCCCCTGTGGCTCTACAGCCGCCACAAGAAGCACAGCCTCATCCGCAAGGTCAACCTGCCCGTCATCTTCGGCGCCATGGGCTGGATCCCGCCCGCCACCGGCCTCAACTTCTCCGTCTGGGCCCTCGTCTGCTTCTTCTTCAACTACCTCATCAAGCGCCGCGCAAACGCCTGGTGGGGCAAGTATACCATGACCCTCAGCGCCGCCCTCGACTCGGGCCTCGCCTTTGGCATCGTCATCGTCTTCTTCGTCTTCATATACCCCGGCTGGATGAAGGGCTTTAGCTGGTGGGGAACCGAGGTGTACAAGCAGGGCTGCGACTGGCAGGCTTGCTCGTATAGAACCGTGGAGGAAGGGAAGCACTTTGGGCCCGATTCGTGGTGAGGTGTTTGATTGATATGTCAAGTGCTTCCGCTGGGACAAACATGAATCTTTTGGATATATAGAATCTTGTCTGCTTGTGATATTCTTCTGGATGTCATATATATATATAATTACTCTACTACAACAAACGATATTTTAACGATGCCAATGACAATTAGCAATAGAACTCACCAATCTCACATCTACAACCGTCTTCCACAGACATGTAAGCAGTGCACCGAATCATAAATCATCCAGTAGCACAGGAACAAAAAGTAGACAAATAGCAAGAGTCTCTATCAAACGCAGAGGTAGCTGCTCGTGACTTATTTTTTTCTTCTTTCATGTGAAAAATTTGCTTTCTTGTGGCGTTCAAGTAAATTACTATACAGCGCAGTTTCGCCTCTCCCCCTTCCTCGCCCGGCCCAAGAAATGTTTCTATACCAGTGGTTCTCACCCGACCTCATTTAATGCCTTTTTATTTATTTAATGCCTTGTTTATTGCTCCGCTTGCCATTCGGGGTTCTATAGACACATAAATGTTAGCCGATACGTTCAAATCAAAGAGGATGTTACCGAAAAAGGGAGGGGAAAGCTTACCTTTCGCAGAATCACCACGCCTTCTAGGAGGGTGCTATTAAGGCTAATGTACTCCTCGTCTTCCAGCTCTGCTCGATCACCATAGCTCAGCACAACTGGTGTGCTCTGTGTCTGCCAACCAGTGATCGTCTTGGGGCGACCAGCCTGGCCGACAACATCCACCGCCTGACCCACGCGAACGTTGACTTTCAGGGGGTTCAAGTCCTCGTCCACGGTAACAAGGAATCTGGGGTGCATGGCGGGAACGAGGAAGTAGAGGAGGTAGTGCGAGTTGGAGGCGATGAAATCCTTGGGGTCAAGCATGGCAATGATGGTGGTCAGCAGACCTGCGGTTGAGACGGGGGAGAGCACCTGTCTGTCGGAGTGGAATGGGTTCAGGGAGAGCGTTCCCTTGCCCATGTGCAAGAGACCCTGTGCAATGCGGACCATGAACAGGGCGTCCTGGTCTCGGTGGTAGTAGCTTGCAAGTTGTCGGAGCAACTGAGCCAATCGAGCATTGTTGGTGCCCGCGCCCAGCATACCCATGGCGAAGATGGCGTTGATGGCCACTTCGGGATCATTGTCGTGACTGTATCTTGAAAGCGTGTCATAGACCTTCATCTGCGGGTTGCTCGGGCTAATCAGGCCCATAGCCAAGGGCACGGCTTTGCGAATGTTGGGTTCTCCATAGTGCATGAGATGACCAAATTGTCTCAGGACCATCTCCTGGCCAATGTCCTCTCCCATGGACACGAGCGCAATACCCAAAACTGCATATGCCTGCAGAAGCTCATCGCCCTTCTTATCATCCGACTCCTCTTGGTGTTCGTTGCAGATGTGCAGCAGCTCCTGGATCTTCAGGACGGCACCGGTTCCAGCCCAAGCGCAAATCTCGGCCAGAACAGCTGTAGGCTTGGACATGGGGTGGTCCACAGCCTTGAGCGTCTCCAAGATAACATCTACCTCTTCCTGACGACCAAAGAAAAGCAGTCCCAGGCCAAGAGCCAAGAATCTCGTCCACTTGTCAGTCAACTGGTTCTTGCGCTCCTCGTCCATCAGTGTCGTCACGATAGCCTCGCTCACTTCGGGGTGAGATGTGCCAATAGCAATGAGACCACAAGCCAACGCTGCCATGGCCGAGATTTGCATGTCCTCCTTAGAGTCCACAATCATGGGCATGATCAGATCAATGACATCCTCCTTGTTGGAGCCTGCATAGGCCAATCCAAGGCCCATTAAGCAGCCAGTGCGGACAAGAGGGTTCTCATGGTGCAGTTTGTCAGCATCTCCCAGGAGCGCAATGGTTGGCTCAGATTCTAGCCGAACACCAGAGTTCATGATACCAATCGCAAGCATGGAACCGGCGGTAATCTCCGGCTCTGAGGCATACGTGTACCTGTCGACGCTGTCGAGGCCGTTCTCAATGTCCCACATCAGCAGTGTGCCGAGGGAGGCGACAGTCGACATCATGCCCTCGCCCTTGGTTTTCCACACCCAAGCCTCCTTCTGGGAGTCGACGAGCATCATCTTGTCGTTGCCGAACCCAGCATTGACAAACGCATTAACAAAGGCGGCGGCAAGGTTATGCCTAGCAGAGTCCAAGTTGGTCATTCCGGCTACTCTGCTGCTTTCCAAATGGCTCTTGTAGATATCCTCGGTGGACTTGGGATCGAGGATGTTGAGTTCCTTGCCCAGACCCTTGAAGTACCCTGACAGCTTGATGTTGTGCAGGCACTCGAACAGCTCCTGGTCATCGCCCTCGCCATCTTCAACCATGGGCATGACAATCTTCTGGCGTGAAATCAAAAAGGCCAGCTGTCTCTTGAGTATGGGGTCTTCCGCCTTGTCAAAGTCTTCCTGGAGAAGGTCAATATCGTGCAATCGTATAGCAAGAATAACTGCTTGAGTAAACTGCTTGTGGGTGATGTAGATGTCGTGGGCGACACGGAGGAAGGTCTCGTTGTCGGGATATGTCAACAAATTCACCATGGTGACCATGTACAGGCACACCCTAGGGTAAGAGTTCTCGTCGACAAACTTGCTAATCTCCTCAATGATTTCCAACTCGCTCATCAGATCCACGGCGTCGGCTTCCTGATTGCTCTTGATAAAGAGCGGCACCAGGATCAACGCCAGGTCGACGAGGTCCTTGGTGGGCTCATCGGCCGTGATGCGCTTGCTGTACACCTCGCCGATCTCGAGAGCCAAGTGCCGGACGTATTCGTGACCCCATGATCCAATGTCGGTCGTAGGGGCCAAGAGTCGGTACTTGAGTGTGTCTTGTCTGTCTTCGTCGGAGAAGGTCATACCAATGACCGACAGGACATCGGCTAGTGATACCTTGTTATCGTCGCTAGGCCACTCGTCGTACAGCTTGGTCAGGGTCTCGTAGTGCGGTCGGAGAAACTTGAGTGGCTTCGGTACTGCTGTCATAGATGATGTGGAGGTCTTGATTGCACTCTTCATCATCTCAAGGGCGGACTTGTAAAGGGAACTGTCGGATTCCTGGAGACAAAGTGGTAAGCTTCCATGACTCCTCAAACAAACGCACAGCTGCCCCTCTCTCTTCTTCCCTTCCTCTCGTCTTGTGTATCCGGAAATACGTACTGTTAAACGCTCCACCATCATGTCCAGCTCGCTCTTGAGCTGCTGGTCCTCTTCATTGAGCTCCTCTTCGGCAGCTACCCCTCAAGTCAGCCGCTGTAGAGAGAACCACGGGATGTCATGTTTCCAAGGGAGTGGGGTATTTACCATCCTTCTTGTCGTCCTCCTTCTTGCCGTCCGCGACAGCCTTGTCATCTTTGATATCATCCACGGCCTTGCCCTTGCCCTTGTCAGCAGCCGCCGCTGGCTTTGGCAGATCACTGTCCTGGGCCATGGTGACGTAGAGAGATTAGGCGTCTATGATGAACCCCCCCAGCAAAGACGTCGGGGGCGAGGATGGATTAATGCGGAGGAAGTCGTAAAAGGTCGTTGACAGGATAGAATTGCACAGTATAGAAGCCCCAGGGAGGTTGAGCAGGTCGAAGTTGCGGGCGGAATCAGGTGGAAGTGCTGATGGAGACTTTGCTTGGTAAAGCTCTGGGCTGGGTTGAAGCGCTACTCTCAACAGCTGCCACGGGCTATTACGCGAGGCGCTGCCGCCTACAGAACGAGCTACGTACTCTGAACCCCAGCCTTATGATCACGTGCTGCAACTCCCAGAATTGGCTCTAGGATGAATTAGGGCTAGCCGCAGCCATGCCCGGCTCTATCTCTGTATCGATAAGATCTTGGTCAATTTTCTTTCATCACAGGTTGTTTGCTGCTTGTAGACCCCACCAACTTTCCAACGGGAACCCCCTCTGTCGAAGAATTAAGTCGGAACAAGACAAGATACCCGCATATACCCAAGATCTCGGATTTTAGTATTTGCCTTGGCAACTTCAACGAACGTATCGGAAAAGCCCATCCTATTCAGTCCATATATATTAGCCAACCATGAAGTTGGACACCAGAGCAATGCGCCATCTGGCGTCCGAGGACTGGCGAGTCCTCACAGCAGTACGCCCAAACAGGCCCAATCTATGCCATATACTTAATACCGAAAAAATCTAACCTTGTGCCTCTTCGCTGTTGCAGGTCGAAATGGGTAGCAAAAACCACGAGATTGTTCCCACTCCCCTAATAGAAAAGCTGGCTCGCCTCCGAGGCGGCGTAAGCGGCGTCCACAGGAGCATATCAGCCTTGGCCAAGGTTGGCCTCATCGCCCGCGTCAAGGAGGCCAAATACGACGGGTACCGCCTGACATATGGAGGCCTGGACTACCTAGCGCTACATACTCACGCCAGCCGCAAGGTTGTCTACAGCGTCGGCAACCGAATCGGCGTGGGGAAAGAGAGCGACATCATGGTCGTCGCCGATCACTCAGGCAAGCAGTGTGTGCTGAAGATTCATCGCCTGGGACGAATATCTTTCCGAACAGTAAAATCAAACCGAGACTACTTAAAGAACCGCAACGCCCAGTCGTGGATGTATCTCTCAAGGCTTGCCGCCATGAAGGAATACGCCTTCATGAATGCGCTTCACGAGGAGGGCTTTCCCGTGCCAGTGCCATTGGCACAATCCAGACATACCATCGTCATGTCCCTGATCGATGCATTCCCGCTCAGGCAAATCAGCGAGGTCCCCGACCCAGCCTCTCTCTACGCAGACCTCATCTCCCTCATCCTACGCCTAGCAAGCCATGGTTTGATCCACGGCGATTATAACGAGTTCAATATTCTGGTAAAGGAGATCAAATCAACAGACGAGGATGGCAAAGAGTCTGTAACTCTGGAACCAGTTATTATCGACTTTCCACAGATGGTTTCTATGGAGCATGTCAATGCCGAGATGTATTTTGACCGAGATGTAAACTGCATTAAGCGCTTCTTTTTACGACGATTCCACTTCACACCCACCCAACCAGGACCCTTTTTTAAGGACGCAAAGAAGACTGTTGGAAAGGGTGGTCTGAAGAGGTTAGATGCCACAGTTGAAGCATCGGGCTTCACTAAGAAGATGTTGAAGGATCTTGAGGCGGCCATCAAAGAGAAGGAGACGGTCAACGAGGGCCAAGAAGGGGCAGAGGAGGACGAGGACGACTACGATGAGGATGGCGATGAAGAGAGTGAAGAAGAGGAAGAAGAAGATGGCGATGATGACGGCTCAGAGGCAGATGATGGCGAAGGCGAGGGAAGGCAAGAAGCCCTCTTGACTGGTGGACTCTCCGAGGGTCTGTTGGGCGATGAGCCAGCCATAGACAAGGCCAACAGCGAAATGGCCAAATTGGCAGTATAGTTTTCAGTTCATTGAATTCATGAAGCAATAGATGACATTACGAAGCAAAAGTTCACTCTATTAACGACCCATTGTTCAAAAAATACCAAAGGAAAAAGAAAATGTGACAAAAGAAATTTTCAGATTGTGATGGAATGATATTTCATCATTTGGTGTGAAAACGATGCTAACGCCGCCAACTTTTGCCACAGCCTGCCATTATCTAGACTCTAAAGTACAACGCACATAAAATGATCCCTTCACACAATTTGACCCCACGTATCGGTTATCTCCAGACCTAGAACATGTTTTCCACCGAGGCGTAAAAACTACCGTGACTGTTGGGGTAAGTGGTCCCAAAAAAGTCCAAAACAAGTAGTGGTAGAGATGTTGAACCAGCCGGCATCATATTATGGCACAAACGTGCAGACAAAAAAGACACAAAAACGCAAAAGAATGAAGACAACATGGATGTCTACTGCGAGTCCTTCTTCGAGGCCTCCTTCTTGACCGAGGGGGATGGCTGGATGTTCTCCTTGCCGGCGCTGGCGACAACGGCTGGGTCCGCTCGAATCGTAACACTCTCATCGCACTCAGACGTGGTGGGAGTCGAAATCGTAGCGTCCGCGCTCGTAGTCGCCCTGCCGAAAGAGTTAGAATTTAGCGAAAATGCTTCGGTTGTATGCGTACGCAGACTGTGCACGAGGAGGCACTGAGCTTCGCGTCTCGTCGAGCGACGATGAGGACAGGCCGCTACAAGAGGTCAGTGGCAAGACAATGTCGACACCAAAAGCATCAGAAGCAAACCTTCGGGATTGTGGTAGATTGCGTCGCCAGTGGGCTTGTTGGTTGTACAAAGCAGGGTTCAGGCCAACAAGAGGAGTGCCGTAAGCACCAATGTTGTATTCATTGGTCCGGAACTGACGACGTTCGGCGGTGACTCTCTTGAGCTCCTTCTGGGCTGGAGTATCGGCATAGCGAATGTTCATTGGAAGACCCTCTTCACCGATGCCGATGCCGTTGAACTTTCGAACGATCTCGTCGCAGATCTCACGAGAGTCAAATCTAGCCCGTGTCAGGAGAAAAGGAGTTCCGAGTGCCGACTGGGGCTTCTAGAACCTACCGAGCAAAGCCGACACCACGGCTATTTCCCATACTATCACGAAGGATCTTGCTGGACTGGATGTGGTATCCAAGGAAGATGGTGGCAAGTTCCTAGGTCAGAGTCAGCCACGCAAACTGGAAGAAAAAGGCCCATGTAGGTCAACGCACCATCTCGTTCAGGCTCTTGGGCAGGTTGGAGATGTAGAGGTTGGTTGAACCCTCATCACCCTCCGCTTTGAGTCGAGAATTAAACGACTCCTGGCAATAGTTAGCTCAGACCCGGCGGTGACGGGTTTTGGAAGAGAGAAAAGAGACTGAATCCTACCCGGGCAAAGCCGATCTCGTAACCGAGACGGTGGAAGGCCCGAATGCACAGTTCAGAGTCGCGAACATCGTAAAACTTGGCGAAACCAAATCTATAACCAGTCAACATCAAGAAGAGAGAACAGGGCATGTTAGGGCGAGCAGAGCTTACCCCTTACAAGCCCCAGTGTTAGTGTCGATGATGGCCTTGGACGTCTCAACAGCACCAAAGCGAGAAGTGAAATGGTAGAGAAGCTCGTCATCAGTGGTGGGATGGAGACCGCGAATGTACACGTTGCGATTGCCGGGGATGCGATTTTCCAAACTCTGTTCAAGAGTCTTCATCTGGCCCGGTGGAGTGAAGACAGCTGGCACCGCCTTGGGAATGGCCGGGTCCTTCTTGAGGAGCTCATCAATAGTACGATCAGAAATGATCATGGGAATGGGCTTTGCGGTCTCAACTGGCGCAAGGCCCGTAGCATTAGGAGACGGGGTCGTGTATGAAGACCGATCAAGACTAGCAACACGTGGAGGATAATCGCGGACGATGGAAAAGGCGCCTCCGTAGTATGGAGTGGCAGGGGCAGACTCCGTAGTAGAGTAAGAACCGCGACGATTCTCAAGTCCTGGGACGTCAGAGTGGCCACGATCAGCACGAGGCTGAGCAGTACCTGGGCGACCAGGGGTAAAGGGCACAAGAGGCATCGAAAGGCCAACATAGGAGGCACCATAGCCGCCTGCGGCACCAGGGTAATTAAGATATGGGTTCTCATTAGAATGGCCAAGGCCCATCGGCTGGGCGGTCGGCACAGGCGTGAGGACGAACTGGCTGTCCGAGTTGACCATGAATGCATGACCTGGTCCCATTGGGACAGGAGCACCATTGTTGGGCATGCTCAAGCTGCCGAGGGTCAATCCATTGAAGTGATTAATAAGGCTGCTGGGATCAGCAGCTGCATGAGCGGCTCGTCCGGTGTAATAAGGATTAGCAACGCCGCCGTTGGCTTCCATTTTGGATTCGGCAACAGTGTGAAGATGGTAAGACATGCGTTTGCCTGCCGTGGTCGTGGTCAGTGATGTGCGGCAACGAGGGAATCGGGACAAAGATGGCAAATGGGGCGATCGAAGAACATCCAGGACTTGGGATGGAGTACACAGATGTGAGTAATGGCAAGAGGCCAGTGACTCAGAACAGCAAGTCCGGCTCGAGAGGAAAAGGAGGTGTGTTGGGAGGTTGGCCGGGTGGTAGTGATGCAAGTGATGAGGCTGAAAAGGAGACAACTTACCCAAAGAACAGCAGATCGGTCACAATGGTGATCGAAAAAATTACAAATGATTCGACTGTACGACGAAAATCTGGAATCCATTGATGAGTTAGAAGAAGAGCGTAGCCAAGGCAGAACACGGAAGTGCTGAAGTGATTGACATGTGTAGAGCCGACTTGCAAATTGGAGAGGTGAACATCAAGCAGCTTGGTGAAGAGTGGGAAAAACGAGAGAGAGAAATGTGTAGGAGGCAAACAAGAAATGCTTCCCAGAGAAGTAGAGGGAGAGTTTTTCATCCACTAGCTGGTATATGGAGGGCTCGAGAAGCGAAGATTTGGTCAAGCAAAGAGAGACAAATGCGAAGAGGAGAAGAAGGCCAAGTATCAGAGCGACTATCGAAAGATATGCTCACCTTACCCAGCCTTGGGGTTACGTGGTGTTGCAGACAATGAAGCTCGAGGGCCAAAGAAGGCAAATGGTGCTACCAAGACAATTGATTGAGATGAAGCGAGAGTAATTAAGATAGAACAAGCTATCAAGCAAGATGAGGGACTCGAAGAGATTCGATCGAGGCAGAAAGCTGCAAGAGAATGACGAGGACTGTGTGATGTGATGCTGTGAGGAGAAGGAAAAGGAAGAAGAGAGGAGAAGAGAAACGAGAGAGTCTCGCAGAAGTAGGCGGAGGGCGTAGACGAGCCTTACCTAAGCTTTGCAGAAACGGAAGCCGCAACAAAATCTATCTGCTCAAGAAAAGGAAGGTGTCGTTAGGATAAGCTATGCCAGGGAACCGATGCTGGTGCTGGTGCAGGCGTGATGGCCGCGAGATTAAAGACAAGAATTACCACCGAGCCAAGAAAGACGCGTGTGAGGGAGGAAGAAATGGCCACAAGGCGAAAAAGAAGCGAGAGATGACGAAATACTCGCGGTGCTGCTTTGGCAGGCCTGGCTGGACAGCTGCCGGCTGGTTTGACTTGCTGCTGCCAGGTGTCAGGAGACGCCGCCAGCGCAGATGAATCAATGCTCGACTCTTGGATGTCCGTCTACCTGTGCGATGTATAGATGCTGGCTGGAGGATATGGCAGACTTGGGAGGTTAGTATTGACCCCTTTTTGCTGGAAAAGCCGATATCCGTATTAGAATTTCTGCGAAGACAAGGGCAATGCTGGCTGTGTTAACGCTTGACTCTCGGCGGTGGCCTGGCAGATTTGTTTCTCCTCACAGCTGTTATCCTGTCCGTTCCAACCCAACTTTGGACATGGGAATCTTTCCCTCCCAATGCCAAGCAAGTCTTTCCTGACCTTGTATTGTATTTCTCCCTAACTTCTATGCGGTGGAGGACAGTTGATGTTATATTCGAAGGAAAAGCACTGCGATGCTCCGCCTTTGTCGAAGTCCACACGTTTGCTTGGACCCAACACGATTTCTCGAACGTCCCTAAAAGGCACTGTTCATCTGCTGAACATCAACGCCGATACTCCAAACATGCATTACCACATTCAAAGGTCCAGCAGCGACATCCGAACGGCGATGGCATAAACCTCGGTGACAAATTACCTGACGTATTAGAGGCGATAAAGATAGAGTCGGGCCTATAGGATAGCATGCAAATATTAGAGCACAATGATCATGAAATACTTTTGACAGGCACAACCACTGTCACGACTCGTTCTGGGATGCACTCCTCTTTATAAGAGCCGCGGGATTAGTGCCGCGTAATATGGGTGGATGCAACACTGCATTACTACGACAAGAGGTGTATCCCAACAGAGTGTGTCCCCTCTTCCATCGATACCGCGCAGCAAGAATCCTTTCTTTTTTGCCCCTCGCTGTCAGACATGCGCACAGGTAGCCGTGATTCACTATTCCCAGAGCAAAGGTACGTTGGCCAACCGGATTCCCGGCCTTCTTGAGACCAGATCCATACTCGGACGGGACGCAACCCCCAGGCTGTACTCCGTACAAAGGCCGCAAAAGGGTCTTGAATCCACCCGTCCGAATCATTATGCCTATCAGCCCCAGCAAGGAGCACGGGGCAGGCGGGAGACTGGTTGAAATTTGCGTCAACTCGCAAGTCACTAGTTGGGAATAAGATTCGGGTGGCTTTGGAGGTCCATTTTACTAAGACATGTTGTTTGTCTGACGGCCGATCCTGTGCTTGGACCGAGACTGCGGAATGTTGCTTTTTATGGTGCTTGTCCAAGGTCCTTTGGCTACTCGTATTGTCTCCCACAAGCACACTAATTATGCTGCTTTTTTGGTTTGAATGGAGCTCTTGCTCACGAATATATCGCACTCGAAGAGCGGACGCCACCTCCGTGGATCCGATTCCGGTAGAGCATCTCCCGTTACTATTACCGATGGGAACTCTCTTGCTACCATACCCTGATAAGGGAATTTCTCTTCTCCATGGCGTTCGGACTATCGAGCTTTCAGGCCAAAGACCGGTCTTTTTTCCTCCGGGGAGTAGGCTGGCAAGAAAGCAAGGAGGATGGTGCAATTCCGCTTGTCTCCCTGGCCAACAAACAGCCAATCCAAGATGGCTTTGCTCCGTAAAGCACCAACCACGGCAGCTTTATAATTGCTTTTTTCTCTTCCTATATCAAGAATTAATTTCACTACCAAGGGTCACGAGCGCCACAAACATACTACAACCAAGACCCAAATCATGACCTGTCATTATCTCCATCTTAGTATCCGAGTTGAATGGCTGACTAAGTGCCGCAATCATGGGCCGAAGTGAGACACTCTGTTCAAGACAACTATTCCAAGCGAATTTTCGAGTTCAGTACTCCGTACTCCGTATCATGTATTTAATACTGGCAACGACAATGCATATGGCACAAGAACAATTATGTCAAAACGTGTGGTAATATTCTCATAATTCGCCAGCCTGCACATTATTTTTTCCACCAAACCATACATATCCAAGCCATCCATCTCTATTTTCCGGCCGGCCAACCCTCCCGCACAACAATGAATAATTACCAAAGGTTCATAAAAACAAAACCTCTGTGCAGGAACGGGCCCGGCCTTTCCTGATATAACCTTTAGATCCGATGCCCAGCTATTACGGATCTATCTAATAAAGAACAAATGACAGATGTTGTGCATGGCTTCATAACGAACGCCGGCAATGTGCTTCGCAGTCGAAACGACCCCGGCCCCCTTCCCAACAAGTATATATTTATGCAAATTGATTTTTTTTCGAGGGGCAGGGTTTTTTTTTTGTCCCGTATAATTGTCCTCGAGAAAAAGAAAAATTGAATCATCTTGTGCTAGATGCAATTTTTTTTATGACCAGACATCCTCCTGTAGCGAGTGCATTAGTTACTGTTTTGTTCTCTGGTGCGGATGGGGGATGAGACATACCTGGTACTGGTTTGCTGCCCTCATATTCTTGACAACCTCCTCTGCCTTGGCCTGTGACACGCCACGGCCATCGGCAATGATTTGGGTCAGAACAGTGTTAACTTCACGGGCCATGTTGGCGGCGTCACCGCAAACATAGAAGAAGGCCTTTTGAGACAGCAGGTCGCTGATCTCGGCGGCCCGCTCCTTGAGTCGGTGCTGAACATAAACCTTTTGGGAAGACTCTCGAGAGAAGGCAGTGATCAATTCGAACTTGTCACCAAGGGCCTTCTTGTACTCCTATAATTGCAAATGATGAGTCAGTGTAAATCAAATACAGATAGACAGGGGAGACATACCTCAAACTCGGACTCGTACATGAAATCCTCAGTGCTCTTACGGCAGCCGAAAAACAGAATGGTACGACCAACGTTGACGCCATCACGTGCCTGTTGAGCTCGCTCCTGAATGAAGCCTCGGAAAGGAGCAACACCAGTGCCGGGGCCAATCATAATAATAGGCTTAGCAGGGTCGGAAGGCAGCTTGAAGTTGGAGTGGCGGACGTGAACCGGGACGTGAATACCGTCATACTTGTTGCGGGGACCATGGAGCTCATAGGACAAACCGAAAGGCGAAGGCTCGGGATCTCCATTCTGCTTTTGCTTCAAGGCGAGCAGGTAGTTGGTGGCGACACCACGGAACGGGTCCGTTCGGCCGACAACCGCGGAAGATTCGACAACGGCGGTAACAGAAATCTTCTTGGGCTGAACGAGGGAAGAGGACGAGATGGAGTAGTACCGGGGCTGCAGCTTGGTCAAGCTTTCGATGAAAGCAGAAAAGGGGATCTTGTCCCAAACCTGTCCGTTGCTGACGTGTTCCAAGAGGCGAGCGATGTTGAAGAGCTGAGAACCGGTCTGTTCATGGAAGTAGTCCTTGTCGCTGCCCAGCTTGTTCATCTCGGCCTTGATCTCCTCGTTGGGAGCAAAAGCAGCCAGAGTGGAGACGAACTGACGGGAGACGGGAGCACCGATTTCCAAGTGGTAGCGGACAATGGCATCGAAAGTGGTCGGGGTCGGGAAGGGCACCTTGGCAGTGGGCTCGAGAACCTTGACAGAGATGACCTGATCACGCTTGTCGGTAAGACCAGTAATGCGCAGGAATCGATCAACCTCTTCACCGGCGTTGGTAGGCCAGATGGCAATGTGGTCACCGGTAGCGTACGAGAGGGTGGAGCCGCTGATGTCAACCTCGAGGTGGATGCAGTTCCTGTCCTTGACCTTGAACAGTTCGTAGGATTCGGCAATGGGAGCAATGTATGGGTTGTGAGCGTTGAAGGGGCCCTTGGCAGCGCCCTCAAGGTGCATCTTGTTGGGCTCACCGAGGTAGACCTCGGGGGATTCAGGAGTCAGACCCTCACGCTCGACAATGCCAAAGACAGGCTCGTAGACGGCATCGCGCTCTTCAAGGCCCATGTGAGCAGCCAAAGCCTTCCACATGGGTTCCTTCCAAGCCAAAAAGTCCTCTTCCATAGTGCCAGCGCCATCGTCACCCTCGCCGGCGGTGCCAATGCGGTGAGCGCCGTACTTGGTCAGGAGCCTGTCGGTATCCCTCACCATGGAGTTGTAGTGTTCGTAAGTGTTGTTACCGAGACCGAAAGCGATGTAGTGGAGGTTTTCGAGAGGAGCGTCTGCGCTGCCCTTGGAGAAGGCGGGCTCTTCTCCGTTGATGAACTCGTAGAACTCGACAGCGTTGTCAGTGGGCTCGCCCTCACCATAAGTGGCCATGACGAAGAAGACAATCTTATCCGAGGACACCGTATCAATAGCGTCGAAGTCGTACTCTTCTAGGTCAGCGACCATGGTCTCGAGGCCGAAGCGGCTCTTGCCCTCCTTGGCAAGGCGAGAGGCGTAGTCCTCAGCGGTGCCGGTCTGCGAGCCATAGAAGATGATGCAGTTTTTGCCAGACTCCTCCATCTTCTCGACAAAGTTGCGCGTCTTGCCCAACTTGGCGGCTTTGCCGTTGGGTTGTTGGGCCAGGCTGCCATAGGGATCCTTGGGCTTGGCCCAGAAGGTGCCTTTTGTCAGGTAGGCAGTGGTTCCCAGGAGGATGACACCCAGGACCACGATGTCCAACGTGTCCAGTTCCGCCATGGTGGCGGGGCTGCAGCAGCAACGGAGGGTGCTCTGCCTCTTCTCTCGTCTCGATCAAGACAAACGATTCGGGCGAATCAGCAAAGCGGAACAAAGAAAGCAAGAAACCAGGTTGCTCGAGAGTGTCTCGCAGTCGGTCTCCCTTGCAGCAACAAAAGTGTGGCCTTGGTCGATTTAAGGCTGGATCTGAACAGCGGTTTTGCGCGGCCTAGTCCGGAATAAATGGACAGGAGGGGGTTCGGAGAGATTGGGTGGGCCGTGGCGCGGAATAGAAAAAAAAGGAAAATCCAGATAAGAGAGCCTGGGGTGAGAAGCCACGGCTTATCCTAACGTGTGCGAGGGATCGCCCTACTTTATTAGCGGGCAAAAAGTCAGCCCGACGTTATTTTTGGCCCTCGACACGAAGATGGCAAAAGGAGAAGTCGAGAAGAAGAAAGGAAAAGAAAAAAAAAAAGTCTGGGTTTGGCTGGACTGGGAGGGGGGGAAAGCCTCTTTTTCACATGGTTCGAGCCCGGGATTTTGGCCAGGCATCGCTCAACAACCTCAGCTTACTGTACCTGTACGTGTACAAGTATATCTGGAAGCAGGAATGCCGCCCCAGTTCCGGGTCCGCCCCGGCGACGGATTACGGAGTCGAGGACAGGCCGTGTGTGAATGTGTACCCTGAACCCGGTGCGAGAATGAAAGTAGCCGACGCCGCTGCAATCAAGCTACCTCTTTAGTGTAATATTCCTTGCGCAAGGCTGTCTACCCCATTGCATTGCATCCGCTTACGACAGTAGCAGTGCCAGTCCCATCGAGATTCTATCCTATCAGGGACTCGCTACCGGAGTTGGCGATAAGAGGCCACGTTGTATCGAGCCAGCAACACGGCCTGGAGGAAGGTGATACATGTGACGGTGAACAAACCAGAAGAGACTCAGCACCCAATGCTTCAGATAAAATATAAAATCAAGGGAAGGGCTATTCAGCATCCCAGCGACTATGAGGAAACCAAATGTCGTCACAAGACGGAGAGGGAATAACTTTCATTACCACCCAAGTAAATATACCGGTCCTTAAATATCCGCTACTATATCTCTACTCTCTGCTATTATCGATGTCGGGTATTTATTCCTCTAGTATCTGCCATCATCACTATACCTAGAAAATACCCGGCAACAACGCCATTGCTACTAGGTACCTATCTGTACTGCAACGACCACAAATACACCAAAAAAACACCCCCCAAAGAGAAAAAAAGAAGAAAACCAATAACCAGGCCTCGCTCAAACATGCTTTGATCAACCAGCCCATGAGCCATTTTTATCCCAATAGCCAAAACACTCCCGCACTGGTCGCATCTTAATTTCGTACCGGTCACACCCTTAGCGGGGCAGATGGTCTGAGGATTGCTGATTCCTTCATAGGTATCTAGGAGAAATGACAAGAAAACCCGAGTACGTAGTGCTTATTAGGTACCTACCTGCATGGTACTCGAATGTGCCCCCCGAGATACAGGCATTGGCCCGTATCATGGTGGTGCCACCTGTCGATCCGCCGACGCCGCCGCCGCGCCTCAGACTACCCTTCCTCATACGAGAACGGCGTACACTGCCTAGTACCTGTAATATTCTGTACTATTCTGTGCCTTTAATTCAAAATAGGTGCTACATCGAACAGGCTGCCTCAGTAATCTACTGTACGATTGCCTGCTAAGATTACTACTATACAGTGATGGGCATCGGCTCAAAAGGGAGGAATTGAAGCAACCCTCCTTGTTCGGGTTGAGGTTGGTTGTAGAAGCCCGTAGAAGCAATCGAACAGCTAAGGGTGGATGTTGATGGCACGAAAGCTTACACTCTATGCCCTCGTGCATGGATAGTAAGCCATGACTAGACCTTGTTGCGGATAACTGATCACTGCACTGCTGAGATCTTTCTCGCTTGGCGCTGGGCCCCCATGTCCACCCATTCGTGCGCAATTGATATCAGGACAAGTGTTCATACAACCGCGGAGACCTCCGGCTGCATCTGCAATGGCACGCTGCCGCAGCTTTCCAATCGCAGATTCGCAGTCTAGGCCGGAAAAGAGTCTCCTTGGCCTTGCGCACTATCCCGAGGCTTCGGTCTCGGACAGGGCGCGTATTCGGGATGTCCGCGGAGGCGACGGTTGCGAGCTTCAATCGCCATTGACAACTCTCCCGAGTTTATTGGCCACCAAAGGACGTCCAACTCCTCTCCGCACAGGCGAGCAATAGATCAAGATGCTGGGGATAGTAACAAGCGAATATGGAGATCTATCGGCTCCCCGCCCATATCTTTGCCGATTCCGATTCCCCCAGGAAATCGCACAAGCAAATGCCGGCGCTTTGGTCACTATTTGCTAGAGGGCACGCGCCACTCGACGCTATTTGGACTACCAAGCCGCAACTTGGTGCCGTGTCGTCAAAGTCCATCAATTCATCGGCATCGAGCTCAAAATCCACGGCAACTGTGCTTCGTGTTGACCTTGCGGCCATCGGAGAGCAGATTGCGGGGGTACACCCTCCCTCCCTCCCTCTTTTTTCCTTTTTTTTTTTCTTTTCCGCCCTTTCTAGGTTTCCTTTTTTTTTTTTTCCTCGTCACAATTAACACAGGAAAGAGAGAGTGCATGCATATAAAAAATTGATATGCCGCTTCTGAGCGAGAATGGCTTCTCAGCCAACAGCCAAGGCGCTACCCTAGAGTACTCCGCATTTTCCCAGTCTTGCCAGTCTCCCTTACATGCTCTAAAAGACATGGTCCAACTCATCCCCACTAAAAAAAGAAAATAGCCCAAAGAGAAATGTAAGGGAGAGAGAGAAGAGGCAAAAAAAAAAAAAAGACCACGCAAAGAGACAAAGATGATGCTATTCAGATTTCGACCTAGCTCCGCATCCCGGAGGACCCTTAATCCGCGGCCAATGGTCTGCCCGCCATCTGCCCCTCCCTTTATCACGCCCGCCGCTGATAGGACCAGCCAAACGCCCTTGCAGCTCTCGCAAGACACCTTCTAAGCCCAGGCGGCTGGGGAAAAAAGAAGCAAAGAGCCCAAGCCGGGCCCTATAAGGAATTAGTCTCGCTCGGGCAGCGTAACGGGGAGCCAGGCTAAATTAACTATCCTGCTGTGTTTCCCTGCTCTGTGCTCCCGGCTGCAGCCGTGTCATCGTACTGGCTGATAGCTCCACGACTTGCTGTTTGGCGTCATCGTTGGAACAGCGCATGCTACCGTAGGCAGATGATGGGATTGGGCCGAGGTCCGATTCGAGATGGGTGAGTAGAGCTGGATTCTGCTTCTGCTTCTGCTTCTGCTTCTGGTCCTGATGGCCAATCCAATCCCCGATTGATTGATTGATCCGATATCAAATGGCCTTGCTTGTGCCGTGTCTGTGTGTGTCGACGGGCGCACCAAAAGCCTCGTTTTTGTCAACGGCTAGTTGCTGACAGATGAACGTGCTCAGTGCCATCGCAATCGGCGCCGGACAATGCCCACGAGCCCGCCAAGTTCCCGAGGCCTGCGGCGAGGCTCGATGAGGAATCCGACTGGGACCAGACATATCGCCCTCCACCTCCAGCCTTGGACCCGGCCTTGCGCCATCCTCCAGAACCGGCCGAAAAGACGACTCCTCTGCCCTTGGCTTTGACATCACCGCGAACTCTTGGGCCTCCCCCGCGATCCAACGTCGTTGATCCTCCCCTCAACTCGGCCAAGGCTACCTCGTATGGTCATCACCGCCAGACGTCCATCGTCCATGGCATCCAGCACTCAAGAAATGGCAGCGGCGCGAGCTCTTCGTCCAACCCGCTCAGTCCTCAGATGATTGCGGCGGCTGGCTTGGGACTTGACCGTGTGGATTTACAGACGGCCCTAGCGCGCTTAGAGGGAGATGCCGCACCGCCCAGGCCTGTTGCTACACCGACTGGACAGTCGGCAAATCTCAGCGATGGAACCTATCCGATGAAGCGGTCGCCTTCCGGCAACGCTGTTACCCCCCCAGGCACGGCTCCTTCGCGAAGGGCAGAGCGAATGCATAGCAAGTCGAGGCGTGACCATCCGTCACGTTCATCCCGCCACCATCGAGATGAGCAAAAGACCGTGGGCGAATATGCCCTGCACGTGCTGTTTACTTCCGTGAGTTGAGCCCAAACAGACGTGACAATATGATATGCTAACGCACGTGGAACAGTTCATTGCCCAAGCAGAAGAAAAGCTGAACGAATGTATTACCACCCCGTTTGATCCCGAACCTCAGATTGACAAGATATGCGGCCCTGGCGTGGACCCGGCCTTCGACCAACTCATTGTTGCCCTTGGCCATATCGCGAGCCCCAAGCCCAAAAACCTGATAGACTCGATGATGCTCTGGAGGAAGAGTAAAAGCGATGCTGCTAACGAGGCGAGGACGCAGCTGCAACAGTTGCGAGGTGGTCAGCCCATGTCACCTCTGTTGCGCAGAAATACCGAACCCGTCCCAATTGGACCGGTCATCTCTAATGGATCTGATAGTGGCCTCTCTGGAGGCGGTATGTTGGCTTCGAAGCAAGAGTTTGTAGCCCAGCAAGAGCGCCGCTCAACAGTTTCCATCTATATCCTCTGCCGTGTTTTGCTCGAGGTCATATGCCAGAGCAGCCTGGCGGCCATTACCCCAGAAGTGGAAGACAAACTCGAGAGTATCATCTTTGGCCAACTCAAGATCGCCGAAAGTGAACAGCTGCTGGCCTCCCCTTTGAAGATGGCCAATTGGAACCTTTTTGCACTCCTTCTTGGACACATGAGCGACATAAACTTTGCCGGGGTCACTAAGAGGTTTATTGAGGACCTTGACAATTCCCTGAATGAGCGTGTGGCCAAGAGTCCCACCTCTTTGTCTGGCCGCGATGTCAATGAGGGAAAGATGGACCTTGTTCTGGGAGGTATGAAGCATCTTCGTATCAAAATCTCACCCGAAGATGCTTGGGAACAATCGTGCGACTTCCTCGTATCACTGGGCCGCCTTTTCAATAGATCTCATGGCCAAAGAGTGAAAACAGCCTTTTGCCAGATTATCGATTTGCTACTGCTCGGGATTGCCTCCAAGGCGAGCAATAGCCACCTGATGCATCCCAAGTGGATGGAGGTCGTGGCAGCCATCGGGCCGCGGCTGGCACAAATGTTTACGAAGCCGCGGCATTGGGCTGTCGCATTTCCGCTCACGGCCACAATGCTCTGTGTTTCTTCGCCTGACAACTTCGGAGCCCAGTGGCTACAGCTGATCCTACCTCTGCAGACAAAGGCAAAGGACCGACTGACGAAGCCGCTGTGTCTACAAGTTATCTCACGCTTGGTGTGGACTTACCTCTACCGTACCAACGATACCTTTCAAAGTGTGGCACGGAAGTTGGATGACGTTATTAAGCTGGTCCTCCCACCTTCTAAGCGTAGCATTGTTGCATCTGATGCCACTATCACGGAGCCCCTGATTCAGATAATTCGCATCATTGGGTTTAAATACCCCGAGTTCTGCTTCCGCACCATAATCTTCCCTCTCATTAATGCCGAGCTTTTTATTGCCAATAAAGAGCTCAGAGTTGAGCAGCTGGACCCGGACAGAATTGTGGTTGGCATCAGGGCCTTCTTGAGTATCATGTCAGATTTGGAAAAGGGGGAACAAGGCAGGCCGCCGTTCCCCCAGTTATACGAGTCGGGGACGACAGCAATCGCAGAACGATTCCCGGCGTCCCCCATGTTAGCACCGCCTCGCAGTGCCTCCATATCTGTATCGAGTTCTTCGACAATACGAGAAAGTCACGTCTCACGTCCCGTCCTCACCCACGTACTGACGGATGGTGTTCGGGAATACTATCTCAAGTTTTGCGAAATCCTTGGAAAGATCACCATTGTGTGCGATAACACATTTGGTGGTCAGGCTGCCCTGGATGAAAAGTTTGGCAGTCCTGGGCCCAAGACGCCAATCACAGAATCCTTTACCTTTTCTCGGCGGGATGAGCATCAAACTGCGGCAGACCAAAAGCAGGCGTTTTACGAGCTGCTGCATGTTGCCGTTCAAGCACTCCCCCGCTGCCTCTCCGTCGATATACCCTTCAATTCCCTAATTAACCTTTTATGCACGGGCACTGCCCACGTCCAATACAACATTGCCGAGTCTTCTGCTAACTCCCTCAAGGCGATTGCTCGTCAGTGCCGCGCGCAGCAGGTCACCATGGGGTTCGCACGCTTCATCTTTAATTTCGATGATAGATATTCAACTATGTCTGACGGCGGAATGCTTGGGGCTAACCATATCGAGAATACGCTACGGCTCTATGTCGAACTCTTGAAAATATGGATAGAAGAGATCCGGCAGAAGACAAGGGACGCCGCTGCCACGGGCGAATCTGAGACCAATGGTCCTGATAATCAAGCTCTTCAGCTCTCTAGTGTTTGGGCCGAAGTTGATCAGGCCGAGGCGCATGGGCTGTTCTTCCTTTGTTCCCAGTCACGACGCGTTCGGTACTTTGCCATTACGGTCCTCCGTCTCATTACCGAGTTCGACAAGGCTCTTGGGAAAAACACATCGGAAGAAAAGGACTCGTTGAGGTTAATTAATGTTCTCGAGAATGACTCATCTCAAGTGATGAACTTTGACGATGAACACCTATCCGTCGCTGAGCGTAGCAGACTTCAACGAGGCTTGCAGAATGGGAATGGCAAAGGCGCCCTCGTTGAGCTCTGCACCAGCGAGGTGACCTACGACACGACACTGTGGTTCAAGATATTCCCCAACTTGATGCGGATTGCCTTTGAAAAATGCCCATTCGCAGTCACAATCTGTCGAGATCTCATCTGCAACCGCGTGCTTCAGATGTACAAGCCCATTGTCTACCTGTCTGAACCTACAAGAGGCCCATATCACACCGGAGAAGGCATTCACAATAACCGCCCCGTGCCCAGGTCACCCACTACTCAGCCAGAATCGATAGTGGAACAGTGGAAGTTGTATCTCATCTTTGCATGCACCACTCTAGCAGATCCAGGGAGTGTGCCGCAGAGCATTCCCAAGGATGCCATTCAGCACACGCGCAAGTCCTCCAAACCTTCTTCGGCTGATAAAATTGTGACGGCGAGAACTCTTTTCAAATACTTAATTCCGCTCTTATCCGCCACGTCGGCATCCGTACGGGACGCTGTTGTCGTTGCCATGGGGTCAATCAATATTCACATATACCAGACCTTACTAGAGGAACTCCAAGGCCAGGTGTCTCGCTGCAACGACGAAGCCCGCGCCAGAATCCATCAGCGAACAAACAGTACCCCCCGCAGAAATCGCAAAATGGATCTTCTGAGAACAGAAATCACGCATGTTTTCAAACTGACCTCGCATTTTCTCAAAGATCCAATCGTTTACCAGTCTGAGTTCTTCCTCAACACCCTGACTGCGTACGCCAAGGATCTCAAGCTCTTTCTAATGGATGGAGAAGTGCAGATGGACTGGGAATTCCAAAAGCTGCGAAGGTATTACTGTGGACTCATGGAGTCGCTGTTCGAAGGAATCAACCGGACCAGCGACCCAACCCGCTGGATGACGTTTGAATCCCGTAAATCGGCATTTTCTCTCATGGAGGACTGGTGTGGATTCTCTCCTAACCAGAATGAGGTCCGGGCTAGAGAAGACAATATGCGGCAGCACCTGATAGACCAGCAATCCTTGGGCGAACGGGGTACGGCCACTGCGGCCATGGAAATTGAGAAACGCAACCTACGGACTGCAGCTTTGAGTGCCATGTCTGCGTTGTGTGGCGGGCCAATCAGCTTGACGACAGAGAGCGGCGCCACCCTGCAGTTTGACATTCGCCGAATGCTTGCGTGGATTGAAGCCATTTTCAACTCGGGCAGTGACAAGATGAATGTCATAGGCAGAAGGGCTCTAAAGAATCTTGTGGTTCACAACAAAGAGTACCCGTATCTGCTGGAGCATTGCATCGCGCGTTGTTACCTGGCTGACATTCCAAAGGTTCTAGAGAGTTACTTCATGGTCACTGTTGAAGTGCTGCAGGACCATAGCGACTACCCTTGCCCCTTCTGGAAGCTTCTCGCGCTGTGCCTTTTTATGCTTGGGAATGATCAAAGCGAAGTCAGATCCAAGTCTTCAACTGTGCTGCGAATCTTGGAGACTCGGCAACAAAGAAACTCCAAGATTCAAGACTTTGATATCAGCATCTCAGATAAAACTCAAGCTGTGTACAAGCTGGCCCAGTTTGAGATCTCAAAGCGACTCGCAAACCAGTATACGGAACTTGCCTTCCATGTCATCTCTGAATTTACCTTGTACTTTAAGGACCTTCAGCCGGCAGCGCAACGAAACGTCGTTGCGGTTGTCTTGCCCTGGATCCAGGCGATTGAACTGACGCTGGATCCCAATGGCGGCCCTACAGCGCAATCCTACGTGCTTTTGGCAAACTTATTGGAAATTACAATCAAGTCCGGGGGCGCGCTGCACAATGAAGTCCAGGCCCTGTGGCAAGCTCTTGCTACCGGACCGCATCTTGGGAACGTACGCCTCGTGCTGGATTTCATCATGCAGTTGTGCCTAGAGCGGCGCGAACAGAACTTCGTCGAGTACGCCAAACAGATTGTCGTCTTCCTTTCGACATCCAACAGCGCACCTGGTGTCAAAGTTGTCGAGTTTCTGCTGATGCAGATCAACCCGAAAGCCATGGTCCCTATTGAAAAGAGGGAGATGTCACAGGCACCGCCCGACACTAGCAGCTTGCCATACTGTGCGGATTTGGCAGAAGCCCTTCCTGTGGGCACAAAGCAGGCCGGGTTTTCTCTCGGTCAGCTGTCACTGATTTTGCTCGTGGATCTCATGGTGTCTCCAGTCCACCTTACCCAAGAGAGTGTCCCGCTCTTACTGCATGTCGTTACCGTGCTTTGGGATCACTACACTCCATTGGTCCAGGAGCAGGCTCGCGAGATGTTGGTGCATCTCATCCATGAATTGGTCATGTCTCGCATTGATGACCAAACAGACCCTCATCACAAGGAATCTATTGAGGAGCTGATAGATTTGGTTCGTCAACATGACCGCTCCGTCGTTTGGAGCTACGAAGACAGCAATGGAAAGGTCAACGATCATGAGAACAAAGTTCCCCCCAGCATGGAATATCTCACAAATGAGGTCGTAAGAACCTTTGAGGTGTCATTCCCGGGAATCAAAGAACAATGGGGTAGGTTGTCGTTGACATGGGCTACCTCGTGTCCGGTTAGACATTTGGCATGCCGCTCATTCCAAATCTTCCGATGTGTCCTCACATCCCTGGACCAGTACATGCTTGGAGATATGCTTGCCCGCCTTTCCAACACGATTGCGGACGAAGACCCTGAGATTCAAGCATTCTCCATGGAGATCTTGACAACTCTTAAGACACTCATCGTTAAGCTGGACTCTGAGAAGCTCATCACCTTCCCACAGCTGTTCTGGACGACCTGCGCATGTTTGGAGTCTATTAATGAGCGTGAATTCCTCGAAGCGGTAGAGATGCTAGACGAACTGATTGGCAAAGTCGACTTTAGAGCCCCGAATGTGAGGAGGCTGATTGCAGAGGGGCAACCGAGTCGGTGGGAAGGCCAGTTTGAAGGGCTTCAGCCTTTACTTCACAAGGGCTTAAGATCGTCGCTGTGTTGGCAGCCGACGCTCGATATCATGGATAAGCTCGTCATGCTCCCCGGAGATGGCCTTGTTGGGGATGACAACCGGTTGTTCTTTGCTTTGCTGGCCAACTTTCCTCGTTTCCTGGACGAGCTAGAACGCGGTGGCCTCAACCCGGAGGCATTAAACACGGCCAAGATACTCCTTGCCGAATCCGATAGGCAAGGTCTCGAAGGCATTGCGCTTGTTCTAGACGGCTTGATTTCTGACCGCTTCCAAATCGCCGAGGATTTCATGAACCAGCTCTTTGGAGCACTTCGCGAGTTTTACCTGCCGCATATGGAGTTTAAGATGATTACCTTTTTGATTGGGCTGCTGACCAACTCCTTATCCTGGGTCAAGGTCCAAACCATGCGCATCCTCTGCCTCGTTATTCCAGATATCGATATGCGCAACCCAGAGATTGCTGTTCACGGCTCCGACCTCATCTCCCCGCTGCTGCGCCTTTTGCAGTCTGAGTTTTGCATGGGGGCTCTCGAGGTATTGGATAACATCATGACCATGTCTGGAAGCCACATGGATAAGCAGCATCTACGAATGAGCATGGCTCGCTTGACGTCAAAGGCCGTGCGAAAGGAGTACGAGCGCGCTCAGAGCCTCTTTGGCATTCCAGAATTATCTGGATGGGCCATTCCAGTTCCCGCCCGGAAGACGGAGGCCACAAGAGCCAATATCCACGCCGCTTTTTACATGTGCCAAAGCGCTGAGGGCTCATCAACCGAACCTACCCCCACTGCGGAAGTTGAATTCCATTCGGACGACTTTCCCTATGGATACTTTGACCCATTGGATCGGACGGAAACGATGCTGTCTGATGAGGCGCGGGTGGATGTTCACCCGGGCGATCTAGTCACGAAGCTGGATAGCCTTGATGACTTCTTTGACGAGCCTGCAAGTCCTCACACGGATGATGATGGACGTTCCTCCCTTACCATTACCGAATTTACTCCCGAGTCGTATGAGACGGGAACAGAGTTATACGACGAACAAATACTGCCAATTCTGCATGAAGCGTCCAATAATAATACTTCGTTTCAAAACGGGTTTGTTGATCGACCTGCGGCCGTCTTTTCTCGAGAGCATGCTTCCAATACAATGACCCCGGGGGCATTCACCGTTGGCCGTGTCTTGTCGCCCCCAACTCGCCCCGGCCTTCACGCTCGATCCATTACATCGCCTTCGGCACCCTCGTCTCATTACCCACACGATTTTGCATCTGATGACGAACTAGTCATTGGCGGCTTTTCAGACGCAGACGACGAAAGAATCGACCTGGGAAGCATGGATGACGCATCGTTTTCGCTAGGGAGCAACAGACAGGGCGCCCCGCAGCCAAACTTTTTACGCCTCACGAGCAGATCTCGGGAGCGGCAGAGAGACAAGGCGCCTCCGCAGCCAGTGCCCAAGATGTCGAGCAAGTTATACGTGACGAATATACCTGGACAAGGTGACGTTATCTAAAAAATCATTGTTGAAAGAAGAAAAAAGCTATATAGAAGTGTTTTTTCTCTTTTCTTATTTATTTTTCTTTTCTTTCGTTTTTTTTTAATTTTATGAAATGTTATGAGGCATGTGGGAGTTTTTCAAGATGAGACGTGATGTTACTGAAAATGGGATATAGATGGACATGAACCTGTATGAGTCACTGACAAGCAAATAATACCCTTTGGCAGTTATTATAAAAATGGGAAAAGAAGGAGGGAAAAAAAAAAAAAAAAAAAAAAAAAAAAACAGACGGGCGATGGCACATGCCTATGAGGATGGGGGGAGGAGTTGCGGAGTTGAAAAAAAGGAGAATGTCGGAGGGAGGGAGTTGGATGCGTGTATGTGTGTGTGTTAGATGCAGATAACAATTATTTTTCTCTGAATGTGAAGATGGTAATGGTCATTGGGCTTCTCAGCAGGTTTTGTGACTGCGATGAAAGTGTAGGAGTTTGTAGATGATGATTGTGCTTTATCAAAGGCCAGCAATATTGAGCCCTTGAGAATACTACTATTTGCAATTCAGCACTTCAAGCCAGGGGCTAGTTTGTAATGGAAGAGGTTGTGTCTATTTTAAATTATGTACATCAACCTTGGATATAAAATCAAGAAGATGTGTATTATCAACTGGACTACAGGGTAATAGAGGTTATCAGCTAGCACCCCAACTTCGGTATCCAGCATGCTAAGATTATGATGGTAGGTGTGCTTTTTACATATTTTGAGGTCTTGCAGTGGTAGCAGAGCAATACAGCTATAACACAAGAAGAGGGCGATAGTAGAAGAAGGCGGCGAAAGTATTCATATTCACATAGCAATTGGACGATTGATCCTAAGGAAAGTGGAGCACGTGACCAACAGTGGACATTTAGGTTGAAGCATCTACCCTAGCACAACTCTAATGCGAAGCTCAACTCGTAACATTCAGTCAATTCATCCATAATAACCAAAGCAAAAAACAAACCAAACACGACAAATAGAATCTATTCAGTACATCCAGTCTACATCTCATCACGACCCGATACTCGGTGGAATTCCAGCTCGAGGGTGCGCAATACAGAGAAAGCTTGATTGCGCGGGGCAATATCTACAATACAAAGTTGCGCTTACACGCCCATCGGGTTTGCGTCATAAGAGACAAAGAGGCCTTGTATCCCATACACAAACTCATTCTCATTCTCGCCTCATCTCGGAATTCGTCATGGCCTCGGTTCCGAAAAACAAGAACGAAATGGAGTCCGCACTCTCAAAGCTCGCCATTGACTCCGCAAAGACGGCGCCTAAAGGCAAGGTCAAGGACAAGAAGCCCGTGGCGGACTCATGGGAGGACGAAGACGTGTCCGACGAGGAAGATGATCAGGACACAGACAAGGACGTTGAAGCTGGCACATCAACCCCATCGTCACTCGCCACGCCCGCCGTCCCGCCACCAACGCCGGCATCGCCGCTAGGCTACGAGTCGCCCCATGAATGGGCCTCTCTAGGCAGCCAGAGCCAAAGCCAGAGCCAGAGCCAGAGCCAAAGCCCGATGGCGACGTCGGCGTCGGGAAGCGGCACTGGGACGCCGGCAAAGAGGCCGGAGAAGACGGACGCGGTGGCGAGGCGGATGATTGCGGCGGGCTTGGGGCTCAAGGCGCCACGGCAGACGGAGGAGCAGCGGGCGTACCAGCGGTCGGTGCGGGAGCAGGAGAAGAAGAGGCGGGATGCGGAGAGGGCGGAGGAGGAGAGGCAGCGGGAGCAGGCGGACAAGGCGAAGGCGGCGGTGTGGGATGATTGATTGATTGATTGATTTTTTGCCATGTATGAATGGACTTTGTTTGGGGTTGTATCTTGGGTGCTCATGTGAAAAAAGACGATGCTGATAATCAAGCCGGGGGTTCTGCCTTGATTCGATCCATCTACGTTTTTCTCTCTCTCACATTCCCCTGCTTCAAAGAAAGGGGGGGGGCTCGACATCGCTCATTACTTGCCAGCGTAGCATGACTTTTGACTGGCTTCAACAAGTGAAAACCCGTGCCACTTCACACCGAGTGAAGCTTTCTCTAAACAAACGGCAGCGGCTCTCCATTCTTCACAAGAACAACCTCGTCAGAATCCCGCTCGTCCCCTCTCTTCAACGCAACACCAACGCCCTCCAGCCCCTCGTCCTCCGCCCTCTGGTTCCAGAGCATCTGCCTCACCACCCCGTCCCCCGAGCAGCAGAAATACCCCATCGGCACGTCCGCCCTGCCCAGAGCTTCCCTCATGCCCTTTGTCGCCGTCCTCTCCGCCACCAGCAGTCCCAGCACCCCGTTCCCCCTCCACCCGGCCGGCGCCCCGGCAAACGATCCCTCCAGCTCCCGGATCATGTGCGGCCCTACGCGCTGAATCCCGGCTTTACACTGCACCAAGACCCGGATGGCCCGCGACGCTGCCGACGACGACGACGACGACAACGCCGTAGTAGTCGCCGGCACCGTCCACTCGCCCACAAGATCGACCCCAAAGTCCGACGCGCCCCCGATCCTGCGCAGCGAGAAGCCGTACCGCGCCAGACGCTCCGCCACAAGGTACTCGTACCGCGTGCCCGTGAACAGGGGCGATTTCTCGTCCAGCCCACGCCGCTTCGCGTCCTCGAGAAACGACTCGAGGTCCGAGTGCGGCGGGGAGGAAGAGGAGGACGGGGAGATGCCGTGCTGCTGCTTCGGCTTGGACTTTGCGGACGTTGCACTTGCAAGCCGGCGGACAGCGGGAATCACACGGGATGCTTTGGTGGAAGCATGGTTCCGGATGAGGTCTGTGGGAGTGGAGAGTATGCCATAGCGTGGCATTGTCTGGCTTGGATCAATGGCTTGAGTTTTGGTGTTCGATTTCATAGCTTTGGGAGAGGTTGACTTTGAGATGAAGCTTGTATTCAACAAACGGGGCGTATCCCACCAAAAAGAACCGCTTACTGGAATATTGAACCTCAGCTGCTGTTCGATATAACAAGGGATGCTTTACACATGAGCTGTATTATTTGAATCGAATTTTTATTATATTTAGCTACTGAAGCTTAAAAATACTTTTCATCTTCCGCATCAAGGAAAGCCAACAACATGTCTTGATACCTGTAGGTCAAGGCGCACAGTAAAAGTGTAGTTGAGTGTACATGTGCTTTTTAAAAGTCACACAAGAATGAAGATCGCAGCGTCACAATAACAACTACTCTCCTAATCGCATACATAATATGAAAAAGGAGAAGGGAGCCAATAAGTGGCGATCTATGCCGAAAAATATCAAGTGCCCAGCCGAGAAGAGATTCGAAGAGGATTCAATCCTGTGTCTTCTAGTGTTCCAATGTTCAGGGTCGCCTAGGATGAGCGTGGTGGGTATGGTATGTCATGATGAACAAGGATAAAAGGAGAAAAATAAAACGTAAGTGAATATGGAGTACATGCTCTGAAGCAAATGACCACGCAGACGATGCTCAATCTTACACAAAAGCGGAATGGCGAACAAGTCTCATCGCTCAGTCCGCCTGCTGAGGCTTCACGCCTAGGCCACGCAGGCGCTGAGAGAGCAGTCCCTCAGGAGCATTTCCGAGAGAGTTGCGGGTAGACGAAAGGCTGAACGCGTTTCCTCCGTAGCCGGCATCCCCCCTGTTGAGCTTCTCGTACTGTGACGGGCCCCAAGTGTCAACGCCTCCCGCATCTTTGGCGAACGGGCGGCTGTTCACAAGAGAAGGTGAACCGTCGAGCGAGCCACGTTCCGCGGCGATTCTATCAGAATCACCATTACTATCGTTGCCAGCGGCATCTAGCTGCGGAAGGCGCAACGGGATTGGTTCCACGGGAGTAACGCTGCCGCGGCCAGAGCTGGGTGACGGCGCTGTCATGGGCATCCCGTCAGGAGATGCGAGGCCGTCCATGCCATCAAAGGTCGACATGTTGCTGCTCATGTAGATGCCCATGCTGCGCCGCCGTAAAGCCTTTCCGTTGGCCAAAATAGCTCCCGCGCCACTGGAAGTCGAAAGTGGAGGGTTCATCACACGGATGGGCTTGTAGGGGGAGAAGCGCGGCTCAGGCCATGTTGTTTCGTTACGCAGCTTTTCTTTCCCGTCCGGCACCCGATTTGCAAAAACAATGCGAATGCTCTTGTACAGGTAAAAGCGCCCTTTGGCGGGTGAACAAATGTGCAAATGAACGAGATATCTGAGAATGGGACGGTCGGCGTCCGCTTGGGACATGTTTGGTACATTATCAATTATGGGACCAGCGGAATAACTGCGCTGGCGAATAAAAGTCTTGGTTCCTGGCATCATACCAGTCAAGTCATATGGTACTAGAAAGAGTTTGACTGCTGTTTTGTTTGGGTTTTTGATGACGATCTGAATCTGCCCTATTTCAGGGATTCTATAGCTTCCTCCCGGGGGCGCCCTCGGAGAAGTTGATAGACGCTTCGACTTGGCAGCCTTGTGCCGTTCTCGATCGGCCTCCGTGTCTTGGGCATCCAACCCAGCTGCTTCGCTACTGGCTTGCTGCTTTCTGTCACTGTACCGGCTTTGTGCCTTTCTTCGCGACCTCGATTCCTCCTCGGGGTTGGAAAGTCCATTCTCCAAGTCAATCTGGCCAACATATGGGCTCGGGCCGTCATCGAGGAGCGACCTCCCATGAGAAGCACCACCATAGCTGTAATAGACGGCAGGGAAGGGGAGCGTCACATGGCGCGGGCATCGGAGGCTGGACTTGCAGTTGCCCTTTCCCATTACGCCAATCTGGGCAAGGAACTCGAATGGCTTCGATGGCGTTGTTGACATGCGGCCACGCAGAATGCTTTCTTCGTATGAACCAACCATGGAGGCGTGCTGGATGGCTGATGTCTCTGGGCCAAAGGATTGCCGCCGAGAGCGCAGAACTGCTGGTGTCTGAGGAGAGGAGAAGTGATGGTGAGTGTGGAGGAAACTGGGGGCGGAGGTCAAAGAACGGCGAGGCTGGTGCGCTTGATATGGCAAGGAACTCTCTCGTCGTGGCGGTAGTCGGGACTGAGCCCGTGACCTTGAAGAGGGGGAGAGAAATGGCGAAGAATGCGTTGAGTTGAGCTGATGTTGCCATGGTGACTTGAATCTGATGGAGGGGAATTCAGGCGGCGTGGAGAAGTCAACATCTTCGTTCGTCTCAGACTGGGCAAGGGGACTGGTCGGAGGCTGATACACAAAGCTAGACAGCGATGTCGATAGAGGGGAGGTATCAGACTTGAAGCCATCGACGGGCTCATTTTCCAGCAACTGTGATCTCCCAACATGTGCTCTCACTCCGTAGGGAAATGGCGTGAAGTGCCTTGGTGGCGAGGTCGCAAACCAAGCATGTTCAGGCGGCCCTCGTTCCTGGCCACTCTCCCTCCCCGAGTCGCTGTGTTGGCCACTTTCAGATGCTGTTCTGTCACTCGTGAAATCACCACTGTGAAAGGCTGATCTCGGCCGTTCGATGCTGAGCCCATCTCGTAGTCTTGCATCTGCTGACTCTGGCAACTTGGTTTTGTCAGGTGTAATCGGCGCTGGAGGCAGGAGAGTGGGTGATTCGGGCGAGGTTCGGCCTTGTTCTTGGGAGTTGTGGGACTTGTCTTGCTGAAGAATCGACTCAAGCTGCAAAGGCTTTGGTTAGCAAAAAAGGCACAAGAGGGCTCAGGAGAAAAGTGGCGTGCTTGGGCTTACATGTCGGTTGGGGACCCAAGTTGGGCTCTCTCCCCGTTTCAACCTCTCTATCAGCTCGGCTCTATCCGAGATCCTGGCCTCATCGCCCTTTGGTGTTGATAGATGCATGGGGCTATCGGGAACCGGCCCTTCGCAAAGCTCTGTCCGCAGACTCTCCTCGGACAAGCGACGGCTCCTCGAGGGTGCCGGCTCAAAAGCGATGGGGCTGGAGGCCGGCGATACATGGTGAATGTCGTCTTGGAAGATGGGCATTTGCGGGAGATGTTATGGCGGCGTTCCGCAGCAGCTCCAAAGCAGCTGGAAATTACCGGATCATGAGAAAAAGAAAGCATGAGTATCGAAAATTTCAGCGACCGGGATGATGGACGCAGCCGCAGCCGGAAATGTCACCATCGGAGCCGATCTACTGGCCAGGCGGTTCATCCAAGCGGGACGCTGTGCTCGTGCCTGTGCTCGTTCTAGGTAGGTTGGTAGGGAAGATGCCGGCTAGAGAGCGGAGCTACGGGGGTGTTTTGCTTCGGTTGCTGCACGTCCGTGGCAAGGGTTGCTGCAGGTAGACGAGGAGGGCGTTGCTTTTGGTTGGGGGAAGCAGAGAGGCTTCAGTTTGGATGCACAAGGGAAGTTTCTTGTGTTTACTCTAATAGTCCATACTGCCGGGGTGTAGCTGGGCGGTGAATCACGCAAACATTACGTCGGAGCCCAAAGTGCCCCGTGAAATGCCGATAGCGGGATAGCGCACGTTAGTGGAGTTTGGGGATCATTTACAGGCCATAGGTGCATGTGCCTAAGATAAGGTGCATGCATGGACCTGTTGATGGGTGATGGTGGCATGGACAACGCATGTCGGGCCTCTATAAGGCCTCAAGTGCTCTCTGTGGCGATGATAAGTCGCAGCAATGAATCTATGCCATCGGTCTCGTTCCAGCTGGAATAATGAATTTGATACTTCAAGTAAAGCCATACTATGTAGATGCTCATCAACGCCCCTCTGTCTCACCATGAATGTCGTCGCATGACTTCCATGTTGCATCAGCAGAGGCACGCGCAGCTGCCAGCTTGTACTCGCTACGGTACAGCGGGCTTCAGCACTCCACCTGCCGGCAGTGCCGCTGGAATAACGAGATAGTGCGCTGCTCTGGCGTCAATGTCTTTCAGTGCATGTGCTCACCTGTGAGGGGCCGCCAAGTATGGCGCTATACTTGTGCTCACCCCACTATCCAGCACAAAAGAGGCTAGCGGCCTGCTCTCACCTCGCGCCTCACCGGCATCTCACTTTTACACCAAAAACCCAGTTACAGGCATAAGAAAAACAAGGCAAAGACGATCCATATCAATCCATCTTGACGAGTCCAATGGCCCCCAAAGGGACGTCGGAAGGCACAGGCACATCAGAAGCCCCAAAGAAGAAGCACGGCTTCAGAGTCGGGCCTGAGAATTTGCCAGACGGACCATGGCGTCGTAAAGGTAGCGTTCAATTTTTTTTCCCCTTCAAGAAATTTTCATCTCACTTCACATGACCATGACCTGAGCTCAAACAATGAAACTCACACAATTTCTTGGATGCAGTTGACCAGAAGAAGCGTGATTTGATTCACAGAGCCAAAGTCAAGAAGGAATACGCAAAGATTAAGGCTGCGGAGGAAGCCAAAGCCCGGCCCCGTCACGGTGGTGAGAAGGATGATGACGAGAGTGAAGTGAAATCAGCCCCAGGCGACGCCCGGGATGACGATGGAGAGGAAGGAGAAAAGATGCATCCCACCAGGCAGCTCATGATCAAGGATGAAGACATGGCACAGACGGGAGCTGAAGCGACTGGCCCTAGCGACGGCCAGAGGCGGAGGACTCGACGCCCTGGCTACTACGACAAGCAGCTGAAGAAGGCTGCGGAACGGCGTGAAGCAGCTGAGACCAAGAGGAAAGAGTACGAGCAACGAATGGAAGAGCGAGCACAGAAACAGGCTGAGCGAGAGAAGTTCAAAAAGGCCATGGCCAAGACCAGGGATAAGGACGGCAACAAAAAGTTGGGCAGGGAGAGTGCGTTATTGTTGGAAAAGGTCAAGAAGCTTGTTGCTCAAAAATGAGCGGCATGTTGGAGTTTTGCATTGGTCATATTTTGTTACGATACCTTGGCATATCAGATTTGCGATTGCATCCTACGGTAATAATGGAGCAAAGGAATGAAGACTTTTGATATCAGCATGAACGGGTAGTGCAATGCCACATGTGCGCACTTTGTGAGGTGACTGGATTGTATATCTAGGTTGATATTGCCCTGGGGGTACACAACGTGGCATTAGGGGGTCTAGAGGCCAATTTGAGGCCACAACGCTTGCATGTGGAAGAAGTTGACAGCATATAGAACCGGCTGAGTCATGTGAAGAGCCGAATGATCAAGTTGAATAAGAGATGAAGCTGCATATTATCGTAAACAAAGATCCAAATGGTGGAAATCGCAGATTAGCTCCTTCAGCTCAGACAAGAGAAGAAACAAAGCTTGTACGGCATAACAAACACCATTATTGATCATTTCAATTGAAACACCGGGCAGAGCGAGACACACAGCTGCCTAATGGAGGCGCAGTCTCTTCAACACAACAACTATGTAGACGTACAGTACAGCAGGGCTCTGGCGGCAGATCGACAGCTCGACAAGGGTCGGGTGCATGTCATGGGTGAGTCTCATACGTTTGCTGGAGAATTTTGGCTTCTGCTGTCTGCATCTTGTGTGACCGGGTGGGCTGAGACAGTGAGCGGGTAGTGATACTTGAGTCTTTAGCAAAGAGTACAAATTTTGCTCTTGTTCAGCCGGGAGCTGAGATTCGTATACTTCGTAGACAAGTTGAAAAAGGCCACGATTAAGCATGAAGCAGCACTTGGTCGATAACGTTACATTACGAGCAGAAAGACTGAACAAGGTTGCCATAGTAGACGTGGGCTGCGACATGGTACGGATCGGGGAGTCGGCTCGGCCAATTGATGGGGTTTGGCCATTTACATGAGGCGCCTTCGTTGGACTTGGTTTGTTTGGCGGAAACAACTGCCATCTTTGGGATGTAAAAGCGATTTCGATGAGTACAGTAGTGGAGGATTGTGTGATGGATTGAAACTACTTTGTAATAAAAGGGCTGTTGTTCGGTGAATCTACTCGGTCTTTCTATGATGTTGGTTGGTGTTGGGCAAGCAAAATTGACGGAGAAGCCGCTATCTCTACGGGGAGATTCAGCCAGTACTCCGTATATTGGTGAGATTTAGTGCATCAAAATCAAATCAAACCTGGGAAATCAAAAAATGTCATTCGCGGTGGAAAAACTGCCTCCCTACTATAACTTAAAGTGCTCATTTCAATTTCACTACCATGTGCATGCATCGTATTTTGTGCGAAGCAACCAACCGCGCCAAAATCTCAACACCTCACCTCGGATTAATAAAAAGCAAAAGGCAGCAAGAGCCAATCCTATCCCGACAAGCCCGTTTCGTCCTAGGAGCTGGAAATGCTCAATCAAGGTGAAACACGGGCCTAGTGGAGGAAGGGGTCAAAGTCATGCTGTGAAACGCAGCGCGGGATGCTGACTAAGGACAGGAGCCTGTGGTTCGTTGAGATGCTGGAATGCCGCCAAGTACTCGTAGTATTACGGCGGGTGGCGTTGTCACGACAAGATTGGGCAAGATTGGGCAAAGAAAAAAAGAAGAGATGAAACGGGAAAGGGCTGACATGCAACGACGGGCTTGCGCAATAGAGCACTGTACATACATAGTACCGCTCCCGAGTCAAGAGGCGGGTGATAAGTGGAATCATTCGAGCCATCCCCACGGCCTGTTTTGGCGGTGGGATCCCCCCCTGGTCGAGTTAGTCTCGCATGTACAAGTATGAGGAGGCAGAGATAAAGACACATGTGGTGGTCAGGACAAAAGAGGCAAGTTTCGAGACCCCCCCTGGACGATTTGGAGGAGGAATAGGGCATCAAGTCCGTCCTGGTTAGGCAATGTAACTGTTGTTGAAAAAGTCTTCGTGCTACCATACCTACCTGGGCTTGTATGTTACCTCCGGCCCCGTTTGTCGACGGCTGTTCCGCTGCAGATGTGGGAATGGGTACGACGTCAAGATGTTCATTATGTATACTCGTATGTATCTATTTGATTGATGCTCGTACAAGCATGTTGGCCCAGCTGAATATAGGGGAACCCGTCTGTTCCGTAACACCAGACATCAATCTGGCGGAATGATTGCATGTGCCAAAATGTGTTTGTACATGTACATGTACCTACCTACTAGACACTATACTTGACATCAATCAATCCCAAGGGCCGCATTGGTTTCAGCATTGTTTGAGTGGCAGCGATTCACTGAAGAAATCGTGCGAGGCGGCCGATCCCCTCAGACAGCGCCAAGGCAGGCCGCTACCCCCGCTGGAGCTTAGGACAGTGCAGCCAACAGTGGCTTGGCGACCGCCAAAAGGCGTTTGGAGGCGGTTAAGCGGCTACACTGGCAAGAATGCTGAATTGCTCTAAGAGGGACTAACAGCTCCCTTCATTTTACGTCTGTGTAAGGAGTAATGCCGTACGGAGCACTCGGCCATCTGATCTTTTACAAGTCCCTCGCTGCGTAGGTGCTATACATTGATGTACCTTAAACGGGCAATTACCTACCTCTAGTACTAATAGAATCTGTCCTCCATGTGAGATGGCTAAATTCCCTCTTTTGCAACGTGCTGCCCCCCCATGTAGCTGCACAGTCAAAGTTTCATGTTTCAGCCGGATCCCGGCCTCGATGATAAAGTACATGACTGAGGTAATAAATCCATGGGGAAAGGAAATACTAGGTAGGGAGCAGCCCGCCTCCCTTGTGGCCGTTAAGGTGCGAGTACATGTATACTGTACAATGGATGGATGTTCATGTTCTTGAAGAGCAGCCCCTGACCTTGCCTTGCCTCTCTGCTGTTGGACAAGCTGCGCCACGTCTCCTGCCAGGCACAAGTACCAATACCAAGGCAGAGAAGTCCCACCGTTGTGCAAATTGAAGACTTCAATGCACCAACAGGCGCTCCGTAGTGCGACCAACTCCTTATTGCTTCTGTCGAGACGGGGCACCAGCACCAGACGAATGGCCCTGATGCAAGATTTTAGCTGATGCCAAGTACAGCTACCTGCCCATGAGGTGGCTGAGGGTGTTGGGCGGTCGAGTTTCGGTGGGCAGGGGGGGAACCACTCGCATGCAGATGCTGGATATCGGGCCATGTACCTGTACCTTTTGGGATCTCGGCTCAAGCAGGTACAGGTGCAGGTACAGATGGAAACACATTCCAAACATTAAGTTGGCATGTGTTTGCCGTCGTCAACAGAAAGCTCGCACATGTAGTAGCTGGATGCACCAAAAACGAACAAAAGGAAACCCAATCCCAGCCGCAAACCCAATCGTCCTGCTCTCTGGCCAATCGCCCTGCATCATCGCAAATCTTCATCTTCACCATCACGCGCATGCTGATTTGCGTGGCTTGACGCTAATCAGGTGCTAAAGAGCGTTTTGGACTTGAATCTGCACCGTCTAATTTTAGGTACATGTACTTTCCATCTTAACACGCAATGGCGCACACTTGTAACACCCTGTAAGTGCTGGACCATGTACCTGTTCCGTACCTGTTTTAGGGGACCATGGGGGGGAGAGGGGTCCTCTATTCCTCACTGGGAGATGCTCTATGGGGGGTCCTCCATTATTTTGGGGGGTCGTTTTTGGCGTGGCAGTCCCTGGTACCTGCTTCTACAGGCGGCCAGCACATCCCCTCCCCGTGGCCATCCTGGAGCATCTTCTCTCCATCTCGCCGCTTCTCCTCCGCCGCTCTTTTCTCGATCCTTTCTGTTCTGTTCTGTTCTGTTCTGCTCAGCTCAGCTCAGCTCAGTTCTGCTACAGCTAGACGCAACGCCTTGGACGCCCGCTGTCCCGCCGGTGCCTCGATCCCTTGTCCTGGAGCAGCGACTGCATTGCTCTGTGTAGCACCGTCCGCAATTTGCTGCGAGAGCTTGCGCCAAAGACGCCTCCCCTCTGCTCTGCCCACCACGAGACAACGAGACGACAGACTGGACCGGAACGGATTGCTTCCTGTGTATCGCCATCGATGCCTGCCTTACGCAGCCCGTAGCCGTCAAACCTGCCCGCCTCCAACACTCCGGCCCTCGACGTTTTGCTGACCAGACGTCGGACACCGCACCGCACCGCCTGCAAGCCCGCGCACATAGACAAACTCGACCTATATATATATATCGTCTGACCCGACAAATCCTGGGCTGCGCCCTTTTCCCCTTTCGCCCCTCTCTATCTATTCTATAGCCCATCATGGCTTCCGCTATCGTGGACGAGTATTTGGAGACGCCGATGGAGGCCGACGATGCGTTCCCCTGTAAGGGCTGTGGTGAGGTTTGTAATGCCACCCGCGCTGCGGAACATGCTCCTGGCTTGCGGCTTTGACTAACGGCGCTCGCCCTTTAGATTCTGGAAGAAGGCAAAGCTTTTGAATTGGGTAAGTTTCGTTGCTCTGCTTCGGGGACAAATGTTACTTCAAAGTTGCTGGATACCGCGGTGCAGTCTCGACGGCAGCCCCGTTGTTCTTGACCGCCACGCAATTTGTGACATGACCCTATATTGCTTGGATGCTTTCTTCTTCCGCCGCGTGTGTGAGAGTGTACCTATGTACTAACATAATGTCTTGTCAGCTGGCAACCGGTGGCATCTCGACTGCTTTCGCTGCACCTCCTGCGGCTCCCTACTCGACTCCGATGCCAATCTTCTCCTGCTCGGCGACGGCTCCCTCATCTGCAACAACTGCACGTACAGCTGTACTGCCTGTGGCAACAAAATCGAGGACCTGGCCATCCTGACAGGCGATCAGGCCTTCTGCTCGACATGTTTCCGCTGCCGAAACTGCAAGCGCAAGATCGAAAACCTTCGTTATGCGAGGACATCTCAGGGCATATTCTGCATGGACTGCTACGAGACTTTGATGGCTAGGAGAAGAAAGAAATCCAAAGCGGCCGCAGCAGCCAAAGCTCGAGAGAAAGACCAGCCACCCGCGGTGCCGGAAAAGTCACTTCCGGCTCTCCCACCCGGTGCCATTCCGAACAATGCCTTCTCCGACGACCGCGTCGACCCCGAAGGGCCCACGGAGTTGTCACCTCGGCCTCGCACTGGCCATCGACACAACGAGTCCGCGTCCAGGGGCAAGACTTCGCGCTCCCCAGAGCGTGCAGCCGCCGATGCGACCAAAGAAGGCCTCAACCTTCCTTCGACTACATATCGCAGAAACCGCAACTCGACTATTACTTCCAACAACGGCGATGGCGGTGACGGCTTCTTGATATCCGTCGCTCTCGATACGAGCCCATCGCCAAATGGTGCCCAGAAAGACAGCGCTGGCGAGGCTGGCAAGAAGAAGGACAAGGACCACATCAGTGTTCCCCGGCCGACCATGACTGACAAGCGCGCTGATTCGCATTCTTCCGCTACTCACATCGCCTTCCTAGGGGCCGCCTCAGCTCCCGACTCCTCACAGGCCAAGCCTTCATCTCGTTCCACTTCCAAGTCAGACCAGACCAAGGCCTCCCCGTCCACCGACGATGCCAAACCTCAAGAGGCCCCGAAGAAGAGAAGGCCTACGGAGTCGCGGAGTGACAGCTCGCAATCTGTCCCTCAGCAGGAGGGCACCGGCACCCCCAGCCGAACTGGCACCACTACTCCACGCAAGGACAGTACCTCGCAGCCTGACTCACGAAAGGCCATGGACAACACTCCCGGGTCGCGAAGTTCCTACGATTCCAAAGCGCAAGACGAATCTGATCCTAGCGCCAAGATTGGACCGCGCTCTGACAGCGTCAAGAGCATTCCACGAAAGGAGGTTCCATCGGCACCTACCCGTCCTGGTATTACCACCCCCCTCCATCTTCTTTTATGCCTGCCTCGCAACATATTCACGTTCGCTTTACTGACAAGTCTATTTAGTCAATGGTAGCCCAAGTGCCGCGCAGGGCAAATCATCTACTTCTGAAGATGCCACCGTCTCGACCCCACGCCAGAGCCCTCCCTCTCGGTCTGGTGCAGCTGACAAGCCCTTGACTGACACTTATATGCAGCCCAGAGCGGCTCCTCAGCCCCCAAGCAGCCAAGCCCAGACTCCAGCCAAGGAAGCTGCGCCAGCATCCAAGGGTTCTCACGCCTCACCCACTTCGCCGAAGCTTCCTAGGTGGAGCAGCGGCGCGGATTTCACCATGGAAGAGGACATGGTCAGGATACTTGGTTCTGACGAGGGCGCGTCCTCTCTCCTTAGACGCGTCTCCAATGCTGTCCGTCACGGCCGTACGAGCAGCGTTGAATCCAGCCAAAACCATGCTGCCTCTCGAAGCTCCCATACTCGAAGCATCAGCGAGACGACGCGTGGTGCTATTTCGCCTCGCTGGCCCAAGACGCAGGACGATGTCAACGGCCAGGCGCAGGATGCGGGGAGCCCTGCTTCCCTCTCGTCTCCAGATAACGCCGCCGTGCTCAAGCAGCAGCTTAGATCGTCTGAACTGCGAGTGGCTGAGTTGGAGAGGCAATTCGGCGCCGAGAAGGATCTGCTGAATATTAACCAGAAGCTCATCGAAAAGAGAAAGACTGTTTCCGTACTGGACACTCAGACCGAGATTATGATTCGACAGCTTGAGGTCCTGGCCGGATATGTTGAGCGGGCAAAGGAGACACAGGCCCCTCTTAATGTCCAGGAGCTAGAGGAATCCGCCATCAAGGAGTTTGTCGAGAAACTCGAAAAGGTCAAGCAGTCCTTTACCGAGGAACTCGAGCGTCTGCACGAGGAGCGTGATCAACTCCTCGAGGAAAAGAACCAGGCCGCGACGGACCGAGACCGCGCCCTCATGGAATTTGAGCAGCTGTCTTCCAAGAATGCTCAGCTTGCAGACATGAACAATGATCTCACGCACCAGATCCAGGAACGCTTCAAGTCCCAGATTAGCTCAGACGGCAAGTCGAACGGCTTGGGCATCTACAGCCAACACAAGGGCGCTTCATCTATCAACCTCGACAACGCAAGCGTGACTACTGGCACCACCCTTATCGCCGACGAAGACCCCACGATTGTTGAGCACGGGCCTACTGTGGTCCATGTCAGAAAGGGCCAAGTCAAGAAATTCAACTGGAAGAAGGGCTCCAAGACCATGGCACAGAACATCACAAAGGGTGTCGGCCGTGCTGTCGTTGCTTTCCAGAACGATCGCGAGAGAATGCAGCAGCAAGGCTTGGGCGGCGACAGCATCGGCCTTCCATACAACATGACTGTGGCCCAGGGGGATTCCTCCAACGCGGCGACAGCCAACCTTCCTGCTGGGCGACAGCACCAACAACAATTTGGCTTCTTTGGCAAAAAGAACGCAGCTGCCAAGACTGGACTGGTTGCCCCGGCCAACATTGTGGTGGCTCAAGCAGCTCCAGAGCCTGCGTCGACGCTGTTCGGATCCGAACTTGCAGAGAGATGCGAGTATGAGCATCGCCAGATTCCCAGTGTCGTGACTCGATGCATCGAAGAGGTTGAGCTGAGAGGCATGGACCAGGAGGGTATCTACCGAAAGACTGGTGGCAACTCTCAAATCAACCAGATCAAGGAAGGCTTCGACAAGGACGAAGACTATGACATCTCAGATCCTGACCTTGACATTACTGCCGTCACGAGTGTCTTGAAGCAATACTTCCGAAAGTTGCCCAACCCCCTACTGACATTTGATGTCTATGAGAAAGTGCTGGAGTCCAATGGTGAGTTTTATTGTGTCCCTTTGTAACTGTAAAAATATCTCTGGTCTTGTGCTCTAATCTTTTACACAACAGCTATTACCGATGAGGCTGAGCGGTGCTCCTTCTTAAACAAGGTCTTTACTTCGATGCCGCAGAGCCACAGAGATTGTCTAGAATTCCTCATGTTCCACCTTCACCGCGTGGCAATTAGAGAGCCTGAGAACTTGGTGAGTTTTATTTACATCTACACTTTAATCGTTTGCGTTTCTCTAACCTATCTACCAGATGTCGCCTAAAAACTTGGCCGTCGTGTTTGCACCAACCATTATGCGGGATCTAAGCATTGAGCGTGAAATGACTGACATGCACAACAAGAACCTTGCCGTTCAGTTTGTCATTGAAAACACTCACAAGATCTTCCAGGATGAATAAGCATCCCATTCAATACTGTTTGGCTATAGTGTGGGCTTTTTGAGGCTTCGTTTGCTCGCTGTTGTGGGCTCACGGCCTCTGGCGGTTTCCTTCTCGTCATGATTCGATCCCCCCTTGCTTTTGGGTTTGTCGGTTTTTAGCGAGACAAAATTTATGGCGTTTTTGTGCTTGACCATAAAAGTAATGTCGGCTTTTCCCCCCCTCCACTGGCTTTTGACCAAGAGCGAGATTGCAGTTGAAGGAGAGGCTTACCCCTGTCTCTTCGTCAACCAATTTTCACTTTTTTTTTCACTTTTTTCTTTGATACACTGCTTGATTGGTAGTGTTTTACCTGCCCTATTTTGAACTCTTATGGTTTTTCTGGGGCGGCATGAAGGTTGATGTATCTCACTGGTTTTTTCATTCGAGCTGGCTTCGTATGGCTTGATGACAGAGGCTGATGATGCTTGGTTTTTCCCTTTTTTTTAATGCTCGAGCTCATGAAATTTTTATTTTTTTCGAATCTTATTTTGGCCGCATTTTGTCAGCATCGTTGAAAGAGGAGTTTGACGTGGAAGAGAGAGAGACGGAGAGAGAGCCATCTATGCATTGGATGGCTTTTTTTGCTGTTGTTCTTTTCTCCCCCCCCACCCATCGTTATATAGCTACGATTTATATTTGGACTGAGCAGGCAGGCGGGCATGAAATGATTGAAATGGGTTGAGTGATGCTTGGCTGATTTGATTAGCATGATGAGAGAGAGAGAAAGGAAAATATGAGTTTAATGAATTTTTTTCTGTTGTAGTTGAGTTGTGTGTATTCTTGCTCTCGAGGCTGGTTGTGTGTGAGTTTCAACATCATGTTTTTTTTTTTTCGTGATGGATGTGAATAACCTTGGGTATCATATGTGAACATGAAGTTGTAAGAATATAAATTTCCAACATTACAAAAAGTCTTACTGCTAAATCGCGGTGGCTGCCTGCCTACAAAATGTGTAACAATAACTACATGTACCTCGAACTATACGGAACCGCCAGGGCCGTCCAAATAGGGGAGCCTTTTTCACAGGAGAAGAAGAAGACAAGATGAAAAAATGTCAAGGCCCAAAGCTGAAACAGAAGAAGAAAAAAAGAGGTAATTTGGTTTACAATGGGAATAAAATAAGACCAAGTGAAAAACAAGCCACAGAAGAAGAAAGAGAAGAGAAGAAAAGAATAAGAAGAATAAGAAGAAAACCACCCCTCCTTTTTTTCACCGTTTATCCCCCTTTTCCACCCCCTCCTGTTTTTCCATCTAATCCACACACACACAAGATATCCTGCCGAATTTCCACGTATGCAAAAGTCACGTTTCGAAAGGAGAGAGAGAGAGATCAAGGTTCGCTTTATGATTCCTTTAGGAATAGTTCCGCCCTGACGCCTCTCCCAAAAGATGACCGTTTTGACTCCTCGCTGTCAAAGTCTCTAGACGCCACGCCTCCTTTCTGGACTTCGTGATGCAAACTCATGAACTAGGAACTGCAGAAAGGAAAGAAGTATAAAAGATCCAGGGAGAAGAAACGTAAAGGCTCATGAAGCATACCCGTCCTCACGCTGCTTCTTGACAATGTAATACGTGATCAAGCTCTTAGGGTCGTCCTTGATGCCAGCCAGGGCCTCCCAGAACGCCGCCTCGCCGACACGAGCGTGCAGGGCAACGCAAAACTTGACGGCGTCCATGCGAACACCGGAATCGGTCGACTCAAGGCACCGGCCTGCAAGACCAGTGAGCTGCAGGAGCTCCCTGTGGGTGGGCATATACTCGGGCCGCTTGTGGAGCATCTCCTTGAGGACGTGAAGGCCCATGCTGAGGGTACGGCAGCCTTCGATTGTGGCATCACTGCACGATTGTAGACGCCTGGTCAGCACGATGGCTGTTTCGGAGCCATCGCTGAGGGTGACGAGTTCGTCGGCCAAAAGTTCCAGGCCGCTCACTACGTGTGCTCGGGTATCGTAGCCGCCACGCGTCTGGAGGAGAGACTCGAGCCCCCTTGATACGTGGGGCTGGAAGTTTCTCCGCTCCTTTTTCAGGAGAAGCTTAATGGTCGTCAGGATCTGGGCCTTGACATCCTGTGCCTTGTCTGCGGAGAGGTCTGGGAGAGGATCCTCTAGGTACTGGAACAAGCCCACCAGCAGGGCCTCGAACCGCTGGTCAGTGAAGACGGTCCTGGGGTCTCGGATCAGAGACTGCAGTTTTCGGAAGCCGTGCACCTCTAGAGTCTTGGCCTTGATCTTCGTTATGCCGCTATCCAGAAGGCGGGCATTTTGTCCATTCTTCTCTGGAGACTCGGAGTCGTCCGACAGAGGTGGCTGCGTCGGTCTCTGGATGTTGGCAGCATCTTCGTTGATTGGCCTCTCTTCCAGAACAGGCCCGGTATGAAGGGACTGCGTGGGTGTTGGCTGGTCGTCGGTGAAGGGATCTTCGTATACTCTCAGCGTCCGAGAAGGAAGATCGTTTCGAAGAGATGATGGGGTTTCGGTGGGGAGAATAGGGTTCGTTGAGGGTGGTTGATATGGCGATTCTAATCTAGGTGAAGCAGACTGTATACTAGAAAGTGTTGGCACCACCAATGTGAGATCGTCGGTCGCTCTGGTTGGGCTCAAGGTATGAATCATGGTCTGGGAGTGCCTGAGTCTTCCTGGGCTAGCTCGCGGTGATGGTATACCAGTCGGTCGAACGTGGGTTGGTGATACCATACTTGACTCGCTTGCACGAGACACATGCCCCTGAACCCTCGAAGATGGCCTCTTTGGTGTAGTAGCCCCCCCAGGCCTCGACGATGACGATGGCGCTGCATATTGAGGCCTGTCACCTTCTGGGCTATGAGATTCCATAGACGAAGGCTGGTCTCGAATGGAGTAAGGGCCGGCTGTTGCTGGGCGAGCCGTTTCTGCTCGCCTCTTTGCCGGCCGCATAGGTGCTACGGACATGCCACCTGCGTTGACTGATATCGTGTTAGTGTCTGTTCGATGCCGGGCCAGTGGTTTCGAGGTTGTTGTGTTGAGTTGCGTGCTAGAACTGTGAGGTGTAGTGAACGTAGACATGGCGGATCCAGGCCGACTTGGCACGTTCTTTGTAGCCAGTGTAGCCTTCTTCTGAGCCATCATGGTTTCTCGCAGACTTGGTTTGCTGCCAGCCGCGTTGGTGCTCTTTGAAAATCCTGCGCCGGGTCTGGCAGCAACCGGCGTCTCTACCTTCTTCCCAGAGTTGGGGTTGTTTGGGTCCTTGATGAGTAGCTTCTGGGCAGTTGGATCCAGGTCTGCCATGATTCTGTAATTTGGTTATGCTTGTTAGACTGAATTCCTTCGGTATGTCAAGGGTTTGACTGAGACAAGACTTACGTATCTGCTCTTGCTGGCCACACACTCCAGAATGCCCAATAGAACGCCCTCATCTTCTCTCTGACACCGGGGTTGGCGTCACCCAGCGCCTTTTTGATACACTTCTCCATCATTTCGACACCACCGGTATGTTCAACGTGGCTTTTGTGATGAGCCTCCTTCTTCAGGATTGTCATCAGCCACCCGGCCGCATAGGTTCGAGGCTGCACATTCTTGTCTTGGACCGCGCCCCAAATGTGCTGCATGATGCGGGGAGTGTATGTGACCTTGCTCACAATGACGTCTATAACAGTATTGGACATCATGGAGCTGATCTTCTTGGTATTGGCAGCTAGTTTCATAAACGTTTGCATGAGAAGCTCAACCAGGGGGTCCATGGCGGGCCCAAACGCGACAGCCATCTCTTGGACTAAACTGCAACCTTCTTTCGACAAGCTTGTTCGCAGTGAGGTGACGGCCTTGATGATGCCGTCCAGAAGCGCCTTGAGCCCAACAATGAAAGTGTCCAAAAAGTCTGCCGGGCCGTTGCCAGCCACCAGCCTTCGTAATGTCACGATGTCCTTCTCTCTCTTCATCCAATTCTGTTCAGACTCCTTTCCTTCAAAATGAGTTGCCATCTCCTTAATGAGGTCGTCCAATTCACGATGGGTGTTAACATATTGCGGCTCGACGGGTTCGGCTGGAATCTCCATGGGTGTTACGGGTCGTTCACTTCCGGCAAAGGATGAGGGTGCCGACAGGGCAGGTCGAGGAGGAGCAGGTGCGGCATCTGACGGAGTTTCTGAGCGAGGACCGGTGGGCGCAAGAGCCTTCACGATGGCCTGTTCGATGGCAGGTCGGACCTTGAAGTTCTTCAATTGTCGTTTCAAGTCGGACTTGGCAGCACCGGGAGCATTCCTGAACATTGGGTTAACCAAGGGCGTGAGAGGGGTCGTAGGATGAATCTTACTTAAAAAGCTCAATAACGGTGCTTTTAGCAGTATCTCTGACCATTCCGTCCGCATCTTCCAAAAGATCCATCAGAATAGGGACATATCCTCGAAACGGCAAACCGTGCTGTTGGTGAGTCTAAAGAGCGATATCAGTCCCAACCAGCTCAAACATGCTGAGAGACCTGATAGGCTTACCTCCAAAAGCCACTGCATGGACGCCTCCTTGGCCCTCGGATTCTTGCCCACCATGGCCGTGTTTCGAATCGAGCGCTCAACATCTGCGGGGGCAACGGTGTACAGGGTGTTTAGACTCTGCATTGCCAATGCGCGAGGCTTGTCCTTTGTATCCCCCAGCTTCTCCACCACGAGAGGGAGCATTCGAGCTGCCTCCTTGGCCAAGTATTTGGGCTCCTGGCGCGACATGCGCGTAAAGAGGTGATTGAGCGCCGTGAAGCTGGCAGTGGCTAGCGCGACATGCTGAGAGCTGGAGGCGCTGCGAAGGCCATCGAAGAGCTGGGGGATGCACGTCTCGGGGACATTGTGCTGCTTGATACCGGTCTTAATGGTGTTGACATACTGGACTTTGACATCGAAATGGGTGTTGTCGTTTCGCAAGACGGCCGTCAGGTTGTTGACCTGGTCGTCGGTGAGCTTTGTGTCGGCCATGGATTCGGTGGCAGACCGAATCTGCTGGTGGACAGTCTGCGCCTTTGTCAGAACCATTCTATTGCGCAGAGCAGTGGAAGAAGCCATCTATGCAAAAGTGCGACAAACTGGCCTGCCGCGAAACAGCGAACAGAGCCGCTGCAAATCCAGATAATGTCAGTCTGTTACTCACAGCAATAAGCGGTTGGTCCTCGCGGCTCTGCAGAGTAGTATCCCCTCTCCTTTCCTTATCTTCCTTGCTTGTTTTCTCTCGTTAAGGTCTCAGACAGTGTATGCGCGGGTATCGTTGGAATGAAGCTGGCATTTGGAGGGGCAGCGCAATGAATTAGTAATTCGCTCTTCCTTATCCCCTTTTCCTCTTCTCTTTTTTTCGTCCGTGTTTTTTTTGTGCCCTTATCGCCGTCTATCCTGTGGGCGCGGGCGCGTGTGTTGATTTATGGTGAGTGTGTGTGGAGTTGTGTTGTGTTTTTGTCCGACTCATTTCCAGCCCAAACAAAGAAAGAAAATAATCAGGAGGGAGTTTTGCGGCGTGACGTGACCATGCCTGTTGCCCCGGTCGCCGGTGCGCCACGTGTGGCTTAGCGCTGGTGGGAGCTTGGGGCGTCTGGAGGTCTGTGCGGCGGAATTGAGCAAGTGAGCAGCTGCCCCTGGAGGGGAAAGAGGGGCTGTAAGTGTGTGTAGAGGGTACTTTGCAGGGAGCTTAGATGATGGCACTTTGGTGGCTCTAGCGACTTCCCCGGGGCTTACCAGTGGACGCAACCAGCACAAAGCCCCTGAGTGCGACAAGTCTTGGGTACTTGAGAGCCGTGGGAGAGCGTCAGGGCCGTGGCTTAGGCACCATATGGCCCCCAGACCCCTGAAATGCCCCAGCCAAGGGTCCCCTACCCCGCCATCGTGAAGATTGAGGCCATTGAAGCGCTGCCCCGCGAGCGCAGGCAGTGAGAACGACAAGGAATAAGCTGATGTGATCTGATGCATTATCGATATCGTGACTGCTTACCTGTACACTGAGCTGCAAAACACCCGATTGGATGTTGGGAAGAATTACTAGATAGTCCCAAGGTGTTAGGGGCGTTGATTTCGCCGGCACTTGGTACTCTTCACCCGGATTTAGCCATCATTGATATCTGCCAAGCTGTCTTCCGTCTCAGCCTCACAGCCTCCCCTCTTACGCCTTTCATATATATACAAGATAGACAGACAGCATCAACGCCATGACTCGAATTCCAGAGCCCACGCCAGTCCCTCCCTCTGCTCACATAAATCGCACGCACGAAAACCACAACCAAGATCAAAATGGGAATAAGGACAACTTCTCCGTACCAGACATCCAGCTCCAAATCCGAGATCTCAAGCACCCCGGCGCAAAGCGCTTCCTCAGCGCCGTCGACGCAGCCGATTGCATGACCACAGCCACTCTGAATCTCCTCAAGCTCCTTTATCACACCCCCTCAGACCCAGAGACAACGGTTCCGCCAACAAGCTCTGTGAGGCTCATCCTCGAGGACATACCTGGCGTGGCCTACACGGTTGGCCATGGCGCGGACAACAACATCAAGGAGATTCACTTTTCGCTCTCATACATTGCGCAAATCAACCCCTCTCGCGTGGCTGACGAAATCAACGGCGTCGTAACCCACGAGCTCGTCCATTGTTTCCAGTATAATGGCCACGGCGCTGCCCCAGGCGGCCTCATTGAGGGCATCGCCGACTGGGTGCGTCTTCACTGCAACCTATCGCCTCCGCACTGGAAGCAAGAGGTCAGGGAGGATTGGGATGCCGGATACCAGCACACTGCCTATTTCCTAGAGTATCTCGAGCAGCTCTTTGGTCACGGGACGGTTCGTCGCATAAACGATAAACTAAGAAGCAACGTATATGCCGAGGACGTTTTCTGGATTGAGCTTTTCGGGAGAGAAGTTAAAGATTTGTTTGCAGAGTACACGAAATCGTTTCAAGATTTACATAATTAGACACAAGGAAGATACTTGGAGAACCACAAGCCTACTGCCAGTATATGGGCCATAATAACACGAGAAGCACAGACTTTAGCTTAGAGAGAAAGAATGGTTCGGCCTGATTTCTTTTCATTCGGTAGATGACAGAATGGTATTTAGGTAGTTTGAAGGAGTGCAACAGGAGGGCAGAATCTGAAGACATGTATATCCGGCCACAGGATGCCACAAGATGCCACAACAGGTGACTACCTTTCCATGAGATCTGAGAATAGAGCAAGAATGAATAGAATATACACGCCCATAAGCGATAGAGGGGCCACCTGCAGTAGTGTCATGTCTGGTTATACCATGTCCCGGAGCGCCAAAACTCAACGCCACACCATTTATACCCAAAAAAGGAAAAAGAAAAAACAAAGAATCAAAGGAAATAAAATCAAGATCCCGGGTTAGGCTCTCTTGTATGAGGGCAGATCGGGCATGCATAGGCCAAGTTACATATTACGCTCACGCGTGCATTGGGCCGTCATTGTCGCTGATGACGCTACCAACCTCAGACCAGCTGGCCGGAGTGGCCATGCCCTCGCTCTCGCTCATCACGTCCATGTATCGTCCGTTGCTCTCATGTTCCGAAAAGTGAGCATCATTGGCAATATCCTCGCCGGATCCAACAAGAGAAATGGAGTCGGTGGGGGTAAGCTCTCCTTCAGAGATGACGTCCGGCTCAGACATTGGTGCTACGGGAGTCACGGGGAGGGGGGAGTAAAAGTCACGGCTCGATTCCTGGGCCCAGGCTTGGATGGAAGCATGGACGTCGTGGCGATCTTCTTGGCCGGCGGACATGAACTCGTTTTCGGCAAGCTCTCGCTCAAGGGTAGGTGGCAGCGATGACTGTGATGGGGCAGGTAGCGGAGCAACATCAATCAGCGGTGATGGCGAGACAGGCTCCAGAGTGGCAGTTTGACGCTCTTCATGATCATCACGAGTTGTTGCGCTGTAAATGTCTGACATGACCTCGCTCTGCTCTGGGGCGAGCTGGCGGGCAATGTGGGCGTCCTGGATTTCGTCGGCCTCGATGTGATGCTCGTCGGCAAAGGGATTAGAGTAAGCAGGTGACATGAATCCTCGGGCGCCTTCCCCGCGACGACGAAGGCCGCCAAAGTCCCTAGTGTCTGCACCAGAGTTGAAGACATATGCACCTTCGTGCTCGGCAGAGGTATCTGGCTGCAAAAAATCGTCAAAGGTAGATCCGCGAGGCAGTTTGGCTGGTCGAGGAGGCGGGTCGGACGAGTTTCGCTGCTGATTCTCTCTTTCCTGCTGCTGAAGCCGCACGGCGTTCCAGTAGAGCAGCTCCTCCCTCTGCCGACGGCGGGTTTCGTCATCAGCATCAACGCCAGGCTCTGCACCTTGGCCGCGGCGAGACTGGAGGAAACCCTCGGCGTCTTCGGGCCTGTTGAAGCGGGGCTCCCTGGCTGGGGGAGTGATGCCGTCGCCCATGGAGTAGAAGGCCATGGCGATGCGTCGGCGGACGTCGTCGGCGTACTGGCGCAGCTCGGGGGACTCGTAGATGGCGATGAAGGTAGCCACTGCCACTGACACGGCGACGACGGCGCCCGAGGCCAGGACCATATGATGGGCTATGGGCATGTTGGCGGCTTGACGGGTTTAAGTATGTAAGGTGATATGTAAGAAGTGTAAGAAAGCAGGTCTGGTCTGGTCTGGTCTGGTATGCGGAACAGCGAGAGGGGCAGCAGACGGGCGGCTAAGGCACAGACAAGGCAACGAGCGCCTGAGCTGCTGACTTGGGAAATGCGGATCAGCAAGCCGCTGCAACTCTGCAATTGCGTGCGAGTTTTGCTCTGCTCCGAAAGCGAGGGAGGAGAGGGCGGAAGCGAGAGGGAAAAGGAAGCCAAATGAGCGACAGTCCTTTTTCTGCTGCTCTCTAGACAATCTATCGATGCCGAATGTTGAGGAAGAGAGAGGAAGAAGCAAAAAGTCAAACGAGATCCAGCGCCACAGCAAAAGAGCAGGAGCTTGGAGGACAAGCCACATGAGCAAGGCGAGTGATTGCGTGGTCCTTGGCGAGGCTTTGCCACTTGTCGACGCCTTTTGCTGGCGTATTCGTAACGCCATGCGCGGCCTGGGTGGGCGCCTGCGTGCATGTACTCGATACTCGAACTACCATGTCCGAGTACACAGGACTGGTACTAAACCTGGGGCTGAGGCGTCACATGACCGCTGACCTGTCGTGACAACGCATCACGTCGCTATTTCTTTTGCTGATACCTGATGCCAGACGTGCCCAATAATGTGCTGAGAACGGCAAACCACGCTGAATATTGGCATCCGTGATGTGTCAAGCAGAAGGAGACGCCATCTGGCAGCAATATGCAAGGCCTATATTGCTAGTGCCGTGACAGGCTGCACTAACAGACGCAAGCTCATGTACGATGATGGAAGCAGTACTTCTCAAGCTCTTTTGCTCTGTGGGCCCCCACTAACAGAGGACGGGCTTGTTCGTGGGGGATTTAGATAATTTAGATACACAAGATACAGGAGATAGCCTGCCGTCTAAGAAGGATCCCATCCGCCTTGCCATGACATGAACATTTCATGTAAATACCTTAGGGGAAATGAATGTACTTGTATATGCTACCAGTCATAAGCGCCCGCATCAGGCCCGGGAATTCCACGAGGTCAGCGCTGGGGAATCCACTGCCAGGCACCACACGTATTAGCATGCATCTTCATATTGCCATGTTAGTCGTGGGGAATCGCCAAATTCGTCGATTGACGGGCCCTTTGCATGATATGCTGACAGGGTGTACCTTGGCGATGGCATTGCACTTTCTCAATGCAGCAGAATCAAAGCACTGGCCGGTAATCCCAGCATGTGATGTAATGTGACACGGGCCATATCCAGGACGTTGAGCTGGATCGATGTGAAGCGTGACGGCCGGGGGCAGAAGGCAAGAGAGTGAATTTAATATTTGCCATCCCATGCATTGAGCAATTGAGCCATGGGCACGCGACACACGATATATAGATGCTCACATAATAGACAACCTAGTCGTCAATTACGATGGGAAATTTAATATCTAATACCCGCGTTCTTTTTCCGTTTGATCGCCGGCCAACATCCCAAACGAGACACCGAAGAATCGAAACGCCAAGAGCTCGCAAGCCGAGAAAGACAGACAAAAGAAAACAGGTAAGAAAATGGTGCCAACAGCGAGAATTAGTACCCCGATTGCCCGAATCTCAACTTCTTTTCCCCCGATAACGGCCCGATCCGGGTTTAGCTCAAGCAGAACAAATCACCACCTTGTTTGGCCAGAGAAACTAGGTTATCAAAATCAGGTCACACAGACCATCCCATCGCACAACTTGGCATTCCGTCACGCGAGCTCCTCTACATGCAAGTCACACATGGCGATATTCTCCAGACGTCGCGAGAATGCTTCGCTGCTGGCCCCATTGGATCCTTGTTTGCCAAGCTGACTCCTCCGGGCTCCAGCGTCCTCATCTGGAAGCCATGCCCGCGTCCTGGAACTTTGGAAGCCTGTGGCCCCTGTCCAATTGGTTCCGACAACGCCGTCAATTCCATCGGACAAGCCTCTTTTCTTGCTCTAAAACTCTTGGCTATGGCCTCGGAAGCTTGTCTTGCATGAGAAGCGCTGCAGTAGGATTGATTCTTGCTCATTCGTTTACGGCACCAACGACGCTGAGAGAGACATGATAAATCAAAGGTGGTATGATTCTAATCTGCAAGGACAGCTCGGGGCTCTAAAATGGCCCTCAAATCTAAGAGACTAATCCCAATCGCTAAAAGCACGCACGCATGTATAAAACCTACTGCCCAAAGCGAGGCAGCATAAAACGGAGCTCCACGAATTCCTGCCTGCGTCGTTCGAGATCCCTGACGTGGGAACGAGAGCGACTTCAAGTCTACGGGAGTGTCCCCCTAAACGCCATAACGTAGCTCTGGTGAAATTTTCTGTCTTCTGTCTTCTCCTTTTTTTCTTTTTTCGTGTTCGCTCTACTTTGACTCGGTAGTGGAAGAGTCGCTGGAGGTGGAATCGGTAGAATCGGTGCGCTGGGCCTTCATACGCTCACTGTGGCTGCATGTTAGAGGCTGTCGTGTGACAGATGATATGACGAGAATGCTGTGCCGTGTCAGGGCAACGGTAAGACGTACTAGTGAGAGCGGTCCTGGAGAGTGCATTCCCAGCGAGCATTGCCCGTCTTGATCTGGAACTTGATGCCCTTGTTCTCACCGAGGCCAGCGGCAGCGGGAGCGGGAGCAGCAGCAACAGCCGCAGGAGGAGCAGAAGAGGTTGAAGGCATCTTGAGAGGGAGTAGGTAGTGTGTGTGTGTTATATGATTTGGCGAAAGAGGTCTGCCCTTTTGAGAACTGAACAATCACGAGTGAATCCGACGAAGAAGAGAAAAAGCTTGGGAAAGGGAACAGAAGCCAAGTGTGGGTAGACGGGGGGAGCAAGGATGCATTTATACATCTCCAGTTTATACTATAACAACAAAAAAAAAGGCGGGAACGGAGATCCAGCGATCAGACTCGGCCCGGTGCAATGGATACTTGTAGCTTCCATGTCCTTTTGGGAAGAGCTGATACCGGCACCACTTACGGGGGATTGGATTGCTCCAGCCTATCACAGACAGTGCTAATCCTGTCTTTGAATTAAATTAAAAAAAACATTGCCCTTTTTGATTATTTGTTTCTTCCGTGGGCGTAGCCCCCAAACGACTGATCTAGACCCCATCCCACGCTCTCCCAAAGCATGAACTCGAGATTCACAGCTGAAGGGGGCAAAGGGAGCCGCAGATTAACCTCCAGCTCCAACGTTATCTAAGATTCAAGCTTTTGGGGGTCCAGCTGGATAAGGTAGGTGAGCTATTTAATTCCCGCGCCTTATTTTTCGACTACTGTATGGAGTGCTGTAGTTGGATGTGCGTAATGCTTTGATATGTGTGGAGTATTGGGCGCTCCGTAATATTAATTACATAGCGTCCATGCTTTCTTATTTTCCCCAGTCCACGACCTAAACAGGACTCGAATGCCAAAAATACACTGATTCAGAGCCATCGTCACCCCCTATTCAGCGTAAAACGAAGCACAAATCAAATCAAATACATGTGTTCACAGAAGCTCTGTTATCAGCACCCTCTGGCAGACACGGCAGCATCACAAGACGTGGACACGTCCATAGCCAGACAATCAGGTGCTCGCCCAGTGTAGATCGTTTCACAGCATTATCAACACTAGATACTCCGTACATGTGCTAGAGCTACAGTAGCGCAGCACAAAAGCACCAAATAGCAAGCAAGCATGTCCTCACCGAGCCCTGAAAAAAAAAAAGACGCTTCAATGCGGCCCGTCGTTTTTCGGTCGGCCAAAGCGGTCAAAGGCGCCCTGCCGGAACCCGGAAATTGCAGCACATGCAAATGGAGATCCATGCTCTTTTGCTTTCTCTACTCCCGCCCCAATGACATAATGGCATAAACGATGATCTAACAGTACAGGATTTGTGCTAGCATCATGTGTTGTACTTGTATATGATTCAGAACACGGAATCGGCTTTAATGCGCTGTGCTGCGGCACTGGCGGCGATGAGAATCCCAGTGTCAAAGCAGAGGTAGCATACACATACAGTCGTTGGAAGTATTGACAACTCAAAACTGCGCGATGCTACACAACTTTCCGACGCCATGGCACACAACGCTGCGGCCAAGTCTTCTAGAAGCCCGGCACTCCGACGCTGCCAAGTCCGCTCACATACAGTATGACAAACAACTCAATTCAAACAGGCAAGAAAAAAAAAAGCATGTGTCGCCTTGGCCATATGCACACAAATCCATCAGTCTTGGCGGTGACATTTTGCGACAAAAGAACGTAATCGAAGAAGCCATTGCTGAAAATTCGTTCCGGCCCCCAAAAACGGATTTCGAACAAAAATTGTCGCGGCGCGAAAGAAAAAGAAGAGCTCAGCTTTCACAAAGCACAAAAGTTGGGGTGGCGTGTGTGTCTCACCAGCACGGTAGGCTTCTGAGACATTGGTTTAGTGCATCGGCTACCTATGATTGGATGATGCAGGCTCTTTTTTTTGGAGGTGCGGCGATCCGTTTACAAGCAAAAGGCGAGGCCATCTACATACATACAGCACCCCACCGCCGATATGACATTATTCGCGTCCCAGTGGCTAAGCTGTCAATGGCTTCTGGATAACTCGGCTTTCGTGCTCGGGTTTGGGGAGTGATGAGATGGTGGCGCCGCTTCGGCAGATGCCCGACGGAGGGCTGGAGGTTCGGCCCAACATCGAGACAAGACTCGGGTAATCGGTTCTATGCTTACTATTCACAAACTTCAGCAGAAGAAGCAGTGAGAGAAGCTGAGATAAAAAGGCGTTGTACTCTCCGTGCCACATGTTATCACGGGTTAAAAGAGGCTGCTAATAAAGTCAATACACCGGGGAAAGGCTTCCTTTTTTTCCCCAGGTGGCTTCGATTATCAGGATCCACGCAACAACAAGCGAGAACGGAACATGTTCTACATGACGTTACACAATAGGCTCCCAATAGTTCCATCAGGATTCGGGGTTAGCAGCGGCCCTGTCAGAGGGTTTTCGGCTTCCACAAAGCCCGTTTTTGGCGCCGCCATCTCAACAGCAGCCTTCCATCCCACCACCCATCTTATTGTATGTTTCCCCCACATTGCGGCCCCACGATAACTCTGAGACTTGAGACAATGACGTACCAACCGGTCTTGAGAAACAAGTGTCAACCAACCACCGAGAACTGATAGTTGATTGCCTCAGTCTTACAGTAGAGACCGAAATAAGTGTCCGGTTTGCTTTGTATTGAATCTCTTTCCGCACGGACCGAGTTATTGCGGTTTATGGCTCATACAGTACGAATAATGATATAGGTAGTTACAAATAGGCATGCAAGGATGACAGTTGAGTTGTGCAAGGGGGCGCAATATTCTTTTTTCATCTAGGCGTTTCAGCTAGGCATCCATCTAGGCGTCCAGCCAGGCATTCAGCTAGGCGCCCATTAACCCCATGATTATGATGTTTACCTATACGCTCAATAAAATGACATGATCGGCTAAATAATGATGTCCTCCTAGTGTACACGTTGCTCTAACATTCAAGAACCAGAAATATTCTCTTAGGGTTTACTAAACACAAAGAGGACTATCAGCGCATTATTTTCTTAGCGATATTGTGACACACGCTCCAGCTGCAACGATGGCATCACGGCCTGCAGTCATCGAATTAACAGGGCGCGATGCAATATCCAATGTCGAAACATCCAATGTCGAAACACAAGTGCGAAGGCGCGGACCTGGGCGACTCGATGGGCTTATGCATTTAGGTTAGAACCTATAACGTTAACCCAGCTTTGGCACATCAAATCCGCCCAAACTAATATAATTTCTATAGTTCCCGAGACACCACCCGTTGATCATGTGTACCCAAATATTATTATTGACATTGCCTGTCAAGTTATCTGGATTAACACAATAAGTCTGAACACACTACGGGAAGGCTTTTTTGGGTTCCCTCAAATCATTTCTCGACTCGATGATCAGTATAGAAAGCTGCTTACGGAAGAGGAAATTAATTTTTCTGACTGGCTTGAGGGCCTATACGAGCCCCGTATGAGAAGTGAGATAATGAATTATGTGATGACACTCACTCTTGAGAAAACTATGATGTTTATAAACGATCATCGGCCTAGCCAATTCTACGGCGATGTGCTTCGCATCCTTATCACCAGGTATCAAGCGTTGTTACGAGCAGTCGCAGCCGCTGATAAAAACCCTGATGCGGAGATACCTAAGCATTATGACTGGTGTGAGACAAAACAGGAGTATTTGAGTCAACTTAGCGTTGATTTGCAGGTTTGCCGCCACCAGCTAGTCGTCTTCCTAAAGATCATTGAGGCTCTGTTAGAGTTAATTCGACGAGGAGCAGAAACATCTTGCTTAACAAATGAGCATTTGAAGTCTCTTAGAATCAAGATGGAAGCACTTGAAATCGGCTACCCAACGGCATTCTCCGCACTCTATAACGGTTTAGAACCGAAGCAAAATTTAATAAACAAGGCATCCGAGAATTGGTGGTAAGTCTTAGAGCATTCACACATAAGTACGTTACTGAAGGTGCTGATCTAAGACAGGGAGGTGGATATTACACCTAAACGTAGAAGCTCTAGAGTCAGAACTTCTGCCCATCTGAACCATAAGATTATGCAGTCAAGCCTCAACTTTATAGTCCCCGTTGTCTTACTGCTCTCTATTATCCCAGCAGCTCTTGCCTGGACGCACGGCACAACAGTACGAGGTACCTCGGGTGACTCAGACTTCTACCAGGCTATTGCTGGAAGCTTGTTGCAGATGCTAGGCATCGTCACGTTCATATGGCCAACTCTGAGTCACCCTCGCCTGTCTCTCCTATCTTGGTTTTGGATCTGGATTGCCGCCGGGTTCAGTGTCCTTTGTGCTCTATCAAGTGTTCTGCTTTATTTATATCTGCCTTCTACTACATGGAGCTTTATTATTGCGTTTTCTGGGGCGGTCGCTCAGGCTGTGGTTCAACTACAAGTAATTAACTCGATCTAGATGTAGCAGATCAAAGCGTATATGTTCTCGAAAGGAGATGGTTACGGTGAGTGGGCAGATGTGGAGTTCCTGAAATTAAAAGTCAGTAATATTAATTATTAAGTAGGTATATTGTGTGCTAATTTTCCTTATACATACTATATGTGCCTTATTATAATTTAGAGAGTGGAAGCCAACAGGAAGCTCTTTTTGCAGATAACAGTAAGTATATAGAGCTATTAAGAAACCATCTGATGTGCAGATAGTGCAAAGATTATCATAAATGTAAATAACTCTCTAAGCACTTATTTCAGATATTAGCTACATATAGAGCGGGCTAATACATATTTTATTATATACAATCTTGAAAGCAATAATAAATATTCTATAACCTAAGTTAAGCCGCAGTAAACCTTATAACACCGTTAAGGAAGAATTTATATCTAATATAAAAAGTATAAGCTCTGAGGCTTAATGTCAATCGTCAAACCTAATACCTTCCTCTATTATCACTAAATCAATACTACACAAAGCTATCCCAACGTTTACCTATAATATCACTAATATAAGATATAACTCTGGGAAATAATTAAATACATCATAACATAGGCATGCATATGGAATAGCTATTAGTAACCTAAGGTATACTTTAGGTGTATATAGTTATTTACCCACAGAATCTATTTCAAAATAAACGTTAGGCCCAGTATAAAAGTATACGTTGCAAATTAACGTCTGTACTGTACGAGCCACACTACGCCGCAGGACAGGTCCGTGCGGAAAGACTTTTATTACAATGAAATCCGGACACTCATTTCGGCCACTACAGTACCGATGCTAATAATGTTGAGCCACAGACATTATTGGCCTTGTCAGATGAAGGCACCCGCGGTATTCCTCAAGAGGGTTGGCGTCTGGCCATTGCTGTTGTGGTGCTTCAGCTAAGAGAAGCTAGCTGTCACAGAAAGCGTGGTTTTTCGTTTGCTTGGCTGTCAGTGCTGTTTAGCCTATCTAATACGAGTAGGCAAAAAGCTGACCATGTCTGATTCACTTTTGCAGGGCCGTCTGCTAGTACTGACTCGACGCTGCCAATCCACATGGATATCTGAATGTAGATTTGACTGCTTTGTTCTTAGCGTCGATGCCGGTACTATCCTTTGTATATATCCCATATCGACACCACTCAGACTAAGAGGGTGTGACAGCGAAGTTATAGTATCAAATCAGATAATGCGTAGTATTGAAACTGTTGTATTAGAGGATGGGAAATATATTGCCACCTCTACATGCTACCGCAGTACTCCTAGTACTTGCCTGAGTACTTGCCTGATAGCCTACTCGGAGTACCGGCTGGCCTTCTCATACAATACGGACACCAACTGGGCCGTTGCATTACTCGAGGAAACCATTACTCAAGCAAATGTCCTCAGACGAGACGGGATGCTGCCAAGTATCATGGCACCTCTCTAGAGCTGGTGCAAGGGTTCGAGCAATTGTCCCCATAACAGGAGCGCAGCCAAGGCGCTCCAAGCCGAGGCCAATCCAGCCGTGATTTATTCAACCCGTTCCTTGGTCAGCCAAGCAACGCCTCGTGGGGTCCAAAAAGAGCACTTCCGCGATATTGGTAATGGCATCTTCGTGACACACAATGCAGGTTTTGTTGAGGCGGCCCTTGCGTAATCGGATGATAATCCATCAATTCCAAGGGCCTTGGCAGCCAAAGACAATGCGCCGGCTATTTGCTTTTGACCCGCATTGCATCTGGGTCCTTGATGCGGAATTCCAATCTCTGCGCTTCAAAGTAGGCAGCCCCGTGCATGAGGCGTCTAGTTTCGTAGTCTCGTTCGTGGAAGAGTTGCTGCTTTACCGGCTGTCCATCATTCGCATAACTTCAGCCTCTTCATCCCGGGGTGCATTGTCCCCGTTGCCGACGTGTAGCCCTCTCCTGTGTAATTCGTCCTCGACCATGCTTCTCTTTAGCATCTTGCTGCCAAAGCTCGGAAAGTCATCCCTGAGCTTCTGCATCCATCCCTCGACGCTGCGCATGGCAACCACTAGAAACCCCAGCTCTTCGCGGTCAACGTCAAAGACTTCCCACCACTCGTGCTCCGGCATCTTGGCGCCTAGATCGCGCGCCGCATTGTATATCGCTGCTGTGGCTAGGGCATTTGGCTGGTGAGTGACGTAGAGCATCTGGGGCGATAGTAGAGCAGTGTTGAGGTATTGTATCGTTCGTAAAGAGACTGTTGTCCGTGACTGTGATAGGAAGTCGAGAGTCTGAAGGTAGGTAATGGCTAACGGATGCGGAAGAGAAACGTGGGTATCAAATGATAGCGACTGAAGGATGCGAGCCTCTAGGCCCAGCATCCGCTGCTGGAAAGCATAGTAGTCTGCCTCGGTTTGGTAGTATGCCCGCGGGTCGTCCTTGGGCAGCTCGCCTGTGGGAAAGAGGGCCGAGTTGGCAGAAGATAGATAGGCGTAAACATTCGAGACATCACGCGGCGAGCGAGGGAGTGGCCCCAACTTGGAGACGAGGTATAACGTGGCAGCAGATACGTCCTGTGACAATCACCAAAAGTCAGCCATCTTCCTTAACCCTTGTAGGCTCGTCCATCACGTCACCCACGCTGAATTCATGAGCCATTGGCGACTCGGTCAGCCAGTACCGTGCCAGCAGGACATTAGCCTGTGCCGTTGCCGATTGAGGCAGCTGCAACAGCCGGCCTGCCGCCTGAGTCAGGCATTGCGTCGCAACAAGTACGGCTTCGTCGAGATCTCGCGGCAAGGTCAAGGACGAAGCGCGGCGATAGAGCTGCGATGGCGTCGCAAGCGGGTTCGCGAGAAGGCTCATGGTTGCAATGCTGGACCGCGGCTTCAGCCCGGAAATAAGGCCGAGGCGGATTGGCTTTTTAGGGTGGGATGCCGGCTGACCTGGTGGAAGAGATTACGTTGAATATGCAGAGTGTTGGAATTTCAAATGTTTGAGGCACGAAACTTTTGGATGCGCGATGAGGTCCGGCGACCCACCAGAGCTTGCCGCCTCAGTACATGCGTGGACATGTGATATGTGCATATCCAATGCTTGACTGAAGGTATTTTTCAAGTACCGAAATTGCCTTGCTGGAGCCAATTACACCTTAGTACCAGGTAGTATAAAGTCCATCTCTCTTACTACCTAGGTAGGCAGTCCGCGTGCCGGATATCCAGCTTGGGAGTTAAGAAATAGCCCAAAAGCGAAAGAGGTCTGCATTATCATTGATATGGGATCGGATTACTAACGGCTGCCGAAGAAAATAAGTTATGCAGCATTCCATTGCGCAGAACGCTTGCATCGGTAAGCTTACAAGCTTATATCAGGATAAGAACCTTTATGAATCGCGCACTTTAACTTTAACGACGCATCTGCTTGTCACTACCTATGGATGACAACATAATTGGGTAATCCATTCGAGAAGGTTATTCCAAAAGATGACTCGGGATAGCTGGTGCTCGCCACTATCTTGCCGCGGGCCTTGTTCCACATCACTTCCTCAAGAGGCATGCGTTGAGTAATCGAGCCGGGTTTCGTGTCTTGAAAGGCCGGCTGCACGAATTTCTCCTTCTGGCAACAAGCTTACGGGGCGTCAGATGGGCTGCCCGTACTCCGTATTCAGAGAGCATATGTCAGGCCAGTCTGACCAATGGCATTCCTAAAATATTACTTGGCTGCTGTTGTGATGCCATTCAGACTCTCTGAAGCTCGGCTATCTTTCCTATGTTGGGCTTTGATGTGTGTCATATATGTCTTGGAAGCGAAAGCGACGTGGTGGCTGCAAACATTTGTCTTCAGTCGAGGTTGTGTGGCTCAAGGCGACGGGGTTACTTTCAAGTCCGCTTCCGCGGGCAGATCTAGCAATTGAGTGTCCGAATGACACAAAGGCCGCAAACTCTGAGGAGGGCACGCTCAGCTAGTTAGGGCTGAATGCCACAGCGAATTCTTCATTGGACGTCGGCCTCAACTTGGCTCGATTCCCAGCTCGGGTCCGAACCTCCAGCCCTCTCGACGGTGCCTAAGCACTAGATGCTTAGTCCCAAAGCTTCCCAAACCGGCCTTTTAAGTTGACCACCGATATCCTACCGCTAGTTCAAGGGAAATGGCGGGCGGCTGTTCAGCCTTACAAGGCCAGAGGAATTGACAGCGTGGCTCACCAACTATCGTGATGGAGGGAGGGAGGGAAACGGGGCAGAGCGGAAGAGGAGGGTGACTAAATTTCCTGCTTGTTGTCTGAAGCTGCCTCGAGGTGTCACTGCATGGTCGTCAAAGGCAGAGCTGCGGTGTTTTCTGGATTGAGTTGCGTGCATACGGAGTACTTATAGTACACATGCAGGGAGGCGCAAAGCATTGACGAAGGATTGCGATGTGCTAATATGCTTACTGAAGCACTGTCTGGGCATAGCATGATGCAGATGCAACGGAGTATCACCAAAGTAATCCCGTCTATCCGCCGAACTGGTCCCTTCTTAGTTCCGCGTATTTGCAAACCACTTGCCAATAGCAGCGCCTATCTTGCCTATTTAGAGCTTGAATGGAACGAGGCAATCTATTGCGTACTATCCATCCCTTGAGCCGGCTGGCCCACACAAACGCCATCTGCAAAGAGGACAAAAAAAAAAAAAGAAGAGCAAGCCAATGGTGTGAGCTAGTTGAATAACTTCGTGTTCCTTCTGGTGGCTACTCGAGTCATGACTGAGTTGCTTCTGGAGATACTAAGCCGTAGTGGTGCCCAATTTCGCTCAAAGGGTCTGCCGGCTAGATCTGGGTCCCAACTAAACGGGGTTCCGGCCTCACGGACCCGGGGGGGACCACGATGATCGACGGGGCGACGGACCAACAGGTGTACCAGTATGAGTACATAGTGATGCATCGTCAGCGGGTGAGCTTGTGGTTTATTTTTTGCGTCTTGCGTCTTTGCATCTTGTTTGGTGGGCGGAGTTAAGACAGCCCGACCATTTTCCTTTTTCTGCGCTCTCCTTCATTGTCTCGGCTTTTAGTGCTTGTAGCAGAACCCTTGCCCTCGGAGGAGGAACAATGGAGCATGTGTACTGCGCTGTACCTCGAGCAATACATTGATTCAATGACAAATGAAAGTCCTACCTCCTAGGAGGTAACTGTAGCACCTATTACAGCGCAGTACCACTTCTCCCTGCCAGGGTCGCAGCGCCCCGTGCTGGTACCTGTACAGGACCGCTAAAGCCACTTCGGCCTAGGAGACGTGCTCACGGATAATGTCCATGACAAAGAAGCCATGGCGATGGAGACGCCGCATTGCTATTCCCTAGCAAATCCGAAGGGTGCGTAAATGCGGGATTCCGTAGCGACGCGATACTGCGAGGGACTCGGCCTTGGGTATACACGAGGTACCTGCTTGCTTGCCCGCTTGCTTGCCCGCTTGCCTGCTGCAGATCAAGGCTGCTGGTGATCAGATTTCTTTCTCCCTTTTCTCTTTTTACCCTGGGCCAACCAGATCAACCCACTTTCTGGTTCATTGAGGCGTCCCGGAAAATCGGTTGGGAGTGCTACCTCGACTTGCTGCTTGGGGACATGGGGCGGCTTATTTGCAGGTACTTTTTGACGTCAGGAGTGGGCAGCGATACCTCGCACTGCGGTACTGGACACCACATCGCAGGTACCACGCCCAAAGTAGAGCCATGTACTCCCTGCATCTGCATCCTCCGTAAGCACCGCCGCCACGCTGAAAAGCCCTTTTGCAATGGAGAAACATTCGTTCCCAGTATGTCCCAGTACTTCCCAGTACGGGCCCAGTACGGTGCAGTACTCGCAAGCAACTGCCAAGACGCTCCTCCCTGGCGTGTGCCCAACCCGAACTTCCATCCCATGTGGCAACCCATCCATCTTCTTCCTCGGCCCTGATTGACTTTTGGCCAGACACAAGCACCAGCAGCTCGCCAAGCATTTCAGCATTCAGCATTCAGCATTCGGCCTCGGTCTGCAACTGCCGCGGGCTGCTAGCTGGACGCCCCCGTCTGTCGGCATTACATAGGTTGTCAAAATGTCATGGGACGGAAAGGATGGCTGCAAACAGCCTGTTGAAGGTTCTTGGCCAAGACGCCGGTTAGTTAGCTACTGCGACGCTGCGACGCCTGCAGGGGAACCACGGCAGAGCAAGCCGTTGGCGCTGGGGACTAATCTGCTGGGGCTAATGTGCTGGCTGCATATGTGCCTGTCTCTGTGCGACGAGGTTGATGCCAGGCTAATGGTTGGCCTTAGCCCAGCGAGAGCCGATGGGTGATGGGATGGCATCAAAGGACACCCACTAGGCTAATGAACAGGCTTAGGCACGCCCCTCTCGAGCCCGTTCGATAGCCAGAGACTCTAAAGCGCACGACTCGAATCATCTCATTCGCTCCCTGCGTGGAGTGGCGACGTGCCTCCGTGACGAGCCGAGAACCCAGTTTGATAGAAAATAGAGTCCTATCCTTGTCCGTTGTGTTACGTTGAGACTCCCAAAACTTGGATGCTGGAGGAAAAGTCCTTTCCCTGCTACGCTTCTTCCCTGGCTCATTTCCATCACCCTCCTCCCAGTTTCTCTTTCTGCTTAGTGTGGTCAGGCTCCGCATTCCGGCCCGCGGGTCATTGTCTCCCTGGACAACTTGGACTTGAGCGCGAGAGAGCGAGCGGCGGGCGACAGGAGTGGGCTTTTGAAGCATTGGATCCTGTTGACAGCCCACTTGACCGTACAAGTATCTGCTGTCAGCATTTAATATTTGCTTGTGCTGGCTGTTTTCTCGCTCCCCGCCATTTTGGTCGTGTCGGACACGTACTGGGCCCCGTTTGAACTGTTGAACAAGGTCGCACACGCGGAGAAAAAGAAAAAGGGAAAAAAACAGAGAGGAGAGAGAGGCACCGCATCGATCTTCGCTGGCTTGGGGCTTTGAGTCTCTTTCGGCTGCCAAAGAGCTTCCCGTCTGGCTACCACTCTAGCCGGGCGTGTTGTTCTTTCTTGCCTGCCTCGTGTCGACGTGCTCGTGCTCCGGCACATCTCTTCTGCACTGCGTTAGTGCTCGCATCGATACCGGTGTCCTTTTAAATTATTTATTTCACTTCTCATTTTCCATCTCTTTCTTGGGGTGGTGTGGGATCTACAACTCCCAAGCCGTAACGCACCTCGTATTCCCAGCCAATGCATCGATCATGGTGCCCTCAAAACCCTCTCCCACGGCTTCCAACATCATCACTCCTATGACACCGCCGCAGGAGTCGGAAGCACCCCCGGTCAAGGAAAAGCGAAGACGGGCCGGTAAGCCCAAGGTTCGGACGGGCTGTGTAACTTGGTATGTTGTGTAACCTTGCCTTGTGTGATGGCCAAGCGCCCCTCACACGCCCTCCTCTCATTCGTCCTCGGCGACGACCTGAAGCGTTTGCGACTGACAACAAGGGAACAGCAAGTGAGCTACATCCACATACACCAAACCGAGGATGAAGATGATATTCTCCTCTTTCTCCTCCCCGCCTCCCTCCCTTCCGTCCTGAATACTGACCGTGATATTCGCTGTTACAGAATAAGAAGGATTAAATGCGACGAGCAGAAGCCGGCATGCCAGAGATGCATCTCAACAGGTCGAACCTGCGATGGCTACAAAACCACCACCAAGCCAAAGGCGACAAGAAAGCCGGGGTTCTCTCAACAGCTCTCATCATCTTCGTCGATTAATTCATCATCGTCATCGCTGACGCTGCTGCGGCCCCTGGTGACAAACTTCAGCGGCGACTCGGTAGAGAGTCAGTACATTTCCCAATTTCTTCCCCTAGCGGAGGATTTGGTCGGCATCACGCATATTCACAACACCTTTTTCTGGGGACACGTCGTACCAGAGTATTGTTTCACATCCAAGGCAGTGAGGCATGCCATCGTCGCTCTCAGCTCTGCATACCACGACTTTAGGCTTGCCGGCTCCAGCACAACCGTCATCGGCCCGCCGACCAACTCGGAGCGGTACATCATCAGACAGTATAATCTGTCGCTGAATAGGATGGCCGAGGAGCTGAACGGCCTGCCGATGAGGAAGCGCTATGGAATCATCATGATATGCTGCGTCTCGTTCTTCTACATTGAGATTCTGCGAGGAAACTGGCCGACTGCCATGATGCACCTTGCCAACGGCATCCGGTTGATGTCCAACCTACCGGACGAGGTCGAAGACGTCTTTCGCCACCCAGAAATATTCAGCCACGATCACGACAATTCTCATGCCAGGGCTCTCTACATGGTAAAGCTGCTTCGGCGGTGGGAAGGATCGGCAGCATTCATGAGGACCAACTCGCCGCCATCCCTGTCTCTCCAAGCTTACGAGACACGGAAGAGCAATGCCGCAGGCCCCAAACAGTTTACAACGCTGGAAAAGCTACAAGAGGTTGTTGATGACTTGTTCCAAGATGTCAATGCCTTTGGCTGGATGTGCAGACAATATAACGGTGATGACAGTACTTGGGATCATGAGGCTGCTCGTTTTCAGTTTGACGTACTTCACCAGAGATGTTATCACACCAGAGAGCTGCTGAAGAAGGCAAACAGCGCCTACGGGGATATGGAGCGGGCGCCGAACCCACGCGACTTTCTCAAGTATATGGGCTGCATGCTCCGACATCGCGGTGCGTCGATTGCCCTTGATTTCATACCTCTGCCCCAAGGCATGGCATATACGCCCCCCGACGAAGAGGAGAACAAGTTTAGAGAAGTGGCCTCTATCGCCGAGGCGATCAAGCAAGGTCTGCGGGCATCGTTGGTGCCTGGAGTCTCGCCGTGGTTTAATGTGGACTTTGGAGTCGTCACCACGTTGTATATCGCGGCGTCGAACTGCTACACAGTCGCGATGAGCGAAAAGCTGTTTGATATGATGAAGAGCTGGCCTTGGCGGGAGGATCTGTGGGACGGTCCACTACTGAGACGGCAGTTGTATGAGCTCAGGAAGCCCATAGTCGAGGTGCCTGTCGCAACCACACCTGATTCGGAGACGCCCGTTCCTACGACACCCCATCTAATGAAACTCGCGATACGGCCACCATCCCGAGCGGCAGTATCAACAACAGACTCGGACGATTAATCTCTTGTTTTTTTTGTTTTTCGAACATTGATATATACCCCATATCCTTTCCTTCTATTTGGATTAGTACAGAAACGAGCGCTTCGGGTCTAGAACCTGGCCTCGTGGCGCAATTGGCGAATGACTTGGGGAGAAAAGAAGCCGTTCCTCGTCGCTGCAGAACGGTTTGGTGTTATAAGTTTTAGACATGGGCAGCGAACTCCTTTTTTTTTTTCTCTCTTTCCTCTCCTTCTCTCCACCTCTCTCCTTCTTTCCACCTCTCTCCTTTATCTTCCTCTCTCTTCTCTCTCCTTTTTATTCATTGGGTTTAGGAGTTCTTTTTGGGCGCGGATGGGGGCTACATTTTGCTGAGGGTCACGAGTGCCACATGTCGAGGAGTTTTCTTTGCTGGATAATATCATACAATACCTTGGTGGATACTGATGATTTACTGAACTTGGATATTTATTCCCACACATGCCCTCTTTCTTTCTCATCTCTCCTCTGTCTCCAGAGATGCGCTTTGAAAGGCAGCGAGCTCAAAGAATGCTCTACGCTTCAAAGTCTACATATACGAGTATATATAACAAATACATGACAACTTTGATCAGAAAGGAAGCGTCCTTGTATTTTTCGTTCGTGATGATGCTGAAACAAGCAACCAGAGTCCCAACATATGCGTCGTTCAAGAATTCAAAAAGGCAAAAAAAGGTTCCAGAGGGAGTCGAACCCTCGCTGGCGGAATCAGAATCCGCAGTCATAACCGTTAGACCATGGAACCGCTTGAAGTGGTGATCCACTTCCCATGGTGAGGAGATGTTGAGACGGAGCTCGAGTTGAAGATTTTGAAGCTTTGCCGTTGAGCTACTGTGGCTTAGCGGGCACAGGGCAAGCCACAGGGCAAGCCACAAGGTACCTCTGCTGCCCCGCCAAGTGACCTCAAGCTCGACTTTAACTTGCTGCCATTTCCATATCACATGCAGCTTCAACTTCAACCTCGACAACACTCATGTATTCAGCTGCGGCACTGGCCAGGACAACAAACAGCAATTCGCCCCCTTTTAGCAAAAACAAGACCAGCATCAGTTGAATAAACGACTCTTAATTGGTCCCTCCCAGAAACACACCTATCCCCAATCCCCAGTAGAGCTTTCCAAAAAAACCAAAGTTCGAGCGAGGCCACACAAAGACATGACAAGCTCGATCCCGCAGTCGCCAACCGACGACGAAAACAAGTCGTTTGACCTCAACCTGCAGCACGGGCATAGGGACCTTGTGCAGGCGATTGCGTTCAACGCTTACGGCGACCGATGCGCGACGGGGTCGGTGGATGGCAAGATTCGGGTGTTTAACCGGCATAAGGATGGGACGTGGAGGCTGTGCGATACGTGGAGCGCGCATGGAGGGGAGGTTGTCGAGGTTTGTTTCTCTCTTGTTGTGTTTGCTCCTTTTTCTATTGCGCAATGCTGACGTTTGGGATTTGTGACTACTGCTACAGCTGCAATGGCTTCCTTCTACAATATATCCCAACCTCGTCGCCTCTCTCGGCATAGAAGGCTGGTTCCGCCTCTGGGCAGAGAATCCCTCAGCCGCGCCAGGTCGCCGCTTCTGCGCCGCGCGGTCAGTCAATGGCCGGCCAGCCTTTGACACGCGGTCGGCGCGGGCGCCGTACCGGTCCTTTTCCATGAAGCACAGCGAGGAGACGCGGCAGACGTACCTGGCGCTGCTGGCGACGGACGGGCGGCTGACCGTCTACGAAAACGACCAGCCCGAGAACCTGGCCGAGTACACGTCGATTGACGAGTTCAGCATCTGCCCCCGGCCCGGCCGCGGCGACGAGGTGGCCTTCAAGGTGCGCTTCGACCCGAACCCGGAGCCGTGCTACACGGCGCTCAGGGCCGGCGTGCCGTCGGATGCGCTGGGCCTGGTGGTGGCGGGCATGAACTCGGTCAAGGTGTACCGCACGCGGGAGATTGCGTCGTCAAACTTTGGCGCCAACACGCTGCAGAAGGAGTTTTACCTGGCCGTCGAGATCGAGGGCCACAGGGGGCTCGTCAGGGACGTGGCGTGGGCGCCGGGCAACATCAGGGGCTACGACATGATCGCCACGGCCTGCCAGGACGGCTACGCGCGCGTCTTCCGCATCGACACCCCCTACTCCGACGCCGACGGCAAGTCGTGGTCCGCCGCCCACCTCCTCAAGCCCGACAGCCGCGCGCACAAGGAGTCCCCGTCAAAGGACGACAACACGCCCGGCTCCGGCCCCAACAACCACCATCACCACCACCAGCCGTCGTCGACGCTCAGCGCCAGCCTCGCAAAGTCGAGCACCGTCACCGAGCGCGCGTGGACCGGCCAGCCCGGCCAGATCAGGCACGTGGCCAAGGTGATTTCGCGGCTGGATAGCCACCGCACGCCCGTGTGGCGCGTGGGCTTCGACGACGACGGGCAGATCCTGGGCAGCACCGGGGATGATGGGCGGCTGCTCTGTTATCGGCAGACGCCGGATGGGCAGTGGGCCAAGAGCTCGGAGCTGGTCATGATGAAGACGAGGATGGCGACGCCTTGATGGGGGATGAGGATCGCGAGCATGATGAGTATATATGGGCTGTGGATGAATGGGATGGTATCGGATGGAGTCTTACTTTTTTTTGACGTTGCGGCGAATACAGGCATGGGTATTGTTATTAACTACGACTTTCACGCGAGGGTCCCTTTTTTGTTTCCATTTCCAAGCAAGACGAAACATGTACATGCATATATAATTGTATATATTCATCATTGAGTGTGTCTTTTTCCACCTCTACATCGCTCAGTGGAATAATCTAGCCTTCCCTTCTTCTCTTCATTCTGTGTAAATACAAACGCCCCATGTGTCCGGCCTATTCAGCAGGCCCCTTGAAATAAATAAAAAATACATGATTTCCCCCTTTGAAACGCCAATTCGTGATAGTTTGTTTTCTGTTAATTTGTTCGAGAAGGCTTCCATGGATTTGCATCACATGCTAATTGGCCCATGAGAGCTTTTTCCCGATCTACCCCACACCGCCTTCTCCTCACAGCTCTTTTTTCCAGCTAGGGAAACTCGATTGGTTTCCTTCCATGCTTTAGAAAACAAAAGAAAAGAGGCCAACAACAACTGCATTTAAGCAGCGTCGGCGCTGGCAATGGGCTGAGCGACCTTGGTGACCTGGGCGCCAGCACGGACGATGCGCTGACCGGCAGAGTCGTTGATGTAGGTGACGTCCTTGTTCTCGAACTGAGCACGCTTCCAGATCTCGACCTCGCAGCCGCCGCGCAGGACACCGACACGCATCGTGGACAGCAGGTTGTGGGCGGCGTTGGAGTGGTTGTAGACACCGCCGTTGAAGATGGCCGTGGCGTCCTTGCCGATGGCGGAGGTAATCAGGGCCTTGCCACCGGGGTGATCGCGGATGAAGTTGCCAACGTCGTGGATAACACCAGCAATGGCAACCAGGGCCTTTCCGTTCTTGGAGTCGGCGACGAAGTCATCCCAGTCAACAACGGGGAGCTGCTCAAGGGGAGTGCCCCAGTCGAGGGTGGCACGCTTCTGGTCGAGCTTCTTCTGGAGCTGCTGGACACGGCCCTTCTCGATCTCGTTGGCGCGGAACTGCTTCAGGTCGTAGGCGAGGCCAGTCCACTTCCAGAAGACAATCATCCACTTGGTGGGGTCGTACTGCCACCACTCAATGGCGTTTCGGTAGTCGGCAGGGAACTCGTGGTGGAAGTTGTGGTAGCCCTCACCGAGGGTGACGAGCGCGGTGATGACGTGGTCACGGGGTGAGTTGCGGTCGTCAAAGGGCTGGTCGCCGAGCCAGTGGGCCAGGGAGTTGACGCAGAAGGTGGCCTGCTGGACGAAGCAGATGCGCAGGATGCCGGCGTAGACGAAGCCGCCCAGCCAGTCGTTGAACATGAGGCCGCAGAAGACGGTGGGGAAGACGAGGCCCATGAAGATGACGCACTTGAGGTAGTTGCGGTGCTGCCAGACAACGATGCTGTCCTCGTTGAGGTCGCTAATGTCGCAGCGGCCGATGCGCTTGGGGTTCTGCTTGAACAGCATCCAGCCCATGTGAGAGTACAGAAGACCCTTGCGGACGGAGTAGGGGTCCTTGTCGGTGTCTGTGTATCGGTGGTGAGAGCGGTGGCCTCTTGACCACCAGCGGATGGAGCCCTCGACGGCACCAGCTCCAACGGCAGCGAGGTAGATTCTGAGGGGGAGAGTGGCCTTGTAGGAGGAGTGAGCCCAGAGACGGTGGTAGCCTGTTTGAAGAGAAGATGATGTGAGTACAACTGCAACTGAGTCTGATATATATATCAATGTTTCATTTTGCTTACCAGCTGTGATGCCCAGGCCAGTGTTGAAGTAGTAGATGACGGAGAAGATGGCGGTGGAAAGGTGCAGAGGCACCCAGTAGGAGGAGACAAAGCCGGCCAGCGGGATGAAGACGATGAAGATGGCGTTGAGCCAGTTGATGTGCTTGTACCAGTTGCCCCAGGTCATGGGCAGGTCGGAGATGTGCACCTTCTTGGGGTCGTACTTGGCGCCGGACCGCAGAGGCACATAGTCGGTTGTGCCATCTGGGAAAGCGGCCGCCTGGACCTTTGCGGCCGAGGCTGTGGGTTCGGACATGTTGACGATGTCCTTGGGATTCCCGTCCGTGTTGAAGAAAGGAAGATACCGATGGGAAGGAGGAAGTGGAGGTTGGAAGAGAGAGGACGGGGAGCAGGAGGAGAGAAGAGGCTTTGATTTAAAAAGAGTCGAGTCTCGGAGGAAGGGAGGACAAGGGGAGCTATCAAGAGGGGCGGAGGAGGAAGAGGAGGAGGGGGGGGGTGTGCGAGAATCAAAGCATGAGATGATGAAGCTGGTTCGCTTCTGATATCAGATTCCGAGAAGGGGGGGCGTTGATCAGCGGAGGGGGGGGGGCGTCCGAGATCAAATCAGCCCAGATCAAGCCTGAAAGTCCCGGATATCCTAGGCAGAAAGCAGCAGAAACTAACAAGAGATGCAGAAGCCCCGATAAGACCATTTGTCGCCGTCGACTTTTTGCCCCTGGTGGAGCAGTGGGAGAAGAGAACAAGAGTCAAGCCGAGTGTGTGTACGAGTAGCGCTGCGGTAGGCTGTACGTGCAGGCAGCGCGGCCAATGGCGGGGCGACGGCGGTACCTGGTACCAGTGGCTGTACCTCGTGGACGGACTGCCGAGCGCGGTTTGTTGGATCTCGCTGGTTGAGCAAACGCAACGGCTGGTCATCTTGCAGGTACAGGTACAGGTACAGGTACCAGCACCAGACAGGGCAGGGCACTTGAATGCATGATTACCAGGTACTGCAATGGTAGGGTAGTGCTACGCTGCTGAAACAGTAAACTGTACGCGTACTGCAGAAAGCACTGCAGGCGAGTCGTTGGAAACAGTTGGGAAAAGTCGCATCGGCCCATGGCTGCTTTGCCGGACGCCCAACAGGCTGCACAACAAACAAGGCGACTCTGAATTCCCGCCCCAAAGCTGCTCGATACCGATTGGAATCAGCAGATGTGCAATTCATCTGGCCTGACACTTTTCCTACTCTCTTCCCATCAGCAACCAAAATGTCAAATGTACACACACTCGTACATCCCGCAAAAACATCGAATACTTCCAAAAAAAAAATCGCCCACCCCCCTGGTACAGGTACGTCCAAATCCTCGTAAGTGGCTACTTGTTACTAGCGCCTTCTTTGTCCGGGTTGAGCGACACGCCGCCCCGCGCAGCCAATCACAGCCCGCCAAAAACGGGTGCTACTCAACCTTTTTTTTTTTTCTTCCTCTCTTCTTCGCTGTCTTGTCTTCTTTGCCCACTTTCTACTTCCCCAACAACTTTTTTGGGGCTGCGTTTAGTTACCTTCCCGCCCCAGACGAGGACCCACCCTGGGGGCTTTTAGACATATCGCTGCATATGGCAATGGAACTTGTTTTTTGTTTGCAAAGTTCTTTGGATTGGCCTGAAATTGAACGGGATGACGGATCAAGCCTGTCGTCCGCGCGTGGCTGTCTTATCACTGTTACGAGATTTGCCCGTATGAGCATGCTTTTGTGGCAAAAGGAAGGATCCAAAGGTTAAATTAGCGAGGAATGCTGTTGATAACGCCAGTTGCATGTGCATGTCGAAATTCAAAAACTCGGTTTCATATGATAATACGATATCATGCTTGTAGAGCCAATGAATGGTACAGACAGAGCCAGGACACTGCAACGCGCATGCATTTCAGCTTCAGACGAGACCAATCACCTCTCATCGGCTTCATTCAGCAAATCAAAAATGCAACGAATACCTGTACAGATACGTGTAATCGTTCAGGTACGTATACGTGTACAAAGTAAACAAGTACCGCCGCGCGTATAAACTGCCAAATCTTAATACTAGAAGCCCATCAAGATAACAAATCTCCAACCTCACACGAGTAAGCATTTCCCCCCGGATACATCTACCGAATAGCCTATCCATCACATTCCCATTCCCATTCACATTCACATTCACATTCACATTCACATTCACATTCACATTCACATTCACATTCACATTCACATTCACATTTCAAGCACAAGTCAAACATCAAACCTCGGCTTCTCACCAATTTCCCAATAAAAAATCAAAAAATCCATCATCCCATGTGCAACTTCTCCTTCCTTCACCCCCGACTAATCAAATCCATTCCCCCCCTCCCCATAATCCCCAACAGAAATTGAAGAAAAAAACTGGCCCCGTCTTTCCCGGCTGCCGAGCTTCTTCCGCATTAGACGGGGTAAAAGGTACGTACCTGCCTATCTGTCCGACCCCCAACTGAAAAAAATACCCTGGAAGCTTGCGCCACTGGTTGGGACCCTTGGCCGCACCGCCACATGACCGTTGCAGCTCATTCCTTTTAACATGCAGCCATCAGGTGCGCCACCGTAATCATAGCCCAGTCTAGAATATTGCCGTATTAGGAAATTTGCTGGCAAGCACCGAGTACAGCTTGTCTTCAATGTGACGCATGAGGGAGATACTTTGCGCTGTTCTGCTACTCCAACACTTAATGTCCAAAAAGTTCAGCCTTCAGCAATATTCCAAACGCAAAATTATGTGGAATAGCCTGTTCAAATAAAATAAAAATAAAATTTGTATTCAATTGTCGCTTGCTCGCTTGTTTGCTTGCTTGTTTGTGCCAAAACTAGTCATATCTCATGTGTGTCAGGCTGGGCGCTTTTTATATCTCGCCGCCATAGTCATATCCAATGTCATGATCCCATACTCATATCCAAAATCGTAACAAAATGAAAACCAAAGAGCCAGGTCAGTTGCCTGCAGCCATGTCTACTTTACAAAAAGGAAATGATAGCGAGTCGCAAATAAAAGGAATAAAAAAAAAAAAGATCAAAAGGCCGTTGTTGTATGACAATCAAAACTTTGTGCGTGTGTGTGCGGTGTAACTGTAGGTGTATATGTCTGGTGGTCTTCATGTCTGCGCATCTGTCGTAATCATGAGCGGCGTCGCCGCTTCGGGTCGTGTCATTAGTTTGAATTCGTCATCGATAAGTCCCTTCTCTTGCAGCAGCTCTCCTTCAAGCCCCAAATGAGCTGCTCCGATGCCCGTCAGCGAGACGTGCATTGGCCCGTGTCGCGGATATGCAAGTCCTGTTTCTGTCTGGCCACCTCCGTTGAGCAGCTGCCCGGCCCTCTGTGCGGCACTGGCGTTGTAGCCTTGCCTGGGGTCGGGCACCTTGAAGCCCGGTGACCGCGAGGCAATGTAATCGGGTTCCGACTCCGTTTCTGGAGTCGTAACACGATGTGCTGCTCCATTGCCCAGTCTGGAGCTTGTTGGGGGCTCTGCAGACACCGGCGTGTTGGGCACATCTGTCTGCTGTGGCGTTGCGTGAGATGAAGACGACCCATAGCCATCTTCAACTCTTGCGACTTTCCGGAGCCGCTTAACCTTGATATTGGCCGTGTTCTTGGTAAGCTTCAGTCTCCCACTTGATCTTGACCTTGGCACCTCGGCATTGACACTCCGAGTGCTATTCGTCCTTTGGGCCACGGCTGAGACTTGCTTGTCAGCATCTCCTTCACGGTCAACCTTCTCCTGTTGTCTCTCCTGGTGGGTCTCGGCGTTTCGGAGTTGGGCTGCCGCCTCGGTGGGAGACTCGGTAACAACAACAGCAGGAACAGGTACAGGTTCTTCGTCTGCAGCGACGTTGGCCGCCGATCCTCCCCAGCTAGACTCGGGGGCAACTGGAACGACGAGTCCATTTGCCGTCTTGTCAACCTGGTCATCCACTGCTGTGAAGTAGTCGGTGCTTTCGTAGGAGCTGAGTTGCTCGATTGGCCGCGAATATCGGTCACTGATATTCAGAAACCTCTCGGCTGAAGGCGTCGGGGTCGGTTGTCGCCGCACGTCATAGTCGTCAGGCAACACATAACTCTCTCCACTATCGCTGTAGGATGGAGCAATGTTCCTGTTTGCTGCCCAGCCCGACTTATATGCCGGGTCGTTGACGTCCACGTCGCTGGGCATCGGGCTTGGGGGGGACCGGCCTCGCGCAGAATAGTGCTGGTCATAGGGGAGGAGCCCGCTGTCGGCATATGCTGAACCCGAGTATGCCCAGTCGTTGGCGGGCCGTGTCGCCCTCGTCGCAGGGTGAGAGTCGACTTCGTATCCGTCTGAGGAATACTCGCGCACCTCATCACCGTAGTCCATGCGGACGGGCTCCTGATCTGAGTGCAAGGCGTCGCTTTGCACGTCGCCTGGGATGATGCCTGGGAACATTCGCAGCAGCGATGCCGCTTGCAGTCTCATTCGCGGGTCGTCGCTGAGGCAAATCTCCGTCATCTGTCGATACCAGTCAGGCACGTTGATCTCGGGCCCCAGAATCAGCGGTCGGCCTTGCGTCTCAGGCTCGTCTTCAAGCATGGCAAGTCCCCAAAGCACCATGCCGAGCTGGTACAGGTCTGACTTGACTCCAATGTACATGGAGAGACGCTGGTTGGACTCGATCAGGGCTGTGGCCTCTGGGGGCTCCCAACCGACGGGGCAGCCGCGCCTGTTAATGTCAATGATTTTGGCATCGCCGTCATCGTCAATGACAATGTTGGATAGCGTAAAGTCTCCCTGGACAAAACCCGACTCGTGGACATCGGCCAACCCTTGGACGATTTGTCTGGCCCACTTCTCCCTGGTGTCCCAGGGGATGCCAATGTTGTTTTCCTTGCAGTTCTCGAAGATGATGTCAATCAGGGCACCCTGGCCAGCGAAACTAATGAGGAGCCCCTTGACATGATCGTCACTGTCATCCACAACAACACCGTAAAAGTCAATGACATGCCTTGAGAAACGCAGGCCGTTGAGCGCGTTGACCTCGTAGAGAAACTCCTCGACGGTGTCGGGGCTGGGGATCTCCTTCTTGATCAACATGTTGCCATTGACGCTGACCTTGTAGACAAAGCCCGACATGTGAGAGTCGAAAATGATGTCTCGTTCCTTGACTCTCCTGCAACCCAAATGCCGAATCTGGTTGACGGACGGGTAGTGGATAATTTCCTGTTCAAAGCGCGGCTGGTTAGTCTCGTGATGGGGAATGGCCGTGGATCAATAGGCAATCACTTACATTGCCATCTTCAACTACATGAACATGTAATCTCCCGTCCGTAGTTTCAAGCTTCAGGTTGGTCACGGTGTCGTAGAACTGGATATCCGGCAGGCTTTCGCGGATGGCCTCGTATATCTTGGCGCTCTTATCTCTCTGGTATTTGGTGTGGCTGAGCTCCCACTCGAGAGAGTTCTCGGGCGCATCGCGATAGTCAAGCGATATGGTGACGCGGCGCCACATGTAGTCTTGCTCGCGGTATGTAACAAAGAACTTTTCCCGCTTCGACCGATCTCTAAAGTGCATGCTCAAGTTGAGAATCCATTCCCTTTCGAGCTCGTCGTGAATCATGGCTTCGTACTGAGACGCCGTCACGGAGCGGGAGTCGGCCACAGATGCGCCGTCCTGAGCGGTGTACTCGTCGTCAGCATCGTCAGCGTCGGTACCGTCATTGTCGGTCGTGAGGGCGTGCGGTCTGTCTGAATAATTTGAGACAGCCGTCTCCAATTCGGCAAGGTCGATTGGCAGCGACTGAGCGTAGTTTGAGTTGGTCTCGTGAAGCGGCTCACCAAAGAAGCTGGGCGCACTGGAACGAGGGTCGATGTGAGATCTTGAGCTTCGCCGACCTGGCTTATGGGGAAAGTGAGTGCGTCTATCGACTGAGGCCGCTCTCCGCTCCTCGGCTGAAGGCTCTACAGGAGCAAGATGCTCTCTGCTCTCCGACAGCTGGCGCTTGAATGTCTGTGATCGAGGCAAGCCGGGCACGACTCTCCTGGACAGGCGCTTGACAAGGCCGGAGCCGGAGACGGGCGCGGAAGCTTGCTGGTCGGCGGAGACGGACGAGGCTGACGACTTTGAGCTCCGGGAGCTCCCCGAGCGGGTCAGCAGCTTGCGCAGAAAGCTCTGCTTGGTGGGCGACGGCGATTGCGGTTGCGACTGAGGTTGCAGCAGAGACGGCGAAGTGCATGGCCGGCCATCTAGTGGAGGCATGTTGGGCAACCCGAGCTGCAGGTGTCTATGTGTACCTCTCGATATATGCGCTATGGAGCTGCACAACGCCGGGTACCTGCTGTCTACCTTTGCGTAGCGATAGCAGGGATAGCAGGGATAAGCGCAGTTGACGTGAACAGGCCTCTCTCGTTTTCACTTTTTTTTTTTTTTTTTGGCCAGTGAGAAACGAGAGAATTGTTTTGATTATCGTGTGATGGCAGCCAGTCGTGAGGCTGAGGAAAGGAGGGGTGCTGGGCCCGTGTATGGAAAGCAGCAGGCACTCGGATATAAATAGCCGCCTTTATGATATACTGATTCACCGTGATTCAGCGGGGATAAAAACAGGTTGAGCCTCCCTGGAACACCTTGCAGATGTCGGGGAAGACGCCTTCAAATGCCGCCCGAGCCAAGAAAAAAGCCGGCTCTCTTATGTTTAGCTGGTCGCGGAGGAGGCTGAAAGCAAGGGAGTCGAGAGGCGAACAGGCAGAAATGGCAAGCAGCGGCTCTAGTGGCGGGCTGTCCAGTAAGAAGAGGTGTCTGGCAAAAAAAGGCGAGGTAGGTGAGTCTAGGTGAAGGTGAGGCGAGGCGAGGGGCAAGGCGGGATGGATGGATGTCCTAGAGAGAAGCCGCTTGAGCGGCGAGGCAAATGGGGGCGAAGAAGCACAAATAAAAGCTCGGCTGGAGATGCAAGATGGGCTGGCGGGGAAGGGGGGAGGATGAATAGGAGGCCGAGAAACGAGACAGGATGAGACTGGACTGGACTGGACGGGACGGGATAAAGACAAGGGCAGCCTGGTGGAGCGGCGTGAGAGAGACAAAGAGGCTGGAGTCGACGATCTCGGTGGTTGTTGCTGCTGCTGCTGCTGGCTCAAGTCGAGTCGAGTCGAGTCGAGTCGAATCAAATCAGTCAGTCGGTTTGTGCACATGTGTTGTGGCATGGATGTGGATGTGGATGTCGAGGAAGAGGCGTATATTGGCGTGGACAGGCGCAGGTGCAGGGGTTGTTTCTGGGGTCGTGACCAGGTTTGACGGGCGGATGTACTCGTACCAGGTTGACCGCAGCAGGCGGCAGTACCCGGCTGGTACCTGCTACCGGGTTTAGCTCAGCAGGCCAGACGGTGAGAGTCGGCAGAAGCGAGCGGCTGGAATGATTTCCCCAGCCGTGCCAGTCCGTTGGAGGCAGTGCAAGGTGCTTTGCAGGAGTCGGTACTCCGTACACGTACTATGTACTCGTACTCTTGACTCTGGCTGAGAGCTGGAGCTGAGAGCTGGAGCTGGAGCTGGAGCTGTGTTGAGGCCATCAGCTCTCTAAAAAGCCACAGCCGGCCCAGCGAGCTGCTAAAAGCTACTAAGGCTTCATGCCGCTGGTCGTGCCCGAGGCCCGTCCGAGCTACTTTAGCGGTACCGGCGCTGGCTAGGCCCTGCTAGGCCCTGCTTAGTAGGTAGGGGTTCTGCCAGTTGGGCTCTGGTTGCTGGACCCCTCCTTTCCCTTCGCTGGAAGAGGGACCTCGGGCTGCCAAAGGCCCCTAAAAGCGCTGGATGGCACCCTACTGGTAGCACCCGAGTGCAAGTTAGTGGGCTGGCAGCACCCAAAACGGGCAATTGGGCGGTGGCATGACGAGGGGCAGGCCATTGTCACAGTGGGGCGACGTTGTGACGGCTTCTGCCTCGTTTTCTTTTTTTCCCCTTCACCTTCTCGCGCGCTTCCAGCTGTTTGGCCAAGTACACAGTGCTGCGCTCTACTCTCGCCCTTTTTTTTTCATGCCCAACCTCGCAAATCTCAGAGATCAGACCTGCAGCATCTTCCAAACGAGAGACACACACACAACCTACTGTACCTCACAGCACTAAAAACGCTCAACACCTTGGTTGCCCCATCGACCACTTGCATCCGGCTTCGTGACCGCCAATTCGACGACGCCTGGCAGGCTCCGCTCGCTTACCCATTTCGGGTCGAAGCCCTACAGGCGGAGAGACAGAGAGAGACCAGAGAGAAATCAAAAAGCCGTCATGGGATGCACCGGATTGCCATGGCAACTGCTGGTATGTGATGTGATGTATACTCTGCTTCGTACATACGAGTACAGGCACGAGCATGTACGTGTGTGCGTTCGCGCATGTTTTGCCTGGCCGGGGACACGAGTAATTGTTCCGAGAGCGAGCTCACGCCGGGCACCCCTACAGGCCGAGTTGATTAAGAGCAAAAGATAGTACGAGGACAGCATCATCCAAGGTGAGTTGGCAATCAAACAACAAGCCTAGCCCCGGGTAATGCTGGCTAGTTCGTGCAACCTCGCTCGGCGTCGCACCGCCAGCTTATCACCACCAAGTCGGATTGTGGTGGTGGGATTGGGCAGCGAACTGCCTCTGCCTCTGCCACTGCTTCTGCGTCTCATGCTTACTATGTACTCGTACTGTCCACGTACATACATGGGCTTGGACTGCTGGCTAGCTCCAATCCGTGCCCGTCCCGGTGCGTTCTGGAGACAGGCTAGATCGGACTATGCCATATCGTACATGGACGCTTAATCAATCGAATCGGTACCTACTCATCTGCCAGGGCCTGTTGCGTCTTTTGCACATTACATGCTCGGCCATACATGTGCAGATGCTCGTATCTTTGGATGGTTCTCGCCTCGTCACAAATGCCCCTTTTTGGGAGCCCATTGACCAAGCAACAAGGCTATTGATCCTATCCCGTGCCGTCTTGACTCGGGCTTTCCGGGCAGCTATTCGTTAGTGCCTGGGTAGCCATGCCATGTAAGCAGCCCAGGGAACATGGAATCCAGTTCCCGGCCAAATGGTTTGGGCCATGCGCATCACACACATGACATACACGAGGTTTGGGCCCGTGAACTGATGCGTGGCCCGGAGATGCAGTGGTTCCATGGCTGGAGCCCGACCAACAACACGAACATGATACACGAACATGATGGGCCGGATGTCCGAGTCAACAACGATTCATGATGGTGCCAATGCTTTGGTAGTGTCCATCGGCGTTTGAAACGCCATCGATCGAATCATTGCCCAACGCCTCATACTCAAACTTACTCCGGGTAACCCCTATTACAAGTGCGTGATAGTCTACATCCCTATTCAATAAATAAGATGGCCTAGGAACGGATCACATCCGCAGACTCACATGTCAGCCCCAGCCCCGGGCCCCCGTTCCGAGATGATCTTGGCTGCGCACGCACGTCATGGTTTATACATTGAAGCGTATTTCACGTACCGGGAACTGGCAGCTTGACACTTTTTACTACTATACAGCAACCAGCCTCTCGATTTTATGGTTGTTGGGGCAAGCTCCTGTCCCCTTGTGTTGTTGATTCTTGATTTCTAATTCTTTAGCACTGACTACTGTACTTGTATTAACCAGCATTCTCATCAACCTGATACTGTCATGTTCAGGTTCAGCATCCGCTCTCTAGTGTACTTGTATAGAAATATTTCAGGAGTGGGGCATGCCAGGGTCAACACAGTGTGTATATATCTTTCACACTATGACGACAGACATTGGCTTTAACAAAGCCAAACATAGAGGCGCTAACAACACCAGGATATTGCGACATGTAATGGTTGCGTATCAGTTGAGCGAAGGAAGCAACGATGCGAGCATTTTCTCGGTACATATGTAGTCTTGCTTGCTGAGTGAGTAGCACGCGGTTACCAGAGAAATAATCATCACCCAGAGCTTCTGGACACGTTCCAAGTATTTTGCCTCGTTGATATTGCTATCGGATAAGGTGTTATTCTTTAGGTCTCTAATTTGCTTGTTTTTTTCTCCTTGTGCCTGATGTATCCAGGTCGGCTGCCCTGCCAAGGATCTTGGTAAAGAGAATGAAAGATGCTAGGTAGGCTCTAAAAAATGGGAAGCCATATTCTGTCCCAAACAAAAAGAACCACCCTAAGCTCAGAAGCAGTTCCAAGCCAGAACCAAGTATAAAAACAAGAGCCCAGATTTCAACCCACATCCTCGGAAGCATCCAACCAAAGAGATCCTCCTCAAAACCCATGGTCCAAGCCATCACTACCTTGAATAAAGTAATTAAAGCAGCAAGCGGAACAGCAAAGACCCCACTGCTACAAAAGAAGAAGCCCAAGACGTAACACCACCCTTGGTAACTGCTTGAAAATAAGGCAATGTTTGGTGTCGTATTTTGAGATGATGACTGCATTTTAAGCGGCTCCTGATGGTCGTTTGGGAATCCGATCAAGGATTTGGTTTTCTTAATCTTCCAGTATAGGTCCTGCTGTTTACTAGATGGAAGATGTTAGCTGTCCTTTTATATGATATATTGTTAGTTTTAAGGGAGAAAGTCATGAATAAGGAATAAACATACAGCATATGACCTTGATACTGTGTATCTGTGCCTGACTTGGTTTATATGTCTCTGAATAGTGAAGAATAAAAGTTACTTTGATGCTGATGGAAACTGCCTGCTGAAGTCCAGTGGGGACACGCGGGAATGTTCTTCCACTACCGAGTGAACTTAAATCATCCGACTTCGATACATGTATAAGGGTATGCTTTTATTAGTCCATTTGCTTTACCAGGAGATATTTGACTATAACGAGGGGGTGATAGTGAATCCGAACCAAACGGTAGCATCGTCGTCGTATCTAGGTACTATACCAGGAACAGAGCGACATAAGGTACCCTGACTAGCAGGGCCAGATTTGGAAAATTGTTAAGAGAGTGCGTACTCCATCAGCTCGACCATGAAATCATGCACTGTCTGAAGCCCCACTATGCCCATACATTAGAGAGCGGACGCTGAACCTGAACATGACAGTAATTACTTGTACATTGTAAAAAGAACGCATCAATCAACTCCGTCGTCAATGACCCTACCAATCCATGGCCTGTGCCTAGCGTCGGGGTCAGGCATGGCTGCATCCCGCTAAGCCCAGCAGAATGAGGCTGCCCAGACGCAGAGCCTGGAAATTCCCTCCCTCAGGCTCCCGCATGGCAGCCATTGAGTTTCATGCACAATGCC